GTGAGGGCAAGGCGTTGATGCTGATGGACTGTTCAGCCCGTTAAATGATTGATTGATTGGTTCGGCTCATCTCTCTCAGAGCACGCAAATGAGTAGAAAGGTTTGAGGGTGCGAGTTGTCTCAAAGTGACACGGCAGGAGTGACATGGCGGAACGTGACACGCCAAGCCAGCATTGCCTATTTCGACGTGTATTCAACAAAGACTTTGGTGATGTAAGTTACTGGACCGTACTAGGGGTCGCGGACAAGGATATTCCGCGGGGGTGAAAGCGTAGCTTTGTCTTTTGGGGGCAAGCCCCCAAACCCCCGGCCTCGCTGCGCTCGAGAGATCACGTGACTGAGCCGGCCACATTGGGCTTGGCAACTCTTGGCGGCGCACACATGCGTAATTGCGACCCCTCGGGATCCGGAAAATCTATAATCCGACGACTCTGGCGCCATCGGATCCAGTCCACGAGCCAACCCTCGGGCCCTCGTGTCACGTGATTAGCCAAGCCTCTGGAAAATCTATAATCCGAGGATTACGTAATCCTGTGGTTGACCTCATCGGATCCAATCCACGGCCCACTCAGGAATGGGTAGAGCGCGGCCGTAGCCCGGAAAATCTATAATCCGAGACCCAATCACGTGCTCTAGTTGGCCAACCCCATCGGATCCAATCCACGGCCCACCCAGGAATGGGTAGAATGCCGCCTTGGTCTGCCAGACCGCCCTGATCGGATCCAGTCCATGGATCGCGTGGGGACGATGTTAATCACGGTGTTCTATGCCGTACGATACCCTCCATCGGATCCAGTCTATGGACCGTGTGTAGACGATGTTGATCACGGTGTCCTGTGCCGTGCGATTCATGGCTCATGAAGTAGACGACGGTATGCCCAATTAGGAAAGCCGACAACCATATCCGCGATATATCTAGCCAATATCGATGCATGGGGCTTAGATATCGACGGTGGGATCGGCATCTGCTATAACAACTGATTCGTTCTCCACATATAGTCTATGTCCCGGTCTTGGGACGTGGCAGTATTTGCCCTCTTGAAGTGATCCAAGTCAAAAGGCCCCTCAAACAACAACCCGTCTAAGGTCTTCACCCGTGATACCGCTACATACGACAGGCCCAGGCAGTGCTCTGTTTGACTTAAATCCAGAACTACCCTCGGTAGGGTTAGGCCCTGGCTTTTATGAACCGTTATCGCATAGGATAACCGGACGGGAAGCTGAGTACGGGAGCATGGTGCTGGACGACGAGAGGTCTCCATGGGCGACGACGTTACAGATGGTTGCTCTGTGCAACAGTGTAGCATTCGTGTGTCTATAAAAGGAGCCTCAACACCTCGATAGGTAGATAGAGAACAGAGCGCTCCTTCATCTCGAGTTGTACCACAAGTTTGACACATGGTATCCCTTGGAACTCAAACTGACGATTAACAGGAAAGATCGGGACGACTCCTGGGTCACATTGGGGGAAATTGGGGCCGGTGTAACCCGTCAAACTTGACGAGTAAGAATGGGATCGACGAAAGATCCTGGCCTTCCTGCCAGGCCATATCTTGGATGCAACCCATCGATCCATTGACCAGTCCTAACTCGGTCCAGAGATTGTCGTGAGCATCACGCGGGCCTGAATACAGAGCTGAAGTTCCGGGCAGAGGTTGTCGGCCTCGTCCTCCGATGCCTTGGCGGCATTTCGGCCCCTATGTCGGGCTCGAACCTTCTTCACGGGCTGACCGACACCGGATAGCTTCTTAACATTCACCTCCTTCACCTCCGAATTGGTAAAGTAGAGGCGTAGAGCCGAGTCAAAGGTGGCCACCTCCGTGGGGGACAGGTCGTTTGCCATCCGCGTTCGTAAGAGTTCCCAGCTCTCCTTGGATAACTGGGAGATTCGTAACTCACCTAGTGCCCGCCGGAATCTGGTTGAGATATCATCCTCCCCTTGCTGCCGCATCATTTGGGTTAAGCGGAGCGTCCGATTGAATGCCTGGTAGAGTTGGTGGCCCTTGATGGCGTCGACTTGGGTCGGAGACCGGGAGAAGAGTGGCCTCCCTCCCACGGGCGGAAGTTGGAAGAAGTCTCCACACAATAAGATATTTAACCCCCCGAAGGGCGTGTCGGACGCGCCTGGAAAGATGGCCCGTAGTCGATCGTCGATGACCGAGAGCGTCTTGAGATCAATCATCGACTTCTCATCGATAATCAGGAACCGACAGCTCGCAAAGGACGCCTGGAGCGACTGTAGCGTTGCCACCGATAGATCCGACTTCGTCATCTTGACCGGGAGCCGTAAGAGACTATGCAGGGTCTTGCCCACGATATTGAATGCTGCAATGCCTGTCGGGGCCGCCCGAAAGACAGGGTTACCCTTTCCGGCGGCGGTCGCGATCTCCTGGATCCTGGCGCATGCTTTCAGTAGGGTAAACGTCTTTCCGGTCCCGGCCTCCCCATCCACGTTCAGAAGGAGTTGTGGTGGCGCGGAGAGTCTCGTGAGGCTGATCTCATTCGTGTAGTGGGTGACGATCGTGTCATAGAGCTTTCTCTGCTCCCGATTCAATGGTTGGGGCGAGGAATTCACATCCACCACCAACTCAATCGGATTGTCGGCCTTGATTTGCTCCCAGACATCTGGACGTAGATCACCATACCGCCCGATATGCGTCGACCAGTCATACGCACGGTCGATTTCCCGGCTCCCTAAACCGTCCAGCAAGTCCCCACGGGTGGGCAAATCGGCTCCCGGCCGTCGGCGCGCCAAAACCTCGAAGTCAGCCAGGGGATGCTCATTTTCGGCCTCCTCCGGGGGATCCTCATCGTCCGAACTCGAGTCCGAATCCGAGCCTTCTCCTTCCGGGTCGTCGTAGAAGTCTGGCGGGTGTGTATGTAAACGTCGACAGGCCCGAGATGCGTCGATATATGATCCGTAGCTCTCGTTCTCGACGGAGAGGAGATCGGACCAGTCCGTAAATGGATGATGGAGCATCAGTTTGACGCGGCAATAGTCCGAATAACTCTGAGATTTCGGATCGTTCGGATACCTGGGGTAGTGGTTGATGACCCGTGAACTCGCCCGCGGACGGATCTTCCACGTCAGCCAATCCCAAAACTGGAGGCAGCTCAAAAGGCTGAGGCCCAGCAGGGCGGCGTTCCCGTTTCTCGTATCGGTCAGACGATCTCGATACCTTCGTAAGACCGATCGCCTGGCCGAAATGTCCCCCGACTCCAAGACAATCAGGTCGTCTTGTACTTCTTCGGCCGGCAATCGAGGCTGACGACTCCCCGCGACGAATGCTGAACGGGAATCTGGAGAAGGAGATGGGAGACCTCCTGTGCGGACCAATCCCGTTCTCCAATAAGCCTATTGAGCATTTTCGAGACAAACGACAAAGGAGAGAGACGTTGTTTTTTCGAGGCCAGCCTCGGTCAAAACAACGCGCGCGGCGGGCCGCAAACGTCAACGCGTCGTCCGAGGATCTACCGGGAAAAACACGTGAGGAGGGACATTTTCAGGCACGTGATTTTTTTTCCGCGCATGGTAGAGTCACGTGCAGGAGGGTCGGGATTTAAAAGAAAGCTTACGCTTTCAATGATACAACTTTCGATTCCATCCCTTAAACTCTTGAAAGTATCGCTGAGTCTACTGTAGGTACGGCCCTTGGTCCAAACTGGGTCGCTTGATTCTGCAAGCGACAACACATGCGACTCGCAAGCGTTTATCTACATGAGCGTAAGCTTACGAGTGATTCTCAACATTTTCGCATTTCTTTAGTCTTGTGTGTATGCTTTTTGCATGCGTTTCGTGCGCTGATCTCATTGTCACCACTTACCACATACTTCTTGCAAGTCATGGATTGGCTTCTGCCAGAGAGTCAAGGTCCCGTACGACTTACAAAACGAGACTTTTAGCCTCTATTCTATGAAGTATAGGAAAGGTACTCCATCCGAAGAGCGTGCGAAGCGCATGGGAAGCGGCTGGTCTATACCGCTAGACCCTAAAGAGGTGATTTCAACGGCTGAAAACAACGCCACCAGATAAACCACAATTCTAGTCTCAGTCTTACCAAGCTTCAGATTCTCCACACTCATCATGTCGTACGTTTCGCCGCCTTCGAGACGAGGGAAAAATTCATCCTGATGCAGTGGCCCTGCTTCACGCAGGCAAGAAGCTTGCGCAAACCTTGATATCGTACGACATGAAAACGCTGGCTTACGAAAGATAGTCCTTTATGAAAAGAAGAAACGAATACGTGGAAAAGCTATGCAATTATATGACGAGAGTGAAATAAAGATCAAGGGCGCTTTTTCAGTTCTGTCAAGGTAGCGAGAGTTCGTAAACGCACCATCGCCGTAGGGGATTCGCAGCGTCAACGCCAGCTTACCGCACTAGGCAAAAAGCTTCAAGGGGCTATATCAAGAGCTGGAAAATCTCGTGAGACAGAAGAAAGAAAGAAGGAACGTCAAGCTGCGCGACAAGCCGTACGGGAACAGTTTGCACGCGAAAAGGCCGAAAAGCTGACTGTTCGAGAAGCTCGAAGAGCGGAAAAGGCTGCCAATGCTGCGAAACGTAAACAGGAAGCAGCAACATAACGTGCGGAACGCATGCGAGCAAAAAAGCAAAAAAAAAGCTGGCGTGCAGTCAAGAAGACGAAGTAGGTCAGCCTAAAAGGATGGTGCGTACGAACGCTTCTCGCAGACGACACGCAGATAATTCGCACAATCTATCTGGTAAGCCATACTATACAATAGTACAGCATTAAGCTCCCACAGTTTTAGAGGCTTCAAGCACCGTATGCGGAAGAAAAGACTCGGAGGGCTCAATTTTGGGTTCTGGGCGCTTCGGGCGTGCTGTTCGGCGGTCACGCGGGACTGGCGGTCACATGGTGATCTACGTTACAACCATGACACGCCGGTAGAAATCTATACCTTGCTGGGTCCTCCGTAAACCTAGTCAGCTTCATCACCTAACCATACATACCTCCACCTTGGATGCAGATTCTGTCGGGATGGAACGCCTCTACACGAGATGTGCGAGGTTCAGTCTCAAATCACATCACGCAGCCGCCGTGACGCCTCTACGGAACAACGCCAGGCGATTCTCTGGCTCGAGAATTCTTCGCGATGAAGGTAGTAATATGAGCCTGACATTCCCAGCCCTGCTCGCCGGCGAAGGAAGCTGAACTGACACGAACCCTTTCAGATGATCAATCTCCATCAGACAGATCTGCACGGACAAGCTCGACAGGTGCAGCCGCCAGACCTCGTACTTCACGCTCGAATCTACTCATTCAAAAAACACCCAACCGACCTGCTCCGATTGGGGCTCGACCACCACCTGGCACCGTCCTTCGCCGCTCAGAGGCTCCACGAAAGGTAGCTGCAGGAGGTCGAGCATCACCTGGCACAGTCCTTCGACGTACCAGGCCATCTTCCAGCGCCAGAGCTCCAGGAGAATCAGGAACTGGAACCGGAAGAGGACGCGGCCCCCAGCCAACGAGAGCCGCCGGCGTCGGCACTGATGGGAAATCAGCACCAGCAAAACCTCAAAACCGCGTGGACCGCCGTCTCCGTCAGGCGCGGGCACGGCAAGAAATCGCAGCCGCTCAGGAGGAGCAGGAAGAGAACATGGACGAAGAAGTTCAGATTGAGAACTACATCAAGGAAGTAATCGACCGGCCAGAGAACCCGACGGAGGAACTCCCCCACGTGCCGGGCCAGGATATGTCTCTCGAGGCCCTGCGCGCCGACTGGCCCAACACACCTCTTTCGGGCACGGGGTTGACGGAATCCGTCCAGCAGCGCATCGAGTGGCTCGCGCAGCGCATTCCGCACGGATATCAGACGCCCGCGCAGCTCGCGGAGCGGTATTATAAGGGATATTTCACGCGGTTTGAGTCCGAGGCCGAGAAGCAGGAAGTGCTCAAGCTGGCGACCGAGATGGCCAGGAAGAAGGCCGATGAGGCCACGGAGCACAAATACACCGAGGTCACGCCACGGGATATGTCGTTTGAGGACGTCGTGTCGAGGAGCGCAGAGCGTCAGCGTCTTGCGGACACATTTGTCCGTGGCAAATACCCTGAGGTGCAGAAGCAGAAGATGCCGTTCTTGGACCAAATCGTTCGCAATTTGAATAACAACGACACGTACAATGGGAGACAGACGGAAAAGTTCATGGAGATGGTGCAGAAGGTCATGGCAGGGCAGCCGGGAGACCTTCCAAGGATGGGCAAGACCTGAAATGAGTGAACACTGATATTGCGTGGAGTGTATATAGGTATTTCTCGGAAGGGGAGAGAAAAGAAAGATTTGGGGATTGCTAACATGAAACCTCAATAGAGTTAGGCCTAGCAACAATGTCCAAATACAATTTTCGTCGTGGGACGCCGTATTCCTTCCTTTCAAAACCTGGATAGACTATGTGATTGATCAGATTCCCTGAACGAACGAGCAAGCAAAAACACATTTGATTTGAACGATTGTTGCTGCATTGACGAGCTCCAGCATAACTGTCATGATTGATTCGAGAGCGAACCGGACATGCTGACGTCTTGGGACCATAAGCGCGTCTTGAACAAAGCGGACCCCCATGCTGCTTCATCTTTACAAGAGGACACCCTTTGTGGAACTGGTGATTACAAGGAAGGCTATACGCCCACTCGCCTGTCCCGATCGGTTCAAGTTGGCAGATGATACTGTCATGTCCGCCTTCGACTTTGAACTGACTTAGTGGACAAGTTTCCAGAGCTTCTCCATCGCTTTCAAAGAATAAGCTTCTTGCACCTGCAGGAAATAGGTATTGTCCCGCGACGAAAAGGAGAAGGTATATCGACTCCATTCCGTACGGAGCTTGTGCGCAGGGGCATTTAACTAGGTAGCCCACGTCACCAGCGTGGCGTATTGCAGAAGCTCCGATGCGATGGTTTCGCTGGGTCGAACAAAATTGCAAACATGTGCTATTTTGATTATGCCGATGGAAGTGTGACTTGTAAGAACGTTGCATGTCGAGGTAGGCGGGGACGGTGAGGATTGGCGCCACCTGTAAGAATGCGAGAGGGATTTGAGGCTGGGCTCCGAGGCTTTGATCGGCCATGGAAGATACCATCAATTTGTCGCATGGGATCTCGAGTTGTACAGCGCTAAGACGCTGGGTCCGAGGACAAATTCGTAGACACTGTCGATGTGTGTTGTGATACCTGGCGCCACGTAAGGTTCTCACGGCAAGCACCTCTGTTGTGGGAGCGAATGGACTCGTTCTTTTCCACGTACTTTCACGAAGACTTGAAGCTCGAGAAAAGTGAACGCAAGTCGAAGAAATACTTACTAAGCGAGGTAACATCAGGCTCTGTGAATAGAATGAGTAGTGTGTTTAGCCATAGTCCTTTTAGATGGATGTGTAAAAAGATTCAGGAAAAACTCGTGAGAGGATGTGATGCGGCGAAGCAGAAGCGGTTGCCTTAATGGAATTGTTCATTTAATTTGTTAGGCGGGGCCGCTTGAGGAAGATACAGACATTTAGAATAAATCTTCCTCAAGGCAGAGCACCGACAAAAGTTCTTTCCTGCTTGGTATTTTAGTGAAACGAGAGAAAACAATGAGTTGGGGAGCCGAGGCTACCTTTATCCTGATCTGTACAGTTCATCCTGGTGTCTTCAATCTCGCAACCGTGTAAACAGTGACACCGGTGTAGCTTCAGCCATACTAATCTCTTTTTCGGCCGTATCTTGGTGGTGTCTTGCATTGGCGGGTTCGAGTGTGGACATTTATCTCGTGCCAGCGCATATCGGACACCGAAACCTACTCGCAACGAACTGTTCACCAGCTCCTGATAAAACTCTTCCACAGTCCAAGAATGCAAATGTGTCTCCATGATGTATCCGCTCTTTGCAGAGCAAGCACCAGGATCCGTGTGGGGTACGGAATACGTCATTGAACAACCGGAGCGACTATTCATCCCAATAACCCTGGAGTGTACCATACCGTCGTGATTTCGATGTTTTCCAGTTTGTCATAACGGTGGATCAGAACGGCATGGATCAGATTTGATCTAGCATCGTACCTCTGAGAAATGCTCGACAACAAATGCAACATGGATTGGGGACGGTTGAGGTATGACTATTGAAGACGATGTTAGCGGGAAAGCCCATTGAGATCACACAGAATACCAATAATTGACGGAGCTGTGGCAGGCGAGGCAACATCTCGGGATACTTCATCCGCTATCCAGTTTCGATGGATATGACACATATCGAAAGCACTAAGAAGAAACAGCATATCCACATTGCCATGGTGGCCGTACCCTCTTGTCCATAGTGCCATAACCGCCTGGTCAACTCTCCTGAGAAATGAGGACGCGACAGGCGAAACGAAGAGGGCTTGAAGGAAGATTTTTCGATGATGGGCGAGAACATGTCAGGGAAGGCTCGCAACAAAGAACAAGAGAGGAGCGTAGGCTGAGAGAGACGAATATAAAAGGATGTGGTACTAATCTGTCACTAGCCATGGTGTGGATGTTTGTGTAACGTATCGTAAATGAACGTAGGCATTGATATGGAGCGTTGGCATCGTGAATAGAAGACGCTGATATAGGGTGAAAAGAGTATCATGGTAGGATAGTGCGCAGTTTGCATTTTGTTTTTACTGTTTGACGACGCGGCCTCTGTGTTGTAAGTTAGAGCTTTGTAAGACAGTAGCTGCTTGCATCAAAAGCACCAACATCAGTGAGAGCAAGCGCACTGTTGTGTTTCAACTGAGTGTTGAAGAATGGAAAAGGAGTGGACGTCGTGCCCCACTCACAGCCTCACTAACCAGGTCCTGGCACATCCTTCAATCGAATCCCCTTGTCTGATGACGGAATCACTCGCTTGGTCGGATAGAGCACCCGAGAGACAAAATGCCTGAACGACCTCTCATTCCCTTTTTCTTTCCCCTCCATTGACAGACATTGTCACATCAAGCAGCAATGGCGCTTCCACCAAAGTTCTCGGGCCAACTCCTGGCATCCGCCTCGACCGTCGAGGCCAAACATACCATTGAGCTATACTTGGATTATGTCTGTCCGTTCTCCGCCAAAATGTTCAAGACCATCTACACAAAGATTGGTCCTCTCATCGAACAGAAGCACACCTCTCCAGGTGTTCGGGTCATCTTTCGTCAACAGATTCAGCCATGGCATCCCTCTTCCACGCTCGTCCACGAAGCCGGAGCTGCTGTCTTACGAACAGCTCCAAAATCATTCTGGGCATTCTCGGAGAAGCTTTTTGAGGAGCAGAAAGAGTACTTTGATATCAGCGTGGTGAACGAGACCCGGAACAACACCTACAAGAGACTTGCCAAATTGGCTGGATCGATAGAAGGCGTGGACGAGAAGACCATCTTGGATTTATTGCTGATTCCGGAGAAACCCGGAGAGGATGGTGCTCTCAATATTGGCAACAAAGTCACGGATGACGTGAAATTTATGGTCAAGGCGAACCGACTTACTGGTGTCCATGTCACGCCAACAGTACTGTTCAATGGAGTCGAAGAACGCAGCATCAGCTCTGGTTGGACGGTGGAACAATGGGAAGAGTGGCTGGCGAAGAATGTAGTCTGAATGCAGGATCAATCAATATCTGGCCGATATCTGTCTGACGGCGGAGGATGGGATAAGTCTTGCTGATGGATCATGGCATGTGATGCCAGGAAGAGAGTGTGGCCTTGAGCGGCCGTAAAGGATAGAAATACGATCCGAGACCAATAAATTGATGTAGAGAGCTGCTATGGCTATGCTAAACCTGAATGAACATAACAGCTGGTGCCTAAATATTGTTGGCTCCGTGCATTCATTCGTCAGGACATACGGTATCTAAAGTAAGCACGCTCGCTGAATGCGCAATTGAATACACTTCCCGAATAGACAGAAAAAAACGCCATTCCAATGCTGCGCTAGTTGAGTGACTTTGCTGGCGGTCAACTGGGAATCATTGAGTCGGGGGCTGATAACCGATGGGGCGTCTGGGACATATCAGCAACACAGAGGAGTATGGTGACAACATTTAGCAGCCTTACTTGAACAGTAGGATATGTGGTTCCGGTTCATGGACCTCATAATGTTCCCATCCCAAGCTCTAGATTTCGATCAGCTAAATTCTCTCTTTGTTCAGAAATACTCCCCTACCTGAGTGATGCCTAACCCTCTCCACTCCTCTTCCCATAAGAGTTTCAATGTGCCCTTTGAGTCGTCAAAATAATCTCGCGGAATGACCTTCAACATGGCCTTGGGGAGTTGGACATGTCGGTACTCATAATCCGAGTCAGAGTATCTGCAACGCGTCAACCAAGTATCTTGCAAGTCCCTATCTTGAACTACCTTGCCGAGTAACCGATAGAGTCAATGAACTCCTCGAGTCGCGCCCTTTCATTCTCGTGCAATAACCTGGGCTTCTTGTTCCGTCTAGACAAGTCGATGTCGGTCATGGTGCCAGTTTGGCAAATATGAAAATCGGGGGCGGGAACGGAGGCTCCTAATATCGCTGATGGCTTGAGGAGAAGGAAGGACAGTAGATAGCAAGTTCAAGGACCGACAGTGGGGTTGTGACGACGGTAAATGTCAAGTGGAATGGTCTCGTGCTCCGGGTTGGGGGGTCGAGCAACGATGCGAAGGAGGAAATAGGCAAGGCGACCGGCAAGCAAAGCTGGGCGTGTTGAGAGGCTGCTCAGAGCAAGAGAGAGATGGGAACGATGTGGATAGCGCCGGCAGAGTGAATTCTAATGTTTTGAAAAACAAGATCGAGTGTGCGGGAGGATGAACCCTTCAAACACGGTCCCCCCGGTAAACAGAGTTGGACTCTATGGCGGCGAGCAAAACACGAGCCCTATCAGCGCCGTTGTCTCGTGCCAAGGCTCCATACAGTGCAACTTCGGAACAGCTGCCGTATTATGTAATACAACCAATATGACGAAGGCGATCACGTTTTGGAAGGAATCACGTGCGTGTTTTCGCCCTCGTCGCGCTCTGGCTTGAAAGATCTGTACGAAGAGAGAGGATGGAGTAGAGTGCATCCGGCTCCCTCATTGTCCAGTGTGCCTGCAAGTACTTCTATTACGTCTCCTACCTTTGTGGCATTGTATGAGTGCCTTTTGTCCTTGATGGTGACCCCGGCGGCGTCGCGAGACTCCCTTCCCTCCATTGTCGAAAAGTTGAGAGGCCGCGAGGATGAGCTCGAAGCGCAGAAGCGGCCCTGCAGGCTCGCCCGAGGACTTTGCGGCAACGCCAGATCCCAAGCGACGCAAGCGGAACGACGTAAGTGCATCGCGCCCATTTATTTCCTTGTGCCTTTCACTCGCTCCCGCCTCCCAACCATCACTTCAAGTTCGATGTGCACCCCCAGCCCCGCCTACGGGCAGAACGCAACTCATCGGACTGCGCATCGCCATGCCCGCACTTGGCCCGACGCGAATGCACTTGGACAGAATGCATTGCACTCGCAGCATATTGTCTCTCGACCAGGGGTTGCTAATTCTACTGCGGCTAGGACACTCATTTTCCTGAGATCGAAACTCGAGAGACTACCACAGATCTGGGGTTAAAATTGATCAGACAATTAAAGAAATCACAAGACAAGAATGGCCGCAACGTCGCGATCCATTTTACCGATCTCCCAAGTAGGACCGAATACCCTGATTATTACCGGGCGACTGCCATGCCACTGTCCCTGAACATGATAGAACAAAGATTGGAAAATTTCGAGTATGAAAACATGGAACGGCTCGAGTCCGATTTGAAGAGAATGGTCCAAAATGCAAAGGATTACAATCACAGCAAATCACCCATTTTTGAGGACGCCGAACGGATCCGGAAGGCTCTATCAAATTTCATGCCAAAACACAACCCAGCCTATTTGCGTCCCGGCTACCGTGCTTATCCCACTCCTATTCCTCAAGAACTCCTTGATCAACGAAGAGAAACCTCCGCTTCATCAGAGGTAGCTGCCCAGCCTGAAAGGGTCAAGTTAATCTTTTCAAAGACTGCAGCCAGAAGACGTCAGGGTGAGGCTTCACGGTCTGCTCCTGACGAGGTGGAGAAAGACAATATGAAGGAAGACCAGTTGGCTTTTCTCAAGGAACTGTCTGGGCAAGAGGATGCCATGTACCTCACCCCGTAATCAAATGCCTGTCATCACGTGCGCTGACCAGATCTCTAGCAATTTTGAGGAGAAAGTTCCAAAGAAGGACTATCCTGACTATTACAAGTTGATTAAGAAACCCACCTCTATTTCAGATGTGCGAGCCTTGGTAGAGAAAGAATCTGTTCAAGATTGGGACGCTTTGGCACGAGAAGTACGGTTGATCTGGGATAATGCGAAGGAGTACAATCAAGAAGGCTCTGATATCTACATGATGGCACAAAGATTGGAGGTAAGGCGATCGATGGAAAGTTTACAAACGCCTCCGCTAACGCGAAACAAGTCGTGGTCGGAAGAGAGAATGCGATCACTTGGTGCTCAGCCACGACGAAATCTCAAGTTATCTTTATCTCAGCCCAAACCGAAGGCCTTGAGACTGACAATGGGATCTTCGACTCCAACCCCCACTGTCATAGGTGGAACCATCGATAGCGAGTCTCTTAGACGACAGAAGGAGGACATGGGTCAGGCTTTGAGTCGAGCTCAGAGAGCAAATTCCAAAGGCGCTCAAGTCAACGGTTCCACTCCGGTCCCCTCAAGTGCAGCACCCAGCGTTCGACGAAGTGCATCACTCGCAGGGGACAAGCCCGATGTTGTCATGGCCGATGTCAACGGAATCAGTACTCCAAAGCCTCAGGAAGCTGCTCCGGTCTCTCAGCCACCCGGCACAGTTCAATTACCCACCCCTGTCCGAGAAATCGAGCCTTCGGAGCCAGCTGCGCCGCTCGCAAACGGGACTCGTCATCATGAACCGCCAACGCCACAGCCTAGTGTTCATAATGCTTACAATCAATCTCTCATTCCTTATGAGCGTCGATACCGCGACCCAGGCAAAGGTGAGTGTCTTGGGCTTCTACAAATGTCTCCATCTAACCATTGTACCAAGGGGTTGAATCAGCTCTTATCGGTGCTGTCACCTGGATGACCAACCCGGCCTTTGCTCCGGACCCGAAGTGGAAACTAATCCGCTTTGCTTCACCCATCAAGACCCAACAAAGTTTTTTCACCTCTCTTCCTCCAACTTGGAACCATATCCGCGTCATTCCGAACTTGACGGCCGAACTTCGTTCTCGTCGAAGATACAAAATCTTCTTCGTGCACAATGACGTTCACATTTATCGACAGCCAAACTCGACCACAGTACCTGGCGCGTACGAAGTTACCTTGACCCCGGGACAGAATATCTTGACGGTGGAGGTAATCGCGGACCTACACGCTGGTGAGCGGAAGGAATACGCCCCCCCACAACTTCAATTCGATTTCGAAAGAGTACAGATGGTCATTCATTCGGATCTGCAGTCCTAGGTGTCTAGCCAGAAGAGCTCAGATCTTCAATTGTACAACCTTCTTCTGCCGTAGTTGTCACTGGGGGAACAAAAAGGGTTTGGGGGGAGGGGGGATACCTCAACCGTCATTGCCAAAAGGGCACCATGGGAGGAGTTCTGTCTTTTCTCATCTTGTCTCCTCATATGTCTTTCTTGACCTGTTTTGTCCTGCACAGAATCTGTCCTTGGACCAAGGAAGAAAACCATTTGTATAGTAACCCGGACAAATTCGAGCTTGATCCTGAATGGTGACCTGATGATCTTGAAAACAAAGTGGAAAGGAATGAGAGGAGTAGAGCAAAAACATTCTAGCATACTAGTAAGGTCAAGGCGGCGGTGATATCAGTGCTTGTCATGTATTTTAGCATCGAAACGGGAACAAGACGGACAATCAGGGTCCAGAGCATTGCGTCGCAGTTGCTTGGTCTCATGGGCTGAAGAATCAAGATTCAATTCAAGACCCTTGACTTAGATTTGTACGTCGTTTATATTGAACGTTCCTGGATTAGACGCCAACTAAGTATTCCCTCTGTCGAAGTGATGTGATATCTATACATTTAAATTGAAAAACCCATCAAGCGCATGGGCAAACGTCCGCTGCTCCCGTTTCTCTCCCTACCGACTGCCTTTCATGGCAATTTTTCAACTGGCATCTCCGTTTCTGCCCAAGAGCTCCCCAAGCGCACACATCATGAAGACCACAAGCAATACACCCCGAACCAAATTCCATACCTTTCCAAGGGCCTATCCATCTCAATAGAAGAAGGGAGCATCACTTTCCTGATCGAGGACCTGCGACACCCGCACCAATAACACTGGGCAATTCTTGGTTGCCCATGTTATAGAGCATGCTAATGGCACCGGCGATCAATGCAGCCATAACCACGGCGAAACTGGCGAACAGAACAAACGGGACACTGACGTCTTTCTTCTGGCATGCCGCACCACCCCATTGGACCGTTTTCTTCGTACCATCTTCATTCACACGGACAAGGGTCGATTCGCATTTGCATTTGAAGCAGCTGGTGTGCGCCTTGTAACAAGAGCCGTGGCCGGAGCAGAAATTTGTGGTGCTTTCGCATGTCGATTGCGAAGTAAAGCAAGACGGAATCACTGAAGGGAGGGTGAAGTTGGAGCTGGCGGTGGAAGCAGGCACAGCGTCAAAGGGAGGAATCCCGGTTGGTGTTGCGGAAGGGATATCAAGTGGTTCTTCTTCGGACTTCTGCGCGGCACGGGCGCGGTTGTGATGAGCGTGGTTATGAGACGCCTTGGGAAGCTTCGATGGGAGGAGGACGAGGGTAGATTCGACATTGTCGGTGGCGGAGAAGTGTTTGAGGATTCGAATTAGAGGTCCCAAGGAGGCCTGGACGCCAGAGGGGTTTGTAGGGAGGAAGCTGTAGAGGGATAGAATGATGGGGATGTTTGGAACTTCTGAGACCGACATGCATGATGGTTCCTGTAGCAAGAAGTTTAGCTTGTTATCTGGACACGACGATATAAGAGGGCCATACATTTTCCAAAGGATATGAGAAGATGACTTCGACACCTTTGCTCTCTGGCGTGTTCGGATTGAGAGGCACAGTATACTCGCAAATCCCGTCCTTTTCCTTGCGCCCGGGTACGGTTGCAAAATCGGTGAGGAGATCTTTGGTTGGTTCTTGAATCCATAAATCGGGCATAGCAACATCGAATTCAGAGATCTGCATATCGACCCCGGATATCCTGATGAACAGCTTCCCTGGTCCGTCCGTCTTTTGACCGTCTCTGAAGAGAGGCGCCTGATATCCTCCATAAGCGTTGATGTCGTCAAGCATCATTTCATTCGATATTCCCAGGTATCGGTCGGATGTGAGGCCTCTTCTTCTCGCGACGATAGCACTAGCCATCTCGGAATCGATCATGGCGGTCGACGATGAGGTAATAGTCTGGTCGATGGTAAAGAGATATCCACCTTGAGCAGCGACATGTTGCAGAAGTACGGCACTAGACAGAACCGTGGCGAGAAACTTCATGATGGCTGTTGCCAGCTCACGGACGAGCTGTTGATGGTTGCCGGTAGCTGGGTGTGAGGATGTGATACGGTCAATTGTTTCTACCTGGAAGAGAGCCCACCGCGCCAGGGATGTGCACGTGCGAATTCACATGCCTCTCCGGTGGCGTGTTCCAAGATCAAATCCCCTCCAAGATCCCCAGATACTTTCTCCTTCCCCAGACATCATTTCTCTTCGATTTTCCTCCTCCATATAAACCGTTCATCGGCCACCACTCTTGTTTTGGAAGCGACCGGCTTCAAGCTGATTGCCGCCACGTTAGGGTGAGCAAGAGCCGATTCTTTTCGCTACAATGCCCGCAACTGTTATCCCCCGATGTTTCGCTTTCTGTTCCCTAGAGCGCGGACCATTCGCGTACCGCTTAGGAATGGGGACATTACCCTTCAAAGAGTATCGGTGATCAAACGATCAAAGTACGATCAGGACTGTCTAATCAATGACCAGAAGAATACGACTAACCGTGGCAGGCCTGTACTCTCCCGCCTCTTGACCACCTTCTTAACCAGCTACTGCGTAATCAAGACTGCAGGCTATATCTTTCCGCGAGAAGTTGAAGGAAGTCGAAATATCATTGCGTCGGAAGTCGAAAGGCTGAAGAAAGAGGAGCAATCCCAGCCAATTGCATCGCAATGGGGGAAGCACTGGGAGAACGCGCACTCGAAAATACCCAAAAATGAAACATCAAACACAGAACAGGCCTCCGAGTCAAACCTCCCTGAAGACATTCACTTAATGCTCCCAATTTGGGTTCGACGAAAATCAGCCGGCCCGTGGAGCGTCAAACACCCGGACGACAAACTATTTCAAAAATTGCAGCAGGACAAGAAACTTCTACGGGAAGTGAAAATCGAGGTCGCAAAGCTTGTTGTGGACAAAAAATTGAAAAACGATCAATACGACATCTGGTTGAACCAGATTCGCCATAATGGTCAAGTTGGTGTGGCCTTGGAAATGGTTCCGCCCCTTTATCCTCCCGTCGACTATGAAATACCGTGTGTCTGGATTTCCCCGAATGAAGTGAGCTGGGGCTGGCGTCGGTTGCCAGATAACGTTGGAGGCAAAATGGATCGTGTCTTTCACCCTATCATTTTTGCAGAGGCCTTTTATGCCGGACTGAGAGAGTTTGCGAAGGCGTCCTATATCATTACCAAGGCTCGCATCAGTGATCGGTACAACACTCTCATGGATCGGTCCCCTTCCACTAAGAACAAGGCCAATACTGAAACATTGGCCTCCAATCAACCCCACAAAACTCTGACTGCAGACGAAAAGGCACATATGCGTCTACCAGTGACTCGACTCTCCGAGAAAGAGAAGAAGATGTGGCTACCGTTTCTGCAAGGAGAATATGGAGAAGATGCTTCAAGACAGGGTTACCGTGATCTTGTCAAATCAATGACATACCAAGGAGCAATCGAGACTGCTTGTGCAGTTTTTCGCACGAACTGGGTTCGTGGTCAAGCAAACGTAATGCAGGGCCACGTTCGAGGAGCATGTGAAATCAAAGGATATCTTGAGTGTTTTGGGGAAAAGGGCAGACTACATGTTGATGTGACGGCGGTCTACTCCGTCGAAATCAATTCTATCATCGGTTTGCCCGTGGTTACACAAGCCTATGTCATCCCCGATGTTGAGAAATGGTATGAGCAGGAAATTCCCTCGGGGTTAAGCGCGGCGCTTTCTTCGACGGCCTCTCAAATACAGCATCGGCCACCTTTAAAACGACCAAGTCCAAGTTCATCTCCAGAGGCTTCTGCAGCTGAATCATCTACCGGGGAAAAGGATGGAGAGAAATGAAATAAAATGAAGTGAAACGAATGAAACGTTGACATCCCTGGGACAGCCTTGAATTCGCATAGCGAGGTGTTGGATTTGGTTGTTTTTTCTTTTTTGGTTTGCTTTTGCTTTCGGGGATTATGGAAAGAATTTTGGTTCTTGATATTTGGAGAGCCAACAGAGCCAATACAGCACCGGACTTTCGGGCGGTCGTGTATATTGAAGGAAAGAGTGAAGCGTTTCACTTCGGTGCATGGATATCAATTTTCCGATCCTAAGCAGCACTTTTCACTTCCTTTCTTACACCGAATTTCTCTAGCAATGTGTCTCTATTAGCCTCTTCCTTCGACGTCTCTCAATAGCCACATTATCCGAATTTCGCGGATTAAAAGTTATTGGTACCTCGACCGTGTCTTGACTTTTAGTATAGACTACAGTGTCCACCACCAACAAGCAGCTTATCTCCAAAACGATCCGTCCACGGGCACAACAGGCTTGACGGTATCAACGAGCTCGATACCCTTCGGGGTCCTCGTGACTCTCTTTTCAGTGCAATCCCCGCTGTTCTAAAGACAAGGCTGGCACACCAGCTCCAAACGCACTCCGGTCCACTGGGTTGGGGTTTTCTTCGACCTCGCTAGTGCGCTATTTCGCGCCGTATGCCGTGGTCCAGGCACTGGGCGAGCGAAGTTGGGAGTCTTGTTGCATCCATGTTCACGTCTACCCGTTCCACAGTTATTCCGGGCGTCAGAGAAGTGGTAGCGTTGGGACTTATAAAATCGCTTTGGCGGCCTCGACATTGAACATCGCCTCTTTCGAAGCGAATAGGCGCTGTGGGCCGTTCAGTATGGCTATGGCGGGGAACTTGAAGCAAAGTCGCTGTCTTACTCAGGGATGCTGCAGAGGTTTTGCTCTTGTATTCGCATCGCATTGATGGTGAAAGCGAGGATGGCAGAAGCGAGGTAAGGCTAGTCGTAGGCTCGTTGTTGACCACCATAGGAGGGATCTGATATGCTTTCGCCAATATGAAATCAAAGATGATAGACGGGAAGAAAGGGATCTCTGCGAGGCCGAGCCGGTAAGGGGTGGGAGAGAGACATATTGACTTGGACGGCCATAGCTGGCTTGATATATTAGTCGCATACCTTCCCAAAATTGCTTTTCTATACACGAAAGTAATTGGTTTTCCCTTTTTTTCCCTGTTTTGTCACTTCACCCATCCAAGCTCTTAACAGCCTGTTCATAGACTCTCTTACACTCCTCCTGGCCTTTCTTGACGACATCTTCCATCTGTTTATGCGATTTTCTCAACTCATCCGCCACGACCAACTTCTCCAACTCCATCTTCCTATGGCGTTTCTGCGCATCACCTCTTGCATTGCGGAGTTCCTGACTAGCACGGTCGAAGACCTTTTTGGCCTCCGCGCGCGCTTGTGCCCGTGTTTCAGCTGTCGCGGGTGGAACAGGGATGATGATACATAATGGGTTGTGTTCGTCGTGTTGCGGGACGAGGCTGTACGGGCTCGCTTGGATCGCGGATGTGATGGGTTTCACGTGCTAAAATGCCCCAAAATAAATTACCATAAGTCAGGTACAAGTACATTTGTTATACGGTCGAAAACAGGGGATTGTGTAGGATGGCGGAGGGTAAAGGATGGATGATTACATACCGCCTCCTCAGCGCAAAAGACCTGTGCCATTCGTCCACCTTTTTGCACCACGGAAGCGAGATCTCGGATCTTCAATTTCTCCTTATGCGCAGGACCGCCGTGTGCATCGTGACCTTTGACGTTGATTTCGACCGGTAATGCTTCGATCATCTCTGGGGTAATTCGGCCTGCATCGCGGGTTTTGACTAGCGCATCTTTCAGGCGGGCAATAGCCTTTGCAATACCGGCATTCAGGTCCGTGAAGTCGTAAGGGTCGATTTCTTTGTCTTTGCCATGTGTGGCGGCATGGTCGGGGATACGGGTCTCTTTGTCCTTGGGTGATGCTACTTCAGGAGACTTCCGGGAGGATTTGGATGAGGAGGACGATTTTTTGCCAAGCGGCGAGGTGGTGCTGAAGGCGTGGAGATGTGGTTTTTGTGGTTTGAGGTGGTTTGTTCGAGTTAATGGATAGAGAGACAGATTGCGGCATTGCAGGCAGAGGAAGAGGGATTGTCGGGAAGTTCGTTGTAGACGGGACGCAGAGAAAGTTTGGTAGAGAAATTGGACGGCAGCGTCTCGTGAAGGCATGTCCAACCTTTCTCTCTGCCTGGTTGCGGGATGAACTGCGGGAGATTATTTTTTGTGATCGTTATGGAGTTCCAAGTTCGAAGCTTCATAGTGGAGCTGGTGGAGCTCAAGCCGGGCGACAAGGCTGAGGATTTGCTCCTATCTGGGATTACATAACTCGGCATGGCCAAATACCGAATTTTACCAGGCCAAGTTCTTCAACAATGAATGGCGAGTATCGAGCAGAGAGACCGAGAGAATCTCTCTTCCTCTGTGTGTACGTCAGGATTAAAAGTAATATGGCCATATAGCGAGGCTTAGCTGCTGTGCAGAGTCGCAAGACAATTCGATCCCGTACTTGGAACGTTTCAACGAGATTTTCATTCTGTAAAGCCGGGGGGAAATTGCCACTCTATCTACAACGGTAACAACTTTTTCCTTCAGTCTTTTTGGGTCGAATCACCATGCAAGTGACTCCGAGAAAGTAACCGAAATGACGCCAGCCACGTTTCAAAATGCGATGCAAATTCGTGAGTATGAATGGCGTTGCAAGAGGAGTATTCTCGAAGCCTCATCTAGGACGAGTAACACTGTGTTGAAGAATGTTTGGAGGACCCTAATCCAATGGCGTTGGGTCGTCTATGATTATCTCGTAGCCATAGCCTTGGTCATGGCCCTTTTCAAGGCCAATTCTTTTTTCTTCAGGTCATCAGGAGACGAGTCTTCAACCTCGAGTTGTTGCATGGCATCACTAAGGGCCTCCTCAATCTTGGCCTTGTTTCCACGCTTCATCTTCATTGATAAGCCAGGATCCGAGATTAACTCCTCAACACGGCCGATATATGACTCGAGTTGTTGCTTGGCCTCAAATTTCTTGGTGAAGGCTTCGTCGCTAGTCTTGAATTTGGCAGCATCTTCAACCATCTTTTCGATTTCAGAGGTAGAGAGCTTGCCGACGGCATTGGAGATGGTAATGTTGGCACTTCGGCCGGATGATTTCTCGGTTGCTGTGACCTTGAGGATGCCATTGACGTCAACTTCGAAAACCACCTCGAGGGCTGCGTCACCCGCTTTCATGGGTGGGATAGGAGCAAGAGTGAATTCACCAAGGGAAGTGTTGTCCTCACAATTCGTTCGTTCACCTTGATAGACAGGGAATTGAACGGTTTGCTGGTTGTCGACAACAGTAGTAAAAGTTCGCTTCTTGATGGTAGGGACGGTTTGACCACGAGGAACGACAGGGGCGAAAATATTGCCTTCCATAGCGACACCAAGGGAGAGAGGGACGACATCGAGCAAGAGGAGGTCAGCGGTTTCGGCGGAAGCAGCCTTGCCGGAAAGAATACCAGCTTGGACAGCAGCGCCGTAAGCAACGGCTTCATCAGGGTTGATGCTCTATCAGAATGTCAGCATAGAATAAAGGTCCCCGGTAGTTCACGCACCTTCTCCAACTTCTTGCCATCGAAGAAATCGCTGAGAAGTTTTTGAATACGAGGAATACGAGTAGAGCCCCCAACGAGGACAATTTCGTCCACCTTGGACTTGTCAATGTTGGCGTCTTTGAGGACTTGTTGGACGGGCTCCAGGGTTCCACTGAAAGCCTTTGCATTGAGGTCTTCGAAACGAGCACGGGTGATCTGGGCGTGGAAGTCTTCGCCGTCGAAAAGTGAATCAATCTCGATCGTAGTTTGAGTACCGTTAGACAACGTTCTCTTCGCGCGTTCGCAAGCAGTACGAAGTCTCCGGAGAGCACGAGAGTCCCCAGAAAGATCTTTCTTGGTCTTTCTTTGGAACTCCTTCTTGAAATGCTCAAGGAGGTTGGTATCGAAATCCTGTCCTCCCAGGTGGGTATCACCTGCGGTAGCCTTGACAGTGAAAACACCACCTTGAATGTTCAAGAGGGAGACATCGAAAGTGCCACCACCGAGATCATAGATCAGAACGTTTCGTTCCTTGTCAGACTTGCCAGAACCGAGACCGTAGGCAATAGCAGCCGCGGTAGGCTCGTTGATGATGCGGAGAACGTTGAGACCGGCAATGGCACCGGCATCCTTGGTGGCTTGTCTTTGATTGTCGTTGAAGTAGGCGGGAACAGTGATAACAGCCTTGGAGACCTTTTTGCCGAGTTTGGTTTCTGCGACTTCCTTCATCTATGCCAGACATGAGTATCTCGTCGTGAATTCCGAGACAGGATCACCCCACCTTCATGAGTACCATGGAGGAGATTTCTTGTGGAGAGAAGGTCTTGGTCTCCTTCAAGTATTCAACTTGCACCATGGGATTGCCACCCTGATCAACAACCTTGAATGGCCATGATTCAATATCCTTCTTGACAGTCGGATCATCGAATCGTCGCCCGATCAGTCGCCTGCGGCCCAATCAGCCTCATGTTCGGAATGTTCCAGCAGTATTAGACATACTTGACATCGAAGATGGTATTCGCGGGATTCATGGCCGCCTGATTCTTCGCAGCCTCGCCAATGAGACGTTCTTCATCGGTGAAGGAGACGAACGAAGGGGTAGTGAAGCTTCCTTGCTCGTTGGCGACTGAGAGGACAGTGAGTACGCGATTTATGTGGATGACAGGGTGAGGAGGATAGACATACTGATCTCGACATTTGTGCCCTCGTAGTTGGCAACGCAGGAGTAGGTAGTACCTAATATATTTGTTAGCCGAACGCCGACGACGGGGAGGGTTAGTAGATCCAAACCATACCGAGATCGATGCCGATGGCACCTTCGTAAACCTCGTCCGACATGATTAAGGTGCGCAAAGGACTTCTTCCGGCCGACTTTATGGAAGAGAAGGTGAGGAATTACAAGCATCCAACCAGTCCGCCCGCGAAACTTTTGAGCGGCCACACAATTTTCAGAAACACTAAAAATTTTGGCCAAGACCTTTTACGAGCCTGTCGGCCGACTGAATCCGGATTATGTAATGAGGTACCTAGGCCTATGCTCCTAGACTTGGCTCAGGGACTGCTCAGGCTCGGCGCACCCAAGGGGGCCTTGCTAGACGTCGTCAACCAAGTGGCCATGAGGGCGGCAGCAACAAGAGGGATTCAAAGTCAAAATAGGCACTACAACGCCAGGAAAGTCTCGCAAAGTGTGAATCGAGCGACAACGAGGTAAAGAGCCCTCAAATGACCAAGCTATGTGAGCGCCTCAAATTTTGATGTTTTGGTACCTCGATTGTGTGGCTTTACCAGGGTTTTCCAAGTACCTTTCCATCCTGCGGACAACGCTCGCACAACTAGGCTAAATTGATGCTTAGACAACTCTCTGTTGTCCGAAACTCTCTGCCAAGAGTCTCTCTCCCGAGAGGCTCCCATAATCTGACGTAAACGGTATCCCACACTCTACTGGTTATTTAGCATCCACGAGAGTGCAACCTACTTAATGGGAACTGAATTGCAAAATGATACGCTCCTTCCCATATGAATACGTTCGTGGCCCATTAAAAAATAGGCTACCGTTCTGTCAGACTGGGTGCAACTTGAGATGTCCTGAATGCTCTAAGACATGAAAGAGTGCTCTGACTCTTCCAACGAGTGTGGGATAGAGCCCATCTATATATCTATCTACGTGGTGTACTTTGGCGCTGTTGCCTGTCAATGGTGTTGCAGGCTAGTGAGTGAGTGTTATAGAATGAGTGGGTCTGCCATGTCACCACGTGTTCAACAGGGAACCTCTCGGGAGAGAGACTCTTGGCAGAGAGTTGCGTACCACAGAGAGTTGTCTAAGCACTAATTGAGTCAAGGTGTGCGAGCGCTGTCCGCACGATGGAAAGGTACTTGGAAAACCCTAGTAAAGCCACACAATCGAGGTACCAAAACATCAAAATTAAGGCGCTCACATAGCTTGGTCATTTGTGGGCTCTTTACCTCGTTGTCGCTCGATTCATAGACTTTCCTGGCGTTGTAGTGCCTATTTTGACTTTGAACCCTCTTGTTGCTACCGCCCTCATGGCCACTTCCTTCGTCTAGCCAGCCCCAGATTACTCCTCTCTTATAGCGCCTACCAATTAACACTCCTGAAAGACCCCGACCGCGTCGATCGCCCTCTCCTGAGACCTCGCCAATCGAGATTCCGGCGTCTACAGCACCTCCAGCACTGGCAGGAGGTAGAGGCAAGAGAATACGCACTCACACTGCGAGATACAATCAGGCAAAAGAGCAGGAATTCGTTCAGGACTCACAGGAAGCTCACAGGGCGTCAGGAAGGCCGTAAAGGGGGTCGGCAACGAGGCCATGAGGCGACAGGAGGACTACAGACGCGACAGACAGGCTACACAGGCGACAGAGGGGTCTGCCACGCCACAACACTAAAATTGAGTGCAAAAGGGCGTGCAAAGGCGAGTGCGAAAGACTCTGTCAAAAGGGTTCAACGACGTCGTTGAAAGAGCGCCAAAAAGCGCCCAACTATACGAAGGAGGCAAAGTGGATGGAAAGGTACCTATAACCCCCCCATTTTACTGGGGATTTGAGGTACCTTTCCATCCTGTGGACAACCCTCGCACAACTAGACTCAATTGGTGTTTAGGCAACTCTCTGTGGTACGCAACTCTCTGCCAAGAGTCTCTCTCCCGAGACATTCCCGTTCAACACGTTCCTTCCGTTCCACGGTTCGCCCACCATTTTCACTTTCTAAATCTGAATCCAAAACAAAGATGTCCGCCACCACTACCCAGCCCAAGAATACGAATCTATCTCGGAGGTCGAGATGAGCTCACCCGTCAGGTTGCCCTCCACAATTCTCTGCAGACAAATTAAGGAGACCGACCCGTATAGAATCGAACTGCTTTGGCGAGAAGTCATGGCACCCAAGACCCCTTCATACGCACGCCAGACGAGATCTAGCAACTTAAAGAGTCGGAATCCCTCAAACACGCCTGGTCAGATAGAAGAGACTGTGACAAATGAGACTTCGAACATTTTCTCGACACCTATCTCTAACAAAGATAGTCTCAGAAAGCAGACAGTCAAAAATGCCACAGTCCGAGACGTTGACTTCGAAGAGACTCAGTTGATTCCGCGCGGAGTTGAGATGCTCCATTCACATCAGAACATCGTGATAGGAGCTCACGCCTATTTCGACTCGGACACACCTCCGGACCAGCCAAATCACGCGAATTCTACCTATCCATCATTCATACAGCCCTTGCAGGAAGAGCTGAACGGGACATAAACAATTCGGTATTCCTCCCCATGCACGCCAACTTTATCAAGTCTCTGCACAGGGCGTATCACAGAATGGGAGATGCATACGTTTCGGAATCTGAGTTCAAGGTATTTGCTTGGCAGAATCTATTCATCGGGCAGCACGTGGTCTTAATGGATGATACTGAAAGACAGCTTTGCGTTGTACGACTGGTGGAAATATCGCTCAAGCCTTGTGAAAGTTACAACGGACCTATGTGGTTTGAACCTCCACTCCTCTCCTTGAATCAGCCTCCTCTCTCGAATCAGCCGCCTCCCAAACCCTTTGGCTTCGACATTTCCTCCGACAGTCAATTCTGGCTTCCCAACAAGATTATAAATGCCAATTATCGAAGGTATACCAAGTCAGCCGTGCATTGCAAGACCTGGGGTACATTTTGTCCCTATTTATCGATCGAGTTCAAAGCCACAACCGATGACTGGCGCGTCGTGAGGAACCAAATGGCTGCCGCTGGCCTGATTTCCTTGTTCAACCGATACCAGTTGAAGCTCGAGGCCGCTCTTCAGCCTACTCCGGAGCAATTGAGATTGGTTCGTCATTACGGATTGACGATGGAGAGAGAACTTTGGGCAATATGGGTCTTTGAACCAAAAACAGCTGATGGGGCATGGGCTGGCTGCACAATACGAATGCCTGAAGCTGGGTCTTGTCTAGACGAAGGAGACATTGTGGGATTACTTCAACGGATCAACGAAATTCATCGATGGGGTCTTTCTGAGTACGCTCTCGGATGTGAGGAGGATATCAAACAGATTCTGAGCAGCGGTACCAACAACCTCAGAATCTCTACGATAGGGTCCTGAGGGAGTGGGATCGATGACAGATGTCAAAGAGCAGATTTCCGGCGTACTGTATCGTCAATGGCAGAACTCTACCAACATGGGAACATACTTTGGAGCGATGTCGAAAATGGCGGGCTGCTGCGACTTTTTTTTTTTTCTTTTTTTTAAAGCGTAATATCGTTACCGGGAAATCTGCCTCACATGATCAGCCGGCGCCCTTCCAGTCCACCCTTCCGCGGCCCTCTACACCCTTAGGAAATTGTTGAACGGTTGGACAGTAGCGAGAGCCCTTTCCCGGGAATATGGTTATCACTTCTATGTAGGATATAGGGGTAGGAATAGGAGAAGAAAAGGAGTCAACAAAACGTGTATAAATATTAGTAACCTGGTAGAACCAGTGGCTAAAGAGCAGAGCATTCAATTCATATTCTCTTGACATTCATTGTTTGACAGAAATCTATGGCGCTTCTGTTGTCCTGAATAAGCTCTTAAATGAACCCTCGGCAAGGATGGTACTTCCGTTGCCCCGAACAAGCCCTTAGAAAACACTGGGAAAGTGATGATATTTCCGTTGTCCCGTATGCCGTACAACAGCGTAGCACATAGCCCGACCCACCATTAGCCGTTGCCAGTCCCACAATGTGTTCCCCCGATCCCGCCACAACCCTTGCGATCTCCCTACTCAACGTTCTCCCAGAAGTAGTCCGCCCAGGTCGCAAGATCCACGACATTAAAGACGACGTCGCCTTCTGGCGGTACAGGGGCTCGGAGGATGATTTTGTCAAATTCGAGAATCAGAGGCGCTCCAGCAACGTCATAGGCTGAGACAGTGCCTGGCTGAACGGTGACAATAGGCTGACCGATGGTATTCGACTGAGCAGTAGGGCTTAGTTGTGGAGTGGGATTTTGGGTGATAGTAAGCTCTTGGACTTTTGTCGGAATTGGAGCGTTGGGACTTGGGTGGCTTCTGGTGGCTGGTCTATTTGCAGAAGGCGGAGAAGAGCACCACTTTTCGACCGTTAGCGTCTTCTGTGCTAGCTTTATTGAGATGATGATGGCAATCTTGACATCTCCTCCAGAGTTGACAATCCACCAAGCTGCGTCATGTCTCAGACGAGTAAGCGTTTCAGGGAGTCCAGACTCAAAAACAATTGTTGGCCAGTCAGATTTCTTTTTTCGGATCGGGACGGGGCGGAATCCCATATCACCCTCTTTAGAGGAATTAGGGAGTTTGTACGTTGTCCCACCAACAGGACATAAGCACTCTTCTGGAAGGCCCATTCTAGGAAATGCGCGATCTAGTTTCCGGGTTAGTGTGAGGTGCACAACTTCATGTTCCGCTGAGGGCATCAGCTTGATAACTAATAGATTGTTATCCGCGTAGTGGCTCATCCGAGTATGATTCCCTATGCAGGCGTGCTGATGGTCAATTTTTTCAAGGTGGCCTTTTGTGACACCCCTGAAAACAAGGTACTGCTGATTCGTGTGACCGTCCATCAACGCAGCGGACTGCGAGTTGACACGTTCTTTTAGATCTCGGATCCCTTTGTATACATAGATACGAGCGTCTTCTAATCCTTCTAAGGGCGACATCTTCGGTGCTGAACTCTCCACTCGCATAGTCTCTTTTGATGTAGCTGTGCTTGAGGATGACCTTGACACGGGTGTATATGTAGGTCCTCTATCGCTGGGTCCGCAAATTGTATTCATGTTGAAGTTCGAAGGCCGGAAGGCGCAATGTTGAAGGAGTAGAAAAAGCTGGTAGAAGAATTAGACAGGGAAAGTTGTTGATGAATCAGGCCTGTACTGAGGCGAGAGGTGGGTGCACTGAGGTAGGAGAGATTATGAACTGTATGGAGAGAAGATTGATTGATTGATTTATCTCAAAGCACACTCTGATGAATGTCAACATAAGTAGGTGGAAAGGGTTGAGGGTATAAGTTGCCTCAGGTGTCACTATAGAGTGATAATGCCAAGCCAGTCGCGGTGACAACGCCAAGCCAGCCGTGGTGACATGTCAAGACAGAATTGCCTATTCTGGCCAACAATGAACGCTTAAGTAGCCCTTCAGTCGAGAGAAGCAATAGGTGAAAGCGGGTATATAAGTGTCACTCTCGAGGCTGTGAGACTTGGTGCGTCAGCCAAGTGCTCACGTGAGAATGAAGACGCCGTAATGAGATGCGTAGCGAAGCCCTGCCCGCGACCTAGGGATCGATTTTGTTCACGTGACCTAAACCGTCTCTGATTGGCCTGTCGTGACAAGCGCAGAGAGGAGGGCTCGACAGCAGGACCTTCGTCTACATATGGTCCACGGACTGGATCCGATGGGGGACATCGTACGGTATAGGACATGGTGATCAACATTGTCTACATAGGGTCCATGGACTGGATCCGATCAGGGCGGTCTGGTATACAAAGGCGGCATTCTACCCATTCCTGGGTGGGCCGTGGATTGGATCCGATGGGGCCAGCCAATTAGTAGTATAGGATTACGTAATACTCGGATTATAGATTTTCCTAAATGCCGAGGGTTGCTTATCACGTGATACGAGAGGCCCGAGGGTGTGATTTCACGGAGGACTTAGTTGGCATTCGAAGAGGTCCGAGGGACCGTCTGACTATATAGTATCTGAGGGTTACTAGCGTGCTTCGAAGACCCCTGGTCATTACAAGCCTTGGCAGACCTCGAAAAGGGTCACGTGGGCCACCCATAGTCACAAGGGTTGGCCCACGGACTGGATCCGATGGGGCCAGCCAATCAGAGCGAAGGATTTGGTGGTTTCGGATTATAGATTTTCCGGATCCCGATAGTTTGGCAATCACGTGATGTCTCGGGCGCAGCGAGCTTGGGGGTTTGGGGGCTTGCCCCCAAAAGACAAAAGCTACGCTTTCACCCCCGCGGAATATCCTAGTAGATTTTTTGGATTACGTGTGGTTTGCCAACTACGTGATGCCAAAGGCTTGGCAATGTCGAACGCAGTGAGGGGGGCTAGCACGCAAATACAGAAGCTACCGCTTTACCTCCCGTAAATATCCTATCCGGGGCCCCTAGTTAAATTTGGAATCACCTGCTTGTGGCTTGGCGTTGCGTGGCGACGCCAAGACCATTGTGTTGGCCAATCACGTTGGCAAATGGCTTTGGCACCTGACTTGATCACGTGATAAAATGGGCACTCCCCATTGCCGCCTGTCATCGGATCCAATCCGTGGACAATGTGGCCAGGGAGCACCCTACTCGATAGATGTCGATATCCTCGATATCGAGATGGGCCATGGATCGGATCCAGTCTGTGGACCACCTTAGATATGCTCTACTAATCACAATCGGGGGATGGCTCGTATAGAACGTTAACGGATAGTAATTGGTCATTTCACATAGTTACCGAAATTTTATATGGGTCATTTGATTAATCGTATTGCATTGATGTTGGCCACGGGCCCGTTATTGACCCAGACCCTTCTGCGAAGGTTCCCCCACAGGGGCGATTAGTGCCTTGGCAGATGGTCGTGGGTGCCGAGACAAACTGCTAAACTTCTTTATCTCGCTCATTCTAACGTGTCTCTATTTTTACGAGCTGCACCGAGAAGGCCTCTGCAGCACAGCCGCTAAGAGCTTCAATACTTTTCCCAGCCCATCCATCTAGAGCTCTTGGAACCCGATGAATACAAATGACTTAGACTCATTGTTGACGACGACTAGAGGCCTTATAACTACTCGAAATGGCCATAGACCACCCGGGCTTCCATTTCCAGGATATCCCGGCAGCAAGGGAATTATGTACTTCTGTAAGTGGCTTTCCAAAAGCCTATGTGATATGCATATCCCTTGTTGGATAGAAGATGGTTCATTCTGACGCGTTCCTATCTGAAAAAGGCGTTGTAAGCTGCCTCGGCGTCTATGCAGCGTGGCATTGGAGTACGGGAAACCTACAATCTCAGACCCATGGTTTATGGAAAACGCAACCTAGCCCTGAGCAGAGGAAAATATTCGATATCTTAACCAAACACTTCACTCTCAAACTGGATGATGTGAAGCAGGAAAGATGGTGGACCCTGATCACCCCAGCATTTAGCCACATCCAATCCGACCACATCTTCGGAAATCTGCTCGCTTTTTCCACCTTTTCGAGAATGTTACTTACATGCGGGATTGGTCCTCTACGTTATGGGTTGCTGATTCTGGGCTCCGCTGTTTCGGGACATTTGGCATTCTTGTACCAAGCTTCCCTGCGACAGCCTAGAGGGTGGGCTTTTTTCACGCAGCGCGCAGAGCTACAGGCACTTGGCTTGTCGGGCGTAGTCATGGGTCTGGGTGTTGCCGTATCGCTAGCAGCGCCTAGGGCTAAGATTCTCGTCTTCGGCGCAGTCCCAATGCCAGTCTGGCTGCTGATGGTGCTGTACATTGTCTACGACTCTGCGGGACTAGAGGATCCAACCTCGACGGTCGGACACGCAGCGCATCTCGGCGGAGCTGCCTTCGGAGCCGCCTTCTATCTACTGGCGCTGCGGAACAACGCGGCGCTTCCATTTTCCTGGCTTTTGAAGAATTGAGACAGTGTGTTAAAGGATCAGCCTAGGCTATACGCACTTCATCAGCTCGGATGACGTGATATAGGTCTGCCTAGTCGAGTAGGATTATGTCAGCTCAGAAGATGATAAATGGAGACAGGACGTATTCCTATTATATCTACTAAGAAGTCTCAAAATTCAAGCACCGTTAGGGGAGATCCGCACACTGTATCTGAGGACATGGGATGGTCATAATCCCGGACACGACCCGAGCAAAACCCACACTGTATAAACGCTTCGCAGTCGATCTCAGCGGTTAGAAATAGGCCAATAGCCGTTGACTTGCTCTTTCTCGAGAGAGCATGGGAAGTCTTCCTATATTTTCCACAGCCAAGAATAGTCTTGTTCGAGTACACCAAGGGGAATCGTTAGAATAAATAGATTGAACTCTCTCTAGCGACCACGCTGGCGGCGGCACGAACCGCCAATGCCAGGACAGATGATAGCCGCATTTGGCCTTCGCTGAAACTTAGCGTGAATTTGGGTGCGGTGTCAATGGGCCAAGGTCGGCCCCTCTTGTACAGTAGCTCAGTGTGCTGCTCAGGGAGCGCTTGGTGAGGTTCAGCTAATGCCTCAGATGAAGCTCAGGTTAAAGCGGCCTTCGCTCATCCTCTAGATTCAAACCGCATATGGCAATTAGGTTTTCGCTCGCGAGTAATTCAGGTACATTGAAGGTTGTCACGGGGGCCACCATAGTATATCCATGTAACGGGTACCCACACGTACATAGTGCAATATTCCAATACCGGCATGATGACTGGGACAATATTCTCACAAAGATTATTCATCGACTTCGTTTTCCTATCGTTCAAAGATCCCTTCTGCGGGAAGACCTGTCCCTCATCTCTCTGCTATTCCATCATCGGGAGTGCTCCGTTGGATATCGCCAGGGGAGTATGTATCATTGCGATGCCTTGAAGGTAACCTCCGAAGCAAACGCAGTGAATAGATGATAGCTCGTAATTCTCGTGAAACCAGGGCATGCCACTTTGCATTAGCAATATCGAAAGTTGTCCGAGCCTTAATCTGTAGAGGCGACTTCGATGACAAGGCAACCATCTCGTTCATCTTCGGAAGCAGATTAGGTAGCTTCTGCAGCCTCCAACATCGGTTTGACGTCAGCATACTGCCTTAGACCGGATCAGTGGGCTGGGGAATGTTGCTCGGATGGTAGCGCGGACTTTTGCGTCGCAGTAGTGGACAAATCATGATACATCTTCAACGCCCTTTTGCGTTAATCCAGGACACCACTTTCTCGCAACCCTGCCAGCAATTCTGGCTCCAAGAATCTCTTGACATCCACATCCTCACTTAAGCCTTTTCTTCGCCTTGTCTTGAGTACAAAGTCTCTCGCTGCTTGCTGGGGTCCTGCCATCTCGAGGGGTCTCACACGAATACTCTTGTCCAATGGATCTCCAGGAACCACATCCCAACGATCGAAAACAAGCGAGACACTGGCGGCTCCTTGACTGTGGATGCGAAGGTCCGTCTCGAAGCCAAAGCTGTCGATCACTGGAAGAAGTGCTTTTGCAGCATAGAGGGGCGTACCCGCCACGGGTCCATCAGATACCACGTGCCCTCGTCTTTTCATCAGCACTGTGTAAAGTCCCGAGATGGAATCTGCGGGTCCCGTCATATGAACACTATAAATCGGTTCCATAAGCCGCGGACCAGCCATCAGGAAGGAGCTGTAGACCGCACGTCGAGAAGTAGGGATAATCTGGCCGCCACCTCGGAAAATAGGCTCAGGAGCCAGTTCAGCTCCCGTGACACGGAATTTGGCATTACGAATGGGCTCTTCGCATAATGGACCTTCACGTGTGCCCCAGGCAAATCCTTGTTTGATGCTTTCTTGAACCGATTTCAGGAGTTTCTTGTCGGTTGTTGACGGCAAGGTGTCGTCACAAAGAATATTCGGGCCCATTTCCTCTGGACCAAATGCCCATATAGATCTGGCCGCCAATTTGTCCCACTCGTACTTTTCCTCAAAGAAGTGGGCCACTTTCCTGATGGGGTCCCGAATCTGAACAACTCCAGCTTCAATATCCTCGGCGATTCCATCATCAAGCGGCTCAGCGATCATGGTCAGCTTGTTTTTTTTGTTGGGGGTTAAGGCGTAACACATGATGGCGCTAGTCTCGGTGACGGTTTCACAGAATCGAGTAACCGGATCTGACACTTTGATATCCATTTCTGCGTACAAGGTTCGGAGATCATGTAGCACACAGTCCATGTATAGCTCACCTGTGCCGAGAACAACATGTTCGCCTGATTCTTCGACCTTGGTGGTGATGAGGGGATAAGACTTGTTGATTTTTCGTAGGCCCTCGAGCATCTTGGGAAGTTCAGATGGATTGACCGGCTCAACGGCGACTTTGAATACAGACTCGGTAAAGTGCCGAATCGGTCGAAAAATATATGCATCCTCGTCATTTGGAAACGTTTCGGCGATCACAGTTGCCGTTTTGACGATCGAATTGTCAATTCCAGAAAGGAGAACGAGATTCCCGGCAGGCACTCCCGAAACAGGAATATTGTATCGAGAGCATCCGAGATAAACGCCAGTTACTGTTGCCTTTGCCGAGTCCTCTTCATCTTCGAGGCTGTATGACTCTCCGAGAACTCGAACCGGCTGGTCAGATGAAACTGTACCGGACATGATGCGACCAAAGGCCTGGAATGATTTCGCATCTGGCGAGGTGAAGAGTTTTGTGACGTGAACAACGAGGGGACCGTCCGAGTCGCATTTTGATATGGCCTCGCCGACGATTGAATCTAGGGGGCCCGTGTAGTATTTTTCAAGTGTCCTCTTCGCTCCGTCCACAGGGGACGGAAGGTGTTGGACGATCATATCGACAAAGCCACTCGCAGGCCCAAAGAATTGCGCGCAGACTAACTGGAGCAACACTTTTGCATCGGACTTGAGCTGTGAAGGCTTCAAAGTTATTCCCAGGGTGTTCAGAATCGGACCAAGGTCCTCTGGACTCTCGCTGATGGTATGAGAGTATAGTTTGTAAATAGGTTCGAGCACAAAATTCACAAAGGATCGTTTTGAGCCCTCCTCCACTCCCTTTCTAGTGAATTTGCGACTCCGAGGGTTGAAGAAAATGTCGCCCCACAACCGTCTGGAAAACTCGGACGCATCGACTTTCGGATAGGTCTCGGCATACATCTTTGCAAATGACGGAAGTGTGAAAATCCAGTCCATTGATGTACAAGCAAAAGCAACATTCCCCTTTTCAGGTGACAGCCTCCTCTTTTCTCCTCGTCCAGGTATCGTGTTCTCAATGACGGTATTGACTTCCTCAACCACGTGCTTCAGCTTGAAATAAGCGTCTGCGGGGGGAATTTTCAGCTCAAGGATCAATCGATCCATCTTGTTTATGACCAGGACCATCGGCAGATCTTCTAACACCGCATGCTTGATCACTTGTTCAGTATTAACCTGAACACCTTCAACCACATCTACCAGGAGGACGACTCCATCAGCCAATCTAAGACTTGACGCCACCTCGTCCACAAAGTTGACATGTCCAGGAGTGTCGATGATATTGAGAATGTGTGACTTTCCTCGTGTGCCTTGCATGGTGAGGCTGATCGGAGCGGCCTTGATGGAAACCCCTCGTTCTCGTTCTAGGAAATGCGTATCTGTGTATCTGAGTTGCTCGTCTCTTCTCCTGCCGATTCTCTTGTCAAGTCTCTCTTGTAGGTCATGTGTCTGCATCACCAACATATCCACAAAGGCGGTCTTCCCATGGTGTAGATGTCCTGCCACTGCAATGTTTCTGATCCCATCTGGAAAGCTGAGAAGATCCGTCATGAACTCTCTTGAATAGGAGACCGGAGGAAGTTCTGCCTCCTGGACTTGGAATTTCTTTTGGGCGACTGGTGCGATAATCGGCTGTGCGAGTGGTTGCGCATCTTCTTCTTGGACCAGAGTCTCGACATCCTCCCCGTAGACCTGTTGCGCCGTGGGGTAATACTGCTTATCTTCGTGTAATATGACAGCATTTGAGGGTCCTTCGTCATCCACGTCCATTAACTGGTCATCCTGAGGTTGCTGATCTGGTTCCGAGTCCTCATCGTAAACATAGTTTTGACCAGCATCGCCATCCTGGGTGCCCTCGTCGTCGGAGACAGCTTCGCCAATGAAGTTGCCGAATCTATCCGTTTAGTTAGCACCTGCGCATGTTGAAGGATTTGAGAACAATTTCTTTACTCATCGTAGAGGTCATCCATGTTGGGCGATGTATTTCTGGCCCTTGAGAAATCCTAGCGCAAAAGTGAAATTCTGAAAGTTGAACAAACAATCCTATGCTCTACGGCGGAGCACGCTATGGCGGCTTTCGATTTGTACTCCGCTGGAATTCTTCTTTGCAGCCTCGCCAAGCCTGGGGCCTATTATTTCCGTGGTTGTAGCCAGAACATATGGGTAATTATGAATAAGTACCTAGTCTACTTGCCAATGGTATCTACTGTTTTCCTTTCCAAATCCTTGTTCGTCGAGAGTCGTATAGGTCTGAACTGTGCTTTTGAACGGAACCACAAGGACCCTCTCACACTGCTTGGGTGCATCTCTTTTCAAAGCCGGTGAAACTCCATTACTTCCCCTAGTTTGCTTTACTATCCCGTCTTGTTGTAGGTCGCTCACATCAAAGACTCGATGACCAGAGCGCTGGCTCCACCACCACCGTTGCAAATACCAGCGCATCCAACTTTGCCTTTCTTTGCTTTCAAAACGCCGAGCAACGTAGTCACAATTCTGGCTCCAGAAGCCCCCAAAGGGTGTCCAATTGCCACGGCTCCGCCATGAACATTGACCTTATCCGCAGTCAGACCCAGCAACTTCACGTTGGCCAGAGCCACAACGCTGAAGGCTTCGTTGATTTCGAAGGCATCGACATCTTCTTGTTTGATGCCGGCATGTTGAAGGGCTTTGGGAATTGCCAGGGCGGGAGCAGTAGTGAATCTGCGCGGCTGATCGGCGGCGTCACCCCAGCCCAAAATCTTGGCCAGGGGCTTGATGTGAAGTTCCTTCAACTTTGCTTCGGAGATGAGCACTACTGCGGCACCGCCATCGTTGAGAGGTGATGCGTTGGGAGCAGTAACCGTGCCCTTGTCAGGGATGAATGCGGGTTTCATGGAGCGAAGCTTCTCAATGTTGAGGTTCTTGGGCTCGTCATCTTTGTCAACCGTGACACCTGGTTTCCCACGTGCACCTGGTAGCTGAATAGGAGCAATCTCGAAGTTGAAGAGCCCATCTTTCTGAGCAGCCTGCGCTCGCTGGTATGATTGAATCGCGTAGTCATCCTGTTGTTCTCGGTTGAAATCATGATCTCGGGCGCATTCCTCTCCCTGGAGACCCATGTGCTCTTGCTTGCCATATGCATCAGTCAGACCATCCCTTAGAACCCCATCAACTAGAGTCTGGTTTCCAAATTTGGCCCCGGTTCGCATGTTCGGAAGGTAGTGAGGGCAATTGGACATGGACTCCGCTCCACCGGCGACGACGATGTCCGCATTTCCAGTCATGATGGTTTGCGCACCGAGAATGATAGCCTTGAGGCCTGATGCGCAGACCTTGTTGATGGTCGTGCAAACAGTAGAGTTCTCGAGGCCAGCCCCGAGCGCGCATTGACGAGCAGGATTTTGTCCGAGACTGGAGGTGAGTTAGACCGGGTCGATTTAGGACTGTGAGGAACAGGTGTACTTTGCGGATAAGACATTCCCAAAGAAGACTTCTTGCACATCTTGTGGTTTGATCTCCGGTACTCTTTCTAGGGCCGCTATGTTCTGGTTAGGAGCCGTTCACAAAGCGGTGAGGAGAGCCAGACATTTGATGGCATGGGAACCGAGCTGAGTAGCAGTCAGAGAAGATAATGACCTATTTCCAATCAGTTTCCCAGAGATTCATGGAGAGATCAACTATTGAACGGACCCCAGGAATGATCCTACTGGCGTTCTTGCAGCAGCAACAATGTAGACGGGAGGGAGCAAAGTGTTCTGGCGGGGAACACCATTGACGCCGTTCGTGGAGGCCATGATGTCTTCGGAAGGGAAAGGTCGGGGAGGAAGAGCACGGCGATGGAGGAGGATTATATGGCGAGTGCTCAATCGGTGAAAATAGTAATCATTCAGCGGTGAGAGGGCGATCTTGAGGAAATGTTGTTTTGCTCAAGGCCTGCTTGGGAATGGCGAGGCTGCTCCCCCAAAAAATTGGGGTGCGGAGAGAAAAAAGAACAATCGTGCCACCCGGAAGCCGCCTGAGATATGTGATCACGTGTTGATAAGAGATAGCAGTTTTATGTAGAGTCGCGCCGATGTCGATCTTGTCGATATGGTCGCGGGAATCGCATATCGCATCTGAAGGTCGCATCGGATGGAATCAACTGATGCTGCCAATAATGATGGCAGGTGGTGCATCATATAATGCTGAAAGGATGGCCCGGAAGATGACAACGAACCTTGAGCCAATGTCCTGGTTGAAAGGCTATGCAGAGAGTATGCCCGATTTGTATTGATGGAACCACCTCTCAATGTTACTGTCGCTAACTCTCCGTCTATCAAAATAACTCCAGAAGGTCAAAGTCCAAGATCTGGTGGCAATGGCAAAAAAATACCGCGAAACATTTATATACCAGCTCACCTTTCTCCCCCTTTTGAATCTTCCCCTCCTCTCTCGGATCACACGTTGGCATTGTATGATTACATCCCGGTAAGTTGGGAAAGCCCCTTGATGCTGAAAAAGACAGGCATCGAGGAGCTGGATCGGGCTTTTTACCCTCTTGCGGTTGACATGGTTCTAGAAATCCCTCTTCAATGTCCGATTTGCCTCCGACTCTGCCTTCAACCGTGTGTGTAATGCAGTCTCATTTGGAGCCATGACTGGTTTCACCATCACGGGGGCCCATCTATGATACATCCGACGTCGAAGAAAATGTCAAAGCATTTCGAGCCATGAGCGTCGTCCTGATGGGATCCGGACCCGCATTGATAGCATAGTATGGCGTTGTTCCACAGTACATCTGGGAGTATCAAAACACCTGCCTGCCTCTACTAGCCACAAGGCCATACCATTGATTGCGACAATGATATATCTGGGTATCTTTTTCGGGTTTGGCGTCGGCAGAGAAGACGATTCCGAGGCCGAATCGACAGCGGCCCAGGACGTATATCGCCTGATATGTCGTTGCATGTACGGAAGCCGCTACTATAATCGCCATCTCCTACATGCGGAGAGCTGTCAGCTTCAACCGGATACACCTGGTCGAAAGAGTTGGCCTATTGGCAATGATCATCATGGGTGAGGGTATCATTGAAATGACAAAGTCCGTACTGCAAGGACATTACGGGCTCTGATGTTAGAGTGGTTATGCCGTTAGGTGTACTGATTGTATAAGATCACCTCCCGAACACGCGACATGAAACCAATGACTGCAGCGTTTCGTATGGGTCTTATACTTTGACCAACCTAAACATAGTCGCTCCGGCACTATTCGCCAACAGATTTGACCCATTCTTCACTATGGCTTGCACGTTGCAATTCTTTTCACAATCGAAGGAAGTACTGCATTGATACTGTGGAATATCATTATACGATACACGTGGGTCCTTTTCCCTTCCCATGATTAAGTGACAATATTTGGATAGAAAATCTACATCACTACTGTCCGACAGTTGTTTCCGAATACTAGAGAGCCTGCAAACGCTTATACCAGCCCTGCCTTATTTGGGATGCCTCCTGCGAAACTCCTCCTTCCTTTGGATCCATGGGGTCTTTAATTCAGCGGTTGGAGACTGAGGTTGAACCGATTGAAGGGCTCTTCAAACACGGCCAGCTCGAAGAACCGTACCACTACCATCAAAACCTGACTCCTCTCCAAAATAGGTGCGCCGTTAGGTTCTTCAAACTTGCAAGCAGAGGTAAATTCTAATCGCATCAGACATCTACACCGGGATTATCCAATGCCATCTTTGAACGTTTCGGAATTGAAGCTCCAGAATCTGATGGTCAGGAGGCTGGCAGTGCCATTGAGGAAAAGCTCGATGCCCTGGTAAACGTCTTCGGTACAGTCTTCGCCTATTTTACATTGCTGCTGATGCCTTTCTCTTGATACTTGGCGTGATGAATTGGTTTGGGAAGACTAAGGACCTGGCCGGATGTCTTTCAATTTCTGATGAGAGCTGTGATTGGGATATGTATTGCAATGTTCTGTCTATTCAGCTTCTTTCAAAACGGAGCACAACCTGGCTTCATATCGAGTTCACGGCCGCTCCGCATGGTCACGCTTGCCCCTTCATTGGTAATGTGATGGACGAGATTCTCTATGTTCCGAGTTTACATCCCTTCAGTCATCATCCGAGCCAATTTACTTATCAGGCATCATGACCGGAAGATTGAGAAGCAAAACAGGAAGAGTCTTCCTGATTTCGAAAATTCTTCCCAGAGCCAATACACAACACCCATGGTCCATGATACCAATGAATCGATTCCTCTTGAACATCAATCCACGAGAAGTTCCTGTCATATTAAGGCGGACACCAAACGAAGGAAGAACGGGGGGAAGTGTGTTGATGCTCCCTCCATTAACATTAGGATGAGTATCCGTACCCTCGACCATAGAGGGCTGCACTAGATACCAAATTCGCAAACTCACTCGTGCTTGACATCAACCTTTGCCTGAGCCACTTCGGTGAAGCCCTTCTTTGGGGCACGAATCTTCAACAAACCAGCCTCGAGAGTCACACTGACATTCTCCACATCGGTGGGAAAGTTGATGTATCGTCTGAACGGACCGATTCTTCTCTCACCCACCAGCAAGTGCGTTCCGCCCGCATGAGGGTCGTCTTTCTCTTCCTCCACCTCGACATTTTCTGGACTTCCATAATCTGGTCGCGAAACGCTCCCGGTAAGGAGCAACGATCTAGATCCCGTCCACGACACGGTGACTTCGCTGGGCTTTTTGATTCCCGGCACTTCGATATCAACCAAGTACTCCTTGATAGCGTCGCGGAAATCCACATCAGGTTGGTTTGGGTGATCTTCGGGTCTGGGATGTCGATGAGCCAGATGTTGCATGAAACTTTGATGTTGATGGGTTCGCTCATGAAGATGGTCCACCAACGGTGGTGGGAGATCGTAGTAATATGCGTACGCCATGGCGTCGAAGACGTTCTTTCCTGTACCTATGGTGGACAAATTGTATGGGACTGTTAATTAGAGGAGGGGTTTTCAGGGAGACCCTGGTGGATTTATAAAGAGGGGTATGGCCTTTTGGTTTAGTTAGATGTTCGCCTGCGATTGGAGCAGATTTGCTGGCAGCGGTGTTCGACCGGAGTTTAGTTGTTCGCCTGTGTTTCTTTGTTTCCTGGAGAATGATTTCAAGAAGGTCGGCAGGGAACTCGGCGAATGCATACATGGATATATAATATTTCTGTCCCAGCCCTTATCTCTCCGATCTGTATCATTCTCCTCCCGTGGGCGCAACCCGGAGAGCTCCAAGCTGCAAGCTACCTGAATAATAGCTCCCCTGGTCCCAGACCAAAATTCGGGACCCGCCTGAAGGAATGAGGGCTTTTTCCCCTTCAAAATCCCCTGTTCCTCGGTCCTTCCTGGCCCTGCGGCAGTGAATGATCGCATGACCCAGAGAACCTATTAGCTTGTGCTCGTCTGCGTCGCCCGAGGTTCGAGAGGCATCAGCTCCCCAAATGAGCTCATTCTGTCTTGCCGTAATCGACCGACAGGAAGCTTATTAGCTGTGGTGTACCTACCTTTCCGACAAACCACGTGGAGCAAAAAAAGCTAATGGGCGCAATCAATTGGATGGACTGTGCTTGACTGTGAAAACCTCGGAATCACCTCATCAGGAGAGGAGGGTTACTAAATACGTAGAAGTGGTTCGACGTGGCAAGTCCCTATGCTGCTTGTTACGCAATATATGTAAGTTGATTACGTGTGTGACAGCGCCCAATGGCTCGTGTAAGGTGGCGGAGAAAAAAAGACATTACAAGGGCTAGTAAAAGTGCCTTGTATTAATACGAGGCTAGTATTTTATTACTCTTGGCTGAGTCATCTGCTTCGACGCTCACGTGAGGAGCCGTGCATCCCAGGTCAAGGCAAACCATTTCACTGGCCTCAGATTACATGGCGCGACGGTATCAGAGCAAGTTGTGGTTCATTAGGAGAACTGTCAGTCAGGTAGTGAAGGGGGAAGGAAATGAGAGCAGCAGGCGGGAATCAGGGGCAATGAATACTCTTGCTTGTCGCAGAACGAGGCATATGATTAGGTCCATGGCGTGGGCATTGCATCTGCGTGATACACCTGCAACATCCATAGAAACATGTTGAGCCTTGCATATTCGCCCAGATCCTAGAAAGTTGAATGGTTTCGTACCGAATCTTCAAAGGCGGCGTGACTTTTTCTCTTAGATAGAGTCTTGGCAGGTTCAGTCATAAAAAGTGGTGTTACTTTTGACCACCTCCTTTTCTCCTGTCTTCCACCGCCTTGGAACAACTCGAATGGCTCCAACGTATTCATTCAGCCTTATTTCCGTCATCTGACTCTTCGGTGGTGATATCTCGAACCTCAATATTCTGAGGAATATCTGTATCCGCCCCCTTGTTCGACTCGTGAACACCTTCACTTAGCTAATATGGAACATTCGAGCTGAGCGGAGTTCTACACAGAATCAACCAGAACCAGTCGATCAAGGTAGGTCGGCTCGAGCAGGGGGGCCGAAGGGGGTTAAGTATTTATGAATACCCGTTCGCTTCTGCCATCTCTTTTTATTCGATCAAGCTTTTAGTCTCCACAAATCCGATACCATTGCAACGCACACCACTGAGCATCGTCGGCAACGCCCGATTGAAAACTCGAATCAACACCAACGCAACCCAGAACATCCCAGAATGGCGACCCTCGAATGTCTTCGCCACCCCCACCATATCTCCCTGGTGGACACCCACTCTCTCCGCGCAAAGTTCAACCATGCAGGAGATGCTTATTATAACATCGATGGCATGCCCTCACACCACGGAGTGATGGCCCCCAAATTCGATGTTTATGAAATGCCAAGTGAAGAATGGCTCATTGTGGGCGACGTTCCAGGTCTCACAACGGAAGGTGCTGAGATTGAATGGCTTGAGGAATCTACCGTCTTCATTCGTGGAAAACTCAACAGCTCGACCATGACAACTTTGACCGAGACAGAGGGATTGGGCCTAATCAACCCAGCAATACTGAAGCCTCTTCATAAGGAAAGGCATGAGGGCTCCTTTGAACGCTCGGTCACACTCCCTGGAAAGGCAGATATCAAAGGTGCAAAGGTTATGGTAAAGAACGGTGTGATCTTTGTTAGGATCCCGAAGAAAGTGGAAACGACAGCAACGGAGTAGAAGAGAGGGATATTGATACATGCCAAGGAATCGGGAGGGAGAGAGATGGAAACAGACCACTTGCTCTCGGGAATGGGCTCTATGAACCCGAATAATGAGCCGGTAGAGATGCCAACGGTGTCTACCTAATGATAATGATTTCCTGCGTCTCCACTATCGGGCAATAAATACTCTAAGCTCCCAGCAAGACCGCTGCAACAGCAACACAATCTCTCATTTCCTTTGTCCCACCACTGATGTCTCTCTTGTTTCATTCTGCTGCCATGAAAGCAAACCAGGGGAATGCCCTGCCGACCGTTGCAGGCTGACCAGAATCAGGCCTCAAAGGCAGATGCAACGGTGCCCAATAGATGCCCATGGGGTGATAGGCGGGAGAATTTAGACGATCGGCGGTGCTAATACTGGAGCTAGCACCAAGAAGGACAGGCGGCACTTAGCGGCCCCTAGCGGCTGTTAACAGTACTCGTGCCAGCAATTCTGCTAATTATGGGCAAGTCTGCTCATCTGACAACGTTCAAGCCACCCAGGGCCACGGTATTGTCCTTCCAATCTTCATCACACCGTCTTCATCCATTGTCGGCAGGGCCGTCTTACCATTGTCAACTTCGTTCTCACTCGTCTCCTCGCTGATTATTCTCTCTCTCTCACACACAAATCCTACTCCCTCTCCTAGCTGTACCTGTCGGCTCTTGCCCCCGACCGACTCGCCTCAGTCGCCCGTCGCGTTGCCGTGCATGGAATCTCGTCAGGCACCGTCTGAGAAGACCTCGGAATTATTGCAATCATTGCGCCGCTAGGCTACCTTGATTTTGAAATCCCGGAGCTGACCTGCAACGTTGACCGAACCTCCAAATCACCACGCCTAACACCTTCCTCGTCTCATTGTCCTGTCCCTCTGAAGTCGTGTGCTACATGGATGGTGTCTGTCCCCGCAAAAGAGAGGTCTGACGCTTTCGCACCAAAAAAGAAACCTTCAAAACTCATCGATCACAAAACTGCGTTTGGAATTAGGCGCCAACATTGAGTGAAAGAGAGCCGATGGTGACGAATGGTTACCTAGCTATTTCACACACGTACATGCAACGCACCCTGATCAAGGATTGAAGATGGCGACTCCGCTAGATGAGCTGCGTCAGGGAAACCCTGGAACAACAAGATACATCATTGGCGCTTCTCGAAACCAAAATCAGAACGAGCCCAGCCAGCAGACATCGTCAATGGGTCAATTCAATCAATACGGACAACCAAATCAGGCGAATGGGAACTCGAATGATGCACAATATGACAGTGATGCCAGATATTCCACGGATAGTCGAACTGGGAGAAAGAGATCGCTTGGCGGTCCGGGCGCGAGCGAGAGGAGCAGATCAAGAACAAATGGCAGTACGGGCAAGTCATCAAATACCGCGGTCCGGACCTGTAAAAAGTGCGGCGAGGCATTGACAGGTCAATTTGTTCGCGCGCTGGGTGGGACATATCATTTGGACTGCTTCAAATGCGCGGATTGTGGACAAATCGTTGCCTCTAAGTTCTTCCCTGTCGATGCTGAAGATGGATCCGGACAATTTCCGCTCTGCGAAACAGACTACTTTCGGCGCCTGGATCTGTTGTGCTTTGAATGTGGTGGTGCTCTGCGTGGGTCGTATATCACAGCACTTGATCGCAAATACCATATCGAGCACTTTACTTGTTCAGTCTGTCCAACCGTGTTTGGAGCGCAAGACAGCTACTATGAGCATGATGGAAAAGTTTATTGTCACTATCACTATTCGACACAATTTGCACAGCGGTGCAATGGGTGTCAGACTGCTATTCTGAAACAATTTGTCGAGATCTTTCGCAATGGACAAAATCAACATTGGCATCCTGAATGCTACATGATTCACAAGTTCTGGAATGTCCGCCTGGCACAAAGTGGTCAAGAAGCGGACAAGAAAGACGTCAATGCGCCTGTCACAGAGGATGAGCGGGAACAAGTCAAAGAAGATGAAGAGAAAATGGAGGATAAAGTCTACCGCATCTGGAGTACCCTCTCTACTTTTGAAGAGTCATCCGCTTCTTGCATCTCTGATATGCTTCTGCATGTTAGCAATGGCGTTTATGTCGACGGAGTCATTGTTGCCCGGAAATTCATCTGGCATGTCGACATTCTCTTTGGAGCGATCGATTCTCTTGCAGCTTTGGTTGTCAATGCTGGACTCAGGGAACTTGCCTATGGTCGAGAAGCGAAACTTCTTTGCAAGAAAGTGGTGGCTTTTTTCACACTGCTCTCCAAAACTCAAGAAACAGGCGTCCGCAAACTTGGAGTTACTCAAGAGCTCTTGTCTTTGGTTACTGGTCTGGCCCACTATCTAAAACTCCTTATTCGAATTGGTCTCCAAGGAGCCTTGAAACTGGAACGCGAACGAGGATCCCCCGAAGGCCTCCACGCCTTTTTGGATGAACTGGCCGACCTTGAGACCATCAAAGAGCAAGAGATGAAGTCACTTGATCTAACAGAAAGTGTGGCGGGGCTGGCAAGCCAGGAGTCCGATTGCTGCTCGTCATGTCTCGAACCCATCGACGACGAATGCGTTATGATCTATGGTCGGCGCTGGCACGCAAAGCCACCCCATCTTACCTGCAGTGTCTGCCAACGGGATTTGACCAATATCCTCTCCGATGCGGTTTACAGCGAAAGGGAAGAGAAGGTTTACTGTGTTGACCATTCTAGACGAGTGCCAGATACGGTCGCAGGGTTCTCACACGTCACGAAACTACAGCAATATGTCTTTCTTCTCCGCGTGGCGTTGGCCAGATTGCTGGAAGTCCTCAAGTCTGGCGGTACTTTGCCACACACTTCGGATGATCCAAATCTGACACCGTACAACACTACCGAAGGTCATCGTGTCTCGCCGACGGGTGAACAAATCAACCCACATCAGAAGATGGGATCACGATCGCGATCTTATGCTGGTGCCTCCAGTCAACAGGAGTCTTCGCTGGAGCAAACGGTTGGTGAAATGAAGCGACTTAGATCCACCCGAAATGAACGTACTCTCTCTACAACCTTCCGAAAGGCTCGTGAGTCGAAGGTTCTTTACGGACCAACAGGTGTACGCCCAGGATCTGCAGGCGCAGATGACCAGGATGGCAGGAACCGTGGTGGGTTTCAGATCGTTGAAGAGCGAGATCTCGATGGTAAAATGCGACCAGAGTTGACTTTTGGCAACCAAGATGGCCTCACCCTTGACGATATTCCGAGAATTGTTGCTGCTGAGCAAGCGAAAGAGCAAAGACCCAATGCATTTCGACATGCCGGTACCAACCTCATTGGACGCCGAGGCAATGAACCCAGATTGGTTAATGGCCATCAACGGGGCACCTCTGGTGGCAATGACCTCTTGTCGGGCGAACCCAATCCTCTTCGCACCAAACGATACTTTTCGGAGCTGTCTGCTCTTGAATATTTCATTGTTCGACATGTCGCGGTTCTCTCGATGCAACCTCTCTTGGAAGGTGAATACACTCTCGAAGATTTACTGGGCTTGATCGAAACGAGAAAGCAAACTTTCTGGGGCAAGGTCAGTCGGGCACTTCGCAACGACGGAAAGACCAAGAAGAAAGGTATCTTTGGCGTCCCCTTGGAGACACTCGTCGAACGCGAAGGTGCTGAGTCCACCAATGGTGTTGGTCCTGGTGCCTTGAGAGTTCCGGCCATCGTCGATGACTGTGTCTCGGCCATGAAGCAAATGGACATGTCTGTCGAAGGAGTCTTCCGAAAGAACGGCAATATCAAACGACTTAAAGAAGCGACTGAAATGATCGACGCCAATCAAACACCGGACCTCAGTCGCGAAAACCCTGTTCAAATCGCCGCCTTGCTCAAGAAATTCTTAAGAGACATGCCAGATCCGTTGTTGACCTTCAAACTGCAAAAGCTATTCATCATATCTCAAAAGATCAGCGACGAAGAGCGCCGAAGAAGAGTCCTTCACCTCACGTGTTGCTTGATGCCGAAGAGTCACCGGGATACCATGGAGGTTTTGTTCTCTTTCCTCAAATGGACAGCGTCATTTTCGCAGGTCGATGAAGAATCAGGAAGCAAGATGGACATACACAATTTGGCGACTGTCATGGCACCAAACATTCTGTATGCGAAGGAGAAGACACAGAATGCCAGACAACCTCAAGTGCCACAAGTCGACGACAGCTTCCTTGCAATTGAAGCGGTCAATACCTTGATCGAGTACAATGACTACTTTTGCCAGGTAAGAATTAAAAGCATTTCCGTCAGTTCTCCCAGACATTACATATTGACGAATGCAGGTCCCCGAAGATTTGCAGTCGATTCTCATCGATACTAGCCTCCATGTCGGATCTGCAGAGCTTACCACGAAGGAAATTCTATCGAGATATGGTCACATTGCAAAAGGTCAAGTGCAGAAGCAATCAGTGCAGGCACCTGATGCTCCTGCTCGTAGCCCAGTCTCTGCTTCGAACTCGATTGGCCCTGTTGCAACACGTGTTGATGTCGACCCATACCAAGCCACTGCGTGGCAAAAGCAGAGTTCCGTCAGACCTGTGCAAAATATGGCTTCATCTATCTCTGCTCCAACGAACGAATTTGCCTTCAGCGCTCCAAACAGTCCATATGCTCGAAACCGAGCAGGGAGTTCCGGCAGCGCAGGCAGCCATACCGGTACCCCATCTGGACGACAAAGTTATCAACTAAAACCGGCCGGTCAAATGGGAGTTACAGGTTGACCAAGCATTTCTTCAACGAAAACAATCTTCAGCATATTGTGGTGTTTTTGTCCTCATTTGCTTACGATGGGGGTATCTCAGGAACAACCCGATGTGCTTTGAAGCTGGAAACACAAAAAGTGGATCATGAAAATGGTCGCTTACACAATTTCAACGAAGCTGACGACAACCAAACTATTTTCTTTTGTTCATGTATCAAAGAGCTTGAATGGATCAGGTTCTTTTTTTTTTTTTTTTTTTTCAATTGCATTCAAACTAGCATATGCAGGGCTTTTTGCGACCTCGAATTCAATTCTTCGAAATGCTATGATCAGTTTACACAGACAGCTTTACGCTTCCTGCTTTCATCATCTGGCTCCGGCGAGTTACCTTTCTTCACGCCATGCGGATTTTGCGTTTGTAAAGCAAATTCGTGTTTTTCCTCCTCCGTGTTGTCTCTGTACGCACGATACTTCTTTCTACGCTCCTCGGATCCAGATCCACACCACTTCAGTTGGAATGTGGTCGGCCGACGTAGCGTATCGTTTATGGGGGTTGAATAATTGGTTCAGGATTTGGGAGCAAGGTTGGTATTGGCGTCGGGATCGAAAGGGGCGAGAGTTACATATACTCCGGGCTACGGCGGTTTCGGGCTTGAAGAAAGAGCATTGGATAAGCGAACTGTCTCAACAATGGCCAATCGAGTTATTTGCGATGTGACGGATTATAGTCGCAGAGAGAAACAAATCAAGCAGAACGGACAAGGACGAACGGAAATTGGCGACCGATCACGGCGTTTTCATGCTCTATTCAGAGCAACGAATGGATGCGCGGGGAGGAGAGAACCACTCATCGTATACGTCGTCTCGTGCGTCATTAGCTGCCGACCGAAAAGAGATACGGAAAGGAAACACAGGAGCCAGTCGAGTTGGAATCTATCTGTACTCTTCCATGTTTTCTTTTTCTTTTTTCTTTTTTTTTTTTTTTTTTCCCTTCACCTTCTTGGGCTAGGCTGGGCTGGGCTTGAACTTGAAATTGGAATTGGAACTGGAAAGGAATTAAAAACTTGAATGGGAGCTGAGCAGGGTGGAGCAAAGGACAGCAATGCAGACCGGAACAAGCAGAGAAGGTCAACGCAAATATGCGTGCTATGCATGTAGCCAAGGAGCACTAATACTACTGCGAAAATGGCCTCGCCTCTTCTTTTTCTTCTACCAAGCTACTGCAATGCTTGCTAGCTTGCCAGTCTATGTCTGTGTCAGAAGTCAGAAAGGAAAATCAACTCAGATGACAGATAGCTACCTAGATACTAGTAGCTGGTCAAGCTAGTCAGGCTGGTCGAGCTAGAGATCAATTCAATGACCGTTGAATCTACGTCTTTTGCTGCTCCTGCCATTGGTCTCTAGGATCTTGTCCATAACTCTACCTAACCGCTCCACCGCGTCGTCTGTGATCTGATAGTGCACGACCAAGCGGCCACCGCGGGCTTTCAGGCCCTCGCTGGCAGCGAGCTCCGCGAATTGATCGGCGCTATACCCTTCGTGCGCCAGGTCGAGCCAGACCATGTTGGTCTCGACGGGGTTCGACAACTGGCCGCCTTTGCTCGTCCAGAGGTCCGCAACCTTGCGAGCGCGCGCATGACTGGCACGCAGCTGGCCGCCTTCTCCTCGCGGCCCTTTGCCAAAGCCCTCGTCGACAGCGACGCGTGCTGCAGCCGAGATGACGCCCGCCTGCCTTGTTCCGCCTCCGATCATCTTTCGGATCCGTCGGGCGTGGGCGATGAAGGATTTTGAGCCCACGATGATGCTCCCGATTGGTGCGCCGAGGCCTTTCGAGAAACACATACTCACGCTGTCGAAGCAGGTGGTGAACTCGGGGAGACTGCCTGCGTCCGCGGAGACGGCTTCCCAGATTCGCGCTCCGTCCAGGTGCATCTTGATGCCGTGCAGGCGGGCAAAGGCGGAGATTTGGCGCACTTCGTCCAGTGGCATAATCATGCCGTCGAGCGTATTTTCAAGCGAGATGACGCGGGTCGGGCACGCGTGCACGTCGTCGGAGACGATGACGTGCTTCTTCACGTCCTCGAGAGTCAGGTGGTGGCCGTTCGATGGGCGGACAGGGATCAGCATGGCGTTGGAAAGTGAGGAGGCGCCTCCGGCTTCATATTGGATGACATGCGAGCGATAGTCGCAGAGGACAGAGTGTGGTGGTTGTATCAAATGAGTTCGGAGTGAGACCTGGTTGCCCATCGTGCCGGACATGACGAGTAGGCCGGCATCGTGGCCAGAGAGGGAGGCGATGGATGCTTCGAGATCGTTGGTCGTGGGATCTTCGCGAAAGACGTCGTCGAGGAGTGTCGTGTTGACGATGGCTTCGAGCATTGATGCTGTGGGCGTGGTCATCACGTCGCTGCGGAAGTCATAGGCTGCCGGGCCCGGTTGCTGCCAGGCATTGGCTTTTTGGTGTGATACTGATGGGGCTGTAGCGGTGCCGTTTGTAGAGCCAGCGTCGACCGACGAGGAGGTCATCGTTCTGCTATTGCTACCAATGGCGGGGTATGTGAAAGATAATACTTTTGCTCGATTGACAGGAAAAATCGATGAGGTATATGAGGTGGTTTTGCATCCACTGGTTTTGATTGCTGCTACTATCCTGTATCTAAGTACAAGCATTGCTGGGTATGGTAGCATAACAGGAATGTAGAAGCTAGAGAAGACGTGCTATCGACCCCCATACTGTCGAAAGGTGTATGTAGAAAATCAGTGTGGATCGGTGATGTGCGATAGTCCAGTGGCACAGCTAATAGTTAGTGGTAGTTTGTGCGTACGAATTTGTACGTACACTCGACAAGGGTAACTTTCGTTAGCAGGGAGCTATATCACGTGGCTATCGGCAGCCTATCGTTATAGGGTCAATAGGCTTTGCCTTTAACTAATTTCTAGGGATTATTTACCTATAACTGTACCCATCGTTCTCTTACTTAGGCAGCACCAATAATTAAGATTTTGGGGGCCACTTGGCTAGGCTTCAGCTATCGGCGCCTGGAACTACAGGACCAGATCACGTGCTACTTGTGCAGAGCTAACGAAAGTTCCAAGACGCGTCCGAGGCAAAAACGCAGGGGGTTCGGTCAATATTCAACCACGCGTCTTAGTCCAGTCCCGGTTCGCGGTTGGACTTGACTTTCTGGCCCTGAGCGCATTTTGAGTCGCGGAGGAAACAATCAACAGAATGTCCTATCTTGCCCATTCATACACTCACACAATCCAACGTACATAATTCATCCGGAATGGCGTCGTCCTCACGGCGAGCGTCCCAGATTCCTTCATCCACTGTCTATCTGCACTGTTCTCAATGCAACAGTCAAATTGGCATTTTCGAAAATGAATGGACCCGCTTGACCTCCTCCTACGTCCTTTCTGTACATCCAGGCACACATTTCGGGACCGAAGTCGCCCACAAAACCAAAGTCGTACCGGAAGGCGTATCACAGCGAGCGGTCGAAGGATGTACCTTAGCAGAGGTCTTCTGCAAGAAATGCTCTGCGGCGGTGGGCCAGTATTGCAAAGCCACTGCGACGTCCGCACAGAGGGCTTTGGTGTAAGCATCCCTTTTGGGACAAAGACGACAAGTCGACCGCTGATTCTCTACAGTGACCAGTATCTTTACAAACTGTCAAAGACATACCTGAAGGACTCCGAGACGAGCGATCTTGTAGACCCTGTATTCGGCTTCGGAGGGGATTTTATGCGGCCTGGTCCCAGACCCAGCACAATTCCTCGCCCAAGTCTTTCTGCTGGTTCTAGGTGGTCGCAGACTCCTCTACACACCAACGAGATACCTTCCTATCTCCAGTCGCTCGCCGCATCGCAACTTCATACCAATGCGCCTACCCCATTGCCTAGTGCAGGCTATGCTGAACCCCAGGACCCAGTTTGGCTGAAAATCAAATCTCAGGAAAAGAAGATCGCTGCACAGGAGGAAAGGATACAACAGCAAGAGATCCAAATAAAACTTGTCGCTTCTCTTCTTGGTGCTTTTCAGCAGACTTTGGATGATGTGAAGAGTTCCATCCGTGAGTTGAAATCTCAGAATGCAGCGTCTCGTTTCGAGCCTGGAGGTCAGAATGACTTTGTCGGCAGCTTGGAGTCTATGGTCGAGGGAATGAGAAATGCACAATCAAGTGACCGCGAATGTCAAGAACTTCGCGCTGAAAACGCCGCTATGAAAGCCAGACTTGAGAGTGTTGCTTCAGCCGTGAGTATATCGGCAGGAGACTTCCCCCAAATTGGCGGGACTGCCTCCGACGCAAAGAGCTCGAATGTGCTGGGCAAACGCAAGCGAAACACAAGTCTTTCTAGGTCAGGCGCCACTCAGCCGCCCCCGATAGGTGGTCGAAATGGATTTCAGTTGGGCCAAAATAAGTCTTTGACACAGATCCCAACTCCGCAGTCTAGCCATACTTCCGACCAGGATGCATCCACTACTTCAAGAAACGTGTCGCCTGAGGAACACCGCGGAACTCTGTCGCAGGAAGACTGGCAATGCAGCAATGGGCCTCCAGAACAAGATGGAGGGTCCACCGGCGAAGCAACCTCCACGCTTGAGCAGCATCGTGACTGGGACCGAATCAAGAGAAATAATCCCGCTCCTTCTTTGACGGGCAGACTCTCCCAAGTTTCAGCTTCTGAATTGGTCAGATCATTGTTGCAGGGACCATCCAATCCGATCGGCCAGGAAAAATTAGTACCACGAGGATCAACCCAGGATGATGACAATCAAAATTTGTCATTTGATGATACGACACGAACATTTCCAGACAAGACACCACCGCAAGAGACCAATGCCAAGGCTCCTCTCAGGACTGAGCCCGAACATGTCATCGGCAATCAAAAGGGTATGCATATGGAAGTGGATTTGGCGGCAGCTTCAGGATTGCGTCGGTCAATGGGTGACAATGTCGAATTCAGCGATGACGACTACGGAGATACACCTAACACATACGACAACGAAAGACATCGACAAGGTCCAAATCTAACGCAACCCACATGGCCGTCTGTGGTGGAACAAGCTTCTCATCGATCAGCCCCAAACAAGAGATATCGCTCGAACACTAATGGTACTTCAAGTAGATTCACTGATTTTGAAAGGGGTAATCGAAGTGCCCCCGAGCCGGCGGGAATACCACGGACTTTATCTCGTCACCAATTGAGCTCTAGAGACAGTTTCAGAATCTCGACTCCCGCTCTCATGGAGGAACAGATGCGCCATCCCGATAAGTCGAAGAATAGTGGACAAACCAATTTGAAACTCTTGAACAACGAGCTAATCGAGCTTGGTCTGGAGGAGTGGGTCAACAGGGACAAGAATTGCCCCGAATACCGCAAAGCTGTGGACGAAGCGAGAGCCCGTAAACGAGAGAGCAACAAGGTGTTGGCTTTGGCTCTTTCTAGAACACGTACGTCATCTAGAGGTGTTGATGGTGAACGCACAGATCTCCTCGACGAGGCATTCCAAGCGGCCAATAAAGCCTACGTGGGAATCAGCAATGAACAGGTTGGAACGAGTCAAGAGGTTGGGGATGTGGGGCAGACTGACTCGACTGAGGTGATTGAGATGACCGAGAGGGCTGACAAGGCTCAGAAGACTCGGGACATCGAAAGGGCTCAGAAAGCTCAGAAAGCTCAGAGTACCAAGAAAGCTGGGAAGAATCAGAAGGCCCGAAACACCAAGGAGACTGAGGAAGCTCAAAATACGGAGAAGATTGAGGAGGCCGAGAAGATGAAGAAGGTACAAGAGGCGCCAAAGGCCCAGGAGACTCAGAATGTCGAAGCTCACAACACCGAGGAGAGCGAGAAGGCTCGGGAAGCAGCACTAGAAACTAGACGAAAGTTGACTCGTCGGCAACAACGTGAAGAAGATATTCGGAGACGAGATCAACTCGCAAAGGACGCCATGGACATGGATGACTAGGTTGAGAAGCAAGAAAAATGGCAACTGTGCAGATTCGCCAGTCTGTTGTGTATTGAGTCCAAGGACGAACTTTTATTGAATTGGTGGACATGGTCGTTGAATACCGACTTCTCTTAGCGCCGCATATTATGGTAATGATGATTGGGTAGGAATAAGTCACGGTTGCCCTTGGTATCTTCACATAATAGCTCGCTCGTCTAGTAACCGAACAAATGGAGATTTTCCATCCATTGGTGCTCATTTTCAGGCTCCAAATAGCGCTACTTTAGCCAGGAACGGGGACTTGAAGCCGGCATACCCGGTAGGCTCCAGGCTGCTCAGTAGCCATTGCCGTAGCTCTTGGCCCCGAGCGGCCGCTTGAGGTCTGCGAGCCTGCGGCTGCAGGGGCTTTGCGTGTTGGGGTGGGAATTTCTTCGAGAGCCACGGGTGAATCTCGACTTCAATTCATCGTCTGCCGTTTTCCACGGTTCTCTTCCTCGCCGCCATTCCTGTATGTGTGGTGGATTTGATAGCGTTCTTGTTTTTCTCTGCATACCTACGTCCGTCCGCTAGTCTTGAACGGACATTATCTTGAAGAAGCACTTTGTGTTTTTGCAGCTGGTAAGGAACCTCGATCATCCTCTGCTGGAAAGAATAAGGCTGATTGCTGTTAGGACGTCTTTTGGGTAAACGTATGGACTTGTGCGATTGGTAGGCTATCATGCTGCTTCGATTGAATACTTCGATTGCCGTACTCTTCAGGGCACGGAAATTCAGACATGGAATACAAATGTTGAATGGCGAGTTTCCAAAAGCAAACAGAAGAGGTGGATTGATTTACATGGAGCATCACATGTCTAAGGAGCACTGGTGACTGAGGTCACCAGTGTGACAGCCTTGTGGTGGCCTGGAGGAGCCTCTTTGTTATAGAAGAGCCATTGGCGTTCACTCTGTTCACAAGGCTAACTCATACCATCATAGATTGTTTCCTCTTTGTGCACGCGAGGACGCAACACAAGGTATGTCCCTAAGACTCACGTCCTCTCTGAATCATATGAACATGAATTGTTGCCAGAGCACGGCCTGTCGAGGCTGAGGGCCATTTACACTTCACACGCCTTGTCTTCTGGTGATGGACTTGTGTTTTTTGAGATCTACTTCTTCGCCATGCCGTGGACAGGATGAACATCGCTAACAATGCCGAAGACAGCCAGTCTGGTTCTGGCGATGGCTCTGCGCCATCATCCTACTCAAATCGAACCGAAATAGGTCCCCAGGAGTACTATGAAACCCGACTAGATGATCTAAGCGCATTCATTCCAGTCAGTGATTACAACAGCGAGGGAGTGTCTACTGATATTCGTCCAGCGAGGTCGAGACTCTGAGAAGCTTCCGATACGACTCGCACCGTACGAGGCTGAAAAAAATTCTGGGAAGCGAGTGTCGATACTGTGATCATGGCCGATTACTCACAACCAACTCAGCCGTTAACTCAACCTGTCGAAGATCCTCGAAGAGTGGGAAAGAACCTCTCCAATGTTTCCGAGAATGACGCGACCGACGTGATTTGTTTACTCCATCCTACGTCACCAGCAGCGTTTGAAGCAGTGAAGGCCAATTTGTTGGTTGGTCAGGAACACATATTACAAAATGACGACTTGGAAGGAATCCGTGAAAACGACTTGCTCCTTCGACCGGAATACAATCAACCTCGGGATATCGCGCTGAGAATGTCGTCTCAAGTGAAGAGTCCCAAGGACGGGTTTCTATTCGGTCGCACTAAGTCAATGTGTGATGTGCTCTTGACGCCCTACGAAAGTGACAGTCTAGTCAGCAAGATCCACTTCAAGATCTTCGTGAACAGCCAGGGCAGTCTCATGCTACAAGATTTGTCGACTAATGGCACTATTATCGATGATGTCCACCTCAAAACTCGCGATCGTCGTGGGAAGGCACCACTCAAGCCAGCAACAAGAGTTCTCCGACATGGATCAATAATTTCCGTTCTTGGTGGTATGAACAAGGAAGAGATCAAATTGATGGTTCGGATACCTACCCGCGGAGATAATGAAGACGCCTATGAGGCAAACCTGAGAAGATATCTGGCTGCACGGGGTGACGTCGCCCAATTTGCATCCATGCGAGAAAGTTCGTACGGCAATCATTGGAATGGAGGCAGTCTGTACAATTTTGCCGGTCTGCTGGGAAAGGGAGCATTTGCCACTGTTTACAAGGTCCAAACCAAGAAATCGGGAGACATTTACGCGGCGAAGGAACTCGACAAACGTCGGTTTATCAAAAATGGTGTTCTGGACATGAAATTCGACAGTGAACTCAACATCATGAAGAATCTCAATCACCCCAATATTGTCAACTATGTGGACTGCCAAAACTATTCTCACTGGATCTACATTCTGATGGAGTATGTCCCATATGGCGAACTATCGCAAGAATTAGGGAAACAAGGGAAAATTGCGGAGCCCGACGTCCAACAAATTACCCGACAAATACTGCATGCCCTCGATTACCTCCATCGACGGAACATTACTCATCGCGATATCAAACCTGACAATATCTTGATTGCCTCTCGAGATCCTTTGATCGTCAAGCTCTCCGATTTCGGTTTATCCAAATGTGTCACGGATCAAGAAACGTTCCTCAAAACCTTTTGTGGTACACTCCTCTACTGCGCACCGGAAGTATACCCAGACTATGCAAGTTATGCTCAAGGATCCACGCCAAAGAGACGCCGATTAGGAGAACCAGCCATCAAACCTACGCCTTCTCCTTATGATCAATCAGTCGACACGTGGTCTTTTGGAGCGGTCATCTTCCATATGCTTTGTGGGAAGCCTCCAATTCATGGCAGAGGTGATGACCGTGGCGCGCAAATGCTGAACAACATTATGACCAAAGATGTTGACTTTGACCCGCTTAGACAGAGTGGAGTATCAAGTCATGCCATCGACTTTATTGGGAAACTTCTCAATAGAAATCCGGCCTTGCGTCCAAAAGAGCCCGAATGCTTGAAACATCGTTGGTTACGCGACGTGCCTGATCATTTCATCTATGAAGAATTTGAAGAGCCCGGCACTGCTGTTGGAGGTCGGCTTGATGTTGTCGATGATGTTGATGAAGATTTGTTAGATGAGGAGTTGATCAACAATCTCCAACAGTTGACTCAACCACCATCCTCCAGTCAAAGCCCCGATCGTCCGGTCAAGCGGGCAAGAACTGCTCCAGATATGCCACCACCAACGGGAGAGATCACTTATCCCACATTGCCCGAGCCGGGTGAGAGCATGTTGCCAATACCGAGACCGCCTTCCCAGCGACTTTTCGGTGAGATCTCCCAATCCGCGTTACGTAGCTCGGGGGTATTCGGCGGTGAACTGGCGCCAACCGCCTCGAGTGAAGTTCGCAACATCCGGAATCGTGTTGAACAGATCAGCGTGAATGATTTTGTGGATCGAGCAGCAATTACGAGTGCCGAAAGTGCAGACAACTCGGGACAACCCCTTCAGTACCCGACCATGCTTGAAGTACCACAGGCACAAGCTTGCTCAGCTGCGAGCCTCTTGGGGGCCGAAAAGCAAATCGATCAACTCAACATGGCTTCTTCGGAGGGTGATATATCGGACGCCGCAACTCCAGAAACCACCAATCCAGTGACGCCTCAAACTCGAGAGCTGTCCCCCTCCAGCTCTGTGAGCCACAGTGGAGGGACAGGAGTACGAGAGTCTGCTCCTCCAACCGAAGAGCCTGTTTTCACCCGTCGAATTGACCTGGATCTGATTTCGGACCCGGTCAACTTCGACGCTGAAATCGAAGCACGAAATACATCGAGAGCCACCAAACTTCGAGCCAAAGCCGACACATTCCATGGCAACTCCAACACAAGAACTCGAGTCCCTTCAACCGAACTGGCGGCCACCATAGATGCAAAGACGGGCCAAGTCGTAAAAAGCACTGGAGACATCGATCGGTTCGTTCACGTCCCTCGGGATCGAGAACACGTCGGGACGGCGTTGGGGACGGATTCTTCCACATCGACAACGGCAACACAATTCCTCAAACCTCCGAAGCGGTTTGGCAAACTCACGACTCTCCCAGGATCTTTTACCAACGTGACAATCAATCTCGAAGCACGATTCACATCCTGGGGTAGGGGGATCGACTGTACAAATCAACACCGCGATGTCAAAGACACGCGCATCCCCAAGTATGCGATGAAAATCACCTTCTGGGCCCCCGGGATGGAAGTCCACGTCGATCGAGGCGGTGATTGGACCGAACTCCCCGGCGTCCGCACAGTGCTGGCGACCTCAGCCAGTGGGTGTATCTGGGTCAATGGCGTGGAATTGCGCAAGGAATCACCAGCTGGTGACGCCGCGTTGTTCGGGAAACTGTACACGGGCGACATTATTACTATATACGATGACAAGAACGAGAATGGGGAATTCCTGAAACTTCGCGTTGAAATCACGTTTGGGGATAGTGCGAGGGCTCGACCGAAGAGTGAGGCAGGATTCATTGTGCAGGAGGAACGACATCATCATCAACGCATGAAGGAGCGGGAGAGTATGAGGTTGAGTAGGCTGGGAAATGGGAACGGAGATGATGAAAATGGTGAATCTGTTACACCTGCGACATTGTGTGTCGAAGGTTGAGAAGTCATGAGAAGGAAAGGAGCCAGCAGCAGAAAGTACAGGACGGATCCGATCGATATGCGCGATGAGGCCGCTGTGAGGAAAAACTATCTCTTTTGGAAATGGCAATGGCAGGCAACCAGAGGATATAAGTGAGATTCGAACTTTTAGTGGTTGTGCGGTAATCTGGGGTAATGGATGGAATCATGATGATCTTGTGTTGCTGCAAAATATGTAAAGCATGAAGAACAAAATCCCGAATCAATAGGCTGTGCATAGCATAAAATACCGATACTATCAACTAGAACAACTTTGGAACGTAGCTAGCTTCCCTTTAAGTTGAGATATATCTCTTCTATCCGGGCGCTGAAGTGACAACTTTCTGTGCTCAACCTAGTCCTTGGCCCACCAAACATTGATTGGTACTAATGGCTTCGTCTTTGCCAGGTGCCTTTTATCCCGCAGGTGGTCAGCATTAAAGAACCCGACTTCAACGCCGACTGGGAATTTCAAGTCTGGTACCACGACGGGAACACTTGTGGCTACCAATAATTGGTGTCAGCGCATTTGACGATCTCTCTCAATAGAGACCATGATTTCGCCGCCAGCTGCCGCTATACGCGAGCTAGGATCCCACGCTCGAGGAAAATTCTTGAACAAAGCTTCTGACGTACCATTACAGGATCCAGCACATTCAGTGCCCTTCCGAGCAGTCCCAATATCCTTGACAACGTCGGAAGTCTTGTGATTAGTAACCACGTTTGCCCTGGGGAGTTGGGTTGGCGGACTCGGGCGAAGCTGTCGCAGCGACATCGAACCCAGATGCCGTCGTAAATTGGACAACTTGCATGCCAACGCCACCTGCTGCTCCCCAGACTAAGAGCCTCTTGCCAACTTTCTCAAGTTTGAGTATCGGAAGAGGCCGCCTCAGATGTTGCAAACCGTACAGCCCCCGCGTGGCGGTGCTGATGACGAGAAAAACAGCACTGGCGTGTTCGTACCTGATCTCGTCCGGTAAAGAGACCACTGTCTCTTGTCTCGTGATGGCACGCTTCTGGAAAGACCGATTCTTAGGTCCGCAAGTGCTCATACCTAGAAAGTAACCCACGAACCTCCTCTCCAACCTGGACTCCAATGACCCCCCCTCCTTCAACCTGGACGACCTCTCCGGCTCTGCCAATGGCCAGTATCGTCGGTCAGGACCGGATAAAAAAGTCCATGTGCAGCTGCGCATTGTGCACGGATTTATATCGATCGCCCGGATCCTGATACGCACCTCGCCGGAAAATAGATCTGGGCAGAGATGGGAGAGAAGAAGGCCGTCATAGAGGCGGTGATCAATCTCTTCTCATTGTGGTTCCAAATTGAGAAAGGAGCGCCCTCTTCTGGTCGATGTCTCTGCTGGAGATATTCGTGACAGCATCATCACCCCCTGTTGTGTTCTTCACTCGACGATGGCGCTGGGTCATCTTTTGCTGGCTCAGCTTCCATCTCGAGCTTTCGAGTCGTTCAGGTAACCCGACCTAAGGCATTTTGTCTGACAACGTCACCTTGCTATCCTCGAATACAAATAGGATACTGGGACATCGCATCCCGGTACCGGCGTCCCACTGCTCTGATGCGAAGATCAGATGCAGCGTTTTGTTAGTGATTGCATGCCTGAGAGGTTGTCGGTGGCCCCATAGCGGTGCACAATCCCGGCTCTTCCCCCCGGCACCGAGGGCAATGGTCCCATAATCGTCAGGCGTCTGGGTCTGAGAGCCGGCCCGGACAATTTTCCTACCCAATCTACATATTTCATTCATTTCCCACTTACGTTTTCATCCACATTTTCGTTCATAACCTCTTCTAGGAAAGATGGGTAAAACCGTTCTTTTAGTTCTAGACATCCAGAATAGGGTTATCGAGCGCCTCCAAACCAATGATATCAATTTGTATCTCCGAAGACTTGCTCAGATCATCGAGTCAGCGCGCGAGGTCGACATTCAGATCATATATGTGGTAATAGGCTTCCGACCAGGTTAACTTGAAGCCGTTTCACGGAACGTATCAACGGCAAAAGTAAAGGAATGGGGGTACATTTGTGGAGGGGATTTTTCAACCAAAATCCATGACGCCGTCAGTCCACTGGAGGGCGATATCATCATCACAAGGCGCCGTGTGTCAGCCTTCCATGGGATCGATCTTGATCTTTTGCTTCGCAGCCTCGACGCAGAGACGCATGAATTTCTGCTCAAGATCTTCTCTAAGCAGGCACGAATTCTTTCCAGCTCTGAATGGGGGCTGGTCTCACATAAAGTGAAGTCTCTTTGGAGTTCCCTAAGTTCCTCGGTGGCAGACATAAGTACGCAACATGGAGGGAAGCAGTGTTCTCATTGGATAGTGCTTGAAGTGGGACGCTTTCTCAGGCGCTGATGTTGAAAAGCGTTTTGTGTTGGTATGAACAAAGCGGAGGGCCATCCGCTCGCGCTTTAATTTTTGTTTATACCAGGACGGCGAATGATTCCACCATTGAAACATGTGTGTAAAACCACGACTGGCAAACTGCTGGGCAACTAGGCGGCGATGCTCTTTGGTTATCATCAAGCTCCTGGGGTGGTCCCTGAACTTTCGTCAGTACCTAGAAATTTTCAGTCTCGCACATGAATTCATCACGGATTTGTGTTGCATCCCAGCCCGCTGGACCACTTTTGAAGATACGTATATTGGTGGTTTTCATGTTTGGATAGATTGGACAAAATGCCATGGGCGCAGATATGTTCTGAGAATCTGATTGATGGTCTTCCCTGGGATGATCTGCCAGACCCGCTCCAAGGTCCATCTCTGCCTAGGAGGATGAGACATAGGTGCGACCGGGTAACCGAGCGAGCCCAGTGGGTGGAAAATCAGATATAAAGCGGCGAGAGATATCTCCTCAGTTCGAGCAATTTCTTGGCGGTAGTCGTCAAACGCACTCTCTTGGTCTTGGCAGCATCGTCCGCCGCTCTTGTGATTGGCCGGAACTTCTTCTGACATGCGAGGGCATGCTGGGGCTCTGGTCTTTCTCGATTGCAACTACTGGTATCGAATTCCACAAAAGCCTTTCCCCCCAGCAGTCTTTCCCTTTGGGTCTGGGCGGCGGACACCTTTGTGACCTCGTTGCTGTGACTTTCGATTCTATCTGTGTTACCATCGCACCCCTCAGAAATTTCAGTGTCAATGAAGTGCTACATGCTAACGAGCTGAATCCAGCCCTCGACATTCTTTGTCAATCACATCTCGAACACCTTTTAACATTCCGCGTGGCAATTTTTCTCCGAATCACCCCTATCGATTCCTACCCGATCCTATGCTCGCTTTTCTGCCCTCCTCTCTCTAAGAACCGTGGCCTGGTCGTTCCCAATGTCCCAGTCCAGGACTCCGTCACCACGGCCCAATGGAGGATGGACGGCACGGGGCCTGTCCGAACGCAGTTCAACGTCCAATGGCTTATACGCAGGAGCAAACAGTTACAGCAGCAGTGATGATCAATGGGTCGCAGCAAAAGCGAGGAGTGCACAAGTGAGAGGCTATCCCAGCATCCAGACCAAGAATGAGGGTTTCTTTCAACGCTCCAGACGAAAAATTTCCTCCAGATTGCCCGTTTTCAGTCCCTACACCCCTCTTTCGGCCCATTGGAAAGATCCGGAGAAGCTGGGTCGAAGTGGGTGGCATCCCCGAGGCGGCGGTAGCTTGTCCAGATTAAAAACTTTTATTGGGAACGTGTTGCGGCGGTTTAAGTTCCTGTTCATAATATTGTCCATTGTGACTTTTACCACCTTTCTAATCTCTCAAACCAGTGAGCTGCTACGACACGGTCATCACACTGTAAGTCGACTGACGAATGCACAGATGTCCGGGCCAGGTATCGGAGCAATGCTCACCTCGGTGGTGGGAGCAAATTCGTCATTATTCTGGGTGCAAATGAAGGCGGTGGAGTGATGGAGTGGAAAGGACCCAGAGAATGGGCCATCGAACGAGACAGTGTCAAGAATAAAAAGAGATACGCTGAAAGATGGGGATATCAATTAGAGATTGGCGACATGAGTACGAAAAAAAGATATGCCCATGAATGGAGGGAGAGTTGGGAGAAAGTCGATCTCGTACGAAACGCCATGGCCAGATATCCCAAGGCCGAATGGTACGACCATGTCAGATCTCGTCCCAATGACTCCCGGCTGACCGTGTGTGACAGGTTTTGGTGGCTTGACTTGAATACCTTCATCATGGAGCCTTCAATATCGCTCCAATCCCACATCTTCAACAATCTGGCGACCGTGGTCTATCGTGACATCAATGTCTACAACCCGCTCAACATCACACATCCTCCGGAAACCGAATTTCTCGACCCCGTCTCCAGATCCCCCACCGGTGACAATTTAACCTCTTCTATCGACATCATCATACCTCAAGACTGCAGCGGATTCAACCTGGGTTCCTTCTTCGTCAGACGATCGGCCTTTACAGACCGACTCCTCGATATGTGGTGGGATCCCGTTCTTTACGAACAGAAACATATGGAGTGGGAGCACAAGGAACAGGATGCCTTGGAGCATTTGTACGCGGCCCAGCCCTATGTCAGAGCCCACTTCGGATTCATTCCGCAACGCAAGATTAACTCTTTTCCTCCTGGAGCCTGCCCCGTGCCGCTGAAAGAAGGTCAACCAATTCAGAACGGGAAGCCTCTTGTTGATCCCCGATTTCATTACCACGAAGAAGAACGCGACTTTATGGTCAACATGGCCGGATGCGAATGGGGTCGAGATTGTTGGGCCGAAATGTACTCGTACCGAGAACTCAGCAACAAACTCAATCGATCCTGGTGGGAAAAATTCAAAGATTCCTGCAGTGAGAAATGGAAGGATCTCATGAAGACCATGTTTCACCAAAAGGAAGCGAGCATGAAACAGGGTTGATTGATTTGACAAGACAAAGACGTCAACCAGCGATCAAATTGAAATCGAACCTTCAAGCTTGCTTGGGAGATTCGAAGTTGGAGAACAGAACAGAGGACGGCATGACGATCCCCAGATCATCATCTGGTTGGCGTCCTAGCTCGACAGGCTGATTTCAAGGCCGTCACCACGGAGAAGTGGGGATGACACCATCGCCCTGAGACCGACCACCTAATCCCAAACTACGTATTGTTTTGTCGTTGAGCATTTTACGGGCGTTTGTCATTTCTTTGTCTGTCGAAACACAGCACGACGACAACCATCGATCAATCTACACTGAGAAGTGATCAAGTCGATGCCGAATTATCTTCCTGAAAATTGTATATCTAGACGAATGAGAAGGACGGAAAGATCACTCACAGAATGGATGGGTCAAGGGAGAGCGAAAACTACGGGTTCAACCTGAATGAATTCAATTACATGGGAACGATGGGAAGTCTTGGAAATCTTCAGGCATGGAGAACTCCCGTACTGTAATACTATGGTAGAGTGTGCCTTTTCCTGGGACTAGACATTATGACATTATACAAAAGCGCAACACCAAAACACGAGTCCTTGAGTCAAGACGACGTGACATATCCAGCCCTTGCTCCGTGCATCAGCTACCTAGGTATGATTGCGTTGAAAAGGGGATCATAATTTGATTTCCCGGGCCACGGGAGATGGGGAACCGGGGAGACAGATATGCTCCGTGAGTTCTTGAATTCGTCCTCCAATTCCAATGCGTCGAGGGATTAATCAAAAGACACCAACGTCGAAAATTTCGTTTCTCCAACCCTCTCCCCGCTCCTCGCCGTCCTGAACGGCGTCCTCGGCCCTTAAGGCCTCTTCGTGCCACAGCTTCACAATACTGCCGGGTGTGTAGACGCCTTTGAAGACGCCTTGTTTCGGCGCATCAACGCCGACTCGCGTGTCGAGGTCCGAATCGTCCTCGGGCGTCAGCCGCGCCGTGACTGCCTTCAAGAATGTCACCACGTCCTGGGGATCTGCGATGCGCGTGGCCCGCAAGCGCTCACGAGCGAAGACCAACTCACGATTCATGGCGCGTAAGCCCTTGACGATGTTTTCGGCGAGCGTCTTTTCCAGAGAGCGACGGACGAGGTGTTTAAGGAAGGGCTTGAAGAGCCACCCCAGCCAAGAGAGGTTGGATCGGCGGAGGTTGTAGTCGAGTTTGTGGATATGCACCCTCACGCCGCGGAGAGTGAGGATTTGCTCGAGTTTTTCTCGTCCGACTTCGAGGTCGAGGGAAATGTCAATGCCGCGCTCATCGAGGTAGAAACTCGCGATGCCTTCGTCGGCAAAGCGAACGAGTCCAGCGTGTCCACGGATCCAAAATCCGAGGTCCTGGGCGGCGACGCTGAGGCCATTGATAGACACGGTCATGAGGGATTTCGTCTTTGAGACCGTTTTTTTGGAATGTGTCTTGCGGATTTCTAGATCGTTTTTGGTCGAGACGAGGAGGCGGTAGGGGAGGAAGGAGGTGGAGTTGACGTTGCGGCCAGGTTCAAGGACGAGGTTTTCGAGGAGAAGGTCCATTTCGGGCACGGAGACTTCGACGCGTGGAATCGGGAGGTATTGGATGCTGCGAACGATGAGGGGGAGGAAGATATGCAGGGAGTCAGTGACAAGGTCCGGATTGGAAATATGGTTCGCTGGAGAAAAGATGTCGTAGATCCGGCGCGTTGCGAGAATGAGCGCATTGATGTCTTTGTCTTCCATCACCGAGTTGACGGTGGTTTGGGCTTGTCTCAGCATCTGGTCGAAGTCGGTACGGAACGCTGATTCATTACCCAGTCGGCCTGATTTTTCTCTCAGTTCATCGATCTTCTTTTCAGCATTGTCAAAAAAATCCGGGTCCGTCAGCATCCTTTGTACCGCGTTGCCCACATCCACCATAAAACTCTCGAATTGTGGATCTGATCGCGCGTGGCCAAGGACCTTCTTGAAGTCTTGCTCCAGTTGTTCCCACGCATTGCGATCTCCAAAACTGCTCAGGAGATTCCAAAAGTTGCGAACTGCTCGATCCAAGGCCGGATTGGTGTATATGTCGTCCTGAGCGGTTGCCAGACCGGCGTCCGTAACCCGTGGGGGTGCAAGGGCATATCTCTGAATCAATTTCGAAATGGTGGACACCGAGTCCCGATAGTCGTTCCGGCTTCTCAAGTTCAAGATGGCTTGTTTTAAGCGATGTAGAAGAGTTTCGCCTTGTGAACCGCGGAAATTTTCGTGGGCACTCGCGATTGTATCCTTTCCCACTTGTGCTACCTGGGAGCCAATTACTTTCGCGACATCTTCTGCATTTGATTGTAAATCTTGCTTCGAGGGTATGCCATCCTCGTCGGCTCCCGGTTTCACCACCGCCTTCTGCTCTTGCTCCGAAGGTTCCAGCTGTTTGCCGGCCTTTTCTGCCGCCGAGGACAAGGAGAATGCCGTGTCGGCCAAAACTTCTCTTCCTATCGCGGCAACATCGTTGACAAAGAGTCTGAAATCCGAGTTCGTGAGCAACAAGCTTCCTACGGTGCGGAAGCTTTCGTATGCTGCTTGCGCATCGGCTCTAGCTTGGACTTTCGAGGCCGAGTGGGATATATCGTTAACATCGAGAGAAATCCGAGACTTTGTGATGTACCAGATGAAATCTTGAATTTGATCCTGACTATTTTTGTTCTTCAACAGTTCAATGAACAATTTCAACCAAGTTCGACAATTTCGAATGAGGGTCCGTCCTGATTCCGTGAGCTCTTTATTGTTGGGATTGAGCAGGTCGGAAGCAAGTAAAGTGCGGAGATGGAGGATGGTTTGTTCATTGGAGGGCATGTATCCCTTTGTGAGAGCTCTCAGCATCTGATAAGTGTGCAGCTTATGGCGGAGAGCTCTTTGACGTGCGGTATCATCTTCATAACGAGGGAGCAGCGGTTCGGTATCATCACCCTTCTTGCGGCCAAACCCGCAGCACGAAGTGAGAAAGGGCATTGTCCGGGAGGAGAGAAAGAGATGAATGACACAATCAGATTGGAATTCGATTCTGTGCGATGGGGATAGGCAGCCGTTGGATTGAAACGCAGGCGATGAATTGGTAGGAAGTTGGAGAATTTGCGGAGCATCTTTGACAAACAGGCTGCTTTGCCATGTGAAATTGAAACGTCATGGCCCAAACTGCCAAGCTGCCTCAGGACTTTGAAGCCTGGGTTTCAAACCCGCTCAAATAGAAACTCTTCAAGCTGTATCATCTTCATCACTCAGGCTGTTACAGTACATGTCCACCATGTGAGGGAATTTTTCTCGAAGGAATCTCGTTAACCCTTTAGATTGTCAGGTTCTCGATTCTCGACCTTTCCATGGTTCCTCTCCAGACACAAATACGAGATACGAGGTGAGGCTACATTGGGAGGCCATAGTTGATGGTCCAGGCCTCCAGACTCACTGCGACCCGTTATGGTCAAGATTTGGTTCAGAGTTCGCCGGTCTCCTCCTCCGCACTTCGGTTCCCGCCAGCTCCAGGAGTTCCTGCAGTTCGTGTGTAAACGGGCTTGTCACGAATACACAGGACTTGGTCTACACTGCACTTTTGAGTCTGGGGGAAAATATTCAAGCGGATCAGGCGGTGTTTGTGGATCACACGACCAGGAGACGATGAGAATTCGGAGATTCATCTCACCGCCAGAGCTGAGACCTGACCGATGGTTCCGACACGAGGAATCCCAGCCTTGTTCTCGATTCTTATCCTGGAAATATATTTTGAGCAGAGATGGGGTCCGATGTGTTCGGCTGGAGATTAATTGGACGGAGATGTGCCGACCCTTTCTCTCAGCCTAGTTTTGGCGATCTACCACCCTTAGCTGCAGCGGACGGACATATTGTGCTGGATCCCCGACAATGTGAACGAAGAGAGAACGATGAGACCGACTGAGTGGGAAGTATTTTCTATTTGGCCCGACACAACCATTCATTACTCGGGATTCAATGGGAATGACCGAACCCCCCAATTGCCGCCGAGTCGCTGGCTGTAGCAGGGCCAACATGCCAGCTGTCCTCCGGTCGGTGTCCGATTCTGCAACAATTTGGGGTTCCAATATCACGGCTGTAGTGGGCCAGTGGAGACCTCGTGGCCCGGCGTAGCAACCGCCTATCAGCGCCCCTTTCGGCCTCTGAGGGGAGTCTACCGAACCGGGAAATCAAAGAAGCCTAAGCAAACAGCCTAATGCTTGTTAAAATTTAGAGCTCTTTGAGGCAGACCCAGGTCCCTTGCATGTGGTGGTGATAGTCTCCCGCTCAACGGACCGCAGCCATTGGCCGCAGCTCCCTCCGAAAAGTCGTGAATCATCTAATATTCCTCCTCAGCGTCACTCCCAAAAAAAAAAAAAGTTTGAATCCGAGTTCAACATAACGAAAGTCGGAAATGCATGTCGAGGTGTTGACTCTTCATCAATCCTCACCGCATTTGTTGATCTGTTGAATTTCTGTCCGCTCGTCTTCCGTTGCTTCATTTTTCTCCTCCACTCTTATTGGTGATACGCTGTCTGTGTGACTGTTTACCCTGGCCTGGGAACCGGAGTAATTGTTGCTGCGCTTTCCCACCCGGTTTCACCCATAGTCTGACCCATTTTCTATGTTATACAATTCCCGTTTGTTCGTCTAAAACTCGCAAGCCCCAGGCTGTTGGTGCCGGACCTTGGGACCAGCAGTGTTTCCTTTTGGTGCCACTACGATCTACGAATACCACCTAATCCATTCCCAGTCCTCCCTGCGCTCTCCGAATGCTCTACAAAATCACCAGGCACCCCAAGTTGAGGAGACTCAATCTCATCAACTTCATTCAATCGGCACCTATGTCTACCACCACTACCGTCCAGGCCCCCGTGGCCCAAACTGTGGGCACTTTGGGAACTGTCCCGACTCCTACCACTCCCCATCATCGACCCAAACACACCCACGCTACCGCCCATGTTCCCAATCGAGCGGCTCATTATGACACCTCCCTGTCTGTGCCAGTCCGCAAATACCTCCAGACGTACGGATTGACTCCTCCTCGTGCCGAGAGCTACGAGGTGCAGAAGAAGAGATGTCTGGCACAATTGGCCTTGAAAACCACGCCCATTGAAAGATTCCTGTATCTGAGCACGCTGAGATACAACAATGTACACCTTTTCTATCGGTTGTTGACAGATCACTTCACGGAGCTGACTCCATTGGTCTACACTCCGACCGTTGGAGAAGCATGCCAAAGATGGTCGGAGATCTACCAGCAGCCGGAGGGGATGTACTTGAGCTTTGAAGACCGTGGCCACCTGTCGACTATCATCCAAAATTGGCCCCAGTCCAGTGTCGAAATCACGGTCATTACCGATGGTTCTCGAATTCTCGGACTGGGAGATTTGGGCGTTGGTGGCATGGGTATTCCCATCGGCAAGCTCGCCCTGTACACCGGCTGTGCTGGTATCCGGCCCGAAGGCACCCTGCCCTTGACCGTGGACTTGGGGACGAGCAACAAGGCTTTGCACGAAGACCCACTGTATATGGGCAGCCGGAGAGACAAGGTGACTCCGGAGGAAGAGATTGACTTCCTCGACGAACTGATGGCTGCGTTGAAAGAGCGCTGGCCAGACATTGTCATCCAGTTCGAAGATTGGAAGAACCCGTTCCCTTCTCTGGAACGATATCGTCATGACTACGCCATGTTCAACGACGATATCCAGGGCACCGGAGCTGTCATCATGGGCGGCATTATTGGTGCCGTCACACAATCTGGCGTTTCCCCCAAAGATCACCGTGCGGTTTTCCTCGGGTCCGGATCGGCGGGTGTCGGCGTGGCCAAACAAATCGTGGACTATTTCATGCACGAGGGTCTGACGGAAGAAGAGGCCAAGTCATGTTTCTGGCTCGTTGACAGCAAGGGTCTCGTCACTCAAGACAGAGGTGACAAGCTCGCCGAACACAAAATCTATTTCTCTCGAACCGACAACAACGGCCAACAATTCAAGACCTTGGACGAGGTAATTGAATATGTCAAGCCGACTATCCTAATGGGTCTTAGCACCATCGGCGGGGCCTTCACCCCGGAGATCCTGCAGAAGATGGGCGAATGGAATAACAGACCAATCATCTTCCCCCTCTCCAACCCATCGTCCAAGTCCGAATGCACGTTCGAGGAAGCCATCGCTCATACCGATGGACGAGCCCTGTTTGCCTCTGGATCACCATTCCAGCCAGTCATGTACAAGGACAAGATGTACCACCCTGGCCAGGGAAACAACATGTACGTTTTCCCGGGCATTGGTCTCGGAGCCATCCTCTCCAAGGCCGTGCAGGTGACGCCCAACATGATCTACGCTTCGGGTGAGGCGCTCCCTACCATGATCACTGAAGAAGAGAAGCAGCTTGCTCTCCTCTACCCGGCCATCACGCGCATTCGCGATGTTAGTGTTCGTGTGGCACGGTATGTTATCCGTGCTGCCCAAAAGGACAATGTTGACCGACTACACCATCTGCGTGATATGAGTGATGAAAATTTGGAAGCTTGGATCAAGGACAAGATGTATGATCCTCACAAGGAGACGGAAGAACTCGAGAACGAGGTTCGCGAGCTCGTCGAGGACTTGACTAGTTCTCCGAGATTGTGAGACTCCAGCAAACATGTTTGAATCTCGAGCGGTGGGGTATTTGTGGAATATTTCATCGGCGTGTGTCCCTTCCCCGATGATACTCAACAAAGATGATCGGGAAGTCTGTCGGGCCATGGCTCGCTGCCTGGATGTGATGAAACCGGGTCATCTGTATGCATGTATATGTAGCTATCTCAGATACCCGTTTGGCTTTGGATGCTTGGAGCTGCTTGAGAGATTAGATATGGGAAAACAAGACCTGGATGTTTGATTTTTCAAAACCCTTTAGCAAGAGACTTCGCCCTCGTGATGATATATCGAGGCGGAACTTGGGTTGCTTAGGCAACGTCGCCAAGAACCACACTCACTCGACATTGGATGCTGCGCGCGAAGGAAGCGACAGTTCTCGAGTCTCCACCGACTGTAGTCTTGCGATCATTTTTTCTGCCATCACTCGCTTCACGAGGTCTGTCTGTATTTCAGGGTGTCCCGTCACGCGGTGAAGGTGAGTGTTGATTCTCGTGGCCAGAGAAACAAGCCACGTCACAGACTTCTAGGCATTTTGACCAACATCTAGTATGCACAGCAGATACAACAAGATTGATCGATAATTTCTCTCCCTTGAAACGAATCACCACCAAATGGCCTCGTTATTGACCACCATGTATGAATTTCTCAATTCCTCTCCCTCCCCGCCTACACTTCTCTGGACAACATAAACAATGCGGACCCCACAACCACATCTTCCTCTTCTACCCCATCCCCCGTCGCGCAACTTCTCGGTCGAGGAATCAATTTTTCAGCTCCCAGTATTGACTCGTGTGGTTGTTCTCCTTCTAGCAATGCCCGCGCCCGGGGCCAATTCAAACCGCAACGCGCGAATAAAGGTACCACTAGCTATCAGCTAAGACAGTTTGCCGAAGCGACACTAGGAAGTGGAAGTTTAAGAAAGGCCGTCAAATTACCCGAGGGCGAGGATCTGAACGAGTGGCTTGCGGTCAATGGTACCAAATTCAAGAGACTGGATGACGAAAAGCAATTTACGGAAAACTGACACGAGAGAGTAGTGGTCGATTTTTACAACCAGATCAACCTGCTTTACGGCTCTATCACTGAATTCTGCTCTCCGCAATCATGTCCCGAGATGAAAGCCACTGATGAGTACGAAGACCCAGCCCCAAACCGGGGCCATCCATGCAGTTTACTGACCGCCGACTCTCCTCCTTCCACAGATTCGAATACCTCTGGCAAGACGCTGCGACTGGGTACCCGAAACCCACCAAGATGCCGGCGCCAGAGTACATCGAGCATTTGATGACCTGGGTGCAATCCAACATTGACAACGAATCGACCTTTCCGTCGCGCATTGGCGTTCCGTTCCCCAAACACTTCCCAGCTACGGTCCGCCAGCTTTTCAAACGGCTCTATCGTGTCTATGCCCACATCTACTGCCACCACTATCAGGTCATCGTCCATTTGGGCCTCGAGCCACACCTGAACACCAGCTTCAAACACTACGTCCTGTTCATCGATGAACATGGGTTGGAAAAGGGCGGTGGCAAGGATTATTGGGGCCCCCTCGGTGATTTGGTCGAGAGTATGCTGAAGAGTGATTGAGACGCGGATGGCGAGAGGCGCTGGGTAATGTGAACACCAAAGACCTGTATGTGTGATGGGCATGGGACTGAATGTGAGCTGGCATGGATAGGTTGAGCTTGATAGATCCAAGGCGTTTGTGGATACAGGAATGGACTGGGAAATCACCGAGCAAGATGCCCAGGATGACCTATGCAATTCAAGAGCATGTAGAACGGGCGTGGTTTTCGATGAAGGCGTTCGGGTGGACCGCATGAGATACGGAACGAATACCTTCGGTTTTGGCCGCAGGCAACGGCGAAGTCAGGGTTAAGGTCAAGGTCAGATCACCATCATGTTTTCAAAATTGTAATTCTAGGAAGACAGCATACATGTACTGATCTGCTTGGAATCGGAATGAATCTTTCGATTATGAGTCTTTATCCTTTAATTTTCATTCGGACTAATTTTTGCTAGTTGTGTCGAATCAGGATTATTCAATCCCGTTGTCGGGATGAATGTGCGTGCCAGAGCGCAAGCTTCGGATAGGCACGATCTCGTGGTGGCCTGATTCTGTTTCATTTATGCCACGCCAGGATCTTGGGTTGAGCTTGAGGCTGGGAATTAACATTGGTCGGGGCGAAAGTCCATCCCGTTTTCCGTCTTCATGGTATGGATTGTGTGCATTCGGCGGTCTCTTGTGGTTGGGATCGACTTGCCCCTCTGGGAGAGGCATCACACAACAGACCAATGATGCCCATTGCAATTGGATCTGAGGAGTCCAAGACAAAGTTGGATCGAAAATCGCTAATATCCTCTCCTGTACCCAGATCCGAAACCGCTTCTACGAGTTCCGCGCATCATGTCGTCGCTGTACATTCTTCCGCCGCCACCACGAGTGAATGAACCTGGCCCGCCGAACGATCCTCGTGCCGGATCTCCACCTACGCCGTTTCCGTAATGCGACGGTCGCGAGTTGTATGAGTCGGTTCTCTCGTCACGGCGGTATGAGCTGGGACCGGAACCTGGACCTCTATCGTCGCGGCGGTCATAGCGATCTCTTTCACGATCTCGGTCGCGGTCCCGGTCTCTTTCTTGACGGTCGTCTTCTCGTCTGCTAGAATTGGCTTGCCCATTGTGTGCCTCTGATGATTGGAGCCCACTGAATCCGTATCTTCCATCCTGGATATCGGGTTCTGCTTGTCTAATTTCTCGCCCCCGGCGATCTGGGTCATCATATGCCTCTTGCTCCGTCTCGATATCTTCCATTGCGCCATCATCAGCGGATGGAGGGTGTCTCACTGAGACGGAGGTTTCTTCTGCTTTGCCCGATTGTGAACCCGTCGGAGCACCATCCCCACCACTACCACCACCAGACCGCTTGAACCTGAGGTGTAGAATCCTTCCATCAGCCCTTTGGTTGTCGTATGTCGAGATAATCTTGTCGGCTATGTATCTTTCCGCAAACACCATCTCTGCAATGACTGTCGGATGGGTCGAGACAAGTCGACACGACAGCATCCCACTGACGCCGTTATCATCTAGGATCTCGCTCTGTAGAGCTGACTCGATATCGGCGGCAGTGGTACCTGGAGCGAAATTGCTGGCTTCCACCACGAACGGGCCGGCTTTCCCCTTTATGCTCAGACCCGGACCTGTGGCCCGACGTTGCGGTGTGATGATATTTGCTTGCGGAGATTCCAAGGCTGAGGCAAGACGAGAGGAGCGGGCGTTTTGAGGGTTGGTCGAGGAAGACCTTGAAGGTGGAGTGAAGGAATTGTTTCTGGAAGCGCCAGTGCTCGCAGCAGAAGAAGATTGCTAGACCGGCAGTTTCTATCAGTGAGAAATCCTTCTAGACGGCGCGCATTCGTGTGTAAAAATAAACCATGCATGGATTCTTCCAGCCTTGAGAGCAGCCTGGGTTCGTATCGGGCTTTCTCGCAGTTGTCATGTGGATGTTATTATACCTTTGTGATTCTGCTCGCAAGATCAGGTGTTCGCGTAGAGCTTTTACTTGCGCTTCTGGAATTGTTCTTATTTTGCTTATTCCTTCCAAAGATCTCGTTCGCTAAGGCCTCGTTCTTCTTTCTTTGCCGGTCTGCCACGCCGGTCAGCGAGTGCTATCGGAATGATGTTGGTTGAAAGGAATGTACCAGCCTGAATGATCGCATCGAAGTCGACTGCCGTTTTGGGGTCCGACATGGTTTGGTTAAGGATGTAGCAGCGGACAATCAATAGAAAGTTGGACGGTTGTGTCGTAGATGTAAAGTCGTGGCCGGGAAATCCGCTTCAAGTTCAGGCGGTGTGCCTGTTCGAGCCCCTTCGATAGAAGGCAGGGCGTAAAGCCTGGCAGGTCGGCGATTCTAAATCTGTTGTGTGTTCGGATTGACAGAGTATGGAATGCGAGCAAAGGAGGTGATAGCGCGGTGTGGATACTCTAATCCTCGGCGATATTCATGTACATGAATCCTTCAAGGCGGCATTTTACTCCGAAGGCTGCTCGTCCGTCAACACGTTTCTCCCCCCCCAAACCCCAGATTTCCAGATTGCCCATAGGCATTCTGATACATCAAACACACCATGACCATGGAGGTTCAACGTTCCCTGGGGCTCATATCCTTACGCGGATTCGAGTCCCTTTCGTTGAAATGTCTCGATACTAGGAGCTCTCCACGTCCGTGGCCTCGTTTCTCGATTTCTGGACAGAAGGAGCTAAGGGCCATGAGATTTTGTCAATATACTACTTCATGTTGTTCCAGTCTTTGATTACAAATAGGTGCCCAAGTTTCCGCAATCCATATCGCCCAATAGTCATTGTTTCCAAGATGACTTGGTGCGTCAAGCTGGCGGAATCACGAAGAGCGAAGGGAGAGTACCTTCTTCATCTCCGGTCTGGGCCATGAGTTTCTTTGTGTCCAAGAAAGAGAGCAGTAACCACTATGTTACGTCCAACACTTCATAGGACAGATCACTCCCCATTCACAAGCTTTTTCAGACATCGTGTCGGGCGTTCTTGCTCATGTGTCGGATCTTCCCTCCATACTAACGCACAATTAGGACAACATCCCCAACTTCATCAAATCGGGTGTTCGGGCTTACTTTGTAGAAGATATAAGGAAGAGGCATGAAGCATATTGCAATGCCACCTAGGAGCGAATTACCAGGGCCAATGCCCAATTGGCGGAAAAGTTGTCGCGCCTGTCGCCGTCTGCGATTAGCCACGACGTGTATAAGAGCATCGATTTTGGTTGGTGCTTACAAATAGTGGGAATATCGCTCCGAACGATGCGCGGAAAAGTGCATTTCCTGCAAATATCGACGCCGCGGACAGAGGGTATGAGATTCCCAAATAATTGAGCACTGGATTAAAGAGAGTGACAATGCCGACGGTGAAGAAACTGGAGCCGACGACCGGCATTATCCAGTGGATACTCTCCCGTGCTGACCAACCATACCAGAAGAGGCAGATGGGCAGGAAGGCAGACCCAAAGAACGTCGGCGGAAGAACCATCTCAGGTTTGAAGGTTGGCTTGGTGAATCTCGGAATGATGCCATATCTCACCCACATCAGGAAGAGAGGCACGGTGACGACAGCTCCCACGAAGATGCCGAGAAAGACAAGCCCCTGCTGACCGAGGTCAAATCCATAGATCTCGCTAAATACCAGAGGAAACGATTCGAACCAAATGAAGAGCACTCCGTACAGAAGAGCCGTGTATAAATCCAGCGAGAAGACGATGGGTTCCGAGAACGTCAATATGAATGCCCTGCTGAGGACAATCAAATGATCTCTCATGGTGTGATGAGCGGCGTCGATCTCGGACTGACTTCTCAGGCGGTCGTCTCCGGTCGTTTCCCTCAGCCTCTTCGCTCTCTTGTACAGGATATTGGCTGAACTGGTCTCGGGGAGAAGGAAGAAGAGCATGGCCAGCACCAACGAGCACAGCCAAGTGATGACCCAGATGGTCCAGCGCCAGTCCTTGGCCGGAGCCACGAATCCGCCGATGATTGGACCAAATACCGGACCGCAGATGCCGAATGATCCCCAAATGCAAATTCCATATGCGACTCGAGCGGGATCATAGATGTCCGTGATGGTGCCGCCACCCGTGGCCAAACATGGGCTGCCAAAGAAGCCCGTCAACAGTCGGAAGACGAGAAACATGGGCATATTGACCGCGAAGCCGGTGGGAAGTTGAAGGAGGACAAAGGCGAGCAGCGTCCAGAAATAAATCCCGCTGCGTCCGAGGGTTGGCATCTCGGACATGGGAGACCATAGCATCGGACCAAGACCGTATCCACCGGTAGAAGTTAGTGATGGTCGTGGGAATAATTCGGATTTCCTTACGCCGTGAAAAGGGAGAGTCCCAGTGTGGCAACAGTCTCGCTGACACCAAAGTCGTCCATGATACTCGATTCGCCCGGAACGTAAATGGAGCTGGCCATGTACACGGCGAAATTGAAGAAGCAGATCTGGAAACTGATCAACAGCTTCCAGCCGCTCGACCAATTCTGGGGATTCTGAACTCCCAGTGAGAAATTTCCGTGGCGTGGAAACGAACGAGAGCAGGTACCTCTGGGTCATCTGGCCCGTACCAGTCCACCAGATAAACATCCTTGCCACGTTCAACAGCACGATTCAAATCATCATTCCGAGGGTCCAAGTCCTTCACGGAGGCATCGGTCGAGTTGTTGGTGTTCCGAAGCTTTTCTGAGCCACCGTGTTGATCTCCTGACCGGGGGGATGAAGAGGTTGCGCATCGCTGAACGGATTTTTTCCACAGGGAAGGATCAATCTCGTCTGGATATGGAAATAACTTGTTGTCAGATACAAGCCGTACTAAGTGACCGAATTGGGTATCGCGGAATTGGGTAGTCATGTTGACATGCCAGACATACTCCGATCTCGTCAGATTAGCTGTTATATACCAAATTTGCTTCTTCGTCTTGGCCTTTCGGAGGAATGGAGACAGGTCTCAAACTTGGCGGATTTAACGATTAAGACGCTCTCGGAGTTAGCGTAGAGAGCATGATCTGCCTTTTCGAAAGCAGATCATGCTTCACGGGCACTCGCGGTGAACGACAATACTCCAAAACAGGAAATTTCCGGAAATAAGGGCTGTTTCGCCACGTGATACAGCGTGAAGACACACGAAAGGAAGTACGAGCAGGCAGAAACGGTCAGTTGACGGGGGCTGACGGGAAGGAGACGTGCTGGGAGGGGGCCATCCTCATATGTTGACGAGTGCGAGCAATCTTTGTTGATGCCACAGGCTCAAGGGAAACGCGAAGCCTTTGCGAATTTGTGGAACTCGGTAACTCCGCAAATGGCGCACTCTGATTGGCTGAAAGTTTTAGGCCCTTTATTCTTGACAGGACCTCGGCCTAGAGCACCCAATTTGATCCACAACACGAGCATCTGAAAGTATATGAATACCAAGACGCGAGCGGTCAAGAGAGCAAGGCCATGGAGAACAAACGCCGCCATCCAGAACGTCGATAATTGCTGGCCGAAGAATCGCCCACCGGCAAGCGCCTCCCATGCTCTGGCCCCCGACCCCTTCTCGTCCAACCCTCTTACCCAACGCTCTCTCGGTTGGCTGCTCCTGATCACTTGCCTTTCCCCAGTATGATTCTCACATACGACCACTCCTACAGCCTCAGTATAGACCAGATTCGGTGCCATAGCCGAACAAATTGCTGAAAAACACCTCCCAACCAAAAGCTATACACCTTCATCGGCGGAATATCAATCTGCATAATCCTCGTTGGGTCCAGCCACACGACCTGATAACAAAGGGGATGCTGAGACGGGGAGGAAATATATATGATGGCGGAAAATGTTGTTTTACGACAGATCGACATAGGGTCCACGTTGAATACATTCTTCGAGCTACAGAGTCATTTCATTGATTGAATAAAAGTCCGACAACATGCCCTTAGAACCCGTGCCTAAAATGAAGAGAAGCATCCTGAATTGCCGCATAGCGCTTTTCTGCTTGGCATAAACTCCGCTCTCAAGCATCATACTGTCAAAATGAGAAGATAAACGACAAATTAAATTTCGGGGTGGAAATTCCCCTTTGACGTACCGCATTGGGGGCTGCCGCGTCGCAATGCGCGCTAGTTGGTATGAATTCGTCTTGGTAAAACAGCGTTGGTGGACATAGAGATCGAGTTAGCTTGCGATCTATATACTCATTCCTCATTGTACGAAGCAGATAGCAGGATTGACACATAGCAAAAAAAAAGGAGATAAAGCGCTTCCGAGCCATCACATCGGCTACAATAGTAGATTCGTCTCTCGGTAACCATGCTTGAATGCACTGCTCGCGCTGCTCAAAGTGGCGGCAGCAGGTAAGAGACTGCAGCCTCGAATGAATCGTTGAGACTATATTCGCATGGTACCCTCGTGCCCATCGAGATTACTCGCTTCTATATCTGCAGGCCTTCCTGAAAGATTTCTCCCTCATTTCCTCATCTATGTGACAAAACCGCATTTCGCATTCAGAGGAGCGCACGGTCGAGATCTACTTCGCCCTGGATGAAGTGGTCTCTTTGACGATCTGCTTCTCGTCCTCTGGTCCGGCAACAATCGGGTCACTCCGACGTGAAGAACTTTGATCCACTTCTATTCCCTCCACGACAACACCACTCTCAGAGTCCTCCTCAGGGCGAATGTAGTTCTTAGGTTCGTGCCATTCATTGAGAGGCATCTTCAAAGCGGGCTTACTGATGATGTTGCAAAGCCAGAAGATGCCGAAGGAAACGATGATACCAACAGGATATGCGACGATATAGAAGCGAGTAATCTCGATGGGCATCGACACTCCCATGTTCCCCAAGAAGCCAGGAAAGTTGGGTATGATGGCTATGACATACGCAATATAGGCCCTGATATTCCAGCCATGTGTGAAATAATAGACACCTGACTTGCTGGCCGTATAGAGGTCTGGGACCTGGAAGTAACCTCGAGAGATGATGTAGTAATTGCAAAGTAAGACTCCAGTAATTGCTGATAGGAACACCTGGTAAGATGCCAGGAATTGAACAAAGACGGACGCAGATCCGAGGAGATACCAGGGATTGATCGCCAAAGACACGATTTGGCAGATGAACATGCCGGTACGGATGCTGATGTATTTGGGAAAAAGTGCCGCAATGTCATTTCCCGCTAGGCTCTACGTTAGTCCATCATGCCTCCGTCGCATGGAGCTCAGCCTACCAGGAATGCTGTTCTCAAACACAGAGGAGAAGAGTGCAGAATATGCGAACATAAAGGCGATGAAGAAACATCCAGCGCGGTTCTTGGAGGTGTAGTTCTCCGTCTGAATCCTGTCGAGGAGATTGAGCGGGTTCCACTCAAGTTCGCCAAAGATCAATATTGAGCTGGAGGCGACAATGTTTCCCACAAGGCCTACGCAGAAATCTGCCAGAGGGAACCCAATGAGGTTACCTAAGATCACATCATTCGGTTTCGTTGCATACCGTTGAAAGTCGGCAGCATTACTGGCGAAGGTGGCACAATTCGCCATGGCCAGGAAAAGGAACTTCGCCATGAGCCAGCCTTTCTCGCTGCCATGGACTCTAGATCCCTGTGACAGTACCGGTCCAGCTCCTCCGGCAAGTGTCAGGGTCCAAGAAAGCATCGAAACGGCTGAGACTAAATAGACCGCCAACTTGATATCTTGGGCCAATTAGCAACACCAAGCACACGGCTTCAACACCAGGGATCCCTTACAAATCAGAATCCGCATCTTTGGAATCCGAATGAGCAAGACGCAGCCAGTTACCAGCCTGCAACGAGTCAGAACTCCCCCGACATTAGTGTGCAACGACGCACCAGAAGATAATATAGCCTATCATGGAGGCTGAAGTCAGAGCTGATCCTTCGCCCATCCCATTCGGTATTCGGGCGATGCCTGGGAAGATCGAATGGAGCATGACACTGACAAGTCAGCGACAGGCGTAGCACTCAAGTCAAAAGTTTACTTACTAGACACATTGTCCGCCCTGTACGCCCTGTGCTTTGATCAGGTCGCATTCTCCGTGATGTTGCAGGGAACCACTCACATTCACACCATTCCAAACGGTTGCCATGACGGCTCGATTGAAAGTTGGCCACCACGCACCAAAGACGCCGAAGGCTGCGCGATTGAGGATTGGGAAGCCGACGTGATAGACCGCGCCGGGTCGTCCGTTAAGGACAAAAATAGACGACACAAGAAACCAGCCTACAATATTGCAGCCGATGACGTCCCACATGCTCAAACCCGTGGCCTGCGCGGCACTGCCTGAGTACCAATTGGCCACTATCTTATATCAGACGTGCTTCACCTGGACCGAGATGCGATATCATACCAGTTGCCACGGCAGAAAACCAGAAAACGAAGTATGTCTTTTGCGACCATGTACGGTCCTTTAACGCGAGCGGTCTAATATCATCATTGTCGAGCCAGGCGTCCTTGGAACTGACGCCTTCTGAGCCTTTGACGAGAAAGAAGCGCTTGATGGATGAACTCGGGCCCATAGTTGTTAAGCCGGCGATACCGCCACTCGAAATCTCGACTGGGCTGGGAGGAAGGCGAAAGACCAGTGCTCAGACTCATTATCACGACAATAAGCCTTCTATAAATCATATATTGTTCAGCGTTGAGTCGGCCCACTTCCTTGGCAGATGGCGAACACCGTTTGCGATAGGGATTTTTTGGAACATCAAACATGGAGATTCTCGTGTGCGAGTGCCACGGATCTAGGGCAATTAGTCCCTGTCGAGCAGATCTTTATTGGAAATGGGGGATGCGATAACAAGGGTATATGTGACCCCCAAACCCCTAGTATCAAAGGGCGACTAGGGGATCTCCAGGTCATCCACGAGCCGAAACCAGCCAATCAAGACCGGTGACCCCCAACCTTGTCGCTTTCTGGCTATCTACATGCATGTGGAACTATTTGGTTAGGAAACGGCAGCACGGCTTCCGTTGGGGAGAAAGATTCACCTCCGGCCGGGGGTGTCCGAACACATGAATGCGAGATGACTCGGCAGTCTCCGCATAGACTATTGTGAACTTGATGTTGATGTGAATGCCCCAGAAGCTGGCCCAACAACCCCATCGTCGCCGTGTATGACAACTTGACCCCCAAATCCTTAATAGCGGCCGCCGTGGAGTTTGCCCTCACATTCATATATAAGAGTTGCATGAGGGTTCCGGCGGCAGGCTCATCCTTGGTGAAAGGAACATTCATTTCCTGCTATCCCGTTAAACGTCGCGGACCGTTCTCAGCTCTCCTCTTCACCAAAAAACTGATTAGGACAATGAGCACAACATCTACTTCTGTAAGCATGGCTGCATCTGAATTCACTCAACTGGAGCTTCGATCCGCCTACGGACTCGTGTACCGCAAGGTCTCTACGGCTCCTCCCAGAGATTGCCGTCCAGATGAGATCCCAGTGATCGATATCGGCACCATTTACGACGGCCCAGCGGCACGCGCCGAGCTTGCCAAACATATCAGGGCAGCAGCTGAAGGTACAGGATTCTTTTATATCAAGAATCATGGAATTGATGAAGATATAATCAACAACGCGAGAAGGGCGGCGATGAAGTGAGTTATGAAACTCAGGGAGTTACATACGAGCTGATTGTGGACGCGGCTTACGTACTGGCATAGCTTCTTCAAACAGCCCCATGAGGAAAAACTTAAGGTCGCCAAGTTCAAATCCAAACACTACAATGGATACTCATTCCCCGGCCTAAGTCATGTCTCTCCATCCGAATCCAAAGACAACAAGCAAGGCTTCATGTGGCAATATGACCCCAAATACGACCCAGACAAGAAGGACCTTTCTACAATTCCAGACGACGTAAAAGCATGGCTCCGCGGTGAGGATATGGTTTGGGAGGGCACAGCGCACATCCCCGATTTTCAGAAAGATACTCTCATCTACTGGCGCTGCTGCTTAACACTGGCCCGGACTCTGGCCAAAGTGTTTGCTGTATGTCTGGACTTGCCAGAGGACTACTTTGACCCACTGACCACCTACCCTGGAGCCGATGGCGTCTACAACTTCTACTCGGCCTTGGCTTCAGAAGAGATGGCCAAAGCAAGTATTTACGACGTTGGTCTCGGTTCACATACTGACCTTCAGTGTTTTACATTGCTTTGGCAGGATGAAGTCGGCGGGCTCCAGGTCCTCAGCGACACACAGTGGATCAAGGCCGTTCCCATTCCCGGTACTTTCGTCGTAAACATTGGCGATTTTCTGATGCGCATGTCCAACGACAAATTCAAATCGACAGTCCACCGAGTCTACAATCGTTCGACAGTAGACAGACTTAGTATGCCTTTCTTCTTCGGATTCAATTTTAATGAGACATGTTCTGTCTTGCACACATGTACCGACGAGAACAATCCACCCAAATATGAACCGATTTCATGTGGCGAGGTACGTTCCTTTCCTGATCCTTTTTCCCGAAGATGGTGCTAAGAGCCTACAACAGTGGTGTCGACGCCGTTTCCAGGCCGGTGCAGTGATGGAACCGTATGAAAAAGTAGCGGGAGAGTGTGTACCGATTACATTGAAATCCTGAAAAACCGCGCATTGGATATGATGTCTGCCCATGGGACAGCGAAGTGGGTGAGGACCGACATGGAAATCCCTATAGCTCCTGAATGAAAGCACTTCTGTGCTTTCCATCCTATTTCCTTGTGCCTGTGTGTCCATTTTTGCAGATCCCAGAGTGGTGAAGAGGACGTCTATAGCATCCAACAATTAGCTCTAATGGAATAATAATGATCCATCTTTGCTCAGTTAACCATCCAAGTTCTCCTCTAACTAACCCCCTCCATCACACAACACAAGCCCCGCGTTTCCCGCATTTGCTCTGTTCATTCTACTGGAATTGTCTCACGTTCAGAAACCTTCCTCACGGACCCGTCGCGTCTGGGGTGCCCCATGCCCCTACAGTATCATTGGTGCCGGGCCACTGTGAGCTGAATCCAATTGTATCACCCTGTTCTCGGCCACAGCAACATTGAGAAAGTGAAACCCGGAGATGTTGGCAAGTTGGAAGTCGTTACATGGTCGTGCGGAATTGCTTTTGAGCCAGGTAAAATTCTCGTGTGAGCATAGGACGGCGTGACCCACTTCCCAAAGGGGGTTCAGGTTGTTGCCGATTTACCAGCCTTGGCGGAGACGTGAGTTGAATCTTGACCTTGCCTCAAAATCCCAACAACAACTTCCCATTTATATATTCGAACCTACAATTGCGGAGATGGGAAGAGTAAGGCGGACGCGGAGCAAAAAGATCGAGACCGGCGACACCACTCACGCAGCTTTCGACAGACCCTATCGATGCACGTACGCTCGCTGCGATAAGGCCTTCACTCGTTCCGAGCACCTGAGGAGGCATCAACTGAACCGTGAGCACCGCTCTCCAATCTGAGCCACTGATACTGACGGGGCTCCAAAGACGGCTCATCTAAGAGCTGGGTCTGTTCAGATTGTCCAGCCAAGTTTGTGCGGAAAGACCTTTGGCAGCGTCACCAGAGAATATGGCACGATAAGCCACAGCACGACTGGGCAGAATCGCCAATAATATCGGAATATCGATTTGATGGACACCAATCTGCATTAGGCACGCCTACAACTGAAATCGTTGATGACAGGACGACTCTTAGCAGCACTCTGGCACCCAATACCAGCCTTTTCCTTTCCGTCGATGGCAACCACCCTGATAATGCTCCTTCAACGTCAGCTGCTGATCGAAATCAAGTTGACAGCCTTTCGTTAAGACCGCCCATGCCGGTAGTGGAGCGAGAAAATGTCACCTACTCCTCCCAGCCTCACGACTTTGCGTGGATTCAAGAGTTGGAAGATTGGAGACCTGAGCTGGGAAATAGCAGGGTCTCTCACTTTCCCGACACTGACATTGACTGGTTCCTCGAGAACCAGAATCTGTTGACCTCTGACTTGGACTGGAACGCAACCGATCCTCGAACATCCGGTGAACCAGTCACGACGACAGACGCTGGTCAATGCAAGGTTGATGGGGCACCACCACCGATTTACCTCCAGGAGTCACAGTCGAAGCTCTTTGTTGCCAGCCACAAAGATCTCAAGGCACCTACTTGCGGCTTTCGCATCTGTAACGCTCTGACCGACGAAAGGCGGATCGAGCTACTGATGGATCTACGTGACCTTGTTCAGGTTGATCTTCGAGATCCCATTTTTTTGTTGAATAGTATGAAACAAGGAATACATCTCTTCGCGCGTAACGTGTCTATCGAATATTCCTTTCTCCACCACGAATACCTTTACCCGTCTTCTGAGGAAAGCCGGCAAGCCGTCATCGAGATCTTCGGGGAGGAGCCCGGTTTCCAGCTGATTTGGGCAACGATCACGCTAGGATGGACCCTGATGCGCAGTGAGAACAACCACGAATATAATATTGCGTCGAAGATCCAGCGCGCTCTGAGGGCTTCCATCATCAATCATCCGGCACTCAGCAACGTGCCGCCATTGTGGCTCGTCCAGACACTGTTCCTGGTTCTTGTGTTTGCAAGATACCAGGGCTCACGGGAGGAGTATGGATTCGCATCCGTCTTCCATGGAGTTTTGCTCGAAGCAGTGCGACGTCTCGATTATAGATCAGAACGTAATGCCACCAAATTCGATCATGGAACCAAATCCAATACCATGATATGGATCAAATGGATTCAGACAGAGACGATACGAAGGCTGATAATGCAGACATTCATTTTCGACGTCAAAAACGCCATCCTTCACGGTGGTGATGTGTCGATGACGCCGTTCGAGCTGAATTTGCGTCTTCCTTTCTCCGAAGATGCCTGGTATTCCACAAATCACGAAGATTGGGCACACCTTATGAATCTAAGAGCAGAAGAGCCGGTGCCGTTTATCACTATGCTCAAAAGATCTTGGAACCCTCCATCGTTCGCGCAAAAAACGGATGAGCTCCCGCGAGGAGCCAAAGTCATCATGTACGGATTAGTCTCTATCGCCTGTGAGCTATCACGCCGGGAAGATAACTCGCTCTCGAATCGGTCAAATTCCGCATTGCAGTCCCTCGGACGGACAGTCAGGCATTCACTTGATCACTGGGAAGCCTCATGGAACAAAATGACCGTCCGAAAAGGGTTGCAATCGTTCGCTTGGAGAAACTGCATGTGTATCGTCCGCCTCGCTCATACTCTGTATGAGATCGGCCCCGTCGATCTGCAGACTGTGGCTGGTAAGGAAATAATTGAGGGCAAAAGAAGAGGGGCTGCAGATTACGCGCATTCTCGAAGGAAGATTCGTCTGTGGGTGAAGCAGGAACGGGCATTACTTGGAGTCTCCCTTGCGGCCAAGGTCATCCAGGAACGACTGGGAGATCCGGGTTCAAGGACACATTGCCATCATTGCCTGTGGTGTCTCTACCTTGCAGCGCTTATTTGTTGGAACTTTGGCTTTGCGCTGACGGCAAACACATATATTAAGGACCTGGTCAAGGACGGACAAGTTACATCTTTCGACATGGCCGAAATCGCATGCCACAAATACCTGAACACGGTGGCTATATTTCAGGGCCATGTGACAGAAACACCAGCGTCGATCCTCGGTCAGACCGCCGGAGTACTGATTGTGGTGCTAGAAATCCTCAAGGCTCGTTGCGAGACCGGCATGATCGAGGAGGGCATTGAACTTCTGACTCGCCTTGTTGGAATAACCGGGTAAGCATGGTGTAACAAGGCCTTGTCGCTGTCAACGACCTAGGCTCGTGACATTTCGCACAGTCTCGTCAAATCATGCAAGCCGGCTTTGTAATAGAAGAATTTCCCCGAGACAGCCAAGTAAGCCTCGATGAGCCACACCGAATGTGCACGGCTGCCCGTAATACCTCTTGCATGAGACAGGATCACACACCCATTGAATTCTGGAATAGCAAGAGCAACTTTGAATCAGGCAAGGATCAGTCATTACTGCTAGCCGTATTACAAATGCATATTCGGAAGTTAGGCACCTTCCGAATATCTGAATTACGATAAGAAAAGTTGCCAAACAGCTCGAGTGGCCCAGTGAGAATATTTGAGGATCACTCTTTGGGGGTCGCGAGCAAATCTCGATATTACAATATTGGAGGTTTGGGGGCCATATGCTGGTCCCTGCGGATATGTCCATCCCTTGATATGCATGTCAGCGGCCATCCTTGGCATAAGGCCAGGAACATCCTCGCTATTGTTTTCCAGACACGGCATTCGCTGGATGAATTTGGATCAACGATCGATCGCAAAATAGCTGGAGGGCCACCGCCAAGAGGAAACACGGCAGCAGGTAAGCTTCCATCTAAGATCTCCACAGCGGCTTCATAGTGCCCGCAAACATGGACCACATACATCCATATAAATACACCGCCACGAGGAGATATCGTCGTTTTCCGACTGTCACAGAGGAGTCTGGCACCTCTAGGCAACCAAATCCGTACAATAGGAGGCCAAAATGCAATCGAGCGTGCTGCGATGGACGTTTCTCCTCACGCTCGTCTGGAGTATCGCCGCTACAGCCAGAGACGATAGAGGCGTACCCTTGGATGATGACACCACGGTCCAATTACATCTTCATGCCAGATCAGAGTTGATTATGACTGAAAAGCAACTACGACAAGGTACGTCAAACCTGATGGAAAATGATTCGTATTGACAGCTATATAGATCGCGAATTTCGAGAATCTCTCTCTCCAATAGCCCGCCAAGCCGAGAACATCGTTGCAGCGATCAGACAAGAAGAAATCGACTATTTCTGGCGGAGGCCCGGTCCCGTTGGAAGAGAGGATTCGGAACGATTTGCAGGTATGCAGTTTCAGAAAGCCAGACCATTCATCCTAGAAACCAAATTGTGGGAGATTGTCCAGCGCATGCCGAAAGGTTCATTGCTCCATGTGCATTCTAGCGCCATTGTCCCTTTCGACATTGTCTACAACGCCCTGCTGAACACCGAGGGTATCGTCATATCGTCTTCTCAGCCAATTGATTCGGAGGTCGCGCAGAGGAACGCCACCATCACGTTCACGCACATCAATACGACGATTGAGACTGTTTCGCCCTCCATTCACGAAGCCAGCTACGTGCCAAATACCGAGATTCCCATCAGCGCTGCAGCAGCCAGTTTTCCTGGAGGCCGAGGAGCCTTTATTGATTTCCTGAAATCGAAGTCAACAATCACGTATGACGAAGCAACACGCCATGACCTGGGAGTCGACGCCATATGGAGAAAGTTTCAGAGCTGTTTTGGACCTGCTGGCGCCGCAATGAATTACGAGCCGGTTTTACGAACTTATCTTCGGGCTTTATTCGAGGGACTCGTCGACGATGGCATCACTTGGGTTGAGCTTCGCAGTGGTGGTTCCAGCCCATCACTCATCCCGGAGGGCGAAGAAGACGTTGACCCAGACCTGGATTTCTGGTGGCGTGTCTTCCTTGAAGAAGTCGATAAGTTCAAAGCTACCGAAAAAGGTAAGGAGTTCTGGGGGGTCCGAGTGATTTGGTCGGACATCAGGTCCTGGAATCGGACAGTGATCATCGATGCCATGAAAGCTGCTATGCAAAGGAAGGTAACATTCCCCGAACTCTTTAGTGGCTATGATTTGGTCGCACAAGAGGATCTCGGCCGTCCACTGGTCGATATCGCCCCGGAGTTGATCTGGTTTCAAGAACAAACGGCAAGCCTCAACATCTCAATGCCGTTTTTCTTCCACGCGGGCGAAACCTTGGGTGACGGTAATTCAACGGATAATAATTTATTTGACGCGGTGCTCTTCAACAGTCGCCGCATCGGCCATGGATTTTCGCTGTATAAGCATCCCAAACTCATGCGACTGGTGCAGGATCAGCGCGTGATGGTGGAAGTGTGCCCAATCTCAAGCGAGGTGCTGCGCCTGGCAACTGATGTCTTGCATCATCCACTTCCTGCGATGATCGCTCACGGCGTGCCGACTGCCATCAGCAACGATGATCCTTCCATCCTCGGCCAGGACGCACCCGGTTTGAGCTTCGACTTCTACCAGGCCATCCAGGGCTTCGACAACTTAGGTTTAGGGGGCCTGGGCGCTCTGGCACAGAACAGTGTTCGATGGTCCCAATTTGAGGATCAAAGCCAGGAAGATTGGGTTCGGGACATAGACCTAGGCGTTGACGGAGGCGGGATCAAGGCCAAGAAGTTGAAGGAATGGCATGAGAAATGGGAGACTTTCTGCTCTTGGATAGTCGAACAGTACGGGGGCCAGTACAATGTCACCGCCACTCTCAGTGCTTGAACAATAGACATACTAACTTTGATTGTGCTTGCGTAGAGCCAAAAAAAGGAAAACATCCAAGTGACAAATTTTGACAATCGTCTCTGAGTAGGGCCGCGCAGGTTCATTATCAGAAGTAATTCTATTTACCCAACAACAAAGCTTGAGATTGAAGCTTATGGATCCGACTCCCGAAAGCATTGGCTGTACTTCGCAGTTGTCAGGAAGAGGTCCACAGTCCCTGGGGGATCGCCCCAAAAAGACTAAGAATCCTGTCATTTCATGACAGAAACTTGGACCTCTTAGCCTATATACTTGTCAGAACCCGGTTTGTGACAGCAGTCTTGCACCTCACATTTGGATCTCACGGATTTCTGGTGGGCAAAATTCATCTTTCTTGTCGCAACAGCAAAGATGCGATTTGTCATTTTGGCATGGTTGGCGGGATGGAAGCACCCATTCAATTTTGTCGTAGCCAGGAAATATTCTGAGCCACAGCAACATCTGAGGCCGTTCTCCCCTTCGTTCGCTGGGACAATAACTGTATTCTTCTCTGGAGAATACCATGTGGCATCAAGTAAAGCACATACGCCACTATAGATGTGTTCCTCGTGACATATCAATATTTGGGGTTCTTTTTTCGGTATTCTCAAGATGGAAAAGTCGTCCGCATCTATTGGGCAGAGGTTCTTTAGATCTTTCCGCTGTTCGAACAAAGGAGGGAACATATCAAGGAATGATTTCAGTGGCGGGCTCAGCGGTGATGGCAACCTCGTTGGATCGGACGCACGTTGAAAAGTATTGGAAAGCCATCTCCGAAGAGCCCCCTGGATACCCAGAGAATCGATTGAGTTCATCGGTACATTGCATAAATTCAAACATGAGCGCCAAATCTCCCTGCATATATTTCTGATTATCTTCAAACTGTGTCCAAGCGTCAACCATCCTTTGGATTGGCCATCCAAAATGCCGCGAGATCTGGGTGAAGAACTCAGCCCATCATTCTTCTTGCTTCATCCTTATCGTGGGCGGAAGATTTCACAATGCTGGAGACGATTGTGGTAAAACTCTCCCACGAGCATTTTCGGTCTCCGCAAACGAGAAGAACGTCCCGTCCAGGTGTCAGGGGCAGGCTCGTCAGCGAGTTGTAAAGACGTCAAAAGGGTACCTATCTATCTATATAGGTGCAGGAGCGACATCGACTTCCACGCTCGGAACTCGAATAGGGGTATCCTGCGTAACACATGCTATATACATGTTCTTGGCATGGGGTCTTGGCGCCCCATGACACCAGGACTATTTCCTGAATGACCCACACCTTCAAAAATATGGCCAGAGACAAAATTTGTGCCAGGTAGCCCGAGAGTGATTTGGGAATAACTGTTGATTCAGTGAGGCACCCTTTACGATACTGTGGACCATCTTTACTCGGTTAGGTTGACGGAAGATGGTGTTGTAGGGTTGAACAAGTAGCTAGCGCCCCTTTTTGGGATATAGGGGTAGGAATAGGAGAAGAAAAGGGGTAAACTAAACGTGTATAAATCTTAGCAACCTGGCAGGAAAGGAACATTTCTCATGAACTGGATCTGCATAACATATCGAGCTAGGGTTCGAGGGCCGCCTCGCAGCATGAAGGATGTACGAGAACGCGTAAGGCTGGGGCGCACCTTTAAGGCGGCATCGCGCTTGTCCGAATCTGATCTAGATTTCTTGGCGCCTTGCTCTACTCATATTGAGCCTGGAACTTTTTTTTTCAACGCAGGATTGTTGCTTGTACTAACACCATCCAAACACCACAGAGGCGGACTCATGCTCACTCCGAGATTCTTCTGACGCGCTGTAATACTATCCAATTCAACTTCGACTCATCTCATCATGGCCTCCGCCCTCCGCCCTTCTCTTCGACCGAATCACCTACCCAGCTTACCTTTGCCCTTTCCCACCTCAACGGCCACCCCCACCATCGTAACATATATCTGCCAATCGTGCCGGCATGCCCGTCTCCTCAAACGCCCGAAACGACCCTACACATTCACTCAACTCGTAACCCTCTCTGACGGAAGCGCTTTCACTATACGCACTACATCACCAATCCCCGTGTACAGATCCACGCGCGACACACGAAACTCGGCTCTCTGGAACCCAACCTCGAAGGAATTGCTTAGTGTCGAAGATGACGAATCGGGCAGACTAGCTGGGTTTCGTGCGCGGTTTGGAACGGGCTTCGATAGCAAAAAGGAGACAGTCGCCGTCAAGAGTCCGAGCCCGAGCGTCGATACTGTTAGCACTGCTGCACCTGCTCCGCCACAGGCTGGGATTGCGATACCAGGAGAGACCAGAGCCCCGACTAAAGAGCCAATATTTGAAGATGAACAGAACAATTTTGAAGAAGACGATGTCAATTTGTTGGATTTGATTAGTTCGTTTGGTCGAGAAAATACTGAACAGAGCCCATCGCCAAAGGAGGCACCAAGTCAAGGTCCAACACCGAAAAAGGCCGGGAAGAAATAAGAACGAAGGCTAAGACGGCAGCATGAATGGCCTGGGCATTGGTTTTTAAACGAACGAACTTAGTTGTGTTATATGTATACCTAGGTGTATATCGTGGGCATGGGTATGAACGCATGGCATGGAGCGTGGCATTGATGGTGTTGTACATCTAGAACGGAGTTCAAAATCCGTCCAGAGGGGTTCAAATGCGAAATCCTATCTCCCAAGGCATCAACATGTTCCAACCGTATATTGAAAAGGGCCTAAGCAGAAATCCGCGCTTTCCAGCTCCACGGAACTTTGAAGATGGTTGTAACTCTCATGTTCCACTCCTTCTGATTGCAGCGAGATCTTTCCGCTCGGCAGGAACACTCGTCAGGTGTCTTTACTGGATTGATTGGCTGCGTCTTTTTCATCAAGTGGGACTACTTCCAAGTCTCACTCACATATTCCTGACCCTCCGGTCAATAGAATCTCGAGGATGAAGAGGCCGAAGAGTTCCCAAATCAATTTTAAGAAGGCATCTAGGTAAGTGATATATATAATGTTTTCAAACGAAATCCCCGATCATTGGTAACTATCAACTGCCACCTACAGGAGAATACTCCGTACCGGGTGTTATATAGATCCTCTCGCCACGTCGAGAAGCTCAATGCTCAAAGCCTGGCCTTACCAGCGCTCGCAGAAGAGGTCAAATCAAATCGGTCCAAGTTCATCACCTTATCCCAAGCAGTCACAAAGTCCTTGACAAACTTCTCCTGTCCATCCAATTGGGCATACACCTCGGCAACAGCACGCAACTCGGCGTGAGCGCCAAAGATCAGATCGTTGCGGGTGGCGGTCCATTTCTTCTGGAGCGTCTTGCGGTCGACGCCCTCGTAGAGCTCATTGTCGGGGCTAGCGGGCTTCCAAGCCGTGTTCATGTCGAGCAAATTGACGAAAAAGTCATTGGTCAGTTGACCGGGACGCTTGGTCAAGATACCATGAGAGGATCCATCCCAGTTGGCGTTCAGGGCACGCATGCCGCCCACCAGCACCGTCATTTCTGGAGTGGTAAGCGTCAGCAGATGCGCCTTGTCGACGAGAAAGTGTTCAGTTTTGACACGGGATGTCGATTTGCCGTAGTTGCGGAATCCATCAGCCAATGGCTCCAAATAGTCGAAAGACTGAATGTCGGTTTGCTCCTGCGAGGCATCCATGCGGCCGGGGGTGAAGGGCACCGGAACACCTGCCGCCCTCTCGACGGCGGCGCATCCTGCCAGCACGATGAGGTCGGCCAGCGACACCTTCTTGCCGCCAGTCGCGGAAGCGTTGAATTTCTTCTGTACGCCTTCCAATGTGCTCAGCACTTGGCTCAGCTGTGCTGGGTCGTTCACCCTCCAGTCCTTCTGGGGGGCAAGGCGGATGCGGGCCCCATTGGCGCCACCACGCTTGTCACTACCGCGGAAAGTGGAAGCCGATGCCCAGGCGGTGGAGATGAATTTGGTGGGGTCCACCCCGGTGGCCAGAATCTCTTTCTTCAGAGCAGCAATGTCCTTGTCATCGATCAGAGGGTGATTGACCGCCGGAATGAAATCCTCCCAGAGCAGCTCCTCGGCCGGGATTTCCGGTCCGAGCCAGCGAGTTCGCGGTCCCATGTCACGGTGCAACAGCTTGAACCAGGCACGGGCGAATGCGTCGTGAAGCTGATCTGGATGCTCGAGGAAGCGACGCGAGATCTTCTCATACACGGGATCGTAGCGCAGCGCCAGGTCGGTCGTCAGCATTCGCGGCAGGTGCTTTTTGTTAGGATCGTAAGCATCGGGGATGATGGCATCAGCATTCTTCGCCACCCACTGATTTGCACCAGCCGGACTCTTCGTCAGCTCCCACTCAAACTTGAACAGGTACTCCAGAAAGTTGTTGCTCCACTTGGTGGGAGTCTTCGTCCAGATCACCTCCAGGCCGCTAGTAATGGTGTCGGGACCCTTTCCGGAACCGTATTTGTTGCCCCAGCCCAAGCCCTGTTGCTCGAGGCCTGCCGCTTCTGGTTCGGGGCCGACGTTACTATCAGGAGCTGCGCCGTGCGTCTTACCGAAGCTGTGACCCCCGGCAATCAGGGCAACAGTTTCCTCATCGTTCATGGCCATGCGGCCAAAGGTCGTGCGGATGTCTCTGCCTGCAGCGATGGGATCGGGGATGCCGTCGGGGCCTTCGGGGTTCACATAGATCAAGCCCATGTGGGAGGCTGCCAGCGGCTCTTCCAAGTTACGCGAATGGATGTCTTTGTAATTTTTCTTATGTTCTTCAGAAACCACCACGCCATGCTCCGCCAGGCCTGCTTTGCCGTCCGAATAGCGAGCGTCATTGCCCAACCACGTCGTCTCGGCCCCCCAGTAGACAGCCTCCTCAGCCTCCCAGGTATCCGGGCGGCCACCAGCAAAGCCAAAGGTTTTGACGCCCATGGATTCGAGTGCCACGTTGCCCGTGAGGAGCAACAGATCCGCCCAGGAAATCTTGTTGCCGTATTTCTGTTTGATGGGCCAGAGCAAGCGGCGTGCCTTGTCGAGACTGACGTTGTCGGGCCAGCTGTTGAGCGGTGCGAAGCGTTGTTGGCCCTGTCCACCTCCGCCACGGCCGTCGGAGACGCGGTAAGTGCCAGCGCTGTGCCAGGCCATGCGGATGAAGAGACCGCCGTAGTGACCAAAGTCGGCGGGCCACCACTCCTGTGAATCCGTCATCAGGGCATGCAGATCCTTCTTCAGCCCATCATAGTCCAAACTCTTGAAGGCCGACGCATAGTCAAAGTCTTTGCTCATCGGGTTGGTGACCGAGGTGTGCTGGCGCAGGATGTTGAGTCTCAACTCATTGGGCCACCAGTCGCGGTTCCGGGTGCCACCACCGCCGATGTTGGCGTTCTTGATAGGACACTCGCCCATGGTTTCGTGGTTTTCGTGGTTTCGTCTCAGTCTGTTATCGAAGATGGAGGATGTAGTAGAGGTATGGAGGAGAAGAACAAAGAGCAGAACAGGTCAGGAGAGGATTCCCCCGCGCTTCTTAAATGTGCCCCTCAAGCCGCTCAAACATTCAATGATGGGAAGCTTATTAGTAAACCGAGGAGCCCCTCAAAATATCAGCGTCTAGGGCGTTCAGGGATTGTCATCTTCGTCATCTTACTGGAGATGGCATGATGGACGGCATGTACCACCTGCCCCTCCCCACCTCTCCCGATGAAGCAAGTGGCACCGAGTGGCATCTCTTTGTATAGATCGCGTAATTTGAAGAAAAACCATCACTTACAGCGACCAGGTTTGGACAGTTGCAAAGTTAGTAGAATCTCTTAGCTCCAACTAAAAAGAGAAAGATTTAGACATTACCTGCAATGCCATTGGTGTAGACGGCAGACGAACACATCTCTCCCCAAGGTAGAAGAACCCTCGAATAGAACGAGCCGAATCCCGCTCTTCTCCGGCCCTTGCATCAAATTTTGTTTCAAGTGGCCTGAGTATTCTCACGGCAGAGCTCGAAACAGTGGGAATTCGGTAGTCCGTACGGTACCCGGTGGATAATCTGGTGACTGCTCGCTATACCCCGCTCGCTGTCGTATACCCGAATCGGCATAAAATTGGGTGATATCCCTCGCAACTTTGCAGCCAAGGAACCCGAGAGTGGGCCCGGAGGGCCTCTGAGCCTAGCACCTAGGTAACCAGTAGATTGTGAGACCGCGAATAGTTACGATAAACTCAGGGGACCCACGACTGCGTCCCGTATGAATCCATCATCCACGAACATCGATATCGCACGCGATTTCCTTTTGCAAGCATTCCTTTTCAACGCCAATCAAAATGCCACTTCTGGGTATTCCGACCGAGTCGGTCCCACTGTCTTGTAGATCCGAGAAATATGCCGTTAGGAACCCCTTGTTTTGAGGAGTACGTCGATTCAATCAAAACAGAAAAGATGGATGGACTTGATTCGCCTTTCTTCCTTTTTTGCACGTGGGAGGAAGGAGGAAGTCGGCATGCTCGTAGCCAGCGCTCTCAAGGGGGGTTCGGAGGGAGAGTGAAAGGGGGTTAGAAACTGATGGAAGGGCATCCATCGATCAGTGATACCAATCCGAGATCCTTACAAAGTAAAAGTGAGTGTGTGCGGAAGGCAAATCATGGGTAGGTGACTTTAAAGCGGCATCAGATTTTGCTTGGTTTGAGATGCTAATTTGACTCCTGTCCGGTGGGACCCTACCCGTTAATATGCGCAGAATACCAGGTTGTGTCACAGCTGCCCAGTAATGAAGTGGCCATTATCAAAGAAGAAAGTGTCAAAGGTAAAAATAAAAACACCCTCTCGCCCTTGCCAAAATACAATGCGATGTTGATTCATTTCAACAGGATGGCAAGGCTGACTCTGCAGCTGAAACCTCAGCCTCACCCTGGCAAGGAGACCCCCCTTACTCGACCGAAATTCGAAACTTTCTCGATGGACGTGATGATTATGACCCATCTGTAATGGATCAGGCTTGGACAGAATGGACCAACAAGAGAAAACTGTTGATGGAAGGCACCTTTCTCGAATCCTCACCATCCACCGGCACAGCAGAACATGTGGGAGTCTGTGTAAATCTCGACGAACGACAGGGCATGATAGACAAGGTGAGAGCCACTTTGTTCTGCTAGCCTTTTTCCCCACCATACTTCCAATGTTGTCAATGACCTCTCTCTCTCTGAGACCGATGCTATTTATGTTGTAGACATTGCCACATTGATCGACAATTATTTCACTACACTAGAGCGGTTGTATCACTGTGCCCGAGACTCCGGAATCAAGTCATGCCCCAATCGTGAATGTCGGTTGAACAAAAGATATGTGTCAAAAGCCATTCCCGGCCAGTCCACGTGGTGTACTTCCTTTCTCGAGTGGGTGGTTCAATGGTTTTCCTGCTCTCTCACTTCGCTCATCCACTATCACAAGGGAGGCGCTCCCTTGAAAACCAACCTCTCATTGTCCGTTATGCGGTGCATGGAGAATCCAACATTTGGCGGAAAGTGGAATTTCATCAATCCTTGTGTTCTACCCGATAGAGTGATCTATGATACGATCGAATGGATCTACAGAGTAGAGATCGCCTACGGCCGTGATAGCGAGGGAAAGTCGTCGTTGCAATTTGCACATTTTTCAACTCATTGGTTCCCAGAGCTTGTGTCCGAAGAAGATTTCAAGAAAGCCATTAACAAGGCCAAAATATTGGGAGTCTGTCACAATCGTCTCTGGAACATCATTTCCTGTGGTCCCCGAGGACATCTGGATCTCCCAGCTCTTCTGGACATAATTAATAAAATCGATGCAGCGCAGGCGGACCTTTTCAGACACGGAGAGGACTTTGGTTTACGACAACCACCTGGCGTCATGAGCTTCGCCGGCTCCTCCTCGGACGAGTTTGACCATCGAAATTGTACCTCCGATCTATGTTAGCACCCGAGTTGTACAGAGGCACAAGTGTCCCGAGTCTGAGCTCAACTCCTGCGCTTCGATCCAATTTCCGACGACCATGGACAAATCAGCCGATCGCCTCGTTTGGTATTACCATGTCAAGTCCTCACAATCCCAGTCACAAACGGCGACTTACACACCGACCAAGGCCTCTGGTGATTACATTGCCATATCGCACGTCTGGTCCGATGGAACTGGCGCAGGAAGGAAAGGCCCTGGTCTGGTAAATAGCTGTCTTTCTCGTTTCTTTTGCGACATTGCCAAAACCCTGGACTGTCAGGGTGTCTGGTGGGATGCCATCTCCATTCCCTCAGATCCGAATCTTCGTGCCAAAGCGCCTCGCAACATGCAACAGAATTTCAGTTCGGCCAAGCATACGGTTGTACACGACGAGTATTTGATGAGGTTCCCTTGGAAAGATGATGGCACTCCCTGTCTGATTTTGGTCCTCAGCCCGTGGTTCACGAGAGGATGGACTGCAGTGGAACTCGTCTCGTCGAAAAGCCTCCAAGTCTTGTTCAAAAACCCGGATGACGACCGGAGACCCTTGATCAAGGACTTGGAAAGAGACATTCTGTCTAATCACCCCCTTCACACCCCTCGGCCATGAGATTGCATCCTCAATAATTCGCGGGCTGCAGAAGACCAACGCCGAGAATCGTTCCTTAAGGGATCTCATGTTCAATTTGAAATCGCGAAGTAATTCATGGCCGAGAGATCGCATTGTGGTCGCAGCTCTCATCGCCGGCGTCAGGCCTGACACGGAGGCCGTGAACATGCACTCTCGGATTTACGCAACAAATAATCACCTCATATCCCCACGGTAGAGCCAATCTTCTGATTCATGGCTCTCCTACGGTGGTCGTCAGACCCATTTGTCTCTACCAGGTCAACGAGGTGTCGGAGAAAATTATCGTGTGTGACTGGGTCGGCGTCGTCTTGACAGATTTATCTGACGACTCAGGATGGCTTTCCAATGTTACGATCAGAATAGGTGGAAAAGTTGGCCTACCAGAACGAGTCTCCAGCGCTGATGACGTGCTGAGACTGTATTGCGGACAGGAGGCACTATCGGTCCCAAAAGGCGAGTACATCTCCCTAGAGCCCATCAACAAAGGGTACATATGGAGCATCGAGCATCGGTGCTGGGAGAAAGACGGAGAAACGTACCGGGGTATCTCGTACTACTCGCAAAGAAAAGAGAGGCGGGGAGGAGAAAAGAAAGAAAAGAAGCCCAGGAATCACAGTATATGATCATGAAAAGGTTTCTTTATTCTCCAAAGCGTTAGGGTATATACTTTTTGTCCAAGGAACAATATCAACAATCCAAATATTTACATTATTAGTCTACGTTCCAAGATGCGTCATCATCGATATCGTCAGTATCCAATTCGGTCGGTGGTGACCAACCTCGAGCAGGCTCATCCGCAGTAATATCAACGGATTCTTCGTCGTGAGAAGTTTCTCGAATACCCAATGTTCTTCTTGCTGACTGATAGGATCCTGGAATGTAAGCGCGAAGGAACTCTTCTTTCTCTTCCTCCAGTTCCGCTGTCGTCGTCGTCGCATCTCCCCCAGTTTTGCGGAGGTATTGCGAAACTGTACACCCATCTGCATCTGTATGCCAAAACAAGCTCTGATCATGCGTCCAAAATATCTTCAATACCCGTACCGTCGAATATTGTACTGCGATCATTAATGGGGTGCGGCCCTTTCGGTCTGCAGCGGATGCATCTGCCCCTCGGTCGAGAAGAAGCTGCACAACGCCTTCGGGAACGTCACGACATTGACAAGCGTAATGTAAGCAGGTCCATCCAAACTTGTCCGCCACTTGTACGGGCGCTCCGGCCTGGAGCAATTTGTCGACAATTGATGCCCAGCCACTCTTGCAGGCTTCATGAATGGGGGTCCTGTCATATCTGTCTTTGGCCACGGCGGATATGCCTGCAGCAACGAGGATATCCACCAGTTCCCTGTGTCCATGTTTTGCTGCTGTGTGCAGCATGGATCTCCCAAGGGCATCTTTGTGAAGTATATTCGATCCCAAACTCCACAGCAGTTTCATAGCCTCTGTCTGGCCAAAAGTACAGGCTGAGAAAAGTGCTGTCTGGCCAGATTTATTTTCCATGATAAGGGAAGCGGATCCTCTAACGAGGGCCTTTATGATGTCGACACGTCCAGATCTTGCTGCATGGTGTAACGGGCTTGAACCTCGACTATCTTTGATATTAACCGGAGCACCCCATTCGAGCATCAAGTCAACCAGGTGGATCTCACCTCTTCTCGAGGCCAGATGAAGTGGCGTGGCTTTGGACGGCTTATCCCTGTCCATGGTAACTTTTGCACCATGCGCCAACAATTCTTGACACATGGAAAAATTGGCCACGTCCACGGCGCCTAGAAGAGCGGCGTCGAGCTCAAACAGTTCTTTTCGTTGTAACATGAGTCGAACGATCTCAACGGACTTGAATTGAACGGCATAGGCAAGTTCAGTGGACCTTTTGGGGATTTCGCGGTCTTTGGCAAATGAGTCGAGCACGGTTTGGACGAGTTCCGCATCCTGCATTTCAATGCTTTTGCGGAGGTATTTTGATTTTTGGGAAGCGTCGAGAGGGTCCAAGAGCCTCGCTAATTCTTCTAACTTGCGCTCTCTCAGTGCCAGAAATGTTTCGGTTTTCTTCTCCTCGGTCCTTCCCGCAAGCTTGTTGATGTTTTGCAGCGCCCGTATGGTATCCGGGAGGAGCGGCGTGGTAGAGTGGTCGAGGACTTGGTCAATGTCATCTCGACTTGGAAGTTCCAGATCGGGACTTTGTTCATCAAAAACCGTGCCCAGTGTTTCAAACAGGTTTTCTTCCGTCAGACGCCGCAGTAACTGGAACGAGTCATTTTCCGGGGGTCTCACATTCTCATGCTGTGTTTCTCGAGGAGCCTCCATCCAAGAAATCACAAGACCGTTGATATTGGGGGCCAGATGGCCTGCCTCGCGAAGATGATCCTGCCAGTGTCTGCTTGCATACTCTTCGGCGGCGAGCCGACCCATTCTCTCTTCAGGTCCTGGATCGCTTCTGGATTCAAGACTGTCCAGCAGAATCTGCAAACAAGTTTTACTCAGAAGCAAGTGCAATTGTCGATAGTTGCACCAGTCATTTGAAAACTTGATCTTGTCCGGTCCCAGCACTTCCGAGGACGCCATTCTGCCATGAATCACTTGACGGACCAGCTGACCGGCAAGATGGAGACCGTCACTGTCGGCGTGGACAAGCAATCGAAGATCTTTATCCACCAAGGACTGAAGTTCAATCACCTTTTTGTCTGGTGCGCCTTTCCACTCAACTTCCGGGGTCCGCGCAAGAATCTCTGCAAGCGCTTGGATTCGAAATGGCCCAAAGGCACAGGCAAGAAATGACAGTATCCAACGGCCCTTTTGACCAGCAGTATTGGCCAGATCGAGAAGAAGACCATCAATTTTCGCCCGATCTTTCAATTCCTCGAGTCGTGACTTCAAAAGATCGCTTGAGAGGGATTCCCAATGGGGCGACGAGTCTCTCAAGTGTTGTAAAGCCAAGTCAAATATCACAAATGATCGATTGGGGAGAGATAAAAGAGTCTCTTGTAACAGCTCTCGGTCTCTGGTTCCCAGTTGAAACCCATTCATCTCCCGGAGCCGCACATCGAGGTATTCCGCAAGATGCCTGTTCCAGGCGGGACTCTTCGGGAGGTCCAACACTAAACATTGGGCCCCGGTGATAAAGTTATTCAACACAGACATGGATGCTTCAGCATTTCCGGTCATCGCAGTGCTGACAGTCAAAAGGGCCCTGACTTTGCCGATTTGGAGGATCATATCCAAAGAGTTCAAAAGGTCTCTCGTGTGTTTGGGGTCGCATTCGTCAAGGCCATCCACCACGAGATTGATCGAGCTCCAGCATGTGTTCTCCAATAACATCCGAAGGGTTGCTTGTAAAATCGCGTAGGCTCGCAGCGGAGCGAAACGATTCAAAGCATTTTTGAATGGTTTCTCTTTGATGTGATATATGAGCACCTCATTTTGATCCAATGTTTGAGTAATCAAAGACCGGAGCATGTGATTGGGGGTTTGTTGAGATCTTTGATCCGACTTGAAGAAATATGATAGATTGCAAATTTTCGCGCTTGCCCGTCGGACCATCGCTCGTCGCGGTGGGAGATACAACCACTCTTGAATCGACTCGGCAATTCTCGTTTTACCACTGCCCAGATTGCCTCGAATCACAAGTGGTCTCGCGTCTTCTCTTTTCATCCACTCCACCACGAGCGGTTCGTTCCCAATCCACGTTGCGTCGACCTGATCTTGGGGCTTTGGTGATGTCCATCTTGCCGATGGCCAATCGATTTTGAGCCTGAAGTTCAAGTACATCTTGTCGATATCGATGGGCTCGGCGTCGAGTGACAGAGATGTACTCGTGGTCAGCCGAGACGGTGGCCTACTCTGCAGGTGAAGCTCTATACTTCGATGCCAATCGTATGTCCAGAGCTCTCCTGCGAGGAGGTCGCGAACCGATGCCACAATCTTTTTGTAGCCCTTTTCTTCTCTTGTTTCAAACTTGCAAATGGAAGAATGGTCCCCTTCGAGAACACCCCAAGATTCTTGAGGATGATACAGTCTAGTGATCTGCGGCGCGATCGTTCGCGGTCCCCGCTTCGTCATGGTTGCCTTGGTCTCAAATAAAGACAACACCGGAAGCGGACGCCTGTCCATCAAACAGGCAAAAGCAGAGGCTGTGGACCTTATCGAGTTGTCGAATCGTTGGCTTTGGACCTCTGTTAGTATTGTGTTGAATCCAAAGGAATCTGCAATGAGATCTTCATATATGTCTGTTGATGTGTTGACTCGGTGTGGCGTACCCAGAAAAATGATTCCTTTGGTTTGGAAGGGACTCGTGTTCATTGTTCTCGTCAGCGCATTTTTGACGACGTGTCCTCCGAGACTATGACAGATCCAAAGAATTGGATATTTGTTGGTCTTCTGGCGGATCTGCTCCAAGAGGTCACTGGTCAGATCCTCAATCTTATTCTCCAGAGATTCGACCGAGTTGGCCAACGTTCGACTCAAATCGCAGTCGTATGTCCAAATGGAGCAGCGGTCCACGTCTTTCGCTAGCAGATCTCGCGGCCAAAATGTATCCGATTTATTGCGCCACGTCCCCTGTGTGTCACAATGAGCCGAATGCACGAAAATGATATCGGCCTTCTTGCCTTGTTGAGGATCTTGAAGGCAACGTAAACGTTGCCCTGCGGTATTCCAGCTCCCCGGTGGACTCTGAAGTCTTTCATCTTTGGGGAGATCCTGTCCTAGCAGGAGGTCGCCGAAGAATGACACGCCATAGTGGACTTCGAATGGAACAACGTGAGGGGGAGAGTCCGGTGAATAGGCCATCTTGAGTTTGACTAGAGATCGTGCGGCCCAGGTCTGCGATTTCCGACTCGGCTTGTAGAATGGAGCCGTGATCCATGACCAATGTCGAGAGAAGAGGTGCGACCACGAGCTCGTGGCCCCGAGAGAATCAAGAAACCGTTCAGAAATAAGATTGACGCTAGAGTCAGCGTCAATGGTTGCCTTTGCGGGAGTCCATCCTACAGATCCAAGTTCTGCAACATAGACCTCTTTTGGCTGATAGGTCGGTGTGGGTTTGATCTCGTCTTCTGACTCTTTTGTGTCTGGATGATTAATAGGAGATTTTGAAGCTAGGTACTTCATCCGTGCTGGCGACGTTGAGGAATGTTGGGATGGGTCCCCAGATTCGGCACTTGGGCTTGAACATCGGACGGGATGAATTTCTCTAATTTTTTCGTTGGAAGTTCGGAGGTTGTCGATTGCGTCCTGTAGATCATTTCGACTCTTCGCGCTGATGAATGCCTCACGGACGTCCGATAGGCTCAGGCTCAACTGCTCCAGCTCATCCTTCAGCTCTTTGTTGAGATCTCGCGGGAAAGTGGAAACGGCATGGCGGATCTCTCGCGCAAGTCGACGAGCTTCATCCAGCAAATTGACTTTGGCCTGATTGTCTCTGTGACGCTTCCGCAGGAACGATGTGATTGCGATAATGTTCTGAGCGTAGGAACCCAAGGAAACAGCTGGATCTGACATAACTTGACCGGTCACGAGAAGACGCGTCTGTGAATTGGTTTCGGATTGTTGCTGGGTGATTTTCAATAATGCGACGGAGGAGTTATCGGTGTCAAAAACGTATGCGCGAGCGCCGCGAAGGGAATCGAGTGTCCACTGCTCATCGTTTGGTATTTTTCAATCATGGAGGGTGAGGCTAAGGACTCGAGGTTGAGTGGTTTTTCCCCCCTCCAAGAGACAGAAAAAGTGTGGCGGTGTTGCGACGCTCGTGATCTGGCCAGAAGCTACGTCAAGTGGCGGAAAGGCACCCGAGAACATCAGGGCCGGATGAGCCTGGTTAGTCCTTGGCTTGATTCCAGACATAGTTTAAAGCCTGCCTGGTTACTCACGGAGACCACAGACAGCCGCCAAGCTCACTACTCGCTAATTTTATCCCTCCCCAGGAAATCACCACATGGTATCGCCACAGTTGTCTGGTACATTCTGCTGGCATCCTGGTAGGTGGTGACGTGGTACCACCTTTCCAGCCTAATCTCCGACAGTATAGGATGTCTTGCTCTACGTTCACAGTAAATCATTGCTTAATTTACCAATCCGGCACGACTGACTCTCGGATCTCACCTCCAGAGATTTGTCCTAGACCCATCAAAAATTTCATCACTGGGCAGAATCGTAGTATCCGCCTTGCTGGCATGCTCCGGTCATCGGCCCCATTCTGAGCATCAATTGATTTTAGCCAGGCTTGCCGGTTGAAGGAATTGTGGGCCGCCAACAAAGGTCAGGTCTTTCATAATCTGATGCCCATTTTCTTCAAGCCTCCGCAGATAGTCGGGATGAATGTCAATCGGGACAGCCTTGCTCCTCGATTTACTTGGGCTAATCGTCACAATTCTTTCCCTACTCTCTCTACCACGCACAGTCTTCCAGACTTCCTTGATTCTATCCCAAAGGTCAATGTCGCCCTCTTTGATATTGATCACCAGTTCAAAATCCCCTTGGTCCTCGCGACCTATGAGCATTGCCACTTGAAATTTACTGATTCCTGATGACTTCTTCGCTCTCTCGTCTTCCACTTCTGCCGTCCAGTATACGCCATCTTTCTTGGTGGGCCGTCCCGAGAGAGTATCTGCCGTGGGAGTGGCCTGCAATGTATAGCGGTATGTCTCAGTCCACTCGTCTGAGTCCTCGGCAGTCCAAGTAAGGCCACCAGAAACGATGTCGAACGGTGCTGGAGGGCTGACGTTGAGAGAAGGCTGGATCGAGCTTTTCTTGGTCTTTTTCGACGTGACTTCGCTCATATAGACCCAATCTGGTTCATATAAATCCTCCACCCAGACACCGTGACCCGGCGTGCTGATTGCATTTTTCCGCACTTTGAAACTAGGTGAAAAGAAGTCAAAGCGACGACCTTTGACTCGAGTCCCAATATCAAAGCGGAATACCAGCAAGGTAGCCGGGTTTTGGGAAGGACCATCTAGGAAGCCATGAATTTGGTGGATGCATGTCACGTTCACATTCTTGTCTGAACCGGCAAAGTGTGCAAATGTCTCATCTCCCACGGATCTGAGCTCGCCTGCCGCTACGTCGAGCGTTAGGTCGAGATCGTCACCTTCACGAAGTACCATAGTTGGCTGAAAATTTGTAGTTGCTTCAACACAAGTTTCAGACAACAGACTGATCAGTAGGGAGGATAAATGCCGTACGCCCACGTTGAACCTGCAAGAATCAGTCCTCCCCCAAGAGTCTCAACGATCAGGCTGAAGAATACCTTGAGCTTGCCTGGCGGCTGAAACACGTGGACCCGTCTCATTATGCCATATTGGGATTAGGAGAGTGGACAACAGGTCAACACGGTCAGGCTGGGGGCCGAAATTTGTCGGTGGGTAGGGGGCTGGGCCGGTGTTTGTCTTGCATTTCTCCAGCGCAGGCCGGGCGTGAAGGAGCATTCTCTCAATGGTTTCGACGCTTCGGGTGTTGAGTCGAGAGGATGATGGTGCCAGAACGACAGGATGGCACAAGACTGGAGGGAGCGTGCGCACAAAGCCGTCGACACGGGCCCTGCCGCACTCCGCGACTTCCTTCGCCTGAAGGGTAATGACCCGCGTGACGACCAAGCTGTCGACCTCCTGGACTACATCCACACACAAGGGAGGAGCAGTGGTCTCCAGAATCTTTATAACGTCCTGTTCGACGCTATCAGAACCCCCAGCGGGCAGCACCGAGATCGATTTCAAGCAACCCAGGGCCAAAACGATCGAACCGAGCGAGAGAGGCGGAGACGACCATGGCATTATCCTGGACTGTCCTTGTACGGTGTCTTCAAGCTTTCGATGGACAATGATGTTAAGAACGCGCTGGGAAGCAATAAAACACCCACACCCTCAACGTTGACATGGTTGATCTGGGAAAATGCAAAGGAGGAGCTTTACTGCAGCGGTGCCATCATCGCATGCGCCACATCCGGGTTCGATATTTTGCTTCAGGAAGTGGTGGAGAAGCTAAAGGAAACACTGGAGGGACGGAAGCAAGAACAGCTTGAGATCCTGTTTCAGACTCTAGGAAATTCCAGTTCTGATTTTACGGCTCTTGGGAGCGCCATTGTCAACCGAACCGTCAATTGCTTCAGCACACTGTGCTTCTTTGAAGGGGCTGCCGAATACATCTTGTCAGAGGAAAATGTTGTGACCGGGAGCGGCCAGAGAGAACCCTTGCTCCATTGGACCTTACAACAAATCTCCGCAAGGCTGATGAGGGAAAGCTTTGTCAACGATGGGAACGACACGGTCTCCGACGAAGACGAAAAGTTAATGGAAAGGATAATCGCACTCCAACCTCGATTACTTACTCAGCATAACGCAGAAGGCCTTCCACCCTACATTGCAGCACTGAACATTCAAGAGGCGCTTCGTACTCGATCTGGAGCTTCGGGATACCAGGGTCTGAGCCAAATTATCAGGGACGGAATCCATGGTCAACTGAAAGACCCCGACGACTGGCGGCGTGCCTTATATCCTCATTCTGGTAAGAGCGAATTGGGCTCCCTCGTTTCTTCTTACGCGTCAGGAGATGATCAAAACATCCTAACAATGCTCAGATCTAGGTACTGGTCGCGTATCCTCGCCTACCATCGTGGCTAACCACAACCAGGTAAAGAAGTGAGCCTTGACTTGTCTGATTTCAACTATGGATCCCACTATTTTTCAAACTTCGTCAGCCACTTGGAAGAATTCAAAGATCGACTCAAGTCCTATGGCAAAAAGTGGGAATTTGAAGAGACCCTTCTCTACCTCATACTCCCCAATCTTCCCAAAAAGGAAGATCACGCTGGCCTGGCCAAGTTCCTATACTTTCTGAAAGAGAAGAATGTGAACAGAATTGTGAAACTAAAACTGCCCGACAGCCGTGGTCTTTACACCCATCAGTTTGTACATCAACATATCTTGAGTCTCTTCGAGATTGATGAATTTGACTGGGTAAGACTAGATGTTGCTCTCGATGGCTTCGGAGCAAATGCCTTTTGGACACACTGGTTAAAGAGGGTCAATTCTGTGCCATTTCTCAACTGGCCTTCCGAGTCTCCGACACCAAAGACCGAAACAACGCATCTTCGATCCATTCACCTCTACTCAAACGACGGCAAATTCTCAGACAACTTGATCGCTTTCAAGGCGCCGAAATTACTCCATTGCATGCAAGATGTATGTCTGTCTGAGTTCCGCTCCCCCGACACTCTTTGTCTGCTGACAAAACCTCCAGCTTCAAAAGATCCACTTAAACTTGGTCGAGCCCAAAGATAAGGTGGGTACATTTCGAGTTTTGGATGCAAAGCTTCGTCAAACTCACCTTCCGCCAGACATCCTTCAACCAAGAACAAGCTATGATCTATCGCGACTCCGTCCGCCAGGATGCCGGGCATTGGAATGGTGGTGTCACATTTACGGAAGGCGAGCGTATATTAAGTTGGAAAGAGTTCAGTATTGAGCTCGAATCCTCCGTTTCGCAGGTGGCAAAAGAGTACGTCCAGATGCTGAGTGATCCCCAGCTCGCCACTGATCGTCGCAGGTTCAAGTTTATCAAAGACCTCACAGTGTGTCGAGACTTTTTATCCTCCTTTCACAACATGAAATCCCCTCTCGATAGCAAAACTCGTCACTGCTATAGAGTATTTACGGAGCAACGGGTTAAAATTGCCATCATCGACACTGGTGCCGACCAGATGGAGAAAACCCTTTCGGGGAATATCGTTCGGGGCGTGTCATTTGTCAGAAGTGCTGTCGAACCGCATTCTGTTCTTCCATGGTTCACGCCTGGTCATCCCCACGGGACCCAAATGGCGGATCTCATTCGCAGTGTCAACCCCGAGTGCGAACTCTTTCCTATCAGAGTCGCATCCATGCGCAAAGATGTGGACATATACGCAGCCACCGAGGTGTGTTCGGAAGACGATATTCACCAATCTGAGCTAATCATTTGCTTTTAGGCCATCGACTGGGCAATTGAAAACGAAATTGATATTATATCCATCAGCTGGATTATAAAATTACCTCCATCGGGCCCAGGAGTGGCAACATTCAAGGGCGCCGTGAAAAGGGCGACCAATAACAACATACTGGTAATTTGCGCGACGGCAGACATCGGAGCCCATATAAGTGACGATACGTGGCCAGCCAATTGCCACAATGTCATAGCCATCTCGGCGTCGAATGCGTTTGGTCTCCCTATGCCATGGTCACACCGTAATGTCCATGCAATGCTTGATGGTGATCAGATCAAGACTCGAGGACCAAGCTACATGGGTCTGGACGAAAATGCCTATGAATCGGGCTCGTCAGTGGCAACCGCTCTTGCCTCCGGACTTGCATCACTTTGTCTATTTCTCGCCCGAATGGCCAACGAAGACGGCAAAGGGGAAAGGTTCAAAGATCAAAGGGTCATGAAGGTTGTCTTTCGAACGATGCAGGAGAATGATACGGATAAAGTGGTTGAACTATCCAAGTTTTTCGACAACTCGTTTAGACCGCCGGTGGGATTTCAGCGCGGTCATCAACCGCCACCTGACGGGCTAACCAAATTGCACTGGAGTAAATTCGAGGATTTGGGGAGCAAAGCAACTACCAGACGGCCCAACAGTCCTTTACCTGACTCTCCAGTGCAAACTCACCCGTGAAATTGCAATGCCAAGGCAATGCCTCGATAAAATACACGTGTCAATACTGAAAAAGGATGAAATCAAAGTTGAAGTTGTACTATAATAACATATACCTGGATGTCCGACACACCCAGATGCTTGTATATAGACTCTCTGCGAGCGATATTTGAGTTATTTGAGGAGAGCTTATCTGACGTCGATGGCCAAATCCTCAATGTCTGTGACTGAATAGGTGCTTGAGCGGTCAGACTCGGCATCTTCGATTTTTGGAGCGGTCCCGCTTCCTACTGACGAATCCGATATGACGGTTCCGATCCGCGGTCGTGTCATCCACTAAATCAAGTTTCCGCGCGACTTGTCCTCAGAGCTTGAAATCATCGTCATGCATTGTTATACCATGATAGGACGTCGCAATCAACCTCAGAGTCCCTGGTGAGAGCCATGAGCGCGTGGCATTGGTGTATGTGGAACGCGTCGCATCCAATACCTTGCATTCACTCTCTGATTTACAGCTGCGATACATGCCAATGGCTCAAAGAGGAGTGCAGAGGCTCTCCATGTCTGAGATGCACACGTTTGGGTTGAACCTGCGAATTCACCGATACTCGCAGTGGATGCAAGGAGCTATGGAATGTCAGTGGTCTTTCCGCTTGCCTCCTTGAAACGGACCAGAAAAGAGATTCCTGATGGCTTCATTGATCCAGAACGTGTAAGACTCCTCGAAGACCTCCTTGTTCATTATACCAAAAGTCCAGTCTTCGAGAAACCCACTCTTGAACAACTCGTCCATCCACTTCATATGGAATCAGTCGATGCAGCGTCAACCCAATCAAAAGGCACTACGATCAACAGCACCGACTCATCAAATGAAGATGAAGACAACAGCATTGATCCTGTGTCTTCTACAACGGCCGGTGAGTTGTCGAGTTATTTAGGATTATATGGCCACTTCCTTCTATCTGACATGCTGGCAGCTCGCACAGAAGTGCCATCCCAATGCCATTTTTCCACTAACGCTCAACGCAGACTCGACGAATGTCTTGAAGACTCTGATTCCGAAGTAAGTCCTTTTGATTTGTTTCATCGAGAAACATTCAGATTCATTGAACTCCGGGGAGTTCCAAGCATACCTCAGAACGTCAAGTTGACGGATCCACAAGACTTCAGTCCAGGCCAACCATAGTCGCCACTGCTGCTAAGGCCTATCCACCACCCGAAGCTGCGAACTTTCTCATTGAGATATCTTTTGGACATGTACAGTTCGTACATCTCAACTCTAGCAAAGCCCGAACGCTGCTCAGATCACAGCACACATAGAAATGTGTAATTCATTGTCGCCGGAGAATCATATCGCACTGACCCTCTATTACCCGGCAAAAATTCTCATTCCAGATACCACCACTCTCGCGTCGACAGAGAGCATCCAAGTACTCCTCCTTCTGGGGCTTTAGGATTTATCTATTGAGCCTTTAGGCTTTCGTACATTTACCTTGGAATCGCCAACAAAATGTTCATTTCAAATTGGATGCATCGTAAATACCTTAAAGGTATGGATGCTCGAACAATCGGACCAGCATACTGCTATGGAATAGCGGAATTCTCAGTCTTTTTGGGCAACTCCCAAGGGATCGGCACGTTTTCTTGACAGGCTGATGTCAGCATTGATCATTTGCCCAACATTTTAGCCATGATCAAATTTCACTGGAGCTCCTGAAGACGCTAGAGAAAGAATGTATGTGGTCGACATATTTCGGCTGAAATCCGCTATAGATCTTCATTGAAGAAAGCTCCAAAGAGATCCAGGATATCAATACTTGCTTCCATGCTATAACTAAAGGAAGAACTCGACGACATCCTGGAAAAGCGGACCTAAGCAAACACATTGCAGAGATATAACACCAAGCAAAAACTCTTTGCTCAAATTCAACGTCCACTTGGCCTTAACTTATCATTTTGCCCAAGTCTATATTGGACGCCCATTCATCCTCGATTTCTCACGAAAACAGCACTATACAATCAGACTCAGATACTCTGGCTTGTTCCAAAATCAGGACCTTGGTATCAAGGTCCATCCAGAGTGCCTTGGACATCATTGACCTGTGTCAAACACTGCGAGACGAAGCAGGACCGATCAGGGCATCATACACCGAATTCACCTGTCAAACTAAGGGTCCAAATTGAGATGTACTGAAATGCTCTGCTTCTTTGGCAACTGGTCCCACCAGATTGCCAGTATACCTACACATGTGGTTGACCCCTTTTCTACTCCTATTCTTCCCCTACATCCTGCAGAGGGGTGATAATCCTTTCCAAGTAGAGGCGTACTGTCTATTGTTTAACATCGCCTCCTGTGAAGCCGCGTTACGAGTTATCCTCACCCCAGCGGATTCACGAACACAGCCCTCCCCTACGCAATGCATCCAAGCAAGGGATCAAAGCCTATCAAATATATGTCGCCAGGGTTCTATACTGCAAACACGGAGAAATCGGCAATGAAGGAAATGGAGACGGCCATTCTTGACCGCGAACAGTCAGAAAACTGGAGATGACGGTCGATCTGGCTCAGCTTAATGACCTCTTCCACGATCGAGATTTGCTTTGGATGCGCAAAGGTATTGAAGAGACAACCTCACCAGAGGAGAAAAGGGGGGAGTCCATTTCCCACAGCAAGATGTTTGTCGCAACCCTCACGCGTTGAACTTGGGGAGCTTATCGCCTCATCAAAATTTTTGCGTGGGATATGTACTGACGTCAATCAGTCTTGACAGGACGATTCGTCTAGGCTTCTGGACTCGCACGCGGCGGAGTCAATGTATGTCTATCTCAATTTGTCGTCAGAAGTGGCTTCCTTCTGTCTCCCTGCTCCGACTCCTGCAACGTCTCCTTAACAATCCTCTCAAGTTCACAAATCACCCTTTCCACCATTTTATCATCGACAACACCTTCTTGCCACGAAAACCCCAGTGTCAAACACCCATCTCTCCCTGTCACCGCACTCACCTTAATCGCCGCACTGCATGCCCCTGCACTCTGACTGAACAATAATCCCTCAATCTGGTACTCATAGCCTTTTGATTCCCTCGTCGGCGACGCTGGTTTGGGTAGTTTACCAACATTCGACAACTCCATTGCGCATACCCTAGAATGTCCTAACTTGCCCTGCAACCAAGCCTTCAGATCCCCGTTTTCGACTTGCATGAGCGTCTTCCACAACTCATCACCTTTTCTCCTCTGCATGACGTTGGAAATTGCCCTTTGGGTCCTTCGCGCATCGTCCCAACTAAAGGTAGCCTGTTCAGACTCCCGAGAGTACGTTTCACCGAAGATATCGACAAAGGTCCCCATCGATGTCTCAGTCACAGGGGTAGGGAGCCACTGACGCAGCGAAACCGCACAATCTATTTTAATGCTTGTATATTGCGGAGGTAAGCATTCGAATAAAGCCGCAGCAAGCATGGATTGAAGTGTTGATGTAAGTGATAGACCTCTTTTTTTGCCAGTTTCGAGTAATTTGCTAGACGTAATAGACGAAGCGCGAAGGGAGCGGAATTTAGTCGTGACTGGTACGACCTGCGCTGGACCCGTCCATGTATTTGTGTTCGTACTTGATGATTGGGGCTGTGCATGTTGCTCTTGATCCATGCTACGTGTAATTAGACTTGGAGAGCCTTTATCCAAAAAATCGTCCAACGGTGGAAGAAGGTCCATCTCCATCGTCCGTACTATACCATCCGAATTTTCCTGGGATTCCCGGTTTGGATGGGCAAGTGCGTTTTCAACAGACTGATGAAATACCAACGCACTCTTCGTATCTGCTATACAATGATGAAAAAAGAACGAGAGTACGAATTGCCCTTTCGACTCGTCGCTGGTGTGTTCGTCTTCGTTTTCGTCTGTTAGAATATAAACGCGCCAAAAAGGGGATAATGGCTGGGTATAGGCAAACGGTCGGTTATGTTGTTCCTGTATAAATCGATCAAGGGCAGGGGATCTTCCATGGCTACTTTTATCTTCGCCTTCGGAATGAACATAAAGGTTGGGGATGCGAATGAATGTGATGACCTGATTGAGGTCGATTGAAGGCAAGTGCGCGAAATATGGCGTCAACGTGTTGGTACCGAGGGGGATAGCGGAGAGGATTGGGTGTTGGGAAATCACGGTCGCGATGGCGTTGAATAGTGCGGTTCGAAGGTTTACATTGCCATAGCTCATCGACGAAGTGCGTGTGTATGTGTACCATGCGGTGACGGCGACGTTATTGTAGATTCCCAGGTCACTCCGGGCTGTCATGTATTTTTCCACTACCCCTATATGGCATGTTTTATGAGTTAAGGACGAAAAGAGCGTACGTCTAAACCAAGAAATTTTCATGGGATGAGGGTAAGGAACAGAACAAGGCCAATTCGACGTACCGAGAGCACGGAGTTTGCATAACCTGGCCGCATTGCTTTCCATAGTGGTATCAAATGTCCGTATTTGCTTGTATAATGGGTGTCTATCAAAATCTTCCGTGAGAGGGACGTTTAGCTGAATAGCCATGCGGTAAAACGCCTAAAGAGAAGGCTGTGGATCCGGCTCCGTCTCCGGCAAGTCTAATCCAATAGCCGAACTTGAGAAGATTGGCCAGCTAAGCTGCTAGTTGTTGGCAAGGACTACCATGTTTTAGGTGAAGAGATGAATACTTAGGTGAAGACACTCGAAATCCAAAGGCAAGAGTGTATGCGCAGATTTATAAGAAATGGGATCACGCCGTTCTCCGCGGCCCACTTCTATACATGACTCAGGCCGAGAGTGACGCCCTTCAATGGGGTTATCACCCCTATGTAGAATATAGGGCAGAAATAGGAGAAGAAAAGGGGTCAGCTCAACGTGTATATATACCAGCAACTTGGCGGGACCGGTTGTGAAGTAGACGGAGCATTCAATACATCTCAGGTTGTTACCCAGTTTGACACCTACTTAATTTCGGCCGGATAGTTGGGACTATCTGAATACTTGTATGGCTATATAGACTCGATAAGGCACATACACGCAAACAAATAGAATAAAAGGCCACCCCCTCCTATAGTCCATCTCTGACGAACTCATAGATGGGGCGCCGCAGCCAGTGAAAGCTTCAGCCAGACAAGTTCAACTGAAGAGTTTTGAATTAGTGACCTCCCAATGGTATGAACAAGACGACATCATCAACAATCACTGGCTGGAGCATTACGTTTACCCATCTAGGGCACCTAGAAAGCTAGGCCGGACAACCCTCTTACCTTACCTATGATCGAACACTAGTAAGGCCCCTCAATTCTATCGGTTCGACCGCAAGCCAAGTGTTTTACCACTGGGTTACGTCCTTGATAGGTCAACCACGATTTGGTGTCAATTTTGAAGCAGTTTTTGGCGGTATAAATTATAAACCTGAATTTTTTTTTTTTTTTTTTTTTGGATTTTTTTTAATTTTGGAATCGCCTGGTTAGGGCTTGGCGTTGTGTGGCGACGCCAAGAGCGACATTCTGACCAATCATGTAAGCATATGGCTTGGCGTTATCACGTGAGCACGTGGGCGCTCTCCCTCGCCGCCCCGTCATCGGATCCAATCCGTGGACCATATGGCCGGGGCCATCCTCCTCGATAGATGTCGATATCGACATGATCCACAGATCGGATCCAGTCTGTGAACCACTTAGAGCAGCTCTATTGATCACTCGACATGGTTCATGGATTAGATCCGATGAAGCACTACCGCCACCGGATCCAGTCCGTGGATCATGTGGCCGGGGGCCGCCCTACTCGATAGATGTCGATATTCTCGATATAGAGATGATCTACGCATCGGATCCAGTTTGTAGACCACCTCAGACAAGCCCTTACCGATCACGCTTGAGGGAATGTATCGGGAGAGCGGCTACCCACAACGAGTCGCGTACAACAGCGACCTTACTAAACACTAATTGAGCCTAGTTGTGCGAGCGTTGTCCGCATGGTGGAAAGGTACCTGAAAGCCCCCCCATTTTCCTAGGGGTTTGAGGTACCTTTCTATCCGCTTTGCCCCTTTCGCATAGTTAGCGCTTTTGGCGCTCATTGAACGACGTCGTTAAGCCCTTTGACAACGCCCTTTTTGCACTCGATTTTGGCGTTGTTGCGTGTCAGAATGTCATTGTTGTCTATGAAGCCTTTCTGTCGTCTATACAAATCGCGAATCGAGCAACAATGAGGTAAAGAGCTCGCAAATTCTAAAGGTATGTGAGCGTCTCAATTTTGATGTTTTGGTACCTCGATTTGTGCGATTTTACCAGGGGCTTTTTTTGAGGGGGGAGGGAGGTGTTAGGTACCTTTATATCATTGGTTGTGCCTTTCCATCCACTATGCCAAATCGAGCTTAATTAAAGTCACTGTTGTACGAGGGTCGTTGTGGGTGGTCGCTCTCCCGATACTTTCCCACGCTTGAGATGGATCGTAACCGATGTCGACATGGTCCATGGATTGGATCCGATGGGTCGTTGGAATCGCCCTTTCCCTAAGTTAATACGCTGCGATGTTAAGGCTGCCAAATTCACACAACAAAACACAGCGAAATTTAACGCAGATGACATTTTAGTACATCGTGACGAGACAGCAGTGTTTCGTTCTGAAATAAATTACAGTCCATTCGCGTTTCGACTTGCACAGCACCTCGTCCTTTTCCATGCAGAACTCATCCTTGACGGCTTTCAGCATATATTTGAAGTGCCGATGATTAGGCTTGTAAGACTCGACGTCCTGTGCAGTGATGACATTGTCGACGGCGAAAACCAGTAGTGAACCTGCGGACCCACCTTTGCAGCAAACTGGGGAGGAATTGTCATAGTGAACCGAGAGTACAGCATCTCGAAGGTTTGGCCAGTTGCTCCCTTTCAAGTCCGTGATACAATTGGAGTGCTTGTTCGCGTGTCAAGTCTGGTTTTTGGTCGAGCAACCGGTTCAAGTTGTTCAGGACCCCTGCCTCGGAATCAATTAGAGTGCCTACACATTAAATGATAGCCGCTGATGGTCGGTGAGTTTCGCCATTGCGAGACAATGTGATCAAGGACACGAAACTCTTTCTGTAATGTCGTCGCCGGGAAATCTGCTTCTGGTTTAGGCGGCCTGCCCGTTCTTAGCCGCCCGCCGCTTGAGATCTGGGATTCGGATTCCAAGGCGTGCAAGACAATGTCGACGTTGACCTCTCCATCACCCTCATCTCTCTTCATCCTGGGGCCCCTGGCATTTCTGCCCTGCCTCACATGATCGGCCGACTCCCTGCATTCTTAAGTTTCCTTCCAGTCCGCCCTTCCGCGGCCTCCAGACCCTGAGGAAATTGTTGAACGGCTGGACAGTAGCAAGAGCCCTTTTACCGGGAATAGGGGTTATCGATCCTATGTAGGATATAGGGGTAGGAATAAGAGAATAAATGGGGTCAACAAAACGTGTATAAATATCAGCAACCTGGCAGAACCAGTTGCTAAAGAGCAGAGCATTCAATTCATATTCTCTTGACATTCATTGTTTGACAGAAATCTATGGCGCTTCTGTTGTCCTGGATAAGCTCTTAAGTGAACCCTCGGCAAGGATGGCACTTCCGTTGCCCCTTAGAAAACCCCTGGGAAAGTGATGACATTTCCGTTGTTCTGTATGCTGTACAACAGCGTAGCACATAGCCCGACCAATCATTAGCCGTTGCCAGCCCCACAATGTGCCCCCCCGATCCTGCCACAACCCTTGTGATCTCTCTATTTAACGCCCTTCCAGAAGTAATCCACCCAAACCGCAAGATCCGCGACATTAAAGACGACGTTGCCTTCTGGTGGTACAGCGGCTCGGAGGAAGATTTTGTCAAATTCGAGAATCAGAGGCGCTCCAGCAACGTCATAGGCTGAGGCAGTACCCGGCTGAACGGTGACAATTGGCTGACCGATGGTATTCGACTGAGCAGTAGGACCTAGTTGTGGAGTGGGATTTTGGATGATAGTAAGCTCTTGGACTTTTGTCGGAATTGGAGCGTTGGGATTTGGGTGGCTTCTGGTATATGCAGGAGGCGGAGAAGAGCACCACTTTTCGACTATTAGCGTCTTCTGTGCTAGCTTTATCGAGATGATGATGGCAATCTTGACATCTCCTCCAGAGTTGACAATCCACCATTCTGCGTCATGTCTTAGACGAGGAAGCGTTTCAGAGAGTCCAGACTCAAAAACAATTGTTGGCCAGTCAGATTTCCTTTCTCGGGTCGGGAGGGGGCGGAATCCCATATCACCCTCTTTAGAGGAATTAGGAAGTTTGTATGTTGTCCCGCCAACAGGATATAAGCACTCTCGTGAGAGGCCCATTGTGACAAGTTTGTCAGGAAGTCTCACTGCTAGTGTGAGGTGCGCGCCTTCATGTTCCGCTGAGGGCATCAGCTTGATAACTAATAGATTGCTATCCGCGTAATGGCTCATCCGAGTATGCTTCCCTATGCTGTCGCGCTGATGGTCAATTTTTTCAAGGTGGCCTTTTGTGACACCCCTGAAAACAAGGTATTGCTGATTCGTGTGACCGTCCATCAACGCAGCGGACTGCGAGTGGACACGTTCTTTTAGATCTCGGATCCCTTTGTACCTATACATACGAGCGTCTTCCAACCCCTTTAAAGGCGACATCTCCGGTGCCGAACTCTCCACTGCCGTAGTTTCTTTTGACGTAGTTGAGCTTGAGGATGACCTTGACATGGGTGCATATGTAGGTGCCTCATCGCTGGGTCCGCAAATTGTACTCATGTTAAGGTTCGAAGGCCGGAAGGAGCAATGTTGAAGGAGCAGAAAAAGCTGGTAGAAGAATCAGGCAGGGAAAGTTGTTGATGAATCAGGCCTGTACTGAGGCGAGAGGTGGGTGCACTGAGGTAGGAGAGATTATGAACTGTATGGAGAGAAGATTGATTGATTGATTTATCTCAAAGCACACTCTGATGAATGTCAACATAAGTAGGTGGAAAAGGTTGAGGGTATAAGTTGCCTCAGGTGTATAGAGTGATAATGCCAAGCCAGTCGCGGTGACAACGCCAAGCCAGCATTGCCTATTCTGGCCAACAATGAACGCTTAATAAGTAGTCCCTCAGTAGAGAGAGGCAATGGGTGAAAGTGGATGTATAAGTGTCCACACTCTCGAGGCCGTTAGACTTGGCTTTGTGATATGTGGCGACACCAAGGCTTATAAAGACCTTTGGAAGCGTTGTACGCTTCGTACATGCTTCGAAAGTATATAGTCCTCCGTAAAATCACAGCGCGCCAGCCAAGCGCTCACGAAAAGTGGATGGTCTTGGCATTTAGGGAAGAACTCCAAAAGCGGCGCCGAGTTGTGTACCGCAAAGAATTGCCTAAACACCAATTGAGCCTAGTTGTGCGAGTGTTGTCCGCACGATGGAAGGTACCTCGAATCTCCAGTAAAATGGGGGGGTTTCATGTACCTTTCCATCCACTTTGCCTCTCTTTTTTGACGTCGAGGCCTTTCGACAGAGCCATTTTGCACTGGATTTTGGTGGTGTTGCCTTGTCAGGTGCTCTCTATCATCTATGTAGTCCGTCTGTAGCACCCCTCCTTGCCCCCTGACCTCGCTGTTGATCTCTTTCATGCCCATCCTGACGCCCTATGAGCCTCTTGGCACTCTTGGACGAACGCATGCTCCTTTGCCTCTTGCATCTCGCGGTGTGATTGCGCCTCCTCTTACCTCTTCCAATTGACGCTGGCATTGTTGACGCCGAAAAGTCTACAAATTGCGAATCGAGCGACGAGGTAAAGAGCTCGCCAATGGCCCAGGCATGCGAGTGCCCCCAATTTGATTTTTCGGTACCTCAATTTGTGTGCGATTTACTGTGGATTTGAGGTACCTTTCCATCTTGCGGACAACCATCGCACAACTAGGCCCAATTGATGCTCAGACCCACCCTCTGTGGTACACAACTCTCCGCCGAGAGTCTCTCTCGCGAGACATTCCCCCCAAATTCGGCGGCAGATTTCCCTGCAACTTGCGTTGTGTTGTAAAGTCGTCAGTAAGCCTTCTTGCCTTTGTACATATTTTCGCCAGTGTTATCTTCGAGTAAGGCCGAGGGGACTCTTCGCCAATGCAGGATGGGAAGTGTGCAAATTCTTTGAGAGAACATGGAACGTCGCACATCTTTTCACACTTCACATTTCATCATGGGACTAAAATCCGGGTTCGATATCTCTCCCAAACCGATATATGAGGCCGGTTTTAGGCAGGCCGGGTACATACAACTGGTCCGGTAAGGGCAAAGGAACCTTTTTCCGCAAATACCCACGAGCCAAACAAATCAGGTCTCCACCATACGCCAGGGGACAATAACTTGATGTAAATACCAGTCTCTAGCTCTTGCGGTGATCTCAAAGGCCTCAAGTGGAACCCTTGTTGTTCAGGCAAGAACCGTTCGTCGTCGAGATGTGCGTGCTGGTTTGCCATAGTAGACCTTGTTGATGCACCACTCTGGTGGTGTCAGAAATTTGCTAGTTTCTTTGAAACGAGAAGATCACAGCACCTGGAGTCATGTGTGTTCTTAAAGCTGAAGGACTCCTAACGCTTACCAAAGTCCTCCGTCGGGACATATGAACGTATGACAGAAGGTTGCCATTTTTCCATTCTGATCCGGGCCATGATACCGAGCAGAAGCAGGGGACAAGCATGCTTCGTGGACTCGAAGAGTCTAGCCATAAAGGTCGACGAGGAAGGGATGGCATCCTCCAACAATCGAGCTCCGATGCTCCGTTCGCTATCTTGTGTCCGTCGTAGGGTGAACGCATTTTATCAAGGAATGCCGAGGAACAGAAGGGCAAGCGTGATTCAATAGGGAATTGATGGATTATTGACAGTCCTATAAGAGTATGATATCGATTCGATCGCTTGAGGAGTCAAGCGATGATGGGGTGAGATGAGCAGGATATAAGCCTGCGTCTCGCCCGGTCTCTAATGTCTTGGTAGGGTCCGCCCTGACACATTTCGTGAAATGAAGGAAAGGTCTGGTCGTTAGCGCTGGCGAGATGTACGGATCTGATTGGCTAGCTCGCATTTGTTGCCATTTGATTGGTTGTCGTGGAGAAAATGACCGTGTTAGCACACTGGGAAAACATCATCCTTCCAAGGGGGAGCCTCTCATGATTCCGACGTCCTTGTCTGTTTGGTTGAAACGTCGAGTTGGTTCTGCCACACGACGGAAGGGCATCAAGGTGTCTCCACTAACTTTCGAGATGAAAAGGTGAAAGGTAGTCACATCGAGTCCGGCGTTGAAATGCTAAGAGTCGATTTTATGAATGGCGGAGTGGCCATGGGGATAAATCCGACCGAGGGGAGTATATAACTGTCAAAGACCACTTCCGACATTCATGCTGACTGGAAGAGACCCTCTGTTCCCTAGAGTCGATTTCTTTTGATTTCGCCCTCCTCTGGTTTGGCCTTCTTGGAAACGATCATGGGTGGCAAGGGTGTATCCTTTGATCCAGCCAAAGATATTCCCTCTCTCAAAGGAAACGTCATTCTGATCTCAGGTGACAACATCGGCATTGGCAAATAAGCCGCTCTCGAACTCTCGAGCCACAATCCATCTCAGCTCTGGATCGCAGCTCGCAATGCCCAGATAGGCAATGCCGGGGTGACTGAAATCAAGAATCAAGTGACAGGGGTGTCTGTCAATTTCCTTGAGATGGACCTGTCTTTATTCAATTCCATCAAAAACGCAGCGAGGAAGTTTCGCGCCTCGGTCTCCCGTCTCGATATCCTCTTGCTCAATGCAGGTATCATGGGTGGTCCACCAGGAGTGACCAAGGAAGGATACGAATGCCGATTTGGAGTCAACCACATGGGCCACGCTCTGCTATTCAAACTTCTGCTACCTCTCCTTCTCAAGTCTGTCTCCGAGCCCGGCGGAGTGAAGCCGCGAATTGTCGTCACAGCTTCCAGTGCTCACAAGCAAACAGTTTCAAGCGGTATCGAGTTTGAAACTCCTAAGTCGACCGCCGAAAATCTGTCCACGATCGTTCGATACGGCCAAAGCAAAATGGCCAATATCTTGTTTACCCAGGAACTTGCAAGACGATACCCGCAATTCACCGCCGTGTCAATACATCCAGGAACGGTCAAGACGGATCTCTTCTCTGTCGGTGATAACGGTTGGCTTATTAAGTTCCTACAAATGGTCGTCGTTCCGATCATTGGCGTAACAATTGAAGAAGGTACAAAGACTCCCCTCTGGGCTGCCACGGCCACTGCAGGTATCAAGAGTGGCGAATATTATGAGCCTATTGGGGTGGCGGGAAAGGGGACTGCTTTATCCAAGGATAAAGAGTTGGCGAAGAAGCTTTGGAAATGGACCGAGAAAGAACTCGGGGGACATGATGTTTGAGTTCGGAAGTATTCTCCATGTTGGTCTTGTTTTTTGGGCGACTGTTATCTGTTGGAAGCCGGGAGATGCGTGAATACAGGGTGAGAATAAGGGACCTCTTAAATCGTCCCTCGATGATGGATTCGGCTCCGACAGAATCTGCGGTGTTCGCCTGGGGATGGTATGAGCTCTGTTTTCCTTAGTGATGACAGAAACATACATATCAACGGACCTATGCTTTCGTACAGGATTGCTTCCCGAGATCACTACCTTGAACAGTTGCCAGACATCGAATTACTAAAGTAAGAATAGGTGCCCAAACCTACATATTATACTATCGTCTGCCCTTCGCCTACTTCGGAGGTGCGGTGGGACCAGTGTGTGCAAGCCCCTGCGCAGTCCTGATCTTCTCTTGTCTGATTTGTTCTTCCCGGATTGCTTCGACATCTATGATGCTACCTTTCCTTCCTTGATAAGTGCTCTCTGGCAGCGCGTTCAACGCATCTTCCTCCTTGTCCAATTTTCTAAAGGTAAACCAGAATACAATCATACCCACGAAACTGATGCCGGCAATCGCCGTGTACAGCCAGGTGAACAATGGGTCGACCGCAAGGGGAACAAAAGCTTGTCCGATGGCACTGGAGAAAGCGTTGGTGAACCAGTATAAGCCGGTGACGAAAGAGCGCATGTTCTTGGGTGCCTTTGTGAAGGCGTACTCGAGACTGGTAATGGATGCAAAGATCTCAGAGAAAGCGATCAGGACGTAAGCGGGAGTCTGGACCCAAACACTCAAATCCGGCGGACCAAGTTCTGCGATACAATCTACATCAGTAGCATTATTCCCACAAGGTGCTTTGACGTAGATGTAATGTTGAATTATAGCCGCAACCACCATGGACAAGGTGCCAAATCCGAAACCCGCGGTAATTCTCTTGATAGGCGTGAACCTAATGCCTTTTCGGAGCAATAGGGGGTAGACAAACTTGTCACAGATAGGAATGAAGATCAGGAGAGCGATAGGATCGAGATTGGTAACAATGTCGTTCGGCACGCCATCCAGCCTCATGGTACCAGCCTGAGTGATCAAGTTATTCGTCATCTGGGAGTAACTGAGCCAATAGATTGGGAGGAAAACGAAGACACCACAAGCCGCGAAACCTCGCCGGACCTCATCGACCCACGCATCGTCGAATGTCATCCAAGAAGGCTTGGAAGCGACATTGCTCGGCTTTGCATTGTTCCAAGTCGCATCGCTACGGAAGTTGTCGAGGCATTTCTTGGGATTCAAATTCCATTGGCCCTTCATGGCGAAGCCGGTGAGGTGCAGGGCCTTTCCAAGGACGGAGCCCGTTGGAGGACGTCGGACGTACTTGTTTCGGGCCCAGATCATGACGACAGGGGTAAAGAGGAACAGGAGTGTTGGCAAGAGATAAGCCAGCCAGAAGCCAACATATTTCTCCCTGGAGAACGGTGAAGTTAGCGATCTGGTCAGAGAAACTGCAAAACAGGAATTGGAAAGGATTCGGGCAATCCGTACGCATAAACCATGGAGATCTGTCCAGCGAGAGCGCCGACATTGATGAAGAAATAATATCTCATGTAGATGCGGGAGATGGTCATGACAGGGTCATGGATGACTCTTTCGCCGGAGGGTTCGGTGACGACAATGGCCCGCGGGTGGGCTGCTTCGTATTGTTCGGCGATGAGAGGAGAAATGTTGGACTTGAAGAAGCCCACACCGATGCCAAAGAAAATCAATCCCAGGCAGAAGACTCCCAACGCGGCATCTGAGTGCTCGACAACTCCCGGGACGGAGGATATCAGAATGATTACGTGGCCAAAGGTGGCGATCCAAATGGCAATGTTAATTGTCTTGTATCGCCCCCAATAGGTATCTGCCATGTAGCCACCGAGCATCGGCATCACATAGGACCAGAAGGAGTTGAAGAGAGTCAATCCGGTGGCCGCTTGCGATCCATAACCAAGTGCCCCCGCCTGTCCATCGGTTCCCGCTGATCCAGTGGTCGATCCTTCGGGTAGAGGCCAATTGATATAGTTATTGAAAACGATAGTGGTGCCATAATAAGCAAATCGTTCGCACATTTCGACAAAGGCAATGGTGTAGAGTAACCAGGGAACATGCCCTTGAGTGCGCCTCAAAGTTTTCAGATCTTCGTCTGATGGGTACTGTTCTCCATTTGGACCAACGAGGATATTGTCCGAAGTGTCGGAATCCGAGGCATGAGCACCGCCTTTGAGGTTCTCTGGTGTCTTTTCGTCGACGAGACCCTTCTGGGTGCCAGGGAAATCGGCCACTGCCGCTTCAGCCGACTCGAGATTCGCGGCACCAGTAGACATGATGGGTAATCGTCTTCAACCCGATTGAAACGATGAGAAGATGGTCAAACGGAATGACGTGAAGTTGGAAAGATCATCGCCGCAGGCTAATTTAAATATGGGTGCTGCATATATACCCTATGGATCGGCCGGTCGCGCATCTCTGGCGATGCTGGGTATTGCAACGTTCTGTGCTCCTCCCTGAGACCTACCTCATCGCAGGGATTTCCCATGGTAGGCGGGGTAGATAAGCAATCGGCCGGTTGCAGGCGTTCCTCATGTATCGTTGGTACGGCCAACGAGGCTCAACGTTGTATCCAGGCTCCCCTTTCTCCTTGGCTAGACCTGAGCCAAGAAGATCCAAGACATGATGTGCCGATGGCGCTGATTTAGCAGCCAATTCGATCTCGGAATTGGCTCGATAAGCTGTTGGAGGCTGTAACGTTACTTTCTTGATGGATTGACGAAGTCTTCCAAGGAATTCGCCTCTTGATTGACCTGCCACAAAAGTTCAAGAGGGTTGATCAGCATCAGATATCCCCCAAATGGGTCATCCTGATGCTTTGGGAATCCGTGGTTATCCGCGGTTGGCGTCTGGGTTCTGCTGCAATATATCCTTGTAGCCGTTAGTGTTGCGAATCAGAAGCATTCTCAATGAGAGCATTGAAGATGCTAGATTGCTCGAAAATGATGGGTGATGCTTCTCGGCTGAAACGCGTCCTTATCAACCAGTACTCAGGATACTCCCCACAGGTATTAATGTGGAGTTCACTCCTCCCAGAACATCGCTTTGAGCCTTATGAAGCTCCTTTTACCATCCTTGACCCCGTTAACCGATGCTACCGACGTTAACGATGTTATTCATCATGCTATCTCTTTTCCTTCGGAAGAATTCTTCCATTGTCCACAGCGATGGGTCGACGCCAAATCCCTCGATCTCTCTTCACACCACCGGCTCCATACTAATTGCGTACCTATGTCACGCATGTTGTCACACACCCGAAAGATCACGCAATGTGGTTCCGTTTGAATTTCACGGTTCGTTCTTGACTTCGCTTTCTCTTGAACTCGTCGCGCTTATTTTCGGTGCCAGGCCCATCCAATGAAAATATGATGCTACTCAAAATAGCGGGGTTGCTGGGATCATACTTCTAACCTGGCTTCCAACTCTGTCGCCTTGCCGGGACGGACAAGGTGCTACTACTTCTGCCTAACGCGCCCAATTCAATCTCAATGAATCGCCGTCGTGATCGAAGCTCCAGCTAGTTATGACTTCCCTGGCAGGCACTTCAATGTACTCCGTCAAAACCCATTGACTCCATGCCTTGTATCTCAGTCTCAAGCGTCTCAGCCCCGAGACTGGAACCCACGATGGGTTTTAGGCTGGCCACAACGGCTACAGCGGCCACACTTGCTCAATCTACCTCTTGACAAGGAAATCTCGGAGCTGATATAGAGATTAGTCTGGCAGAGTACATCTTTGTGTGTCGACGTCATCTTCAAATGGCGGAAATTCGCGGGCGTCGTTGAATGCGAGTGAGGAAAAATTTGGGGACCTTGCAACGACTGAACATGATACAGTCTGCAAATATCCGCGTCAGTCTCAACAGATCTGTGGACCATGATGTGGTTATCGACCAAATCACAATGCCTGTGCAGAAGCCTAGTATAGGAGTCGGGCATCCCGTTCTCAAGGCAGATCCTCAGTCGCTTTTGCCTCCAAAAGTTCTGATATGGTTGAAGTCTGAGGCAGAGAATTGTCTTTTCCCCAATCTTATTGCCCTTCCGTTCTCAGCTTCCCGACAGACGGTAAACTCCCACACAGAGCTGTTTGCTGGGTTGGAAGAAAATCCAGTAATTTGGGAAACCCCGATTCGTACATGCAACTCATCGTATTGTCGTTGACCTCCTCTGTCATGACTTCTTCCATTCTTTCGATGGATGGACCAGCCGACTGATTTTTGACCGAGATTCGGTCTCAATATACCAGACCAGATTGCCTTCTTGCGACGTAAATACTCCTGAGTGTACAAGTCCTGAGACGGCAGGAAGCTGACAGACCATTTCCAGGTTGCGAACGGACTGTCCAAAGTCAAACACCCTCACAGAGGATGTCTCGAAGGATTGGTCATGTTCTCGCCCAAGTTTTAGGAAGGAGACCCAAAGATCGTGAGCCAGGCTTTCACCGTGAAATTTGTGCCCAAGTCCGACACCACTGCGCCGCGCCCGCGTTGTTGGAAATTTATGCGAGAGGCCTTGCAATTTCTTTGGTCGGCATCCCGTGGCTAAAGCTTCCATCAGATTGATATGGTCTCTACCAACCAAGTATTGTTCATCTCCCAATCAGCGCCGCATCTCAATGTTGTCTACGGAGGACTCATGAGCCCTAGAGCCCAAAGACTCGGACCCACCGGGTGGTCATCGATGGAAAATTGAGAAACCTGGGAGAGCATCGAGGTCTCGGTATTCCTGTACGTCGTCATGGTAGACAATGCAGATCCCTTGGGTTCGCCCATTGGTAGCATAACTCCTCTAGGACCCAGCCCCTCGTGTTTTTTTCCTCCACGGCGGAGAGCTTTGTAGACATTCCCGCGTGCTGCCATGTAAGGTGCTATGTCCAGAATGAAAGGACGGTCACCATCCCCTCCAGGAGTACCACAGGCCCAGTGGGGGCTCACCCATCCTTGTCTTTCGGCCACTTCGTGATGACTAGGCGATAGAGGAATTCGCAAAAGCTGGAGACATCATGTTCGCATTCGGCAGCCTGCCAAGTAGGACCAAGGATGATCACGCGTTGCGCGGGACATCCCCATTCGACTTTCCCAGCATTGAAGTCGATGTCATCCCGCACCTATATAGATAGACAGGTGCTCTTGTGTGTATTCTTTGGAGCCTTCTAGCGAGCCGATACCTGACACGTAGTGATACCATATACCTTTTGCCATTTGGACAGCCCGCTTCACTGCCGAAGCCGTTTCGGGCATCCACCGACGCGACCACTTGGCGTCGGTTGACTCAGCTCTGGAGCCCTCGAAGGATCCGAAATCTTGTGGATGATTTTTTCAATGTACGACAGATGCGATTGGCTCCGTACGTGTCGACACCACACAAATTGGCTCGGGGGAGACAAGCTGGAAATAATCACCCCATTCGCAGTGAGCGCATCTTGGACGAATTTCTGATGATCAGACGGCTTCACGTAATGCACCTGCAGGTCGGGTTGGATGATTCCATTTGAAGTGTCAAGACCATTAGGACTTGGACTATGAGAATCGAAAGGGACCGGTTGTGGTCGAGTTAACAATGTTCTGTCCGTTCTAGCATGCATTCTTTGCAGTTATTTAAATACTGAAGAGTTGATCTTGACTTTCGAAGTCAGGTTCGTCAAACCGCCAAAAATGGTGTGGAAGCTGCTATGAAATGTCCGCCGCTTCGGCCACGAAAGTTGTGTACCCATTCCGATACGTCCTGTTCCGATTCGCCCTCCGCTCCTCACGAGCAAAAGGCCCTGACGAAGAGGCAATCTGGTATTCCATCACAACTAGCCGGATCTCTGACGACACTTTCTCTTCAATCCCCTCGAGGCTAAGCGGTCTGTCTGTGAGCAAGTACGCTCCGTCATCCGAATCCGGCTCAAACAAGCGGAGATTTGGACAGCTCAAAACTTCCTATATTTTCCCTAGATGTCGACAAACACCTGCTTTTCCTCATCCGTGTATGGGAATTTCCTATTTAACTCGTTGGAAAAAGGAGCCAGGACTCAGCTCACCACGAAAAACCACTGGTTGAAATCTGGAGTTGGAATCGCATTGTGAGCTCTTTCTACTAATGCGTTCAGCCTCCTACGGAATAATGAGTACATCTGGCAATGAAGCAATGACCAATATTCTCAATCTTTGGCTTCTTTGGCCGATCACCTACTCCAACACCAAATCCAGTACCTGAAAGCACACCTGGCATGGATGTCCTTTGGGTTAATAATACCCGAGCATTGGGCCATTTGGGATCAGCCCCGAACTCACCGTGGGACTCACCTCTGACTCTGCCGCTTTACTGTAAAAACCATCTCACCACTGAGCTCTTACCCTCTACGTACCTTCGAACATATCTCACTTAGCTTCACTGAATATCCCTGCTAGGCATTCATACGATCTAGGTGGAAAAACAATAGACTAGGCCATCAATGATGCACGATGGCCGTTGACCACTTAGTATCATTGGTACGTTTGCCCATACAATTTCTTTGAAAGTCTGGCCAACATCTGAAGTACCCACTCTGGTGGGTCCTAGCCGACCTTGCAGCCGACTCTGCAGCCGACTCTGCAGCCGCCCTACGATACTTTCATTCATGTATGCTCTTCGAGATTCTTGCCAGACAGTAGAGCATAAAAGCTTCCCGAACCCTTACGGGGAATTCTCTCACTCCTCAAAGTTGTTGTTGCTTCCCAGTCTCGGAAAATGTCAGCCCCAGTGCAAATCGCGATCCTGATCGGATCCACCAGGCCAAATCGTATCGGACCACATGTTTCTGATTGGCTTTTAAACCTTCTCAACTCCGAGGGCGTTTTACACAATGCTCAATTCTCCATTGTTGATCCTGCCCAATTCGCGCTCCCGAGCTTCAACGAGCCTGTGACGCCTCTATTAGTGAAAGACTTCAATGAATTCGCAAACCCCACGACCAAAACCTGGAACCACGAGATGGCCAAGTATGACGCGTATATCATCGTTTCTCCCGAATACCACCAAGGAATTCCTGGAGCGCTGAAGAACGCAATCGACTTCGTGTACCACGCGTGGTCCGGCAAGCCTGTGATGATCTTGACGTATGGAATTTTCGGTGGTATCCAAGCAAGTCAGCAGTTGCACCAGGTTCTGGGGTCCGGAATTGGCATGAAAATCGCGAGTATTGCTCCAAAACTCGAATTCCCGGGACGTGACGAGCTCAGGAACAACGCCAGTCCGGCTCTGTTCCAAGCGATGGGTGGTAGAGTCGCGGATGGCACTTTTCAAACTTGGGAGGAGAAAAAGAGAAAGGATATCGTAGACGGGTGCAAGGAATTGTTGGAACTGGCAAAGCCAGTATAAAGACATGCAGTTCATGATCTTTGTGTGGAACGACATTGACCAGATGACTCGGCTTCTTTAGATTCGGTCAATTAAGGGTGTTGGGACGGCACTGATTTTCGACAATAGCTGACCTAGGAAGCCGAGGTTTAGTCCACGCCACTGAGGAGCAGCTCCTTCACATATACTTACTCGCGAGTTTCCAGTAGGTTCGATACCTTTCTAGCGTTCTCTTTATTGTCTGCAAGGCTATGTCTGCATTTTTCCCGAATGTTCCGCACAGATCGTACCGTAAATAAATTTCCGCCGCAAAGTAAAAGCAATGCAGTTCCCACAAGGATATAACTTGGGAATACTGGTACTGCAAGGTCGGAACGATGTTGACTCGATCAAAGACCATCCTTGTGGCTATGGTCAGACCAATCTGGTGACTATGGGCCTGCGGAAGCACATCGAGGGAAGCCAGTTTACCGGCCCGGTCGTGGAGTATCATCATAGCGCTATAGGGAAGGTCAACGGATTGCTCAATCTGGGCAAGTTCGACGGAGTGACGGCTCACCTCACGCATATACCAAGAATGGAACAATTCATATGAGACCCCCGATCACGATCCCTAAGCAGGGAAGAAGCAAGCATGTTGATGGCTTTGTCCAGGTTGGAGACCATTTCCCCAATTTTGACCATGTTTGCCGCGGACGGATCCAAAGAGCTATCAAGAGAGAGCTCCAGAAGAAATGAAGCCTGGCAGAGCCTGTTGAAAAAGGACAAGGTAGTATCGAGCAACTCGGATGCCGAAATTTGGACTGGACAGCAACCTCGTTTGGTGCATTCAAGGCCCATGTCAAGCCCCATACTCACAGGTCTTCCATCTTCATCGGAGAGAATCAGACTAGGACAAGGTCGGGGGCACGAGAAAGAGATAGGTGTCCAATTGTCATCATAATGAATGCATTTGATCATCCTGAACCGGGATTAGAATGTCGAAAATTGACGCCTGATTAGAGCTTACCGCTCTAGAATGTACAGGCACCAGGCCACTCTGCACATTTCTTCATCCACAAGAACTCTTTGGCTGGGTACGGCTTGACACTGCCACTGAAATAAGCCGAGATTCCCAGCGATAACCGCAGCTGAAGCAATAGTGGCAGCGGCCGCGACGTGATTTGCGTCCAAGTGTTCATATAAAGCAAGCAAAATCTCGGCTTGTAACATTTCCAGACTCAAACTCCCCTTGGAGGTAAGTGATGTAAGAGACAAGCTTATCGTCATGTACAGCCCATCGTTCTGCTGCTTGTCGTCTGCCCTGGATGGCTGAGACACTCGGGCTAAGAGAACACAGGTTAACAGTAGTATTGAGAATTCGGCATCCTGAGAACTCGGAAGGTCGTCGCACCGACGATATAAAGACGATGCGTCCACAACGGGCAGCCATTTATTGAAACTTTTGAAATAGGGGTCGATGTTCCCAGCGACGTCGCGCTGCACAGATGGTAAGATGTCCAAGGAGGTGCTGCTCCTCCATAAATCTTGAAACCAGACGGGAGGATATTCTGATCTGGGATATGTACATGCCGTAGACATGTCTGCTGCTCCCACTGCAGTCACAATGGGGCTCCAATGAGAGTCGCCTGGTCTAAAGTGATGCTCGCTACTAGCCTGTTCCCTATCTTCCTCTGTGTTTTGCTCGATGCTACACTTCAGCCCAATTCTTTCCATGGTTAGTACATATGGTCAACACACATTCAGTGGCAACTACCTGCTGCATCGACCACATTTCGAGGTTCCAAAGTCACACTTCTTCTTCCGTAAGGTGCATTGAAGACAACGTCGACTTCTCGGTTTTCCATGGTTTTGCATAGTTTGTACCCGTACCCAGGTTCAAGAGCGGTTGCGAAGATACACCCTCATGAGCAAGGGGGGAAGAAGGATTTATGGGAAACCGTGGAGATATGCAGGGGGCCAAATTTCGAGGGTAGGCGTGTTAGGACAAGACTTCTGATCTCTCAGTCGTACTTAGAAGAGTTTGGCTCCCGACGTTCGGCGCGGCAGCTCAGGCAGCAGTGGTAATATTTAGTGGCCCCGTATCATCGACGATTTTCAGTTGTTATACTCTTGAATCTCGGCACACTTTTTTAGATCCTATCTTGCATCGTGAGTCTCCGCAGTCAACATCCGTACAAGTGAAATCTTCCGAAAGATTCATAATATCACAAGGCTCCTTAGGATCCCCCCGGCGTAGGGGTTCTCGGTGTGTTCGGCAGCGATGATGGACTACGCTACCACCGAAGCCCCTGGATGTGTTCAGTCTGTTCTGTCGTAGGAGTGTCCTAGCCCTCACGATGGGGCCTAAGTCACAAGTGATCTCTCACTGGACTCGCTCGAGCTAGAGGAGTAAACCTAAGGCGGCATCACCCTCTCCTTTGACCCGCCAAGCCCATCACACCAAATTTAATGTCACGTGTCGTGTCCTCCACATGTGCCGACCGTTTTTACGGCTCTGGCAAAAGCATACACGGAGCAGGGAACATACCCTTCATCTACCCCCAAATTCCTCACAGACGGCGCGAGGATCATAATATCTGTGAAGATGGATATTGACTCACCATGGGGCGGTAAGCCATTGCTTCTACGCTTTCTCAAACGCTCACTGAATATGACGCAGACGTCCCATCTCAATCCAAATCAGATATTCCTCAAGACTCCAGCACCCACTCTACGAGTGAGAACCGCCCCCGAAAACATTCGCCGAAGTAAAATGTCCCACAGAGTGCTCATATTCCTCCAGATACTTCCACATCCGCCAAATCCTCCTCTTCCACCGCGCCTCGCCCCTCATCATCACGAAAGATCCCTGCTCGAAAGGTTGAAGTCCAGCCTACCAAGCTTGAGGCCGTGGACGATTCCTTAGATCCGCTTGGACCTCTCGGGGCCGATCCTACACCTGCAGCATCTTCCATATCCACCGACCAAGCTCCCACGCCGCCGAGGAAGGAATTGAGCGCAAGAGTTGCCCGGCAGCCATCTGCAACATCACCCGGAATTCCAAGCTCGGATTATGAAGATACCGCCCTTCCCATCGGAAGGCCGAAAGGTCCACCCTCCGTTCCGCCGCAGGCGGGGAGACTCACCTCTCGACCAACTCAACCGAGCATGAGCGTTGAACAAGCCGCGAAACCGACTTTTGATATTCTGGTGGGAGATCCGCACAAGGTGGGCGACTTGACTAGCAGTCATATCGTGTATCAAGTCCACACGAAGGTATGTTTCAAAAAAAGAGGGAAGGGGGACCAGGATTTACACCCGCTGATTTCCACAGACAACCTCAAAAGCATACAAGCTGCCCGAATTCACGGTCTCTAGAAGATACCGGGATTTCCTGTGGCTTTATAATTCCCTCCACAATAATAATCCTGGCGTCGTGGTTCCTCCGCCTCCAGAGAAGCAAGCGGTGGGACGGTTTGACTCGGAATTTGTCGAGTCACGTCGTCAAGCTTTGGAGCGCATGCTCAACAAAATCGCGGCTCACCCAATCCTACATCATGACGCTGATCTTAAGATTTTCCTTGAGAGCGATTCTTTTAACATCGATGTGAAGAACAAAGAAAACCGGGAACCGGACTTGGGCCAGAACAAGGGAATGCTGAGTTCATTAGGGATCAATGTTGGCGGCACCAGTGGCAAGTTTGTCGAGCATGATGATTGGTTCCATGATCGCAAAATCTATCTCGATGCACTGGAGAATCAGTTGAAGTCTCTGATGAAAGCTATTGACACAGTTGTGACTCAGCGAAAGGGCCTTGCTGAGGCTGCTGGGGAGTTTGCCGCTTCCCTGAGCAGCCTTGCTCAAGTTGAGTTGTCTCCAATGTTTTCTGGGCCTTTGCAAGGCCTCTCCGATGTGCAGATTCGGATCCGGGAGCTTTATGAACGACAAGCCCAGCAAGATATTCTGACTTTGGGAATCACGATTGATGAATACGTCCGACTTATTGGGAGTGTGAAGCAAGCTTTTTCGCAGCGGCAGAAAGCATTCCATTCGTGGCATGCAGCGGAAAGCGAACTAGCGAAACGTCGCAGCGCCCATGAAAAGCTTTTGCGGCAAGGTAAAAGTCAGCAAGACAAATTGAATGAGGTTGGCGCGTCCGTTAGTGATGCTGAGAAAAGGGCACATCAAGCTCGGTTACTATTTGAAGATATGGGCCGCTTGATGAGAGGGGAATTGGAAAGATTTGAACGGGAGAAAGTGGAAGATTTCAAGAGCGGTATTGAAACATTCCTTGAGGGTGCGGTTGAAGCACAAAAAGAGGTCAGTTTCATTTCTTACATGTTTTAATTATTTTCTAATCACTTGGACAGTTGATCGAACTGTGGGAAACGTTCTTATTGCAAATGGATGCAGAGGATGAAGTCCCCATCAAGGCTCAACCTGCAGCAAGTGAACCAGCACCATCAGAGACTCCTAAACCAGCAGGCCAACCTGGTGAAGCGACAGAAGCCACTCCTGCCACGGCCGCAGACGTCGCGCTAGAGCAGGATGTTTGATGATTTTTTGCGCATTCTGATAATAACTGGTGGGATTTTGAAGCAGTGACTCTGATGAGTAGCCGGGAATTTTTTTTCATTTTTTTTTTTTCCCCCCACATTTCTAGCCCTTGGCCCAAAATGAACCTTTACTTCTCTACCAATCTCACCGTCAATTCAGACTTCACCGATCCCGTCCGTCCTAACCCATCAAAATCTGTACTAAGCAGAATGGATAACGGGACCAAGAGACGCTTGGTTATGTACACAACATTGCCAACACGGAGGCCTAATAGGCAGCATTTCAGATTGATTCTCAAACACAATAGCGAGCCATCAGACTACAGTTAAGGGAAATACGCCCGTCACTAGCGATGAGATGCCGAGGGTCGGCGCCAGTCACAACGGCGAGCTACGTACTTTACTCTGCCAAACCCATCGTGTCGATGATGGCGTAAACCTTCCAGCCTATCGCTCTGTTTGGAAACATGTAGAGGGGGATGACCGACTTTTATCAAGGGAATATTCTCTTGTTACCACTGGGTCCAACCCTATCTCTATCGCTATAAACACCAACCTACGATGTGAGATGGCATAACTGGCCATCGCTATTAGCACCTACTCTGGGGCCATTCCAGCACCCTGGTTCCGAGGCTCCTCTGTATGGGGATCAGTATCAGTCTCCTTTCCCTTCCCCTTCACACTGCACATATCAGGGCGTTCAAACAGCGCATCTTTGCCATTGCGATTCCAAATTGGGTTGCGTCCGTCGGGTATGAAGTATCTTTTATTCGTTTTTGCATTGCTGGCCGACGTTCCAAAGCTTATGCCATCGCTCGGCCTTTGAATTCATTCAATCGGAAGATTCAAAATAAGGTTGGCAAAGCATGGTCTTCTGACTGTTAGTCTTTCCCATGGTTGACGTTTAAAACTTCTTCTCTTTCGCGGTAAGAATTCTGAAAGACTGTTAGCCCTGATCCGGAGAGATTCAGGACGCGTCGTGGTTCTTATTGAGAATTCTTCGTGCGCAGTTCGGCCTGGACTGATCAGTCGCAGGATGTTGAGTCTTCCACGTTTGAAGCTTTTCCTCGAATGACCTGAATTACGGACTGTCCAGCCATTTTGGACATCGTCGCGGCGTGGAAAATCGCAGATTAACAGCATAACTCTTTTCACCAATATAATTCGCATCCTCTGCTCTTCTAGCTTTTGTGTTGGACGTCTTGACCTTGGCCTTAGGCACCGTAGTTTGGATACCCTTTTTGAGCGCCGCTTTCGAAGGATTTGATGGAGGGTTCTAGTCAATTGAAGCTGTCGGGCCGTTGTGGACTGCGGCGCACTTGGCCATGAAAAATGCGAGTGCTAGATCTGCTGTCAACTTCGACTTTCACACCTCCACCATTTCTTGACCTGCTCCGACTTAGTTCGAGACCGAGTTTCAAATGCCGTTCGTCTCTATGTGGTTGATCACCCCCCCGAAAGGCGATGGACCGATTTTCTACATCTCCCTCTGGCTGGAGTTCGAGATTGATTCATTGGCTGCTTCGGGAAGAATAAGTGGCGACAACACCTGGTTTTCCGTCATGGTCTTGTGAAGAGGTGTTTTCAGCTCCGATTGAGTGTCGTCTGCCACTGTAAGAGACTTCAAACTTCCAACACGTTCTTTGATCGGAAATTGAAGAGGTGGGCGAAGGAGGTGGTTTCGATTCTTCCACATTTACTTTGTGTTCCTTCTCTTCAATTTGTTGTACAGGAACGTGATTGCGACTCTGCCTTCGGGTTAGACGTTTCCTTTCCGAACGTCTCTCTTGTTTTGTGTTGTTTTGGCCAGAGGGTTGCCATCTTTCTCGTTCGCTCGCGGCTTGAAGTAAATCCTGTACCTTACTTCTCACGACATTCGGCCTAGTTTTGGGAAATGCCATCTTTTCCTTCATAACGGCCGCGCAGAACATGGTCATCACGAGGCGTCTCACGCGAATGCTGAAAATCCCAACATGTCTCATCTTGAGCTGACGGCCTCTGAACTAGACTCTCAATCATGGCAGTTCGCTGCTTGACGGGACTGAGTTCTCTTCCAGGCTGTAAGAAAGAGTGTCGAGCTGGATTAATAAGGTACATCTCCTTGTGACAAGTCTGAATTGACCGGCATGAGCCGTTGAAGGTCGCGGTCCATGGGTTTCTTTGGGCTCTTGATCAAATGTCTTTCCTTGGTTGTCATAATCAACTCTGCCAGAGTCTCCACTGCTGCTGCGAGGTAGAGTAGGCTCAGTGCTATGTCTAGAATATCGTCCGCGTGATTGAGACATTCGACGAATTGTATTGCTTGTTTGTGAACAGTTCACCATGTCAGGATTCGGTGTGACTTCCACCAGGCATTTCTCCAGAAAGAACCCCAGGCCTTGACACACTATCCCTCAATTGTATCATCCAACATATTGTTCAGTTCGACAAGGATGTATGCACGTCCACCTTATTGTTCGTCCTCTGCAGCTTCTATTGTCGATGACAAAACGAAATCTTGACCTGGCTGTTACTATCTCCAGAGCCGGATCTGCCACAATTTCCATTGAATGAGGTCTTTGGTATAGTTGATTGGTTTCAGTGGGTCGCAGTAACTTCCATACTTTGTCACAGGTCGGACAGGGATGGTGTTACGTCGACTAATTACCTCATCCCCCTCTTCCATTGGGCATGGTCTCATGTGGACGACCATCTCCATGAATATCCTTCACTCCCATCTCTTGACGCCCTTCTGGCAGGGGATGCAAAACAGGAATCTTTTCTCCGTCCGTGACCAGTCAAGGCATCGGAATCTTTGACTAGTGTCAGAACACGAGGAACGAGATTGATGGTTGGAACCCTGGTTTCGAGTGGTTGAACATCCTGAAAGGCTCGGATTCGATTGGCTACGGTGCCACATTGTGGACTTGCAGTCAGATTAGCAGTCCAGTCGGGCAGTGACTGAGAGGAGGGTGCTGACATTGCGAGCCATTCATGTTCGGCGATAAGTAGAAGCGATATTGTGGACATCAAGAATGAGGCTCACGGTGGAAAAAGGGGGATTGATTGTGTGGGTAAACGTTTTTGGTGCTCTATTCGCATGGGATCAGCGCGAGAAAAGGAGCCCTTTCCGCTAAGATAGCACAACAGCGACGATAATAAACAGGTAAGAGCGTCGATGTGTCACGGACAAGAATTGGTTGTGCCAGCTGCGTACGGCATGATGGCAGAACTCCCCCATAAGGAGATGCCTAGCCACGAGTCCCACACGCGAAAAGTTCACTGAATGTCAGAAATCTTCCACAACGCATGTTGGCGACGTCCAGATGAGGACGAAAACACGTGAAAAGTAACCCAGGGAGATTAAATTCCATCGACAAAAGCAATGAATCATTGACGCACTTCTGACTGTCTTCGCCGCCTTTACTTTGTATGTACAAAAGCAGTAATTGACCCCTTATTTCATTGCCGCCTGCAAGGACTCGAGGACCTGTAGAGTGGATTGTCAGCATATAATGAATCAGAGGAGACCCAAACTCTTTACCTCAAGCTCGATCTTGGCTTCAGCAACATCTTGTTCACTTCCTGTTCCACTGGCAACCTTCTGGGCCTCGGATATTTGTGATCGGACTGCCTCTTCGCTGAATTCCTCGATTGGGAAGCCTTCGACCGCGTTGATGCTCAGGACGGAGTTAGGTTGGACAACAGCAAATCCACCAGACACTGCCAAAGCGCATAAGCATCCCTGTGGTAGCTGGTAAACCGGCCAAACGTACAGAAAAATTGTTTGCTTCCACCACTCTCTTGGATGATTTCGACCAAGCCAGGTTTCAACTGCTCAATTGAAGGGACATGTTGCGCAAGAATACCCATTTCTCCGGACTCGGCAGGAATATTCACTTGTACGCTAGAGGTAGTGGGTTAGTTCGAAGTGGCTGTAGACTTGGACCAAGGAATTTTAGGATTGAAGGGGTCGGTCATAGAACGTACACATCTGTCGCGGTGTAAATAGCCTGAATGTCCAAGTAGTGTCAGCTCTGCCGTAGGAAATTCGCCGCCATTTTTCTTCCTCCCTCTCTGGAACTCGAAGGATGTGAAAAGGGACGTACCTGGTGAGGAAGGGCCAGAGAAAGCTTTATTTTGTCTGAGACCGCATCGGCATAGCCTCTGCGCTGAATTGGTTTCAGAGTAACCGCAGAGCCGGCACGTAGTGCTGCACGGGATAGCCTGAGGGCGCTCATGGTGACAGTGAGCAGAGAATTGCAGGAAGAGAAGCCTGTGGACGTCGTAGCAAGCTCCGATTGAGTTGTACTTCCAGCCTGTAACTGAAGGCTCCGGACGCCAAGCTACGCCTCCCAATACAGTTTAGTGGCCGGGAGCTGCTGAGCAGAAATAAAGTGGGCAGGTCAGCCGAATCGAGGTCGCTTTTGCCTTCCCATCCACGTCTTTGAATCTTTCCACCTCCCTTTTCTTACAGAATACTTTTGTTGAAAGTTGATGTGCACATATGTGCACGTAGCATGGCCATTGACTGACCTCCCAATCTAGACTGTTTCTGAATCAATCCACCTATTTGCCAAGTGCCTTTGGCCTGTGGCCCATCAATGTCAAACTGCTGATGTTGTCAGCATGCGGCACATCTCTTCTAGCCATTCGAGTCTATTTCGATGCAAGTGGCATATCGGAACATCAGGAACGGGCACAAGAAACCTTCAAAACTCAACTTGCAGGGTATCCATGTTGACACAAATATGAAGCAAGATTGGCGCACTTCGGACTGACAGCCTAGATCCCAGGCTTTTCCTGCCAGCATGATCCCAGACACTACGGGTATAGATCGGCCGGCACTAGGTTGGTGAAGTTTGTCCAATAGACTAGAAGCCTTCGCATTAGCTTTGGCATTGTCTCGGCCCCCCGTTTGGCCGCAGTCCTTTCGCCGAACGAGCCCGATAACGGGGAAGCAGTTTAGCCTTTCAGATGGAGACGACTTCGGTCCGCATGATTCGGCCAGGTTTTACAATGAGTAACTTCGATGATGGCTAAACACATATCCATGAGAATGGCCGGTTACTTCAAACTTTTTGTAGGGTGCTTTTCAAATTCCACAAGGCGCAATATACTACCAACAAGATGTCCTACCAAGCTCTAGCTTCACATAATAGTATTATTATGTTCCTGAAATTGTTGGTGACATTGGCTCTACCGGAGTAAATCGAAAGGGGTAACCTTTTGGAGGAGCTCACAGTGCTCTTGTGAAAGGCCTCCTTGTTGGCACAATCTCCATGGGGTGTTCCCCAGGTAAAGCTCGATGGCATCCTTGACAGATGAAATCTCGTAGACCAATTGCAGCCCAATTCTCCATAGATCGAAAGTCAAAACATTTGACTCAATGTCAAATGTTGAAGTATTGGAGGGCGATCAATTTTGACAACTTCGTTAGGCCGGTATGACCCACACTGGGAATGTAATGTAGGGCCTCCAGTCAATACCATTCGATCACTTGTCGACAACATTTGCCAGGGAGGAAGCAGATCCCTTTCGACACAATTGGAAAATTCTGCCGTTGAGGCTACCAAGGCACCCCACCCAGCGGAACTTTTGTATTGTGAGCGGGTGATTCTTCTCAATATTCTCATCCTGGCGTGATTGGGAATATCCATACCCGAGCTCCCCGTGGGGGCCGAAACACGCCTTGAGTTTTTCTTATCCAGTCATTGGTGTAAGTCAGGAGCCGAGGAAAACACTTGCCCAGCCTTAGGGGGTCACCGACCAGGAAAAGCGTACAAGCTTTGCAGCCCTCATAAAGAAGCCGATATGGAAGAGTTTCTCGAACAGCCTGATAAGGTAGAGGCATTGCTACCCATGCTTGTTCCCACAAGGGGGTAGCCGTACACCGGGCAAAGTGGAGGTCGCCAGCGAATGCTAGTGTAGTTGTTGTCCGCAGTCTGGAAGCGTTTGGTTCCAATAGGGTCTGTCGGGGGGAGGGGGGGAACATGACCATACCAGGAAGTTACTCCATAAAAACGTTGTTAACACAGAAGGGAAGGGGGGGGGGGAAATTTAAAAAAAAAAAATAGTGACACCGCTTCGACAAGTACATGGAGATACCTCGCCTGTGCTCTCTGACCTAGTAACCCAATAGCCACACTCTCTCTTGGCGACAAGGTCATGCATGAAAATTCTAAATTCTCCGGCTTGCGAGTCGGCAAAAGTAGTGCTGCCAAGACGGCTCTGATCCGGAATTGCAGAAACTTGGTGGTAGTTCCATTTTCAAGTTTCATGATATCGGGGAACAGAAGCTAGACAGACATCCTTCCAATGATTTCGAGTTGTGGGCCTTCTAGAACTTTGGTTTGATGTTGTCACAGGATTTCTAAATCAAATTGGGCGCTAACATTGCAGGGGCATAATCAAAGGTATAGCTCCTGCATGCCGGCGGGCAACTTGAACAATTCAAATCCTGAGTCAACTCTCTTGTTCAGTGGATTTTCGTCCATTCTTGCAGTTCCTGTTGAATTTCTTTCCCAGCGATCGAGGAGGCCAACGGCCCAATCCTGGAATGTCCGAGCGGCCTGTGGGAGGATATCTGTGCTTTCTTGCAAAGTTTGCCTAAACTCTACGAAGTCTTCCTCTGGCACAAGGAGCTCTTCGTATGTGTCGCTGTTGGCATCCAGGAAATTGCCTGGATCTGATAAAGCCTTGTAAAAGACTTTCATTGCCCGATGAGCCGTAGGTCCCCGTTTACTGCTAGAGTAATAGATGTCAGGGTTGAAGATCCAGAGAAGAAGGCCTTGTCGTTGGGTTTCAGACTTGGTGCCAGTGCCGTCATGGACAACAACTTTGCGACTAACAGAACTTTCAATGAGAGACAACAGTTGAGCACTGAGAAAAATTGCTGTCGAAAATTTTTCTGGACTTTGACCCGGTTCGGGAATGATTATCAGTCTCGATTTGTACAGTCTGTAGCCTGTCTCTCCTTCTTGACAAGAACCCAGGGTAGCCTTGCAAGTAGCGCATTGAAGAATGGTCGTCTCTTTTCTTGAGGGGTGTTTGATCTCCTGGGCCATGTTCTGTCAGCTGAAATGTACCTTGTGCAAATCCCTTCGCGCTTCCGGGCTCAAATACGCAAAGGTGAAATAGGAAGGCCCGTCTCAGTGTTTCTATAGTGGTATTTCATCCATCTCGGGAAGAAGAGGTTGAAATTACCATGTTGAACACATTGCGAAACTCGATGTGCGGCGAACGTATCAGAAACTGGATCAATGGGGATCTCAAATATTGAGATTGAAGAGCTTCCTTCTTGACGCCAGAACGATGGAAATGGTTTCGTACCCAGGGGTGAGCAACAATATGACTTACCCGAAGGCCAACGCAATCGTCTCTGTGCAGCAGAAAAGAAACCGTATCCACCAAACCTACACCAGGGCTGGCAATCACGTTACTCATGGCAGAAAACCCCTTGGACTGGTCATGAGGAACGTGTCCTTCGTGTGGCTTGTGGCAGAACCAAAAGTCCACCAATTCTGCCCAATGATCGCTGGGGAGATCCTTCCAGGTGATGACTTTCCCAGCAACCAGTATATCGGCGTCACAATTTTTGCATCGGTTGGCCGTTGTTTCCGTCAGGTCCCCTGCTGACCAAGGCACTTCAACCCCCCCGGGATTGTCAGTTGAAGACTTCAGCAGATCAACGTCGTCTATTTGCAACCGAGTCGAGATTTCTGTTGTCTTCTGCAGCGGGAATGTCACATTGGCCGTGCCGGAAATCTGAGTGGGAAGATAGATGCTGGAGGATTCACCATCGTGAAGGGCAGTGATGATTTTCTTATCGGAAGATAGGAGAATTTTGGTATGTTCATTCTTGTCCGTCTGAAGAGAAGCGTGGAGGGTTAATTGCCGAATGTGTGTCAACGCCTCGGCGTAGAGGTTAATTTTTGGCTTCGGCATGGTGTCGTTGCTAACGGCTGACGGTTCACCACGTCCCTAACAATCCTGAGGACCGGGGGAAGGAAAGGCGAACATGTGAATTCGAGGTAGGGCGGGGTCAGGAAGTTGGAAGAATAACGCGTCGTTGGGAGTGTGAAGTAGTGATGATGATTCCGTTTCTGGGATCGGAAGACACTAGTGACTAGGAAGGGCCCGCTGGGGGATCGACCGGGCGAGAACTTGTTTCTTCGAATCAGTTAACCAATTAGGCGTGGGCTTGAAGGGGCCGGAGTTCACCTTCAAGGACAAATGGCAGACTGTCTCGCATCCGTAGCAAGTCGACTTGCAGGGATGCTAGTTCTTCGTCTAGGGAAAGGAGCACAAAATGGTTCTAAACTAGTTTGAGGAAATGGAAAAAGAGGTATGAAGGAATAACACGAGTAGTGCTCCAGAGATCCTGGCAGAGGAAGAGCACAGAGGATAGAGGGTGTGAGGAAGAGAGGGGAGGGACCCTGACGGAACTATACCGCCACATGGCAGCCAATAGTCAGCCAAGCAAGAGGCTGGTGAGCAGCTACGCTGGGTACTTCGCAAGCGGTATTTATGGTACAATGCTGCTTGTATTGCCTGCCACTAGGAGTTGCTTTCTCGCGGCTTCAAAGGTACCTACTGGAAGTCAATAAGGACGTACCGGTATTAAGGCACCTACGGATCGTGCAGGGCAGACAATGACTCTCTGCGGTGAGTGGGCACCACCGGACACGGAAAAACAATGATTCATGACTTTGTTTCCGTCTGGCACGACTAACAAGCACTCGACATTGTTCTTCCCCCATCTCGCCTCGGCCTGAAGATTCATCCTTGCGGTTTCTGCCACGGTTCCCCGGAAGCAAAATGCCCCCTACTTCCTCAACACCACCCTTTCTTCCCTCTCTAGCCCTCTCGTCCACCCCAGTCAAAGTCACCAGTCGATAAAGCTTTTTCATGCCTGATACCCTGGCCCCCGGCGGGCTGATAACAATATCAAAATCCACCCTTGCGCGATAAACAGATAGCGCAGCCTTGAGAGGGAATAGCCCCCCCCCCGAGATCCACTAGTCCAATGTTCAAACAGAGTAAGGCTGCTGATGCCATGGGGGAAAACTGCTCGAGTATCCCAACCAGGGTTTCACAACAGATAGCAAAAAGGTCTAGTCTAGTATCTGCTGATCTATGGAAACCAGGAAATCACACCGAGACATGGTTCTTCTCGTTCTTCTTGGTGCTCCTCCCCCCCGGCAAACTCAACTAATCAAGGAACGTTCTCCGTTTGCTCTGCCACCCTGGGGCCTTTGATTGCCGTTCGTACTCAATACAGGCATTCCATACTCCGTACGCCTTCCTCAGGTCCTTCCAGCCGGCTAGATGCACCCACCCTCTACCAGCTTCGCTTTCCTGCATAATTCCCCGTCAAACCTCTGCACGACCGAACAAGGACATATTGCTGGCACACCTTCTGCGCGAGATAGATCAAAGGACTCCTTTTCAACAGGGATGTCCGCACTTGTGGCATCTTGTACCTGGAATGACCCATACTTCTCGCCCTTTGTCCCTACACCGAGGACATCGTACTCCGCTCATCTTTCGCCCGGAGTTTTGTCAGCCTTTGCTGGGAGTCCGTTTCCACCCGTACCTCTTACCGGTCGAGTAAGCACGTTGGGGAATCCATCTGGTAAGGACGCGAAAATGCATCCGTGTCTCCCATGGAATGGGGTGTCGTGAGTGGGATGTTTGCCCAAGGTCATGGTGTGACGAGTATAGTTGGAATATACCAAATAAGAAACGGCCGATCTGGAAAATGGTCCTGAGGAAGATCGAAAGAATGTGGATCTATGAGACGTAATTGATATTAGTTTGGGACGTTGACTTGCTCTCTTTTATATCTCAAGCCTTGCAAATGGGTCCCCGGATGCTGTGGCTCAGGGAACTGTCCGCGTGTCATCTCCCATGAAAGGTGAAATTCTTGCGAGCGCCACCAAAGCTCACATAAGTAATGATACTGTACAAACGGGCCCCGAGTCACAAAATGTATCGTCCATAAACTCCTGCTCGGTTCAAACTGGCACAATCAGAGTTTATCCAAATGCCATTATGGTTTTGATGCCCAGCCGGTCGGACGCCTTTTTTTTTTTTTTTTTTTTGACAATCAACCAAACTGCTGGTGACGTTAATATTGCGCAAGCTGAAGTTTCACGAGGATGTCGGTGTATTGGTATCCAGGTCGATATATATCTGGCTTGTGAAACTCGAGCCTTCAACACCAACCCTTCCCGTCCGCCTCACGCTTATCCATTATTCAAATGCGGAATCAACTGTATCAGGCGAGACTGCGGTGCTAGAACCATGACCGAGCCAGAATCAGAACTCTGCATCTCGCAACAGTAGTGGCCAACAGGATTTAAGCATGAAAACGTTGCAAATGGGTGGGTCTCAGGCATTTTCGGAATCAATCCAGTACCTCTTCCGAGGAGTGAGAGGTGGCTTTCTGCTTGAACACTGTATCCTAGGGGCCATATGCTGCAACGAGACCAGTACAGAAGGCGGGACCTCAGTGCAATGTTTGAATCCGGGGCCACGGTTCCTGGGAATCTATGTGAGGAAAGCCATTGGTCGTGCAAGAAAAAGACTTTGGTCCTCGAGAGGAAGGCTTAACGCCTCCGAGCCATCTTGGCGATGCATAATTCATCAGCGCCAGGATCCCGCTGTCCAAGGACTCAAAAGTAGGCAAAGGTCATGGCGCACATGACTCCTATTCCATGTCTCATCGGACTGAATCAGACCACACCATTTCCAAAGCCATATGCTTCAGTCCGATCGTGATGGTGAGACGACTTGTGGATGGCTGGAAAATCCTTTAGCAGGTTCACGAGATGAGGAGAAAACATGGTGGTCGAAGTGGGGGGGGAGGGGGGGGGAGCGGCCGGGTACCAAGACCTCGCTTCAAAAACACCCCGTCCGTTTAGCTTCAAGTGAGACGTTTGGATATATGGACAAGCATTGCGCCCACCGACGGCATCCCCGTGGAATCGAGCAAATGAATAATCCGATAACCGGATTGAAGGCGGTCAAGCCGAATACAGGCCCATGCGAGCAAATGGTCTTTGCCAATCGAACGGTCGTCTTTGACCTTGAGTCTAAGTCATCCCGTCAGTAAGTGCCAATGGCTAGGCTGTTGCTCAAGGCCACGATATGACATGTCACATATAATATTTTCTCAAAGAAGGGGAGAGGAAGGATGTGGCGAATGTGAGAGCAGAGGTCAGATTTTGTGTAACATGATCGTACATGGGAGCATCATGCAAGAACAATTTCACGCCGAGCCCAGGGCCACATAAGACCCGACTTCGGCTTATCGGGTCCGTGGTCAGCTACATATTTCAGGACAACGCAAGATCTGTACCGGTCCGCTGCTGTTTGAGAATGCGTGTCATTGCATAGGGCACTGCAGCCTTTTTCTCCCACCAATGCAGGATGACACCACAGCTCGTAAAGCAAGTCGGGAAACTTGCTCAGTACCCATTTCAAGAAGGACCCACAAGTCCCATGCGCGGAAGATTCCGGCACAGCCACCGGGTAGCCAAAGGGGAGGTCCATGGTTAGAAAGACGGGTGGGGAGGAAGGACAAGCAAAGCACTGCCGGAGCGGGACAAACTTGCGGTGAAAGGATAAAAGCCAGGAACCGCACTGGTCTCGATTGCTCGGGGTTCGGAGATATCAAAGGAGACAACCAGGGTGCCAGATGGACGAGCAACTTCTCAATAGAAAATTATTCCGAGAGAGATAAAAAGAAAGGGGGGGGCATACCGGTAAGTAGAAACACACGTACCTGAAAAAGCTCAATTGATCAACCACGTCCGGGACGTTCATCCAGCTCACTTTTTCGCCGCCAAGATCGGGAGAGTCTGTTCGGTACGTAGCAGACCTACGTTTGTAGAAGCTTTCGTCGACTTCTTCACCGCCATAGATGTCTGTTTCGACTTTCGCGTTGCTCGCATCATTGGCACTTCTACCCTGCCCGGGTGGACCGTGGGTGTCGACGTGCAATTGAAACTTGACGTACGGCTTCATTTTAGGACCATGCGAGCTATCCTTGTCGACTGGTACTGGCAATCTTTGCGCCGCAAGCAGAGTAATTTCAAGGTCTAGCTGTTGCTTTCTGGGCAGGACCGCCGCGTTTGCATCTTCAGATTTGTTGACTTCGTTGCAGCGATAGCCTTCTGGCTTGAGAACCCAACCTCCAGATCCGGCAAACATACCTTCGTTGAGCATCATACCTTTGTCCATTTTCTGCCAGTTCAAAGCTACCATTTGTGCACCCTGCCGCCAGTGAAAGGTGGGATCAACATTGGAGCTGTTGATCCTGGTTCCTTTAGGAAACACCCGCATGAGATAGTGCTTGTTGTGGTCAAACAACGCCGGGCCATAGGATGGATCCGCGTGCATGGTATGTACCTTGTTTTCCGACAGACTAAAGACATGTGTGGGTATAGAGGCTTCCGGCTGCGAAAAGTGCTTGAATGTATATGCCCGAGTGTAGATGCCGAGTTCAGAGAGTGCAGTGAGGACCTTGGATGCCTTCTTCTTCTTTTCTGGCGAGGTCGCTATTCCGTCTTCAGTGGTTCCGTCAGTGGATGTCGATATGACATGCTCGACTGGATTGTTGGATTCGCCCGTCTCCGTGTTCGGTGACCATTTGACTTTGATTAATATCTTTCCCCTCACCGCCTCGGGTGAAGGGAGAGCCAACGCATCTGACACTTTGGTAATGTCCACCAGGTGCTCTGCCCAAGTGTCTCGCATGATCTCGACCATGACCTCCTGCTGTGCGAGTGAAGCATGGACCTCGAGGGACACAATCAGAGGTAACTTTGTACTCACGAAGGCCGATTTTTTGATGGCGTCACAGACGGAGCGGAACGTGACGGAATGGGTCAAAGTGTAGCCATGAAGGACTCGAGGCTCGGCTTTGGAAGGGAGCGAGGGTGAGGGTTGTGGGGATAGGTAATTCGGATTCAAGGTAGAGGACGTTTCGAATTGTCGAAGCGGAGCAGAGCCATCGGACTGGGTCTGAACTGGGCTGGTCGGGACAGGGGCGGCAGGGATGGGAGGCTGACCACCGTTGGCCAGAGATCCTGAACGAGAACGAGAGCGCATTCTCGCCGCTCGAGCTTTGACTCTGTTCCACCGAGAAGGTTTAGAGTCAGATCGATCTCTCCCATCTCTTGAATAGCCTTGCTCGTCCTCTTCCTCGGAGCTGCTGGTGTCCGAATCACTGCCACCATCCCACACATCTATTTCCAGGCACCTACACCCCCGATTGAGCACATTTGTGTAGGCGTCGGTGCTTGCGTCGCCATAGAGCTGATGGCCCGAGAGATATGTATTGTGGCTCGAGCTGATGTAGTAGGCAGAAAGAGGATAGCTCAAATCATTGCCAGTTGGGGCAGACATGGCAGTTGACTTATCCGAGGCCATATAAGTGAGGAACGAGGCCTCATCAGGAAAATTGTGACCATCTTGAGACCGTTGATCCTCAGGCAAGCTCTTGTGGGCCGATATCAAATGTGAGAGTACAGACTCCGAGAAGGGCGCAGGGGAGAACGTCGCAGCCGTGGACGAAGACTCACCGCCGCCCGCAGCACGAACAGGCAGCGTCTGCCTGGTCGACATGGCAAACCTGTCTATCAGGAGATGCTGGAGGTCTGTAGGGAGGTTCCTGGTGTCAAAGAGATGTCCAGAACAAGGGTGGCCTGATCAGGCAAAGAGAGGAGGGCTTTTATGAAAGCGTTGAAGAGGAGGGATGGTATCGAGTGAAAGGTGGCACGGAGATGTGCTGAAGAGAGGAATGAGAGATGGACTGCCGCATGTCGTTTGATTCCCCCGTTACAATGAAGGATCAGGAAAGTTGGCAGGAGGGAAGGCAGAGGTGCAAATGAGCTGGATGCGCTGGCGCAAACGCACCTGAAAGGGATCAACTATCATGATTCAACGGCGACGCGAAAGCACCCAACTAAAAGCACCACAGAAGTGGCAGCGTGGATGCATTACCTAAGTACCGAGCCCCTTCGCATTTTGTCTCAAACGCAGAATGGCGTATGCCAAGCATTTTCTGTCAGCCTCTAAAGGGGCGTAATAACGTGTTCAAACTCACCCTCTGGAGTCCTTGTACAAGTGAATGATCAGGCGGATGGGATCTAGAGTTAACACCAGCAAGAATAAGAAGTCGCTTCCTCAATATAAGTCATGCATCCTCCGTATATAAATTTCCTCGCAGGGTCATGATGGATGGGTCCGTCCCAGGCACCTTCCGCATTGTAAGGTGCATAACCCACTATTACCGTTGGTATTCACCCTCAGCCTTCGTGTCCAGGTCAATATCGAAACACTGGTATGTACTGTATAATAAAGTGATGACGACAACTACTGTAGTTGCCATCATTCGGCGCCCAAGCTGCTGGAAAAGCTCAATCTCCAGACATGGTAATTGGGGACAGCGGACGACATTTCTACTGGATTGCAAAATTCTCAAAAGCCGATGGTGTGGAGCAAGGGATTGTCGGACCAGGACAGCTAAGAAAGTCACGCGACAAAGCTGCGCTGCGACCGATCTCACGGGTATGTGACTTCGAACAAACCCCTGGCGAAAATAATCCTCCCTTGAGGGAGGATAAAGTCACCATATGAAAGAGTCAGTGGTCAAAGAGTCCAACAGAGCATCATACTCACCCAATGCCTATGTTTTGCGCCCTCGTGGACCTGATGTGGCCACAGTGGATACCTAGCTTCGAAGCATACAGTGAATCACAAATATGAGCATCTGCCTACTGGCCTTTGGTCTCGTCTAAGAGCACAGCCAATCCGTCCGTCAGAGAGAGCCATCACGTCGACATATCCAATAGCATGACATTGAGGTCTCATGGAGAAATCCATTTCGCGTCGAATCGCACGCCTGAATTGCATGGCCAACGTTATGACCATGTCCTTTGACGCAACGAACTCTGCAAAACTGATAGTACTAGGAATTGGAAAAGAAGGAGGAGGAGGAGAAGAAAATGAAAACATCATGCGATGTTTTGCTCCAAAGCTGTCACACCTCCAGACTTGTAAGTAGGATCTTCCACGAGACAGCATGTTGAGATGTTCCTTTTGTTTTTTGGCTCCCTTTCAGCTCCCTTCTTGCGCTAGCAATGGCTCGTAAATCTCCTGTTCCTCTGGTATACCAAAGTCATGGGAGTTCTCTGAGAAGCCAGAATCACATCATAGACTCTACTTCGCATGTCTCTTCTTCATCATGTGTTTTCCTTGCCCATTTGTCCATTTCACAATGTCTCCTCCATTCTACATGCTCTCATGCCTCTCTTTTCCCGTGCTCCCGAATTCCACACCTACAAGTACCTAGGCATCTTCCGCAACGGAAACATTTTCCTTTCCACCTCTCTAGAGACTACCTCACCACTGCCCAGTCCTGAACAATCACTAGTGCCAAAAGTTTGCAGTTCTCGCCGCCGACAAGTGGATTACCATGGCACAACAACGGTTTTTGAGGCTGATCCGGGAATTCAAGCTTCCTCGAACCTAGACCAAAACACTTTCAGCATAATCGTCACACACAACAGCAGTTTCAACCCAAATCGTCGTGGCGGCTCGAGGTGACCATTCTTGGCTGCCATGGCAGCTACAGCTAAAAAAACATCAAGCATTTTCGAGTGTTGCAGCAGAGGCATAGAGCGCTATCTTGAAAGAAGGATTAGCAAACCATGGCCCGAAGGCAGCCGTTCTGACCTTGGCGGCGGAAATCAATACAACCGAGTTTGATGGATTTGAGGAAGCTTTAGACGCCTTCGAAGAGACGGAATCTCACCTCTACTTAGTTGATCTTGCTGAAGACATGAGAAAAGGCGTCGCCGCCTGCCAATGGAGAGAGTTAGCAGACATCACGACGGAAGACATATTGGATTTCAAGAAGGTGGAAGGTTGGGGTATGGTTGGAGTTGGACAAAGGCAATCTCAGTGCACCCATGGTGTTCCGTATGCACTTTGGATCTTCAAGTTGAAACCTCAAAAATGTCAGCTCATTACCTTACCCACCAATTGGTCATCACAAGAAGACTGTCCACGACTCCAAACATTAGAAGGTTGTACCCTAGCATTCAATCGACAAAACTTGCATCTGCTCGTCACATTCAACAAAAACACACAAATTCGTTGGCGATATGCGATGGCGATGCGTGTATTGGATACTCCGCTGATAACTAATATGCATCTGCCGGAGCGGCAGACCATAGAGTATAGCCTGGAAGCTGTTGTCGATGAAGAGTGGAGAAATTTTGAGGCCGAGATCGAAGGGAGTGGTGTCAACAGCAGTGACAGAGACGACATGGAGGAATAGAGCTAGGAAAATGTCAGTTTGCGATCTCCTTCCAGATCAAAACTTCGAAAAGGATCAGGGGTCTCTACTGGAAGAAACAGCCGGAACTCTGCTTGTTTCCGTTGAGATGGCTTGAGCTGGAACATTTTGGAGACTACCGGGCAAGCATGAGAATCTTCACAGCAGACATCGCAAACATACCACGCTTGAAAGTTGATCAAAGTACAGACACTGCTCGCTAAAGGCATGGTGGACAGATGGTTCAAACCGGTGGGAGAAAGGGTACATCACCGAGTCAAGCTGATACTTCCGATATGACCAGGCCGGACAGTAGAAGCAGCCAACATGGCTCACGCACGATGGAAGCTTTCCTCTCCATGGATATCGATCCAAAGCACTCCCTACTTCGGTAACCATCGTTCGGACAATGTCAAAGTCTCCTTACATAAAGCAGAGCGGAAAGATCAAGGCAAGTCCATGATAAACGGCAGCCACATCTGTCATCCTCCCTCGCAAGGTCGTCACACAATACTCTGAAAAGGGAAGAGAGAGATTGATCGAAAAGGTCATTCAAGATCATAGAAAAAATGAGCTTCGGATTCAGAGACTTTATCTGGGAATAGAATTCCCGAGCTCGTCCGCCGTTCAAGAAGTGAAAAATGGTTATAATGCATTTCATAAAACACGTTGGCCTCAACTTAGTTTTCAAGTGTGAAGACTATGTTTAGCCTGATGAATTTTTCCCAACAACCACCATCCACCAATAATCTTAACACGATTTCCATGTCCAGGAGAAAGATGCCGTATGCCATTCCAACACCCATCATCTATGCAAGATCGCATGCCCAAATTCCTGAAGCCAGAGCACAGCCAATCTTGGTGTATGATGTGCTTGTGAGGATTTCGGCATGGCCAGTCTGTCCGGCGTGATTCCAACCTTGAGCGAGGGTGTCGCAGATGCCATCCAAGCCGGGAAGCGTGGGAATTTCGCAGAGCCATCCACCAACGTAGACACTCTCGAAATTGTCCGCGTTGCCAGGGGCCAAAACCTGAGCCATGGTGCCAGGGTTCAATTCGTGGGTGAGGGTCCCGCCACTGTCGGTGGCGGTCTTGAGGGCATTACCCTCGAGAGTGCTGTCCTGGGTGAGAGCAGGGAGACCGCCAGCAGAACGCCATTTGGAGACAATACCCATGTAGCCATCTGTTGAACCCGAGTCGGCGGTGGTAGTGGCAGCAGGAGCCTCGGTAGTCGTAGCAGGTTCCTCAGCGGCAGGAGTAGGAGTGGGAGTGGCAGTAGCTTCGGGTGTGGCTTCGGCAGTCACGACGACCCAGGTAGTGGCATCAGGGCTCTTCCAGTATCTATTAGGACCACCCCACCATTGGCGTTCAACGAGAGAGCCATCTTCAGCAGGGGCGGGCAGCGCCAAGGCAACGCCAGCAACGGCAGCCAGAACAGAGATCGTCTTGAAGGAATGCATGATTGCCGGTTTTGGTTTATTTAGTTTGGCTGGGTTCGGGGAATTGTGAATGTCGGGGCCGTATAAGGAGTGTGGTTGGGCTGGTAATGAGTGTATAATCCTCCGGGGATGAAAGAGTGTAGGGGACAAGGAGTCGAAGGAGAGAACGATACAAAAAGTCACAGACTTCGATATTCTCGAGGAACGTGAAGGACCAACAAAGGAAGTATATAGGAAGGAAAGAAGGCGGAAAGAGGGAGAAAATATACCAGATGATGTTGAATGGCGTTGATCCTTCTTTGCCATTCAGCCCCCCAATAGCCAGCCTTGACCACAATTGTGAAACAACCACACCCACTCGCGGCCCCACCATCTTTGTCCTGCCCAGATTGTCGAGGCGTGAGATCTCTGCCACGGGTTGGCCAGACACAAGTGACAATGGGCGAAAAGTGGGGAACACCCAGGGAACAGCCTTGGCCTCTAACGACTAATACGGTTGGTCCGGGGAGGGCCAAGTCACTGACAAGGCACAAAAGAGGAAGACAAAGGTCGCGCAGGATTGGCATGTTGATGCAGGGGGAAAGGGAGCAATTCCTGGGACTGGCCGGACGGTCACAAACCTTTTTTTTTTTTTCTTCTTCCCCTCTACCTCGGAGAGACATTGACAAGAGCATGGGACATGGAGACGTCATCCTTCAACTCCGAGGCTCGAATGCCGTGGCGTTTATGATAGTTTGACATGTGAAGTTCGTGTCAACCATCCAGCTGATGACTGACCGCTTATATCTCTGACTGCAATACTGAACAATGCTCTGTATCCACATGAACGACGCATGCTGACCCGGGAGAGACTTTTGCGATGCGCCAACCGGGGGATGTTTACTCAGCTACCGATATGCCCGGCGATGAACATCCCATGCTCAGTCTAACCGGTTATATACTAATCTCCCTACTAACATACTAATTCTGGATTAGCGGGCCTCTTAATTCCAAACTGCTAAGCCAAATTCGACCTCTCTTCTAACTCTATTCATCCATCGGTGTCCTCATTGACCCCTATTTCCCCTACCCACAGCCTTGCCTGGCACCGCCAAAAAAGTGAGCAGCCCGGTTCGAATTACTATTACGTAGGAGGTTTGCAATTTAGGGGAGATTGCATCTGACGAACGACCACGTTCTTGTCTTGGTGATCCAGACCCGTGCTCGATGGGCTGTCGTAAGCTCGCCTCAAAGAGCCGGAAGACAAAGCGTGCAGCCACCCGAAGAAAAGCCTCCATGATTATTGACAGGAATTAGCTGCTTTTCGTTGCAAATATTTAGCCACGTTCCAGAAACCGATTTTGATTGAAGCCAAAACAATAGACATGGTTATTGAATAACTGCGTCGAGTCAACATCTCAACCCGACAATGAACAAAGAGGGTACCTCATGCAAAACAAATTAGGAGAGCACAAGCACTTCGCCCATTGTTACTGATCAATCTATATCTGTGATGGACCCATCCCCTATCATTCGAATTTCCAATGCTCTTGGAATCCTGGGTCAATTCCATAATAATAATACGTTGCAAAATGAGCCTTTCAAGTGTATGCGGGCACATAACGCCCAAAGCTCTGCCATAACAAACGACCACAGTTGATGCTCGGGCAAGCAACGTAAAAATTGCCCTGAGTTCGGGCGGGTACTCATCCGGACCGTGCCGCTTTAAGACCGACCTTGCCAGTCGGGTGCTTCCTAGATCAGCATTCTACAATTCGTCCCTTAAGACATCTCGAAGAGGCAAGCCGAGCGACCTGTGGAGGGCGTTCACATCGCTGGTTCTGGGCAAGCGCAAAGTTTGTAAACAAGCTTGAGGAATTTCTTCAAAGGTTCGACCACGTAGTTTGGCGGGGGCAGCAGATAGAAGCATACGTTTTGGCGCCTTCGGGGAAAAAAAAAAAAACAGCATCCGTAAGAGCGCTCGAGGAATCCAGGATCTTCATCCGATTCAGGGCCTTCAAAAGCCGAGCGAAATTTTGCCCATGAACGCTGCACCTGTTCTACAGCATCATGTAGACCATATTGTATCTACTCTGGTTCGGTTTCTTCCAGCATCTCGTTAACGGCGAAAGTCGTCGACGTTTTCGTGTACTTGGTGGTTTGATGACTTGATTGGTACGTGTGAGTCAAAACTCGTACGATGGTTGAAGATCTTCTCGAAAGTAGTACGTAGAGCAGCTGGCCGCAATACCACTTCGCCTGAAAGATGCACGTCGATCGTAAAAGTTTTGTCAAACGTTGCCCCACACTGGGGGACTTCCGCAATGCCAGCCACCGTGCGAATGTACGGCGCAGACGATGTCTTAGAATCGAGCTTTGACATGGTATCTGCTGCCTGCGAAAGTTCTCATCTCGTACATCTCGAGGGCCCTTCTTGATATCGTCAATTGACGCTTCTTTTAATGCAGCTCATGAAGGTCCTGCACAGATGCCCTGAGTTGCCATCGCACAAAGATATGGACGATGGCATAGACTTGTGCGTCTCTGTTGTATCCCCGTGCGAAACTGGCTCTTTGGTGCTGTCCATCACCACCCGATCCGTCATCGTCATCGTCATCGTCGTCCTCTTCTTGTTCGTCGACGTCAAACGATTTGGGCTCTTCGCCATTCGTCACAAAAGTGATATATATCGGTTGGAGCACGTCAAATCCGTGTCCAGTGTAGCGGCTGATTTGAGTAAAAGTTCGAGTTGACGATAATGCGATGGTATCGACGAAGACGCTACATGATGCTTGTTTCGTGTAAGGTGCAATGACATCATCACACTCGCGGCAGTAATTTCTCGACGGACTCGGATTTGCCCTCTGGTCCAAGTACGAGCTCGGTGGAATGTTATACACAGAGGGATCGTTTTCTTAGTGTTGTCTTCGGCAGCAGTAGCGCTAACGCAAGGGCGGCTCGACGTGGGTTTGCTTCAATGTCTTGCGCTTCATCCATAAACCCACCACGGTGGTGTACGTAACTTACCGTTCATTCCCATTCGTCTTCCCCTCGCATTGACCCAAAAGCCTTTCCCTGGCAACGACACAAAGATCCCACAATTTCTATCTAGGAATACATCTCGCAGAGAGTAATCAAAGATGTCAGTGCGAACAACATCTCGCTCACAGGACGAAAAGCTTGTCAGAGAATGGGGTTTCTCACACGTATTCACGTGGACTGATGGGCCGTATGTCATTCTTCATCGCATCATCGTCATCATCATGTCGCCTCTTTTCCACGCTCCTGTTGCCACTACTGCTTAAAGAGCTCAATGGCATAAGACATTTGCTCATGGATAACATATAGCAATGCATACTATCCGCCCCACTCCCACTCAGGTTTAACCACCCATTTGATCCGTCGAGGATCTTTGACCATAACGTACCCTCAAGACCCGAATCCAACCAAGGAGACATTCGGCGTGGGAGCCAGGATAGATGTTCCAGCGGGCAAGGTACATGAGGTCTGGATGGGGGATGAAGGTATCTCTTCCTGATGATGATTAATGCAATGCAACTTCTGACATCGAACAATGGCTGCTGACGATTGCTCCTGAAAACAGGCTGTGAATATGTCATCGGAGAGTAGCGAGAAACGAACAGCATCCCAAGCTACTGAACCTCGGTCTTTTGACATACGGTATCATGATGTGACGATACTTTCTTTTTTTTTTTTTTTTTTTTTTCCCTTTCTTTTCTTACGTTGTTTTTCTCTGGTATAAAACAGCCTATCGACACGCATAAACGAACAAAGGCTCAAATCGCCCATTTCCATTCTCCAGATCAATCTCACCAAGGAGGACATTTAATATGTTCTCTTGAATGGTGGGACAGACTTGCATTCATTTTCATCCAATGTATGCATCGTCACAGCTCTGTAGCCAAGTTCAACCTTTCCCTGCGGCGATTTCTGCCATGAGAGTGTGTGCTTCATCCAGTTTTCATCATCACGATCTGGGTAGTCTTCACGGGCGTGAGCACCGCGAGATTCTTTACGGTTAGCTGCAGAGGCAGCTGTTTGGGTCCTGTGGTCGGAACAGTCAGCAGATGTTTTGAGTAGCAAAAGTTATGGATCAATACGTACGCGCAAGTCAACAAGTTTCTCAACTCGAGGGTTTCCACCAGATCCGAGTTCCAGATCATACTTCGGTCCTTGATGCCCACATCGTGGAACATCTGATCAACCTGATTGATCTTTCGAACACCTTCGTCCAAAGATTCTTGAGTCCGGAAGACGCTGACATCAGTCTGCATGACCTTTTGCATGGCGGATCGAATTTCATATGTGCTCCGGGGACCCTCCGAGGTTCGGATCTTGTCGAGCACGTTAATTGAATCGGCACCGGCATCAGCCGAGATCTCTTGATGAGGCACGCCCGGCGAGAAGTTGTCGCGGATCGTGTGTGAGACAGCTCGTCCGAAGACAACCAAGTCCAGGAGCGAATTGGCACCCAAACGGTTCGCGCCATGGACTGACACACACGCCGCTTCACCGCAAGCAAAAAGCCCCGGAACCACTTCGTCTTTGCCCGCATCATTGACGCGGAGAACTTCACCAGTGTATTTTGTCGGGATACCACCCATGTTGTAATGGACAGTGGGAAGAACAGGGATGGGTTGCTTGGTGACGTCGACACCCGAGAAGATAGAGGCCGTCTCGGAGATACCTGGAAGTCGTTCGTGAAGGATCTCAGCGGGCAGGTGGCTGAGTTGAAGATAAATGTGATCCTTTTCTGGCCCCACACCACGTCCTTCGCGAATTTCCATGGTCATTGATCGCGAGACCACGTCACGAGAAGCCAAATCCTTAGCAGTGGGTGCATATCGTTCCATAAACCGTTCACCCTCCGAATTCAGGAGATAACCACCTTCACCTCGAGAGCCTTCAGTGATCAAGCAACCAGCCCCGTAAATCCCGGTGGGATGGAACTGGACAAATTCGAGATCCTGGTTGGGCAGACCTGCACGAGCAACCATAGCCATACCGTCACCGGTACAAGTATGAGCAGACGTGCAGCTGAAGTATGTTCGACCGTAACCGCCGGTCGCCAATACGGTGTTCTGAGCCCGGAATCGATGCAGGGTACCGTCTTCTTGGTTATAGGCAATCACGCCTTTGCATGCACCGTCTTCCATGATTAAATCCAACGCAAAGTATTCGATAAAATAATTGGTGTTGTAATTCAAGGATTGACCGTATAATGTGTGGAGGAGGGCGTGACCGGTTCTGTCGGCCGCCGCACAGCATCTGTAGGCTTGTCCCCCCTTTCCGTACTTTTGCGACTGACCGCCAAACGCTCTCTGATATATTCGACCATCTTCTGTTCGGGAGAATGGGCATCCATAGCCTTCGAGTTCGATGACGGATCGAGGGGCTTCGCGAGTCATGTAATGGATGGCATCCTGGTCACCCAGCCAATCCGATCCTTTGACGGTATCGTACATGTGCCATCTCCAGTCGTCGGGGTGCATACTGTGATGCTTGTCAGCCGGGGCTGCCAGTTGTTGATGACTCCACTCACTTTCCAAGGGCAGCATTGATCCCCCCCTGTGCCGCCACCGTGTGACTTCGCGTAGGAAACAATTTGGATATGCACGCAGTATTGAAGCCTGCTTCCGCAAGTCCGAAAGCTGCTCTCAATCCTGCGCCGCCAGCGCCCACAACTACCGCATCATATTCGTGGTCCTGCCAATGTCAGCCGTAGGCCAAGGTGCAATATAGGCTTCCAATTTCATACAATCACAGGGTATTTCTGAGAGACAAAAGGCGAGGCTTCTTTAGCTCGTAGGGGCTGGTTGGCAATGATTCGGGCTTTCGCTCGTCAGCGGCGGAAATGCAAACAGGAGAAGGGATTATCCATACCTGCTGGTCTTGTCGAGGAGAATTGCCTTCTGTATTGTCTCAAAGTTCGAGGGAACTGGACATCGGATCAGTATCGGATCGACGGGCAGACTAGCTCTAGAGGGTACCTTGTTACTTGGAGTCAAGCCCCGCAAGATGCTTGAGGAGCCCATCTTGCAAAGCCTTGAGTCATGTAAGAGAGGAGAGCGCACAGAGTTGAGCAAAGCCGCCACAAAATGAGAGCGCGGGTGGTAGTGGGAGAGGAATAGGAAACGGAAGTGTCAGTCTTTCAATGATTTAGCTCGGATGCTCGCAGCCGCGGTCTTCTCGTCGTCTCTCTAGCGGTTTTGCCCGCAAATGCCACCAGCCAATCACAAGATCTCGATTTGTCCTAATATACGGTGGAGCATTAGGTAACTTAGCCTCAGGTGATAGGGTCCCTTGCAATACAATACCAATGATACACCGATCTGCCTAAAGTCGTAACTCGGCCAGGAAAAACTCCAGACTGATATCAATCGAATAATTCATCACTATTACCGGCGTCGTCTCTAGGCATACCGTCTTTCCTATCCAGTCCTACAGGGAAGCTACCCGAATATCGTAGAGAATGAACCCACCCATTGTTGGTAACCACACTATCCACGCTTTCTTAAGGTCGAAAAGAGTTGCCTTCAAGGGTCTCGGCTGTAAGTATCGGCAGTGCGAGGTATACAAACTCGACTAGATGTTCTGGCAACTATCTCTTTGATTGACATGTCCATAGACCGAAGGAAATGCCTCATTGGTACCAAATATGTGTCATGCAGTAGAGACGGAAGAGAAATTGAAGATCTCCTCCTCTTCCTCCTCCTCCTCCTTCTTCCTCCGTATGGCTTGCTCAGGTACCAGTGCTTCATTGCAATTTCAACAAATTCATCAAGGATACCAGTTGAAATTCTTCTGACAACACGTCTTCCGCAGTACGCGCCAGTAAAGGGGCAGTTGGTATTTACAGTCTAGTTGCAACTGAAAAATGCTAATAAATTCGGTTGTAAAGTAGAAGTCTGTGAGAGCCAAAGATACATTGGGTGGGAAAAAAGAGAACCGGGATCGTAACGTTGCTGTCCAGTTGATGTCCAAAGGCAAAGACCTAGAGCATTCGTCATGCCTACTGCTTTTTCTGTCAAGTGTTGGAGTCTAGAACAAAACTTGTCAGGGATCAGGAGCCCAGGCGGCTAGACGACGACACGACTTTATAGCTTATTCCCGATTCAGAATCCGCTTTTCATATTCGTAGCACAGGTCATTGATTTGGGTACCCCTTCGAAGCGGATATTCATTTCCATCCAATCGACACCATTGCGTCTCTTCCCGCGATCTTCTCACCGGCTTCAATTTCAGCCCCTGCGCCGAAAATGTCCAGTCTTTCATGCATCCGACCAGAATGATGGGGACGCCCAGACAGAAGTGGCAAAACTTGATGTATCCACTGCCTTGATTAGATATTCGGAAAATAAACCACAGGCCTTTCGCTCTGACTTACCTTTTCTCCGTGTCGTGCAGTCCTCGCTCATCACGTTGGGGACCCTCTCGGCCGATGAAGATCTTCTCGGTGGCAGATAGCAGGCTTTCTTGGTCGGCGTGTTGACTGCCTTGCTCCTGAAAATGCAAGGACCATCCGGCCGATCTTGATCATCTTCGACTTGACCTGGGGGATTTTGAGCGTGTCTCAAATCCATGAGAGCTCTTCGATATGCTTTAGAATCCATGACCTCGTCACCAAAGTCGAGACGAGTGTCAGTAATGATAGAAGAAAGCTCAAAGACGGAACCCATCTTCCCGCTAACCAATAATGGTTCTCGGTACATGGTGTTCCCTCGATGGACGACTTCCCTGCCACAGTGAAAGATCTCTTTTGGCCATCGGTTGCAAGATGATATTATAGTCCTGTGTGTGCTGCTTCACTCCCGTTAAAGAGTCACTAAAAAAAATTCGGTCACACAGATCAGTCTCATGGATAGTGGTATCCTCGCCGGGCTAATGACGTCCGTGGACGCTGAGATGACAGAATAAGCAATGATACGCCATCGCAACCGTCGACTTGGATAATATTCCTAATGCGTGGCCCCATGCGTGACCCCTATATGAGATTATATCTTACCTCTGACAGTCTACAGGAGCGACGGGATCGAAGCCGGCCGACGACGAATCTGTTGCGACAGCTCTTTCAAATTATCCTGTTCAAGCACAAACTTGAATATTTTGGGTTTCAGTTCGCCACTCTCGGTCTCATTCGCAAGGGGGGCCAATCCGCTCCTGAAGAACAGACATAGTCAATCTGCCTCCGAGTAGTGCTATTTGAAGGCTCTCTGACAGAGCGTCCACCTGATCATGAAGGCCCACCACCATGTTCCGCAGCCTTATCAATGAGGCGGAGATGACGGCGTATTCTGCGGTCATGGCCGAGGGCATGGAGCTCGCACTTCAGCAGCTGTAGCTGATGTTGGATGCCTTGAAGTCACGAATCCTCGTCCCACCGCTATGTCAGGATTAGAGAGATAAGATAGAACGGTGCAGGTATGAGGGTGGTTCATTCGAAGTCTACATGGCATGCGAAAACTTAAACACACTCGCACACTGGCACTGTATTAATGTGCGATTGTCCACATCGGATTGAAGAAAAGGCGCTCGAATTGTCCACACTCAATTTATCTAACTGCCTTCGTATGGTACAAGTCCTTTGGGGAAGATCTCTCGCTTCCTTTCCGCCTTGCCCCGATCCTTAAGCAAATGCAGCGCTTGAAAACAATTCAACATTCGCCCACCCATGCTCTAGTTGTACTGCATGTAGGTTGCAGTCGAGTTGAACTTCAGATTGCCCTTGATGACTTTGTCCACCGCTGCCAGGAAATCTTTTTCTGTGGCGACCTTTCTTCGTGCTCGGATTGCAAACATACCCGCCTCTGTCGCCACGCTTCTCAATTCGGCTCCTGTGGCGTTCGGGCATAGTCTCGATATTAATTCCCATCTGATGTCACGTTCCACTGACATGGATTTAGCATGGATTCTTAATATGTTAGCTCGTCCGTCCAGATCTGGCAATGAGAATTCAATTTTGCGGTCGATACGACCAGGCCTCATGAGCGCTGGATCGAGAATAGAAGGTCGATTGGTGGCGAACATGACTTTGATGTTACCTCTTGAGTCAAAGCCGTCGAGTTGTGTGATAAGTTCCAACATAGTTCTTTGGACTTCATTGTCACCCCCAGCACCATCGTCGAATCGGGCACCGCCAATAGCATCGATTTCGTCGAAGAAGATGATGCAGGCTTTCTTGGTCCTTGCCATTTCAAACAATTCACGAACCATTCTTGCACCCTCGCCAACATATTTCTGTACCAATTCCGACCCGATGACTCGGATGAATGTTGCGTCAGTGCGATTCGCAACGGCGCGCGCGCAAAGTGTCTTTCCAGTACCGGGAGGACCATACAGTAGAGCACCTTTGGGAGGGTCAATGCCGAGACTCACGAATCGCTCTGGCGAAAGGAGCGGCATCTCAACTACTTCTCGGAGTTTCTCAATTTGTTCTTTGCAACCGCCGACGTCCCCGTAAGTCACATCAGGTTTGTCCTCCACAGTCATCATCGTCACACTGGGGTCAATCTTGGGCGGCAATGGTAGCATAATGGAGTATTTCTGTCGATCAACCCCGACACGCATGCCCTCCTCGATATCTGTAGGACTGACTCGTTCTCCCAAGTTCACGACAAACTTGGCGATTTGCTTGACGTTGATAACGTATTTGCTTTTCTCGCTATCCTTCTCATCTTGTATGATCTTTGTACATCGAGCGACTTGCAGAGGCTGTTCTTCGGACATTCGTTGACGGTCGGCGGCAACATCCCAGAGATGCGGGAGTGCAAGACCAGTATCTGATTCCTTGACGCCAATTTTCTCATTGACACTCTGTTGCTTCTCCTTGATTTGCTTTTCTAATCGCTTGAGGGCTGCGGCATATGGGGCTGCTCCGTAAGTCTTGAGGACTTGTATATCCCTGAACGCGGTCAGTTGAAGATCTTAGTAGATCGCAGAATGACATACTCGTCTGTTAAGGGAGTGATCTTCTTCTCCGGTTCTTCATCGTCGGCGAAATTCTTCTGGTATTTCTCCCAGCTTGAGCCCGTTGCGCTAGGCATTCTCGCGGGTGATGGGGACGCAAGGCTAGATCGGAAGAGAAGTCGAAATGAAAGGGAATTCAACTGCAGGTTACTTGAACGCTGGAGGAAAAGCCAGGTTGATATTAGGAAACAAGAAGATGGGCATGGAAAGCAATGAATGATGCGTCCGTAATCGCCGCGTGCCTGGATTCCTGCGTCTCGAGTGTCAATGCTCGGCCCTAAATTTACTCTCCAACTTTTTGATGTCGAAAACCACACGGCCACGACCACAACAACCGCCGCCGCCACTACCACCACGAACTGAGAGAGCAGCTTCGGACGTGTTGCAAGATCTTTTATTCTCTACTACAATCCCCAATAATTGTTGATTTTTATCCAGCAAATATGGCAGCTGCTTTGGGCATCCAAGGCAATGCCGGAAATGCAGCCTTCAAGGTTCGTTCTACATCGAGACACTGGAGACATATATTTCTGACTTGACAAACAGGACAAAGAGAAGCCAATGGCTGTAAGGACTGCCAATATCATGGCAGCCAGAGCCGTTGCAGATGCCATCAGAACCTCACTTGGACCACGAGGAATGGATAAAATGATACAATCTGGCAAAGGAGAAAATCTGATCACAAATGATGGCAACACTATGCTGAAAAGCATGAGTGTAATGCATCCGGCGGCAAAGATGCTGGTAGATCTCAGCGCAGCCCAGGATATCGAGGCTGGGGACGGTACAACGTCGGTGGTTGTGATTGCAGGAAGTCTCCTCGGCGCTGCCGACCGATTACTCTCTAAGGGAATACATCCTACCATCATTTCGGAGTCATTTCAGAGGGCTGCCGCCGCGGCAGTCAAAGTGTTGCACGACATGTCGCAGCCAATCTCACTATCTGACCGTACAACCCTCCTCCAGGCCGCCTCGACCTCTCTTTCTTCGAAAATAGTGTCACAGTATTCAGGCCTGCTTGGTCCAATGTCCGTGGACGCCGTCCTCAAGACAATCGACCAGAAAACGGCGGACAATGTGGACTTGCGAAATATTCGAATCGTTAAGAAAATCGGTGGAACAATTGAGGATTCGGAAATGATAGATGGACTGGTTCTCAACCAGCCTGTGATCAAGAGCAGCGGTGGCCCGACCAGAATCGAGAAGGCACGGATGGCCCTAATCCAATTTCAACTCAGTCCACCAAAGCCCGACATGGAAAATCAGATTGTTGTCAACGACTACAGACAAATGGACAAGATCTTGAAAGAGGAGAGAACATATTTGCTGAATATGGTCAAGAAAATCCAGAAGGCAAAGTGCAACGTGCTGTTGATCCAGAAGTCCATTTTGCGAGACGCTGTAAACGATCTGTCATTACACTTTCTGTCAAGATTAAAGATCATGGCCATCAAAGACATTGAGCGGGATGAGGTGGAATTCCTGTGCAAGAGCACAGGATGTAAACCAATTGCCAACATTGATACCTTCGCAGAGGACAAGTTGGGTAGCGCCGATTTGGTTGAGGAAGTCCAATCGTCCGGAGCTCGATATGTCAAGATTACAGGCATTCGAACGGCGTCACCACAAAACCAAACGGTATCGATTGTTGCGCGGGGTGCCAACTCACTAGTCTTGGATGAAGCAGAGCGTTCAATTCACGATGCGCTCTGTGTCATCCGGTGTCTGGTGAAGAAAAAAGCACTCATTGCTGGGGGCGGGGCACCGGAAATCGAGATCGCGCACCAACTGTCGAAACAGGCACGGGAGTTGACGGGTACCGAAGCGATATGCTGGAAAGCGTTTGCGGATGCAATGGAAGTAATTCCTACGACTTTGGCGGAAAACGCAGGCCTGAACAGCATCAAAGTGGTGACAGATCTTCGACATCGACATGATATGGGAGAGAAGAATGCGGGCGTCAGCATACGAACCGGAGGGGTCAAGACGAATATTGCAGATGAGAAAGTGTTGCAACCTCTTCTTGTGAGCACCAGTGCCATTGAATTGGCGGCTGAGACCGTCAAGATGATTCTACGGATTGATGATATTGCATTGTCACGATGATAGGGAATCGGTGGAGGCTAGATAGAAATGTCTAAGGGCAACCCAGAATCAAAAGTGTAATGAAAGCAAATGCAATGCATAGCGTGGCTACGGGAATGAGTCTACCTTTCAAAGTTTGGAAACGCTTTAAGCTTTTGCATTTTGACTGAACGATGGCTGTAGAGGTGATGTGGCAGAATGTCAAGATTTTGCTACTTTTATTCAGCTTCACCAAACCTCCTTGCCATTGCAGTTCATCGTACATGCTGACAGGAGACTCAAAACCCCTAGTCGCCGCCTTCGGATTGTAAGTCGTCTACTATTTCCTTTGACTGCCCACCAATTAGCTGAATTCTCCCATGGTATCTCAGGCCCTCAATTCCTCGGCACATGTCTCTACGAGGATTCTGGATCCTGACTTCTTGGGGTTATATCAGAGGACACCCTTCTGGCGGCAGGATCATAACGTTATGACCGTAAGGCGACGTTGTACCAAAATTATTGACTTACGAGAGTTTATTACAACAAGAGGCAAAGAATCGAGAGAGCAAGCCGGCGATAGGCAAGAGTACCTCATCTCGAAGCTCCGGAGGTCAGTTGATCAACTCATCCCACGGTCCAAACCAGTCATGGCCTGGGTGGTGAATTTCCTCTTACTCTTCGGCCTATGGTTTTGCTCCACCTTCTACAGCCTCGCTAGGAACTATCTATCAGCTCGCGAAACTGGCCTTCCCATCATCGTCGTTCTGTTCAACCGCTTTAATCCACTATGGGTTGTTTTTCTCTGTCCCCTTGCGACCTGTCTTCCAAAAGCTCCTTCCGGAAAGGCTCTACGAATCCCTCGATATCGCAACCTATGGCTTCGAGTTCCGACGCAAATACTCTGTCTTCGAAAAATACGGCCCAGCCTTCGTCCTCGTGACAGCCGGAGGCAATGAACTCAACCTGATCGACCCTGAACTGGCGGCCGAGGTTCTCAAGCGTATCAAAAGATTTCACCAACACAGAAGCTACCTGCTTGATAGTGAACATCTTTGGTCGCAACCTAATTACCAGCCAGGGAGAGAGCTGGTCACGACAACGTAAACTGATAGCGCCCAACATTAATGAGAAAATCAGCGGTCTAGTTTTTGGTGAATCATGTCGACCGGCCCCAGAGATGCTGTCGTCCTACATGGACGAATTGAAAGGTGTGACGGATGATACGGCGCGAGGGATGAAGACCATTGCCTTCAATGTTTTAAGTACCGTTGGCTTCGGCATCTCACGGCCACGGAAGGAGGAAAAGGTCGAAAAGCCCAAAGGAGGATATAGGATGACGTACATGGAAGCTACAAAGACGGTGATCGAGTTTCCCCTGCACACCAAGGAGATGCTAGAAAACGAGCGCAGACAACTGCAGAAAATTAACGACTCCGAAGCGCGAAGTACCCTCATGAGCATGCTGGTGCGATGAGCTGACGCCAGCGCCGACCAGACGGGCGAAACCAAAACAACCAGCCTGTCCAAGAACTCCCAGATCCTCTCAGAAGAAGAGATCCTAGGGAACATATTCGTCTTCACATCCGCGGGATTCGACACAACGGCCAACACCATGGCGTACGCACTGGCGCTGTTGGCCACATATCCAAAGTGGCAAGATTGGCTGTACGAAGAAATCAGCCATGTATTCGGCAACAAAGATACGGAGAGCTTGGAATACGCAGAGATTTTTCTTCGATTATCTCGTTGTTTGGCTCTGATGGTAAGAAAGTCTCCTGCCTGGACACCTACCCTTAAAATTCTTCCTGTTATTTTCTTGTATCTTGTATTTCGATCAACGTGCCTCTTCCCCCTCTCGGGGGGAAAGACTCTTTGTACTTACTGATGATCCGAACGTAACTAGTACGAAACAATGCGCCTCTTCCCACCCGTTGTGCACCTCGCCAAACAAACCAATTCAGCCTACGACGTCTCCATAACCACCTCAACAGGAAAAACTTACTACATCCCATCCCGCACCCTAATTTACATCAGCAGCGTAGGCCTGCGCCGCTCCCCGAGTACCTATGGGCCCGACGCCTCCGAATTCCGTCCTGACCGCTGGCTCATTGACCCCACACCATCACCCGGCGTGGCAACAATCGTCAACATCAAAACAATGCCCAAAGGGACTTTCTTGCCTTGGTCACCCGGGCCGTGCTCCTGCCCAGGAATGAAAATGAGCCAGGTGGAGTTCGTGAGCGTGTTCATGACAATCTTTGGCAAATATAGATGTGAGCCTGTCAAAAATTTTGAAGGCGAGACAGATCAGCAAATCAAAGAGAGGTTCGAGGCTGTGATGGAGAATAGTCAGCCGAAGCTCACGTTGCAGATGATGGGGAATCGGGATTTGAAAGTTAATTGGGCAAGACGGTGACAGAGGCCAGGATAGGGGAGGAGAAAGGGAAAGACGTTTAGAAGAGAGGAGAGGTGTACGCTCATACACAGATGTTATAAGGTTTCTTTTAGGAACGAGTTTATCCTCAGATCCTCTGTACATGGTGACGATGGACCATGTCCAATCAACATGCTTCGCTTACTTGTCTCACAGCTCGCCTCGTGGAACCGGAAAAACTCGCTTCCGATGCTTTAACAGTGGATGGAGATCAAGATCAAAGACAGAACCGATTCTTGTACAAGGTATTGGATTGACTCAAAGTGTACGAGAAATCTCTCCAATGTGAGCCTGGAATCCCTCATCCCCTCAGTTTAACAGAATTGGGAAGAGAAATGCCCATAAGCAATATCATCTTCGCCTCAGAGTGCACCCTGGTGGCTGTGGCGGTTGCATTTGTTGCCCATAGTTGTTCCATCCTTATAGACCCATTTCGCTGCCCTTTCCCAATGATAACGCCGTTCCACTTTAAGACATCCCGTCTTGACACTCCAGACAAAGCCAGACTTTAAGACAGACAGACAGACACACACACAGGCGAGGAATCCCCCTCCAGTAGAAAGACCAGAAGAAACTCCTCCTTACGGTGCCAGAGTTTGGAGACGATGATATGTAACATCATCAATACCCCATCTCCGTGACGCCTCATCCCTAGACAGGCCTCCCATACCCATCATTCCATCGACATGACTTCAAAATACCAGATACGGCAAAAAGCAAGCGACACACATCAAGTCATAACAGCGACATAGCTTTCAGTAGAGGGCGTTCATGCGGCGGCCTCAGTCTTCTTGGGTGTCGCCTTCTTTGGTGTGGCTTTCTTTGTTGCAGCTTTTTTGGCGGGGACCTTGGTGCTTGAGGTGGTCTTTTGTTTGCTGACCCGTCCAGACTTGGTCTTCTTCAGCGCAGGAGGGGCGTCGGTGACGGCAGGGGCCTAAGATATAATTAGTCAAGAGTCAATGACAAGCCACGTTGGATGGTTCGTACGGAAGCTTCAGTTTTGGTCTTGGTTTTGGGAGCTCGCTTGGTGGCGGTGTTGGCTTTGGGCTTAGCAGTGGTGGTTTTCTTCGGGGCGGCAGCCTTCTTCACTTTAGGAGCGGCAGTTTTGGTCTTGGGAGCAGCCTTGGCCTTAGTCGTCTTTGGTTTGGCCTCTTTGGCCTCCTTTTTCTCTTTCTATACGAATGATTAGCATAGGAATAGGGAGGACGATGGTTGGGGCGTTGACCTTGACAGTCTTCTTCTCGGCGGGCTTAGCCTCCTTCTTCATCAACTTGACAGGACCAGATGGGCCTGAGAATGACGCATTAGCACAGACAATATGGGCTAGCATGGGAAGGATAAGTACCCTTTGGCTGTTGGAAGTCACCCTTGTCGACACCAGATTTCAGAGCCTTGTTGAAGAGAGAGTCGAATTGGGTCTCGGAGGTGACAGTGATGTTGTTGTTTGCCTTGACATACTTCTTGATGGCTTGTCGGCTGTGCACAAGTAAGCATCGGGTTGTGTGTGGGAAAGTGACCGCCTTCGACAACAATGTCAACAAGGCGCGGGCAATGACTCACCTACTTCCGTTGCGCTCCTTAAGCTGCATTTCAAGACACGTCAGCAGCCATTCAACCCATTTGGGAACTGTATAAACAAATGCCACTCTCTTGCGCCGACTCCACAGCCAAACGAGGCGACTAGATAGGCGTTTCGAGAGGCATCGACGTTGTCGCAAACGAGATTCACTCACATTGAGGATAGCCTCCTTGATCATATCTAAGAGACATAGTCAGTATTGATACGCGACAACGAAAGACTTAACAGCAGGCAGCTGCGACAGCGTTTTGGACTGGCAAACTGACCTTTATAAGTAGCATGGGAGGGGGCGGCAGCAGGCTTTTTCTCCTTTGCTTCTTTGGCCGGAGCAGCGGCGGCAGCAGCTTTCTTGGGAGGCATGATGATGGTAGAAGTGTGATTAAGTAGTTGGATTGATGAATCGAGCTTGGAAAAAAGAGGCAGATAGGTGTGGTGAGCGACGGGTGGGCGACCTGAGAGAGAGAAAAATGAGCGATAGAATGGGCATTCGCAGCGCGCGGGCGGGGGATGCGACGGATGTTTATACCTCGCATGTGACGTGGGTTGATCCGCGAGGTGCTCCTGCCCTGCAGCCAATCAGAAAATGCAACACGCGGCGGAAACTCGACTCGAACAAAATAATAAATAGGACGAGAGGCTCCTTTTTAGCTCTGCCCATCTGGCTCGGGTCTCATCAATTCGCTGCTCTATGCCACTGATCAATCAGATCACGCGCGCAGCTGCCATGCCCTCCCTCACACCCTGTCTCTTCTCACCCCGTCCATTGTCTTTCCAGATCTTGTCATTCTATCCTATCCCACCATTGAGCTGAGTGTGTCATTCTTTATCATGATCACCGTCAATCTTACACCAACCTACCATCCCAGCTCCTGCTGCCTGCGATTTTCTTTATGGCGTCTACCTCATCATGTGATGGATCATTGCGATCTAATCTGAACCGTCGCCATTTGTTCTTCTCATCGCGTACGTGATGAGAACATAATAGGTGTTGCTACATTGATCCCATCATCTGGATTCGTCCCGGAGGCACGAATTTCGGCTGCTTTGGCGACTCGATTGTTTCTGTGGTGGTCACAGGAGGAGGGATCACGTCGTGAAACCGCATTTGTACTGCCTTGCTGAATCGCTGCTCACGACGTTTAACGCGAGTGACTTGTCGCGGGGTTTCCGATTGTTGTTTCACGTGTTCTCACAAGCTTGGCGACAGGCTTCCCGTTGGAAATTGATACGTGTTTCGGGCTCTGATTTAACAATCGGGTTATCGTTACTGATGGAAGGCTGCACATTGACTATGTCCCGACCGCAAGGCAGGTTGGACGATGGATCAAGCTCCAGCCATTGGGAATGCGAGCAGCTGACCTCGCCACCCACCTTGGCCGGACTGTGGTCATGTGAGCCGCATCGACCAAAACTTTTAGTGCCAAGTCTATCTCAACCTGCAGCGCACCGGCAAGTTTGTCTGATGGTTCAAGTCCGTTCCTTGGACTCCATGGCACCTTAGGCAACGGCGCCTATGATATCTTTCCCTCCGAAACGCCATTGCTATGAGTAGATACATCATGTCTCTCCCATCCTCTCCACCTTCAGCCATTTATCGTTACTTGAAAATTGCGTGATGTCTGCCCAATGCCATCTCATGTCGAGAGGTGGGCCTTCGCTTTGGATTCTTTCTTGGTCTTTGCATCTTCCTTCCTTTTCTTCTTTGCTTCAGCAACTTTCTCATCGTGCTTGCGTTTCAGGTCCTTCCTCTCTTTCTCGGTCTTTGGTATAGCCTTGAAAAACCCCTCCAGTCTGGACTGTTGTGCTGTTTTGACATTCTTTTGCAATTTCTGGGCTGCGCTTCGTACACGATCTTCATTGAATCCCTTCTCGTTGACAAGAAATTGAACAAGACCTTCCACATCAGGTGCCTCCCATTTAAAATCACACTCGGGATCATCGGCCGATCGGACATCGGGGTTGAGGAACAGCTCTCTTGCGTCTTTGTACGGCCAGTCTTCAGGAAGGGAGTATCTCTTCTTCGGATCATTTTCAATGAATTCGACGACGTTTTCGAGTGAACCGTATTCTCGGATGAGTTTCAGGGCCGTGTTTGGTCCGATTTTTGGAATCGGGTCAACGTAGTCGCATCCCAGAAGGATACATAGGTCAATGAACTAACCGAGTCAGTATGTGACGGTATTCAAATGTGCGTGGGGGGACCACCTACCTGATTTCGGTTCATGTCCAATCCCTCTAGAGTTTTGTCGAGATGAATCTCTTGGATAGGTTCTTTCCGCTGCTCACTGAAAGTGAGGTGTCGGAGCAAGATGGGCGCGTTGAAACATAATGTATCCATGTCCTCTGATGCGGCGGCATACACCTTACCAGCACGTGCTAGAACTGCACATTGCGCCTCAGCCTCAGTTGGGGCGATGATGTATGGAATGCCCATCAACTTGAGTAATCTTCTGCACTCTTCATTATGCTCTCTGGTGACTCTCACTGTACGTCTTGAAAATTTCTCCACCTCTTCCGCAGTCCCGGTTTCTTTGGCCTCCTCATGCTGTTCGCTGGCTTCGTTCTTCCGGGCAAACCGCTTCGCCAACTCACCCGATTTCAATTTGGGGGGTGCTCCGTCGAAGACGTAAAGTGGTTTAATGCCGTTGTCGACTATGCGCAAAGTTCGATAGAACATTCCCATGAGATGCGACGTAGTTTCACCGGTGTCCGACATGAGTTGTTGGCCATCTGAACGAACCGCGACCAAAAAGCTGTAGATACTCATGGACCTGTGGGAGTCAGCCGATGTCGCCTCATTCAAGACTGATTCAGGCATACGCATCCTGGATACAAGAATTAGCTCGGCCGTCAAGGGCAGAGTAGGGACACTTACAATAGCAACTTTCCTGCCGAAGTGGTTCTTGATTTCACCAGTTTTGATGGCGTCAGGTGCCTCGTCGGCGATGACATGGTATAGTTCTGCTCACGGTCAGAATATGAGATCCAAAACCAGAAGCAGCATCATACGTTTGATCCCCATCGCCGCAAATAGCTATGGCTCTCACAGATTGGGTCGTCGGTTGGGAATTTCTCTCTTGAAGCGGGAGGTGCATGTCACCGCGCGTAAAAAGCTCTAGTAGGGTCGCGTAACGCGCATGACGTGGGGTAATGAAGGGCGGGCTTCATGATGCAAGTCACCTGGGCACCAGAGTAGGTTCATCAAGCCACACGCGAACGACCACAGCTTGGTTTTCAAACTTCTTACTACGATACTTCTCCACAGCGGTGCACTTCACCCAGAGACCGCAAATTATCAGAACTGATGTTGCGAAGTATTTTGCTCTCTGCTGCGGGCGGGACCTCGGCATCCTTCTCTGCTTTGAATGATCGGCATTGATCCCCGACAACAAACTATTTTCCTTTCATTTTGCTACGTGTGACCTCCCGATCGTCTCTCTCCTTTCCCCCTTTCTCTTTCCTCTCGTCTCCTCTCAATTGTTTCGATCATGTTGTCTCGGTCTATTTTCCGTCAGGCAACGCGGGCGCATTTGACTACCACCACACTACCCCGTTGTTGGAGAAATGCCTCCTCAGCGGCGGCCTTTAATTGGGAGGATCCTTTGAACCTATCGAACTTTCTGACCGAGGAGGAGAAGGCAATACAAGAAACAGCACACTCATATTGTCAAGAACGACTGCTGCCAAGAGTATTGGAAGCCTACCGCAAGGAGGATTATGACAAAAAGATTCTCCAAGAAATGGGCGAGCTAGGCTTGTTGGGTGCCACAATCAAGGGTTACGGGTGTGCTGGCGTGAGCAGCGTTGCTTCAGGGCTCATAACCAGGGAAGTTGAGAGAGTTGACTCGGGATATCGATCTGGCATGTCCGTCCAGAGTTCGCTGGTAATGGGACCTATCGACGAGTTCGGAACTCAGGAACAAAAAGATAAATATTTGGAGAAGTTGGCAAAAGGTCAACTTATAGGATGCTTTGGCTTGACCGAACCGAATCATGGATCTGACCCAGGGTCAATGGAAACTACGGCGAAACCACATCCGACGAAAGAGGACCACTACTCGATCTCGGGAGCTAAAACCTGGATTACGAACTCTCCAATTGCGGATGTCTTAGTGGTCTGGGCTAAATTGCAAGAGACGGGCAAGATCCGAGGCTTCGTGGTCGAAAGAGAAAAGTGCCCCCCCGGGACGCTTGAAACGCCAGCTTTAAAAGACAAAAATGGACTTCGAGCGTCGATCACGGGTATGATTCAACTGGACGAATGCCCCATACCAAAGGAGAACATGTTTCCCGAGGTGGAAGGACTCAAAGGTCCCTTCGCTTGTCTCAACTCGGCCCGATTTGGTATTGCCTGGGGGACAATGGGAGCCCTTGAGGATTGTATCAGTCGAGCGCGAGAGTATGCCCTTGAAAGAAAGCAATTCAAGAACAATCCAATCGCCAAATATCAGCTTGTTCAAAAGAAGTTGGCCGATGCAGCAACAGATGCCGCCTACGGACTGGCCGCTGCGTACCAAGTTGGCAGACTGAAGGATGAGGGAAAGACTGTCCCAGAAATGATATCAATGATTAAACGCCAGAACTGCGACCGAGCTTTGATCAATGCCAGACATCTCCAGGAAATCTTTGGGGGCAATGCGGTCAGCGATGAATATCATATCGGACGCCATGTTGCCAATCTATTTGTCACGCAAACATATGAAGGACAGAGTGACATTCACTCGTTGATATTGGGAAGAGCTATCACTGGCATCCAGGCATTTGTATAGAGAAGAAAAGTACATAGGTACATCTCCGGGGGGAGCCCGTCACAGTAGTCGGTGAACAGCCTCCTAGAATTACCCAAGCTGGAGGCACCCATCTGCGGCTGATACGCAACTGGAGCCCGAGTTATGGAACTTGAAAGCGGAACAACCCAGCAAGGCGGAAGAAAGGAACTAACTGGCATTAGTATATTTTTTGTTCATGCTTTGTCATATCAAAGTAATGACCGTGGTGACGGCAATAGAGTGGTGGCGAAGTGAGCGCCCGATCCGAAAAAATTGAGCCCGAACCACACGGTTATTGGGCATCAGAAGTGTGTGTCAGGCTCCTTCGCTAGAATCACTGCCATTACTAGCATCTTCTACCAGCGAGAGCCTGAGTTCGGTAGCTGCTGGGTGTCTGCCAAGGCGAGGTTCAGACGCCCCCCTACAAAGTTCAACTGCGCTTGTCCAGCTGAGCGTTGTTACCAGACATTCTCTTTCACCAACACCAAGCGGACCCTCAACCACCTCGAACTGACAAACATTTGACACACCACCTTTGATTCCTGCGATCTTCCTCGCTTCCAACTCTTAATTCATTTCTCTCTTGATCGCAACCTCTCAGGTTCGTTTGCGGCATTCTTATGCCAACTTTTGGGCTCTTCTGATCCGCAAGTTGACTCAGATCGCAGCCCCGCGTTCCCCTTCGGCCTCGACCACCTTTTCACTCTCAAATCCCTTCTACCCTGACATACTTGGATCCTTCAGTCATGGCGTTGAAGCGTATCAACAAAGAACTCACAGATCTTGGCCGGTTAGTAATTCCTCACATCCAGCGTCTCTAGCATACTCTAGGCACTCAATACGGGGCCTTGATAGAGATGTCTGAAGCGTCGGAAATACAAACTGACGTGGTGCGATTGCAGTGATCCTCCTTCATCATGCTCGGCTGGCCCCATGGGAGATGATTTGGTACGTTCGCAGACCTGGAATGCCGCCGTTGATAGTCAAACGGACATGCCGGCGATGCGCCTGGAAAAACACCTAGATCATCAGCTAACAGCTCGTTTTCAGTTTCACTGGCAAGCAACAATCATGGGTCCTGTATGTGATGATAGCCCTTTCTTTGATACTCTGCACGTGGATTAGTTCTGACGGATTCTTCAGGGTGACAGCCCGTTCCAAGGCGGTGTCTTCTTCCTGGCCATCCATTTCCCTACAGACTACCCTTTCAAACCACCCAAAGTCAACTTCACCACCCGAATCTATCATCCGAACATCAACTCCAACGGCAGCATCTGCCTGGACATTCTGCGAGACCAATGGAGCCCCGCTCTGACGATATCGAAAGGTATGTACCCAACAACGCCCAAAGGTGGGAAGATAACATGCTGATAAGTGAAACAGTCCTCCTGTCCATCTGCTCCATGCTCACCGATCCCAACCCCGACGACCCTCTTGTTCCGGAGATTGCCCACGTGTACAAGACCGACCGTGCTCGATATGAAGCTACAGCCCGAGAATGGACGAGGAAGTTTGCCATCTAGTCGCTGTGGGAGATTGAGGGGCAGTTAGTCAGTGCTCGGCGATGCTAGGGCAAAGGATAAAGTCATGGTGCAGCAGATGAGAGATGGTGGAGGCCGCAGTGGATGGCAAAGGCAAGGCAAGGGCCTTGGCCGTGAAGAACAAGGTTGATGGATGTGAGAGTACGACCAAGCATTATCATACGGATGCAACGACAGCGACGGGAGAAATGGGCGTAGAAGTTCTGGACGTGCTCTAGTCCAACAACACGACCTGGGATGAACTCTTATGATGCATTACATTCTGGGCGTACTTTAGGAATATTCACTGTGCTTTCGCAACCAGAACTCCAAATGTGGCCTTCTCTTCTCGTCCCCTCTCATCTCATGATTCCTTGGGTCAATTTTCTACCTTATCAACGACTAATTTTGGCCTCTATGGTGAGACTTGAGACCACAGCCGCCTTGCCCAGGCTGGGCAGAGGTAAGCAAGAGGCATGATAGCAGGGCATCATCTGGGCGCGTCCGTTCATTCGAGAGATGTCCCTATCCAATAGGAATATCTATTCGGCTCGACAAGACCGCTCTCCGATGGGATGTTTGTCAGGCCCCTTGTTGCACAGGCACGTGCCTGAAAAATTCTGGGGTTGGTGGACCAGACAGAGGTGATATGACGAGCTGCAAGAGTTACGATTGTAGAAAAGCCTTGTCGACTTGAAACAAGGAGGCTGCGCGGCAATCTTGAGGGGAAGATAAAGAGGCAAAGAAGAGTGCTGCTGGCCCGAGGCCCCGTTTCGAATATATCATTGCCCCTGAACGTGTTTCACCAACTGGTTTCCACCACAATCCACATCCGATGCTGCTACAAATCATCTCGCCAGAACATACCTTTCTCTCCTTCACCCTGTCCAGGCCATTGCCAAACCATTGCTCAACCAGCGCGTCCGGACTTCGGTTCCCAATGCTTGTCAATTTTTACCGGCCAGCTATGTGGGTTTCTTTGTCATTGCTCCACCTGTGCTGTCCACCCCTACTACACCCAACAGATCCCCCTTTCTCACTGCATGAGGGAGAATGAGACTTTCCAGCACCGGATAGGCCCGATGATCGATGCGGCGACAAGCGCTGAAGGGGTAGAAGTTTCTCTGTCACTATCTCTCGTGGCTCTCCCTGTTCCTAGTCTTCTGTTTGTTTATGTTGATCGTCTTGTCCTTTCCCCCCGGAGCGCATTCTTCAATTCTTTAGACGTAGGGGCCATCGTCAGCCTTGCCTGGTGCGAAGCTCACCCTCCTGATCGTACGAAGGTACGATGTATTGGTATTGACCCCACGACATCATTTCCTTCATACTGATACTGTGTCAGGTGTTGGTTTCAAGAACCTCTTCGAGTCTCCTTGCTGGAGCAACACAACCGAATAGTGGACTAATCAGAGACGAGTCTCAGACCGTTCTGAATCATCACCCTTCATTTTACTTGTTGGCCGCCATGAATATCTCGACGCCGCAACCTTACTTCCAGATACCGCTGGGTCGGTCCAACACTACTACACACAATAATGCGCCAATGTATTACCTGGAGAAGCCGTTGGCCAGGTCAAACACGTCGTCGACAACGTCCTCAATGTTGGAACGATCCCGATCAACTCCTCTTTCGAGGATGTTGTTGTCCGGAGAAGTCAGTGGTGAAGCGCCGCGAGATCTGACCTTGAAAGAGAAGTTTGAAAGATGGATGGTCAATGAAGGTTCAAGGCGGGTGGTGGTGAGCGTATTCGTGCTGGTTCACGGACTGATATTCGGCTTTGGGTTTATGAATTATCAATTGAAGGACAACTTGACGACGGCGCGAGCAACCTTCGGTATCACCTATCCGATCGCACGTTCGGCCGCTTTGGTTTTGCATTTTGACGTCGCATTGATCCTTTTCCCGGTCTGCCGAACGTTGATCTCCCTGTTACGACAAACACCTCTCAACAGCATTATTCCCTTTGACAAGAACCTCACCTTCCACAAGCTGGTGGCCTATTCGATCGTCTTTTTCACATGGGTTCATACGATTGCGCACTGGAACAACTTCGCCCAACTTGCAGCCAAACAGAAGCTGGGATTCGTTGGCTTTTTGCTCGCCAACTTCGTCACGGGCCCGGGCTGGTCCGGATATGTGATGCTCGTCGCCTTGATGGCTATGTTGCTGACCTCGATCGAGAAACCCCGACGAGCGAATTATGAACGTTTCTGGTCCCTCCATCATTTATTCGTTGTGTTTTTCGTGTTTTGGTCTATTCATGGAGCCTTCTGCATGATCAAATCTGATACCGCACCTTTCTGCTTCGGTACCGGTGTCTTCTGGGAATACTGGATGTATGGGGGTTTCGCGTATCTTTTGGAACGCGTCCTCCGTGAGATCCGAGGCCGACACAAGACGTTCGTCACCAAAGTCATCCAACACCCAAGTAATGTCGTCGAGATCCAGATGCACAAAGAAAAGACCAAGACCCGTGCCGGCCAATACATCTTCATTTGCTGCCCGGAAGTCTCTATCTGGCAGTATCATCCCTTCACTTTGACCTCCGCGCCAGAGGAGGACTACATCTCTATCCATGTACGGATGGTGGGCAACTTCACCAGAGCCCTGGGCAAATCCCTAGGATGTGACGACAGTAAGGGTAAAGGAGGCAACAAAGACGGTGCCAAAATGCAACGTTCCGAAGTCGTCTCCATGGCTCCCGGTGGATTGACCAAGATCCTACCCCGGATCTACGTCGACGGACCCTTTGGCTCTGCGTCCGAAGACGTCTTTAAGTTCGAGACCGCCGTGCTTGTCGGCGCAGGTATCGGTGTCACTCCCTTCGCCAGTATCCTCAAGTCTATCTGGTACCGTATGAGTACCGGCAACGGAGGCAAGACCAGACTACGCAAAGTCTACTTCTTCTGGATTTGTCGTGACTTTGGGTCTCTGGAATGGTTCAAGAGTTTACTCATGGCCATTGAAGCTCAAGATAAACAACATGCCATTGAGATTCATGCTGTATGTTTTATCCTTCGTCGCCACGCATAAAGTTGATCCTGTTGACTGACATTGATGACAAATAGTATCTGACCGCCAAGATCTCCTCCTCGGACGCAAACAATATCATGCTCAACTCCACTGACACGGACGCCATCACGGGCCTTCGCACGCCTACGAACTTCGGCCGACCAAATTGGGACATGGTGTTCCGCGCGATTCGCAAATTGCATTCGCCAGGTGAAGCGGGCGTGTTCTTCTGCGGTCCCAAGGGATTGGGCTCCCAATTACATATTCTATGCAATATGTACAGTGAAGGTGACAAGGGATTCAGCTTTGTATGGGGCAAGGAGAATTTCTAAACTTCATCCATCCACTTGTTCATCTTATCACCTTCACTCGCTAACTGGACGGGGACGCTGGAAATCCAGTAACTCGTTGAGATTGGAAAAAATGCACGCACGGGGAGCGTATTGGACTGGATTGGAAAGGGAAACCCAGGGAAGTGAAGGGAATATTTGGCACAGGTGAGATTTCCGTTTATCGGCAAAATGGATGACGTCCCAGAAACGCAGAGACACAGAACGGGCAATCTGTGTGAGAAAGACCAACTCCAGCCACATTTACAAGGGGATTGTAAGAAAGCGAGTCTTGTGTGTTTTGTGTTCTTCAAAAATGTTGTTATCACTATCTATCATCCATCCAGTCATTTTATAGAGATACCACTATACATCATCAGCAGCAGATTAAAAGCCATTTTCCTTTTTCTATCAATGATAATCTGTATACGTACTTTGTGGCATGGGTAAACATAGTCGTGGCCACACCACATCGCAAAGGGGAATTATATCTGCCATAGGACTGATTACTCTTTCCTGGCTTGGCCTGGTTGGGATGCCTGTCTTCCCTAATATGGATAGCCGCGTAGAGCAAAACAATGAAAACAACGATGCATAGGATGCTAATGCGATAGGGGTCGGATTTCAAGCCAGCCCAACTTTTGTCCTCGCCCAAGCCGTCCTTTCCACCCATTCAGGGCCCCTCAAGTGTAAAATTTCACTTACATTCTTGACCAACGCCTTGCCCGACCCGCGCGACCACCAGAAGATATCTACGTCGTCCAGGCAATCGAGCAAGACAGCCCAGTGCAGGAAAATCAGTAGTGAGACAGAGTTGCCGTCGCGCAGGCATGAGATGAAGTCCTTTCCCGCCATGGCGAGCCAGCCGATGATGTGTCCCCGATCTCGATATGAGGACGGTGGAGTGAAAGTGGGTGTGGGTACTGAAACCGCCCCTGTCGCCGAAGCTGAGAGAAAAGCAGAGGCAGACGGAGATCTGGAAGCAGGAGTTGAAATTGGGGTTTCTGTGTTTACCGGGCCTTGTTTGGCGAAGCTAAATTCGAGCTGGGAGATGGCCGAGTCGTTGATTTCGAGGACCGTGGACGTGCCACCGCGCCGGTTCCCACTCTGGTTACCTCCTTGAGGCGTGGTCGTGGTCACGTTCGCGTTAAGTCGCTCATTCAACTCTCTCAACTTGCAGAGTGCTTCGATGACATCCGGGTCTGCCAGGCGCCAGCGCCAGTCCCAGTACTCGGCGTACCTGTTTATGAGAAACCGAAAGGGGCCTCCATGAAGCCATTCACGGCTTACTTGGACGATAGAGCCGACTCCCTTCAAAAACTCGAAGAGCGTGAATATGCTTTGAAGAGGTGTCAGATGAAAATCCATGTTGAGGTTGGGGTTTGAAGCAAAGTCCAAGTTGTCTTTACCAGCCAGGTTGTTTCTGTCTACGACAGACTCCCCGGTCGTTGTTGAGAAGAACGCTGATTGTTGCGGAATCGCAATGGCGAGGAGCATGGTGAGTATGGAAAACGCAAAGACAGCGTCACAGTTAGCTTGCGTCACGTCAGGGAGGACCGAGTGGAAAGATGCAAATGCCATGTTTTGATATTCGAGGGCCTTGCGGAAGTAGAAGGACGGCGAGCGACCAGATATCAGCAAGAAAGACACATCGGGTTCGCGGGATTCGCTGGCGTCTTCTGCGGTTGACTGTTTCAACTTGGTGGCCATATGGAGCGCTGCAAAGGCCAGGATGCCATGGAGAAGAAAATCGTGCTTTAAACCTTGCATGGGAACGAATCTCTGCCATATATCGGCAGCTATCGTGTTGTCAGACACGCCGACACAGGATTTGTAGGTCGAGGTTGAGTAATGATGCATCAGTTCCAGTTCGAGAATTCGTTGCGCAGAGATGTCGTCGTCGTGGCCATAAGCCTTGCTAACCCGCCCGCCGTTGGCGACTTCTTGTGACTCGTGAGTTGAGTGGTGAAGCAACGAAGGAGGATTATGATCTGGGTCGAGGCCCGCCGTGGCTGCTGTCGTCACCGGATCATGATTGATGCCTTCTCGTTGTTGGTGCACATATGAACAGTCCAGCTCCCTGGCCACGCAGTTGGAACAGATGGGCCCCCTTTCATCGCACTAGACAACAGAATGAATACGATGGACATAACAGGGAATGATAGAACCAGAGGGGCCCTTACCTTGACTCGTCGTTGCTTGCATTGTTGACACCCTTTTCGAGATTTGGTGTGTGTACGACGCGGCGGCATCAACTTTGATCTTGAGCAGTATATATATCTCCTGTCTAGACCACGCTGAGACTTAGGGGAATCTAGAAGTTGAAATATGTTGGCAAAGGCACGAGAAGAAAAGTGGCATGAATAATTCAGCTGTGGAGTAACGATAATCGGCAAATTCGTTTAACATACTTTTCTGAGACAATCATCCACAAGATTTCTCGTAAGAACACTCATTTACGATTTCCTCGCAATCCCAGTCGATAGAGGCTGGGAGAACTTGCCCAGTGAATTCTATTGATATTCTGTCAGTGCCATTGCTCTGTATTTTTGCCAAAATCCTTGACGCTCGAGCCGAATGTGTCAAAGTCGACGCCCAATCGCAGAACTCCCATGATTCTATACTGGTCGTACACGGCCCCCAAAAAGGTCTATAACCCCAGTCTTCCTCCTTTTTAGATCCACGCTCGAGCTCGAAGAGGCCAGGCCAATCGTCGCCGATTGGGTCCAAATACTCTAACATCCTGTTGTTTATTTCATGCTGTAGACCGAAACCACCCGCCTCACCACTTTTCCCTCTCCCCCTTTTACCATCGCATTGACCTCGCTCGGATGTATGACTGCGAACAAAATCATGGCTGCGACCATGAGCACGGAATCAAAGATGTAAAGATACACCTCGTGCGAAATCAGATAACCATCATTCCCCTGTGCGTACTCGATCAAGCGGAACACCGATCGGACGAGAATGAGCAAACTACCACCGTACAGCGCGTAGAGGTGTTTCTTCCAGACATGCGCTGTGCTTCCGCTGCTGAGGACCTTGGAGGTAGGCATTCTGTGCATTCGGATGTGGAAAGTGATGCCGACGATGATGAAGAAGGAGAAGAACAGGATTTGCAGGACGAGGCCACCGATGATGATCTTTTCTCCCGTCGTCATTGAAGATTCAGTACCGCTGGCCATGATTCCTCCACCTGAGGTCAAACTTGTGTATCAGCATTCGGCGGTTCCATTTTTTGAAAGGCGATGAAAAGAGGAAACCAACTGACCGCTTCCCTGCATCAGAAACGAAAGCACGTCTCCAGCCACAAATATCTTAGTCAACCATCGTGTATTGATGACTGAGTGGACAGCTCCATCCGTCAGACGAATGACACGGCCCAATTCCATGTAGATGCTTGCCGCAAAAAGCGCCGGGGCGACGAGGATTAGGATCGACTGCAGGACGTAAGCCCCGACGCTCCAATCTGGAGACTCTTGAGATCCGATCGCTCTCTGCGTTCACTTCTTGTTAGGGGGTCTGAATGCCTCGAAAGGGAGACGAGTCCATCATACACCAATGTATCCAATCCATTGAACTGGAATCAAGCCAGTGTTAGCACCAGACCAATAGGCCATCCCCCCAAGGCAAGAAACTCAAGGGGATGATTTGAGACGTACAATATCCACCTATGCAAAAGGGAATGAAATACCACGTCCGCGTCCGAACAAGTTGGTAAGTATGCAGCAAGGTTATCAAAAGGAAGAGGATGATAAAGATGACCGCGGCTGTGAGAGAAGGATCATATTGATATAATTTGAAATCAGCATTTTCATTATCGCCAGCCATTGTTTGCAAGATTCGCAGATGATGCAGAATAAAAGGAGGGAGGGATAGGGGAGTGAGACAAGGAGCACAGAGCACGCCGGCATGATTTTATTTCCATATCAAGACTTTGACCTTTTGAATGTTGCCTGAAGCGAAGACACTCTCTATCTTTTGCCCATGTGGATCGCCAAAACATTATCTTCTCAAGTCGATGGATTAGGTTAAGCAGACTGGGGATTTTGATCCCCTGCGCCTTCGCCTTCTCGTTCTCGTTCTCGTTTTCGTGTTTGGCAAAGTCAGAATTCCTCATCCCCATTGGCTATGGGGGATGTACTGCGGGTTAGCCTCGTAATTTGCCGAGAAGAACGGGTAGATGTTGGGGGCTGAAACTCCTTGTCCACGACACGTGACAACCACGTGACGTATTGGTATACGCGGTAGATAGCTTTGTTGACGAGGAGGTTCTGCCCTCAAGAATACAACATGAGTTCTTACCACAGCCCGAGGACGAGGACGAATTCGGAGTCAAATTTCACCAGATGCCGAGTTTAGAGCTTGGTCACCTCGTGTGTCATCGACCAATCAAAACGAGAAGCCAGGTCTAGGCCATTCAGCGTTGATGCTGATGCATGCAAAGGACTCGATGTGGAACATCCCACATCGTCGCCTCGCCTCAGAGTTGAAACAAAGATAAAAGCAAGCAACAATAATCGGTTTCATGTGGGTTCCCACGTTTTTCGTCTCCATGTCAGCGGGACAGATTACTTCAGTTTCGTTGTTTCGTTTCTCGTACAACAGGGGGGGAGCCCTTGGACTTTGAGCTTGAGCTCCTCATGTGCTGAGGCAGACGAGAGTCAAGCTTGGATCAATTTGTCGCACTACCTCGAGAATGGCTACCCGGTGTATGCTGGTTATGTGGCGTAATATCCTTTGTGCATGGACATGCTACGTAACGTCAAAGGTCGGCCCAATTACTTCAGTGTTTGCAAATATTGGAGTCTCCATTGCGGAAAGAGTCATGTAGGTTCCCAATTTTGACATCATTCAAAACGTCGATGGCCATCATGATGGAAGAAATTCGTACATAATCCTTGGTTGTAACCGACGGGGTTATTTTGCATGATCATCTGGTTGTGAAATATAAGAGATCATTCCAATATCCGTCGTCTTCCCAATCAACTCTTCAAATGTTCGATTCCTGGTGAACGCCTGCTTGTTCCATAGATTTCTGAACGACGTTGTCAATGCACCCATCTCATTTCCGACAATTCGTGGGTCAAGGTTTCGCGATTCAGCCGACATGACCAAACTCATGTATCACTTGTTTCTCCATGGTTGGGTGTTGAATCAGCGAGGGCGAAAAATTTCGACTGTTGGTGCCATCGTCAGGGTCGTAGACACTAGCACTATCTTGACTCGCTTCATCTCCCGATTCAAGATCGCTTTCATCTCTGAAAGGTTTGCTATCGCAGTGGAATGTAGGACTCTCCTCACCGTCGTAATCCTCAACCACCAAGATTGGTCTTTTTTCAGACGGGTCCGAAGACAGAACGTCGATGGCCTTGGGTGGATCAGGCATACTGTACATATAGGTAGCCCAAAATACCAAAATCGAGCCCAGCAAGAAGTAGATGGTGGGGACAAAATCGAAGAGGAAGACCGAGGCGATGGTCGATAGCACAATGGAGAGGGAAGTAGCGAACCCCTTGAGGATATTGTCGGCGTATTTGATGACCATTGCCACAATAAGTCCTCCAGCGGCTTGAATGCAGACTGTTGCCGCAACGACTGCGTTGTATCCCTGGAAAAATCCGTTCTCGCGGATTGCTTGACCATCCCACACCAATGCGCCGAAGAGAGCAATGGCCAAGCATCCAATACTCAGTTGAATGTTGCGTATCCAGATTGATGAATTCTGACCGCCCTTCAACACTCGTTCGAAATACACACCAGCAAATCCCGAACAGATACAGGCAACTGCCACGGAGGCAATTCCCATCACATAATTTCCCTGCTGAGCGCGGAGTGGCGTGGTTGATGAGGGAATCTGAACACAGGCAACCCCGGCGGTGAGAATCACCAGGGATAACCACTTTTTGGACGAGAGAGTCTGTCCTAACATCCAGACAGCGAAGAGGGCGGTCGTCAGGATTTTGCATTGATATGTGACCTGGAATGTTGCGGCATCCAGGTTGGAAGCAGCCACAAATTGGAGATTGTTTTGTAGAGTGTAAAGGATGGCGGGAACGAGGAGTTTAAAGAATCCACTCTTGACACTGAAGAGATCCGTCCACAGCTGGCGGAAGCCATAACCGGATTGGCTGGAGGATGTACTACTGGCATTATCTGAAAAGGTGGGGAGTGGTGAATAGCGGGAGCGTGTTCGTTGTTCGCGGAGGTGGACCAATAGGCATATTATACATTTGAGGGCTTCGGAGAGAACGACTGCGGTTGAGCTCAGATATCTCGGGCCCGGGAGGATTCGGGAATATCGCATGGTCAGAACCAAGGTAGAGTTCTGGAGGACCAGCGTGAGGAGGGAGACATATTTCGTGGGGACTCCATAGATGATTGACAGACCGTCTGCGCATCCCGGGTTAACGTCGTGTCAGTCTCATACAGGGAAGAGCATATCTTGCATACCTTGAGCAGCCATGTTTCCCACTAGTTCATAGGACAATTATCGGCTTCGAAGACGGTGGAAGAGGTGAGTATTTAGATCGTGGTACAAAGGAGCGACAATAATGCCAAATGAGCGACAGCAAGGAGATGAATCAAAAGAGCGACAAGTATCTAATTAAGCACAGACATAAGGGACAGTCAGTCCATGATGTTAAATGAATGACTTTAGTGGGATATGAGCATCCATGAGCGACGTCGAGGAGATGGTCCGTTCCTGAGAAGCTATCACATTCCAGAAAACATGATGGTGAAGAGAGTTCGAGAGAGAGACACACACACAACGCGGCTGGTAAGGAAGTGGGACGGTGGGAGGAAAGAGATTGCTAAGGGGTGGAGGAACCCTGATTCAGCCAGTGGCGCGGGCTCATCACCTCGCCAGGGTTGTGTATCTTATCGCACGGTGCACCATTTGTTCGTGTAGAGTGCCATGGTGACATGGGGACGCAAACAAGTCAAGTCACTCAGGAAAGGAAAGTTTGTTTCTTTGTTGCTGCATCAGTACGCCATCGCAGCGCATCTCATTCTGCATACAGCACAGGGATCATCAGGTACAAAGAGAAGCTTATTGGTGTGAACCACGGCCTGCCGTTCCAGTTGTAAGGGCCCCCACCGGTCCTCGGAGGTGGGCTTAGCCAGATGCTTTAGGCGTATCGCTTCACCTTGCAGCACCCTTTCGTCCATTCATGTCGCCTCCTGCGTTGGCCCCGATCTCGCCCATTGGAGTCATTACGGAGGCGCGCACCAAATCCTCTTTCCGCGCTAGTTAAAAATGACAAGCTAGTTCAAAAGGTCAAGTTATTTATTCATGGTTGCCCTTCACAACAGCCCCCGGAGATGCCCGGGAACTCCAATCAACGCCTATAGCGTCCGTTAAGCCGCCACTTTTAGGCTTCAGACTTAGGCAGTTATAGGCACTGCTGCCTAGAAGTCAGAGGAAAAGTTCTGTCATGTAAGACACTACGTCGTTTTAACTAGCGCGGAAACTGGACTTGGTGCACGCCTCCGTACTGGAGCCTCATGATGCAACCGTTATCAGCTTCAATGTTCTCATACCGAAACTCTTCTCTTTCTGATTCTGATACTTTGACTGATCCGAGTCTGCATGACCCTGATGGTCTTTCATATTGCTTCGAGATCGCGACAAGCCGCCACAGTTTGATCACGTGACTTTACGCCATTCCCGGTCCCCGTCATTTGTCCTCCTGAGTCTTGACGGAATCTTCCTGGCATGACAGGGAGATCAGTGAATTATGTGATATATACCTCGAATAAGCGCTGTCGAACAGCCGGTGAAGATTCTGATCAAGCCACTCCCAAATCGTACAAGTCCCAATCCCATCAGCTCGCATAACTAAAGTGGAACGCATCAAGCCGATACACCTTGTCCGCCGGCTTCCCCGTGAAGAAACCGAGTAACCAGTCTTTCAGCGTCTCTTGAATATGATACGACACATGCTTCATGACCCAAGCATAACCAGCCGCACGCCATATTCTTCGACTATGCTCTTCACTGTGGTCGTTGACTTGAATCTGCCACATGGCGTTGTTGCAGCTCTGACCTCCCAGCTGAAGGTCGTCCATCATCTTATGGAGACCGTCCATGTACTGCTGCAGAGTCCGGAAGTCACTGGCGTGGTCGATCGTGATTATGGCCAGTGTAAGGAGACACGTCACTTGGAATATCAACTCCAGCCGCCGTAGTTGGGTGATTTCAGCCATGGGGCTTGGCCGCCTCTCCACGACCAAGAGCAATGCTGAACCTGGTTGAAGGCCAAAAGAATGAATCGGTATTGTCCGCCGCCCTTCAATTGATCTGGAAGTCAGGACGCTGATGGTTGACAGGGACTGCCAGAATTCCCATAACTTGAAAAGAAAGTTATTCAAGCTGTTGAGCAATCTTTTCAAATCCGACTCGTCCCAGATATAACTTTCTGGACTTGTGCCATATATGCACTCGAAGAAGCACATGACACGCGACAGAAGGACCGAATTGACTTTAAGAGGGCCACCGGTGGATTTCAGAATCCTCCTGACGGCTGAATAGTGCATTCCCGCATTGTCCGATGAGCCGGTGCGTCTTTCAAAAGTCCCCAGGCTGATGATCGAAGCCAACAGATCGTCTTTTCGCTTTGGAGACAACTTGGTGCTTAATACCCGAACCAACTTTAGAGCCTCGCCCTTGTGCCGCATCACGGCCAGCTCAAGGGCACTTTTCTCTCGGTCCGATGCATACTTGTTCAGTGATATCCGGTACAAAGCGGACCGCGCAAGGATGACCTGGAAACAAGCAGGCGTGTTCAACGCAATGGAGAAGTTACTAGCGACAGGATGTGGACGAAGCCGTGGGCTGAATCCATATGTGGCCTTGGGGTAGTAGAGAAGATAGAAGCTGACCAAGTGTTCCTGCATACGGTCGAGATTGACAGGCAACGCGGCGAAAGGGTCGAGGCGATCAGAGAATGGTCGGATACTGTGACGCACAATCTCCAGAATTTTCTGCTCTGGACTGAGATCTCGCCATTTTTTCTGCGGAGGTCTGTCTGCCTGCCTGGGAGGATCATCCGCCTGTTCCTTGACTTCCTTGTCCTCGGGTTCGGCGGTGGCTAACTTCTTCTTGATTGGTACCAAGGCTTTGGATGTAGACTGTTCCATTTCGCCTGTGAACCATTTTGTGGAGGGAAGGGGCAGGCTGCTGTCCTGGTGATTGCAAGTGGGAGTGAGATTTGGATGGGGAGGTCTAAAGTCTCGGTAAGCACCTCCCCGGTCTCGCGTTGCACAGATTGGATGGATGCCAAGAGAGGGAAGTCCGAATGTACAGGCACGTAGGGAGATTCAAAGTTGATTGCAGCCTTGGTTCCATCTCTGAAGACTCCCACATGGTCTTCATGTGAAAGACCGAAATCGATTTCACAGCCTTATGTAGAATGCTCGCTGATGGCGACAGCGGCCGTTTTGGCTGGCAAACGCTAATTAGAGATCGCGCTAAGCCGAATCTGATCTTAGCCCCGAGCGTGGGTGACAAAAAAACGCTCCACCGTACATATGGCGTTATACTGTGGAGCAAAGGAGCCAAAAGTGCAGCGCAGCCTCGTCAGGTTCTTCTTCTCCCAGTATTGTATCTAGTTGTAAGTCTACTCTACTCTATGACTCCATAAATGGTCCAGGACGCCCTCACAGCCTGGCCCTCTGTGTATCGTCCCTCACCTTCAATCCACGTCCACTTCCCTGCTCTTTGTCTCTCACCTTCAGCACCCTTCTTAGGAGCTTCCCCGTCGGACTCTTGGGAACCTGGGTTGTGAACTCTACCTCGACAATCCATTTATATCTCACTTTCCTTTCTCTCACAAACTTTAGCAATTGCCTGCCCATCTCTTCGCTTTCACTGACACCCTGCTTCAGCACAATGTAGGCCTTGGGTCTTTCACCCGCATATTCGTCAGGAATGCCCAGCACTGCACAATCCTCCACGTCGGGATGCCCGAGTAGAAGGTCCTCCAATTCCGCCGGCGGCACTTGCAAGCCTTTCACCTTGATCATCTCCTTGATACGGTCTTCGATATGAATCAAGCCGTCGGAGTCGAAATGCCCCACGTCACCCGTGTGAAAGAATCCTTCGGAATCAAATGTCTCCGCTGTTGCTGTTGGATTGTCCAGATATCCCATGGCAATCTGGGGGCCCCGGGCAAGAATCTCACCCGTCTGGTTGGCACCTAGTTCTTCACCTGTGGTCAAATCAATCACTTTGGCAACCGTATTGGCGACCAACATCCCCCCGGTCGTGGCATACCGGTAATCATAATGAGTAGGCGGATGTGCGGAGATGCAAGCTGTGGACTCGGTGGCGCCGTAACCCTGACGAAAACCCGTCCAAGGAAATTTCTTCTGGAGCAAGGCAATAATTTCCGGCGATATTGGCGCAGAGCCCGAGGACCAGCGCTCGACATGTCGTAGGTCAAAGTTATCCACAATCTTGTCTCGGACCAGCCGGATGATAATGGGAGGGACCAGGATGAGTTCTTTGATCTGAAACTCGCAGATCGCCCGGAGCATTGACTCCATCGTGAAAGAGGGAAGCATGACGCTGTCGCCATTCATGAAGATAGGGTACGTGCAGAAGCGGACGAGACCGGTGACTGGAATCAGGGAGGTGCTAGGTGAGTAATCGTGAAGGTGGATTGGTCGAAGGGATTGGAACACGTACTGTGAAATAAAGGCATCACGGCCAGGATCCTGTATGGACCTGGCGCCTGGAGTTGTTTAAGCTGATGACACTGGGCTATTATATTCTGATGCGATAGCATGACCTATACTTACTGTCAGCTGCGCGCCCGCACACGATATCAAAATTTACTCAGCACAGACCGCTTTAGGAAGCCCAGTGGTCCCACTGCTAAAATTCAGATATCCGCAGACATCTTTATTCGTTTGGCCTTGGGGTATCCGATACGGTGGGTCGGGCGTATACTTGGTCCCAAGCTTTATAAGATCTTGTATACTTGTGAGCCCTTCAGCCTTGCCTTCCAATAGGAAGACGTGGCTTCGTGGAATGCCGACGTTGTCCGCCGCCGCCAGTGCCACTCTCAACGATCCTGGTAGGGTGATCAGGATCTTCGACCGAGCAATTTTCAGCGCATAAGTCATTTCCTCGACGTTGTAGGCGGGCGAAGCTCCGTTAACTCTTCCGCCTGCGCAGAGAGAAAAAAAAAAAGAGAGGATAGTTGAGTTTGTGTGTGTTGTCTGCAAAGAGGCAAGAAACATACCTGCTCTAATAACAGCCCACAAAGCTACAGGATACCAAATGGTATTCGTGCTGAACAAGGATACCGTCTCACCCGGTTTCAATCCATACCTTTTGATCAACGCAGTACTTAACTGGGTGGCCTTCGTTTTCACCTCAGCCCAATCGAGTCTCTCCTTGGTGACAGCATTGACATATCCGCCCAAAGTTATGCTCGATGACTTGTACAAAGGCGAATACTCTTTTGTCTCAAAAGCCCATTCCCACGTTGTAATGTGGGTGGGAACTGTTTGTTAATTCGCAAACTATTAGTGACTCGGCCACAATGACGACCGTCTGGAGGCTGGCTATCATTTACCTTTTACATCCGGATGAGGAGATCTAAATACCACCATCGTTCTGACCGAATGAGTATTCCTTACCGTGAGATATGAGTGAGGAAAACGAGAGAAAAGATGTCTTGGTTTTCAGGATACCCGTTCGGCTACGTCGACATCTGGATCGGAAAATGTGGAGTCGAAAATGCGGAGGAACAGCCTCATTAGGCGGGAGTTTAGCCGTCAGCCTCGGCATAGCCGCCGATGGGGATAGAAATCGAAACATCGAGTATTGGACATTAGACACTGGTAGATTCGTATTTGTCGCTGATATCTTCGTAAAAGCACGTTGTACATAGCTGCTGCTTGTTTTCATATCAAGCTTCAACCTCACCAGCTCTACTTGCACTCTCAAAGCTTTGGGTCATCACTATCCCTGAGTCGAGTCTCTTGCCATCGGCAACGTTTCCAAATCCCAGCTCCCTCGCCTTTGCGGCCAATAGTCGAAAGTCGATCTTCGGCCCGTCCACCCATTCGCCATTCTCGTCTCGCTCTCTTGCTGGTGGGATGTCCTCGCCACTGACAATGCACAAAACTGTCATACCCCGTCTGTACTTCAATCCACTGAGCAGCTTTGGTGTGATGAGGAAATATTGGCTGCCTCCGTCATCTGCTGCAATATCGACCATTCTTCCGTGAACCATACGTTCATTTCGAGGATCCATGCCTTGATTGATTTCGTCCACAACACGGAAAGGAGCTCGGCTCAAACTCTGAAGGGCCATGAGGTAGAAGATGGTGCTGACTGCTCTTTCACCGCCGGACTGTCGGTGGCTATCGAGTAAGCTCAGGGGTTCCTGGTCACGGAACTTGACGCTGATGTGGAGTGCCCAGTTTGCAAAATCAAGCCCATTGTCCACTCCACCGTTTTCTTCCGTGCAATCTGCAGGATTATCAGATGATGCCTTATAGATGGCAACCTGGCCAGCACATCCAATCCGGGCAAACGAGTCTGAAAATGCATCGTTGATTCTTGCAACAACCTCTTCCAGTCGACCTTCCCACTTCCTTCGTATCTCTTGAATACCGTGTTGAAAATCTGCCCGGCGTGCATTGGCATCCTGGACTTTCTCCTGCAATCTTTCGATCATCTTCGCTCGATCTTCGAATTCTTTGATGACGCTGGCACTCCCGCCTTCGGTTAATTCCAACTTAGCTCTCTCAACATCAATCTCAGCCTCCAAATTTTCTTCGGTTTTGAGAACTTCCCAAACATGGGTTACGATCTCAAGGAATCCACGTTCGCCTATTTCCTCGGCCAACTTTTCAGCTTCGGCCCTCACGCGATGCGTGGCTTTATTCAGCTCTTTGGCGCGTTCATACTCTTCTTTGAGTATTCTGGTTGCCTCCGTCACCTCACGTTCTTTTTCTTCGATAGCCCGGACAATATCGTCGTTTTGTGCCTTCAAGACTTCCAAATCCGACAACGCCTCGATGTGCATGATTTTGGCTTCGAGCAGACCAGCTGTCTTCTGCTTGACATCCCTCGTGGCAGAAGCAAATTGGATAACGGCCTCAGTCTTCTTTAACAGAGCGGCATCCGATTGTTCCCTGAGGTTCCTAACCCGGGCCTTAAATCCATCCATTCTTTCTCGTAGCTTGCTCAACTCCTCCTCATTGTTTTGAATCGTCGGATCAAGTGCTCTCCATTCCATCAGTGCTCGTTGTTTCGCATCTTTCTCCAGCTTTTTCGTGTTGTGCTCGTTCGTGATCCGTACCTGGTCCATCTTAATTTGATCGATCTGTCTTTTGACGTCTTCATACTCGGATTTGATTATTTGAGTCTCGCCATCTATTTCGCTGATTTCGCGTTGCAGGACCGCCTTTCTGCCCATATCAACAGGCTGCTCTGTCCATCTTCTAGCCGGTCGCACATCACGAACCCGGGCAGATGTTCCTGCTGACCCGTATTCCGCACGTCGAATAAATTGGTAGCTTTTCCGTCCTACTATGTATGTCTGCACGGCTGTCTGAGCTAGCTCATCGTGTTGCTGTTGGTTAAGCTCCCTCGAGCTGATCCCACACCGATGCAGACTTCTCTCGTTGCAGAGCATTGCAAGAACTGTTGCAGGGCCTTCCAGATGATCCAAGGCCCAGCTACTCAATCCAAATCTCCGCATGTCCTCCGGCGCCAGAGGCGATCGGTATTGTTCCAGGTTGTCAGTTGAACACACGCGAAGACTGACATCATGAAGCTCCAGATCCTTGAATAATTTACCTTGCAAGAATCTGAAGTCGTCCTGATTCTGGACTGTGATGATCTTGAAGTCGTTCTCTTGGAGGAGCGATTCAATCGCGTCGGCCATTCGAACATCTTTGAGGGAGCATTCCACGATCGGTGGTCCAAAGACGTGTTGTTTAAAGTTATCCCGATTGTCTTGAATCCATTTCCAGGCTTTGAAAGTCTCTCGTGACAGGGTTCCCAGTTTCATCTCCTGTTGCCCAGTTTGGGTCTCGAGTCCTTTGAGTTGTTGCACGAGGTCGTCCCTCTTTTTCCTCCGATCCTCTCCTTGCGCTTTCAACCTTGCTTTGCGCGGCTCTGCTTCCTCCTTCTGCTCACCAAGCGCCCTCAGTTGGTTCTTTAAGCTCTGTATTTCGTCAGCCATAGCGCGACTGTCGAATTCTTCGGGTCGTTGGTCTTTTTTGCGTTTTAGGCTCAATATTTTCGACTGAAGGCGTTTGATATCCTCACGTGTCTGAGGTATTGCTTTCATCTCCGCAGCGATCCGGTTATTGAAATCATTGACCGCGTCCTGGCTCTTTCGGACATCTTCTGCTCTTTGATCACATTCCCGTTCACTTGCAGTCAAGTCTTTCTCACATCTTGTTTTCAAAGCTCGAACTTTGAGCTCATACTCCTTCTTCGAATCCACTTTTCGGAGTGTCGGTGCCGACACGGCATTCAACTGCGCCAGTTCTGCCGTGAGAGCTGATCTTTTGGCCTTTGCTTCCCGAGACTTGGTCTTGGCATCAAAATATCTAGTGACTGGACGACATTCCTCGAACCATTCGAGTCTCTTCTGCACCAATGCTCGCTCCCTCATACGCTCTACTTCAGTGCGTTGCAGCTCTTGCCTATTTTCCAAGTTTGCGAGCCGATCTTGGTCACCCTTGTATTCATTCATGAAGTTAGATTGGGAGTAGCGCAACTTCTTCAAATCTTCATGCCATCTGGTCATTTCAGGCCCAGCGACGGCTCGTTGAGTGCTGGCTAGAAGCTCAACCGGACTCATTTGAGCAAATTCCACCACTTTGTCCTGTGGCAAAAATTGACATAGATTGTCAATTTGAATATTGAAGGAGTTTGCCAAAGTCTGAACTGCCTTGGCTGCGGTCATGCTGCCGTTTAGAGTGTAGACGGACTTGTTCCCCTCTCTTTTTATGACTCTGGTAATGATGGGATTGTTTCGCTTGTCAGGAAATCGCTGAAGCTCAATCTCAATGGTGGCCTCGCGGCAGCCATATTTCACAAATTCACCGGGATCTTTTGCGCGTCCAAGATACTGTCTAGATTTAGAAGAGGCTTCCATGCTTGCCGAACACGGCACTTACCGATGGTGGCCATCCCAATCCCAAGCATATTGCGCAGACAAGTGTGCTTTTCCCGGTGCCATTTGGACCAATGACCATATTGAGATTTGGCCCGGGGAAGAATTCTGCAGAGGTGTAGGTGACGAAATTGGTCAGTTTGACGCGAACAATAGCCCCAGGCTGGTGGCCTGTTTGGCGTCCAATACTGCTCGTTGCAACAGTTGTCATTTGAGACTTGCGTGATGTTGGCACCGAAGTTGTAGCTGGCGCAGATATTTCATCAGATGAAGAATCCTCTCCGTCGTACGGCTCGACTATTCGTCGCAGTCTTTTGCTGTCATTGGGCGCAGTCGAGAGAGGAGTATTAGGTCTGGAATCTTCATCGTCAGAGTCGAGAGCCCTTGATCGACCTCCCGCCATGACAGCCGTGAAACCGTATCTGTTGTAAGGACCGAAGTTGGGAGCACCCGTGTTGTTAGGCTCCAAGGTAGGGAAGCGACGCGAAATTTTGACGCGACATTCTCCAGTCACGTGATCTTCATATTGCTTCTACCACACGTGGTTCCGATGCGCTTCATTAACGACATTGTATTTTCAGACATGTAATTCAGGCTTAAAAATTCGATGAGACGGCACTATATTATGAACGAACGCCTTTCCTAGCTCCAAATCTTGATTGTTCGGTCAACCCGCCGAAGAAAGCTCAACTACGTCTTCGTCGATACAACTTCAGGCTATCCTGAACTACGAAATGATAGCATCCTCATGCTAACTTGTCGTCCTCTTGTACTCGTAACAGTTCAGCCTTGTGCTCCGAAAACCTAGAAAACTAAAACCTGCGGCTGGAATCACTCGCGGCCTTCCTTAACAAACATCCTTAAAACGGGTATCTCTGGATAATATGTCAAGTGTGAAAGTGGTTGCTAGCCGGCTTCAAGAAAGTACTGACGAAAATTCGATCAAAAGAACTTGCCACGAGGGATCTGCAGGATATAATTTAGGATGCGTAAGGATATGAACAAGTAAGCCTACACTTACAGCCAGGAAAATGGCAGTGGTAATCGCTGAGATGATGAACGCTATGATAAGTGCTTGTACGAAGATGGTATCCTGAATCTGACGTAGGGCAGGCTCTTGGATCCAAACTTCGCGGTCGAAGATCTTGCGGATGACATTGCGCTTCTCATATTGGGCCACCCAAGGTTCGTCTTCATAGCTGTTGGAAGAACCCAAGCTGTCGAATGAACCCTTCTTCAAGCCATAATCCGAAGAAGCCTCATCCTCGTCCCCGAAGAGTTCCCAAGGTCGAAGATGTCTGTGGTGCACACCATGCAAGAGCTGACAAGTTGGTTTAGTGTTGAGGAAACGGTTCGGTGTACGTACCACACACATGCCCTTCCAAGCAGCAAACAAAGTCGCGATACCAATGAAGAGACTGAGGAATGCAAGTGCTCGCCAGCCGCGATTGACGCTGCTGAGAGTGACGACAATCGCGTAAACCATTCCAGCAACAATGCCACCGACACCCAAGCCTCGTGCAAAGGTCTGTCTTGGTTTGTTGCCATTGCAAATCGTCCAACGGATGTAGTTGGGGTGTGCTTGGCGTCGGAGAGACCACTCAACAGAAGCAATCACTTCGCGGAAGGCCGAGGGGTGAGTAGTGATTGAAAGAGCCTTCAGAAGAACAGCCTTCTCTTGGGACGAGAGGTTCAGAGATCGTCGGGCCCCATCGGCAATGTAGATGGCAATAATTCGAGACACTTCCTCACGAAAAGGTTGGATTGTGACTGGAATGTGCGTCAGCCTTCGCTCTTAGTAGACGCTGTTGGGAAAGACATTAAGCATACAAGGCTGGAGGGCGCCGGCTTCCTCGAATACAGCCTCTGCTTTCTTGCTGTGGTCAGTAGTCCTAGCTCGAAGAGTGGTACCATCCTCAGAAAAGCCATCGGTGAATGGAGCAACATTGTCGCGGTCTGTCGCTGATGGGGCCCTTGGAGGTGTATTGAATGGGTTTGCCGCAGCCTCGGGCACGGTCAGTTTAGCATTGAGATCGAAGTCGGTGCCCTTCAACACGGCTGCGGCAGCGTTGCCCACCTTCTTTGGGAGCTTCTTCTCGGCGTTGGCTTTCGCTGCCAGTGCTTGTTCCCCCGCCCACTCTGGTGCTAACTTTCGTTCAGTGTCTGGCAGTTCGGCGAAACGCTTACAGTAGTCCTTGTACCATAGAAAGAATTGGAGATTTTCTGCGTCGAACTCGATGTAGCGTAGGAAATCCATGAATTCACGGATGGTAACCGGCTAAAGACGGGGTCAGCTCGCGACTTCGCACAAGGGGACAGGCCTTACAGGACAGGTGCCACCATTAATAATCTCGTCAAACGAGAGAGCCTCTGGAATTCCATAGGGACAACTTGAGTTGGAGATAATTGATTCAACTTGGTCATTCTTCTCGGAGTGGAGACAGTTGCAAGACGAGGAGACGTAGGGCGGGCGGCGGTAGTTCAGCGAAAGAACCATTTCGTCCGAGGACTGCGACTTGATTGGCGTGTTTGTACAGGCTGTTCAGCTTTCTGGAAGTGGACCGGAGAGCGAACGTCTCGGGACGAGATGGCACACAGAGTAATATTTGTGGAAAGCACGTGGGAGGAGGATCGCCAAAGGCTTTAAGCCTTGAACGAGCCCGAGAGAACTTTGAGGAAAGGAAAATGAGAAATAGACTTGAGGGGAAAGTATGGCGTCTTGTACAATAACCAGGGCTTGGACCCAATTGTAAGAAACTCGAACTCTGGAGAAGGAGACGCGTGGAGGCCTTACCACGATGGAGGTCAACTGAGGCCGCAGTCGCGAAGAACTCGTACTTGCTCACTGACACTGAAATAGAGCTGATGCGAGTTGGAAGGAAAGGCTCTGCTCAACACAGACAGCGGGGAGTAGAGGGAGGTTTGTGTTTTACATGTCATACTTGGGTTTGCGATGGTCAAAAGGGTGCCCTGTCTGCCCTGTCTGCCCTGGCCATCTCTGAACTGTCCTTGAATGTCTTATTAGCCCCGGTGTTATGGCTGGCGAATGGCCTTGGATCAAGACGAATCTTCATGCATTGAGAGGTGCGGTCAACAATGTGGTACCTGTCAAGATCAAAATCCTAAGCCGGACTTGACGAAAGGTAGTCAACGCAAAGACGGAAGAAGAAAGGGATTAGTCCAAGGGGATCCTAGTAGCGCATCTGGCCGCATGGGCATGCGTTCAACCAGGGGTCCGGATGGGCGACAACGAGGAGCATCTGGGCGAAAGAGTGAGTAGAGAGGCCAAAAGCCAAAGTTGAGAGCCCAAAAAACGAGCGAAAGGTTGATAAACGTGCATGAATAGGGCAACAGATTGCTCACCTGCTGTCTTTCCTGCTGTACAATTAGCCTGCGTCTTCTGTATGTCAAACTCTCGAGCCATTCCACAAACCATCCTCGTCATCTTGTTCCAGTGCGTCATACACCTCGTCTCCGTTCTCAACTTCAGGGCTCTATTCAGTCCGCGATATTCTTATCCCATCGCACATAATAAATTGGGCGTTTTGAGGGTAGTTCACTGGCTAGGAATAGAGCGCGGGTAGTTGGATTCCGTGGCCATGCGGAAAGCTGGACCCATGAGGATAAAACTCCGGTGCCGTTGGGCGTATTCCCCGGCCACCTCAACACGAATCAATGCTCCCGGGGAATCCTGTTCAGCTTCCGGACTTGGCTCAACCACTCCAGCCAAGCAGGAACAAGGTTCATTGAATCATTCAATCCCCCTCTTCCAAGAACGAGACCGCTGGTTTGCTCACGAGAATTTCAAAATTTGAAACTTTGGCTCTGGTTTCTCCCATTCTCGAATTCTGCATGTATGGTTCAGGGGGCTCTAGGGAGGATGTGATATTGATTCAGCCGCCCCACCAACAAAGGATGCTGGAGGTTTGTTCGCCAATGGACGCATTGGACTTCTGACTTTCACCACAGTTAGCCAGGAACTGCAAAGAGATACGCGAGCGATTCTAATCTCCACCACTTGGAAGCGATGCAGGCTCCCGATTCTTGGCGTATCCAATTGCCTCGCTCGCTACGGGCCTTGAGTAAGCGACATTGACTCTGCGACTTTGTACGCACCCAAAAGATATAGCAAACACGTCAAACCTGTCACATTATCAACCGCCAGTGAGCTCCTCATCTGGACCCCTCCACTTTGGCCAGTTGAACCCCTTCGAGTTGCGCAGACCTTTGCTCTTATGTAGCCTGTCAGAATTGGCCGGTGTCCTATCCGTGAGGCCTGACGCACATGCGACAAAGACGACCCAGAATATTCGAAAGGATTTGTGGCGTATGAGCAGAACTTTGCATGACCACCAGGCATAAAAGCCAAAAAAATTGTTAGTCTCTCCTGCAATTGTTTTCTGTCCCAATTGCCCACTGCCTGGCTCTCTGGTTCATCCCGCTCTCAGCCTTGCGATTTCTGGAGTCAGCCTTGTGTACGTCCCAATTGGGGAAGGTGTCTTGGCATCTCAACCTCACGTCTTCCTGTTCCTGCCTTTCTCACTCTCCGATAACGATTTATGCGCAGTAATATCTCGAGGCGCCGCCATTTACAGCATATTGACAATGCATTTTGATCCAATGGCCTTGATCTCACCCGCATTTGGTTTCTGGAGTCCGCTCAAAGGACTCAATCCCCACCGCATTAAACTCCGAATCGAATCGAGTTTCACTTCCCCTAGACCTTTATTGCTGCTGCAGCTGCAGCAATTGTCAATACTCCTTCAAGCAAGTAGTAAGTCTGAAAAGGTATCATCGAGCAAAGAAATGTACACGTTCAAAAAAGATTCGGTTTTGACTAGTCTTGGCTGTCTACCGGCACGGCGATTCATTGCATAGACCCTGCACGCGATTCGCTAGATTTTTCATTCGACAAATGCACATTTCTCGCTTATACAAGGGCCACTGCATGTCTAGTACATGAAGATTGCTGGATAACTTGGGGGGGGGGGGCCTGCTTGTGAGGTTTGGCTTTTTCTCGTTGAACTTGAGTATTTATTCTAGTAATTCAAGACAGCCTCGTGATGAAACTCACAGCAATGCGCATTGATCGTATTATTGCGACTTTTCTGCACTAATTTCCCATGGCTTCCTACTACCGCTGTTGCTTCAGTCCACTTCCCTTGTCGCCGCGCCCCAAAACACAGTCGAAAATGTCTCGCAGATTCCGTGAACAAGAAGTGACATTGCCCCTTCAACGTTCACTTCGTGAGACGTTCAGAAAGAGTTATCCGATCCCCCGGTAGATACGGCATGTGCGCCATGCCAGAACATGAAGGTGCAGTACCATCTAGCTATGAGCAGCACAGTCCCATTGACAACTCCCCCTTGGAAACTGAAAAACATCCTGCTTCCATTAAACCTATTCGAAAATCGTCTCTTCAGCGATTGAAAGCTGAAAAGGACAAAGACTGTTATCTCATCCTCTTGAATAGACTGAAAGAAACCATCGAAGAGAGAGGCTCCAATAGCAGTGATAATGGCGACCTCGAAATCTGGTGCTGGTGCAAGAAAGGAGACAACGGAGGAATAAGTGTCGAACTTGGCATTCCAGGGCGTTTGAGTGTCCTTCTAACCGCTGTAGACCTGCGAAAGTGTCTTGACTGTGCCTTTCCCAAATTGCTCGAGTTCATCAAAGAGTTGCATCCCAATAGCAGAGTAAATAAGGATACATTGGTGGTTGCTCGAATTGTGGGGATGTTCGACGGCCTGCACTCTAATGCCAGTGTTGGAGCGCATCATGGTCAGACAGGACACAAGCTCCTCAGAGACGGAACGCTGGATGTTTGATAAGACAGATGAAGAGTTATCAACAGAGAATGCAAGCACGTTTTTGTATCGATACCTGAATGTGGAACGCCGATTCGCAAACCCAGTCTGTGTCATTTTCGATTTATAACACTGGCGAGCCTGTGAGCGCAAGCATGGTATTGAAAAATGGAAACGAGGCGTTGTTGGAGAACGAGACTGTGTGTGATTGAGTCGGAACGCCCGAAGGTCTTGTTTTGCTTGTCCATTATCGACCTTTGTTCGCGTCGACTCAAATCCTTGGTTTTGTTCTCCTTCTTGTTGAACGCCCTTAGCGTTCTCGAGCCTGGTGAAGGCGAAAGTGAAGGCGAAGGCGCTAGGGGATCTTGTCTCGTCGCTGGAGAGTCACGCGACCTGATCCTGCAAAATAGCGGTGTTTGGTCAACGCGCCGATACTGGACAGAACTGAATCATATGTACGTCTCAAATTCACATGAGCAGAGCTGATGCGAGTTTAGTTGCACACAGATGCAGTGTCCGTCACAACAGCGTGACTTGAGAATATGGATAAGGAAGACCTCGTGAGCTCGGCAATAGAGACGAAGCAGGACAGCAATCGAGTACGGATGGATTGGAATTGGACTGAATTGAATATCAGATTCATAGTCCATGGCAACGGCTTTGAAAAATAAAAGTTGGGACCTTCCATATTCCACGCACCCTGTCACCATTTTCCATTTCCTTTTCCATTTCACTTTTGGTATTTTCCTGCCTCCCTCACCAGTAATTTTGTCCCCGAGCCGCTTTCGCTAACCGAGTTCTCTTGGGGGTATTTTCTCTTTCTAATCCCGGTTGTGCCTGTGTCTCCGGCGTTCTGTTCCGACATGGTTGAAATCTTCTTCCTTCTTCTACCCCAGAAAAGATGAAAGGTAAGAAAAAACACATTGTTAGAAGCCAAAAAAGGAAGACAGGAAGAGAATCTTAACTCGCGTCCGCTGGGAAACTCGTTTTTGGTTCTGGCTGGAAAGGAACTGGAAGGTATTTGCTCCTAGACGTTTACTCATCTGGAGGATCTGAGAAGAAACCGATTCTGACGCGGTGGAGTTGGGGGAGCTTGGGTATCACAACGGCCATGAGGGCCATGAAATTGACGGTAAAGTACGTAAAGTCGTAGTGCGTGTAGTGTGTGCTGAGCAGGAAGAGGACGATAGGGACCGTTAGGAGGAATTTTTTCGCCGGTGTATACTGGTCGCCATTGTCGATTTGTTCCCACATGTTGAGGTTGTCATATGCGCCGGCGTTGAATTCGAACGGGACACCACGAACCCAGTGGAACATTAGATATGAGCCGGCCATATAGGTGATGTTGGTAAGCGTCCAAGATATTTCTTGCGTTACGCCAGGGATTATGTCAAAGAGGATCTTGAGGCCGATGATCAGGACAGGGTGTATCGTCCATGCTCCTGCGGAAGGGGATTAGTATCTCGTCTGGCATCTCGTACGCGAGGCTATGGTCTCAATCCCACCTTTTGCATTGACCCATTGTGAGTTCAGATTGGGAAGCGCCAACTGATCACTGATCTGTTCTAATGACTCCGGCGGTTCCTGATAGATGATACTGCTTGATCTTCTCCTTCGTCCACTTTTCCGGGAGCTCATGACTGGATCATAGGAAGAGGCTGGGGGTGCAAGTCTGGCATCGGCTTGAAACGAGATGGTTCGGTGGAGGGTGGTTTGGGAGGTCATGGAAATGCTGGGGGTGAGATGTCGAGAAGGTATGAGAGATATTCGAGTCTGAAGGGGCCCCCGAGCAGTCAGCACGTCAGTTTGCTTTGTCCGGCGGAGCGGCATAACAACGTACCCGAAGAGTTGTGTACAAAGAGTCAAATGGCGGAAGGTTTCGCGTTGGATCAGTGACGTCTGAAACAGGTCCGGAGTTTGTTATTAGGTGACAACAAAAGATTCAGACCAGGTAGGAGACTCCGGGAGCTATAAAGAGGTGTACAGGATATCCCGAACGGCACGAGAATGCAGTGAGACACACGGTGTTCGGAATGGATCAGTCTCAAATCCCAAATAATGTAATCCAGGCGAGTCGAGGAACGGAAAAGTCGATGGGGAAGGGGATTCGAGAGAGGCGCTTGTCGACAAAGACGGGCTTTGAGGTACATCCTCCGAGGCCTTTCGGCCTAATAATGAGGCACCGTGCACACGATCAATAGTGCCTGACAGGCTTCCACCAAGCTTAGCATCGCTAGTCCAGCACTCAGTGAGTTAGTCAGTCGGCGCACCTGCTTACTTAGTGTGGGTTTGTGCGCGTCTTGGCTTCCTTTATGCCCGGTACATGTCTATCGCAGTCGCGTAGAACGTATCTGGGTACTCCCCGAATGCTCGGGTGAACACCACACTACATCTTCTCAAGTGCCAGATTATGATGACGAAGACAGTGAGTCGAGAGCCGCTGCCATCGGCGTGAAACGCTCGCCTTCTCGCTCTTCAGTTCAAGCTTTAGGTGATCCCGCAACGATGGGCAACAAAACCTCAAAATCCGATGAGACCTATAATCCTTATGACCCAGAATTTTCGGCGTCATCATTTAACCAGCACCCTCCCAGTACTATGTCTACTGCCTCGCAAAGCTTGGGCAACAATCGCCTAGCCACAGGCTTTGTAAAACCTGGACCTGTACTTGTCCCTGATACCCAAGTCGGGGAAAACGATCCTACGAGCTCTTCCAATGCTGTTTCAACTCCGGGTGCATCAGCAGATGATGCCATCGGAATTTCAGATGATGAGGAATCATCCGAGGGTGGAGACGTGGTGATCAATGTTGACAGCGCTACACACGACGAATATTCTGAAGAGATGGCCATTGATGCCGAAGAGGGAGAGATTTCTGAGAACCAAGAGGGAGCTAGTGAACCTCACCCGGCTGCAAGAGAAACCACCAACACCCCATCTCATACCGGTCAAGACGCTCACATGCAACTAGGGGCCGACCTCAACCACATTGCCAACGCCATTCCGAATTCCCTTTCTATCCCTGCAACACACGCCAACACTACAGGCTATTCTGGCTTACGGTTGGCTGACTTGAGTCCAGATGACTTGGATCTCCAGCTGAAGTATGCTCTGTTTGATGTTGATCGTGATCAAATTGATCTCAGTCGTCCGGCCGTCTGCCTGGCCTGTCTGCGGGCGGATCATACTGAACAACTTTGTCCGGAGAAAACTTGTCAATATTGTGCAGCGGTTGGCCAGCATTCCAGCAGACTCTGCCCCAAAATTCGCCGATGCGCAAAGTGCCGTGAAAGAGGACACACGGCTGAATCATGTACAGCTAATCTCGGGGTGACCACTGTCCCCTGTGATCTCTGTGGATCATTGAAGCATTTAGAGGATGCGTGTCCGCATCGATTTTTCCCTGCTGAACTCAATGTCAATAGTGGCCCAGTCAGGCTCTGGATTTCTTGTTGCGTTTGTGCTAGCAAATCCCATCTTGTGGGTGATTGCCCAAGTGCGGATCGAGATGCTGCTTTTAGATGGTCATTACAATCATTTGCACCTGGGCAGATCACCAATCTGACCCTCGAGCCCAGCACTCGGGAAAGGGAGAAGCGAGCTGAGAACCGTGGAATGCGACCAGAAGGCCTGCGCATAAGAGGACGGGCGGGTGTTCATAATGCCCGTCGTTCTCGTTACAGTCTTCGATCAGACAGTGACAGTGATGAGGAATTCCTCAGGCCGCGAGTCCAGAATCATGACAGTGCAAAACGAGGTGGATTCACTTTCCGCCATGCCCACCGTATGCCTAGTCCACCAATTAACGGGTCAAGATATGATCGTCCGGGCCGCACTGCGAACAACTGGTATGCGACCGATTCTTTTGGCCATTACAGATCTAGATCTCGCTCTCCCCAGCTGGGAGGTGGTCAGAGAGCGGAGAGTGACGACTTCAGGAGGCGTTCTCGATCACCACGAGGTTTCGATGGTTATAGGCCTGGCCGGAGACGATCTCCTTCTCCACGACCTCGTGACGATTATCGACCAGCATCTGGCAACACTCCCACTGCTTTCCGAGGTGGTGCTGGCTCTGCGTATCTCAAGCAAGATATAACTATTCAATTACCTGTTAGACGAGGATCAGACAATCTCTCGATTCAAAATGCTTCTACGGATTCTTCTGCACCCCCGCGTCCACAACAATCCAACGCAACTTCAAATCAAACGAATTCAGCTGGGTCCAAGAAGAAAAAGTCCAAGAAGGGCAAGGCAAATGCTAATACAAATCGAGCGTGAGCCTTGAAAAGATTGGACTTTTTATTCTTTGCGCTGATCAAGCTGACGAGGAGTTCTTAGCGAGCAACAACAATCTGCAGATGCTACGAAGCCTGGCGGCGGCGATTCTTCTTCACCTAGTATCAACGGAACGCCAGCAGTTATACTGACTGACGTCGCTCGGATTCCGAAGGAGGTCCTCCAAGGTTACGTTTCACCGATCAGCGACCAGCGAAAATCGTTCCATCTGGGACGTGACAGGAAGGTCGGCAGTCATCATCTACGATATTACAAATTCATCCGAGTGTGACTTCTCTTTAGGCACTTTATTATTGATCATGCAAAGCCGCCAAATCAGAGACACCGACAAATCACTGAAAAAAAAAGAACAATGGCTGTTTAGACCTGGTGGGAATCGAAATTGTCGCTGGAATCGGCCAATAAGAGACTCACGAAGACGGATGGCCTGCCTGGACCACTTCCTGCATTATTTTTCGCAAACGTTGTTGAGCTGACGAAAGGAGGCAATGAAGACAATCAATCTACCATGCATGATATGGGACAGGATTCCAGAGCGTCCAAAACGTGTTTTTGCACGCAGATCAAGAGAGAGGGACCGAGTCAGAATTGCCACCGTTCAAACAGTCAGGGGGAAGTTGAAACTCGGGGCGGACCTCTGATTCGGAAGAAAGCCAAATCTTAGTCCTGCGAAGACGCCATGGTCGACTTGTCAATGCCCACCACCTTCCCTTTCGTCATGTATCTCGAAGATATTAATATGAAACGAACCGAAGAGGTGGGACCCCCTCATCCCACAATACAGCCCACAAGGGTGAGCTCGTTTCCCTCGTTGAACGCAATGTCTTCAAAGCTGGCATCCTTCCTGTGCTAGGTTTGTCGACGTTTCAGACCATGAGAAGCCAACACCGGTTACTCGGAAGGAAATTGCTTCAGTATAGGAATGGTATACAACTTTGTCCGGCAGTGTCTCAGCTGTTTCCCAAAAGCTTCCACGACGTCATTCACAAGAAATATCCCTGGCTCAAGGCTTATTTGACAGCTGTGATCGCATATAGTGATGCTTAGAGTGTTCGCTACAAGAGAGGATGCTTCTGAGGATGTCAAGCGGCCGATTGCCGAAGAGGACTGATGCGACATAGAATGGGATGATGATAACGCCCTCTTGAGAATTGAAACTCCGTACAAGGGCGTCGATTAAGCAAAGTCTGTGTGGTCAGATCAACTCGGATCATTGAATGTCCTCTCGAACTGTGTGGCCGCATAGAAGGCTGAAATGAGCCACGAAGCATTACGGATGAACAGCCCCCAAACCTTGCTTTGCCTTACTTTACGCCAAATGATTTTTCAGGCTGAGATCCTTAGTTAGGAGCGCCAAACTCTTCTGTGCTGTGGGCTTTACGACTTATTTCATAATTTATGAACGGCATGGGTACCAACTTCTACCACTGGCGGAATATGGGTTTCTCCAAGGCTCGAGCGGTTCAGAGCTGCAAGGTTAGTCCTGGGTTCTGAAAAAAAAGTAGACGAAACATGTTGAGCTATGTTCTTGAGAGTTATCAAGACCAGATTTCAATTCAGAACTACAATTGAACAGAACTTGGGTCCGAATTTTCTTCCTCTTGGACACATCGAATTTGTACATGAGAACGTCCGCCTATGCCTATCCCGTTCCATCTCATGCGCGCCTTCTCTTTTTCTAACACTAAATGTCAACGTTACAGTAAGATTGCCCCAGTCCCCGATTGAAAGGAGGAAAGACAGAAGAGAGGAAATAAGGAAAATTCAAGCCGTATCGTATTTCTTTTTCTCTCGCGTACAGAAAGTTCACCTCAAGCCCCTGCAGTGATTGGATTGGATCAGATTCACCCGACTGATGCAGAGATTCTTAACAAGTGTTTGAAGAAAACCCAATTCTCGGCAGGACTGTGTGCCTGAAAAAATCCCAATCGAACCCCCTCCCTTCCATCCTGGCCATGCATGCATGTTTCGAGCTCTCGAGCAAAAGAAGAAAGGAATCTGCATATGGGTAACCAGGTAGATGGATAGATATCTGTCTTTAAGTTCGTGCGCTTTGCCTTCATCATTCACTGTTTCGTTTGCATTGCGCTCAAATCAAAGGCTCCAACCTCAAACAAGCCTCTTCATCACCAATTGATTCCCCTATCGGCGATCAGCTGACTGTCGTCCCAATCGCCTTCCTTCTGCACCCTCGGATGGGTTGGCGGATGGACGATATCTATTTCATAAGGATTTGGGTCAGGGTCTTGGGCCTGCTCACCGCCGTTGACGTATTCTATCATTTCCACATCTCCTTGGGGCTGTCCGGGGGGATTCCGCGCTGGGATTGGGGGCGGCGCGTCAGGTGGTGGATAGTTGATTTCTCTCTTAACTGTCTGGGCCAGTTCGTCAATGCGGTCTGCTTGGATGTAGATCAGCAGGTACGGGTTGGGGGGAGGTCCCCAGCTATCTTGAGTAGGTTTGCCAAAGATCTCATTTCGATTGTGCACGACTGTTACGCGGTCGTCGTTATATTTCCTCCAGACTTCCTTCTTGTGATCGAAAATGTAGACCCAATAATGGCCTCCTCCGGCACTTCCGCGGTGAAAGAAGGCAGCATGTAAGCGATAGGGGTGTTTGCGCATATCAACAAATGCTTCCTTAACTTGTTGACTTAGGTGATCCATTCGAGTTCTGATTTCTGCGCAAAAGATGAGTATGTCTCACGTTCCTTCTGCGCGGTCTAACGAACCTTCGAGTTCCGATCGCGCATTTTCGGCCATTTGTCCAAGCGCAGCAATGGTATTGGGGTTGACATTGAGATCCCCCAATATCGAGTCGCCCGGGACTTCAGCTAAATACTCCAAAGCAACTTTCGCATCATCTAGAAGCCCTGGGAGATCCTTCGATTGCCCCTGAACACGTGTGTCAGCTGCTGCGGATTTGACAGGCGTTTGGAAGATACTGTCATACATGTGTCTCTTCTAGAAGAGCTCTCCGGGTGGAGAGTGCTGCTAGCTCTTTCTTGATCTCCCAGGTCTGCTGGCGACGTTGCATTAGTTCGGAATCACTGGCACTCTCAAGATATCGATCCATGAAGATTGTTTCTGGCACTTCAACGTGATGATTGAGTTTCTCCTGGCTTTTTGCCTCTTGGTTCCATGACACACGGTCAAGAGCAATGCTCAAAACTGGTGGAAGACGTGAAACAGAGGTATACGCCCTGGTCCCATCCAGTGCATCTTGTATGTCGAATTCGTTGTCGATTGCAGCATATACGTCGATTGGTTGTTGGTAGACGCGGGTGATGATGTTGAGAAATGGTACCGGTTGCGGCTCTGCTTTTTGTGGTTGAGTGTGGATGGTCTGTTGTCCGAAGAAGAGGTCATGCACCTCATCACGCTGTTCTCCAGATTTGTCAAATCCAGTAGGGCGCATGGCACAGGAGAGCTGAAGGATACAATGATTCATGACTTCAGTAACGTCTTGCTGACGAGCATATTCTTCTAGTGTTGCCGTGGTGTTCGGAATGGGTTTCCTTGGCGGTACCGGAGGTGGTTTTCCTGGAGGCGGTTGGTACTTCACGGGCTCTGTCTTCCCATCATTTTCGGCTGGTGCGGTTGCCGAAGGCAATGCTCTAGTCTGTGGATTCAATTTTGATGGTGACGTTGGGACAAGGGGCTCAGCAGTCTGTCCAGAAGTCGCTTTCGGAGACGTCGCAGCTTTATGAGGGGACAAATTCTCTTTGTTTTCTAGAGTCGCTAGCTGCTCTTCTTTGCTTGCGCCTTCTGGTAAGCCTTGTTCACTGTCAGGCTTAGACACCAATGTGGCTTCGCTGGAGTTGTCAGCCATCGTGGTGTCGTCGATGTCGTGGTCGTCATCGGTTGCATTCTCTTTTACACCATCTGTCTCGTTCTTTACCACGCTATCTTCGACGAGAGTGCCAAAAGCCTGATCAACATCGGTAGGAGATTGCAGAATGGCGTTATCGATCATTCCATTCCTCTCATACTCGGCCATGGTCAAAGGACCCAGCAGAGGGAGGTTGTCAATTTGACCCAAGCTAGGTCGATCACTCTTGAGAGTGGATCTTCGGCGCATCTTTTCCTTAACGCTCTCGGTTTCTAGTGTTAGTCGTGCAAGTTCCTGATCAGGTCTGATTGAGGACTGCGGTGTTTCGATCATGCCACTAAATAGCCCGGCAAGGGCGGCGACGACTGGCCAAATCAGAGGTGAGCAACATCAACTCGAAGAGAGCACTTACACTTTTGAGCCGTCTGGACCTCCTTGACACTAACCTTTCGCTGTCCGACACGTTTCTGCTCCATGCTTCTCTCGTCCAGGCTCATTTTGTAATCATCAAAATCAAGGACGAGATGTCGGACTTCAGTCACAGTGAAGAGAAACTGCAACAGGCTATTCAGATAGCAGGTGTTTCCAATATTTTCAAGTCCAACGGGTTCCTCGAGTGTTCCTTGAGGGGCTTGCGGGGTCCGACTGTGAAGATGGTCTAACAAGGCTGAACTTCCGCGCCCATTTGCAATGGCGGCGAGCGCTTTGTTGTAATACTCGACGCTACCGGGGTTTTCCTCTACAGCCATATTGTATTGAAGCATGATCATCTCATCCTCGATCTCTCGGTTCTGGATCTGGAGAGCTTGATAGCCTTCGGCAGGTTCCATCTGCGATTCGGTCGAAAAGCCAGAATTAATCCAGTTGGAGAGAAAGAGGCTCTGGCGATGTTGAGCAATCTTGCGCACTGCTTGAGCGGCTTGATCCTCCATTGCCTTATTGTCGGTCATCTAAGGGGGAATTTAGAAGACGGTATCGAAAGTGCGGAGGGTGACACAAACCTTGACAGCAAACAGTGCCTGAATTTGCTCATCCTCTGTTGTTTGACATGCCCCCAGAAATGAAAGAGCATCTTCGTAGGTGTCGATAACTGTGCGCGACGCGTCAGTATACGGCGTTCTGATGAGGAGTAACAGTTGCTCACTGTTTTTCGCAGTGTCCAGGATTCGACGGCTGTTGCGATGCACACCGATGATGCGCAGGTATTCTCTCAGTTCATGTTCATGATTCGGAGAGTCGGCTAACGTGGCTGTGAAAGAGCCAATGACATCCTCATCATTTAAAGCACCCTCTCGTCCCCCTAGTTGGAAAACTCTGTACGCTCGGTTTAAAGTCTCTGCGTCAAATCGGCCTTGTGAACTCTCCAGAGCTACTTCAGTTTCAAGAGTTTCGCTTTGACGCTGAGCCGCAATGTATTGGAGATGGGTCAGGTATATCGGTGCATTTCCAGGATCCGTTTCGACTTGCCAGTGGTATGCCTTTGCAACCAGTGGATCAGAAAGGTCCATAGGACATCCGAGAGCAGTGAAAGATCTATCTGAGGGTCAGCTGGTCCTTGCGTACAAGGATGGAATTATTACGCAGGTCTCATTTCCGGTGGAAGCTTTGTAGTTCTGCCAGAGGGATGGGTATCATCTGCAACAATCAGAAACTTCCAGCCACATAGACCCGAGTCACTCACAATCTTGACAGCCAAGGGCACGAGAGAGTTCTCTGTCAGCAGGTACAGGGGGGGAGACATCTTGCAACTGCTGTCGTTCCTCGTAAGGCCGGGAAAGAAGGAGCACCACCAGCTCGTGCTCAGCGTTGTCTAACAAGATGTTCACAGGACTTTGAAACGGTTGATGATCATCCATATCTGGCTCTGGAACTTTCCAGCGATCCCCGGGCTGATAAAAGCCGTCATTATTTGCCATCCAGCTCACTGAGGATTGTCTTCACTCACCACGAGAACAAATCCGAGATGCTCCAGCACGTCCTTGCAAGCGATCCCATCTGGTCCAAATCGAACAATGAATCTTCTGTTTCCCAAATTGATCGATCGATATTTCGCATCGTCCTGCGCCTTCCATGCGTTTTTTATGTAGGCTCGAAGGTCACTCAATACATCGACGGGCCCAGGATGTTTCATTCCCTCCGTGTGGCCTTCCCTCTCCCGAAAAGCCTCTTCTGTTCTTTGGCGAAGCAAGTCCGGATCTACCAAAGTGGAGACATCACTCGCACGGAGGACCGGAGGACTCAGACGCACCGTGACTGTTGCGGCGCAGGTTTGGGAAGAGCATTTGTAGGTATAGATTTCGTCTTGCGAATTTGGATTTTGGCATCTCCATGCATTTCTCTCCAAAGGTTCCTGAAACTCCGACCTCACCAGGTGGTGTAAGGGATGCTCAGCGTTTGGACATGGCGCTTCATCGAATTTGATGGTGTAGTCAACCTTGACATGGAGATGCACGCGACATACTTGACAGAATGCTGCCACAGTCCATATGGTCTGAGGTCCAGGTCTCTCGTCCAACACAGGAAGCCTCGATTGTTTCGTTTTCAATCCAAACTTGTGTCTGCAAGTCTCAAGAGGTATCAGGTCCGCCAAATGTTGCGCATGCACGAAGTTGAGCGGAGAGTCAGCTAGCAGGTTAGGAGCGTTTTGCGAGTGATGCCATGGCTCATAAAGCGTCAGGTCCTGAAGGAGGACCGGAGCAGTTCGACCTGCCAATTCCCATTATTATAGATTCTCCTCGATTTCTTTTTCTTCGATACACACCAGATCCTTTGATCGGCGCAATGAAGGACCGTATGTTACCTCGCACGCCGGCCATGCAAGACGGTTTGGGAGTGGACTACTGGCTCCGCGAGCCAGCAGTGAAGGTGAAGTAGCTGGGTAGGACGCAGAGATCGAAGGAGATGGTCTATGGTCTAGGATTATGCGAATGCTCGAGATGGGATTGAATGTTCTACTGAAGTGGATGGGCCTGAGGAAGAGGAACGAAACAGATGGCCAGGCTTTCCCAAGACTGTGACCGGCGCAGCCCACGGGACAGAAAAGTGACGGGGCAAGCCTTAGAGAGAGTCGGAAGCATATGTGCAGCTAGATGACCAAGAAGTTCCAAAGATATTGCCACCCTTATGGACAAGAAGCTGCTCACGGGCAGCGCAAGTAGATGGCCGCCTGCGTTGTCGCAGAATTCGAGGTATCCCCCCAGTGAGAGACCCGTCATTAGAAAAAGCTCGGTGGCTACGGCGGCGCAGGAAAACGGATAACCAGAGAAATGTCAATTCGAACCTCAAGCTTTGAAGATTATCTTCCCACCAAACGAGACCAACACAGCATCACTCCCATATCCATACCTTCTGCGAAGTCGATCCTCTCCTCCATCGGCTACTAATGACGTGATTCTATTGTCATTCGTTTTGAAAAGCCCGAAGAGCAGAAACAAGAATGGCGGAACGGGAGGAAACAACATATCAACCTCAAGATGCTCTGGCAGCTTCAACACGTGCAGCTTTGCTCACTGGTGCAGCTGGTCTGTTTCTAGCTGCGGTGCAAAATACTGTAGCGAAGGAGAACATTGGGGCCTTTGGTGTTTTTTCACGGTTTGGCCGTACCATTGGTTTCTTCAGTATGGCTTGGATCCGTTACAGCGCCTCAACAGGATGAGCATTCTGACAATTTCCAGCGGCCACGGGTGGAACGTTCCAATTTACGAGATCGGTTTCTGCAAATCTACGAGAGACGAGAGATTTCATAAACGATGGAATCGGCGGCGCCTGCGCTGGCGCCATCGTGGGACTTGCCAGTACGCCCAAAAAGAATCGTCAAGGAGTAGCTTGCATCAATTGACCAAATACAGAGCGATCAATGACATCGACACTGGGAGGCGCATTTGCTCTCGGTGTAGCTGCTGCCGCAGTTAGCTATACAGGCGGCTCCATGTTCGAATCCGCCGATAGCGTACCTCAACCTGACCGGACTGCATATAAAGAGGAGGCCAAGGCTCGATATCGAAGACCTATCAATGAGGTCATCAATGAACTCGGAGAAGGACGAGGTAAGATGAAGCTGGGATGTGGTCTTGGACCTGTTGGCTAATCTGTCTGAATAGGGATATACGGACCAGGATATGAAGAGAGACGGAAGCAAAGAATCAAAGAAAAGTATGGTATCGAAATCCAGGAGCCATATTACAAGGGAACTTCAGCGTCGTGAGCATGATTCAAGACGGGTCTTTGCCAATACTCATCCCATTTCTCGGAGAAAAGAACCAGTCGACAAGCCACGACCACCTGGCCCTTTTGGCGGTCTGTGCGGTTAAGAATAGACAAGGGAGAAATAGGGCGATACTTTCAACCGGACGAATGAGTTACCTAGGGGAAAATAAATGAAGCTTCTAGCAAATCCAAGTTGGCTGTTCAGTCTACGTATTCAATACCAAATGACGTGCCAATAGAATCACGCAACTGACGTCCTTTGAGCCCAAGTATTCTCCCTCAGGTATGTTCCGGGTTTGCCGAGGGTCAGATTGAAATAATCGAGTGACTGCATTGTTCCCTGTTCTATATCTCTCAGACCACCGATCAGAGAGAGCCGACGACACCATCCCAAGAGTGTACCACAGACCACCGAGTTTAGAATAGCCATCGATGGAAAGGTCACGCGTCAACTATATGGTCAAACCAAGTGTTTCGCAGGCTTTGTGGCCGCGGGAAGTGGGAGAGCTTCTTTTCTGAGTCCAAGAGTGGCTTTCTTCAGGCTCGGCCTGAACGGCAGGCCAAGGTTGTCCTATAGCAGTGGCATGTGCTAGTCCTTTTGCCACGAACTCGAATCAAACTTAGTTCGGTAGCAGGGGGCCACACCTAGCGACCTGGTGCGGGATAGGGTGATGAGGCCAGCGACGCATGTTTGTCAGTAAGCAATGCAATCCAGATTTTTTTGTTTTTTTTGACAACCAGTAACCAAAGAGGAGCGGAGATGTGACCATGGAGTGATGGGTTCGGTTCGTAGGGTACGGGGTCTTCTGCATGTGAGTCGAAGAATAATAATCAAGTGCTGGATGGTCTTGTTCTGCAAGCCATGACGTTTTGCCATCTGTAGATGACCCTGCCTTCTCTAGTGGTGCAAAGATCGAGTTATGCATGGGGAACGTCTTTGACCCCCCGATCTGATCATCAAGCGGCTTTGACGGGTTGGCGTTTCTGTTGGAAAATTAAAAGAAAAGGTTCATAATGATCTCAATTTTTCACCACCCACATGTAAAAAGAGCAATTCGACCAGCGCCCAAAGAAAGAAAATCAGACACAGGCCATCTCGTCAGATGCAGCTTTCTAATGGCTGACTGAGATGGAGTGTTGGTCGATCGCAGACGACCGACGATGTGCTTTTACTCGTAGAGGCCACGGAGCACCACGGGCTGGGGCTTGAAATCCCCATCTTTTTTGGAGCCAAACTAGTAGGAAATGGTGGTAAGTTTTGTTAGCGACTCCATTGATGCTGTAGTGGCCGCGGCTTTGTGGCGAGCAATATGTATACTCCTTAGTGCTCTCTATTCCATACCTAGATACTTAATCTGGGAACAGGAAAGAGGAAGACACCTCTGCCTGGGATTTGAAGTTGGGGAGGCAGCTGAGCCTACAATCATCAAAAAGCACGAGGAGCGAATTGTGCTGTTTACAACACCCCCTGGACAACTGATCCTCGGCAAACTCTGGCCAGGGGAAAAAAAACCCTTGGTCTGACGTGAAAATACCACAGGATATCCTCCAAGAGTGCTCTAATGGTTCTGTCAGACTAGCACAATTGTGTTCATTGTCACTCCACTCATGCGGCGGGAAGGGTCCTAGCACCCACCTGGGCACCTAGTAAACAGCTGGCTCATCAAGATCCAGAATGCGAGCATCATCAATTCTCAATCTCCAGCAAACTGATTATCCAACTCCCCCGCTCCACCGGCAACTGCGCTTGCAATAAGTCACCGCCCCAAACACCACCAGCGACCTACATCAGAAGTAGCATTTTCCCCTACCGCCAGGCTTGAACACCTAAACCCTCTCGCCGCCCACTACCAACCGCCTCACAACACAGCCCTTCTTGGAACCGACGTCATCCACTTTCCCACTCCTCCCCCATCGCATCTCATTTCCCTTGTACCTCAGTCTCAATTCTCTCGTTTTGGCTCCCTTGCTCAACTCCCATTCACATTTCCCTCTCATTCTCTCCAGGCCGGGTTCATTCCCTGCATGCCGAAACTGTGCCCACACTCACGGTCAGTCCCTTTGCAGCAAAATGGTCTCTACGACATAGCTTCCGAGCCCAACCCTCCGGTATAACCGAATAGCTTCGTCACCAAGCTTGCACGGTCTTGTCTACATCTCACCATCATGTCGAGACCGATGACTCCCATTTCACCTATTCACGGCTCCCTGCCGGGCATTCCGGATCCTTCAGTACACTCTCTCCGGCCAACGAGCGCCCGACCATCTTCCCGACCCGTTTCCTACGTCGGCACACACCACACCGGGGCTATATCACACCTCGATCAATCCCAAGGCGCCCCGCAGGAGATATCGGCCCTGTCGCAGGCTGCCGAATTGCGCGATGAAGTCGCGGGCACGAGCCATGAGACTCCAGAGCTTCCTCGAACGGATTCGCACATGTCACAAGGGTCGCAAACATTACTTCCCTCCAGGGGCGGCACATTAAAGAAGAAAGGGTCTCTGCACAAGAGCGCAAGTTTGAAAAGAACTCCCAGCAAAAGAAGCAGCTATGCTGGATCAGTACGAAGCTTGCAACTGGGGGAGAAGGAAAAGTACGGTGAAACTGAAGAAACCAACAGCGCCTTCTATTGTCCGGTTCCCACCTCTGGAAGTCCGACCGAACTCCTCGCCAATCGATTCCAGGGTGAGTTTGCAGATGATGCGATCTCGCGCTCATTCAGCTAATGTCTCGATAGCCTGGCGCAAAGTGCTGAAGGACCTAATCAATTATTTCCGTGACCTCCACAAAACGTACGAAACTCGCTCCAAAGCTCTCCTATCAACGTCGAACGTTATCAACAATACGACGATTCCTTCCAACTTTCTGACCTCGGGTGGAATCGGTGACGCTGCGTCGATCCTACGAGATTTCCACAAACAGGCTCTCAATGAAGCCAATAAAGCTCGAGATCTGGAAAACGAAGTCATTATCCAGCTGACCGGTCTTCGTAGCGACCTGCAGCAAAAGATCAAAGAGATCAAGAGCTTGTCTGGTGATTTTAAGAATTCGGTAGACAAGGAACAAGAAGCCACGAGAAAGGCGGTTCGATCCCTCCAAGAATCACTCGGCATGGTCGATCATGATGCAGCAGCCACCAGTGGAAAAGGCGATCCTTTCCTGGTCAAGGTCGCGGTCGACAAGCAAATAGAAAAGCAGATTGACGAGGAGAACTATCTACACCGGGTAGGACATTTCGCTGGTGACTTTGTCGGTTTGGACCCTCGAGACTGATTGATTCAGGCTTACCTCAACCTGGAGGCTTCTGGCCGCGAACTCGAGTCCATTGTTGTTGGAGAGATTCAGAAAGCATACAATGTGCTTGCCGGATTCCTCCGTCGTGAAGCAGATGACGCCTATGATACGGTCGAGAAGCTCAGGGACGGCCCGCTCGCAATGGCGAAGGATCACGAATGGGAGGAATTCACCACCAACAACAGCCAGATGGTTGATCCGAGAAATCCAATCAGACAGGCTTCCCATATCGTCTATCCTGGCAAGGATCACCCGGCAGCCATTGAAGTCCGCAGTGGCATGCTGGAGCGAAAGAGTAAATATTTGAAAAATTATACGCCGGGTTGGTAAGTTACGCCAAAATTCAGTTGTGGCCGGATCCAAAAATTCTCTGATCGCTTCCCCAGGTACATTCTTTCTCCCACGCATCTCCACGAATTTAAATCGGCCGATCGTATCGCATTTCAGTCGCCCGTCATGTCGTTGTACCTCCCGGAGCAGAAACTAGGACCTCATTCCGAGTTCGGCTCCTCTTCCCACAAGTTCATGCTCAAAGGTCGACAAACTGGATCCATGCATCGTGGACATGCTTGGGTATTCCGTGCCGAATCCCATGATACCATGTTGGCATGGTTCAATGACATCAAAGAACTGACCGAGAAACGAGGGGAAGAAAGAAATGATTTCGTTCGACGACAACATGCTCGATCACTCTCTGGAGGCAGTTTCAAACCCGCAAGCATCATCAGCTCCGACGGCGCACTAGAAGAAGATGAGGCGGACAAAGTCGCGTTTTCTGGTGAACAGTCTGTCCGAGGCAATTCGGTGGCTGACGGAGCTGTAATGGTGGGCGCCGGCGGGTTAGGAGCTGCCGCCATGAACGATATCGAGGACAACAGATCCGAAGCTGGATGGCGTCCTCCACAACGACCAGCACCAGGTGGGCGATTTCCATCGGATGTCAACGTACAGCGAGGCTTACAAGCTCCGCTTTCCCCTTCTAGTGGAGAGAGTTCTGACCGAGACCGGGACATTATAGCAGCCGCAGGTTCCCTACCTGGAAGTGGGGTGCCTTTCTCACGTGCGACCGAAAAACATACGGAACTACAGAATGCCATCTCTCAACCTCCTGGAATGACTTCTGGCATGCAGTCAACCACTCAATCCGCTCCTGGTCACCATCCAAATATCCTTCCCTCGCGCGCCGCTCCCACTTCTCACGATTCAGGTAGTCAATATGGTGAGTGGTTGGCGCCGATTGCTGCAGGCGCCGGAGGAGCTGCACTGGGAGCTGGCGCGATGCATCATCATAACCACCCGCAACAGCAACAACCAATGGCTGACACGGTCCGACGCCAAATGGATGGCGAGCCAGCAATACCAAAGCAGGGCGAATCATCTGCACCGATCCCTGTTGCAACAACTGCCACCATTACTGCACCCACTGGTCCGCGCGCAATGAGTGAAACCACTACAGCTCTAAGTTCGGCGGTGGGAAATACCACTTCATCAGGAACCACGGACACTGCTACGTTGTCGACCGTGCCCACCAGCGCAGGTTACGGGGTTACGAACGGCAGTGTGTTTGATGCTGGGGGGCCGAAGACTTCAGCAGATTATTCACTTCGACCTGCGGAACGGACCAAGAGTCATGCCACAATTGGTGACTTGCACGTGCCTGGGGAGTTCCCTGGAACCCCCGCTCTCAATGAGGAGGTGAAATTATATCAAGATGCAGTCCAACACTGAAATTGACACCTGGACATCATACGAGAGGTATGGGCAAGCAGTTTCATATCATATGCACGCATGAGAGACGACACGTACATGGGTTAACAGACCGATCAACCTGTTGATGATTTTCTGATATATGGACTCCACGGTAATATCGAAAGAGTCATTTTTGTCGAGTTGCTTTTTGCGTTGTTTTGAGATACCACAATCGCTATGTGTATTCATTTCTTTCTGTCTGGGCGAGCCTGTTGGAAAACATGAATGCGCCAACGGGGGTTTCGTACAGGTGGTATTGTCCAGGCATACATAAGGGCCACATAGTGTTCGGGGAAGGGCTTGAGGCGAGTGAGATAATCCTATCAATAAGGGCGTCAGCGGGGTTATTCTGCAGTCGCAAAACACGAAAAAGTCTTGACTTGATGGGTTCATCCATTCCTCAAGGTGCCCAAGGTATTTGTGAACTTCGGTAGCGATACTAGCAAATCGTTCCGCCTAGGCTGGTCACTTCGAAGTCTCAGCCTGACCGGGCTCCGTAAATCATCGAGCCCTGTCCGCCGAGAGGCACGCCGTCCTCTATCACGCTTCCCACGCGAACGTTTCTCATCAGTAGCGGACCGCTATAGAATGTCTCCTAACCCATTCAGCATTCTCCCAACATAGATATAAACCGGAACCCCCCCTGCACTTGCGAGCACGGACCCATGTCGCTCAAAAGGAGAAGCACATGGTGGCGCCGTTGGCGCATCCAATCAGCGGCTATTGATGAATACCTAGGGACCGGTGTGCCAGCCAGCCTCACAAGGGCAGAAGACAAAAGTGATCTCCCTTCCACGCCAGAGCTATCGTTCTGTTATAATGAATATCATCAAATGGGTCCATGGCGTCAAGAAGGTCGTCGGCAATATCAGCGAAATCCGTCAAGCAGAGAAAATACTCGACGGACCGCCATCAACGGCAAGCCGAGCTCTCCATCCGGATTGAAGAGGGCCGATCGCTACGCCCTCCGCTGGTCCATGAAGAAGATGTCTCGACGTCTTTCGTCCAGGACTTCTTCTCCAAGCCCGAGTCCAACACTGTCGTCTCGCTCAGTCATGCGGACGCCGGCCCATCGCCGCTCGATATCCATCCGGGCCAGCGCGTCAGGGGATTCTCCGAGGCCTTCGACGAACTTGTCGCCAGCGAGGAGTCGGTCGACTTTAAGATTCCATTTCCAGAACCTAACGCAGAGCAACAGCTGGAGATCGAGCAGCGTGCGGCCGTTTTCAGACGCACCAACACTGACATTGATGCCGAGCAAGCACATTTGCGCATCGCACACTCGACCTCGGACGCGCGGGACAGAAATGGCCTAGTTCAGCGTGTCCAGAGGTTGCTTGGACAACAGTCCGTCATCAAGCCTGGCGCATTCACGGGGCTTCGGTATGCTGCTGGCCTTGCCACGGCGCACGCGAATGCGATTATCTCACAGAAACCTGCTCCACTATTCACGCGGAGGGCATTATACGTACTAGAATACGATACCGGTGAGAGTCCCCATCCTGCAAGTTATTCATAGACATCAAGTCACTGACCACATTCTAGATGAAAGCGGTGTTCTCTTATGTGCACCGCCAAAACTGTGCGGCAGCGTATCCAGCCTCAGGCAGCATCTGGAAGAGACAGAGCCTAAATCTCTCCTCCGACTGATTTATGTATGCAACAACGAGGAAGCCGTCAATTATCTGAGCAACGCGTTCGGAGTCAGTGGATCCAGCGGGGAGACCAATGAACGCAGCTTTCGAGACTGGATACAAGACGATCGCGACATTCGCAGGGCCTCGCTCAAGGCTATCCGATGGCGGCCGGCGTTCGACATTGCAAGGGGTGTCATTTGCAGCGCATTCGGCTTCGATTTCGGATCCCTTGTCATCCCACGTGAAAAGAAACATACAAAGCAGCAAGGTCCGAACCACAACCGTATGACGCCTAACAATACGGCGCTCTTCCGCCAACGTATCGCCGTGTACATGCAGCGGGCTTCGTCCGAAGCCCTGCCCGGACCACGAGTTACCCGCTTCAACTCAGGCTTCCGTCATCTTCACGAAATGGCGAAGCACGACACCATCATCGTCTGCGAATACTCATCCGGCGAAGTCGGCGAGGTCGTCAGGGCCTCGGCTCTCCTTGGCCTAGATCCAGTCGACACCGTCAAAGACCGAAGCCTAGCATCCGTGTTCGTTTTGCAAGGCGTCATGACGCACGTCTTCGAAGGCTTATATCAGATCTGGCGCGAACAGATCGCACTGATCCACGAACCGCACGCTACGCTCGAAGATCACATCTACAGCCACCCAGCCGACGCGAGTCGGGCGCGCGACGTCTGGGCGCTCTCACAGCGCTTGCACGGCATGTTGAAGCTGGTGAATCGGCATTCGAAAGTCATTGAGACCGTGCAGGAGGATTTCTTCACGCTCGCCGAGTGGAAGGAACAAGGCGAGTGGTTGGGCCATGTGCTGGATGACTTTGAGCTGCTCGCGGATAATATTCGCACTGATTATCTCGAGCCTTTGGAACATATGATTGATTTGGTTAGCAACCCATTTTCCACGCTCCTTTCCAATTGTTGTCCAGCCTGAAAATATCCAAGTGCCCAGACCAAAAAGGGAACGAAGGAACTTCAATTCTGCTTGACTTGATATCAGCCTAGCTAACATGTTCTGTGGTATTGATCGCCAGATGTACAAATCCGTCACGATCCGCGACTCAAAGCAGAGTCTCGAACTGAACGCATCGCTGTGGCGCCTGAGCTGGATCACATTCATTTTCTTGCCGCTGACGTTCCTAGTCGGCGCGTTCGGCATGAATGTCGACGCGCTCCAGCACTTCCCAAGTCTCAAGTGGTATTTCATAGCTGCGGTACCATTGGTGAGCACTATAGCAGATCCAAATTCTCACGCCTTCTCTGGCCAAAAAGACCGATTGATGGGACGAAAGCTAATCGCTTTTTGGCCCTTGTTGGGCTTTAGATGATCGCGGTGATCTTACTCTGGTTTGCAATGCGGCGGCTCGCGCCGAGTCAAATATCTGCCATCGACTCTACGAATGCTGTCGCGTTCAGTTCACCGACGAGACATAGTCGATTGGGCGTTTTCGCCATGTCTTGACACCACAAATGGCGACGAGTTCTTGTTTGAATCATGATGACGTGACGAGATCACCGTCATTCAACGCCTTCAAAAGCAAGTCGGCCCAAAGATTCTTGGTATAATGGGGAAATCTGATTGTGGGCAAAGTCTCTAGTTGCACGGCATATCAGGTTCAATCTCGCCGAACATGAGACTCGGTAGTCTTTATCATTGAAATTCGTGACGCATATTTTGGTCACAGTTCGTTCCCTGGCAGCCTCTGGCGGTCTCTTGATTGCTCAATCCAGATCTCTACGCCCAGTTGGAGGCTCGGGCTTAACCTGTCCAAACCACTGCGATATCTCCCTTGTGAGGAAACATCAATAACTGATGTAACAATTCTGCAAGGACGGTCTGAGACAAATTCGTGATTTCAACCAGTGGGGCTGCCTATCAGCCTTCAAGACCATCCAGTCGTCTCAAAGTCCCCTTGTCCAGCCTCATAGCAACAAACTGATCCAGCGCCGTCTTCGTATCCTCCATCGCCGCCACCACAGACCTCATACTTGCTGTATTGTTCTGCATACTCAACAAATGGCTTCGCAATTGCTTCAGCAGAGGCTCTAGCTCTGGATCAGGATCGCCATCCAGATCCATGACGCCGCTATTAGGAGGATGTAGTGCCCCATTCTGATCGTGTGACACAACTCCCCTTGATCTTCCAGCGGCAATCCCAGCGACAGCGTTCAATCTCTCGAATTCTTCCATTTCCACCTCATCGACTTCATCATCTAGATCCCTCGCAAGCGGATGTAAGGTCCTCCCCCTCTTCCGCTTGAGGGCCTCATTACTCTTCAAGGCTGCCTCTAGCCCTGCAAGTTCCGCACGGTCGCGTTTGAGGGCCTTCTTTTCACGTTGAATTTGCCGCCGCAGAAGATGTGCAGATTGCACGTTCGTAGTGAGTTGAGATTGCAGCTCTCGGATGCGGTGGAGGGTATTGGAGAGGTTGAATGGCGAGTCGTCTGCTTGTGTGGATGTTGTTGGCGGGAAAGGCATGCGTGGAAGGCGCGAGAGGAGTCTAGATAATGCATTCGATAGTTAGATTCAACTCAAGATTCATGTACTAGAGTCATTGTATGAAGCATAGCAGGGACGTACTTATCAGCGACTTCCTCCACGATCCTCTCGTACTCTCTCTCCTTGACCGTGGTAGCCAGATTCGCTTTCCGTGTAGCGGCGCTTCGCGTTCGTCCCACGGCGGGGACTCTGTCCAATCCACCAGCCCCGGACCTCTTCGTTTTCAGATTCAAGAGTATCTCTCGCACTCTCTCCTGTGATGAGACGGGCAAGGGTTTCCATTTCTTGCGAATTGTGGCTTGTGAGATGTTCTTGATGCGCGGTTCTAATTTGGCGAACTGGATAGAGTTTACGCATGAAGATGTTGGCTTTGACGCGCCCATTGTGACCTCCGACAAGAGCACAAAGCCCAAAAGAGATTGAAAGCGTGAAAACGCAGTATTTCACGAGATGTGGTCTGAGGGCATTTGGATATAAACTCATGTTGTCCGATTACCCAATTTGGTTAGCCCTGATCTTTGTCCCCCGCCGCTTTTGAGACGCCCCATTTAACGAGGCTCTCTATATCGAACCTCCTGGTTGAATGTGATTCAAGGCGTCTCCTATCAACCTAATCCCAACCATCCCTTCACAGCCAGTACCCGTCCTTCTCCAGCTCCATCCCGATTCATTTTCTCCTCTGCTAGCGTAATAAGATCCGGAACTCCGTTACAGCCTTGCGCCATCAAACAGAGCTCCCCGTCAAGAAATCCCAGAAAATGCCTGTAAGTGGTGTCTTCCCCGAGTACTCAACCTCAGAACAAGGTAATCAGCGACAACCCCGTCCCTCCAACCTCCGATCACCTCTTTTCCTTGTGGCGGTTCGATCATTGATTGGACATTCGCCCAGATATCGCGGTTGGTCTTTCATGAGGTCTTTCCGTGTAAGATTAACCTCTTCCGACCCATTCGGTTTCTATTCGGGGCCTACAGACATCACAAATGCAGGAGAGGCAATCGATGCAGTAAAAGTACGCCTGGCAGGATCTCCGCAGTAACTTTCACAAGCTGTCTCAGACGGTGGTTCAGCCATTGCAAACATGCAGCTGTCCCGTCTCGCCAAAAAATGTCCAGTGGATCTCTCACCTGTCGGTCTGGTTGACTTGCCAGAACTCTGAATCAGGAGCTAATCGACACGCCCAGCGATCAGCGCTCTGCTGGCACGTTGCCGCCTTCGCAGACGAATTATCTCTTGCATCACTGCAGGTACTCAAGCTTTTGTTGTCCAGCGCACGTCGAGACTTCAACCCTTCCCTCCTGGAGGCAGAACGAGTGTCCCTCTTGTCCTCCCTGAAGTATATCACATCAGGTTGTCGTATAGTTGTCGCTGGATCTGACGGCCCGTCGCCAATGACGATCCGTCCCACACGCCATAACATCTATTGAGTCCAACAAAACTGTGAAGGTATGATCTGGTCTGGCTGAATTTGAAGGTTCTTGGACTTCAGACTAGGTTCGGACTTGCTCTACCCTGCAGCCAGCTTGCCTAAGCGAAGTGTTAAGTCCATCACCATGCTGAGCCTGGTCATGCTAGCACGTCCCAGAGCTGCTTGTTCTCGTATCCCAAGGTTAGGATAGTTCTAATCCGTACATATAGGACAAAGAACGAGGAATTTTCCCCAAACGGGCCAGCATGAATCAAGCGGAGCCTCAATGAAAGTCTGAGCGACAGCTCACCCAAAATGCATTGGTCTAGCCGCATTTTGAGGTCTAGGAAGTCACTACACTAACGAATCTGGCCGGAAGAATGCGCTCATGCTCTGCGCAAGATCCTCGTGTACCAAACGGAGCGGAGTCTGTACCTGTTTGACGGCTTTCATGGTTTCAGTGTAGATGCCAAAAAGTAATAGTGGATTTTTTCCGGGCAGTATACTCGAGCACCCCTCCATCCAGGATAGCAGTAAATGCGGTAGACCCGAGGCTGGCGCTAGAAGAACATAAAGTGTTCTCCCTCAACATGAATTTATCCCCTTTCCCGTATAAGTTTCAAGATAGAGAGATGGGTGAAAATTGGTGCTATCATCATAAAGGTACCTTCCGTCTTGTGCGGCGAGTAACTCTCGTATTTCTGCTACTAGACCACCTATCTAGTCTTTTCCAGCTTGGAATGTAGGGCCTGGGCTCTGACGTCGGTTCATGTGTGCTCGCGTATTGAGCACGAGACTCAAGCCTTTCCTTATAATGCTCTTCCACTCTTGTCTGAAGATCGCTGTTGAACCTCCGAGGATATGTTGGGTTAGATATATCGCAAGGGGTAAGAGGAACGCTCTCGGAAACCATGTATAGCCATCAAAATGCTGAGAATCATGAAAAGTGCTTTCCCCCGGGTCGGCGGGGCTGCCGAGGATCCAACTCCTTCGTCTTTGTATTTTGCCATAGCTCACGCCAAAGGGCAAAGCACACACAAAGAGAGAGAACACGCCAGGATTCGAATCTTAGCGATAGAGCAAAATGCCTAGCCCACGAGCTCCTATTCGAGGAGGTTGTAGGGAGGGAAAACACCCATTGGAGTTGTTCTGGAATTGTAGACCCACCTCCTTTTTGAGAACTCTTTCTAAACGCTTAAGCGTATACACACGGCCCTGCCTCTGTTACCAACTGCACGAATGGATCGGTTCAGGAGGGTTAGAAGGATTCGGTTGATTGAGGCGAAAAGTCTGCGCAAGGAGGCTTAGTTGGGCTGGCTGGCGTGTGATTTCGGCGCGGCCAATGCCGGAGCAAGACGGAGATTGGGATTATTTGACCATTTTATCTCTTCGTGGTAGGAGGACTGGCTTTGGCTCATTCCTAGTTCTCACAACAGATTTTATAAGGCCACATATTCAGTAAGTGTACCGGAAATCCGGGACGCCCTCAATGAGATGGTCTCCTTTCCTGGCTTTGCAGTTTGCAAACCAAAACCATACTGTGCAAATGACAACCAGAGCGATCATCAGGACATGACTGCCTATGCTTACCCAAATGGCGGTCAAATACCGAGGCGCTTCTGGTTGACGGACAATGTAGCTGCCAGCAATACCTCCCAGTCCATTACAAGCTGAAATTGCTGCTGCCACAGTGGCACGCTTCCATTGACCGACAACATTGTTTGCTTGATACGCATTGAGGGCCGCCCAATTGGACACATACGCGCCGGTCGCCAAAAAAGTACCGACATACCTGACCGTGACCTGACTTGGAAATCCCAGCATACAAAATCCAATGATCAGGCATGTTGCGTTGAAGATGATGACGGGGCCTCGAATTCGGTATTTGTCGCCAAGATAAGATGACAGGAGAACCGGGATGACTGCATAGTAATATGGGGGAGAAGACAACAAGATTGCCTTGTTGGTGTCGAAACCCATACCGCTTTGAAGGATTATGGGCAAGAAGTAGGAAAGTGCTGTCGAAACTATATTCAGGAGGAAGAACAATACGCTGAAGGCATAGAGCTTCAAGTCCAGAAAGTTCACCAAAATGGCGGGCAGACTGAAGGGCTCCGGCTTTCCGGCGTCACGACGGTCCTCGTTGATTCGCGAAATGGCCAGGATCTTCTCGTCTTCGGTGAGAAAATAAAATGAGTTCTCACATTTATCCGGAAAGTCAATCATCCAGAAGTAGGTGATGATCCCCAGAAAGACAGTGGCTGTACCTTGGACTAAGTACATCCATTGCCACCCGCGAAGGCCGTGACGATGATCGAGATGATTTAAACCAAAATTGACGATGGAGCCGGTTGCGAGAATGATGATTTCGCCCGATTGCAGAAGGGCGAATCGAAGTTGTTGTTCCTTGCGAGTAAACCAGGTGGACACAAGGTACGTCAAGCCCGGGAAGATTCCGGACATCGAGATTCCAAGAAGAACCCTCAATGCTATCATTTGCTGCCAGCTGGAGATAGCTGCAGTGCAGATGGTAATTATTCCAAAGGCACAAGTGATTGCCGAAAAAAAATTTCTCGGACCAACAAAGCGCAGCAAAATGGTTGCGGGCAACTGGCAGCACACGGATGCGACCGTGAAGATGAAAATGGCAACGGAATATCGATCTCCTGTAAGGTTCAGATCAGAGAGCATGCTTGTGACGGAAGCTGAAGAGATAATGCCGCTGTCTAAAAGATTCAGGCTGCAAAGAATGCCGGCTATAGTGCATAAACGGAGGTCGATTTTGCGACGAAGGCGCACTTCCGCTCGAGCACGAGTCGCCACATTCTGAGATCGCTCCTGAATGACTTGGACAGGTGATTCGATCTCGGAATATCTGTCAGAAGGCCTTCGCTCAACGAGACCGCCGTCCTCGATATTGATCTTGGTGGCGGAAGGAGCCATGGCAGCAAAATGCAGCGAGCGCTAAATAGAACGATTTATCGCGATCATTCCTGGGTGGCTTGATTTCTTGTCCACTGCTGAGTCGGTTTTGAGAGAGGGAAAGAGGTAACAGAGAAGAGGCGTTGCGAAGAGAAGGATAATTGTGAACAAACCCCCGGGGGGGGGGGTGTTGTGCGGGGCATATCAAGATAATGACCCGATAGCAGCGAACCAGTTATAGAGCATCACGGCACTTACTGTGAATTTCTCGATCAGTAGCTTTTCCATCTTGCTCAGGGAGTAGCCAGACAGATTGACATATCACTTATCGTATGATTTTCAGATGGGAAAAATGGGTGAGGCTCTGCAACCAGGCTGCCGGCAGGAGCAGCGGAAGTCCATTGTTGAGTGCACCGAGTACGGAGAGGAGAGAACGGAATACGAGTCTATCTGCGCTAGAAGCCGCTGCAGAATATAATATATAAAAGGAGGTATCCAGGTAGCTTTACAGGGAATGGAAGCCTGAATAGGGTCAAATGACCATTCGAGGATGGCTAACAAAGGATTCCGGGGGCCTCTACCGGCGACGTGGGCGACGCGGAAATCAACCAATGACGTCGGCAGGATCTCGGCCGGGCAAATGGAAATTGCTAAACAAACTCGCAGCCACGGAGAAGAGAAGAACAAAGAACTGAAACTGGAAACTGAGATTCGCCGTCAACTTAAATTTCGCTCTCCGTCGAGGTTTCTCCGCAACCAGACGAGACACCAATACACAGAAACATCATGCTTCCCTCAAGCTTCTCAATACTGTGACCTTTTGCTCTGTCCGCTGGTACTGCCCTGCGACTGCGAGGGCTCTAACAGCCTAGTCTTCGTCCTACACCTGTCTACAAGACAAATGCTTCAACGATCGGCCTAAATATCGTTCTGCTTACTACCCGTGGACTCTTACCACCATGGTCGAATTAGTTCCTCCTCCTGATCCTCACACTCTCCTACCACCGCTCCTCGCTTGTCTGCCCACCTCCTTTGCCTCCCCCCGACCGCCGCCTGCATTACTTCCACTGCTCTCTCCCATACTGCGACAGCGCCTTCATCTAAACACTTCTGGCGCTTCTCGCGAGAACTGGGCTCCTCTGCTATGTTGGGATGCGGGCAAAGGCGAAATATTAAAAGATAAGATCGAGTCTGCGGTTTTCGAGCCACATCCAGCCTCTGGTGAGATCGAAGTCGGCGACATTCGGCAATTATCATACAAAAGATTCGATGAGGAGACTCTACGAGCACAGATTCCTCTGGCCGACTGGCCCTTTACCGCTCTGTACTTATGGTGCACCGGGAGCGAGGAGGGAGACGCCTGGAAGTTGGCCGAACTCTTACCATTTGACCCAGACCTGCAGGGAGATCCATCTTGGTCCGCCTCCATCGCCGAGGCGAATGAGAGTTCCCAGGAAAGACTGGTAAATGAGGCTTTGCAAGAGGCGGACAGAGCTGCCAACGCCCTCCCTCATCGAAATCTCTCCGTTCCGCAAGCAGATGAAGATGACTATTGGGCCATGTACGATAAGACGCCAGGCAGGACGCCTGCTCGAAATGCTTCGGCCGAACCACATCATAATGGCACCTCGGAGGACCACTATTATGCCCGATATGAGAGCGTCCAGCCTGTGATGGACAATCACGATCCAGACGAAGTGATGGAGGGCACAGAAGGGTCGACTTTGAATGGACATGCTTTACAACATTTACTTTCGCGACACTCCGATCTTCACATGGACCGAAGTCCACCACCATATCAAGGATCGCTGGATGCGCATCCAGAGGAGAAAGAAGTTGAAGTCACCCACCCAGTACCATCTTCGCCCTCGTCAAAAGGCTCCGACGCTGTAGCTCGACTGGAGGAACGAGCAGAAAGGTACGGAGCCTCAGAAATCGGTATTCGGCAGCACATCAGCGCCAGCCTGAAAAGCATGTATCGGCTGGCTAAGAGTGCCGGGATGGACCGAGAGGAATTTGAGCGAATTGTGCAGCGAGAATTGGAAACGCTGAGTATTTTAGATAAAGATGATTGAATGGCATGACTTATGCTGTTTGTATCCCACTCCTAGTATTAAAAGGGTCCTGTGGTCGCCCCTTTTCTTTGCGCAAGGCTTGATGCGCACGGACCACTCCGGCAATCCCTGAACGGTGTCGCGTTTTTCCCCCCCCCCACCCCCCCAAAAAAGTTCAGGACACGTTCGAACGGGCATCCTATTTCTCTTCCTTCACATGCCCCAAAATGCGTCCGTTGAGATCGAAGACTTGGAATCGGTCTCACCTTTTTTCCTAGTTCACCTTTTCTTCACTTTGTCTCCAGTAACGTCGGCCTGACCTTACCGACGCGGCCTTCCCTCAGCCTTAATTCCGACCTCGATCCCCCATCTGGAGAAACTCACCCAACGTGTCCACGCCCAATATGTCCACGCCCAGCTCCACCCTCCGTCAGCGAGGCGGCAAAGAAAAGAACAAATCATTGGCCAACGGGACACAAAATGACAAAAGCCAGACCCAAACACTCGAAGATACGCAGAAGAAGAGCGGATCCAAAGAATGGGACTATAGGATTGCCTTGGGAATAATCACCATCCTTGCCTTTGCAACCCGGTTCTTCGGTATCAGCCATCCAAACGAAGTCGTCTTTGACGAGGTGCATTTCGGAAAGGTATAGGGAATGCCCTTGAGCCTCCTGAACGTCCGTCTGACTGGAGACACAGTTTGCATCCTACTATTTACAGCGAACCTATTTTTTCGACGTACACCCTCCCTTTGGCAAGCTTCTCTTCGCCCTTGTCGGTTGGCTTATTGGCTATGATGGACATTTCCTCTTTGACAACATTGGTGAATCCTATATTACCAACAACGTCCCGTATGTCGCATTTCGAGCATTGCCTGCTCTTCTCGGAGCCCTCACGGTGGTGGTGGTCTTTTTGATCATGTGGGAATCAGGCTATTCTCTTCCAGCTTGTGTTTTGGCAACCGGATTGGTCCTTTTTGACAACTCTCATGTTGGGCAGACCCGGCTGATTCTCCTTGACGCCACCCTGGTCTTCTTCGTCTCATTGAGTATCCTCTCGTACATCCGATTCTACAAACAACGACATGGTCCATTTGGCAGAAAGTGGTGGAAATGGCTTCTCCTGACCGGCTTCTGCATGAGCTGCGTCATTTCCACGAAATATGTCGGTGCGTTCACCTTCTTCACGATTGGATGTGCCGTGTGCCTCGACTTGTGGGGTCTCCTGGATATCAACCGCAAGGAGGGAGCTCTGGATCTCTTCACCTTTGGCAAGCATTTCGTCGCTCGTGCCGTTGGCTTGATTGTCATTCCGTTCTTCTTTTACCTATTCTGGTTCCAGGTTCATTTTGCCATCTTGACGAGATCCGGTCCCGGAGACGACTTTATGACACCAGAATTCCAGGAGACTCTCAGCGATAACCTGATGCATCAGGCTTCCATCGACATTCAATATTATGATTACATCACCTTGCGTCACAAGGATACCAAGACATACCTGCACAGTCATCCAGAGAGATATCCTCTTCGATATGATGATGGTCGTATTTCCAGCCAGGGACAACAAGTCACGGGTTATCCTTTCAACGACACCAACAACCATTGGCAAATCCTCCCCAATCTTCCAAACCCTGATGGATCCCAAGCCGGCACTCCCGTTCTGAACGGTGACATTGTCAAGCTTCGGCACGTCGTGACCAACACCATGCTCCTGACCCATGATGTGGCTTCTCCTTATTATCCCACCAACCAGGAATTCACCACGGTATCTCTTGATCTTGCTGCTGGAGATCGTCACAACGACACATTATTCGAAATCCGAATGGAACAAGGAAAGAAAGGCCAACCATTCCGGTCAATGTCTGGTCAATTCAAACTCATCCACTACCCGACCAAGGTCGCCATGTGGACACACACAACGCCACTTCCGGAATGGGGGTTCAAACAAGCCGAAATCAACGGCAATAAGAATTCCCAACAATCCAGCAACATCTGGTACGTCGACGAAATCCCCAGCATCCCAGCCGATTCTCCCAGACTGGTCAAGGAGCCCAAGAAGACCAAATCCCTACCCTTTTACGTCAAATACATCGAACTCCAACGCGCCATGTTCTATCACAACAACGCCTTGACAGCAAGTCATCCATACGCCACCCAGCCTTTCCATTGGCCATTCTTGCTGCGTGGAGTCAGCTTCTGGACCCAAGATAGCACCAAACGGCAGATCTACTTCCTCGGAAATCCCATTGGATACTGGATTGCCAGTGCCCTTCTCGCGGTCTTCGCCGGTATCTTGGGCGCTGATCAATTGAGCCTGAGACGAGGCATCGATGCCCTTGATCCACGTAAGTAACCAATACACTCATTTTCGACTTTTAACTCGGAAAAAAGCAAATCATCTCGACTGACCTTTCGATCTCAATCAACACAGGCACCCGCTCCCGATTGTACAATAGCACGGGATTCTTCTTCCTCTGCTGGGCCGCGCACTACTTCCCCTTCTACCTCATGGGTCGCCAACTGTTCCTGCACCACTACTTACCGGCACACCTGGCTTCGTGTCTCGTGACAGGCGCACTGGTCGAGTTCATCTTCAATGTCGACCCCGTCCTCGACGAGGAAATGACCGCCAAAAAGGACAAAGTCACCGGCAAACTGCCTGATAAAGCGCGCCGAACCTTCCAAACCGCCCAAGAGAGACTGAAAGGCCAGAGCATGGTCGCGACCTGGTCCGCCGCGCTCGTTATTCTCGCCGCCGTTATTTACGGGTTCTACTTCTTCTTCCCCCTCACTTACGGCTGGCCCGGCTTGACACCCGCGCAAGTCAACGCTAGGAAATGGCTAGGGTACGATTTGCATTTCGCCAAGTGAGAAAACGAAGTCGGGAGCCAAAGCAATCAAAACGAACGACAGGCGAGCAAGCAAGCCTCTGACTCGTGCGTGGGGATGTGAATGATGACTGAGCTAAAAACTATTTCAATACGAGCTGGACATGGTCACGGTCACGGTCACGGTCATGGGAGACATGGTCCTAGCTAGCTAGTAGGTGGAGAAATATGATCGTATGGAGACGATTTCCCAAAACGGTCAACAAACACTGAGCACATCCAATCACTTAGAAGTATTTTGCTGGCAGAATTCAGTGACGGCCATTGGATTAGGTTGGCTTTAGTCAATGGATAGCTGAGAAAGTTCCAGTTATGTAACATGGCGAAAAGGTCCGAACTCAAACGGATACTTCGTAGGCGCTGGATATGCTGGTCAAAGCACGGAACAGAGAGCAAATGCAATGCAAGCCGCAAGGCAAGGGGGTGTCGGTGTATGTGTGGGTGTTGGTCGGAAAGACATGGACGGGGTCATCTGATCCCTTCTCTCTCACTTCTCCTCTCCCCCCATTCCAGAGGCGGCTCTGTTCGGCCCGGTTAGTTCTCTACTCATCGCTGCAAGAGGATGAAGAGAGACCTCTGACTTCTCGATGAACGAGGAAAGCCCCCCACTGACCAATGGATGGATTCTATGCCTGATTCGAGTTTAGTGCATGTGACTTTTTCCCATTTCCTCTCCATTACAACTCACCGGACTGTTCATGTCCTACTCGTCCGGTGCCCAGCACTTGCTCCTCTCACATTTCACGTGCAGTGTGGAACAGTTGAAGTTGCCTGTCGTTGCGGAGGTGTGTACATCCTTAGGCCAAGTCCAAATTCGAGTCATATGACCCAACCGACGATGGCGGATTCGGCGAGAACTTCGCGATGGTGGCCAGTTTCGTTAGCCTCCATGTGGGCCTTGAATACCCACAGTAGCCATGCAGCCTCCCTGTCATGGATTCCCCTGTAGCGCGGCTGCAAAGTAATGCAAGGCGCTGCAAGGCAAGGTGAGGCCAGGTCATGACACGTATGTAAGCCTCGAGGAAAAAGCAAAAAAAAAAAAAAAAAAAAGGCAAACAAAAAGAAATTACATTGCATGCCCAAATCCTCCGAAGGAGAAGGTGATCGTGTGATATTGTATGCTAGGAAGGATCCTTGCAGGTATGAGTCAGTGTAATAAATAACTGAAATCCAGTCTTGAAAGGAGGAAAAGAGGCGAGGTGAACAGAAAAAGATGATACGATGCAATGAAGAAGACGAAAGGTTCTGATCTTGGGCATAATGATATTTTGGAGATTTTCTCTCTCTTTTTTTTTTTTTTTTTTTAATTTCTCGGTTTCCAATTTTTCTGGCACTTAACTAAATAGACTGCTTCCAAAACTCTCAAAGACCTCAGCGTTGTCAAAGAAGGCCGAGTGCTTCGAAGGTGAGTGAACGTGGGGTATTCATTCTCAGAAGGTCGGCACAGTCACAGCAATCAATGTCAGCAGCCCCCAACTCCAATCCAATTTGTGCTGTCAAGGGATAATTCAGATGACAGAAAAAAAAACCATGCTCCACTTACCATCCTAGCTTCTTGCATGCAACGGAGAATAATCACATTGGAAATCCAGGATAGAAAGACGAGACGGCATTGGTGAACATATCCCTCAGACACCGTGGCGCCGCGCTCATGAAAGCAGCACCCACACAAAAAGAATTCAAACCGATGGCGCCTGGACGGTCAAAGATGACAAGAATATGAAAATCGTCGAAGATTTCAAGTGTGGCTGGGTGGCTCAACGATAGTGGACAGTGTCATTGGCAACTTCGGCCAGTCTCTTGTGTTGGAGACAGGCCACTTCGGCTTGATCGTTGACGGTGATTTGGGCCGGAACATTGCTGTGCATGGGATACCTCGCACGTCGCTCCAGTTCGTCTAGAGGAGTTTGGGAACGAATGTACTTGGTACGGCCATCCTCGTTACCTTTCCAATCCCAGCTTTCGAAGCGGCCTTTGATCAAGGCAGACCAGACAAATCGACGTTGACGCTGGCATGTGAGGACGTCTTGAGTAATCTTCTTGAAGTCCCATTTCTGGTTGGCTTCCTCTTCGAAAGCCTTGAAAACGGCCTGTACATCTGGGTCTTGGCTGGTGGCTAGGTTGACGACTTCCAGTGGGTCGTTACGAAGATTGAACATTTGAGGAGGATCAACTGGGCATGTGATGTATTTCCAGTCGCCTCGTCGAATCATCATCAACGGAGCCACTGTTCCTTCGCCCATGTATTCCGCAAACACCGTGTCGTGGCCACCGTTGCCACTGTATAAGTGAGGCATCAAAGAGAGGCCATCCATCGGCAATCCCGGAATCAATTTCGACCCGATCAGATCCACTAGAGTAGGCATCAAGTCCAGAGTCGAAACATTTTGAGAAACACGGTGGGGAGTGAATTGTTTTGGATGGCTGATGAGCATGGGCACTCGAACAGAGTTCTCAAAGTAGGACATCTTATACCAGAGACCCCTCTCGCCTAACATATCTCCATGGTCGCCAGAGAACATAATCACTATTTTCGTCAGCCTTCGATCCGAGAGCACACAATGAGGCAGGACGTACCGGTATTTTCGTCCAGTCCACATTTTTTCAAAACATCGAGCAACTGGCCAATGCAGTCGTCGACATAGCTGACGGCACCGTAATATGCTCGTCGAGCACGCTTGATTTGCTCGTCGGTGAAGTTATGTCCTTCAAGTTCGCAGACGTGCATCAGACGTCGGCTGTGAGGATCTTGTTCTTCCTCTTTGAGCGTGACGGTGGGCAGCTCAATGTCAACCCCCTCGTACAAATCCCAATATTTGTCCTCGATGGCATATGGGTCATGGGGGTGGGTGAAGGATACGGTCAAGGCAAATGGTCGTTTGCCGGCAGGCTCTCTTGCGTAGTCGTACAGGTACTGTTTGGACTTATACAACACCTCCTCGTCATAATCGAGTTGGTTGGTCCTTACACAGGGCCCGGCCTGCAAGATAGAGCTACTGTTGTGATACCACTCCAGTCTTCGATCGGGGTCATCCCAATTCACCGCCCAGCCAAAATCCCCCGGATAAATGTCCGCAGTCAATCTGTTTTCATAGCCGTGCAGCTGATCCCCAATGAAGTGCATTTTGCCTGCTAGCGTCGTCTCGTATCCAGCAGCTCGCAAGTAGTGTGCATAGGTGGGTGTCTCAGAGGGAATGGAGCAGGCATTATCGTACGACCCAATTTTCGAAGGCAGTTGTCCACTGATCAAGCACATCCGAGACGGGGCACACAGAGGAGAGTTGCAGTAAGCAGAGTCGAAGACCACCGAGCGCTCAGCGAGTTTGTCGAGATTTGGAGTCTTGATCTGAGACTTTGGATTGTGCATCTTCAACAGCGGTGCCGCAAGCTGGTCGGCCATGATGAAGAGGACGTTTGGTTTTGCAGGGAAAAGAGGCGTCGAGTAGCCATGGGCACCGTTGAAGCCGTTTGGCGGCGAGACTGGTGGAGAGGCAGGGAAGGGATTGTAAGAACCCATGGTGGTAACAAGTAGGTATCTGATCCGTGTCTGTTTGAAGGGCGTCGAGTGTAGAGCAGAGAGTCGGGGTTATCTGCAGGAAGACTGGTAGTGTGGAGAGGAGAGGAGGAAAGGAGGGAGATAGATAAAGGACAAGAAGCAACAAGGGTAGAATGGAAAAAGGGAACACGGACAGTGGAACTTGAAAGAGAGAAGAGAAAGAGTGACAGCCAAGTCGAGAGGAACAGAAATCTGACGCTACTGTACCCAAAAAGTTTACCGATCATGGTAACGCGTATGTGGGGGGAGTGCATTGGGATTCAGGTGTTCTATGAACTAACGAGGTTCCATACCAGGGCGGTCAGTCAGTCGTGGCTGAGGGCTGACTGCGTCTCGTCTCCTTCATGATTAATCCTGACACAACATGATGGAGCACAAGGAGCGACCGGAGTTTCGATTCAGGGGCGAAAGATGGGAAGGAAGATGAAGGATGACGAGGCAGCGGAGGATGAAGGTGGAAATAGATGGCATAATATTCAAGAATGACAGTGAACGTGCCATTCAGAGAGGGCGTAGCGCAATGGCAACATTTGTACGGGAGAGCACGCCATTGCTTACCAGAAGCAGACAAGTGTAGGCGGTGAGTCTGAAAGTGTTCCATCATTCTGTTTGATTGGGAGGCTGTCATGCTGCATCCTTGGTCCCCGGCTCGTTGCTGCAGGGCTGCCCTAAAAAGAACCCCTGGCAAACCCTATCCTGCGCATGCAGCCCCGAGCCTCCCAATCACTGCGGTTTCCAGCTGCTTGACCTGCTCGGCTGCCACGCATGTTTGTGCTCATCTGCATCAACCTGCATCAATCGGAAAGCGTCATTTGACCCTCCCCCCTCGCACTCCAATCTGAAAAACACGGGGTACGGAAATTGGCCGGACAAGGCTGTGTACTTCCTGACATCCCCCGTCATACACTTTGCTTGGGTCCATGCCGATGGTCACCCAGGGGAAGCTCGGACGCCGTACGTTTTGCCAACCCACTGAAATACGATGCTCAGCCTGGGCGCAGCCGAGCCGCGAATGAGAAGCTAGCAACCCAACTGCCTGGCCTTGCGTTACGTCCCCACAATTATTGCAGCAAGGCTCTCGTTCTCTCGAACCCTAGTCACTTCCGATCTTTGCCCATCCTCGTCACGTGGTCGTGACCACTTATCGTATCTCTTCCGGAAAAAGATATCAAATCCATCCGCTACGGCTCGTTAGTTGTCAAAATCCCTTGGTTGTACCAGACACACTTTTTTTGTTGGCGTTTTCCTCCATCAGGCAGTCATTCACTCACGCCGGATTAACATATTTCACTCTTTCCCATACTTTGAACTACCAGATTTATCCGCTTCACATTGTTTATCATCGGAATGGCCCCAGGTCTAATACAATGCACCCTTGCATTCCGGACTCCGAGCGTCCCAAACAGGCCTTTGCACTATGTAACACAATCCAGCCACAGTCTCCTGCTCCGATATCAATCTCGACCACTCCCGACGGACAACACAGTCATCGGAGTCAGATAAGAAGGTTTTGTGTGCCCGGCGCTGAAGGTTCAGCACGAATCTGTAGAACTTATCATCGAGACCAAGCTTGGAATAAAAGTGGTTTGGTCCCGACCTGCGACTTGATGCACATAGCCCTGACCAATTAGCAAACATCGTTTTGGTCAGACCGTTCCGAACCCTAGCCCCTATTGCCAAGCCTGCCTTCGCCACCCACTGCTGGCTTATGCCTTCGTCTTTTCTTCTTTCCTTTTTCCTCATCTACATCCGCCGACGACAAGATGCATTACTTAATCGTCAGTCTCCGGCATTCCCTTGCCGAGGTTGTTTTCGCGTCGAGCGCAGATCAATCACTACGTATCACCTCTGGCTGGGCGTCTGGGGCTCAGGGATCATCTTGATCTCAATGGGATCTGGAAAATCACAGTCGAGGTGACAAAATGTCAAAGTGTCTAAACCGTCTGTTATATACCAAATCGTCGCTCTATTTCTGCAAATATTTGAGGGGAGATCTCATCACTGCTGTTGCCCTGCACCTTGACAACTAAGCTTGGGTCCTTGTGCCGGTAAAAGTCCAGCAAGCTCTGACTTGTCTCGTCGAACTTGGCTAATCGTTTCCTCCACGTCGCTTCGCTGTCATCTTCTCTTTGCACCAAAGGTTCTCCAGTAACGTCATCCATTCCCGGCACCTTCGGATCGTTGAAACCCACGTTGTAAACTCTCCCAGAAGGCAGATGAATCCATCGATTTGCCATTCGTGAGAGAATTATGTCCACTGGGGTCACCATTTGGAACACCATATTGATAGGTAGAAGATGGGACAGAGCTTTTGCTTGGGTGGCCGTGCGAGGGAAACCGTCGAGGATGAAGGATGTATCAGGAGATTCGGAGGCATTAACCACGGAACGGACTGAGCCGTTTCCACGTTCAAGGGCGGTGATAATGTTGTCATTGGAATCAGACGCCTCCAACCATTTTCTTGAGGTGAGTTCGGTGAGGATGAGATTCAGGATCAAAGGATCGGGCACGAGATTACCGGAATTCATGTACGTCTCAGCGTGTTGTCCTGCGTCGGGATGATTAGCACCGCTTCAGACTGCGAACTAGACAGACTCCAACCGAGTGTAGTCTTGTTCTTGACATTGTCGCGCAGAAGATCTCCTGTCGCAATGGAGCATAATTGTGGAAATCGTTTCATAAGCCTCTCAGATTGTGTTCCTTTTCCAACTCCTGGGGCTCCAACCAAAATAATTCTCGCAGCTCTTTTCAGCTTCCGGCTCGCAGCGGCAACGGTCATTGTAATCTATGTACAACGAAAGGCAGGTGTGAACGGGAACAAAATTGTTGAGAGGCCAGGTCGCCGGAGCGCCTGGGTCAAGTGACCATCATTGTCAATGAAGGTAGAGAGGATGGAGGAAGGAAAGGCAAGCAGCGACGAACCGGGGGGGAAATGGTTTGATGTGCTCTCCCCAATGGTACCAAAGATTGCGGAGAAGAGGAGAGAGGGCACGAGAATATGAATTGCTCGGTAAATTGTAGCACCCAAGCCAGAAAGTCGTGGAGAGGGAACTCGGTATGAACAAGCGCCGATAAGGATCCAACAAGACAAGCCGGACTCCGCTCGTCCATTATTGCCTAATGCTATTTGGGGCCTTGCTTGAACTCCGGGCTAAAGGCCGGGCGCAGTTGGAACGTCGACGGGCATGCTCCCTTGAATTTATCTCCTATCGAGTCAACTGAGGATTGTTCAAAACAAAACAGAACCAGCATTGCGGCCTCGTATTAGCAAATCAGTTTGCCTTTTTCTGGGTGATTGGGGAGGGGGAGCTGCAATGCTACTGTAGTAGGCGAGGGGAATGGCCCGGGTTAAGGAATCTCCGCTCCGAGAACGAACAACGCGCCGCAAGTCTCGAACGCGTCTCACGCGTTCCAATAATGTTTAGCAGTGCATGTTCTTGATCCGATCTGAAATCAGATACACCCAAGACAACAAAATGATCCGCTCCGAAACTCGGTTTGATCCAAAGCGCAAGCGAGTCGATCATAAAAAGACTCAGTTCGCATCTGCTACATATAAAGAACACGACTATCCATATCGGTTGTCCTTTTACGATGTCCCTCCAACGCAGGAAATTAGTTTGGAAGAGTTTGAGACGTGGGCTATTGACAGGTTAAGAAGTATGGCCTCTTCATGTTTTGCCTGGAGTCCCATTAACCAAACCCAAGTCCTCGCGGAAATTGAGTCATGCTCATTCAGAAACAAATCTCCTCAAGAGACCGCGGCCCATCTCGAACCTCTGCTGAAAAAATACCTCCCGCTATCCTCCAACTCATCTGCCGCTGGAGGAGTCGTGGACCAACGTCTGAAAAATGAACGGCGTAAGGACCACTATTCACATTTTATTCTACGACTGGCCTTTTCAGGGACCGAGGATCTGCGGAGACGTTTTGCCCGAGTCGAGACTATGCTATTCAAACTGCGGTTTCAAGCAGACGACAGCAGAGAACGCAGAGCATTTGTTGAGAGTCTGAATTTGAATTGGGAACTAGTTCAAGAGGATGAGAAGCGGGAGCTGAGCGAACAATTGTATGCCGCAACGCCAGGTTTACGGCGGCACGAGGATGAAAATTGGTTCAAAGTTGATTGGACTCGAGTACCTGAACTGGTGGAACATCGGACGGTCCTCATCAGGAAAGGCAAAGCTTATGTTCCCATGCGTGAGCAGACTAGCATGGTTCTTACCGAATTCGCAACCCGCCTGGATAAAGGTCTCGAATTGACCTCTCGGGCCCTACCCCGTTTGGATGAAGATGACCGCCTCACCCCGATCCTCAACCATCTATCCAAGAACTTTGCCACACCTGATGCGGCCTTCTCAGAATCTGACTCGTCTCTTGCCGGTGCTCCCATCAACGCCGCCAACATTGACACGCTCTCTCAGCACTTCCCCCTCTGCATGAAGCATTTGCACACAACCCTACGCAAGAACAGCCATCTCAAGCATTACGGGAGATTACAATATACGCTCTTCTTGAAAGGGATCGGTTTGACATTAGAAGACTGTCTGATCTTCTGGCGTCAGGGTTTCAAGACCATCACAGACGACCAATTCAACAAGGAATATCGATACAATGTCCGCCATGCCTACGGCGATGTAGGAGGCGATGCCAACCGTCGCGGCCGAGGCTACGCTCCCTATTCCTGCCAAAAGATCTTGACGGAACACCCACCAGGAACCGGTGAGGCCCATGGTTGTCCATACCGACATTTCAGCATCGACAACCTCACCAGCATGCTACAAGCCACAGGCGTACATGACCGGGACGTCCTTCGTGGTGTGAAAGAGGATGTAGAGAAGAAGAGATTCCACATCGCTTGCAACCGAGTCTTCGAATGGGCACATAAAGCAGAAATCAAGAAAGTCAAGGACGAAGGAATCTGGGGGCCCGCCGAACTCGAGACCATCGTTCATCCCAACACGTACTTCAAGCGCTCTTACTTGTTGAAGAACTTGGGTAATCAACCCAAACAGGACGTTAGCATGGAGGAGTAAAATGAGAATCGAGCCGTTGATGAAATGACATCTTGATGGGCGTTCACGTTGACGAGGCTGAGATTTCAGGAGACGTCGAACCGCTCCTTGCATCCGGCGTCACGGAGTGGGATGGTAATGAATAAATGCAATAATTCTTTCAATGCTCGAGTCGATGCTATATCCCTTTTGTGTCCCCCCGTGCTTTTTTTCTACGTCCGAATCTGCGACCCGTCCGATGCTCTTATTTTGAACCTCCGGCTAAATCCTCTCCGTTATATCTTGTCCCAATACCTATGCCCATATTACCTCTCCTCGACCGCATAAAGGTACCCGATCCCAAACAAAACCCCATCCCATGGCAAATGTCCCTGTTCATCTGAAAAATTAACATTCAGATCTTGATTTCTTGTCCGTACTCCGAACGCCAATACAAGATTCAGCCCGGATTCAAAAAGAGTGAAAACAATCTACTTCGGACCATCACTTTCCTTAGGGTCAGAGCACTGACACTTGCCATCTTCAGCCCAATATCGAAACTTCAAATGAGACCAAGATCCTTCCGTTGTCAATCGATCATAATCGGATCCTCTGCGGTACCAGTATGCCACTCAGCATCGGCCCCGAAGAGACCATTCGGATCATCATTCGCAATCCACCGTGGACCAGGGACATCGTTTATGCCTAGTAATTCCTCTCACGAGTCAAAGAGCTAGATCTCATTGGACCCCCGGCGGATGAGACTGTCGCACGTCCCCTCTGTTAATTTTCTAGGCGGGGTCCATCTGAGATCTTGCATAATATTACCAACTTTCTCGTCTGTGAACCGGCCCGCGAGTCGTCTGAACTCCATGACATGGTTGATTCCCGTCGGACCTGCAAACATATGCTCGGATATCTCTTCCAATTTGTTGTAGCATGCAAGCAGCTTGGCGGGCCACAGTTTGGCTTCTTTCAAATGCTGCACGATAGACCAGAGGTCTTCGTTGTCATCAGGCATTAACTCATTTATAAATCGTCCGACGCAACATCCCACGCCTTTGGAAGTCAGCCATCAAATTCTCAATGTTGCGAACAAAGCTATGAACATCGCCGACTAAGCCTGTGTGTTTCGATTTTCGCCGGCGAAATGCACAAAAACATTCAAGAGATGGGTACCCATATGTGCAATCCCGGAAGCATGAAGAAAGTCCACCGTCTCTAAAAGCTGATCGAACAATCTCCAGACCAACAAGTTCGAGGGGCGGAAGCACCCATCATAAGCCGTGATGTCCAGGAATCTCCCCAGCACACCGCCATTGCAGAAAGAGAAGATCATCGAATTTGACCTGAAAAAGTAATATCCTAGGCTCTTATCCGTGAGGATTTTGTATTCTAGAGGCTGAATGAGCTTTGGGATTCGAAGGTGTAAGCCGTAGAAACTTACCTCTGGGCATTGAATTCCGCTGTCGTCTGAAGGGTCGGGAGGGATTTCTTCCTAACATACTCCTCTCTGTCAGTCAAAGGGAGTACAAGAGATACGACACCATCACTTCCTTGGCCTAATGGCAGGCCGAGCCGACCGATGGATTTTGTTTGAAGGAAGTTGGGGCCTGAATTGGATTCGAGTGACGGGTACATGTAGGAATTGGGGTGAGGGAGCCCCAGCCCATGAATGAATCAACTCGTCTCATTCTTGAAAGAATTGCTCTTGGCTCACTGAATGGAATTTGAAATCAAAGACATAATGGCACTGCCTCAAAGAGGTGCCTAAAGAAGAAAGGCAGAAAATGGTACGAACAAAGGGGTTAAAGAGAATCTGATCTCAAGACGAACAAGGGGTATCCGGCCACGTGTCTGGATCGTGCTCACCAGCACCGACGAGACGGCTCACATTCAACATAGGAAGCGGAATGAAATAGTGTCTCGAGCTCCGTTCTTTTGAGAGGATGTGACTGTAACGTTGCTCAATCGCACCGGTTTTAGTTGCAAAATTGGTGAGGATAGGGATCATTTCATTGCCAGCAAAGACACTGAGTTCCCCGTCGTTCTTCTCAGCCAATGATCAATAGTCGTTGTTAAGATCGAGAATAGAATATCCTGTTACACAAGAATTTCCCAGATTTGATGCTGGCTTTGGACATGGCCGAATAGGATCTCGCGGTAAATTCCAACAGTGGATACTTCAGAACGAACCCATATTGACACCCTGTTACTCAAATCCGGCTGTCACCTTCTGACACTTCGTAGTCCTGACCGAAAACCCCATTCCCTTTTGTGAAATTCATTCCAGTCTCGCCAGTGTCATCTTCCTCAAGAACCGGGGCTTGCACCCGTCCTTTCTTTGCTTTTCTTTTTTTGGTGTTACTAACAACATGGCTAATTCCCTCATCCACTTCGCCGGGAGCGACACCCAAAGTTGGTATCCCAGGGGCGATCTTTGTTTCTCGGTAGATCACGGACCCTTCGTCTTCAAGTTGCTGGTCATGCGTCACAACATTCGATCCCTGGGATTGAAGTTCGTTTGCGACAACCCATTTCTCCTCGGGGGCCGCACTCGTGTGTCTTTCCTGAGTATTAGTTTGGGCCGAAAAAATGACTGAATGACTTGGATATTGGCTCTCTGCCAACGATGAACGATCGGAAAATAGACATATTGTGACCCTATGGTCCGAATGGAATGGCTGATATGGCGCATTTGTTTCGATTTCAGCAGAGGCTAATGGATGTGGTGTTCTAAGGGAGCTATCCTTAGCAGGTCGAAATTTCCAGAAACCCGATAATCGAACCGGTTCATCGCCATCGTCTTGAGGGAGGATGGGGGAGCCTTTGGACAGGTGATCTACACCCATGTCCAGTGCTTGCGGGAGCTTGGATGCAACAGGCTTTCGAGCATCGAAAACCGAAACTGTGTCTCTCTGACGATGCTCCCTAGGCCTCGTCATACGGACATAGTAGTTCTTGATACTACCCGAGTCGAGGATGGACAAGACCGATTTACCGTCTCGTTTGTGCCAACAGAGAATTCCTACACGGGCAGGGGTCTTCAAATGAAGCCTACTCTGGTTCGCATGTCGAAGGCTCGTGACAGTCTCTGAAGCGGCACCAAGAGACTTGCTAAGTCCAGCGGCAACGGCTCTGCCACTTTTGATGCCAGTAGTAGAGGCGAGTCCGATACCTGATGCCCCAATTCCCGTAATTCCACCCCCCATACTAGGGGCTCTTCCCCGTAGATTGGAAAGCATTGGTTGCGTTCTGCCTGCAATGCTCATGGCAGAAGCGAAGAACCCTCCAGACGGGGCAGGCTCATGTTCTGTTTTGACTTGAGACGGATCAACTGGTGCAGAAGTCGGGCGATGTTTCTTCGCGAGAGGCGGCGGCCACTGAAAGGCGGTTCTGGGTAGATCAAAGATGTGAACGGTTCGATTTTTGGTGACAAGAGCAAATCGATAGCCAGTGGGCCCATCCCAAGCTAGGTCGACTATTGTAGAGGGGCTCAACCGCTCATACCTCGCGATTTGTCTGACGGATCCACTTTCTGTTGTGGCTGAGGTCTTTGAACTTCTGACATGCTTCATCTGCATCAAATCCCAGATGTACTGAACGTCACCCTTCTTGTTGGCCGTCAAGAGACCTAGACCAGTGGGGGTGAAGGAGAGAAAGCTGCAGCCTCCTGGCGGCTGAAAGGTTGTCATAGGGCTGTATTCGAGAGCCTTTCGACCTTGAGTATCTTGGAGAAGCTTCAAGTCGAGGATTGTTACCACCTCAGGATCTTTCGAAAGGTCCTGTTGGTCGATTCCATGTGTTGGCGGAAACTGTGCCACACCAAGATGTGGAGAGTAAACCGGAGGACTAGACGAGGCCGTAGCAGTTAAGTTGGGGCTCGCGATATCCTTCTTCCAATAGTGCTGCCATGTCTGCATGCCTTTTTCGCTTATCCATTTCGCACTCCTGACAGCTTCTTGCGCAAGCCCTTTGGCGACCTTGCCCAAAAACGTATCGACATCGGGTGAATCAACTTCGCAGTTAGTCAAAGGCCTCGTTGGAGCAACGCCGGCAGTGACATTCGAGTTCTTGTTATGAACGACAAATTCGCCGAGAATGGCTCCAATTGGCCTTCGAGAAGGAATGCTTGCAGGACAGAAGGCCAGCCAGCGGCCGTTAAGACTCAGAATGGGTAAGTTTTCGCTCTCAGGTGCACGACCCAGGTCGGCGGGTGAAACATCTGCATCTGAAGCTGGGCCATGCGACGAATCTCTCCTCTGGAGCTGGGGTTGTATAGTCGTCCAATATTTGCCCAGGCATTCAAACACTGCAGAATCTTTTCCCTTTCGAACAGAAAAAACAAAAATTTCGCCGCTGTCGCCCGAAGATACAACCAGGAAACTACCGCTGGCATAAATCTTCAAATCTGCAGCAGGACCGAGACCGGGAACGCCTCCTGGAAATGTTCTGATGGCCGATGGGACACGCAGCAGTTCTGCAACCTGGCAGCTTTTACTCATCGAGCATACCACAACCCTGGTATCCGGGAAAGACTCTGGACCCTCGTGTAAATGGGCATCTTTGGAAATTGGCGAATCTGTTTCGAGATTTCCCGGCCCATAGATGATGAGAGCTACCAGCGGTCTGTAATCTGCAAATGGGTCGTCACCTCCGTTCCATGTCAACAAAGAAGCGTCGACTATTGTCCCTTGAATGCCGCTGAGCGTTCCTGTACGCTCCAGTTTTTCACCGCTGTAGCTAAGAATGTTCAATTCTCCATCAGCAATCAAAATGACTGCCTCACGAGACTCATGCCCACAGCCTGGGAGATGAGTGAACTTGAGAGCCAGTGGCTCTTGAAGGTTCATTCGCGCAGAGTGATGAGCAAGTCCCAGATCGACATCGTGAGGGCCGTAAAAGTGTTGTTGAGGGAGATGTGGCAAGGCAGGAGGCGATCCATAGGCGTTTGTACCATAGCCGTACGGGGATGTTGAGACTCTGGGATGCGTTGGCAGAGGCGGAATACTACTTCCATAGCTCACGGGCCGGGCCTTCCTCAACGGTGGAGAGATTGGAGGGCTTCGAGTGTTGAACCCTCCCCGAATACTAAAGCCCGGTTCATAAGGAGGTGAACTGGCGGCGCTCAACCCTGGAATGGGTTCGACCGGGGGGCTTTTGCCATAGGTAGTGCTGCGTGCCCAGATATCAGCTGGAGGAGGAGTGTACTCGTCCGAGACTTTCTGGCTAGAATTCAAATCGTTCAGGAAGTCTAGAGTGCCATTCTTTCTGTTCTGAGGGAACGTCTGCTGCAATTGCCCAAGGATGGACTGGGGTTTTGCAGGCAGGACTGGAGGCTGACCCATGTGCTCAGCTGGAGGGGTCTTCTCTGCATTGTCAAGATTTGGCAGCTGTTTGATAGCAGCATTCTTCGTCTTCCGCTTCCCAGCTCTTGAGAAACCGTCTTGCTCCGACACTGTCTGGGTGTCTTCTCGGTCTGACAGGTTCAGGGATGTGTCTGTCTTCTTTGAGTCGGAGGAAACTGTTTTGTTGTATGCTGGCATTCAAGAACTCGTAGTAGGGGCCGAGGGCACAGCAGAGGAGGCCCCCAGCAGACTAATCAGGTTCCGTAGCAGCGGGATGGACAAAGAGGGAGGATATTGCTCCCCCTGGCTACCCGGCGCGGGGTCTGTACGCGTTGTTGGAGTGACTTTGCAGAGGGTCTGTTGATCGGGATGGCGATCAACTAGTCTGAAGGACTGGGGAAGAAGGCTTATCGACAATGTCAGAGAATGTACTTTTAAGATCTAACGAGAGGCTGGAGATGTTCTGCTGGGAAGATGCGGCAATCGAGCGGGCGATATATGTAATCCTGTAGACGGATCATGGGAGACTGCATTTGAGTCAGGAGGCCCGTTACCTCACTTATTCGGGTTCCTGCTTATCGCTCGATCCCGGATGCGTCCAAGGGTTCACGCAGGCCTTTGGCTGCGTCTGGCTGGTCGGTCGAGTCTTCGGTGCGGGGGAAGCTTCTTGCTGATGGCTCAATAGGCGGTATTAGGCTTTGATGATGGCGGTGGCTGGGTAAAGTCCCCTGATCATCTGACTTGACACTCCGAAACTCCGTTTGCAGCAACAAGTCGTAATCCGACCACAATCAGCCTTAGCTATCAATTCTCTTGTGATGACCGTCCGCGTGTCACTGTCGTTATGGCTACAGCGAGGACCAGCATATCACTGACCGCTCGTGAAGATCGTTGAAGTTCAGAGAAAGTGGTGAGGGGTGAGGGGGTCTAGCTCGAAGCTGTTCGTTGCTCTCGGGCGCAGACTTTCAAGACTGAACCATTTAACAATCCTTGTTCCTCCAAGTGATACTATCAAACCGGGCGTTTTCTACAGCTCATTGGAACGCAAAAAGGTTTGTTGCTGTCTTTGGGAACTACAGAAGGCCTTGCAACCGAGCCACAATGGGCTCATCGACAAGACATCCTATGTGCGGGTGACAATTTGTGGTCATTGATCGCAGAGGCTACGCCAGGTGTAGGGGCTGTCGTTCGATTCAAAGACCACCTGCCTCTACACACCAATCGATGATTAATCTTCCAGGATTTTGCTGTCTGGCACAGCCTCGAGAACGCATTCGATCCCTCCACCTAGTTACGGATAGGGCTGTTGCTTCAAGACGGAGTCTATGTCTCCAAGTTGGAAACATGCCTTCGTGGTGTTTCAAGCGCACACCCGTGGAAGACCAGTGCAGATCTTGTGTCAAAGTAATGCAGATTTGGCGCAGTCCATGATTCCAACAGTCAAAATATATGCGATATTGGTACATTCATGCATTGAGGGATGATCGTCGACCTCCTCATTTATTTCGACTTCTTCGCGGCAGCAGCTCTAGCCTTTGCAGCCTTCTTCCTATTGCTCCTGATCATGACCATAGCGAGGAACGTTCCCACAACTGCCGATCCGAGAAGCGTTAAGATGACTGGAATTCGAATGGCCCAGACGCGAGGAGGGAAAAGGCTCTGGAGTGGATGGTCTTCGTCCACGAACGGCTAAAAGGTGGTTAGACAAGGGACCAGTGATCGCCAGATGAGTATCATACCATGAGTAGAGTCCAGAGAGTATAATACAAGAAAATGATCGTGGCTGCTATGAGCATAGCCATGCCCACAAGTTTGTCCAGCTGTGTCAGGTGTATCAGTATTTTTCATAACGAAAATATGATTGGAAAGACAGGTTTAATACCATTTCTACCACTGCCAATTTTCAGATGGCAAGAGATTTCTTGCCGAATAACTCACTAGAAGAGGCCTCGAATACGTTAGAGATTGAATACGCCGTAGAAAAATTGAACACGAATCCGCGAATCGCGCTTCAGTCACGAAAACTGCGGCTGACGCTTTAATGTTTCACCGAAGTTCAAGGTTTGGCACCTGCCGCCTGCGACCAAAATGCGATTCTTTTCCTGACACCATTTGATTCCCTCACTGGATCCTGACATAACAGCGTAGACTTTGATCATGGCCGACACCATGCTCCTGTCATCCGCTGTTCGTCTTCCCACCCCGCCTCCCGGCGCTTCATATTCACCGGGTCCTTCTGGCTCAAGGAAGAGGTCTCCGCCGTCTCGTTCTCCTTCTCCCAAACGTCGAAGAGCTCCGCCTCCTGAAGATGAGGATTATCGCAAAGTGGACGATGCAGAGCCAGGCCGTGAGATGGATGAACGAGAGCGACAGTTGCGTGAAAGGTTCAAATCAAGAGAAACAGATGAAACCAGACGGAAACCCATGACGGCGGAGGAGAAGCAGGCAGCGGCAAAGGCAGAATATGAAAAACTCCTCACTATGCGATCTGGGGGAACATATATTCCTCCTGCCAGATTGCGAGCCTTACAGTCACAAATCACGGATAAAACTAGCAAGGAATACCAGAGGATGGCCTGGGAGGCTCTGAAAAAATCTATCAATGGTCTGATCAACAAAGTCAATGTGTCGAACATCAAACATATCGTCCCCGAGTTATTTGGGGAAAATTTGGTTCGTGGCCGAGGGCTGTTCTGCAGGAGTATTATGAAGGCTCAGGCTGCCTCTCTTCCTTTCACACCAATTTATGCCGCCATGGCCGCGATCGTCAACACCAAATTGCCACAAGTGGGAGAGCTCTTAGTCAATCGACTGGTCGTTCAATTTCTCAAAGCCTTCAAGAGAAATGACAAGGCCGTGTGCCTCTCCTCAACCACATTCATTGCCCACCTGTGCAACCAACAGGTGGCTCACGAGACGGTCGCGGCACAACTCCTGCTCCTCCTCCTTCATAAACCGACTGATGATTCGGTAGAAATTGCGGTCGGCCTGACGAGAGAAGTAGGCCAACATTTGGAAGAAATGAGCCCACCCATTGCGCTGGCTGTATTTGAGCAGTTCCGCAGCATCCTGCATGAAGCCGATATTGACAAGCGAGTCCAATACATGATCGAAGTCTTATTTCAAGTCAGAAAAGACCGGTATAAAGACAATCCTGCAATTCGAGAGGAACTCGATCTGGTGGAAGAGGAAGATCAAATTACACATCAAATTGATATTGACGATGATATTGATGTTCAAGATTCATTAAACATTTTCAAGTATGATCCCGAATGGGAAGAACATGAAGAAGCATACCGAAAACTCAAAGCTGAGATTCTTGGTGAAGATAGTGAAGGAGAAGGAGACGATGATGAAAGTGGATCCGAAGAGAGTTCAGATGATGAAGAGACCGAGCAAGAACGAGCAATGGAGATTAAGGACCAGACAAACACAGACTTGGTTAATCTGCGGAGGACGATCTACTTGACAATTATGTCGAGTCTCGATTTCGAAGAAGCGTGTCACAAGCTGATGAAAGTCCAACTTCCACCAGGCCAGGAACCGGAATTGCCTTCAATGATTATCGAATGCTGTTCTCAGGAAAAGACTTATTCGAAGTTCTTTGGCCTCGTGGGCGAAAGATTCGCAAAGCTTAATCGACTCTGGACGGACCTGTTTGAGCAATCCTTTGCTAAATATTACGACACCATTCACCGATACGAGACCAATCGATTACGAAATATTGCTCGCTTTTTTGGGCATCTGTTAAGTACCGACGCCATTGGCTGGCACGTCTTTTCAGTGGTTCACCTCAACGAAGAAGAGACAACATCAAGCAGTCGTATATTCATCAAGATCCTCTTTCAAGATTTGGCGGAGGCATTGGGCCTGCCCAAACTTCAGGAGAGAATGAAGGATGATATTCTTCACCCCAGCTTTGCCGGTATCTTTCCAACTGACACTCCGCGGAACACCCGTTTTTCCATCAATTACTTCACCAGCATCGGTATGGGAGTCCTCACGGAAGAGATGCGCGAACATCTCAAAAACCTTCCCAAACCTGAACCACCCGCGCTGCCTGCACCTAGAGATGACATTTCGGATTCTGCGAGTGTTAGCTCGTACTCAAGTTATTCTAGCTATACAACAAGCAGGTCGTATACCAGAAGCCCTTCTCGTGACAGACTTACGAGTCGGGGTAGAGACGCTCGGTCAAGAAGCCCAGATGACAGGGATCGAGGGAGGAGCTACGGCCGCAAAATGTCTCGGTCGAGGTCACCGCCCGCCCGAAAAAATGGCGCACAACGTAGCAGAAGCTACAGTGCTTCGATATCACGGTCGCGTTCTCCCCCTCGCCGGGGTCTGAGAAGGAGATCACCTTCTTCCTCCGTCTCTCGAAGCCCTCCAAGGAGAAACGCCGTTCCTCGTCGTGGAAGATCTCCAACCAGGTCAAGGTCCTCCAGTTATTCCAGCGTCTCTCGCTCTCCTTCGCGACGCCTCCCAGCTCGCCGCCGAGACTATTCGAACTCGCGATCTCCATCACGATCACCTCCACCCCGCCGATCCAGCCCACTCCGTCGCCGCAACTACTCTCCATCTAGATCTCGTTCCCCGTCGAGTTTCACTCAGAGAGGAGGCCGCGCCGCGCGGGATCTCAGCCGGTCGCCGTTGCGCTCACGACCTCCCCGCCGCCGCCGTCCCGCGCGGTATTCCAGAAGCAGAAGCTGGAGCAGGAGCTACAGTCCACCTTCGCGAAGACGAGCGCCAGCTCATCGTCGACGAAATTCGTCTAGCTACAGTGAACGCTCCATGTCGAGATCACGGTCTCCACATCCGGTACGCCGTCCTGGCCCACGACGTGATGATGACAGAAGACGCTCACCGAGTCCCGTCAGACGCATCTGGAGAAGACGGGGCTCCAACCCTGAAAACGGTGGTAGAAGAGAGAGGAAGAGGGGCCCGGACTCGCCAGTTGCAAACACAGGAGCAGGAAGCAGCAGACCAAAGGCGGCGGACTTTGAGTGATGTAGTGGGAAAAAGGTGTGGTAATTGGCCACAGCTACGGTACGCCTAGTCGACGGGTCCTGACTTTACTCACGTATGAGTCACCTGGTCGGAGAGCTGATTCTGGCAGGCATTTTGGACATACAAGCATCCAGAATGTATTCGAGACGAGATGGTCTGTTCTAATTGGCAGTGCTGTCTCAGAATGGAAAATAATTAAAGAGGAAAAAAGGAGACCTCGATCGATGCGAGGTCCCAACATTCATACAAATCTCCCCATCAATGCTAAGAAGAGGGTGCTTTAATCTCGTGAGGCTCGAGTGCCGTCATTCGGAATCATATCACATCATTGCTCCGTGGCTCATACTATGTGTCGGTGTTGGTATCGTGTTTCGCCCTCTGCCTGCCTGTGGGCCAGTCAAGTCCCAGCCCCGTCCGTGAACGCCCACTTGCCTCCCGGTGTAGCCTAGCCTGAACTTTACCCGTCTTCCAGGCCTGTGTGTTTCTACCAGACCAAATTTACATGTTACCGTGTAATCAACTCCGGTAGCAAACTTCTGACGGCCGATGCCAAGTGTCGTCGTGATTCGGGTTGACTTATACCGTATCGTCGTCGTAAGCGAACCTCACATCTTTCAAGCCTCGACCATGGCCGCCACTTCGCCATCCACTCCAACCATCAGGCCCTCGCACACCCATGCTTTGGCAGAACTGCTCATCGCCCTGGGGTCGTTCGTTCTTGGTGTTCCCCGTCAGCATGCTCTGAATGCTCATGCATACGCTCTCCACGCTTTGCACGGGCGACCAGCCCGCCGTACCAAGAAGGTCGAGGCAGATGATCCCGTTGCTATATATGTGCGGATGAATTGGTATGGGACGGCCCGGGAAGGGAATCGATTGGCGCTGGGCTTGGGACTGGGATTGTGCGGGCTGAGAAATCGAGGATGGAGGTGAGGTGGGCGTGGAGGACGGCGGGACGTGAATGAAGACGACTTCTGGCGCTTCTGTTCGCAGATGAGAGGTCAGCAATGGTGAAATCTCGAGATCGAACGTATCATTTCGGTGTTAATGAGGGAGAAAAGACATACCGATCGGATAAGAATCCGAAAATATAAAACTTAGCCGGAAGACTTGATTCATGTATAGTGGGTTGGCGTCCAAAACTCTTATATCGACTTGCCATTCTCGAAAATCATCGGCCTTGACCAGTTCAATTCCGGGTGGGAAGCTTTGCTTTGCCTGATTGTCCATAGGTGTCAGAATCATTTCAATAAAGTTTTCAATGTTATTCCATCCACGTTCAACTGCTCACGCTGATGCAGGGTCAGGGTGAGAGGATGGTTCAGCGACCATGAGGCCTGAGGTGGTGGCAGCGCAATACCTTCTGCAGTTCCTATTGCGACGAAGTTTGATCAGTGAGGCTCTCGGAGATAGTTCAATTGGTCTCGATGCACATACCTTTCCTAATCTCTTCGCCGCAAACATGATGGCAGTCTCTCGTTCGGGCTTGAGAGGCACCACCTCGTACAGAGGGAAAGCTGGTCCACCAAATATAAAGGCGCCTGTTCGTTTGATAAGTTGGTCTAAGTCACGAAGAGCGAATGGCGGGGTCGTTTGCAGTTTCAAGAAGTTGCCGATACCAAGAGACAGGTCATGAGAGCCAGAAAAAAAGGTGAACGTTGGAAAATGACATACAACTGCAACGTGGTGGTTGATGCAGCCCGGGAAGATTTGAGGGGCCGCCGATGATGCCAAAATCACACGAATAAGGCTGCCCAATAGGCAACCATCTTGAGCAGCTACTTTTCATGTACGGCCACTTTGGAAAAGCGACACCTGGATATATTCATGAAACAAGTCACTAGATGTTGTGAATTCAATACCCTGCAAGCCTTGCACATGAAACCTCCGACGCGAATTTCGGCGCCGGCGCCAATACGAATACCACATCATGCAAAATATTGCCCACTCCTCTCTACAAATTTCCCCCAGAAGTCTCGGGTTCTCCATCGATTTCTAAATGCGACCCAGGGGCGACTATCCCATTAGCCCTATTCTTTCTTGGGTTCTTCTTTCTCCCCCGTGACACCCTCGGAGGGCGGTGGAGATGGCTGTGGGGGTTGGATGCCGTGGGTAATGGATGCTTGACGGCCAGCGGTCTCATCGGTGAACAGTGACCACTCGCCAATGGTCTCGTCGGAAAATTGATCCAAATCGAGACCAATCATCTCGATCTCATCCGTGACACGGAGATGGAGGCCAGGAATGTATTTCAGAATCATCAGGAGGATGACGGAGATGGTGAAAGACCAGCTAGCAATGGCTGCGATCTCGGCGAGTTGTTTGGCAATTTGGACGCCGTGGCCGTCGATGCCACCATGGACGATGGTAGCGCCGTCGAGAGCCGAGACCGAAGCCGAGGCGAAGATACCAGTGAGGAAAGCACCGCACGTGCCGCCAATACCGTGTAGCTTGAAGACCTCAAGGCCGTCGTCAATGTGGAGCCAGTCGTTGACATTCTCGAAGAGGTTGACAACGATGGCGGTGATAAAGCCAATGGCAGCTCCGCACCAAACCGACACATACCCAGCAGCGGGAGTGATTCCGACCAGGCCGGCAATGGCACCTTCGCAGGCACCGACAACAGAAAATTGGCGATGCTTGATGTAGTCCATCATCACCCAACCGGCTACACCAGTCGATGCCGCCATGTTGGTGTTCCAGACTGCCATCATGGCCCGGATACTGGCGTTCAAGGCGGAACCACCGTTGAAGCCAAACCAACCAAACCAGATGAGAACCGTGCCGAGGAAGACAATCGTGACGTTGTGAGGCTTGTAGACATGCTTCTCACCGTAGCGGCTCCTCTTGCCGAGGACAAGAGCATATGCCAAACCAGCCGTTCCGCTGGAAATGTGGACGGGGCCACCACCAGCAAAGTCAAGAGCACCAAATGTGAACAGCCAACCGTTGGCGTTCCAGGTCCAGTATGAAATCGGGCAATAGCACAAAGTGGCCCAGCAGAAGCCGAAGAGGATTGAGGGAAGGATACGACCACGCTCGAAGGAACCGCCGACAACGATCATGGTGGCACAGGCGCAGAACATGAGCTCGTAGAAGCAAAAGACGATGTCGGGAATGACAGCGGATCCCCAAGATGGCGCCGCCATCACCTAAGACCTGGTCAGCTTTGATTCCTCTACCACTCGATTTTGCGGTATACTGACATCAATCAGTCCGAAGTTGGTCAGATCACCAATGAAGGGACCGCCGTGTCGCGAGAAAGCGAGAGAAAATCCCCAAAAAGCCCATTGGAATGTGCAGACAGCCATGACGGTGAGAGATTGGAACACCATGGCAAGAGCCGACTTTCTTCGCGTCATACCACCGTACAGAAGGCCGATACCAGGGACAATCACGAAGACGAGACATCCCATGAGAACCTGGTAGACATACTCCCATTCGAGGCCAACATAGGGCGCATTGACGTCCATCTCCTGGGGATTTCCGCCATTAGGAATGCTATCGTTAAAGGTGGGCTATACACAAGTCAGTATTCGATCCGGCGTTTAGAGAGTATTCTGAGGGACGTACGACGACGGGTGCAGTAGCCATGGCTGCAAGGTCAGGCGAAGAGAGGGTTGATAGGAAGACCTTGGTGGGACCAGTTGGGTCAATTTCCTATATACCTTGTGCCTCGGAGCCGGTTAGAGCATGCCATGGCCAGAAGGCCAGGAAAGAGAAAAAAAAAAAAAAAAAAAAAATTAGGTCCCATGCCGGTTCCTACGCTAGATTTCCTCCGTGTGAGGTACCCGTGTCTTCCGTAACCTTGCGAAAATGGACTGGGACCTCGAAGCGCAGTATCGCGAAGATTTTCGGTTCTGGAACCTAGGTACGAGAGGCTTGCACCCTTGCCCCGAACGAGTCTTGACAACCGAGTTGATACTGCCTGACAGAGGTATCGGTCATCAGATTGGCAGAGATATGCAGCTGCAATAAGAACAAATAGGTTCGTGTATTGGCGGGGAGGTGTCCTCGTGCATTGTGGCCAGCCGATTAGCGAGCCTCGTTATCTATGGATCCCTGCCAAGGCTATGCCAAGGCACCAGTGTGGCTTGGATGGACTCAAGCCTTGCGCCTATCTTTGCTTGTTGGGCCAATTGCACGAACAAAAGCCGGCTTAAGCAGCTCCAGGTCCACCCAAAATAGGAGCTTCGTATCTTGCTTGACTTTGCTTCTTTCACTATGGAGCCCAGTCAGCTCTGTCAAGACCCCGAGAAGAGGTGGAGAAGGCGCCTGACCCCAGCCTAGGCAATTCTATCCCCAGCAAGACCAATGGTTTGGTAGTACCTTTTTGCATGCGACCAAAGTTTTCTTAGCGCCAGACACGTGTATACCCTTGCATATCTCTATATATTATTCGCTGGATGGATGAGGACCGGACAGGACTCTTTAATGGGTTCTGTCAAGAGATAGATATCACCCAACCAATAGGGTGAGACATGTAACTGGTGTGGGCGAAATTTTGATGTTCTAGGTCCCCGACGATCGGAACTACCAGCTAAGTCATGACTTGCTCCTTTGCGTCGACCCCGGGAACATCCGTGCTTATCTGAGAGAGATCAATGTTCGGCATCAAAATTCTTCCCACTCGTCAGTGGTTGACGCATAATCCAGGGCCGATTGGGATTCTCGCCCAGCCGTTCAGGGAACCCAACTATTCATGCACCTTGACGTCTCGTACAATTGATCCCGATCGGTCTCATCGCAAAAGCCTGGGTAATGACATCCGAAGAAAAGGGTTAGCAATTGATGACGTATTCAGAATCATGTTGCACCTCAGTTTCACGCTGGTAGATGGGCTTTTGGAGCAAAGGTCGCAGAATGGAACCTTGTCGGCTAGAGAGCATTGAGATTGAACGGACGATGATAGATCAAACACTATTGATTAGGAGCCCTACTACTTTTCGGCACAAACGACCAGTCTCCTCTCTCCCCTAATCGAGAACAGATGACGGCGCAGGCATAATGATTACTGACGGAATCAGAAGGCTCCCGCGCAGAGGCGAAAATACCGTCCAGGGTGTCGCGTTAGGATAGTAGAACGTGCCTACAGCCATGCCACAGACAAACTCACGATCAAGAAAACTTGCGCTCGTCGATCGTCCAGGGGAATCCTCAGTTCTTGAGAAAGTCATGTTTGTCTGGTTGGATTGCCGAAAGGTCGAGAGTGCCGTTTTGTCCACCATCTCTTCAGGTGCACAAAATACTGGTGTGTCTCTCTGGCTTCCTTCTCTTTCATGACACGTGCCTGAGCCTTGCGTATGGCCGAGAGAGATGGATTCTTTTGACCAACATGAAATGTCCTTGGTTAAAAGGGAGGATGACCGGATGGACAGATCACACATTCGGAGGATGGAAGAGGCCAGCAATAATGCTGAGAAACTTCTCCTCGCCATGAGACGCGAACACTGTCCCAGTCGATCGAGTTTTTCGTCAATATCGTGGAGGCGAAGAGCCATGAGCGGCGATGTTTTGGTTGCCGCGTCTCAAAAGGGCTTAGCGCGAAGTTATGTTGACAATCACGTTGTGGACGACGGTTTGTCAACCATCTTCATCGACAGCTGCCACTTCGAATCACTTTTCCATATTCCCATCTTCCATCTCCAACTTTTCGAGAGTATCTTTCATCATCCATATCGGACCTTGAATCCAGGAGCTGTCAACCGGGCAGATACTCAATCTAGGTGAGACAAACTCCTCTTCACCACTCGAGGCTAAGACCTGGAACTCGCCGAGGTCTTGTCTTCTAATTATACCCTTCCTATAGATTCATCTTGTTACCCGCCCTGGCAGTCTCATAGAAGCTCGGTCATCGCAATGATCATGTCGAATGTTTCTGGCAGCAGCCAATATCTGCCCAACCCGCTCATTGACGGCGTTCTGAGATTGACCTGCAAATCTTGCCATGACAACAATGATCCCAGAGTGGCAATGACACGCCTTCACCTGTCAGCTGAAATGATTGGCTACGTCGCTTGCTTCTCTCGATCCCATTGTCGCTGAGGTTCTAGAGGAGAGAGAGTCTGACACAGACCTCATACTGAACCTCGTCCCAAATTGGTGATCCCTCAATGACGACCAAACGGTTTCCCAAGATGTAGAGCTGAAGCTCGACCTCTTCCATTTTGACATTGGCTCATCTACCAGAATGCCTTGATCACCACGCACAAATTCCCTTTGACATTCTCATCTTCCCCACGGACTATCCCCTGCGCCCATCCCCCTATCCTGCGTAGACGATCTATTGATTCTAATTGAAAAGCCTTGATCTCCCCAATCTACTTTATCGATTGTTTCGATCAACAAATCTCAAAAAGAGTCAACAACAACAGCAACATTGATCACTCACCGGCTTTGAGAGTGTACTCCACCCAACCTGATTTCAGCAAAACAAAGCCTGACTCGCTTTTGTGAGACTGCCATGGACCAATCAGAGCGATCTGGTTTCTCATTATTTCCAATGCCGCCGACACCTCCAGCAAACAGCTCACGAGCAAGGATGGTGTTGCTGGAACAACAACGAAGGGACAACAATGATTCACCCACCCTCGGCTCGAAACACAGGATATCTGATGCGCCACAGCTCCGTCCAACACCGTTGAAGCTGCGGAAAAAGAAGTTTGTTGCATCCAATCGACCACCGACAACGCTCTCCCCAATCTTCGGCCCCGACCCGGTCCCAAACATAGTTCAAGAAAAAGAAGATGACACCTTGCCGCCGCAGCCCGCCACTGGGCCTACTCCGGAGAAATCAGTGCCGTTTCCGGCAGCATCGTTATCCCTGCCATCGGTGTCACCATCACCAGAGCCTGTCTCTCCATTTACCCACTTTCCCGACGTTGAGGATCAAGACTCCAACAAGGCGACCAGTGAATGCTCGTCGCCGGTCAAAAGTACCTGCTCCCGGACAAGCCAGTGGTTAGATGGAGATGGCAAGATCGACCGCAAAAAGCTCTCCATGTATCTTAGCGGCGTTCTTGACCCTTCATTCGAAATCATCGGAGAGTCTCTGAATCAATCTTTACTTCCGCCGGACTATCCTAAAAGCCCACTTCGAGAGCACGATGGCGCCCGTGGAAATAAGTCGTGGCGATTCTCCCACGTATTCAATGACACACGGCACTCTTACCGACCGGCCTCGGCCCACGTTGACACTCCTCCAATTCCCAAGACCTACTGCCGTTGTCCCGCAGGGGTGGTCATTTGCCAATGCTACTCATCCCAGGAATTCGAACACTTTCGGCGAGGCCAAGATCACAAAGCCAATCCTAGTGTTAGCTCCACGACATGCTTTCTTTCTGTCCCCCGGGCACGTTTCCGTTCGACGCTAGGCGATCTTGAAGAGGCGGATACACCCTCATCTCCACCAGCGTTGATGTATGACTCTGATGAAAGCGAGGAATTTGACTGGTCACTCCCCAACTCGCCCACATTTGATGAACGACGGCTTCAGTACCAGCAAACTCCAACACCACTTCCTCGACAGTCCAGTATGTGGAGACCGCCCGTTCCATCATTTTCTTTGCCATTCTCCAATGGCAAACAAATCAGGCCCCGGTTTTACCAGGATAGAAATTCTGCGTTGCCGGGGGAAGAGCAGACATCGCCCTCATCCACCATTCCCACGCTGGCGAGTATCTCAACTGTTTCGACCTTCACCTTCGACTTCGGTGGGCAGGATGATGAGACCGAATATGATCCCTTTGATGACATCAGTCAACCGGGTGAGATCAAGACTTGGGAACCCATTCGAAAGGCAAAGCCAACGTTAGTGCACTGTCGAGGCCCGTCGCCCCAGTCTATCAAATACGGATATGACAATCGGTCCAAGACACCAAGTGGGGGAGCGTATTCATCCACTCAAGACGGCAGGTATGGTACAATCTACGTATAATACAGCTTCTCTCCTTTAATCCGGCAATTCATCACGGTCGGCCGGTTCTTCACTTGAATCCGTGGTTCGGAATTTGTTCTATCATAAAGGGTCTCATATATATGTAGAGGTTGGAGTTGGGAATTTGGCGACCCAGGGGCCTGATCTCATTTCCATTCAAGAATGTGACTGACTACCTTCTTTCTGATCCGATGAACCCTTGACGTTCTTCGGTTCGATAAATCCCGTGCTACATAGCATTAGCTCAGCAATTTTCTTCCCGCGAATTGGAACCGTCTCATACATTGGTGTCCACGACTCTTCGTACACAACTCTGTCAGCCTCTGCCCTGTCGACAAGACGTTGGAGGAATGGTGGAAGACTTTGCTTTGAAGACGACTTCCTCCTTGTTGCGTTTTGTTCAGTTTCGTGAGAAGTCATAAGTATATTGGTTGATCTGGTGTTATACTGTGATTGGAAATTGTTCAGTGATGATTTCCAACAAGTTTCAGGCGGCAACGCCGCAACTGATATAAGGCTACAAGCAGCCATGATCAGGAGATGAGACGTCCCTTCAATCCACGGCGAAAACTCGGTGCCTTGCTTGGCAGAGAGCTTCTCATACCCTAGACGCAGCCAGTCACAGCCCATGGACAGAAATCTGCTCACGGAATTTCGAAGTAATTCGACGACCACATCGATATATAACTGGTCCAGCATACAGGAGCACAGATCCCTTTCTATGCGTGCGTGATTATCTCGCATATCAAGCCATTGGCTTGGCTTCACCATATTCCTGACCAATCGCATCTGGTCAATATGGACAACGCCCAAAAGAGCTCTGACTGGCCCGCTCGGTCTATCGTTCTCTGTGATGATCTTCTCAAGCAAGTCGGAATTTGCAATGGAGATGCCCACGGATGTGTCTTGCTACAAATTGAGCCATATCCAAAGAAGTTCCTACACCATTTCATTTGGATCGGTCACATCCGACCTGGATATGAGAGCAGATGAAGGAGAGGGCATTGGCCGTGACGTTAAGTAGGTCGCCTCTTTTCCTTCCTTGAGAGAGTTTCTCTCCAAGCAATCTCTTTTTGTGTTCCACGACGGTGAAGGCCTTGCTCGCAAGGAGTAGATGCCTGCTCAAACTCGGGGATCTATCTCAGGATGTTGCCTAATTCAGGCGACAAAAGCCTACAACTCAAGAACATGATCGGTCATGCTATATCTGGACAACGAGACCGATCCAGGTTACTCGAATCCCCGGGCTTCGCCACTTCTTATGCCAGATGCATTACAGAGGACTCGCGGGAGAAGTACAACATTTCGGAGTAACTCTGCGGGGTGTCAGTGCAGGCTGGCTCCATACATCTGGACGAGTCGAGAAATCGATTCGGGGCCTGGTTTGTCAACCGATGGGCTTCTCTGCCCCCAGCATACCAGGCCTCGGTTCAACGCTCAAAGATTCGGCAGAGCACTGCAGAATGCCGAGAAAGCTTCTGACACCCACGACAAAATCGATCCAGAGTCGTGGAGATATACCGAAACGCTACTGATCCAATCACGGTACCGAATCTTACCGAATCAGAGTCAGCCGAGAGGTATCCAACTGTCACAACAAAGTGTTTCCGGACCTTCGATCACCAGAAATGACTTCTACAAGACATGTTGTATTGTTGGCATTAAACACCAAGTAAATGCCCTTCTCTTTGTTTTGTTCTACTTTGCCTACACCAGACTACCCGAACTCAAGCCCCTTCCTCGCTCATTTCCAAAGGCATTTACCACAATGGCAAGCGAGAAATACTCGCCGTCGTTCGCAGACCGCATCGCCTTCGACAACGCTTCTCGCGGCCTTGTGGCAAAGCTCGAACCCTGCCTCATCAAGGCACCAAACGGCCGCGTGGTCTGGGACAACGATGCCTATGATTTTCTCAACGCGGAATGCCCGACCACCGCAGAGCCGAAGCTCTGGCGACAAGGGCAATTGCTTTCTATCCAAGGCCTCTTCAAGGTCGTCGACGGGATCTATCAAATTCGGGGCTTTGATCTCTCCAACATGACAATCGTCGAGGGCCGGTCAGGCGTCATTGTCATCGACCCTCTGATCTCCGTGGAATGCGCTGCGGCCGCATTGGCATTCTATCGAAAACACCGTGGCCCTCGCGAAGTCACAGGCTTAATCTACTCGCACTCTCACGCAGACCATTTTGGCGGCGCGGCAGGAGTTCTCACCGGACCTTCAACCGCGAAGATCCCCATCCTTGCCCCGGAAGGCTTCATGGAGGAAGTCACCAGTGAGAACATATTCGCAGGGCCGATTATGCGCAAACGAGCAACCCTCATGTATGGAACTAATCTCCCGGTATGTCCGAGGGGACAGATCGGCTGTGGACTGGCCATGGCGACATCACGGGGAGCTAATTCCCTAATCCCACCCAATGTCCTGGTCAAAGCTACGGGAGAAGAGCACATCATTGACGGGGTCAAAATCGCGTTCCAAATCGTGCCCGAGACCGAAGCGCCGGCTGAAGTCAACTTCTATTTCCCGCAGCACCGAGCTCTGTGCATCGCCGAGTGCGCCACCCACGGCATGCACAACATCACGACCCTGCGTGGTGCCTTGGTTCGCGACGCCAAAAAGTGGTCCCGATATCTAGACGAGACAGTCGTTCTCTTTGGCGAGATCTCCGACGTCCTCTTCGCAGGCCATGCCTGGCCGACGTGGGGTACAAGGGAAATCATCCAACTGGTCTCCGAGCAGAGAGATCTGTACGCTTACATGCACGACCAAACGATCCGGATGATGAACGATGGGATGTCCGGGATCGAAATCGCAGAGACTCTCCAGTTACCTCCGTCCCTGCAACAGGCATGGCATGCTCAGGGTTTCTACGGCTCCCTCAGCCACAATGTCAAGGGCATCTATCAACGATACATGACCTGGTTTGACGGCAACGCCGCGCATCTATGGCAATACCCACCCCGTGAAGAAGGACAACGTTATGTTGCTTGCATGGGCGGCATGGACGAAGTCCTTCGAAAGGCTGACGATTTCGTCCAAAAAGGCGACACGCGCTTCGCCGTCACCCTGCTCGGCCACGCCGTCGCCGCGGAACCATCGCACACGAAAGCAAAGCACGCACTCGCCTCCGCCTTTGAGGCTTTGGGTTTTGGAGCCGAAAACGCAACCTGGCGCAACTTTTATTTGTCCGCGGCCCAAGAACTGCGTGTTGGCAAGAGAAACGAACGCGCACTCAGTGCTATGAACGCCATCAATCCAGGCCTCTCTGTCGAACTGTGGCTGGCAGGTTTATCGGTGAAGATCGACGGCCCGCGCGCCGCGAGGGAGAATTTCACCATCCACCTGCACATCACGGATAAACAGGAGAAATGGGCTTTGATCATGAGCAATGGTGCGCTGACGTATCGACCGCTGCGGACGAATGCAGCGGACAATACTATGGGCCTGAGCCTCACGTTGACGAAGGAAGAGCTTCGTAAGGTTTTGTCAGGAAACTTTAGTGTTGCCGACTCCAAGGCAAAGGGGGACATGACGCTGATCAGGCGGTTATTGTCATTGGCGTCGAATGCGGAGGGACCAAGGACTTCTCTTTAAGCTGTGTGTTGGTATATACCTATTGCTCAATCTGCAAAGGAAAAATAAAAGGGGGGGGGTGATGGGAGGGAGGCGAGCCCTCAGAGGGGAAAACTGCTGAAAACGTGAATCAAAGTCCACCGTTCACTCAATTCCAGACTCCCTCGCTGGATGGGAATCGAGGATTTAATGTAATCGGTCCAAGGCTGACGAGTATTAACGGATTCAACCATACAGCCAGATCTCCACACATCACTAGACCAGAACGCAGTCATCTGTATAGATAGGATATAGTATTCGTTAGACTCTCTGGTGCTCTCAAGGTCGCTTGGACTGGGGATCCTTTGTCCAAAATCGACTGGTCCGCACACCTTCGTTACTTCAACCGTCGCTCTTAGGCGCAATTCCCACAGCCTCATAAGCGTCTCTGTACAATGGACATCGGGTATCTAGTTTTCCAGCGGTAGTCATCGTCTTCAGGACGCCATTGCTCCCTAATGCTGCCACGCCAGGTACACTCTCCCACCCCGGCCCTCCCTGCGGATTCTTCGCAAAAGTCGCCCAGACGTTCTGCATATACTGACTCAACGCTCTTTCATCTTCTGTGGCATTCGTGCGTGAATAAGTGCCAAAGACAATCGAGATCTCACTGCTGTGGAAGACGCCCGCGTCAGGGAGTCCAGTAAGGTTGACGTTCGGGAAGGTCGCGTTGTAATAGTACCGCCAGGTGGAAAAACCAGCAGTACGGCTGTCGTTGGTCAATATACCCACAGGACACTGGAATGTGAAGTCGGTGACGATCTCTACGACCTGTTCGGCCGATGAGGCAGGGTAGGCTGCTAGGATGGCGTTGTTGAGCTTAGGTTGGTTTGGGAATAACGATTCAACATATGCGGAGGCATTGGTCTGTCCGACCACGAACAGCGAAGCCTCGTCGGCATTCGTGCCCGCTAATATCGGTACGGGGGCAATCGATTGATTCAGTCGAGCGTCTTCGGGGTAGCGTAGAGTCGTCGCATTGTCTGTGACCGGGCGGAATGGGAGTGCCAAATGCTCGATGGTGTATTTCAGAGTGGAGGCTGTTTGGTTTCGTAGGCAGGTCAGATTCGAATGTGGGTGAGTAGTTGTGCAGTTTAATGCAGCAGCTAAGGCCAGCCAACCCGTTGGTGCGTTGGTCGTATTCACGTAGGATGTCGCTTGGCCCGACTCTATGATAGCCGCGCGGAATGGTGGGTTTTCAGGGTAGGTTGTGACGAGAACGTCAACACTGAAGATAAGATAATCAGGACGGGTCGTGTAGCCAGGAGGGACGTCATCAATACCTTCCACCTCCAGCGCTTTCACCGAAGATAGTCACCTTCTTTGGGTCGCCGCCGAATGCTGCAATATTTCTCTGAATCCAATTAAGAGCAAATCCTGATGTCTGATCAGATATGTTGTTCTGCAAATCATCTCTTTGTTGCCAAGCAGTCTGTGTGATAGGTATAGGGCTTGGTAGACGGCAAGCTACCGAATTGCGCTGAAAGATTCCTTGGGACAATTTATTTCACGATTATAGGGCTCGGGTTTGGATCTCCGCGTCTGGCCTTCTTCTTGGGTGACAAAATATGCGATTGAACTTACTTTGGTCGAGAAATCCTAAGTTTCGTTTCGTCAGGGGTAGTTCTGGGGAGTTCGGGAACCCAAAGACTGTCCGATTAAGAATCAGCTCGCACCAAAATGAAAACGGATTCTCACCATTCGTACGGTAATTCAACGATACAACAATAACATCTTGATTCGCGGCGAACGACGTACCATCGTACGCAGGGAGGGAATTTGCCCCTATTCGCAGGCTGCCACCCTAAAATCAAGTATTAACGGTACTTCTCCTAGTCCCTTTGTCCGAAGCCGTACATAAATCCAAGCCATGACAGTCTTATTCCTTCCCGGCGTTCCAGGGACGTAGACATTCAAGTTTAGACAATCCTCGCTCTCTCCGGCTGGCGGAGGAGGCGTATTGAACCATGCGATCGATCTGTTCCGCGCAACCTCAGGATAATTAAATTGTTGAATACATGCGGGACCGTACTTGGTGGCATGAAGAGGCGATTTCCATGGCGTCGGCTTGACGGCTGGAGCAAAGCGAGTGGGAGAAGCTGCAAATGGAATTCCTAGATATTTGTTCACCGTAGCAGAAGATCCTGCAGGTGATGTTGCAACGCCGACCACGACTCCAGAATCAATAGTGACTGCAGGAGCAGCCGAGCTCGTAGGAGCCGCATCACCGCAGGTGAAGAGTAGAGTGACGATGAAGAAGAGGTGCAGCAGTAGTGGATCCATGGTTACCCAGGACAGAGTGCCAGAGACTGCCGACGGCCATGCCAAAATATGCTGGCCGATCTCATGGTTTTATTTTTCCAGACTTACCGTTGAAAAGACGTGCGGTACTCATCCCGACGTCACCCCCATTGCTCAGGGTATAACTATTTTGACACTATTCATAGGAGATCGCCCGGATGCGGAGTGCACCGCGAAGGACGGCAGTTGCGGTGACTATCGAACACAAAGAGCTTTCTAGCTTGAGGTACCGGATACGCATCTAGCTGCTAGACCTGGGAAGATTTATCGGGCATTGACCGGGGAGATGGAATCTGATTCGTGCAGAGGCAACGAAATGCGGAGGAGGGAACCTGGATGATTGCGAGCACAGCATCGAGCTTTGAACTTGGGTTAGGATTGAAGCTGGTCCCGAGGTTCGGTGGAGGCGGGAGGGGGAGTCGCCCAAATAGACGAAAGGAGCATGTTTTTCGGCGGTGCGAGGTGAATCAGCCTCGGCCATTACGTTATGTCCTCGACTGAGTTTTGGATCTCTGGCATCCGGGATTTGTGAAAGGAGATTTCTTGCAATCTTGAAAGCCTTTGTTTTCCTGCGGTCAAAATCTTTCTTCAGACCTGCAGTTATCATTCGTTAAAGCGGCATCAGAGTGACCATTCCTGATTTAGACTGGTTTGATTCCAGTCGTTAAGGCAGCGACGTGGCTGACATGCAGAAGGTGGAAGCCTCGTCGCCACCAAAGGCGAACACCCCGCTATTTGTTTCACCACAAGTAATGAAACGCTTCTTGGGGAAAAGGTAAGAATGGGGACAAAACAGCCCTCTGTCTTTAAAGTAGAAACCTCTCCGATTGAACTTGGTGACCCACCACAACTGCAGAACACAAAGACATGGACCATCTTTATGAACTCGTTCCTGACGAAAGTCAAACCGAATCCAAACTCCCTCAGGTTCAAATTCCGTTCCTATGCCAGTATGAATACGACAGCGATTGCGAGTTTTCGGATTATCCCAGCCGCGCCGGATTCGACAAGGACCGATTCCTCAGACTTGATTTCAGTGAGAGATCGCCAGCGGAGACCGCCGCTTTTCTGCAAACATGGCTGTATTTTGGTCTTCTGAGTCGCGTCCTGCGTATTCCGATATCGATGGAGGATTTCGTAAATCGAGACCACCGATCACCCACGGTGACCACACGGACGAGTCTGCCACTCTACCTGGAAAGGTGGTCGAAGAGAGCAAAGCCGAAACTTGTGGACCAGATGGAGGCGGACATAGAAGAGGCCAGATCATACGTGCATTGTATGCTGAAAGCTGGCGAGTCTTGCCCTTTGCCTCAAGAAGTCGTCCTTTCCATTATGATCCTCGGGCCCACCCTGAGTTCAGCAATTGATTTGAAGATTGAGAGATTTCCTCCCAAAAACCACACAACCATCGACGATTGGGGAATATCACCTCTTGTCAAGGATCGACTTCTGCGGCAGGGATGGTGTATCAATGACATACAGCGACTGTGCAGTACGATCAGCGTACCAACCGCTCTATTTGCCTCTTCCATCCCAAGAAGGGAGGTGATCCCGAACGAACAGCATGGATCCTGCCTTCCCCATGCCTGCGTGGCCAGGAACATTGATGAAGCTACCTATAAGACCCAACATGTGGACCCGAATTGTCCATGCAGCCCAGTCATGGCACCCCTTGACCAAGTCAAGGATGTACTCCAAAATGGCGACATTCCTGTCATTATTATCAAACCGGGCGCTGACAGCTCAACCCTTGAATTGGAAGCGTCTTCAGATCGCAAGGCACGTTACGTTGCAATCTCCCATGTGTGGGCAGATGGCCTGGGATGCACTGAAAATTCCTTACCACAATGTCAGCTCCTTCGTTTGCACAGTCTCTGCGAGGAATTGTCTTCAGGATCCACCAGAGTCTTTTCATCTTTCAAGAATCTTTTGCGAAAGTCTGAACAGCCGCTGGGTTTGTGGATCGACACTCTTTGCGTGCCAAGGGAGAAACTGTTTCGTCGCTTGGCGATAGCTCGAATGAGTGCTACCTACGCGCGAGCAAATAAAGTGGCTATATTGGATTCTGAACTCCTCTCGTTCTCGAAAGGTCTTCCCGAAAGAGAGATATTGCTTCGAATGGTCGGCAGTGGCTGGATGCGACGAGTCTGGACAATGCAAGAAGGTGCCCTAGGCTCAAAGGATCTACACATAAAACTGGTGGACGGAGTTGTGAGATTCTCAGACGCAATAGAGGCCCTCCGCAAATCTGCCAAAACTCGCAGCCTTGCCACATCCTTGGTCGACAGAGATGCCACTATCTTCTTTGAAGAGTTCGATCAATTGCGAAAAGCCCACTCCAAAAGCCACTGGCAAGACGGGGAGAGAGTTCCAGCTATCGCAGCGTCTCTGCGAATCTTGAATGACCGGTCGACAACAAAAGAGGGCGATGCATATATTTGTCTCGCTGGGATGATGGCCCTGGAGAGCGACATAATCAGGGACCTCGATGCAGCACCAGTCGAAGAACGGACAAGAAAGCTGCTCGCCAATGTTCGGCTATGGCCGAAAGCTATCATCTTCTCCCCGGGCGTTAAGCTCCAAGAAGAAGGATATCGCTGGGCCTGCACCTCGTTCTGGCGATCAAAATTTGCATTTCGAGAATTCAATGAAACCGGTGAAATTCGTGAAGGCTTGGGGCTCCGGGTCGAATTTCAAGGTTTTGAGCTGGACCCTTTTGATTTGCCCAATGACCACTTTCTGTTCCAATCGGTCCACACCAAGATTTGGTACAAGGCCACCTACGATCCATCCTCCCGGCCATTCCCTGAATTGACGTCAACAGCACAACCACACAAGTTCGGCATCATCTGCCCGCAACGCGAAGTCGTCCGTCACGGCCCAGGCGGTACTCAAGTGCCTGCAGCACTGGTGTCCATTCCGGCGAGAAAGTGGAGTCTGAAAGAACAGTTCACAGAAGATGCCGGGGCAATCCATTGCGTCTACCTGTCACAAATCATGCTCTCGACGCCTACAGAAGCCGATTTTCAACACAATACACCTCGCGGTAGTGCCAGGAGACCCAATAACACCAACGAACCTCGTGGCATGAGTATAGTGTACACACCGCAAATTTGGTACATCAAATAGACGGGAATGTATCGGGGCAGCGACCCTTGGCAGCGACCTTCGTACCACAGCGACCTGCTAAACACCAATTGAGCCTAGTTGTGCGAGAGTTGCCCGGAGGATGGCGAGGTACCTCAAATCCCTAGGAAAATGGGGGGTTTTCAGGTACCTTTCCATCCACTTTGCCTCCCTCGCATAGTTGGCCCTTTTTGGTGTTCTTTTTAAACAGTGTCATTAAGGCCTTTCGACAGAGCTATTTGCACTCGACTTTAGAAGCCTTTTCACACTCGATTTTGGTGTTGTTGTGTATCAGGAGCTCTCTGTCGCCTATTTAGTCTGTCTAAAGTCCCCCTTCCCCCTCTTGCCTCCTGACCTCGCTGTTGACCACCTTCAGAGCCTTCCTGATGCTCTGTGAGCCTCTTGTGAATCTTGTATGAGTCCTTGCTCCTTTGCCTCTTTGTATCTCGCCGTGTGGTTGCGCCTTCTCTTTCCTCTACCTCCTCCTAGTGCTGGAGGTGCCGTAGACGCTGGTAGATCGAAGATCTCGTCGTTGACTGTCGGAGAGGCCTCAGGGGTAGGAGATCGACGTGGTCGTGGTCTGTCTGGAGTGCGAATTGGTAAACGTCGTGAGAGAGGAGTAATCTGAGGCGGAGGTGTTGTCGGTCTTGCTGTCTCTGTCACTGTTATGCTGGCTCGGGGAGTAGACGTCAATTGAGCTTGTTGTCGTCGCTCGTCAGCGCGTTCATCTTGACGTCTTTGACGCTTTTCCTGGCGCTCTTGACGTTCTAGAATCTCGTTCGCTGTTAAGCCCCGTGCTTCACGAGGTCCGTGAGAGGCCTTTTGAACGATTCGTCGTCTTACAACAGGGTCAGGTTGGCCGATGGGTATTTGCTGCAATTCAAGGTGTTGTTGACCGATCATTGAAAGATTCCTAAAGACTTGCCTGTGGAATTCGCGAATTTGTCGCTCTCCACGAGCTATTTGAACATCGTAACGATGGCGCTCCTCAGGATTTAGCTGATTTCTGATTTCAGCGAGTAGTAGAGCCTGTTGAGCGTCTTGGTTCGACCTCAGATCTTCTTGAGGCGCCTCAGAAGGGTAGAATGGCTTCCAATTACGCTCCGTGATTTCCGGTCCTGACAGCCACCAACGAGGGTGTAGAAGAGTTTTCGGTAGAGGTAAATTTTCGAGAAAGGCCCGGAGTAGATAATGTTTGCAGGCAATACCGAACTGGTAGAGAATCGGGCACTCGCAAATCTCGCTCAATTGCTCTCCCCTCATCATGAATTGATTAAGTTCCGTCCATTCCTTCTCAAGTAAGGCGAGTGCCTCATTCGAGACCTTCATTCGCAGGGCTTTGAAGACGTCAGACTGAGCTAGACGAGGGTAGTGACGATGAGAGAGCGCCTCATCGTCCTGAAGATCCTTGAGGACTGATTTGACCTTCATCGTAAGCCGTTTAGCCGCATCTTCGAGGCTTAATTGGCCATTTGTGATCTCCCTCATAACACCATGATATGACTCGACTCTTTGACTTGCTCTGGCACCGAGATTTGCGTAGAGGCGTGTGTAAAAGTGGGCAACTTTACGCTCCTTTGGCAGCCACTCCTCGTTGATGTATTGCCTGAATTCTCTCCCTCCTTTTGCGCAGACAGTTTCGCGATTGGCGTTCAGATCTGCCTCAGTTTCGGCCTGAAGGTAAGAGTAACAGAGGCTTCGAAGCCCTTGAATCTCTGTGCCCTGATCGTCGAAGTGGCTATCAATCTCGTCTTTCTTGATTCCAAGTTTTCGCGCCTTCACAATCATTGCCTCAACCGCGTGCCAGGTGCAAAATTGCTGTTTTGCATCGGGAAAAGCCTCAGGGATTGACGCTGCTAAACCACCTGCTTGATCGCCTAAAATGACTTCGGGAGGTGCGATTTGAGGCTGCCCCGGGGCCTGGAGACAGAAAGAGATAAAACTGTGCCAGAAGAATAGGTAGGAGTCCTTGTCTTCGCTTCGACACCAGGAAAAGGCGATTGGAAAGGTTTTTCTTGAATTTAGCTGACCGACGGCGATGAGTAGAGGAAGCCTGAACGAATTCGTATTGAAGGTGCCGTCTATCACGACAAGAAAGCCTCCAACAAAACGACGCGCGAGCGCCAACAGCGAGGGATGAGTAAACCAGACTTGAATCAACTTTCTACTTACGACTTCATTCTTTTCATTTAATCCTTCCTCGACACGAGTGCTGTATACGAATCCCTCGTCTTCCAGCGCTGCCAAAAGCCCAGCAATTGTCCTCGAATCCTCTTGGTTTGGCTTCCACTTCCTTACAAGGTTGTAATACTGTCTTGACGTCAAATTCAGGCCAAACTCAGACGACGACTCGAGCACTCTTCGCGATGCAGAGTATGGAATGATTGCAATACGATGAGATGTTGCGGCGGCTCGAATTTCTTGAAAATCAGATAAGTCATTCATGAAACGCGGATAGACAGCGAGAGGATTTTCAGTCAATTCATGGCCTTCATGTTCAAGCGACATGACGGTTAACACCCATCCCTTCTCGCTGCCGCGATCAATTGACTTAAAGCTGACTCTACAACGCCAGTTGCACCCTGTTTGTCGAACCGCAGTCCTCTCTCGCTTCCTCCTAGATATGATTTCGCCCTCTTCACCGACAGCGACGTGATCCTCGAGCCCTCGAAAGTTTCGAGTTTTCTCTCCGTGGTGAATGCATTTGAAGACTGAGGCAGGCACTTTAGCATTTCCTCCACCGTTACGGACGACATCAAAGCCGGTGACGAGTGCAAAGGCCTTTAGACGTCTCTCAGCCTCAGGAAGAGACCCAAACACCTCGCCAGTAACAGGAGTCTGAAGCCAAGAGACAGGGAAAGAGTTGACAAGGCTCTCAAGAGGCCCACGAAGGTGTTGAGAGCATCCTGAAGGCGCTCGCCAGACGTCGCCGACAAAGGAAGTGGCCATTGGGGTAATAGCAACAAGAGGGGTTCGAAAAGGCTTTGCAACACCAAGAAAGTCTATACAATTGCAGAGGGGCCGATAACAAGCACTCAAATCGTGACTTGATGCGAGCACTTCAATTTTGATGTTTTGGTACCTCGATTTGTGCGCTTTTACTAGGGATTTTAGGTACCTTTACATCATTGGTTGCCTCTTTCCATCAACTACGCCAAATCGAGCTTAATCAGGTCGCTGTGGTACGAAGGTCGCTGCCAAGGGTCGCTGCCCCGATACATTCCCAAATAGACAATATCATTGTTCGTGCTTGCTTGTGCTTACTAATGCCATCCCCTCTAAGTCCATGAACACTCTGGGTTCTTCCTGTCCACTCTCCACGACAGGCAACAAACTTGATCTGTTCTCGAGCTCTGTGGAAAACACGGATGGCAAATGCACTTCAAAGGCCAAATACAAAGTCCCCCGGTGGCTTACACTCTGCGTATCCCTGCTGGAACTCTAAGTGCCCTACCGGTGAAGAGAAAGGGAAATCTTGTGTAATTGCATCTGGACAACATGGAGACTGGGCCGCCAAGTGTCTACAGAATCTCCTGCCACATGAGGGGGAGTGGCCATGGGTAGAATACTATTCTTCAAGGTAATTTGCCGACAAGTCATTGCCTAATATACTCGTCGATTGCTGTTGCTATTCTTTGATCTGCTGTTTGTGGAAGACACCTGCATCAACACACAAAAGAGAACTCGTCAGCGTAGAATTACCGTACCAAGTTTCAAAATCTCATTTCCTTTTCCCTTATCTGATCTCCCTTCCTCTTCAATTCTAATTGGAAGCTGAAGACTGGAAATTGAACTGGAAGCATACCAGGAACCTCAGGCATCCAATCATCTCGCAAACTGCAAAAGAACTCTCCCTTCGGCGGCAACTCTGTTGGATGATCCAAGGTCCCGTAGAAGACGTATATGAAGTCTCCTGCATTGGCCTATTATCACATATCACAAATAAGGATTGGTGTCAATGTGACAGCCAGACGAAAAGAAAGAGTCATATCATGACGCAGCGCTAATAAGGAGAACTGGCCGTATAACGAGACAGGTACTCACGCCATATTCCAGAATCCCACTTCCACACTCTTTACAAAATTCGCGATGCAACACGACTCCACTCCCATTATCTGCCTCGTGGACTTTCAGCGCATCCTGGCCCGCCTTGATCGTGAATGCTGACCTGGTGATCTTGGTCGTGATACCGAATGATCCACCTGTGAATTTCTACCCCACCAACATAAGTGTGTGCATGCCTTGCTACGCTCAACGGAAAGGTGTACAGGCATAAAGGTTAACGATGACGTACCTTACAGTTGCCACAATGACATAAACTGGTCCTGGCGGCATCTTTATCCTCGAGGTTGATCTGATATCTCACACGACGGCAGTAACATCCACCAGGAAATATCATTTTCATCAATTTTTGGTTTTCCCAAAAGGCAAATTTGGATATGGATCTGTTTCTTTAAATTTTGTTCCGAGACGACGATGAGTATTAAAGGGACCAAGAACGGGATGACTGCCCACTTCCCTTCTTATAGTGGATGGCAAGGCATACAGTCGCAAGTCCCTTCTCGAGACCTCTGGAGGGTAAGTATCACATTGGCAGAATTCAGTACTGCACAAGTACTAGTATGAATTTTGGTAGCAACGTCATATTCCTCCTCTTCCATTTGAGAAGCTCGCTACTATCTCCTGATCGGGAAATTAATTCTCTACTACGATTGGCCAGAAGTATAGGACGGGCAGATGATAGATCCGATTGGATTGCCACGACTCAGCATGGTGTTTTTAAATGGCATTACACATTGATAATCGATGGATTGGTTGCATTTGATTGCATCTCGCTTTCACTTCGTCTATCGGGTCGAACCAACCCCTCCCCTATAAATGCTGCCTGGTTTGGATGTTGCTGGTATGTTTGATTCGACGGTACCGTTGTTCAGGAGCGGAAATTGGACTTCCAAAGAATCTGGCCCCCCGTAACGAGCTCAGGGCCCATTGTAGAGTGTCCTTTTGGTTGTCCACGCATCATTCCGGCACCTCATCTCGTAGCCATACATCTCTGTAGACCATGGGTCGAGAACGTTGATTGCCGCTTCATTTCGACGATTGTCACAGAGGCATGCGTGGCGGCGGTTCGGAAGAGAGCCTGTCCAGGCCACATTCATCATATTTTACATTTCCTTCTTGCGATCCTCATAACTTGAATTTCTCCAAATACTCCGTAGCAGCTCTAAGCCCCTCGTCGACCTTGGATTGATCTGTGCCGGTACCAATGGCGACGGGGGCTTTCCCACCAGCCTTGCCACCCACGAACTTTGACACGGTAGATGACCAATCCGCAGATGTGATACCGGCTTTCGTGCCGTCCTGTGATTCGGATGTCAGTATACCTAAGCCCCTCCTTTCAATCCTAGAAATGGACATCAACTTACCTGACTCACATAGCATCCATGGAAGACCTTGCCGTCAGGATCCTTGTCATCCGCCACAACAACATACACACTCTTTTCCTTCATCTTGCTCTGGACGTGTTTCACCACCTCCGGTATGATCTTTGCATTCCCACTAATCGGTAATCTTAACGCCACACCCCGAGCTTTCTCATTCTTCTGAAAATAGTCTGCTATCGTATCAATCGCCTTCTTCGTTTCCTCTTTCTGCATTTTCTTCTGCAGGTCCAGCATTTCTTTGCTGATTTTGGCGAATCGATCTCGGAATTCTGACTTCTTCACCGCCGATATTGACAGATTGTTCAATTCGAGTTGAATGGTTTTGGCTTCTTGCTCCTTGGATGCGCTGAACGGCATTTCCTCCAGTTTGTCGAGTTTCCCAGAAAATTCTTCCGCCACACGTTGGACTTCATGCGCATCTTCGCCAGTCACGGCGATGATTCGTCGAATTCCTTTGGCAATACCACTCTCCTCGAGGATGATGAGGTCTTTGATGTCGCCGGTGCTCTTGACGTGAGTACCGCCACAGAATTCGATGCTGACCGTTCTCCATCTCTCATCTCGGACATTCTTCAGAATATCATCGACTTCCACGCCAACAGAAACGACCCGGACCGGATCCGGATATGTTTCTCCGAAAACAGCTCGGACACCGGTAATTTCCCGTGCCACAACCAAAGGCACGTCTTTTGCGTACACCGGGCAATTTTGTCGGATGTACTCCGTTGAAATATCTTCAATCTTCTGCAAATCGGTGTCGGAGATGCCGGATTTATGACTGAAGTCAAATCTTAATTTCTCCTGCGCGACCAGAGAGCCCTTCTGGTCGACGCCGTCACCAAGAACCTCCCGTAGCGCAAAGTTGAGGATGTGCGTGCCAGTATGGTTATTCCTTATGGGCCATCTTCTCAGCTCATCATATTCACAAATTGCCTTGTCTCCCAATGAGAAGTGACCGTACTTCATATAGCCCGTGTGCAGAACATATCCCGCGTAAAGTTGGACATTCTCCACATCAAGTTCGGCTTGTCCATCAATGACAATTCGACCGGTATCGTATTCTTGACCACCTTGTTCGGCATAGAAACATGTCTTGTCGAGAATAATTCCAATCTGATCACCTTCCGGGATATTCTGTGTATCAGGATGGAACTTCTTTGCATGGTAGATGGCCTGAATCGTGCCGGTAATGTTTTCTCGGCCGTACTTACCACTGTCGTCGGTCTTGGTGACACCGGGCATCTTCTCCAATTCACCCAGGTCGTGAACATCAAGCTTGAGCAGACCGCTGGTCGCTTTCTTCTCGCCTTTGCTGGCTTCTCTCGCCTGTAACTTCGCAGTCTCGAATTCATTGTCGTCAATGGAAAGTTTTCTCTCTTCAGCCATCAGCCTTGTCAGATCAACAGGGAACCCGAACGTGTCATATAATCTCCAAACATCGGCTCCATGTAACCTCTTCAATCCTTGAGCTTGACTCTTCTGGGCATAAACCTCGAATTGTCGCTCTCCCCGATCCAAGGTTTTGGCGAAAGACAATTCTTCCTCATCGAGAATCTCTTTGACTTCCTCCTCCTTGGCAACAATCTCCTTAAACATACCGCCCATTTGCTCCACCAGAGTGGGTACAATCTGGGAGAAGAAACCTCCGATCTCCACATTGAAATATTTTCTTGCGTATCGAGCACCTCGTCTCAATACTCTTCGAACAACATATCCCCTTCCCTCATTGTTGGGAATACCACCATCACTGATAGCAAAGGTCAATGTCCTGACATGATCTGCCACAACTCTGTAAGCGGTATCAAGGCCGTCTATGTCTTCGTCGCCAAATTTCCCCGAGTACGGTCTTGCACCGGTGATTGCCTGGATCCGCGCAAATATCGGCGTGAAGACATCGGTATCGTAGTTCGACATCTTATTTTGTAAGACACTGACGAGTCGTTCAAATCCCATACCGGTGTCGACATGTTTGTTGGGTAGTGGTCGCAACCTCTTGTCCGGCTCCCGATTGTACTGGATAAACACGTTATTCCAGATTTCCAACACGTTGGGATCATCCTGATTGACCAGGCTCGCTGCATTTCGACCACCAATTCGATCATAGTGAATCTCCGAACAAGGACCGCATGGACCCTGATCACCCATCTCCCAGAAATTATCCTTCATGTTTCCAGGCAGGATATGATCTTCCGCCACACCGACACTCTTCCAGATCTCCTTTGCCTCGAGGTCCGGTTCTAACCCTCCTGCTTCATTACCTTCAAAGTATGTGACATACAGTCTGTCCGGTTCCAGTCCGAACACCTTCGTCAACAATTCCCAAGAGTAAGTAATGGCCTCCTTTTTGAAGTAGTCTCCGAACGACCAATTGCCTAACATCTCGAAGAACGTATGGTGGTAACTGTCCTTGCCCACATCGTCGAGATCATTATGCTTGCCACCGGCACGTATGCATTTTTGGGAATTGACCACTCGCTGGTATTGGCCTTCTTTGCTTGTAGGATCCACAGTACCGAGAAAAATGGGCTTGAATTGATTCATACCGGCATTTGTGAAGAGTAATGTGGGATCAGAGAGGGGAACCACGGGGGAAGACTTTACTACGTCACCAGGCAGGGTTAATTCGTTTGCTCAAAGGTATAGGCGACAGATTGTGCGCAAAGCCGGAACTTACCAAAAGTATGTCCTCGCTCTTCAAAGAACTTCAAGAAAGTATCTCGAACCAAAGACGCACTCCACACAGGAGTCGCGCCAGAAGATGTCGACGCCATTCTCATGCTCATGTGCCGCTGGAGCACAGTCGATGAAGGCAACGAAATTGGGGAGAACCAGCCGGAATTCCGCCTCCAGGAATTCGTGGTACCAAATTCGTCCTGCGGCTGCAGCAATAGTCTTGAACTCGTAGAATAACACTTGGTAGAAAGGGGCGAGAAAAGACGAGGAAATTGTTTGTCGAAATGGTGAGTCAAGGCCGAAATTTTGAATCGAGGGGCTGGCGCAGTGCCAGGGAGGGCCGCAGTGAGGCGGACTGCAGAGGAGCAGCGCGCAGCTCTTTTCCGCATTCAACCTCAAACTCCAGGCTTCGTCCTGTTTCTCGTACCTTCCAGGCAGAGTAAGACCCTTCTTATCTCCCAGCCCTTCTATGTCCTTTCAATTGAGGGTTGACGCGATCGGTGTCCTCTGCAAAACAATGTCAAGTGACGACCCCGACCGAGAAGCAAGCGGTGTCCGTCGCTGCAAGGAGAAATAAAAAAAAGTAGGAGAAAAAGGCCCAGATTTGGAGAAGGCTTTTCCCCTGGACCCCTACCAGTTTCTTCCTCACCTAAAAAAATGCTTCCTTTTTCAACTCCACCTCATTTCAGTCTCACACGACCAATGGCACCGTATGCCACAGCAACAGCGCCAGAATGGCTACCCGCGAATCAACACCGCAGCAATTTATTTGGAAAGCGGAAAGCTGACGACGAACTCGAGTCGCAATCCAACATATCCTCATACTTTAAGAAACTCCGTCTGAACCATGCGATTCCACACCCCGCCGTACCGTCATCTCAGCCTGCGTCTCCGTCTCCGTCTACGAACGTGGCATTTCGGCCTCACATCGCCAACACGGATGCACGACCTGCGTTGTCTGTGCATTCCGACCGCCATGAACCTCCCTCACCCCATAAAGTGCCCTCTATGGCAGGCTCGGACTTCATGACTGTGGACGACACCCCGCATCGAATCATCATCAACAATCTCGACGCTGAAATCGCCCAGATCGAAGCCGAAGAAGTGGCCGCTTCCTCTACCGTCTTCCTCCCGGATATAGACAAGAAAGTGTCCACAATTCCGTACCAGTTACTGCAAGATGGCGAACAGGCATCCGTGCCCGAAAACCTCAACACCGCATTAGTTTTATACAAAGACCCAAGTAGCATCAGCGTCCCCGAAGAAGAGGATGTGGTAAGGAAAACGATAATAGCAGCCCGTGCGCGGGCCAGGGAGAAACAAGCTGAAGAGCAAAGAGAACGAGAAAGACAGGAAGCTCTGCGCAGGGAAATGAGTCGCGAGGATGGCGTTGAACTGAGTGATGCAATGACTGATCATTCATCTCACGGAGACGACGACCTAGACCCCATGGAAATTGAATAAAGGAGCTTTGATGCCAGCACTAGTATGGTCATTTTGGGAGAGTCATACTATTCTTGTCGTGTGCCATAGATACCCCATTTGCAATCTGCGTATTTTGATTCCGCCAATGCCTCGGGAGAATGGGCCCTCAAGGCCGACATTCACCTTTTCCTCCTCGAACGCCAAACCCGCTTTTGTGTGCTCAGCATTCATGGAATCGACGACCCCCCCCGAGTACTGCAAAACTCTGTCGTCGTACCGGTGTGTTTAAGACCGATTTTTTGCCCAACTTCATCTCCCATAACTCGGACCACCAGTGGCCGCAGGGGGCGGCGCAGCAAGCCCAGCAGTATTCGACGGGGGTGGACCCGAAGGCGGAGCATAATTCTGATCGGGATCGACCTTGTTCGGGCCTTGAGACGTGTAGGCCGGTACGTAATCGGGCTCGCCATAGGCTGCACGGGGGACACAGGTTAAAAATCCATTTTCCCGCTCAAACTGAAAATGGAGACTTACCAGGAGGAGGCGGCCCATAGCTTCCCATCGGATATGCTTGGCCATGGCCATACGGCGTCTGTGCATGTCTATAGAAGGAAAATTGGTTCGCGTACTGGGGATATTGCTGTGTAAATGCCATGCGTTGTCGTCGGGGTATGAGCCACTGGAGGGAGTTCGATTGCGTTAGTTACTGATATATTTCCAACGTGCCTGGCTTTCCTGTCCCAAGTATATACATACCCTATGATACGCCAGAGGAGGAAGGCCCTTCTGCATTCGTCGTTTGGCGTGAACATATCCTCCGACAAAGTAGAGAAGAGCTGCCAACAAGATCGCAGCAATTACAGCCCATTTGATGGCGTAGGCAGTCTATGGACACCCACACAACACGGTCAGTTATTCATTCGGTTCATTTCCAGCTCGCGAATAACGTCGAGAGGAGACACATACAGGACTATACCACCAGTAGCCATCATACAAGTCGTCGGTGTCGTCTTCGGTGGTTGTTTGTCGTCGGAAGATTCTTAACGCATCCATTGTTCTCCTGTCAATTCTACTTACACTGTGTCCAAGCCAGGATATTCTCAACGTGGGTCAAGGAATGAGAATGGAAGAAAGTAGAGAGGAGAAACGTAGGTCGGCACTTTCGGCTCCTATTAACAAGACTCGTGTTGATCTGCACGGGTTAAGGTTATTGCGTTGATGACTTGAGTTGGTTCGGCAGAGTGGTGAGTGTGGATTGAGAAAGAGAGGAACTTAGAAAGAGAGTCTACCATGAATTCGTGGACTGTCTCGAGTGTGTTAGTTGTCCTCCTCGACTGCATCCAAAGTCGGGTGGAGGTGACGGGGCTTTCGTCTGCAAGCCACCAAAGTTTTTTTTGGCCAGAGGGCGCAGCCAGTGGCGACGGTCGTCTGTTTTGAGCTTGTTTCAGAAAATCTTTCAGCCGAAACAAATTACGACAGGAGACTTCTCCACTGTGACTACGAGTCCTTTCAGGAGCCCAAGTCAATGATAGCCAGTCAATGCCACTGACACAAGGGGTTGCTGACTACACAGAAGCTTGTTGGGGTACCTACACGCGGCCATCAAGATCGACTTTGGTGTTACGGTGTCATATGATCATGTATGTCTTGAGAAGACGGCATTGATTACTTCAGCTTGATCAAAATGGGGAGGCGAGGCATGCTTTTATTCTCCTACTCCCGTTCATTTCCTCAGTCTGTAAGTGTAAGAAATTTTGGTTCATGAAAAGCCTCCCAAATTGACTCCCGCTCTGCTCAAAATTGCTATTCAATACATTTTTTCACTTGGGTTGCAACCCTGTGCCAAACTCAATCTGGATCTTCAACCAAATCCTCGACAGTAGCATTCCTGTTTTTCGGCTCGGACGTTTTTGACGATGGCTCTGCGGCGTTTTCTTCCTCACGATTGCCATTGATTTGAGAAGGATCACGGCTTCCTTCACCACCTTCAAGAGGAGGCGAAGAACCCCAGGAAGGCAATAGAAGTTGATTTTCCGAGGGAGCGGTATGAATGTCAGTTGATGGGTGAGGCCGGGTTCCATTTACAGCCGCTTGTGAATCTGTAGCAGGCGCGTTCTCCGGTACAGAAGTTGAATTTGCAACCGAAGAACCTGCCGGACCAGTCGACGTATTTGCCACCGTTGAATTTCCAGGCGTAACGTTGGAAGAATCTCCAGGGGCACCTTGATCATTGCGATTTCTCAAACTAGCCAGCCATCGCTCGTGCAACCATGCCGGGAGCTCCCCCGGATTACCATTGAAGAGAATGTTTGGGTCTTCCACTCGACTAGAAGGAGCGATAGATGAAGGTTGATTTGGAGTTGCTGATGGCGTGTCATTCGTCTGAGGTGCCGCTGTTTGCTCATGGGTTCCCGTCGTAGGCTCCGGCCGATGAGTGCCATTGCGTACTGGGCCCTGAGGCATTGGCTGGAACAAGTTATGACCCCAAGTGTTCTGAGGAGGCGATGATGTTCCTCCTAAGCCTTGTCCGTTTGTCGCTTCTTGGGCAGGAGGTTGCGGAACCAAGGCCGTTGGATTATCAGAATGATGGTGATGACGGTGATGATACATCTGGTTGCGAAAGCGGTGGGTAATGGCTTCTTGACGATTGTAAGGTTGCAGTGGCATCATCGTCCAACCTTCTGGTAGGGTAACTCCGGGAGGCAGTCTGTCACTTCCTGCTGGAATCAAAGTCTGCGGATGGCTGCTGAGTGTCATAAACGGCCTCGGCGGAACTGAATGTTGAGAGGGAGGGCCGGAGGGAGGAGGGAGATGAGGATTTGGAGTACTCGTTTGTGCAGCAGCGTTTGTTGGTGGTAGAGGTCCACCATTTCGAAGTCGTTGTAATTCGGCCTGCATCGACCGTAGAACACCCAGCTGGGCTGAACTTCGCGCCAATTCCTCAATTTCCTCCTGTAGTTGCATCTCCAGTGCTTGAATCTCTTCGTGAGTCGTCAGATTTCCGCGTCTCTGTTGCGGCCCCAGTCCACCCCAGCGAAAGCCTAGGCCAAATTGCCGGGGGGCGTTAATATCTCCATCCCCATCTGGGGGCGGAACAGGTGCTCGAACATCACCAAGCTGTTGCTGCAAATCCTCGAACATGTTATTCCCCCTGGCCGCACCGATCCCGATTCGGAGCGGTCCAAATTGATAGACCCTTGGACCCTGTCGTGCCCCAGGTTGTGGCTGTCTGCCTTCTCCCTGAGCAACTGCACCTTCTTGAGGGAAACCAAGAGTCTCTCGAATTTCTCGCATCGGCCTGGCAGGGCGAACAACATTTGCTCTGCAAGTAGGGCAAATCTGTTGCCTCTCTAGCCAACTCCTCAAGCAAGAAAAGTGTAGTACATGTCCGCAAGGGAGTTTCTTTGGCCTCATCCTTTCGGCCATCGGATTTGGTCGTGGCGACGGTTGACCTGGCTCCGCCACGGGCCCGGGATGCGGTGTCATTTCTTCTCTGCATATTATGCAGACATCGTCTGGGCCAATATCTGCCGCGGTGGCATCTGGATAACGCTCGTTCATATCCCTCGTCGCCGTTCGATATTTCATAAAATCCGAAATTCGTTTCAAAAATGACCGCATTGTCAGGAATACATCCCTCAAGATGTGGATCGGCAAGCCGTAGAAAACGAGAAGAATAAAGAAAAAGGCCAGATAAATCACAAGTTTGAAAAAGTCTGTGGCCAGGTGCAGGTAGAAAATATAGCGGCCTTTCTCCTCCCAGCCTTCAACTTCAACCTCATTGTCATCCACTGGCTGGTTGAAGGCTTCCTGGGATACCTGCTCAACGGTACGCTGAGTGGGTGTTGGTGTCGTTGTTGGCTGATCCCAGGCATTTGAAATGGTCGCGTTTTCCGCCTGCCGGCTTTGAGCGGCTTGAAATTCTGACACAGCTGCTTGTGCTCTCTCCCTCTTGATCTCTTCGATGCGTGTTCGCTTCTGTTCACGGACGATTCCAATTTCCACGAGATTGATGGCATATTTCATTGCAGTACTGACGCTCATGATGGATAGCACCGCAAATTCGAATCCAAACATCACCATCATGTCCGGTCGGGCCATCCTCATGACTTGATTCACCACGTATTCGAGCATGGTCAGATCAAAAGCCACGCTCAACCCCAGGCTTAAAGCGAGACGCGTATGAAAGAGTCTCGGATTTCTCGGCGGTTGTTGCTCAAGCACTTCGACTCGACCTTCACCAATCCATCCCCATACTTTGCCCGTGAGGAGGGCGAAGAACATGGCGAGGAACGTGAGGCCAATCTCGCCTCGGAAGACAGTCATCGCCAGACATGTTTCAGTAACGGCGAACCATGCTTTTTCATACAACTGCTCAATCTCGATTGGCCGGAGGCTTCCATAGAGGAGCTTCTGGAGTCCGAGCATAAAGGTGCACGCCACGACGAAGAGGAGGTTGGTCAGGATCATCAGGTTTGCAGAGGACTGAGAAAGGTAGACGGCGGCAGAGTAGAAATTGGGACGTTGCGCGAGGGCTTTGAGGACTACGCCAGCAGCCAGTGCCGTGGAAACCTATGAGACGGAGGTGTTGTTAGTTGGAGCGCTCTGATATACGTCAGGGAAATATCTCATCGCGCTCGACGAAATCCAAAACGAGAGTCGTTACGTACCCCGGCGTAGGCGGTCCATCTCATCCTCAACCTCACCGGCATCGTGAATGCTGGTTATGGAAAAATCAGTCCGTGGTTCAATGGTAACTCGGTCGCAGAGCTGTGGATGCCATCTCAGAAGACGGGCAATTTTAGACTGCGCCGTGGCAACGTGGGGCGGGGATGACTAGCGACGGATTGCTAGACAAGAGATTATTGATTGAAGAAACAGGTGTAATGGAAGAAGTGGGAAAGGTGGTTTGTACAAAGGAGGAAGCAAGGTGTTCAATTTCCTGGGGGATGACGGTTGCTGGATGGATGTTCCTCCGCAAGTCCACTTCACACCAACCATCGATCGATCCGAGAGGTGGCGTCACGAGAGTCGAGAGTACGTACACCTCGCATATTTTCACTTTTCACGACCCAGAGATCGTTTTTTGATGCCATTTTATTTGTCTATGATACATCTATGGTCATTTTCATCGTGAGGTTGACACCCCGCCTTGGAGCCCAGAATAATCCATCCGAGCAAGAAATGCCCCCTTTTGACACCCTCCCTATCTCAATGGCATTGCCATGAAGTGCTTTTGGGGACAACAAACATATGCATCCAAATACAACATGACCCGTCACCAAAACGCCGCGGTCGATGCGAATGCTGTTTCAAAACCCATCACCCTCCTTCCAGGCTCGCCCATCACTTTCTGCCCTGATCCTCGGATCAGCTCCTCGCTCTATGGCTTGGAGCCTTCTTTCTTCCAGGTCTTCATCAAGCTCTCTGATGAGAGCAACCAATTCTTCTTTCTTTCCGATCTCCGGCACTTTGAGCTCTCCTGCTTCAATTCCTTGCAGCTTCCCATCGATTCGATATTTCTCGATCTCTTCTGCGGCTTCCTCCCACTCGCGGAGCTCTTTCTCTGCAGTCTTCTTCTGGTGTCCGATTTCGAACCACTTATCAAAGGTCTCTTCCGATTCGAAACAGACGCCAAATCCGTCACAGTAACACGTTCGTTGGTTGGGACAGAAAGTACTCTCATCCGTGAAGACGACCTGCCAGAGATACTCGAAGATTCTACCGCTCATTGTGTCTCGGATTTCAGATCTCAAAAGCCAGTCTCGATAATGTGAATACGTCTCCCTGGGTACGTCTCGAATCCGTTCCCGACTCAAGGCAAACTGGGAGCAACAAGGCTGAGCCAGGATATTTGGAATGGGCTTGTAGGGAAATAGTTCCGCCCAGGCCTCTGCCATCAACGCCTGCTCCTGCTTTTCTTTGTCCGGTTCGATATTTCCAGGATGAATCCATTCGGGACATCCGGGCATCCAATGGCACCGCATGTTCATGTACCCTTCTCTCAGCACCCTCTCAATGCTTAACCTTTTGATCATCTCGCTGGAGTCGAAGTTTAAGAGGTCGTCATTGTGCCACGCGTAGCGATGAGAATGCATAAAGATACTGACATCAGGCAAGTCATCGTAGAAGTCGAGAATGTACGTCAAGTATGTCATGACTTCGTGGCCTTTATTTTGGGGTGGGTGCAACGGAGCGGATTGGTTGTCGGCGACATATACCAGTTTCGTGATCTCGGGGCCCAGATCGACTTCATCAAGCCAGCTGACATCTTCTTTATTCGTCCTCGCCATAACGAGGTTTCGCGTGTAGTTGTATCCTGGGGGTTTGCCAGTCGATGTAATATCGAACGGTTCGAAAGATATTGGATCTGTTGAAGGGTCGGAGTCATCAGGGAACTCCAGAACCGAGCCTGATGGGTCGGTGTCGTCGACATATTGCTCCTCTGAATCGAAATATTCTCCGAGGCCGACGACCTGTGGAACAGTCGTCCGCAAGGAACTGACCGTGATTGAAGTACTAGTTGATCGGTAATACAACAGTAGACTAACGGGGATGGCGAGGGCGAGACAGACGAGAGCGCGTCTCGCGTGGATCATGGTCGAGATATTTACAAGGGAGTGGACGGCGTACAGGACTCATTCGAAGGATGTGCCGTATCGTAGTCCGAGGAAGTTCTTTCAATTGAAGATGGAGCTGTCGTTAGGCTGCGATGCTAGAAGTGAGAATTAGGCACTCGAATCAAACAGTGCTTGCAGGTGAGCTCCAAAGGGACTGAAAATAGGAGAACAACAAGACAAGCCCCCGCCGGCGTACAATTTCTGCAGAAATGGAAATCGGAGTGAATATCATAGATTCAGAAACAAGTAGCGTGGCTCCAGCTCGAACGGTCCTCAAACCGACAAGAAATCGAAATTATTTCCAGTCTCACAACAAAGCTCCACCGTTGGGTGGTCGATGAAACAAGACCGCGACTTGCCTGGGGGCACGATGACGAATTCAGGTTGTGTCAGACGAACTGCGTATCTAACAAGCCGTCTGTGGGTGGCAGTGCAGCCGTCGAGGTGGAGAGATGGTGGAGAGCGATGAAAGAGGAAAAAGGGGCGATGGGACCCGTCAACAAACCAACACAAAGAAAAAAAAGGGGGGGGGGGGAAGCTTATACAGCAAGCCGCCGCGGCATCGCTACGAAAAGGCTTAGTCTTGACATGTGGAATCCGAGTCGCCTAAATTTCCACATCATTTCATAGATTCGATCCAAATAAACATTGTATCTACCTAGGAAGCCCATTACCATATCTCCCTCCCTCCCCAAAAGTTATACTAAATAGAACGTCTGAATCAAAAGTACAAATATGGTTAAGTATGGCCTTCCAACCTACCCATCCTCATTTCTCGTTTTCACCTTCATCTTATTCTGAAGCTCATCACGCTGCCACTCCCACTGGGAATGCTTCCTCCTCCATTTCGTTCGCTGGTACCATGATTGATGTCAGCAGACCCGGCTTGACTCGATCCGGGTCTCTGGTGACCATTCGCCGGAGCCCAACTTCTCTCGGGCGCAGCCACAGTTGGGGGCAGCCTTCCGGCCCCCGGGGGCCATCTTTCAGAGTTCCTTTCATCGTCCACAATTACTACCATCCAAACTCCAATCTGGCCCTGGTTGCCGATCAAAGGGGTACAATGAATCCATTTATTTTTTCCCTGATCATCACCTTTACTGATCCACCGTACTTTGGCTGTGACCCCTCTGCCTTCCGAAAATGCAGCGGTTAGTTCCTCCCGCACGCGGTTCGAACCACCAATCTTGTTTAAGAATGGCGATTGCAGAATGCCGGGTAGTCTTTGCGAGGGACTGGCGAAGAGAATCCGTAGGGAAGGATAAGGTCTCACGAGAAGATACTGGAGGAAAAGTTAGAGACCAGGAACCAAGCCGAGGTTTCCCATGTCAACTCACATGTTGATAGACACCACTCAGCCTTCCATTGATGCTCCCAATGGGCGGCGTTAAGGTATCCGGGTCTTTCAATAAGAGTCGTGGTGGGTGGGAACCAACACTTTCGACATCTTCTTCGACCACCTCTTGATGCATCTTCCCACCGTGTCGGCGAATCGTGTTCAGCTCGCCCTGGTTGAGCATTTCACTCAGCTCCTGTAATTCATCATTCTTTTCCGGAGACGGTTTTTCAGGAAGTGGTGGGTCTTCGCCACGGGCGCGGAGGTCGAGCAACCGTCGAAGAGATTCCATTTCTGAGCAGTCCTTGACCAGACCGCTAACATCAACCTGTGCGCCAATATGATATCGAACAATACCCCGGCTGTCGCACAGAGGCGCGATCATGAGCAAATTAACAAACGGTGAACCATCTCGTCGACTGCCATGGTGTTAGCCATAACGCCGTTAGTGAGAGACAGAATACCTGACTAGTTCAAGAAAACTTCCTGGTGTTGCCTGCCAGCCTTGATTGAATCTCGAATTCTCCGTACACTGTGAGGATTTGTCATTGGTCCTTGCAAAAACCTGCAATTTCGACCAAGAATGTATGACATGCCATATTGCGTCGTGCGGTTGAATTCTATCAGGAGTCAGGCAGGCCTCGCTATGGATAGGATGGTAATTGGAGGCGACATACCTTCCGAAGCAAAAACGATGGGGTTATCAGGCCTGGATGGATCTGTCAAGCAAAATACCTCGGCCAACCCATCTGAAGCTTCTCGCAATTGCGGCGATAGAGATCCCGTCACTCTGGCCGCGACGCTAACACTAACGATCTGAATATACTGATGCGTAATAAAAGCGGGCAATTCTTCCGTAACCAAAACATCAAAAGCTTTGCGCGCCCTATCTTCCAATGCAACATTAATTGTGGGTTTAACGGGCTTTTGTGTGAATTCCAATCCTTCCACGGGGTCCAGCCCTTCGCAGATGGCGTTCGCATAGTGAATAGCTCGGAGGGATTTGAGGGAGTCGAGGTAGTGGACAAGAATGGGTACGGATTGTGGTCGATGGATGCCGAGGAAAGACGTGAATTTAAGAAGGAATCCTGGATCTGCGAAGATGACTTGTAAATGTCCCTTGGAGAATAGAGCTTGGGTTTGCTGTTCTAACGACAAGACCTCTCCTTGTCCTGCTGGCGGAGGGGACACGAGATTGAACGAAGCAGGGTCGTCCTCTATGACAGGATCGTAGAGATCGCCATTCTCCCACTGTCCACTGGCTTGTAATCGGGGCAATTCTTTCTCTTTCCGGTCGGCGCCGTTGACAGGAGGCAACGAGACTTGATACATTTCTTCGTGGTCGTTGGTCAGGCGCACGAGGGAGTTGGTCGAGTAGTTTACAGGGAGTTCAGAGGATTCGGAGGCAGCCTTCCGCGCCAAAGAGGACGACAGTTCACTGGCATCCTGGGGGGGCAGGGAAAGAGAAGAGAGGTCGGGGGAATCTGCGGTGACGGAAGAAGTAGTGATCATATCCAACGAGGTACACACGAATTGAAGTCAGCGGCAAGATTTTTGCGACTGGTTTTCTCGCTGGCGACAGCAGCGTGATGGGCCGGGAGAAAGCAATGCAAGTCAGGTCGTGTTAGTGGCATCGGTTGACAAAAAGAATCGGAGCTAGATGATGATAGGTAAGGGTGAGAGGAGGGCGAAGCTCAACCACAAGTCGTGATCGAGACAATTGAGGCAGGGTGATCCCGTCTCTAGGAACAGCCTTGAAGCAAGCCTAACCCAAAAAAAGAGGAGAGAAAGCGGCCCCAAAGACGTCAAGACGACGTGGTTGATGTCCGCATTGAGCCAGATGGAGGCCTCAGTTGGGCGGACGCAGGTACGGATGGAGATTTTTACCGTCCTTCTCACCATACTTGGCTACCAGGTACCTCCAACTTCAATTGACCAGGTGCTCGGCTGCATGTCCGTTAGCCGTCCTCTCCATACCTCGAGCTGGTGATAGCCAGATCTAACAATAGCATTCCCACAGAAAACACCCAGTCGTGCCATACACGGCATGGATATAGATCCACCAAACCCTCATCTCCCCAAATCCCCCAGGTCAGGATCATTAAACTCGGTACTATAGTGCAACAGGGAACCTATCCCAGATTGCTAAAAATGACTTGTCTCTCGTCAATATCCACAATAACCCTCGATCTCAACGCCTGGACGAGGCATGACGATGCCAATCAACTATTAATGTATGCGCACCGTACTGCTCCTAACTGGATGGTTACCGGGAGCCCTTTTTGACGTCATATACAAAAAGTTGAGTATGCAACGCACATGTACACTTAATGGTGACATGCGACATCTTCTGTGCCAGAACGTCCCATTGTTACGGGAGACGCTCACGGCCTCAGGCATTTGCCCAGCATTCGGGGTCTCTCCTGAATGCTCGACGATCGAAGCCCAGCCCTATAGATGATCGACGTCAAATTCCATGGCTCAATCTCGCCTCGCCAATTCACCTATTTCGTTCTCCACCTCCCCTGCCCATGTCCCCGGCCGCGGACCTCGAACAGAGACAAAAACTCTTGGAAGAACTGAACTTCCACACTCGCAATGTGAACCCTGTCAAATCAGATGCCGGTCCAAGGCAAATAGCCAGAAAAGGATGACTGAACATCAACACCATTATCCAATCCATCCTATCCAGGAGCGGAACTCGAGTCTCGTACAATGAAAATACAGAGCAGCAAGTCTGACTTCAACTTATCGAACAACAGGAGCAGACGTCCTCCAAATTCCACGCTAGTGTTCGACAACCCTCTTCCTCTACTTCTCCCACTCTTTCTGTGTCTGTCTCTCTCTCCCCATCGAAAGTCCTCGACCTTTCTACCCTCCTCTCGCAATACAACAGCTAGACAATGAGCGCTTCCGAGCCAACACTCCTCGAAGAGGGAACCTGCCACTTCGCATCCTACCCGATCTTCACATCGAGCTAGATCGCCGATTTCCATCCGGATGGATGAACTTCGAGCACGACCCTCGAGGGCTGGTCCGAACGGTACATCTGGCTTTGGCCAGGCCGGCGATGCGAGGACAGCAAGGAAGAGCGGCAAGTCGGGGCAGTGAGTCGAGCGGCGGATGAGATACGTTGCGTCCAAAGACCGCTGGAAATGTGCCCCGTTGAAGAAGTACACTATGATGAGCGTGAGGAGTGTTTTGAACGATGAAGCTGGCGACGAGGGGGTGCGGCAGGGAAGTCAGCCTTATCACGTATCAGTCTAGTCATCACCAAGCATATCAAACCCGCCAGGAAGACCGAGACGAGGCATGGAGGGAATTCCGGGATGCAAGCTAATCAAAATACCTTCGGACAATAGATTTCCATCTTGATAAGACGTTTCGAGATAAAACTCTTTAACATTAAGACTTGATGCTATGACAGGATGTGACTACTTTGACTACGCTCACGGAATCCAAGGGGGGTATAGGACAACCAAATAAATATCCATCGTAGAAGGGTATCACAAAACGCCCAATATACCCTTTCTGTCTTTGCATTGCAGTGAATGCCAGTAGATGGCACACAACATAAAAGGAGAGTCGTCATTAAATCCTGCCCATCCATTAGATACTCTTTTGTTTATCGTTTCATGAGCCATTTGCGAGGGCCACTCGTATAATGAAAATTAAACCTTTTAAAAAGAAAAAAAACACATTTTCCCTTCTGACCCCCAAGCGACCTCAAGCTGACGCAGTCACTGGAGCCGACGCAGGAGCAGTCATAGGTCTCTGTGCAAGGATCAAATCCCAGGTCTGCGTGTTGAAGTGCACCGACGGCATTTTCATCGCGTCGTCTTGATCGGTGTCGATGATCTGAACACTAGCATGCGCGGTGGTTACATCTTGTATCATTGATTGAGGTCGTAGCTTGGGAGCCGCTTTCCGTGTGTCGCTGCGTTTACTTGGCATTTTCGAGATGTTGGGAGGCTGTAGGACCTCCTTCAGTGTGTAGGCCGCATCACTAGCCGGGGTGGTCGGGTCGAGATCACTCTTTTCGCTCCCCTTGGACCAGGCACTGCTGATCGAAGAACCGGAGGATTCTCGAGACATCGACGGGGGAGTGGTTGGCGATTCGTCAGATGGAGGCACGGGAGCTTTAGTATTGGCGTCATCAGTGGCCAGTTCGTGTACCAAGTCGCCCACGAGTTCATGTCGCTCACTCGGTTCTTCTTTGATAAGACGGTCACGGGTCTCAGGTTCTGCCGTGAGTTCCACGGCAGGTGAGCCAGCTCCATGGTCAACTTCATTCAGGCCATTTCCATAGCCCTCGACATAAATTTCACAGAATGGAGGACGCTTGGATGGCATTTCCTCCACAGATGTCTGCGCTCGTCGAGACATCAGTCTCCTGAGTGAGGAGGAGCGAGAACCCGGTGGCGTCTTGGTCGACAAGGATGCCAGCAGTGAGCCAGGAAGGCTAGCAGGCAATGTTCGACGACGAACGGCAGCGGATCTTCCTCGCGTGAGGGTCTCGCCGACGGAAGAAGATGACGCATTGGTGTGAGAATAACTTGTGTCCGGAGCCAGTTGAGATACTCGATCAGCTTTGCGGACACTGGTTGGCGACGTAATCTGCCACGGCATCTGTTTTGGAGGATGGCAGCAAAGTGAATATGTCAAGTTCGAAGTGTTGCGAACCTGTTTTGGCGGTTGAGCAATGCAATGGAAAGTTTGCAGGACAGCATATACCAACATCCATCTGACTTTCCGACCTTCGACGACCGAGAGTCCTTCGAGGTCGTCATCAACCGTACGTTCTTCAAAGTCGGAAAATTTCCTGACTAGTGGACAGTCCATGACCAGCAAGTCTCGATTCGACGCTGCAATCAAGGCCTGTTTGTCTTGTGCCTTTCGTGCCTCTTTGTCGGCTTTTCGTCTTTGAATCGGATTCCAAGACATTCGTCGTTGCACCTTTGGACGCTGACCTATGCTGGATTCTGGTGCCTTGGGCAGAAGAGGAAGAGGTTGAGCGAGAGGCTCGTATTGATGCTTCGAGTCGAAAGCTTGGATGTTTTGTATGGTGCATACACCCCCGGTCTTGGTGACGTCGTTTTCGGCCAAGCTGGTGGAAGACTCGAGATCCACCAGGTGTTGGTAGAGGTTCTGAAAGTCACTGAACAGGGTGGAGTAAACCGTCTGTTGAACTGCTTCATCTTCGAAGCCACTGGGCGGCCAGCAGCCATATTGTTCAATATAAAAATTTCTGAGGAAGGAGCGGAATCTATCCAGATGATCTCTTGCTGGCTGAGGGAGGCCCAGGAAGCTCCCGTTCACCTCGTTTTGGAAGAAGCTAATGACAGATTTGTTGACCCGATCAAGTCGAAGGTCCATCTCGAGCCTAGCTCGGTTGATGAGGGTTTTGGCCTTTGCATTGATGACCTGGTCCCTTTTTGTTAGATACCAAAGCGATGAGAGCGGAGTGGGAGGTGACTTACTGCGTATTCAATGCTCGAGCGAAGGCCACGGTGGCTCATGCCCACACAGTGGGCAAAAGCATCTATCCATAAATCCTCAATTTGGAGAGTTTCGGCCAAGTAGAGGGCTGCCAAAGCGTGATCCACACACTCTCGGAAGTCTAAGTATCTCTGGTTCTCGGCGTAGGAAACCACTTCTAGCTTATTCTGAGAAGTGTCATCAGGCCTGTATACGTCGATCCTTCTTTTGAGTGACACCAAAGCCCTTCCTAATGTTCGACCAGCCAGTGGTCGATTGTAGAGCCATGCAAAGAAGTTCCGGGTTGTGATGTGATGATCGAAGATGTCCTCGAGGCCGGCACCGTGAGGGGCGGGGATATAGAGCTCTTGCAGGGCCTGCTGAGGATCGCAACCAGGACAGTTTGGCAAGACGCATTGAGCCGCAGCATGGATCGAGTTCCTGACGACGCAGCGGTCGACAAGAGAGTCAAATCCTTTGACCTTGAGGAAGGCTGTGTGAACTCGAAATGCAGGACCTCGACTGGACTGACCAGGCTCGCGCAAATAAACGAGACAATCGCCGGTTGGCCAACATAATTCAGGTTCCTGGGGGGAAGAAAGATGAGCGTGTGTCAAAAAATTAATGCTGATATCTGATCACTTACATGAAAGAGGTTGACCCAATCCGTGGTGATTCTTGCTCGACCATCCCATCGTCTTAGGCCGGCTGATCGGATGTCGTCACGAGTCACACGGCCTTGAATTCGTCTCATCATAGCTGGAAGAATATGTTCAAGTGATTATTGGAGGGTAGAGCTATAAGGCAACTGTACAAGAAATATGTTTCATCCCTGCGCAGAGCATGGGAATGAAAATATGTACGGCGTATGGGAGTGGCAATGTGTGTCTTGAAGCTCGAGCAGGGCCCTTTTCCTGTTCACCGCGAAGAAAGTCCAGCCAGCGGTGAGGAGAGTCTCGACCCAGAATATGAGGAATTGCGCTGATGGGTTGGACGAGAGAACGGGCAAAGAGCGAGAAAAATGGCGGGCGAGATGGTTGGAGGAGAAGAAATGTGTCTCGACAAGCCGCTTCCTCACTGATGGCCAGGCTCAGAGACCGAGCGAGCGACGTGGAAGACCATTGACAAAAGACCGGATAGAACAAGCCATCTGACAAGGGAAAGGGTTGTTGATTGCGACAGAAATGGATGTGGGACTCTGCAAGTTGTCCGGCGACAAGCTTGCGACGTCCAGTCAGAGCGAGGTGCCTGTTGGAAAGCTTCAAAAAGCGGCATAGCTTGATGCTTGGGGTGCTCCTCACCCACATCCTGATCCCGGGCTCTGACGTGAAGATGCTGGGTTCAAAATGCCTGGCTTATGGCATTAATGCTGGTCCAAGCTAGTCAAAGCCCGCGATCGTCTCGAAGACGAAGTCCGTGTTTTGTGTTGCAAAGATGCACGCCGTAGATCCGGGCCGCCAGTTTAGTATTGGCTCCTGTTAGCCTCCTGCGCCTTGCAGCAGAGTCCGACCAAAGGGATGCACAGGAGACCATCCATCAACTGCGTTCCATCTCCTTCATTCCCCGGCGCCATCTACAGTCCTGTATCAGAATGCCAAATCCACTCCCCGGCCTTGTCTTTTGGCTCGACACCCTCTCCCCCGCCTATCTCAAAAGCTTCAAGCGTGGGCGCGACAAATCCTTTTGGCGATATCCAGCCTAGTCCACTCTCGTTCTTCCAAATGCCTATCCTTTCCTATTCGAGGCCTCGACCCAGTGCCATCAAATGGTATAGCCATGATCGGCGCCGGCTTGCGATTTGGCCGTCCTTCTCCCTTCTTCTCCTTGGCGTCTCGTATTTTGTCGTTTATCATTGGAATCTTCAGTCCGTGAGAACGTGCGCACATTGCGTCTAATCGATGAGCAAGCCGTGGACCACGAGGCAAGCGAAAAGGAAAATATTAAAAAAAAAAAAAAGACCCTGTTGTACAAGAATAGCTTCGCTGACAATTCAAAAGCCGGGCGGCAGCCAAGAACCCTGATGGCTCGATATCCGACCCAATCGACACCCTCACCCTGCCACCAGTTCATGTTGCTCCTGAAAGAGTATCCTTGTCATGGGCTTGTTACGCGAATTCGGTAGTCGGGCAAAGAATCCAAGACATGGGAGGTACTACTTTTTGCGGTCCAGATGTCCGAGTGCTTCAGTACAAATGTCAGTACATGCTCTATAGTACAAAGTCCATTTTCACTTGCAAAATCCACTCAACTTCCTACGTACGTCTTGTATGTCAAACGCTTTGGAATTTCCACAGTGGAGTGTAATGTGTTGGTGATCGGAGAAAGGGTACGTAAGACAACTAAGAGATGGTTGGTCTCTGGACTCCGTGCCGAATATCGAGGATCAGCTTGGACGGAATTTCCGCTCCCCTTGACCTACCCGTGTTTTCTCATCGGCGGTTGGAGTGCCGGGTGCAGCCTAACAAATTCATGTGAGTGTGAACTCCCGAATCTAAAGCTACTTTTCAGAGACTTGACCCTCGTTTATTTGGCGACAAAGGTTGGGTCGAAAGCAACACTGCCACACCGTTTTTCTGTCATGCCAATCTGCACGATCTGATCAACCCCAAAAGAAAAAAAAAAAAAAAAAAGGAAAAGGGATAGAATCGAGCAATGTCGATCAAATCCCAAAAAGGCGGGAGGCTTTTATGGTTGACCATTCGGAAGATTTACCACACAGCAGCTGGACCTGTTGCTTGGGTTCTCGGACAAGTTTTGACCGATAAACTGGCGGCGGCGCTAAACTTATTCCATCCCTCCTTTTTGTCCACAAACTTTTTTGTTTTCGCCATTGAAGTTGGCGGTGACGTGATTCTCAGAATCGAGTGATCTTCGCATCCAGAAAACCTTCGCTAATCACCAGCAGGATGTACGATCTGAAACTTATCGATAGGTAACCGGACTTCCCTTTCATACTTCGACCAATACCCTGACCTCACCGTCCATCCAATCAACCACACCAGCACTCAACAGCGAAACCATCCATTCACCGTCTTCAACCACCGTCACAAGTCCATCCGTTAGCCATACTTTGACGGCTGGAAGGTTTTCCTTCCCGGAAGTTTCCTCATTGGACGGCCGTTTGTACCTTTTCTCCACCTCAGCAATCAAAGTCGACAGATTCGGAGCGGAATCGGGCGTGAGGGTGAATCGTGGAATTATCCGTCTGCGAGCACCTCCGATGTTTGACACCACATTGACATAAAGCACAATTGATTGCTTGAACGTCGTTGTCGACTTTGATTCACCGGTGGATTGCGTAAAACCTTGCTGTGCTGGCGAACGAACGTCGCCTTCGTTTTCGAGATCGGGTGGTGTCGTTTCAGCACTGTGGTCCTGAGTATCGACCGGTCTCTCTGTTGCGGCTGTTGCCTGCCCATCGACCCCAACCTGAGGAGTGCCTTGTTTCCTTGTCGTCGCCGCATAGATTCGCTGACGCTCGTTTGTAACCATCTTCCTCATCAGAGGCATCACCCGTTTGATGATCATTTGACTGTCCTGTGGCCAAAACATGGTTCTCGGGGGTGAACCTGGGATATCTTCTCCTGCCCCCGGGGCAAAGTATTTCTCCCCGTTACCCTGTCCCGAGAGAAATTCTTCAACACAGTTCCACAAATTCAACTTTGCCACGTTCGTTACGCCAGGATTTTTTCTGTGTCCCACAACTTCTCTACGCTCAGGATGGGCTTCATCAAGCATGTAGGCTTTGGCAGCAGCCTGCAGTCGGAGGAAATTCTCCGGAGCCAGCTCCAAAGATGCGAAGACATTGCCCAGCGGGGGTCTGCTGTATTTGCTGCTCTTTGAAGATGGTTCTCGGAAGAGAATGGAGGCCGAACTGTGGAGCTGAGGCGTAGTGGGCTCGTGGGTAATAGGATCGGGAGCATCATTTGGGATGACCTCGTTCAACGCAGAAACATTTTCGGTGATCCCATCATCGCGCTTTCGTTTTCCGAGCGACGAGGGAGGTCTAGTCTGTGCGTCAGCTGCCGCAGTGGCTGCTTGAACCAAACCGGCAAATTGAACATCGTCAGGATACTCTGAATCAGCCATGGACATGTCCGTCAATTGCAGATCCGGGCTGCCAGGCCCAAGGCCGGCCCGGAACACAGTTGGGTATCTAGGAGAACCAGAAGACGGATGAGAGTTCAAAGGGGGGAAGCCGCGGGGGAAGTTTGGAACGTTTGACAAAATGGATAAAAGATGTAAATGAAGCAAATTCGCCCAGCAGAGGAGAAATATACAAAGGCCAGGATCACGTTTCAGCACTAGACTCGAAATGGTATCTGTCAGCGCCAAGGCCCGATGACGGGGGGCCACTCACTCGCTCAGACCTCGACGTCGACATCAATCTCGAGGTCAACAAACAGTATCGAAGCAGCAAACCAAGAGACGAGATCCTTCAGACAAGTGCGCATTGGTCAAATATGTGTCGAACGGAAGAACCCATCTTTCCACTACATTAGTTTCGCGCCTTTCCTCCCATCGATCTTTGTCCCACCATGTTCAAAGCGACCAAGCTCCAGATAGCAACATACCTCCTGGGCGTCTGTCCATTCTCCATTGCATTCCTGGTCTTCCTCAACTCCTCGGTCTCATTCGTCATTACAGACCTCATTGGCAGAGAACATGGCGTGGGGGACGCTGTAGGAAACTTGGGCTTTGCTGATGAGTTGGTGGCTCTCGTCGCATGCCCGATGTGGGGTTTGCTGTCCGACCGTATGGGTTTACGTTTTGTGCGATATCCTCCAGGCCAGACTCCGAAAGATCCAACTGATCGTTGCTAGGTTTGTGTTTCTGGATATCTAATCATCTGCCTCGCATTGGCGTTATTCGTCCAAGCACGCAACGTTTATCCTCAGCTTCTTCTAGCAAGATTACTTTTCAGTCTTGGAGGTGCTGCAGCCTCTACCATGGTCACGGCTATTCTTCCCGCTATTGCTGCCTCACCCTCAGAATCTCCTGTCGACAATGGTCAAACTAGAGGCACCCCCGCTCTGGCCGGCAATGGCCATATTTCGAGTCCTTCAATTGCCTCGGAATTGACAATTACTCCAGCACGAATTTCGTCACGGTTATCAACGCACCAGAGCGACCGAATGTCTCCAGCAGCGGACTCCGACATTGCGCGCTCTACCAGTCGCATGGCAGGATTTGTCGGAATGTGTACGGGATGCGGTGCTCTAGTTGCTTTAATGATCTTCCTACCTCTCCCAGCCAAATTTCAATACGCTGGAGTTGATGAAAAAGCCGCCTTGAGATACAGTTTCTATATCGTGGCAGTCGTGGCATTGATCCTGTCCATATGGTGCTTCTTTGGCCTTCGACGGCTCCAAGGAGAACCCGACGACTCCTGGTCAAAATCCCTAGATGCCCGGGACAAACGATACGCCTCGCGACTTCCTCGAGTTCTTCGTCTTATGCTGGACAATTTTCAAACCTCAATTCTGACGGGCTTCAAACGTTCAGAAATTGCTATTGGCTACCTGGGAGGCTTTGTCGCCCGCGCTTCATCAGTTGGAATTTCACTCTTCATACCCCTTCTGGTGAATGCGATGTTCCTTGCATCAGATCTGTGTGTCGGAAAAGAATCCCACGCTGACCCAGGAGGTCTCCCAGATATCAAACGAAGATGTCCACGAGCTTATGTTGTCGCTTCGGAATTGACCGGAGTCTCACAAATGGTGGCTTTGATCTTTGCTCCCATCTTTGGCTATTGGTCGGCAAAGGTTTCAAGAAAAGAATTGCCTCTTCTGGTGGCATCGATTGCTGGTATAGTTGGATACCCATTGTTCGCAAATCAATTCGACCCAGACGATACACATACAGCCCAGAGGGTTGCGGCATTCATCGCCGTCTGCTTGGTTGGTATCAGTCAAATCGGGGCGATTGTATGCAGCTTGGGCACCCTTAGCAAAGGCATTTTGCTGGAAACTCCGAAACCAACACTCATTGCTCCTGACACCGATTCCAATGCCAATGATCCGGGAACAACCGAGAACCAACCTCTTCTCGATGGCACGCAACAACAAAACACGGGTGAGCCACTGTCAGCCTTAAAAGGCTCCGTTGCTGGTGTATACTCACTCTACGGAGGGGCGGCCATCCTCATATTGACCAAAATTGGTGGACTACTATTCGACAGGGTATCTGTAGCGGCCCCTTTCTACATTATGGCAGGTTTCAATGCAGTTCTCATGCTTGCCTGTGCGACGCTGAGTCTATGGAGCTCATGGGAAGGAAGATACGAACGCGATGAAGCCATAGAGAATGTCTCATGATAGCGATTATCATCATTTCTCGAAATAGCCAACACGTACCAGGAATGGGTTACATGTGAAACAACCCGGGCGACCAAATTCCGGGAATATAGATTTCTCGTTGATGAGTTAGGAAAAACTTTGATCTATGGCATCTCAATAGCACTGTCCAAGCCACTCTCTGCAGATGCCGCAGAGATCAACCGGTCCAAATGTACGTTGCCTATCGAGACCACTCAAATCCTCGACGCTAGCACTCGGCCACAAGCAGCTACGCCAGCAACAGACGCACATCAGCAAGACTATTCCGGCCACAAGACAGCCCTACGTGGGCAATCCTCTTCAACCCTTCCCAGACCTCAACGTCTCTAGAGTCAAAGCGATGATGGAGCTCTTCATCTCCTTGGAGCCCCAACATGCGCACCTCAACGGACAAGCCATCACCCTGATAATACACATATCGGGAATTCCAACGCAGCAACTGATCTTCACGGTGCAAAGAACGAAGCGATACAATTTCTCCATTGATCAATGGAGGGACACGTGCACTCTTGACACTTACACTATACCAAAGAGGAGGACTGTTCAGCAGTCAGCAAGGTAATGAAAAAGTCCCATTGTACATTAAATGCGTATTTGTTTATATCTGCAACGAATAAGATGCAGCTCAGACATATGAATATGATGCTTATTTCATGCTCTTCATCCTTAACTGCCTTCACCAACCCCCTACATCATAGCCTAGATACAAAATCAGTCCAGCCATTGGTGTAAACTATAATATTCCTCAACCTCCACACCCCAAAAAATCCCGCATGTATGCCCACTGATCTGAATCAAACAGCAGCTCACTCCGCCCGTCTCGTAATTTGTAAGCCAGAGCCACAGCACCCCAAATGGGCCTGTTGCAGGTTACATCGTCTAATGTTCTCTTAACAGTTTGTGGGTTCCTTCGGGATCTTGCATATTTTACGTGCATGACGAAGCTGTAGACCCAGGCGTCGAGGAAACATTTCTCGAAAGTTTCGTGTACGCGCCGGTCCTTGACGACGAGCATGACGTGATGAGGGCCGACGGAGAGGATGGGAAAGAGTGATGGAGTGGAAAAGGTGAGCGTGTTGAAGTATTTTATGCCGCGTTTGAGGTCGCAAGGGGAGTCAGTGACTTTAACAAAGAGAGTCCAGGGGGATTTGTTCCCAGAGCCAACGTTGATGTCGCCGAGGAATACAGGGTGGAATCTAGCGCAAGGCTTGTATTAGAACAGAACATGTTGATGAGGATTTTGAACAGGATTGAGAAGGAAAGCGGAGACAGAGAAGGCCTTGGTGTATTGTTTCGAAGGAGTATCGGAGGGATCCTTCATGATGACGAACTGGAGAAGATGTGTCGCTCTGTATTTGGAAGTGCCATATTTGAGGCCCTCAAGATCGGCCGTTAGATGCTCAACCTCAAGTTCAGTGAATGGCAAAAGCGCTTCTTCGAAGGCAGATTCTTGAAAGTCATGGCCAGAGTTCCGGCCTCGCCGGGTTACCGCAAGGAGGGCCCAATTTGAAGAGGAAAGCACTTCCTCTCACCCATCGTCTAGGTGTCGATCGTTTCCACATATCTGCCTTGGAGTAAACTCTCATCAAGCCTCCTTTGTCATCTCCCTCGAAGCACAGGCGGATCAGATATATAAGTCCTCACTCGGCCTCACCTCCATCCGGCGCTAATAAAGGTCTCTGCTTTCTCAGGTATGTGATGGCGAAGCAACTGTATGCGACGCTGGAGTGTGAGAAAAAGTTGTGAGCAGACACCAGTACATGTATGGTTCATAAGGTTGGGGGGAATGTCGTGCGCCGGGAGAAACATCCCCAGGCAGGCAGATAATTGAGGCCGGCCATTAAGGCAGACGGATAGACTTACTGCAATCGAGGCGCGTATCAATCTCGCCTCCCATCCTGGCTGTCTATGGCCTCTCAATAAATAATCTCTCCCCTTCCTTCCAGGTCCCTAGTTCGATGTCCCAGTTAACGAATCCGAATCTCGTCCCAGATCGCTTTAGCCCATAACAGCACCTCCCCATTCGGGTCAGGAGAACCCTATTCGATCACGCAATATATAAGAGAATGAATTTTCAGTTAGCAGGATGTAAGCTGGCAGAGCAGATGGTACAATGCTCAACCGCCAAACGGTTGAGATCCGGCAAACTTGGCATCGTTCTCGACAAGACGGCGACGTCCTATCATTAATCCTCATTTCTTGCTGAACGTATCTCGGTGTAAAGCGGTATGCGACCGGCATGAACGGGGAACATGAGTAGTGGTGGTGGTCAGGATTGGATCTCAGAGCGCAAGGCTCGCTGTAGACACGGAGAATTGCATCAGCACACCTATCGGAGGTATGGGCTTAGAGTGTTGGGCCGAGAGAAGATTGATTAATTGAATCTATCTGAGCGAGGCGCAAGCTAGAAAAAGGCCACGAAGGCTGCGGTGCACGTGACTATGCTAGTCCCAATGTGGACTGCCAACATAGGGGACTTCTTACTCAACACATAGGTGTACGATTAGTCTGAGATATACTAGTCTATCGTTTTTAGCAAGTAAAGATGTGGATTCGCGAGCGATGGCGGCGTCAAGCAGAGTTGAGGCGGATGAAAAGTCAGAATCTGCTGCGTCGAGGCTCTCCTCTTCAACCTAGCTCATGCTGGAATTTGGAGAATCTGTGAAGAAACAAATCTCATAAGAATAGCTGTGACAAGCCCAGGTATTAGGGCCAGCCGCTTTCATGTGATTCTCAGCTCTCTCAATTTGTGATGGTTGGACACCATCGGCAACGGCCCTATTCCAACCCTTGGGTTCAGAACAAGGCGCCCGCCATCTTCGGGGGAATTGGGGAGTGTAACATGTCATGCAACACAGGAGGCGACCTGGTCAAAGAAAGAAGAGATGAAAGAAGGCACGAGATAGTTGAAGTGGAGATGTCCCTGCTAGAAGACCGAGGCTGAAACTGACCAAGCCATGATTTTATATTTATCTATCTCAAGACATCCCTCCCAACTTACTCCGTTGATTGAGGACATCAAGAGGCCTCTTCAAGATGAATCCCCCCGACAAACAAGCCTGCCTCATCATCGGCGTATCACGAGACATTAGCTGTCAAGTGGCCATCGACCTTGCGAAGCACCGTAATTTCAGGAGGTTTGTCTGCAAGGCCACTCTCTACATCCCCTTTTCTCCCGGGGAGATAAATGTCAACCAATATTGTGTCTTGAGGGAAACATAATCACCCTCCACTATTGCATAGTCGTCAGCGTCGTCAAAACCACCTCGGACACCAGCATTATCCCGGCCACTGAATTTCCTCCAGATCCCAACTCTCCCCAATTCATGGTCAACACCATCGCCCGCGAGATTTCAGAAGCCGGGGGTTCCGTATTCGCTCTCCCCGTCGACATCAAGGACCTGATTGACGAGGAGTCCGCTGTCTCGGCCGGCGCGACGTGCTCATCTACAATTGGGGTGCTTGTCTAGTGGAGCGCCACGGAGACGATGTCCGACAAAGCGGTCCCAACTTCTCTAACAAGTCAACCCGCAGTGCCTGTACGTTGCTGCGTCGGCGGCGCTGCCGCATTTCGGCAAACCAGGCTGGAAAGGCCGGATTATTATCGCCAGTCCTCCGATTTTCTCGCGGTACTTTCGAGGCAAGACTGCCTCTGCGATGGGCAATGTTAGAATGAGTGTGTTGACAAAAAGGCTGGCGATGGATTTTGGCAGGACCGAGAGAGCGATTACGAATATTTAGCCTACCGCGGCGAGAGAAGACGACCGGAGCACTGCAATACCCTTTCTGTTCTTTTATCTGATGTTTGATGTGACGTGATTCTAGGGCATTGAATCGGCTGCGACACAGGACTTTGTCAAACGCGATTCGCTCCCCAGCCACAAAAGTCAACGGCATTCCCGGCCTGGACAAAGACTTTTCTGCGTGAGAATGGCGTACCTGATTTCTCCCAGTACAGAGTGGTACCCAGAACCACGCCGCGGAGGACTACGCCTGCACAGTTCCCTGTGTTGGAAGTTGCGAAGTAGGATGACGAGGGACGGAGAGTTGATAGTGTGGTATTGCGCCAGAAGGAGAAAAGAAAGGGGGGGAGGGTAAGGAGAAGAGTCGGAGAAAGGACTTGTTTGACAGGTTGAACAATGCAATCTGATCGAGGCTCCGAAGGGGAAAAAAAAAAAAAAAGAGGCCAGAGTATCTGCACAAAATCCAGCTCGCTTTCCGCCAATATTCGCATTTCATACATCGACAAGCTTAGTCTGATCCACATGCCAGGCATCCAAAAGAGTCTCCCTCCCCAACTCCAGATTTAACTTGTCAATCCTGACCTGGATCTCCCTTTGCGTCTTTCTCACTTGCTCTGCGATCCGTGACCAGGGAGTAATTGTAGTTGTGCCCCCTACACGTTTCCCACTCACACCATCGGCGCTGACACTTACATCGACCAATTTTCCATCTCTCTTCCTGACAACGCCATTGACGATGACAGTTTCGATATCCGCAGTCTCACTGAATCTCACTACCGCAACAACCGGGTCATATTCTGCAGCTCCAAGCATACCAACACTGTTTTGCGCGTCGAAAACAACGAGATCGGCCCGCTTGCCTTTGGCGATACTTCCAACTTCGCTATCGAGACCCAAGCATCTGGCGCCGCGGATGGTTGCAAGATTGAATGCCGTTTCAGATGTGCCGGTGACATTGCGTGATGGAAACTTATCATCCGCGGTGATGTGGGAATTAGTTTCGGCGCGGGTGAGGTAAAGCAACGCCCGGGCTTGAAGAGGGATGCTTGAGGGGTTGTTGCTGTGGCAGTCTATTCCCAGGGAAGCATTTGCGGAGCGAGTGGTTTGGAAGGCTGGATGAAGAGCCAATGGAAACCCCATCATTTGGGATTCCGTATCCGGTGTGCTAGAAACCGGGGTCCCGGTCGAAGTGAGAAGAGAAAGATCTGTATCCGGAATTCCGTTGCAGTGCGAAAGGAGGAGGAATGGGAGTGTCGGCTTATTGTCAGAGGGTGGGTAGGGGGGTCGAAGGAGATTGTAAGATGAGAACATTGGAATGATGGACTGAAGGCCTGACTTTGAAGTTAGATATGCCATCCGGACAAAATGGAGGTCGCCCACCTTACCCATAAGAACATTTCTCCCCGTATGTGTGGTAAGAACTCTGAGGCCTTTCTTTCTCAGTCGTTCAAACATGTCCAACACCATTTCCTTGGGCAAGAACCACAAATCAAAGCCCATACCTACTTCAACGATCCCTGGCGCCTCAGGAGCAGATGTCGAGGCTGGACGATTGTATTTTTCGACCCAGTCTTCAAGCTGCTTCATTGCCCAGTCAGGGAGGAGATCATGGCTTGGCGTACAACTAGACTGATCCCAATGAGACAGTCGAAAAGGGACCGTATAAGCGAAGATGGACCGTATGCCCGAGTCGATAGTGGCTGATAAAGCAGAATTTGCTAGGAATCCGATGAGCACGAGCACGGCACCTCCCCGCATCATAGGGCCTCACCATGTTCAGGAGTGTAGGCAAGGTGCGCATGGTCAAGGACGAGCGTCGTTCCCGCATTGAGAGCCTCGAGACAACCGGATAATTGGCCCCAGTAGGCGTCTTCGGAAGTGTAGGCATAAGACATCATGTTTCCTGTTCAATCAGATGTCAAGATCCACCTTCGAATCTATGGGAGGAGGGGTCCTGACCAGACACCATGTACGAAAGTAACCCTTGTTCCGCATGTCTACCCTTCAACTGGGTCTGCCAGAGATGATGGTGCGTGTCGACGAAGCCAGGAGACACAATCTTGCCTTGACAGTCGATAATTTCTGTCTGTTCGGACAAGGGAGCGATGTTTTTGCGCACCTCCGCGATGACGTTGTCACGGACCAGCACATCAGTATCGTAGAGTGGAATGACATGGTCGTCGGCAGAGTGAGTGAGCACGGTCCCACCGCGGAGGAGAACCGATGATTTTGCTGCCATTGTTGAGGGTACAGGGGTCGTGGTCAGTTCAACGAGCCAAGTTGAGAAGTAGAATTGGAGGCAACGACAACCGTTCCAATTCTGAATGTAATATACCTCCTCCTTAGGATCTGCGCTCTTAAAGCCGCAGATTCGGTCTTCCAGCGAACTCAAAGAAATGTTACAGCATAGCGCCTCTCTTTTTCTCCCCCAGATACCATAGGTGAGCAAATGTCTCCGTGTTGGCATTTCATTGCGGATGAATTTGCCATTCCGACGGATACCAAGTCCAATGAGATTGCGATCAGCATATGGATTGGGTCTTCTCTGTCGGATGCATTTGAGGCTTTGAGAACAAGAATAATGGCGCTTCGGGATGATGTCTCGGAGTTTACACAGGACCCATCGTCCTTTCAATGACAATGATGGGAGTCGGGAAGAGGTTGTGAAGAACTTGAAGTAGAAAAAATATCTCAGTCTGACATCTTTATTGTCGGGTCCTGATGCCACCAAAAGGCGAGCGTGTCTTTCGGTCAGACCAAATATATTCCTACCTGGGAAGGAATCCAATCCTTCCACCAATTTTTTCAAGCCCTTTGAATAGAAAGAACTGATTCATCATTCACTGTCAAACCGCCTCATACTTTGCTCTGGACATGAGAAGTAAGCGGAGATGAGAGAATCCAAGGGCTGGTCAAGAACTCTTCGGTTCTTCTTTCTAACCCCAACAACCGACCCTGCAATCCTCAAGCAGCAACGATCCATTCACTACCCGGAGCAAACCCATCTTGGTAGTTGGAGGGGAAAGTCCCTTAGTCCGCCCAGAGCATTCAACACAATACCCCTTCCAAGAATTGATATCCGAGGTGTGATCGACTTGCTAACTACCTAGGTAAGTAATCAGCCCTATAGGCTGTAGCAAGCAGCCCCGCTAAAAGGTAGTGCTTACGTACCTTTCCTGTTCTTATAGACCCTGAAACGGACTTTCAAAGTTTGGTCAGCCCTATCAAAACACATCCGGTGTCCTGTGTCCTGCCAAAGATCCTGACATCGACTTGATCCCGATAACGACAACCGACTGCTTAAGCAGCAAGAGACGTCATCGTTGTGGGAGTGGGGGAGTAAAGTACTACCTCCCATGTCATACACGAGCAGAATAACTCTCCACCAAGGATCCACCTCGATGAACGGAGCTATACAAAAAGCTACCCTATGCCGCGGTAGATGCAGACGGTTTCATCGAGAACACGAAAATTTTTGGAGCCCACCGGAAAATAAGCAGGAAAGGGGTCTAGCAAAAGGACCAACCTGATACTACGGCATGAAGGCATCATAGAAACTTAAGCGACGTCGCATTCCGTAGGGCTGTATGACACGCCAGCGGCAGCGGGCACCAACCAACTCACAGCCTTGTTAACTTACTTGTTTAGTTGGCCAGGCAGTGTGAAAATCAGCATCGAATATCCCATTGCGGCTAGTCAGATACGGTGGGTGTTTGAGGCTTCATTGGCACGGGATCTTCGCAACTAAGTAGGGCCTTCCGGTCCTGGCCCCTGGGCTCAAAGAGCCATGAACCACTGATACGAGAACTCTGATGCAGCGGTGTATGCCCTGTCGATCAGCCAGCCATGGCTTACTCCGTACAGCGCTTGGTTTGCCCTACCCACACTCCAGTATGCACCCTGGCATCACCATACTAGCGGTATTGATCATGACGATGACACGGCGGCATGGGTGCCTTGTCTGCCTGGCGCACTACATCTATATGCGAGTCATTCGTGGCTTATCACTGGTTAGGATCCAAAAAGACGGGGACCCTTGGTTTGGACCATCGACCATGCAAACTTCGATGCAGATGCAATGCAGTGGGAATTTGAATACAAGCCTGGACCGGGGACCAGGGGCCAGGGTTCAAGTCGACAGATGGGGGGTTTTTTTTTTTTTTGAATCACCCCATGACTCCCAGGATGGTGCGGTGAACCGTCATATACTAACTTAGCCATGTCTCTTGTAAGGGTAAGAAGTTCCCAGCGGAGTAAGCCAAAAACCAGCAGACCACGCATGAACGATAATGCATGATCCTTGACAGGATGCTTACAACTATCGGACGATTCGATGTCGGTGACAGAACCAACAAAATCCCCAGGATCAGGTTCAATTGCCTAGTTTCGATCTTCTCTCTCCGGTTGCATCGTCCGGTCGGCTAATGCATTGACCTCAGGGGTATGGATTGGATCTGGTATCCCTCGATACTAGCGGGCCTTCTCTCGCTGAATATGGCCCCTTTTACACATCATATCAACTATCCGTGTCCATGATCAGGCCTTCCACCGACACGCCATCAATATCTCCTCGGTATCCCCTTTTCCCCGAAGCTCAAGAACAAATTCCCATTGAACTTTAACAAACCCGCGCCTGCGCTATGCTGTGACTGTGCTGCTCCGTGCAGTGATCATCGATTCTTTTCACAAGCCTGCCTTTTCATGCGGACTTTTTGTTGTCGTCGTTGCTTGCAGTCTATTCGTCATGGTCAACATCAATCAGGCCCAGGTTCGTAGAAGCCGAGAAAAACAAATTCTCCCGTCCATTCCGTCTGAATAGCTTCTTTGTTGCGGTCGTAATTGCAGTCGTCATGGGGATCGAGAACCACCAATCGTTATATCGATCCGGACTTCTTTCTCGGTTGATCCTATCTGCCCTTTTGAGCGTGGGCCTGAGCCTGTATCGAAACTTGTCCTCCAGGACCTGATTGTGGATAACCACTAGCATTAGCAGCAAGCGCCGATGTCCCTTCATCCCATAATGTGTCCCCTTGATCTGTTGCCTCCCACGTCTTCTTCCTAGCTGGTGGTTTGACCTCCAACCCGGCATTGAGGACTTGTAACCGGATCAGTTTCATCCGGGCTTCACGAGTAAATCCATCGACCATATCAAGAGCCGCTTGCTGAGCTTCACCTCGGGGATTATGTTCAACGGCCTGGAGCACGCCGTGTTCCATATCAATTCGGGCATCGAGCTTGCCATCTCCAATCAAAGAGATGATCTCATCCAGAAACTCCTGCTGGGGTGGTGCCTGGCCATTGGCCGTTGCGCTTGCAGCCACAGGACTACCGAACATCTGCTCCATACCAGCCAGGGTGACTTTGCTGAACGGTTGGAAGTACTGAATGATGCTCTTTGTCCGCACTTTCTTGTAGATGTCGGCAACTAGGGGTTGAAGATAGATGTCCAGAAGATAGTCTGCTCGGTAGGATTCGAGAATTTCCAGACATTGACTATACTTGCTTGCACAGAAGAAGGCAATGGCTCGACGAATGTGAGGTTCTAATTCGAGGAAGTTACGAAAGTTGGTGTTCTCCAGGACTTTCGCTTGCAATTCAGATCGAGACATGGATGCCAGTGCGCATAGACCTCCATAGACGGCCACATCGTTGCTCGTCAGCACATCGCTGTAACTGTCTCCCAAACTGGCGTCGGTGTTGAGAAAGCTCATAGCAGCCTCTCGGTATTCCCCAGTGGACATCTGCTGAAGACCCATGGCGGAATGTGTCTTGGGTTGATTTCTAGTCATGTCGTCCGGCTTCATTTGAAGATTGCGGATCTTGTGTACTTGGGACTGAACCGCCAGCCAATTCTTCTGTTCGATTGCCACAGCTATGATCCTGAACGCCGTAGAGGCGATGTGGGCGGGCGTCGTGCAGTAATCCCGCATGCGTGAATAGGCTTTGACGGCATTGTTCAGATCGCCAATGGTGTAGTAGTGAGTACCCAAGTCTTCGTTCCCCATCTGTCGTGTCACAGCGGTGTAAGTGTGTCGTACCTTGGGTAAGGGAGGTTGGTCCGACTTGGACTTACTCGTATGCTCTCTTTGATCAGGTTATTTTTATACCCCTTCAGTTCACCTTCCAGACGGGCTGTCTCGGCGATATTCTTTTTCTCTTGTTGTGCAGCCCATACCGGATCTAAGAGATGGTCCAGATTCTTGCCCTTCGCCACCCGCTTCAACAGTGCGACAGCCTCTTGATAATTTCGAACATCCTTGCCTTTCTTTGCCTCGATGACTGCCAATCGTGCAGCTTCCTCTTCCAAGACGGTCGAACATGATGCGATGAGGTGGAGTCGTCGAAAGACTGTTCGGCCTGTGAAGTAGACGTGAGATTCGACCAGTGTGGCAGACTCGCCTCGAATCCCTTACCCTTGTAGTTGGAGATGTAGGCGGCAAGATCGAATTTGGGAGTATCTGGAAAAGAATTTGTGAGCTTGGCCGTAGGATTGTGAGAAGAGGAAGCCATACCGTGTACTGTGACGGCGTACTTTGGTTGATCCGGAGAGTCATTTGCCATGGTGTGTGATGACCGGCTCATTGGGGGGCCCCCTCCCAAAAATTCGGGGTCAAACGTGAAGTTGAAGTCGTACAAATACGATTGGGAGATGTCGAAGGAATGGTCACCAAGAACTTGTGACAAAAGGGGTAAGGGATTTATTGAATCAGAGCAATACGGCGGGTTTGAGTATAGAGAGAGCTCTTGGCGGCACTGCGATGACGTCCAATCAAGTCCATCTCCGGACAGAGTTTTCTACAGCACAACACAGAAATCTGCCGCCCAATGGTACCAGGCTTGTAAATGGATAAATCATATCCAGATAAATCCAAAAATTCACATCATGATGCTGGATAATTTGGATAATTCTATCCAATCAGCGCTCACCAGTGTTGGGGAAAAGCCAATTTGGAGGGAAATTCTACAATTCAACGCAGGTTGCAGGGAAATTTCCCCGCCGCTTTTGGTGGGTTTCTTCTCTAACGTTGGTAGTCTTCCAGATTTCCCTTGTCTTTTCAATACACCACGCAACCATGCAACCATCTCTGGGGACCAGAAACAGTCGCCCTTCAGAAACAGTAAGAGATCCGTTCAAGTCTTCGAAAATGACGGACGCCTTTGACTGCACTACCCTGACCATGGCGCCTCGAAGGACCTGGAGGGACGGTCCCTCTGGATTTCCTTACCGCAATAGAGAGAGTGTTATCCGACCTTCGCAAAATCCCCCGTCACAAGGTTCCCCTATCTATTGTCGACCAATCATAGAACTAAACAGATCGACCGAGGCGAGCACGATCCAAGTCTCGCGCCCGATATACCTAGCATCGTCGCCCCCCGCGATGGGGTGAGTCATGGGGGATTGGTTGCGCCGGCAGGGGCGAGGGTGAAGAATTCTTGGTCAAAAACCCAGTCTCGGCACGCAGGGACTATTTTGCACATAGGGATGCAGGTTACCTCGACAGACATCGCCACACCATTTACGGCTGTAGGTGAGCATTAATAGCGGAATATACTTTGGCCAAAACTGACCTCTCTAAAGGCCATTTCCGTTTCCAGACCTAAGCAAGGTCCCACAATTTGGTCTGTGGGTTCCCAGTATTTGGTGTTTTAAAGCTTCGATAGGGCAAAGTCCTGGGCTCCCTCTTTTCCGACGATGCTGCTGGCCAGAGGCGGCACCCTTCACATCAACTAAGCGATGTACCACAGTAGCTGTCTCTGGCATGAAACATACCGATCTCGTACAAAATAGCGTGATTAAATTATCCTGCGACCATATCCAATAGCCCGTGTATAGACCTCTGGACTGTGATACTGTCCATGGTTGTGAAAGTGCTAAAGTCCGCACGGTCGCCGAAAGCGAGCTGTAAAGCTTGATTACGAGGGTTATTCGAGAGTGCCAAGCAAAAGAAAAAAAAAAAATGTGTTCCTCAGTAAGAGAGACAAAAATATTGTCGTCTGTGTGGATCGAACACACGACCTAATTTCATTGTCAATATATGCTTGACGGATGACATTCATAAGAAGGACCGCTCACCTTCAGATTTAATGACTGCAAGTGAAACTTCAGTCTCTTTGAAGATCAAATTAGTGATAGCTCAAACAATTTTAGGGTGACCACATACGACGATCTCCCAACTGATCTAAGACGACCTCCATTTTTGCATAAGATTATTACCTTCAAAAATATATTTGTTGTTAATGAAACTGCCAAGTAGTAGGACATGTGGATCGGATATATCGAGCTTACTCCGCTCAGCGTTAGGGCAACACATTTGATAGCCCCTCTACTACAACTTTTTATTAATTACAACGCTTCGGGCTTGTTCAGTGTACTCGCAAAGTAGCGCCCGGGGTAGTATGTCAGTAATCGGAGTGCGCTGAATAATCGCGTCAAGGTGAAATGTGTTGATCGACTATCGAACCTCAGAATGCCCAGTCTTGGACACGGACGCTATCATTACAATTCACAATGGATGGACATCCATTCAGACAACGTTTTGGCACTACTAGGAACAATGGAGTAGAGTCTTTCAATTCGCTCGACTTGCACACGGCGATCTACGAGTGTTAGCACCTTTGCAATCCAACACGATAGTTATCGTCACAGATTCGATGATCGATTTGATTCTTCCTACGACTAACAATACCGGAGACTAGCTTGTATACGAAGGTTTCGTCCACCCTCGACCTTTATTTTTCCTCGAGTAGTCTTATAGTCACACTTCTGGGATCCCAGAAGGGACCGATTGTATCTTCTTCACTCTGAATGTGCAAAATGAGGCCGAGATCAGCGTCTGGCGGACCATCTGGGGCTGCAAGTCTGTCACGATTTTGACCTGATTCGATCATCTCGTCCGAGTAGAAGTTTTCCAGTCTCTCTGTAAGGCTCTTTTGTAGTTGTTCTGCGGTCTTTCTCCAGCCAGCCCTCGGATTGTTCAAAAACGTAAGTAATTGGATGAAGTCATCTTGTGAGAGGCAACGGGTTGCTTCTTGTGCGAATCGTTGGGCGACTCCGGATACAGATAGGTGACTTCCATTCGAAATACCTGAATCCAAGATTCTTTCAACTGACTGAGACTCAGGCTGCGGATTTCCAAGGTGTCGACAAGCGTTGCTAGTATGGCAATCCACCAAGGCTCGGAAGCATTGATCGGCACTCTCCATCGCCCAAAGCACAATGGCCAAAAGGGTCTCTTGCTGGTGATCTCGATAGTCCAGATATTCGTTCACAAAGTCATGGGGTAGCTTTGTTTGCAAGCTAGAAGATCCGCTGTAGGATCACTCCCATCCGCTCGTGGGAGCGGAATGACAAGTAGAATTCCATGAAACGACGCGAAGGAATGGAAAGCGCAGCTTGTTAGTGCGAGTGTGACGGCGTGGCGCAAAAGAAGGTTAGTGCTCCAACTTCAGGATTGCACTTTTCGAAAGGACTAGGCAGGGGAGGGAGAATAGCGGGAGACTCGCACCGTGCGATGTCAGGCAGTAGCATGTTTGTCCGCCAAGATGAGACTGCACTTCACTCAGAGGGGGTCGGGTAGGCAGCGACAAAGGGAGTGAATTTTTGTTCCGTAGGCAATGCACAGCGGCTCTGTTGGTCAGGCCAGTGTGTTTGGCCCATTGCATGTAGGACATATTTTCGAAGGCTACCGTTTTTTGTTCTCCCTCGTCTCGGAGACATATTTGTCATAAGGTGTGTCTAACGCGGTCTAACAGGTTCTCAGTTTCGAACCAGGAAGAGGGAGAAAACGTCAGTGAGGGCCTGACACGGCAAGGCGGAGGGGTCCAGGTGCGTCAGGCAAAGTAGGACGGTCGCCTCAGCGCGACAAGAGGTGAGGAACAGGTTCGAGGGACGGGAGACCGGGTTCTTATAGGCGTCAAATGCGGCGGCGCGCCCAGCCTGCGACCGAACCAGAAGCGCCAGGGTCGCCTAAACCGAAGGCGGATTTCCCAGCAACAACTTTGCGACGCCGTTGTGACGACCGACATCTCCTCTTGGGCTGGGGATCAGAATACTTGAAGCGTGCCTTCAGTGCACGACTCCTGACATCTGGAAGGCTGTGCCGAAATGCCCGCGAGAATGAATATTGAATTCTCGATCTTCGAGAGGGATAAAAATATAAACCTTAATTTTTTATGGCTTGGCGTTGTGTGGTGACGCCAAGACTGTCGTATTGGCCCTGCCACATCGCCATCGGATCCAATCCGTGGACCATGTCCCGGGGCCACCCTGCTCGACAGAAGTCGATATCGAGATGGTCAAAGGATCGGATCCAGTCTGTGGACCATGCAGATGAGTCACGATATCGGATCCAGTCTGTGGACCACCTAGACAAGCCCGACTGATCAAACTCGAGATGGATCATATGGGGCGTTCACGGATGAGCCTCGATATCGAGATGGTTCACGGGCTGGATTCGATGAAATACCACGAGCCATCGGATCCGATCCATGGACCATGTCCCCGGAGGAGCACCCTACGACAATATCCACGTCTGTCGCGGATGGCTATAGATCTCTTTTCAATTCCCGCTATGTCTTCCGAGCCAGAACGGATATTCAGTCTCACAGGACAGATGGTGACGGCTCAGAGAAGTCGACTTCGAGCGGACATTATCGGCGCAGTGCAATGTATATCCATCTTGGGAGAAAAGTGGGGCTACCCAAATATCCCAATCGATTCAGATCAAATCAAGTCAAATCAAATCGATCCTTTTCGAATCCAAATCAAATCAAATTCGAGGCTCGATTTGATTTGATATATTTGGTTGCAAGCCTGAATTGCACCGCCATCAATGCCCAGCCACCACCCTTCATTTTCTCATTTTGGACCGTACCCCTTCCGTCTTATCAAGGTGATTCCCATTCACAAGCTGAAACTTGCTGACCCACTTGCCATGCCTATCCATTTCCCTCACGAGTATCTGGCGCGATCCAACAATCACCACCGCAAAGGCATGGAAATTTTTGTCTGCAATCTCCTTTTGGACGGTAGGCCCCGTAATGTAAGACTGAAGCTGATTGCGGACACTTCCGGACACCGGACCATGGCGTCTTCCATCAATCCAGTTGTTAATACTCCCTGTTCGGTATTTGTCGCCCTTGAATTTCAGTTTGAGAATGTCGTCTAGCTTCATGACCTCGAGTCTTTTCGCTTTTTCAATGCTGTCTTCTCCGCTAAGCCCCAGGTAGGGGATTTGGATGTTCCTGAACCCCATGAGGGTGTAGAAGGTTTTATTGTCTGTAATGAGGAGATCGACAATACCTGGACTGTTACTCAACTGCATAGATCAGCTTCATGTTCACTCTTATTGTATATGAACAGAGGTCTTACCTTCGTAACCTGACATTCAAGTGTCGACGGTATGGACTCGTTTTGTAGAATACTCCACCGGATATTGTCTCGGTGGTGTCCCTCCTCCTTTAAAAATGCGTCTTCGAAGATATCACACTCTCGCATCATGTGACAGTATCCAGCCAGTACGTCATTTGGGTTCCCAGTTTCCGCAAGAGTATGTACAGCATTGATCACGAAACGGTATAAACCAAGTCGATCAAGGAGCGCGAATCCAAACCTCTTCGCTGCTATGAGGTTAGTTATCTTCAAGGAGTTCGATGGATCATTCATATCAAAAGTCAGACCGCCCATGTAGACCATCAAAGATCGCCATGCAGATATGTCGCCTTCACTAGCAGCCTGGAGGTTCTAAGTAGACAAGGATGTGAGAGACCACACTTATAGCATAATCACTCCGACTGACAATGGAACAAAACTTACTAGTTCGGATAGTTTGAAGCTGCGGAGCACTCTGTCATATGGAATCCTTCGGTAGGCGCCGCGTTCGTCCTTTTGAAGTGCTAATTGTATCTCGTTCGCAGCTCTAGGTGCCCCTGCACAAGCCTCTAAGAAGATCTCAGAGACCTCCGAGTTTGGAGCTTCCACAGCTTTAGGTCTTTCTCTCCGCCTAATTTCCTAACATGTCCGGTAATTAGTATTAGGGTTAGCCAGTGCTTCTCCTTTACTCACTTCAAGATACGAAATAGCAGTATGGGTGTTGAATACCGGCTCCACACTCCGTTCTGGGCAGAAGTGATAGCCATTGGCGTTGTGTTCCAATTCACTCAGGTACTTTTGCACCTCTTCCTCATTGTTGCAGATGGCCCTCAGTGCTCCTAGCACGTCGGATCGAGTCAATCCGCAAATGGCTGAAAACCGTGGATTGAAAGAGACGTTTTCTTGGTCGTTCGCGCCGCTGACAAGGTCGCTTGAAAGCAGAGGCATGACGCCAGTGATGTATACCTTCTGAATACCGTAATCCAACGTCCCGCCACCTTTGACATTGGTCCAGAATGCCTTCAAGAGACGAGAGGGTGCGGTATCGGACGGTAACCTGGGATTGTGCGGATCCATATAATCGTTGGCACAAGCATCGTATTCATCCGCTAGTAGATAGATCTGGACGCATTAGAGTGCATTTCGTAGTTAGCTGAGAAGAAATATACCCCTTGTACATTCCAGAGGGGATGGTCCTCCTCCCCTCTCTCATGAATGTCTTGAAGCGTTCCATCAACAGCATTAATTAAGCGTTCGAGATTTCCGGCCGGGTGGTTCTCCACAAAAGTAGACGTCTGCGATGCAAACGATTCACCTAGATATCTGGTGTATTCATATTTGAACATCGACAGCCTCATGTTTATGTGTTGCCCAATGGACCGCGCAGACTGCTCAAGGTCATGAAGACGGGCGGGGCAGGAGAAGTCAAATTCTAAAACAAGATATCGTCCAGGTTGAATCGTGCCATTGTTGACAGCTTTATCCACGTTGAGACCCTATTGAGCATAAGTCACAAATCTGGCAGTAAGGACTCTACTACACATCTTGAAAAGTTTGTCATATTCGTCGCGAAACTGGAATCCATGGAAGTATCGCAGCATAGTGACGGTGAGCGACTTTCCAAACCGTCTAGGGCGGCAAACGAGCTTGACACTTGCCCCCTCTTCAAGTTCAGAAATATATTCCGTCTTGTCAAAGTATGCCGTTCCAGGGAGCTCGCGAAATCTACTAAAGTTCGTTTGCCCTAAGGCGAACTTTCGTAGCTCGCCGGATACCACGAGCTTCGAGCTCGATGACGAAGTGGAACTCGGGCGGGCGACCACGAGAGGAATTCGACTGTACCGGAGTAGAGGAGGGCAAGCTTGAGGGAAACGAAGTGAGGGATTTGTTAGCCCGGCACAGCGCCTGAACAGGTCGACAGGCCGGCTGCCAATCATTTCTATGGCAAAGGCAGGTCAGTGAGAGAGAAATGGCGGCGAGGAAGGGACGCGGCACTAGATGAAGACGTGGAGAGTGACGCGTGAGAATGTTTATTTGTGAATACCGCGAAGTGTTGGTCGAGGTCCCGCCCCCCCAAAAAAAGCCTCTGGCATAACTCATTTCTACAAACTAGAACCTTGAAAAATTGATAAACAAGACAGCGAAGGGAAAAGATGGCAGAGTCGATTAGATCTCCTTCCCATTGCATTTCAGCGCTCAGCGCTTCATGTTGTCCAAGAGGTCTCTATCATACATAAGCTTTTCGTCCGTCAAGGAGAGCTTCAGTGGTATCTCAGAAGACTCATCCACCCAATTTCCCATATTCCAATTGTTTACCCACACCCAATAATCGTCAGAAAGAACGGGGATCCGTTTCCCTCCGTTTCTCCTCAAGAATTTTCATTCCTCATTGCACTGCTCTGTGCATCCATCAAAAAGTTGTTAAGTTCGACCGACATTAGAAAAATAAAAAGAAAGCCCAAGGATCGATCTCTCTTCCCAATCCCAATATCGAGATCATTTTGGAGCGTGGTCGAAGGCCGTTTCCATACCCATATCGCTAAAACGCACCACCAATAATCAAAACAACAACTCAATCAAGCCATCAAGGCATTCAAGTCAAAACCATGAGCATCATCATCGGTGGGAGGGAGCCAAGGGCCCTTCTCTTCTTGTGAGGCATTGTGGAAGGCCTCGGCTCGGTTCAGTGTTTGAACATCGAGGTCGGTAACGTAGTTCTTGCCGTCAGGCAACGTCATTCGAACCTCAAACTCGTTGTGGAGCATCATATCATCTTTCCATAGCCGTCGCTCCCCATCATAGACGCAGAGCACGCGTTTCTTCATGCGCATCTTCTCGGCAGACATACCCCAGGATGGCGGGTAGTGCTTTCTCTTCTTGCGACCTTTGCCCACCAGAGCAACACCCCCTTTGGACCAGGTCATGCCCTTCCTGGTGGACTTGTTGGACTTGGAGACTCCGCCACCAATGACGGCTTTCCCCGAACCAGAAGCTTTGTGAGACTTGATGGCGCCTTTGCCTGATCGGCTGTTGAACGATGGGTCGTCATCCTCATCGTCGTCATCCTCTTCGTCGTCATCGTCATCTTCTTCATCAAAGCTGGTGGCCGGAGCATCTTCGGTTTTGATCATGTGTCGGTCCAAAGTCTCCTGGACAGCATCGTCATTGTCAATGTTGGAGAGATGTTGAACATTGATAGCCTCGCTCGGCTCTTCTTGTTGTACCACCCGCAGCACGCAATCATCAAGATGCTCATAGAAGTCCTGAGCATTGTTGAAGGTGGCTGAGCAAGTGGAGCATTTGCCTGTGGCGTCTTGGCAATAACTGGAGAGTTTTCGGTGGTTGTTGTTGGTGGTGGTGGTGTTGTTGTTGTTGGACGGACTCTTTTTTCGACTGTTGGGAGGAGTTTGTTCGACACCATGAACCGAAGTCAAGTGTCGCTTGAACACATCAGCTCGGTTGAAGCTCTTTTCGGCCGGAGAACCGGAGCCCGGGCAGAATCCGCACACCATGGTACCCTTGTAATGGGTCAAAGTGTGTCGATTCTTGTCGTACTTACGAGCGAATCCCTTTTGATTGTATTCACAGGTCACAATGGGGCATTTTTCGGGCCGTTCGGCCTGATGAGTGAGCATGTGAGCTTTCAAGTCCTTGAAGACTTTGCCGCAGTCTGGATGCGGGCAGCGGCCCTTCTCTCGGCTTTCCTCGTCGAACTCTGACGATGCGCTGGACTGTGATGCACCGGATACAAAAGAAGCGAGGGAGGGTCTTCGACTGGGGTAGTTTTGTTGTTTGCCGTAGTTGGAGTTTGTGAGGGGATCGGAGAATTGTGTGGTAGGATAGACGCCATAGGGTTGAGGTGATGGAGCAGGAGAACCCGAGGGTGACATGTTCGAGAAGGGATACATGTTAGAAGGGAAGAGCCCTTGTTCGGGGAGGGCTGTTTCGCCATAGGATCTGGAAGCGTGAATCAAGGAAGGATCTGTGGAAGAAAGTTTGGTCAGTGGACTGATCTCAAGCTCGAAGAAAGATCAATGTTTGGGTTGAATGACTGAAGAGAATAGGAAAGAAAGGGATGAGGGAACGGCGGAAGAGACGAACAAGATGACTCCAATGGTGGCATAAAGTTCCCACTGCATTGAGCAAAGAAATGAGACTGAAAACCATTGGCATGTTGCTGATGTGGCGCCGAAGGTGATGTCGCATTGGAATCATGGGGAAGCATATGGGTTGGAGGATATGCTGAAGCAGCCTGTGGGCGCGAGGATGGGGGAAAAGATCTTGCTTTCCCGGGAGAGACGACCGACGAGGGTTGTCGTGGGCGGGCTGAAGCAGGTGTTGTCGGTGACTTGAAGGTTGGTGTTGGGCGGGTCTGCTCGGTAGCTGGAGAATGGATGACAGAGGAGAAAACCGAGGAGGTATTGATAGACGACAGAGTCTCGGGAGAAGATGTCAAAAGCGCAGATTGGCAGGAGGAAAGAAGTTGCGGATGCACAGATTGGGCAACAGATCGTGCATAAGTCGAAGGAGACTGAATTTGAGAAGAGGAAAGATCGGCGCACTCACCCACATAGCTGTTGGACAGCTTTTCATGGCTCGCCATGGATAGTTCGGATTCCATGGAGGCATTCAACATGTCCTGCGAAAAGGTTTCGGGGTTGACAATGGTTGGCATGACACCCAATCCATACGAGGCGCCGTGGTGGTCATACCCGTCCTGGCTGGAGATGGTGTGGGAGGGACCGGAGTATGGGGAGCCAACGGTGGAGGATGAGGCGCTGGGGATCGACGGTGCGTGCCCCGATGAGATGAGGGCGGGGGGGAGTTCGTGAAGCTGGTGCATCTCTTGCTTCAGTGATGGTATCGGTGCATTCGCAAACATGGATGGGTTGTCCAAGAATGAGTATGGGAGAGGGTGAAAGTTGACCATGGGGTCGACTGGGTTGAATGCTGAATCCATGGCCAGGCCCGGAAATGGTGCCTGTATGCTTTGCTCGAGATCGGAAGCTTGGTCCACAAACTGATGACGATGCGAATGCTCGAGGGCCAGCATGGTATGAAATCGACCGGAATCAGAGCGACAACATGAGCCTTGAATGTCAGAGAGCGGACGTGAATCGAAGTCGAGGCCCGCGGTCAAGTACTAATAGTAATTTGTTGTTGATACGGGGGATTGTCAGGCTTATGGGCTAACGGAGCCGAGTCGTATAGTATGGCGTTGGTCAAGGAGGTGGGGGGGGGGGGGGGGAGGGGCCAGGGAAGTCAAGTTCGGTTCGGTTGGAGGAGCACGGACACCGACAAGGGCAATGAGCTCTGGAGGCGCTGGCAGAGTCAATCGATAAGGGCAGAGAATATACGAAAATCGAGGTTCGAGTGAGGCCTAGACGCAGTTCAGACAAGTTTTTGGTCTTCGTATGCGTGGAAGCTGCGGATAGAGAGGTGAGTCGTGAGGCTTGCTGAAGAGTGTCGATCAGTACTGGATGCAGTAAGGAGGATTTCGCGGGAGGAAGACGAAGCCGATGCGGTGACAGGCGACAGGCGTCTGGCACAAGAGGAGTCGAGAAAGGGAGGGAGGGGAAAGATATTGCTGCGGTTGTTGCGGCCCCGGGTAAAGGACAAATAGGACGAGGATGCAATAGTCAACAAGTTGTGGTCGAGAAGGATTTCAAAAGGTTGGACTCAGGCTGAAGATGGGGGGCGAAATCGTGAGATATAGTCGTTTGCTTCGAGGCAGAGATCGTTTGCCGAATGAAGGGGCCCTGTCGCTTGCTAGATGAGCGATGAGCTCAAACATGAGCCCACATTCGAGTTTAGCATGGGTGGTTTGAATTGCTAGCCCTACAACAAAATGTGGGCTCCGTATTTTGGGGAGCAAGGATCTAGGGTGCGAGTAGAGGAACAGGGACAAGGGGGGCCGTGTTTCTTCGGTGTGGCAGCGACGGTGGCCGTATTGACAATACACGAGCCAAAAGGGTCAAAATGACCACTACTGCACATGCTAGTAAGCTAGCTTTCGGGGACGCCTAAGCCTACAGCTGTCAGTTGCCCGCGACTTTGATCAGAGCAGCACCGGAAGGTGCGCTTTGGGACACAACATAATAGGAGCAGATTACCTACTGCCGATATTGAGTGGGAAGATACTGACTGTATCTCCTGCAAATTGCGGCGGGATGCTCAATGATGCCAGACCGCGACCCGCGAGACAATAAGTACTCGGTACCTAAATCAGATCAGATCAGGATCATGCGATCGCTTTCCCAATTTCTATTCATAAACACTGAAAGGGTAGCAGTCACGGTCGCTAATTTTTTTTTTTTTTTCCTTTTCTCCTTGATACGTGGTAGTATGTAGTCCGTCGATCATCATAGCCAGTTGCAACGCCATGTCTGACCGAACTGAGGATGGGCAGACTGATCGAATGATGGACTAACTGGTGGCTTTGTCACTGGTCACTGCTTGATCCCGACCCGTAACTTCGGCGATCCCTCATCGACGAACAGGTTCTATCAACAATAGCGTAGATGGGTAGGTGTATAGTCCCGTCATCCCTCCGTACTTAGGCTGGAGATGCTGCTTTGGGCAAGCGTGGGTGCTGGGATAGGCCAGGGCCCGTGTTGACGGGTTCGCACCTCATTGATGGGTGCCGGGCAGCAGATGACCGGATGGAGGGCTCAGAGAGCTTGGGTTGCCAGTTTAGGCTGATAGGGGTGCCAAAGAGAGGAAATTCCAAGAGAGATCCTGGGGATTGGCTTCTGTGCGTCTCTGGGTCCGTGGTTCTCCTGCCCGCACTTTGGCGAGGGGGGGCACCGCTGAAACAACAAGTTATTGCTGCGCCAGTCACCGGCTAAAGTGTCGCTAGTGGGGCCCTAATGGTAATACGGGTATTTGTGTAGGCGAGGCCGATGCGATTGGCGCCATCGTGCAGATGCGGTCAGGTAGGCTTTGGACAGGGCGCGGAAAACGTGGCCGACCCGGCACTCTCCGCCTTTGTGGCGCTGTGATTCGCCGGTGTTACTCGGGGTGGCCAGGATGGAGTGGCAATCGAGGCGCAGGCCCTCCAGAAAGGCCTCGTGATTGGCTGTTGGCCTGCTGAGCCACCTTTGTCGTGCTATTTATTCACCGCAAGATTGAGGCTGGGGGCTTTTTGGCTTGTGGCTCGCCGCAGGATGACTGGCTCTTGAGACACAATCTTCATCCAGAGATTTCCACACAGTCTCCTTTCTGTCACCCACTCCGACTGACTCCATCTTTGGCCTTGATGACATGTGTGTGAAGTCTCGGTCAAACGTCGAGTCCATCCATCAGCTATGTAACTCATGCTACCGGCGCTCACCGGCCGTGTACATGTATCACCCACCATGTACCACGAACCCCACACCCACTCTATCTAGTCGATCAATGAGTCCTGCATCGTGTTGCGGTTATGACACTGGCGATATCAATGTGCGAGGCATTGAAAGACTTTTTTCTCGCATGTGCTTGTCCTGGCACATCAAATCGGCCAGGTATCTCGTGCCCCATTTTTCATTTCAGGCTTTTGCGTCATATCGATCCCTGACAAATAACCTCCTCGACTAGGCGGAGGGTTGGCTTGAACCTCGAGCCGTAATTGTTCAAGTGGTGAACCCCTCCAAACTCGGGCTTCCCCCTCAGATGTTTAGTCCCTGATTAGGCATTGGCCGTTGGCCCCCTACTCGTAAACTCAGTCCTCAAAAGGACATTTCCTCTGGCAGCCTATGACAGGCCAACTTTCCATCTTTCCTTGCCAAAAAGCTTTGACGAATACCACGTCGCCATCGCCTTTTTCCTAAATGTCCTGCAGCCCTGCCCTAGTTATCTGTTTCTTTGGTTCTTCGTGTTCTGTAACCTCCATGCCGCCGCCCTCCCCCCCCCCCCCCCCGGACCTGATGCTGCTTACTGTGCTGGCGCATCTCTTCGTCACCGCTCAGGCACTCAGATCCTTGCCGTCTCTTCGCCGCTCCACGTTGCAACTTCACGGATCGTTCTGGCCCCTCTTGTAGGGCTGCAGGCTTTAGTGCCCAAAAAATCTGTTCTGCCCCGAGCGGATCATTGTTCTCAGAAACACCCAGTGTCTCTCATAACAGCTATTGGCGCGCCGTCCAAAACCCCCGTATGGTGATGGTCTGAGCCCAAACTTTCTGGCTCGGGCTAAACCAACATTGTAGGCTGGCATGCAGTCGGTCTGCAATTGTCCCTTCTATCCAATCATCCCGTTTGACTCACCTTTTGGTAAGAAATGCTGTCTCTTCATTGCTTCGTTGCCATCCGTTCTTCTTCCCCCACTGCTGCACAGACCGCTGGATGCGAGTCTGCCTCGAGTTCAAAGCGCAGGACCGTGCAGGTTTGTCCATGCGGCAAACCGCCAGTGTCGACCTCGTCCACAAACATTGCGGTTCAAAGACACTTTCGAGACTCTACCGTCAACGGTCTGATGGCGCCTCAAGATGCCTCAAGTGCTTCGCTGTCCATCCCCCATGTCAGAAATGGGTCTAGATTCGGCGGTTTCTGGTCTCGGGGCATATTGGTCATCATCCGGATTGAACAACAGAACTTCCCCCTTCCCCCGGAGGACCCTCGTCCTCGTGTCAAAAAGGGCCAGTCCTACGAAACACTTCTGCAGCCCTATGAGCCCCTCTTTCCCTTTCTTTCGCAGTCCTACCCCGATCCCTTTTACTCTTTTCTCCTTCGTGCCTCGCTATTTTAATATGTCTTTTTTTACGGCTATCAGGCTGAAAGTGGTTAGGTTCAAGAATTGTGGCTTGCGCTCGAAGCGAGAATTTCGGGGTCTGGACTGTCCTCATTGTTTTCGACTCCTCCTTTTCCACTCGCAGCACATGCTACTGCTCGTTAGTTAGCATCGTTTGCGCGCTTGATTGCTTTTTGGTTCTCGACATCTACGCCATCGGTGTCAATTTATAGCCTCAATCGTGCTGCTGCTTGCTCATTCACCATTCGCCTAAGTTAGACAAAGCCTCTCCATGCCGGAGCCTCTTTGGGCCTCTTGCCCGCCACGGACGGGAACAGGCTCGGGACCTTCCTGGGTTCACCGCCAGCCTTTGCCGACCCCTCTCGTTTACGAGGATATTGTTTTTTCCATTCGCACGACAACTTGTTGCGCATTCACATTCAGCCGACCTTTCAAAACTCACAATTCTCGTAAGTTCATTCGTATTGACCGCCTGGTGGGAAGCAAAGAGCTTTGCTACACTTTATGAAGTGCCTTGACTACCGTGACTCACTGGCGTGTTTTTGGACGTACTCTGTCCCCCACGAGCATCCCGCATCGTTGGTACAGTTTGAGCCCCTATGTTCTTTCGTCCATCACCACTGAATCCGGCCAAGAAAAACTTCGCCTCCGAGCATTGGCCACCAAGACCGTCATTCTGAACAGTCGTTGGATGAAATTTGAACAGGGGACGAGGTTCAGTGTACTGTAGTGAAGAAAAAAGCCGGCTCAACGGTGGGACCTCGATTCTAACGGACAACATCTCAAGTTGTGGCCTTCTGCGCAATGACCTCGAGATTCAGATGCGGATCGGAAGGCTTTTGACCTTGATATGGCGCTCCTCTCATAGTGTTCCACCTGTCCTTCTGAAATGGCTGCGCACGGAGTGAGATGGCCAGTGCCGGCGACGAAAATATCTTATGCTCGGCGAAACTCACCGATGCACTGTCATGAGAACGCTAATCTGTGGTCTTTGGTCTTGAACGACATCTATTGTGACATGTTCCTTTTTATAATCTCATTCCCGTACTAGTGCGTTCCCACGACGCAAGCGGATAACCAATGGCGGTTAACATATTCTCAAGCAGTGAAGGAGTGTGCCGGAGAATGTCCCATTCGGCTTCGTCCTTGACCATCAGCGTCCCGGCCAGGATCGTGCCGTTAAGGGCGACAGAGCTCTCCGGCCCTGCTCCAGGGATACTGACAGCTTCGTTCCGTCTTGGACAGATGGCCAATTTGTCCGTGGTCATCGCCAGGTTGTAACTAAACACGGTCTGACGATCTTGTTCAATCTCTATGTTCTCATTCAGTGGCTGGCCCGGAAAACGGGTGGCAGAGAATGCAGCTCGCATGAGCAGGAGGTATTTCGAATATAGACTTGTTGACGATAGATCATCCTCAAGCGGGGAGGAAAAATGGAGGAGGGGGAACTCGGGGTCTTGGAAAAGGGGAAGTTCTGGATGAGCTCTCACGGTCATGCGGTCGATGAGAAGGTCCCATTCGTCAGCGTTGGGCCCCGACATATCTTCTACAGGAAGAAATTGAAGATGTCGATGTGATTGACTGGCGCCACTATGCTCTCCAGAGTTGAAGAAAGCGAACAAACGCGAAGAGCTTCCCTCCTCCGGTCCGTCGTTCCAGGCACGAAGGCAGGCGTGCGTCAAGCAGAGGTCGTCCTCCTCCAACATGTCTGTCTGAGGCTTGTTGGCCTCGGTGGCAATGATGAAGTGGTTGTGGATGACAGGGAACTTGTTCAAGACTAATTTGTGTGAAGCTCGGTCACCGGGAATCTTGGCGATCAAAAGCTCTGCCGGTGGATCTGCGAATGGATCGAATTTGGGACTTTTGGAATCCTTTGACTCTTCCGCTTTCGGTTTTTGGGCCAACGCCGGGCAATACCGTAGTTGAAACTTTTAAAACATGAGCTCTTTTGGATCACTGCTGCTCAGCCCTTCACTCACCGAGGCTCCCTGTTTACCCCGAAGAACGGCAAGAGTTGTTTCAGAGAAGAGTAAGTCTTTAGCTCTATAGGCACCAAGGAACTTCTTGGTTACGATATTTTGCAGCGGCTCCCCAAGACCGAGCATGTTTGCTGTCTCCGACATGCTTTGGATTTCTCAACGTCCTCCGTAGCGCTCTCTTCAATCGGGTTGGACGTTAGAGCACTTGCGGAGGGAGCAACGGTCAAGTTATAGGTTGAGTGTCATCATAATCCAACGGATTCTAACTCTCCAAGAGAAGGATGAAAGGCGATCCGGAGACGATCCGAGCTCAAACGAAACAAACGAGAACAAACGAGATGGTCGTGACCGGGGCGAATGTTACGACGTTGAAATGCGGCTTAGCGTCACGCTGGGCAAACTGTCTTGGCGCCATATCTTATCGGTGGGCATTGACACTGAACTTGAACCTCAAAACACAACAATATCAACATTCTTAACTCGATGTTCATCCTTACAACTCACAGAGTGGGATAATCTTAATGAATCTTCTCCGTCATGACCAGGAACCGACGTTAGGGTCACTGTCTTACTGTCTCACCAATCGTAACACTTGCTATTCATCCATTTTTCTCGGTACGCTCGCTTTCTTGAATTGAGGAGACTCTGCGAAAAGCTGTCGTTTGATGGCGTCAAGTAAAGCAGAGGTAACTAAGATCTCTCCCAAATCCACATATACGGATGACCGTGGGCTCCAAATCAGTGGCCAAGCTATTTCTGGTGGATAACTGGCTTTGGACCGTTACAAAATCTATGGAAACTCGTGGCCCCCCCATTAGTTTCTGAAGACCACACATGCAACCAGTTTCAGCTACACATCTCATGCCAGCCCACGTTTCAAGACCAGTCATGAAGGGATCTGCTGCCCTGCTCAGAATATTGGCCAACGAATATCAAATGATGGCCGTCTCCGCTCGGCTGCAGCATCCCGAATGTCAGCCCCACAGTCATGGTATATCAAATAAACAGGATATGTTACTACAGGCAATTCATTGCGTGGTTATGCTCTGCTGCACTGCCTACTCCCACATATCTTTACTCGACTCGGAGCGACTCTAGCTATGTGTTCTTGGCCGTCAACGACCACGAGTCTTCCAGAAAGAGCGGTCCCCGCGGGCTATCACCAAAGGCGTTGCTTGGGACCGACAAGGGGTCAACGCAGAGTCGTACAGGGCCTCCGACGTTTGCTAACGCTTTCCTAGCCATTCCCGCTTGGTGATGCCATCGGCAGAATGCCTCCTTTGGCCAATTCCCCTCCTGCCCGCCGATTGCTGCTGGGCGGTGGAAATGAAGGGGAAAATCATCAGAATTGGTAGCCCAGTACGCTGGGCGGTTCCAATTTCTTGACGCATAAATTTAGGTCACAGATCTCTTCTTGGAATTCCAATACTCCTGTTTGCCGCATGTATAGCATGGCGATTGGCATACAGTGCCTTTGCGGCACCGCCACATTCCGAACATCTGAGTTGAGTGCCAGGATTTTCCCAAATCAAGACCTGTTTTATCCTCTTATCACATCCTTCTCCGAGGTTGACAGGCACAGCTTTTGGGCTGCAAGGTGGAATGCATCTACGGTGTGATTGGATAAAGGGGTCGTGATTGTTTGGATGGGTTTGTCGCGCTCGTGCGAACGGGCTGGTTGGACTCGAGAATCTGTGGCCGATCGAGACTACGGGCAGGAGTAGACCACTTATGGAAGGGCTCTTGTGGGACAGATTCAACCCGTTGATGTTTCGCAGATTGTCATTTCCTCTACGATATATCGATCTTTGGAGGAATCGATGTTGCGCATCGCCTCTGGAGTGATTTCTCAGGTGAGTCGCACCCTTGGAGAAGAGATGCCGTCAGTCATGCCTTCGGGAGTCTTCAATTTGATACCGATGTCACGGGTAAGACCTGTTTGCAAGACGAACAGAAAACCCTGCGTTTAATGGAGAATTATAAAACATACTCAGCGTATTGATCAATGACTCGACATCAAAACGCCAGACGACCTCTCGAGCATTCCTCACCCGAGTTCTTCAAGTCCATTCACTACTCAGCGGCGCCAGTTTTCCTGGAAGGCATCCTCTCACTCAGTCTCATATCTCAGGAAATGCCGTCGATAAACGCTGATCCTCTGTACCTGGGTATCTGCGCCGACCGAAGAGCGCCATGTTGCAGACAGAGTCATCTCCGGTGTCACGGGCAAAGATGGACCATCCCGGACACATTCACTGCGGCCGCGACGACTCACCACCTTCCAACCGCATCCTCTGACACACGATGTCGCTGTCACGCGGGGGGTTTCCTACATCCTGATCCGCTTACAACGGACGATCATGATGCTTTCTTCGAAAATTCTCATCACTTGGCCACCTCGCCCATAATGCCAACCCCTGCATACCGATCTTACGGCCGTCCACCAGACTATTGGACCGAAGTGCCAGCCTGGCCGGTTTCTCAACCCGCTAGCACCAACCACGGCATGCCGAATGGTGTTGGCCCCAGCTCAACACTGACCTGTAGCAGCAACCATCCCAACATGTCCCATTCGGCTGACGCAGGGACTAGACAAACATCGCCTATATTACATTGGCCGTGTGAATTTATGAACCCATCCTGCGACCAGGAGATCTCCATCCTGTCGCCTGACAGTGCCAATCACCAGAATGTCTCTACAATTTCGTCGCCTATATTCAGAGGTGAGAAGAACAGCGAGAGACCTCCTTCCCATCTGCCCAACAACCTGCCCGCGAATCCTCACAGGAGAAACCAAAATATGATAACTTCTAGCAGCATTCCGCAAAATTTCAGCAACAATGAGTCCGGAATGGTATGTCCGGATGATACACTTTTGGAAGATAACGCTGCGACCTTGGGTAATTGGACAACTCCAAACACTTTGTTGGAAGCCGTGACACCAATCTTCAATGAGCAATTGTTATCGCCTGCCGTGAGCTACAGGGAAGACGAGTTTGGAGCATTATTGCCTGCGAATGATTTGCCGGGATTTCAGCCTGACCCCGATTTCGATCTGTTCGAGCTTCACCCGGATTTTGTTCCGCCAGAACAATATTCTCTCCACCCAACACCAGGGTATGCTCCCCTGCCTGAGTGGGATATCCCGGTCGAGAATCGGTTGCAAAGTCTGACCAATCCTCTCGTCCATTCATCGAGTCTTTGCCAGCATTCTTTTTCTCACCAACAAGGTGAATCATGGCCGCTCGTTGGGGCAGGAGGCCATGTCCAAAGCCTTTGGGCGACGCCGCTTCCTGTTGATGTGCCTTCTTCGAGACAAGGTGTTGCTCCAGGAGCGAGCAACAAACAATGGGGAGGAAGGAGCGGGCAGAGAGACACCTCAAAGGATGATTTTCTTGTACAGTGCAAATCACAGGGCATGTCATACAAGCAGATCAAAGAGTTGGGGGCCTTTGACGAAGCGGAATCAACTCTGCGAGGGAGGTATCGAGTTTTGACCAAACCAAAAGAGGCACGACTTAGAAAACCCGAATGGGGAGAACGAGAAGTGAGTGTTCGTCAACCTGAGAGCGAGTTTGGTGGCTAATCAGGGATGACAGATACAGCTGCTGTTCGAAGGAGTGTCACAATGCTCCAAGTCTAATCCTGACGCTGGCAGACAATCCGCGGAACTCGATGCGGTCTCTATAGGTCAATTTGTGAGCAAGGTACCCTGGAAGCAAGTTGCTGAATTCATGGAACGTCGAGGCGCCTATAGGTATGGGAATGCCACGGCAAAGAAAAAATACCTAGAGCTCCTGAAGGCTCGAGGTATTCCGGTCTCCGTATCCAGAAATGAAGCCGGCAATGTTGGAAATGATATGACATCGACCGAAATCGTGAACGAACAGGTTCCTCAGGTCTGAATCTATAAGAACGGTCCCATGGGCTCAACAGGGAACCTTAGGAGGACCGCCTCAACAGAATCATTCATTTCGAAAACTCGGAGAATACCATCTTCTCAATAACTGTCTGACGATTTTCCCTTCTGAATGGGCAAGTCGATCATTTTGATCATATCAGCTCATTCCCGCGGACTTTATTGGACACTCTCTTATCGAGGAAACATCTTTCTCTGGTCTCTCATGGCAGCAAAAGTCGATCTGATCTCACAGATAATGCATTCACCTCGCTGAGCACGTTCAGACCTCTCTTCAGCGCTCCTTTGATCCGGTCCCGACGACGTCGAAATTCCGAGGATCAGTCTCGGAGAAAGAGGCTCTAGTCTCTACCGTTTCCTCGGATTCGGTCCGGCATCAAATGAAAATTGACGAGAATTTGACCCAGCGCAACCAATTCCGGAACGAACCATCCCCGACGCTAATTTGAACCTCACGTTCATAAAAGTGCCTTTTAAGTCAGACACTACCACTTGTTCTGGCCATGGGCTCGACCGGGCGAGAGGCCTGACTCGCTCGTGCGGACTCGTGCGAGTTATTGTTGATGAGATAACGAGTCGAGCCGGTGGAGATCTGCATTTGATATTGATCACTGTCCCAATTCAGGCAGGCGTGTTTTCTGACTCCAGGACTTCTGAGTCAAGCGAAGTCTACCGAGGATCAAGAAACCCCTGAAGGGTTGAGTTTTCACCAATGAATGGACGTTCTTTGGGCTCTCAAAGCCTGCGACTTACCCCAGACCCAGCGTCCCCGCATTCGACAATGCAATATACCCAGTGGACGGGCTCAAAGGTTCTCTGACGGCCCAAAAAGCTTAGAGACCTTACCGTGGTCCACGCGCTATATCGAATGAGAGATGTCCATCGGTGGAGAGGTTGGAACAAGAAACATATTTAATGTTCGCTATCCCCCCGTCGCCCTGTTTGATGAGCCCTCATCTATCGCCCAATCGGTACCAAACGATTCATATTTTCTCGGCTTCCCAACCTTTTATACAACATGCGTCGTCACGAGGCCGAGGAAGGTCTGCTCCGGCGACAAAAATTGAACGCCCACACATGTGCTGTCCTCGTTGTTCTTGGGTTCGGTTCCTTGACGTATGGCTATACTGCGTCCATCATTGGTACTACTTTGGGTACGTCATAAATGCATCGGACCCTCCGAAACGAATAAGACTGAGATTGTCAGGCCAACCTTCTTTCATCGAATACTTTGATCTCGCCACAAGATCCAATGGAACGGACCTAATTTCGACGATGAATGGTCTTTTCCAGGCCGGTGGCGTTATCGGTACATTAATACTACCGACGGTGGCAGATAAATGGGGCCGGAAATGGGCTTGCGCTTTGGTATGGTCGATGAAGTCAATAGCTATTTCTGTGCTGCCGTTCTAACTTGACATAGTCCGCCATCCTTGCCGTGATTTCTGGTGCTGTAATGACTGGGAGCGTCAACGTCGGCATGTTCATCGCCTTTCGTTTCGTCGCCGGCGCCAGCGCTTTCATGATCTTGGCTGCCGTACCAATCTTAATGAACGAAATCGTGCCTGTTCATATGCGAGGCGCTCTAGTCGATGTCCACGCAGTGATGCTCGTGCTTGGGTACACAATCCAAGGTTGGGTTGGCTTTGGATTCTATTTTTGGCAAAGCGGGAGCACAAATACCTGGCGTCCACCCATTGCCATTCAGTGTTTCTGGCCGCTCTGCCTGTTGATCGGTCTTTTCTTCGTCCCAGAGAGTCCCAGATGGCTTGTGATGCAAGGACGAGACGCCGAGGCCGAGGCCGTCCTAATGAAACTTCATGCAGATCCCAATGATCCCAACAATGACGCCGCGAAGGCCGAGTTTTATCAAATTCAGAAACAAATTGCCATTGACAAGACCTTGGGCAACACGTGGTGGCACATTATCAAGAAACCCTCGTATCGAAGGCGAGCTCTCCTGGCCGTCGGCATCACTGGAATCATCCAATGTTCCGGAGTTCTCGTTATCAACAACTACGGGCCCTCTCTGTACAAATCACTCAACTTTTCAACGGTCAAACAACTGCTCTATCCCGCGGCATGGCTAACCTTTGCTCTCGGCCTCAATGCGATGGGCATGCTTGTTGTCGACCGATTTCCCCGCAATAGGTTTATCTCTTTCGGTGTTGTGGGTTGCATGGCATCGCTGATCGTCGAAGCGGCCCTGGTCGCCAATTTTGTCCCTTCCAACAACCATGCTGCTCTGCAGGCGGCCGTGGCCATGTTCTTTGTCTTCCAAGTCTTCTACGGGCTCTGCCTCGACGGAACCCAGTTCTCGTACCTGGGCGAGATCTTTCCCACGCACCTGCGTGCCAAAGGCGTCTGTCTGGGGGTGGCCATGATCTCGTTCATGAACATCATATGGCTGCAGAGTGCCCCCACCGCCTTCGAGACCATCGGATGGAAATTCTATCTTTGCTTCATCATTCCTGGCACTATTGGCGCGATTGTCATGTGGATGTGGTTCCCTGACACGAATGGGTTGCCGCTCGAGGAAGTGGCCGCGATCTTTGGAGACTCGGACGAAGTTGCCATCTACCAGCGCGATATTGAGGTCGATTTCGCCACGCATACGATTGTGGACCACCATGTGACAGATAAAGGGGTGGATGCTGCTCACGTTGAATCTGATTCGGTTCCCACCAGTGAAAAGTAGGGAATGCGAGGCCTCAATGTGGGCCGAGACGAAGCGAGTGTGCCGGATCCTGCTGGGGGAAGTTTGAGTAGGCGTGCTTCATAATATAAGCGGAGGGAGCACATAGTGGACAAAAATCAATCTATTGACCTTCGCCCCCGCAAACGATGAGACACTAGGGGGAAGGGATTGCAAGGAGGCCCGATTTGCTGTGTCCGGGGCAGGGAAGTTTAATGTATCGGACCGCTGGGTTTTTCCGGCTCCGAGGGCTCGAAGGGCCTAAGAGGGCTTCCTGACCACTTCCTTCCAGGTTCCCTTTTCACGTCAAGACGCTTGTATTGACTTCATACGACATCCTGTGCTTGGTCATGCAGATCCCCGGGGGCGTATTCCGCCCGCATGGCTTCAGCAAGAGATAGTCAAAGCAGCCAATCTGTCTCTGCCTCCACACCGGCCATCATTGCCGAGAGCGACACACCATGCGCCGTCTGTCGTCGTCCGCGATGTCAATTGCAGTCCCACAAAGCTTACCTCGCCGGCCAACGTCGAGGCGGAGACCCCAAGCCAGGTGCTGATAAGCCCCGGCGGCCGCCTTACCTCGATGATCTCAGACTGCCCGACACATCGTATTCCCGGTCATATGCCTTTACTCGTGCACTCCCATCAACAGTACCTCATAGCGTGAGCTCGGGCCGACTAGATGGCTTTCATGATCTTCCTGTTCCTGGCGGCCATCAGCCCGAGCTGCACCATGCGGTCTACAGCCGTGAGTGTGGCCTGCATCGATGTACAAGAATCCTCATTATGGAAGTCTCGATACTGACTCCCTTGGTCGCGATTGGCAGTGTTGAACTTCAAAATTGGTGCGGCAACAGCATTTCCCTTGCCAGTCGGGTTGGCGGTCAATGACATCGGCGGAAGCATGACTATGCCTGTCATGACGGACACGTCTTTGTGCTTGAGCGTCATTGCAGCCTGGCGAGCCGTCCAGATCCTGATTGGCCAGGCTCCAGAATATCTATATCTCTCATACGAGGCCCAGGCATTTCAATCTCTCCGCAAACAGCTGCTTGATCAGGGTCCTGGTGGGGTGACTGACCAAGCCGTCATGGCCGCTGCGTTGCTCTGGGCCACCTCGACCATGTTCGCCCAGGCCGAGGCCCTGCGACGACATGCAGCCGGTGTTCGTGCGCTTGTGATGGCACGACGTGGACTAGACAACCTGGGATACGCCGGTTCCGTCAAACAGCTAATTCTTTGGGCAGACTTCCTCACTGCACAATTCCTAGGGGAAGATGTGTCCTTCAAGGACGTTGGACCAATGACCCCCATGCCAGTATCCCTCGTCAAATTACGCAATTCTATCGTCATACCTCCACCGTTCGACTGTTTGCTCCCACAAACGTTGAAAGCGGCACAGGATCTCCGGCTGTTACTGATTTCACACGACCACGCCATGCGAACAGGTCGAATTTCAATTGCCGAGTACAAAGCGTTAATGAGTTTATTGAACCAAAGTACCATCAACAGAATTGGACTGGAGGTTCGGTACAAAAACTCCAAAACTATCGATGAGTGTGTGGTGTTGGCGATGAACTTATTGCGATTTACCGTCTTGTTCCACGCGGGGCCCCTTTTCATCATTGTCGCCAAGGTCATCGAGCGCCTACGAACGGCCCTGGTTCGCAGTGGTGTCGACCAATGGCTTAGTTGCATCGACATATTCATCTGGGCGTGCTTTGTCGGTATGGTGAATAACTTTGAAAATCAGAACCGAGAACACTTTGTCAACATGGCAGGCCGCGCCTTGACCATCAAGTACAAAAATAGATGGCCTGGAGACTGGCGGGACGACATTCTGTCAGTGCTTCGCTCGTTTCTCTGGTCTGATGCCATTCTTACAGATTTATTCCCCAAGGCTTGTCAGTGGATTGAACGGCCGATGTCGTCGCCAGACACGGCATAATCGACTTTGGTTCAACGTGTCCAAAGCCAGGACTCCCTTCACCTACGGTGGAAACGACAGTCTGCCCGAGAAGAGATCGATGGTCGTGAAGATTTTCTATCTGGCGGAATGTAGCCGCCCATATATCAGTTTGTTGGCACTCAATTAGTGCTTGGATAATATGGATCTTCTCTGTCGAACGGAAAAGGGCTTCACGATTTCAAACGGCTGCAAGCGAGGGCCATGATGGCACGAGGAGATGGAATATATGATTTTCACGCGGTTGGAATGGACATGTCCAGGATAACGGCCATAATATTACTGATGACACATTTGCAATTCAACAAGCCACCTCTATTTCGCTCGTCACATCTCCATGGAAAGGGGATCTTATTTATGACCCTCGATTTTTGAGTCCTTCCAAGGTCAGACAAAAGAAATCCAGGAACCATGGGTGTCTCTCCTGGACTGGATACTATTTCCATACAGCTCAACCATGTGGTGCAAATCTGAAATTTTCTCTTGTCCTTAGGATTTGTTGACGGCAACGAGATGGGCGGTGTCAAATCCAGATGTCCGCGTTGTCGTTCAGTCTGGTGAAGGGAAATTTTTTACCGCAGGTACCTAAGATCGCCGCAAGCCTATCCATAGATCCCAATGCTGATGCTTATTATCGATGGTAACTACCAGGTATGGACCTGACGGATGGTGTTTATGATGACTCGGAGACCGTCCTCCCGGATGCGGCCATTGAAATGCTGGAGTATGTCGGACAGGCGACTTCGCCTGATATTCTCGCCTGGCACGTTCACCCTGACTAATATGTTGTTCCCTCTAGCGCATACCACAAACTCCTGATCAACAGCCCGAAAATTATGATCGCGGCTGTCAACGGACCCGGCATTGGATACGGAACCTCCAGCATCGCACTCTTCGACCTGGTCTACGCAGTACCCGAGACCTACTTCTTCACTCCCTTTGTGAAATGGGGCTTGTGTGCAGAAGCGTGCTCAAGTTTCACCTTTGCCAGCATTCTTGGTCGCCAAAAGGCTTCGGCGCTTATTCTCGCTGATGAACGCATGAGTGCGGCCGACCTCGAACGGGCGGGCCTGATTACGCGAGTCATCCCCGCAAAAAGCACTCATGACTGAGGTTTTGAATGTGGCAGAGCGGATTGCTAAGTTGCCGGCTGAGAGTCTGCAGGTCAACAAGGCTTTGATGATGGCCCCATTCCGCAAACAGTTGCTGAAGGCAAATGAGGTCGAGATTACAACATTGAGAAAGCGGGCCAGGAACCACGAGGCTAAAAACGCCATCAAGACCTTCGCAGAGGGCCAGTACCGGAAGAGGAAAGTGAAGCTCAGGTCAATGTTATAGTCACTGCCGCAATCAGGCTGTGTACGGAAGGTAGGCACGAGCTCGATCTGTGTGCGATTGGATAAGATCATACATGTGAAACAGGACCCGGATATCATCACGTCTCGAAATGTTGACACACAAGGATTAATGGGAAATGGCCTGGACGAAACCGCGTCCAATGCAGTTGACCCGTCGTTAGGTATAAAGCAAAGCAAAATCTGCGTTCCTGTGTGTCGACAACATCGTTTTTGATTCCCCCCTCCTTTCTCCCCCGACGGCCCTGACTGCCAATTCGAAGGAAGGATTGGCCTCCTCGTATTTCAAAGGATGGGTATACCTTCAGACTCTATAACTAGGTGCCATTTCGCCGGGAGGATCTTGCCATCGACCCATTTGCTGAACAGGGATCGGGCTCATCTTTGATGCCTCTTTTCTTCATTGATTTTCGGATTGAGAAGGCGACCGATCTCCTCCACTCTTCTAACTTATCTTTCGCTTCTTTGATTCTGCGCCAAAGGTTGCCGCCATGGGCCTTTGAATTTTCTGGAATGTCGTTTCTCCTGCCTATGGCCGCATGAAATCAGAAAGTCAGATCTCTTCCTACGGTACCCTTCCGATCCGCTGTCTTGCTGAACGACTAGCGCACGCGGGCCAAGCTTCGGGATTGAGTTGCTGGCGCCTATCCACTTGAAAGGCTGGTTTATTGTTGAGCAACTTGGATCACCTCTCAGCTATCGTCGCAGATCATTAGCTGACTAACTGTGCGATACTCGAATCAAACATTTGCCTGTGCGGGAGGTACATACAAATTGCATCCATGGAGACGACATTTTGATGAAGTCGAACAATTAAAGAGATCGTGAAAAAAAAAAAAAAAAAAAACCGTCTGTCGGCCGTTCAAAACAAAGGCTTCATTCAGTCTGCAGACCACGCTCAGGGCTTCCTGGCAACACCCCTAAGCCTGACATAGCCCAACCACTGGCTGCCATCCTCTCTGCCAACGACGTCTTTGAAAATCTCACACGCTTCCTGCACCACGGCCTCTTGCTTTCTTCGATTTTCTCCAACATACTATCACACATCGACCGGACTCATCCCTCCGACTTCCTTCAACGCCTCTGCCCATCCTCGCCTGAGACGGATAGACCCACGAGCTGGCATCGCATGTTTGCACCATCGACAAGCCCGCGTGGCATAGTGCGCCTGTTACCGCTACGCATATCTCAGCCACGTTTCCCGTATTACCCATCTTGAAGACGAATGTCCCGTCGGCTTCAGCGCCGCGAAGCATGCTTTTAGCGTCACCATGCTCGTGCTGGGTTCGTGGAGAATCCAGTGCGGTGTGGTGGTTGGAAATGCTGCATCAATCGACCCGGGTTGAGTGACTAAATTATTTGAACGATATGATGCGAAGTCCACCTATCAAGACGGGTAGAATCTGGGGAATTCGAAGGTTAGGATTGCACGACAAATGTTTGGTGCTCTCTCATGTGAATGATCCTTCTGTTGAGAGTATCCTCCCGAGACCTACATATGAGTGCTGTATATGTACATTTTGCAACAGTCCAATCCGGCATTTCACCTGTAATGGCGAGGCCGATGTCAGGTGATCCCAGTCACGTGCGGCTCGTGTACCTTCCCGCAACATCGACGAAGAGGACGAGCGGGAAGAATGTGAGCAAGCACGATACCGTTACAAGCGTAACCTGACCAAGGAAGAGGTTGGAAACTTGCCAATACCACAACCATCCATACGAGATGTAAATCCCACCTACCGACTCTCGCACATCCCCTGTATGATTGCATATTGTTGCAGGAGAAGGCGATGCGATGCGATCAGAAGCATCGAATTGGCTGTTCCCTAACGTGTACAAGCTTGGGGTTCGCCTAAGACCCGGTAGCGGATGGGATCATCGTAGTCGGGAGCCAGAGCGCGTTGTATCCCTGAAATTTGTGCGATGATAATGCCGAGAATTGACATGCCATCAGCGAGGGAGAGCCAGGCAAGGAATGTGTGTTGGTTTGCTGGAAGCAGTTAGCTATCACATGGTTATCACATAGATGCACTGAGCGGTATTTCCAGGGATACATATTCAGCCGAGAGACTTTTTCGGAGACCTTGTTCCATCGCTCACAATCTCCTCGATGCCTTTAATTTTTTCTTCGTCGGGGCTGCTTTATCCTGATCCCGTACCTGATGAGTCTACAGCTACGGGCTCTCTGCGGAGGGGTGCCTGTGATTCGAGGAGGCCGGCGAGCGTTTTGGTCCCCATGGCAGGACGGGTGGAGGATTTCCAGAAGAACAACCTCATAGTGAAAATGTAGCACCTATCGAGCAATCAATGATCAACGTTTCCATCATACTCTTGACGAGCAGCAGCGTGTGAGCGTCAAACATCAGCTTGGACTGGGGAATGACATCAAGATCCTTCCCGACTGGTCATCCATAGCGGCAATTGCCTTTTGGCACATCATCCCTCGGAAAGCGTTATGTGCTAAAACATTCTGACAGATGCAGTGGTGCGAGGCCCGCAAAGCGGAAGTTTGACAAATGCGTCATTGCAAATTGAATGCACAATGACTTTCTCGGACCTTCTGGCTGCCATCCAGAAGAATAAAAAGAGCATTTTCTGCAAACACATGGATGGGAAGTTGATAATATCTCGTTCTGCTCTGCAGATTTCCCAGTCAGAAAAATGGCAGCGAATATCCGATCACATGAGCTGTCCAGGTCGCTTTGCCCGAAACCGACATCGCAGCCGCAGGCAAAGTCAAAAAGGCCCAGACAGAGACCGAGAGTCAAACACATGTCCCAGCGCAGTGTCAATTCCAGTTCGAGTTCGAGCTTGGGTGCAAGGACCGGTCGCTGGTATTGCCGCCACTGCCGCCACCATCTGCTTCGGCATTGTCATGTCTGATTGAATTCCGATATTATCTCATCTTCCTCTCCATCAACCCTACCTCCACGTACTCCTTCGATCAGTCCTCTAATCCAGTCCAGAAGCCTTCACAGGCATACTTCGGCCCGGATCGAGTCCCCTCGTGCTCTTGGTCCCCATTCACCACGTCAAGTCACACAGTCAACGAGTACTGCGCACCCCGCACTTCCCAAAATGACGGGCTTCTCAAAGAGTCAGAGGATTGGTGTTTTGCTGGCCATAGACACAGCATTCTTCCTTGTTGAGCTTTTTGTGGGTGAGTAATTTCGCTCTGCCGGCTAAAACTGCTTCAATGCGGTAGTTGACTGGTCCCTAGGTTATGCTGTCCATTCGTTAGCCCTTGTGGCCGATTCCTTTCATATGTTGAACGATGTTTTATCTCTGTGTGTGGGACTATGGGCCGTCCGTGTTGCCAACACCGGAAGGTCAAAAATGTACACGTATGGCTGGCAACGAGCCGAGACCTTGGGCGCTCTGGTCAATGGAGTTTTCTTGGTCGCCCTCTGTCTATCCATATTTCTAGAAGCAATCCAACGTTTCGTCGAACCTCAAGTCGTCTCCAACCCCAAACTCGTCCTCATCGTCGGTTGTCTGGGGCTGACCTCCAACATTCTCGGTCTCTTCCTATTCCATGAGCATGGCCACGGTGATGGCGGAGAAGAGCTTTCCCACGATACAGATGCGCTAAAATCGGCCGAGGAAGGTCACGGCCACATTCATGCTGAGGATGAAACCCAGGCGGGGGCAGAAGAACATGGGAACGTGGAAGGTGGACGTCCCCAAGTCCATGTTGCCGGGGATCAAGCCTCCGATACGAAAGGATTCACCCCCTCCGATGAGGAAAACACTACGCTGTCTGCCCAATCATCCCAGATACCGCACCGCAAGCCGGTCAGTGTTGCCGATATTCATGCTCGACATCGTCGGAGAACGTCAGGTTCATTTGGCCGAGGATTTGGTTCGGTCGACAATATTCATATCCACCCTGCTTCCTTCCGTCAGGACATCATCCAAGCAGCGCGTCTGGAAGAACGATCGGAATCAGAAGCAACGGAAGAAGATGCTTTGTTGGACAAGACAGATTCACCCGACGATCGGTCTCAGGTTTTGGTGGACAGCCACACCCCCCCTTCCAAGGGCGACAAGCGATTCCCCGGTTATGGCAGCATCGGCAAACGCGCTAGTCGCGACGACAGCCACAAAGCTCACTACCATAATAAATCCAATGACGAATCACACACAGGCCACGGACACGGAGGTCATGGTCACTCTCATGGCGACCTGAACATGCGAGGTGTCTTCCTCCACGTTATGGGTGACGCACTGGGAAACCTCGGTGTGATCGGTTCGGCTCTTATCATTTGGCTCACGGCGTTCCCGGGTCGATATTACTTTGATCCCGGCATTTCACTCGTCATCACCTGCATAATCCTCTACAGTGCTATCCCCCTTTGCAAAGCCGCTAGTCGAATTCTCCTCCAAGCGGTCCCGGTGGGCATGTCAATTGACGAAATCACTGCTGACATTGAATCACTCCCGCGTGTCATTGAAGCGCACCATCTCCACGTCTGGCAGCTCAGCGACACGAAACTCGTGGCGAGCTTGCACGTCAAAGTTGACTGCGAGGTCGAAGGTGCCGGATCGGCTAGCTACATGCACCTCGCACACGAGATTCGGGCCTGTCTGCACGCCTACGGCATACACAGCTCGACCATTCAACCTGAGTTCTATACGGACCACCCGGTTTCGCCTTCTGGGTCGACTGATTTGACGAATGGAACGGGTAATAATGGACATACAAGTCCTCCACATGGCGGGAGCAACAGCAAGACTGCAAGCTTGAGAAGCGAAGGTCGCGTATGCTTACTTGAATGCGGAGATAAATGCGCAGGAAGCAAGATGTGCTGTCCGATTGAGGGGAGAGCCATCAAGAAATAAAGGATTCTGTCATAAAGACCTGTTAGATCTATTGGTCTTCCGACGTCGGCCAGGGTCGACGAGGGCGGAAGGACCATATGGATCGTGAGGAGGGACCACTGCGTGGTCCGGTTTGTCTTTGTTCTTGTCCAAATTAGTACCATTAATTCCCACCGAATTGATTCTAGGAGGTCGTTCATTTATGGTCAGCACAGAAATAGTAGATGACGACTACTCGCTGGTGGCGAGGATGGCGTTGGCGAAATGGAAATGGACTGGGTTTTGGAATTTGGGAGGTCTTTGTCACCACCTATTCAAAGCGAAACAGAGCGAGGCCAGGCCTGGAAGACCGTCTACACTCTTTCGGTACAACAGGCTGGGAGAAAAAGCGAATTCAATACAGACCAGGTGGAATGAAATGAATAAATCGTCATAAATGAGGTTTAACGAAGTCTTGGAGGTCGTATGGCCGGCTTTCTCACACATTCATTTCATGCGGTCTGTTTGACTCTGGATACGTTGTGGCAAACAAGATGGATGAAAGTGGTGTTCGGTTCCGGCGCAGGCAGGTAGGTCGAGACAGGGAAGCGAAACCAGTCAATATCCGTACACGAGTCTATGCCAACCAATTCTCGTCGGAGACAAACACGTACGGTACATCAAGGCATGTTATGTCATATCATCCAGTCCAGATCAGCCAGAAGTAGAACAACAGTACCGGCCACGCGACACGCCAGAAAGTCCTTCCGAAAAATGCCACGCGGCTACGAGGTGTCTTTGGTGATTGAGCACGTGTTGCTGTGCCGTGGGGCATGCCCCAATCGTCGCTATCGTCGAAGAGTTCGGGATGCTGGTCAGGATAAGGCGGTTTTGAAGGTGACGACGTCCGCGACGACGCGGGAATTTGCCCGTACCTGCCCATCTTGCGGGTGAAAAGACGTGAGTGCTGCTCGGTGTTCTGTATGCAGGAGGACTGTGAGCTGCGTGACTCGCGATGGCGAATGGACAAGGGTAGGAGAGGTTCGGATTTCTCACGCAGCTCGGTTGGCGCATTGGGTTTATACCTCAGAGTGTAGATGAGGAGGATCACGAGCGTTAAGCCCAGAGTCTGGCCGTAACGGATGAAGATGCCCAATTGGTCCGGGAGAAGGCAGAGGCGGTTCTGAACGGTGTCTCGTGGCGTGGCGAGTGAGGCGCCGGACATGGCTTTCTGGATGTCGACCGGGTTCCAAAGACTGACAAGCTGGACGCCTGGGATGCGAATGCCCATGGCCCAGCTCATGCTCTTGACCGTGATCTCTCTCATGCGGCCTGTGAATTCGTTGTGCTCGATCTCGCAGTAATCGTGGTCGTCCCCAGAATAGATCATCGTGATCTCTTCCGCGGTAAGGTGTTTGATGATGTCCTGCGAGATCGAGGGTGTGAGAACGTTTTGGTATTGGTATCCCGCTTGAAGAGGGATGGCGGAGCCGTGTTCACGCATCGGTCCGCATGAGGTTGAGCCGGATCGGTAAAGAGGGATGTGAGAGAGAACAATTGTTGGGAATTGAGATGAACTGATTGGCGGGCGAGATTTGAGAATGGTGTGAGATTGTTCCAGGTGAGCGGCTCGCTCTATTTCGGGGGAGAACAGCTCTCGAACGGGATTGTTCCAACTGAAGAGTGTCTCACATGTATGCTGAATAGCTTTAGCTCTGGTGTTTTTCGCTTCCACGAGAAATTCTTCAACAGGTTTCCAAATCTTGCTGGAAGATGTGGCTGCAGCACTGCCATCTCCTGCCCCTGAACTGCCAGTCTCGGGGTCGACCTGATCCATGGCGCTCAACGATACTGTGTCCAAATGAACAAACGAATGATTGCCGATAATGTCAACCCGGTTGAGTGGCCCAAAATATGCATCAAACCGCTCCTTCACAGGTCCTTGTATGCCGGCCGCAAAACCCAGATCGTGATTGCCTGGAAGCGAGGCCAATATGCGACGACTGGCGGGTTCAGCCACTCGGGCAGACGTACCTGTCAACCAAGACCGCAAGAAAATGTTGGAGAAGCGGATATATTCTTTCAGCCAAAAGTCCGATCCATATTTCCTGAAGCGCTGCTCCGGCGAAGAGGACTCGGCCGTTCCCCATTCTCGACCTCCGTCAAATAGATCACCCAGGAAGAGAGTGGCGTCGGGTCGGAGAGATTCCTGAAGGTATCGGTAGGATCGTCGGAGGTAAAGGTCGGTGTAGAGGACGGTCAAGCGGGACAGAGGCCATGGTCTGTCAGGGTAGGTATGTGGATCGACAAGTTGAGGGTCGGCCACGAGAAGGACATGATAAGGCTGAGCATGAGCAGGCTGACGAGAAGTTAGCATGGTTCCTTCCAGGGTATTCTTTTCCTAACTGACCCACGATTCCCACTGCTGCCACAGACACGGCGTGGTACTTCTCTGAAAGATCAGTCGTTCGCCCCAAAAGAGAACGAAGACCCAGAGCAATACCAGGGCTGACGGGAGGCTCAAGAGGCGATTCTTAATCCCGAAAAAGTCATGGGATCCAACGCCAGCACTGCCTTTCATACTCTCAGATGCGTGGTGGAACAGTGGCGCTCATCGTCGCCGGAATGAAAGACGGCGCACCTGGCGTGTTAATGAACGTGAACAACTTGAAGAACACGTGTTTGTAGGATGTCTCGAATGCCCCGTGTCATGTAGACGCAGATGTACTTTTCACCTGCGGCACCAAATGTGGTAAGGCTCCAAATCCCCGCCGAAACAATCAGCCCACGAAACCACCCGGTCCCAATCAAATTCCTTCACCCGTGTCTTCGTCCAATTGATGTCCTTGCCGCCATTCTCACCAGCATGTTCCACTTATAAATCATCCGTCGACACACACAGATCAGCGGCCTTGAACGATGCCGGTCCCATGTCTGTCCTTACTGCTCTCCCCTCATCATGGACGGTGTTTCCGTCGCCAGCGGGGTGGCTGGTCTCATAACCCTGGCCTTGCAAGTCAGTGGCACCATAGCAATATATGTCAACTCCATCAAGGAGCGATCAAAGAACATCCAGGAGCTACATGATGAATTGCTGTTGCTGGGCGAAGTCCTGAGCGGATTACGCGATTTCCTTGACAGTGAAAAGGCTAGAGGACGCTCTTTCGATTCCAACTCGGTGTTGCAGAAAGCCCTCAGGGACTGTCGAGATCGCATAGAGCGCATTGGCGACAGGCTAAAGCCTTCAGATGGTGGAAAAGCGGCCAGGGCCCTGGACAAGCTAAGATGGCCATTCGAACAAAGAGAAGTCATGCAGATGGTCGAAAATCTACGACGCTACGGTCAGACCTTCCAGTTCGCCTTCACGATCGAGGGCTGCGCTCTGTTGTCCCAGACATCCGATGATGCCACAAAGGGCTTGCAGGAAATGCTTCAAGTATCGAGGAAAATCAGTGAATTATCCGCCCAGATGGGTCTTTCCACCGAAGAGTCGTCGAAGCGTACCGCCCAGCTCGAGCAAATTATGGCCCTGGTGCCAATGCTTGCAAGAACGGCTGCTGATGTCAGTGAACTGTCTCAAGCTTCTCGACTCGCCGAGCTCCGCGAGCAAGAAAGGCGGACCACCGATATTCTGGATTGGCTGGCCCCCGTTTCCTCCCTGCACAAACATCGCGATTTGCAGCTCAGGCGGGCGGAAGGAACGGGGCGGTGGTTTCTTGAACATCGAGACTTCTTAGCGTGGGCTGAGGATGAGACTGGTGAACATGACCTTCTCTGCGTTGGAGGGCCCGGTGCTGGGAAATCCGTCCTATGCTCTCTTATCATCGATCACCTGCGTGCCACTTTCAAAGATCGAGAAGTTGCCGTGGCCTATTATTACTACGACTATTCAGAACAGCAATCACAGAGCCCATCTCATTTTGCCGGATCACTTCTACGCCAGTTAAGCTCTTCTGGCGATATGGTGCCCTCCGCTGTGGCTGAATTTTATCAACGAACCAGAAACGACGTCAAAGACCAGACCTGGTTTAACGACTTGCGTACGATCCTACGCCGTGTCGCTGCGACATATTCTCGATGCTACATTATAGTCGACGCTCTCGACGAAGCCGACGGTCAGAGCCGACGGTCAGGTTTCTTCGACGTACTCGACGCCGTCAGAAATTCTTCAGGAAGCGTGGTGAAAGTTTTGGTCACGTCCAGACCTCATGTGGTTAGCAATGGAGGCCGATTCCACAACGCCCGCACCATCGATATTCTTGCGGATCCCCGAGACCTCCGCCAGTTCCTTACTAAAGCGATCCAGGACCACCCGGACTCAGAGTACACAATGGATGATGAACTACGAGGACAGATACTCAATACGTTATGTGATAATGCGAACGGCATGTTTTTACTTCCCGCCCTTCAAATCCGCACGATCCTCGATCAGATTACCAAAGCGGATGTAAAGAAGACATTGCAACATCTTTCGACGAATTTGACCGAGGCGTTTCAATCGACGATCCAAAGAATTTCTAATTTATCCGCTACACGACGAGAACTCGCCTTCAGAACGTTGATGTGGATATCTCATGCGAGGAGGCCTCTAACCGTATCAGAATTACAACATGCCTTGGCATTGCGAATCGATGATAATGACATCGATAGGGATAACTTTCCTTCCGTTCGGACTCTTGTCGACTGCTGTTGTGGACTGGTTGAAGTGGACCGAGAGAGCTCCATCATACGCCTGGTGCACCACTCCCTCGAAGAATATTTACGACACCAAGACCATGGCCTCTTCATAAATGCCAACCTCATAATGACCCAAACCTGTCTCAGGTATCTCATGCTGGAGTCGGTAAAACTCATGGCCTTCAAGAGCCGCACCGATTTTGCATCAGCGATTGAAGATTTCCCATTCCTGGAGTATGCAGCTCTTCAATGGGGTCATCATGCCTACGGAGTACCAGCAGAAGACATAAAAGATTTGGCACTCCCATTGCTCTCTGACAGCCTGTCTCTGATCACCATTGCCAGAACCCGAGACTTTCGGGCATTTGACTTTCGAAAGTGGAAAGCAAAGGTGTGGGCTTGGGCATACTCGAGTGGAGCTGGAATCTCTGTGACGGCAGCATTCGGACTTAAGGGGCTGCTCCAGCTGCTGGTCGCCCAGAATGGACGAAGCCTCCGACTCGATGCTCGAAACATGTATGGAAACACTCCCCTCCATGAGGCGGCCCTCTACGGACATGAAAGCGTGGCTGAGTTGTTGATTGAGAAAGGGGCGGATGTCCTAGATACGAACTATGGAAGTGCCACTCCATTATTCCTTGCGGTTTCGTATCGCCAGCTCTCCATGGTCAGATTGCTTCTCAAGCATGGGCGAGCGCAATTGGACTCTCGTGGTCCAAGAGGATTCACCGCTTTACATAAGGCTGCAGAGCAAGGCGATCAAGAAGTGGTCACGACACTGCTACAAGCCGGAGCCTTGGTTGCCGCACATGACAATCAAGGAGACACCGCTTTACACCTTGCCGCGCGTCGGGGCTATCTCTCCATTGCGAAATTGCTCGTGCTCGCGGGCGCCTTTGTCCATATCAAAGACAGAGATGGTCTTTATCCTCTCGACTATGCTGCAACGGGTGGGCATACAGAACTTGTTGAATATCTCCTCGAAAATGGTGGCCGCGTTACCCAGACTGGAAGAGGGTTTTGGACTCCACTTCACCACGCAGCAAGAGGAGGGCATAGCAAAACGGTCTCCTACATCCTTGACCGAGGAGCGGACATGCTCGCCGTCGACTCCAAAGGAAACACCCCTTTGCACCTTGCGGTCCGATCTGGGAGCATGGACACCGCCAAAATCTTGTTAGAGCACAAACCAGAACTAAAGCGCGAGCAACTTTTCGCCCGAGACCGCAAGGGTTCGACCCCTCGGGTTGTCGCTTTCTACACAGCTCATTACGATATTCACAAGTATCTTAGAGCCGCGGAATGGGAAGTGCTGGGCACGAAACCTAGCAATGCGAATATACTTACCCATGTGATTGAGAAAGGCGACCTGGAGGCGGTTCGCGAGCATCTTGATACGCATCCCGAAGCGCTCACGACCCTAGACGAAGATGGGCAACCACCTCTGCACGTCGCTTTGCAGGAAGGACAGAAGGAGATCGTCGAACTACTCATGGCGCGTGGTGCCTCGATCGAGATGATGGGATACCATGGCTGGCGACCTTTGCACATTGCCGCGTCGCTGGGGAATCTCGAACTCGTCGATTTATGTCTTGCCTGCAACGCTGACCTGAAAACAAGATCACATACGAGCCAAACGGCCCTCCACAAAGCAGTCTCCAGCCACTCGATTCCCGTTGTGCGGCGACTCATCGAAAAAGGCGCCGACCCGTCGGAAACTAACGACCGCGGCATGACGCCGCTGCACATCGCCGCGCATCAGAACGACATCCAGATCGTCAGGATGCTGGTGCTCGAGTATGGCGTCGACACTCTAGCCCGAGATCGTCAGGGACTCACTCCTGCGATGTGGGCTGAAAGGTCCGCCCACCTTGAGGTCCTGGCTTTTCTGCGTGTCGAGATGAAGAAGGCCAAGATGGCGAGGAAAGCGGGCTTGGATGTTCAGGATATCACTTACGACTTGAGCGACGTGGACCTTGAGGATTGAGATCCCGAGTTGTGACGTATGTCGACTTGTATCAAACATGAGAAATTGAAGACCTTTCATTTTTGAAGCTCTGGAGCTCTGAATATCTATGAATCTATTCTTACAATTCATGTATCCGCCCGTCCCCAGTTTGACCATCTTCCAACCCAGGTTTCCCTCACCAAAATCCAGCTCCTCTATTCGGCCCTTGGGACCAAGAGGAATAGAAGGAAGTCCGACCTGGTCCACCGACCTGACTGGCACTGTCTTCGGGAGCCACTGTTCTCGAACTACTCAGCACCTCCTCTGCCACCGGGACTCTCGCACCACCAATGCCGCGCGCATATCTAGAGCCGTCCGGAGCCTGAACAATCTCTGCCACGGTATTCATCCTCACTCCGTGGACTGGAATGTTCGCGGACGTGAGTCGACTATTTGCCCTGGCCAAGGCGTGACTAGGGGAAGCAGGAGGATGCAATCTGCTCACAGATCCCGAATGAAGGAGCGTAGGAGCTTGAAGGACAGTTTTGCCCGCGGGACCAAGTGAGGCTTCAAGGTTTCGGCGTCGCTCTTCCTCCTCCATGTCCAGCCGCTCTTGGGTACCGAAGTTGCGCATGCCAACGAAATCGATCCTGGAAATCATTTGCACTGCGACTTCGAGCATGGAGCGAATCACGGCTCGGTTGATGAGGGATTTTCCAGTCGTCTCTCCGTCTGTGAGTTCGCCGATTTCCAAGGATTCGTTCTGAGCTAGCACTTCGTTGATTCCAGTATGCACTAGTGACAATTCGTAGTGGATTCGGCCTTCCCGTGCTAGCTTGTCGTAATCCTCTCTCGGACCCTCATATCCTTGCCAGAGCTTCTTGTCCTGGGGATGCACCTTGAACATAAGACTCTTCGCCTCGGTCACCTTGAGTTGGATGTCAGCGTAGCCGGGCAAGTTGCAGCGATGACAGCTGACCCGTCTGACGATGAGATTTCTGATTTTAATTTCGTGGTCATTAGGTTGGCGGAATACGATCATCAACTTCTCTCTACGTGGCACAACATAGAGCGAGTTGACGAAGCTGGAAGCGCTCTTGGTGAGCATTTTCGACGGGTTGGCCCATTTCAGATGACCCGAAAGAGTGGCGGAAGCGTCCCAGATGTGAGCAGGGGCATGCATATTCACCATGCCAACAGTCACAATGCCTTTTCGCAACTCATGGTTTCCAGACTGGTCAACCATGATAAGGAAATCTTCGTTGGATCTGCTTTGGCATGAAAACTCGTAGCTAGTAGATTGCGGTCCGGGGCAAGGGCTCCATAACTTGTTGTTGCCACTTCCAGAAGAGGCTTTCAGTTCAAGGACACGATCAACATCCGCACCATTTGTCGTCAAAATCTTGGTAAAAGTGGTAGGTGTGTGAGACGCCGCAGTCTCAGGGTCAAACAATGAGGACCAGGCAGCCACATCGTAGTAATGACGGTCTAAAAACTGAGGGCCAGGAGATACCAGCACTTGACCCAATTGAATCTCGAAAAGCAGTTTCCCATTGAAGGCTCGGCCGGTTTCAAATATGGGTTCAAGTTGCCGAAGCAATGTGGAACACTGTCGGTCTCGAAGGTTCGATTCAACAATTTGAGGATGCGCCTCTGCCATGACTAGATTTTTCGAGATTTGCTTTCTCTTCCACCTGCTCATCTCCTCTAGTGGGGTGTCTGTGGCCGTTTTTAGTTGCTGAGGTACTTTAGTTGGTGCTGGGCCATACGCATCCAGCTTCGCTTTTTCTACTCTTTCTTTTCTTTCTGCTTTAGTTTCCTGTTTCATAGGCTTCTTGCCCGGGTTTTTGCCTTGCTGATTCATTGTAGAGTGCAGTGGAGGCGTGTCATCGTCAACTGCTTTTCTGTTTGGAGTCTGGTCGTTCTGCGTGTTTCTTGCTGCGATAGCCTCCATGGCGGCTCGCAAACTATTTTCCCTTAGTAGGGCATGGTTCTTCTTCGGTATGAAGGTGGCCGTATAATCAGCTCCCTCATCACTGAACCTTATTCGAGATTCTCCAGACGTTGCAGATCGAGAACAACTAGATGGTTTCTGACGACCCAGTGGTGAAGGTTGTTGACTTGGCGTGTCGGTTTTGCGATGAAGCTCTAACGCCTGCGATTGTTGCTGACGAATTAGAGGTACCCGGGATTCGAAACCAGGGGGGATGACGGGCGGATAGCGCACCTCAGAGCTTCTCGTATCGACCAAGTTTCTCTGTTGATGTTGAAATGAATCGCCTCGTGATCCGCGACCTCTGGTGGATCTTCCCGGGGGAGCGGATACACGAGAGCTGTTACCACGATAACCAGAGTGCCCATGGTGTGAAGCGTGCTCAGTTCGTCGCGTGACTTGAGCGTGTGTATTGCTCACTTGGGCTCTACCACCTCGATTGCCGGCGCTACGAAAGCTGCTTCCCGCACGTGGCCCAATGGCTCCTGGTTGTCCGCGGACAAGCTTCGATGATGGCCAGTACGCATTGGGATCCAACTCTGGGTGCGGTGAAGATGGAGTACTTGGAACTTTCGGTGCGGTGAAAGCGGAGAGCGCGGAAAACGATGGAGCAGGTCTCACTTGGTTCCTTTCCACAGACGGCTGGGCCCCTTCCAGGCTGGATCGAGTGCGAGGCTCAATGAAAGTGGTTGCTTGCATATCACCGTCGCCTGTTCCAGAAGATGGACTCGTTGGCCCTGATTCCGAATTGTCTCTGCTTCTAGCAGGGTTGTGCGGCAAGTTGGTTACCCAGTCTGATATTGATGCCTCCCTCGCAGATATAGGCAGAGGAGGAAAATTCTCAATCAAGCCGATCGCATCCTCGTCCTCAATCAAAGTTTTACCTTCTGACTTACCTGAGACATAATTTTCATCAGAATCTCCGCGTACAACAGTGAGCGGGATGTTCGATGAGAGTAGGGATTCAGTGACTGGAGACTCGGGTCTTTGATTCTCGAGCAGCTTCGGATCCGGAGGCGCGGCCATGGGTGACTTCTCAATAGGTCGGGTCTGAGGGAGAGGAACGGACGATTCATCATCGTCGCTGTCGGAGTCAATTGCGACTCTCCGGCGCATGGGCTGCGGGGGCTCAACCGGTTCGGCCGGTTCTTCCGGAGCGATTTCAGGATCCGCCCCGGAGGCCACTTTGTTCGTCCATGCGGTTATTCTTGCCTCATTGGGGTCTTGAACAGCGGACCATTTACTACTCTCGGTCGAAGCCGGGTTGGATGAGATAATTGGTTCCATATTCTTGGGATCACCAAAGCTCTCAAACACAGAGCCATCCCAGATTCTAGAACCTTGTATCTGACTGGTCTGAGATATGTCTTCCAAACAAAGATTTCCCGGTATGGCGAGTTGCAGGTCAGATGTCCGTGTACGAAGCTCACCGATCACTTTCTTAAAGAGGGTCTGCTCCATCTTGTTGACAATGACACGGGAATAGGCAGGGTGCCCGAATTGTATCTTGACGAATTGTATCGTCGCATCCTTCTGATTTGGGGGCCAGATGAGGACGTTACCAGTTGCCATGATCGATTGAGTGTTGTGCTGTTTCTTGAATGTCTCCAAGAGTGGTTCGAGCCTGGACAACTTTTCAAGAGCCAGACGAAAGTCTCCTTGAAATAATCGATATCGCTTCTCCGCTTCTTCGGCAAAGAGTGAGGTGCCCGTTAATCGATTAATCTCTTGTGCGTACATTGAAGGGAGGATACTGATGTCGCCGTTTCGAGGTTTCCAGTAGGCAATGAGATGTTGCAAGCTTTCAAGAGCATCCTGACCGTCGGACTCGTCATCAGACCAATACTCTAGTAAGCCATTGTCCTCGGATCTGTCGTCGCGAATGACATCCTCCATGACTATTCCATCCATGGGACGAATGCGAGGTTCATCGTCGAAACCAGGTTGATTAGTTTGATTGTACTCGATGTACCCGGACAGCCGGGCGAGCAAATGGAGCATCGTCTCTCTGTCGCCCTTGTCAACTTCGGCGGAGAATGTCTGAAAGTCCCAGTCAGTGGGACATTTTGAAAACTAAATAGTGTGGGATGAGATGAGGAACAAACCTGTGTGGATTCCTCGAAGGCAACGAATGGCGCGGATTCGGGGTCATCGTGGGCATCCCTAGACTTCAAAGTCAGACTCTCAGTTCGCAGTCCGCGATCGTTTTGGCGGTGTTGAAGGAGAAGACCCACTTGAAATTGCGAATGAGCTCATCGGCCTAGTTCAGGAGTCAGTAAATCTATCAGGGCTCTCCATGGCGAGACGACCAACCCCAAGCTGGCTGAATTCGAATAACGAGCCGACGAAAATCTTCTTGGTCGCCATTTTGACAAGCAGAGCGCGGCACAGCGCGCTTGCCTGGTCTGGCGACCGAAGAAGGGGGAAATCGAAAGGGTCAGACAGAGGCCGACGAGGAGATGACGGTGAAGGATTGTAGGCACAAAAGGACAACCGAATCTCCCCACAAACGAGATGAGGCGTCCAAATGTTGAGGTGTAGTCGGAAAAAATTGTTTGTCGGATTAATATTTCGCCGAGAAAGGCGACTCACATTCGCTTTTGAGCTCAATCGTTACCTAGGAATGCATGCGCGAACGTGCTAACTAGAGACGAAGGCCTACGTGTAAGAAGCGAATTGCAGTCTGTACGTGCACCTAATGGTGTACAACGTAGCGTGGATCCAATCACATAACTTTCGGGAAAGGAGGCCATGCTTTTTACTGTCCAGTTTTTCTACAACGTTGGCATCAGGGGAACGACTTTGGGTCATACAACCCTTCAAAGACAGCAGGTGCTTTGAGGACTTCGTCTATCAAGGGCGGGCTCAACCTCGGAACTGAGCCGCCTCCATCCGTGATCAGTGTATGTTCGAGCTAATTCAGCTCCTCATTTGGGTTCTTGCCCTGGGCGAAGCTCGCCACCGGCCTTTACAGTTTCTCATAAAGAGCTGAGAAACATTGCGGAGTGGATGCAATATTCAGAATGTTGTCTCAGAATAAGGAACGGATCGTTGACGCTTTGGCTGGTGACAGAGCTTGGTCTTCATCGAAACGAAAGCAAGGAGCAAAATACATATCCACTGATGTCTTACAGAGGCCTCTTGTTGAGGACATGTTCCTTGCCAGAAACGAAGCAGAAGCTGCGGCGACATTAGATGACTGGAGCATCTCGGCAGACCTCCTGAAACACGATGGATTCTACATTCAGTAGAAGCCCAAGCGTCGATTCAGTGAACAAAAAGGAGAAAAATCTTTCCGAAAGGTTCCTCGAGAGACGAATCAGTCAGAGTCGAAGAATATGCATTAGTGTGTATGTCTATATTCAATTCCAGGAGCTGGGACGCATGCCAGTCCCCATCCCGCGTCGTACAAAATTTGATGTAATTTCCTTCGTCACTTCGTACAGTCATCAAAGGTTTCCAGCTTTCAGATTCAGATTGATCGTGTGCATTTTCTTCATCGCCACAATTTGAACGATGTCCTTTCCATTTCAGGTTCATGCCTTGGCCGAGTCCTTTCGTCTGTGTTTTCTCAACAGGCCTTTCGTGGGACTAAGACTTTGTTTCCCCGGCTCTTCTCCGCTACGGATGTCTGGTGTTGGCGCAGGACCGTCCACACACGGTTGCGCTTGCGGAGACGCTGGCACGGCCACGGGCATCGGGCCAGGATGATTATGATTGACCACATCATCAACATTCATCACCCAACGCATCCGTCCTGTGACTTGAGTCATTTCGTCCAGCTTTCGACTTACAGCTTGGTCGTTGTGACTCGCGGCCTCACGGAGGTCGGATATAGCGGCATCGATCTCGTGTCTGTAAGCTTTGAAGTTGGTGGTTAACCTCTTATTGAGTTCTTCGAGCCGCGAGATTGTCTGCCGTTGTTGCTCGGCGATGATTTCCAATTTTTTCCGCCTCTCCAAATCATCCTCCTGTCGCCGCAGAAGGGTGTCGAAACTGCCTCTGATTTTATCCAGGCCACTTTGGTGTCGGTCGTAGTCTACCTTCCGGCATGCGACAATTGTGTCGTACTCAGATTCTTTTTGCGCGGCAAGGGCTTTTGCCTGACTAGCTTGATCTCGCCACATCTCTTCGCTAGAGGCGGCGGCGGCAGCCTGTGCCTCTGCCTTCGCCGTTTTCAACTTCTCCTTTTTGAGTTCTTCCCTTAAATCTTCAACTTGTCTCTCCTTTCTCGCCAACTGTCGAAGATTGGCCTCGTGAGACTGTTCGTAGTTGCTATTTCGATCTTGCAAGGATTGGTTCCGTGCAACTAAGACCTCATTTGTTTTCTCGGCCTCCTCGTGCCGCATCTTGAGCAATTGTTTCTCACGGCGCAGTCGGTCAATATCTCCTTGTAATCGCTCGATCACTCTGCCTGATTTGCCTGTCCCAGCATGTCCGATCGCGGACGACCAAGGCGTCGATTCAGATGAAGGAGAGGATTCAGAAGAGGACATGACTATGGACTGATCAGGAGAGCCGCAAATGAGTGGACCAGGCTGAACCGTACCTGAGCGCATCATGGAGGCACTGGCCACTCTTCCAGAAGGAGGGCGGACTCCATTCTGAGGACTCTGCTCCTTAAGCAATCCATTGACTTCAGACATAGTAGCACGCACTTTCACATCAGAGGAGAGGGTCGATGTAGCTTCTGATGCCAGATTTGGGTCAGCATGCATCGAACGAATATCTTTCAAAACAGGATGGAAGGAAACTTTATGTTGTGTTGACGGCATACCAACGTGAATATCCGACTCTTCAGACTCAGATGGAACTAAGGGCACTGGAGAAGGACTGAAAAGGCGAGACTTGTTCCTCATGACATGCCCGATCGGTAATTTGTGAATTCGAGATCTGGCACGTTCTGTGCCTGGGGGGTTCGGATCGAGTCAAAACGGTCGCAATGCAATCAACCCGTTATGGGATATTGATGGGTGTGCGAGTGCTAGTGACAACTTCGGTGATCTGGGCTGGTTACATAATTTTCGGTTCACGCAAAGGAATGAAGAAACGTAAGAGTCTCCTTTCACAGGCTGACGGCAGCAATATTTGTTTGAGATCAGCCTGCGGCCTGTGGAGACAAACAGGGGACTTTGGTGCGCGCCGTAAGCATCGCCCGGGATTCTCGGGCGGCTGGGGAGAAGACGCCAGCGGGACGCGTCAACGGCAAGCTAACCAGGTTAATGCAATGTAAACTTCAGCCAACGCGTCAATCAAAACCTTCCCCAAAGCCATCCGCAATCGACTTTTTCATGACTGGTGGTGACCACCTCACGCCTCCATGCCTCAAGCTCTCAAATTGCATTCAGAGCCCCTCGCAGCACAGGCCTTTCGGAGACCGCATCGTTAATGTCAGGGGGGCACAAAATGTCAGACGCAGTCTCCCCCAAGAAGCGACGCACAGTCACGGGCTCTCGCTACTGGATGCTATGGCTGCGTAGTAGAATCCCATTGGGCATGAGGATGCAAGAAAGTGAAAGATGAACCGCTGATTAATTGAAGGGCCTGCACACCGAAAAGTCGACCGAAGAGTATCGAGGACTTTGTGTCATATGGTTGCATATATCTCGCTTCTGTAGCTGGTGCCATGGATGAGATCTGGTGATTTCCAAAAATGTCTTGTTCTTAACGTCCGAGAATTACATCAATCAATCAACAAGATTCATGTCGAGCGAATCCAAAAGCCAACTCAAGCACATGACAGCTGCGAACAATCCCGTCACGCATGGGGTAGGGCTTCCTGGCCTCACTGGCGCTGGATGAGGCTTGGTGATGCGAGCGGTGGGCTCCTAGACGTGCTGGAAATGGTAGAGGAACTATGAAACGGTTAGCCTCTCATGTTGACTACTACCATGAATCCGTACTTGAAGGCTGCATTTCTGGGAAGCGCTGTCGGTGTATCGATTAAAGCAATGTCGGTATTCGCGATGCTTGACACGCTCGGAATAGAGTTACTTGATGCTATTATGAGATAGGAGATGGGCCACTTCCTCCAGCGATGGAGAACTGACCACTGGAGTTGATCTCATCCTTGGCCCTTGGTGATCTGGAGCGCAATCACTGAATGGCCGATGTCGACGAATGATCTGATATACGTAAATGGGAGTTGCGGACGTACGAATCAGTGGCAAGGGACTTTGAGACATTCCACAAGAAAAAATTCATCGGTCGCACCGTCGGCCAGGGTATCAATCGTCTTCAGATCATTTGGACCGCCCTGTCAAAGTGTGATCGTTACGGGCGAACCATCAACTGCAATGCTGCCAGAATTTAGTACAATTCCTCTCTTTTTATGAGCCCATGGACCAACTTACAGGATTAGCTGGTAGAAGAGAAATCACCTAACGGCTGAGAAATATACTGCACTAAAAGATGAGCAAATCCTAGTACGATCTTTCAGCCTCGTTGGGGTCTGTGACTTCTTTTGGATGCTTGCGCAAATTCAAGTACCGCATTCAGAACTTCTCGATTGATTCCACCATTGCTTGCCTTATCTTGCCCGTTCCGAGGCCGCCCTCCGAGCATGGTTGGCAATGCTGTTTAACGCATCACCTACCTTGGTCCGTAGCTGTTGACTTAATTCGCGTAGCCTCGGGCAATCCACCCCCACATGCACCACAGTTTCGATAGCCTCGACGCCGGCGATGTGTCGCCGGCTAGCAGATGGGTTTGATGTCGCATAAAGGGTGCCGTATGCGCGCAAGCTTCACTTGGCTGGAGGACCCGCGTCAACTTCGTTTCAAGTGCTTGCCAGAGAAGGTACAGAGGATTACAAAAGCGGTTTCCACCCAAAGGACATTCTAAAAGATTCTCCTGGCCAGGAGTTGAGCACGACTTGCTAGATCTAGTCAAGCCTCATCCATTCAACTCGCCAATCATGCTTGAGTACGATAATCGACTATTTAAATCCCAACCAAGAAGACATTCGTCAGACCAGCAGTTTCTAGACATGGCAATGCAATACACGATGGACAAATGACCGTGATAACAATCCCACATGAAAGCTGAATATGTTTAAGACTTCGTCCATTTTCTACCTTCTATTTTTAACCCGCACGTTATGTCAACGAGGCGTGAACAACATGAGAAGCATCACGAAGCGGCTGATGCTTCAAAGGCAGAACGTGCCCGGCGAGGTGTTAGGAAAGCAAAAAGGCAAAACTCCGGGCTAGCTGACACCTCTAAAGCTAGCCTTTTCAAACAGAGTCGAAGGTGGCAGAGAGCAGACTACTTTCCCTAGATCCGTTCGGGTGATGCCACTCCTCGCATCATTTCAAACCGGATCGCAGTCGCTGCTTCCGATAACACCCCCGCAATCCTCGACCGATACTATAACTAAAAATGATGGAGACAATAAAGTTGGAGGAGCAAGCACAAGATCAGCAGGAGCTTGTAGCATGACAAGAGGGAGCACCAAAAGAAGGGAACGAAACGACACTCCGCGAACCCGAGGTTGCAGAACTTGTCATTCAACTGAACCCAGCGAAGGATAAATCCGTAAACCTTGAGAAAGAGATTGGGAGAAGGACAATACGATCGCTCGATTGCGAGAACAAGTCAAGATCGCTGAGACTAACCGTATTGACCAAAACAATCTGTCGGAGGTGGAAGTCTTTCGCGAACAGGATGAGAACCTACGACAACTCTACGATGAATAGGAGAGAGAAAGAGGGGCTAGAAGAGCAACTCAAAGGGAGCAGAGCTGAGGTCAAGAGGTTAGAGTGGGAGCTTCAAGACGGTCAAATACGAAGAATAGGGCGAGATGTCCACCATCTGCAGCCACCAAATCCGACCAGATGGGCAACGAACAGAATGCGCCAACGGCCGAAGAGCAGCGCGAGGAACAACTTATGATGGAACATGTTTCACAAGTACCATCGGAAACAACCCCAGACCCCAATTCTTCAAGAAGGCACCGGTATTTGATGGAGTTGGCCTGCAGGCGGTTCCTGAAAGGACTTTAACCAGATTGATATGCTAAAACGAAGCTTTGGGATTTTCTTCGGCAGGCCGTGGGTAGTACTCGATTGTGGGGTCTCACGCAGCAGAATGACATTTGCTGTAAGGTTGTGCCTGGAGGATGTTGCGCGTTTATTTAGTACTATAAGATGAAGGCGGATTGCCTTCGCTGGATGGCGATCGCCAGAATTTCATATTCTAGCAGAAAATGACGGACTGACTGACAAGCCTTTTAGAAAATCCATAGCTCCGGAAAGAAAAGTGCGAGCCCCGCGAAGTACAGATACCGTCGTTCCGCCGAGGCTATTCTCCCTACGCGTAGTAGTTTAACCAAGACGTATGGTGAAGGGGTATTCCCGCCGTCGTTGCTGCCACGCTTTGTTGTGTAGGAAAAGCGGTGCTGGATTCCCCTGAGGTGTTCGCTTTCCCGACCGCAGACTGCGTTCGACACCACGACACCTCATACCCCTTTCCGAATTAGCAGATGCACGACTGGTACGAGTGGGAAAGAAGAGGAGTACATCATCCTCGACTTGATGCCACGTCCCTGTAGCAGAAAGTAGAAGCAAGACCAGGTGCAACAACACATTGGTTCCCACAACAAGGCGGCGAGAACAAGGATTTTTGGCGGTCCAGGGTGCGTTCAAAGTACTCGTTTGAAAGCTAAACGCAGGATGGCCGCCGAATTGACCGTTGCTGCGGCCTTTGGGGCTGTTATCGTTGATCGCCTTCTGTGCCACATGACCCAAAACAGCTCGTACCATGGTTCTGCTTCACATTGCCTCCCGAAACAACGATCTTGCGGCTCTTGGGATACGAGAAAGACACGTCGGTGCGTCTGATTCGACAAAATGCTGCAGCTAAACGATAGAAGGACCAAGTCCATTGAGGCGCATACACCAACCAAAGCTGAGCCTACTGCCTTACATCGTTTACCTTTTCATCATGCATGAACGCATTTCAGCTGCAGCATCTTGCCAAGTTCTGAGCCGCCTGACCGAGGGAAGGAACAGTCGAGTTGAGTGACTGCCATATATGGGAAGCCCAAAGACAACTATGCGCTACAACTATGCGCTCGGCAGCCGTTGTTTCCCTTACATGCCATAGCCTCGTCTGCGATTTATTCTTTTCGACCCTTAGACCGAGATCGAATAGTCTCTGTGCCCATGGATCCCGGACGAACACCCACGCCCGAAGAAAGACTTCGGCGACAAAGACATTTGGTACAAAAGTTGATTGACGATGCGAAACATATTGGTGAAATATTATCGCAAGAAAGACAAAAACTCAAGGACCTTGAAATTTCACATGCGGGCGATCTCGATAGCAAAATCAAGCACCTGCGGATATCAGGAGAACCTCCAGACCTCGAAGGTACGACTGGATAGAGCCTCTCAAGGATTCTCCTCAATGGCAGATGCTGAAAAGTAGACCCAGACATTCCCATGAGGTCACCGACCATACTCCCGTCGACTCATACAGAAATTGAAGGCGACAATAGTGTCCAACTCGACTATGCACCGGGTGATACGCGATTCAACCCCTATTTTATGGCGAAGTACGGGGCGCCCTCAACGGTTGACGCTCAAAAAAGACCACTGGCAGTGATATTCGATATTGACGTTCAAAGATTTGTGGACCAAGAGTTGGAATCTGGCGACGATCTGTGGGATCTCGTCATTGTATCGGGACTCCCTTCGACAGGCTTGTCCTGGAGTCTGAGTCCTCCCGTTGCCACCACCGTGGGAGAGTATTTGTGTCGCCGTTGGCCGGACATCTCGGAGCTCATGAGACTGATAATTGAACGTTTAAGTGGAAACCCAACGCACAACAAACCCGTGGCCGAACAACAGTTGGCTACTTCTGTTCTAGTTGATCCAAAATCTCGTGACCCTGGGTCCAAGGTTATGGTGCCTGCCAAAGTTGAGAAGACAGCCTTACCATCCAGTGGTCGCGACGTCGCGACGGGCATCAAAGACAAGCAGAAGAAAGGTTGGGTTGTGACAACTGGAAACCAAAGCAAAGCCTCAACGGAGACAAACACCTCAAAGAACCATGACAAGTCAGCTCGATTTGAACCTTGCTGGGAGCTACGACCAGCTGAGGATCTTATTGGTTTGACAGTCTCTGCATTTCGAGATACCGAGGCCAAAAATCCTGCAGAGCTTCTGATGTTCATGTCTGGATCAACGCCACAGCAGGCTGATCTTGTGGAAGCTCTGGCATGGCTATCTGCGGTGCTCTGCAATGTTCCAAAACAGAAGTTCCCCAACGCCTGCAGCGTTCAACTTCGGGAAATTATTCGGAGTGACCACACGGCCTTTCAAGTCTCTCTTTCGCATCAGGGAATGCATCTGAGAGCAACTGGAGATTGTTGGGCTTCATTGTTTCCCAGCACACCTTGCACTGTTGGATTTCCAGTATGTGCTCCATCAGACCGCGCCACTGGACTCGATCTGTCGTTCGAGTTAATGTGTACTCTTTGCGGCATTGAGTACGAAGTCGTCGAGAACGGAGGCGTTGTTCTCTATGGCCAACAATCAGTAGTCTATCCGGTTTTCAAAGAGAATAACTGCGTGCAGTGGCACTTCATACCATGTCAGGACACCTCAATCATTAACCACGCGCAATGGGGTCAGAGGCTATTGTGTGATGACCTGGATCTACTTCGAAACATGCGCAGGCATCTCCTTGGGCTATGGAATCAGCCAGAGATTACTCTGGGATCTGATTGCATTGATTTCTCCAACCCCAAGCTCAAATATTCCGGTGCGAAGCCAATGAACAACCTACTCACCAAAGACAACATTACCGTCGGTGGCGCTATTTCCCTTCCAAAAGTATTGACTCTGAATGGCGCATACAATTTCAAAATCGCGAAAACCCGCAGAAACCAGTACATGAAGAACTTTGAAGGCAATCTACACCGAATGATCAATTCTCCGGTCATTCTCTACAACCCTGTAGAGAAGCGAGCATGGATGGTATCTTTTGTTAGTGTCGTCCTTCATCTTGCACGATATAGAGCCTGGCTGCAGCGCGAGCTAGGATTTCGAATTCCAGGGTGTGTCGCCGCAGCCGACGGAGGACGTGCTGCCTTTGGAAGCATCCGCGAGAATTACAGATCTCCGTTGAAGATTCCCATGGAGAACGAGGAGCTTAGCGAAGACGAGCGCAATCTGACTATCAGGGACTACATAGAGGATGTTCTAGCTTCGCTTGACGTTGCTCGGCGCGAATCTTCAAGAACAAGAGGAATCTTCCGGGAGAGAATTCTGGGGTTCGAATTTGCGGATATTGCGAAGATGAAGGAAAATATGACCATGAGAAGGTGTAATTTCGATGCAGTGGCTACTGGTGAGTCTATTCACTGTTTCAGGAAAAGGAAAACACCCAGGACCTCCACACGTGGATTCTTACCTATTCACAAGTCACCGCTAACCCTTTCTTTGGCAGGCTGGGCACCCCTACTGGATGCCGTCAGCATCGTGCTTTTCTATGATGGGCTATCTGATCCTATCGTTCCATCTACCCAGTCTCAACGGGCGTGGGAGAGGGCGGGCCATTGTGGTCGGACAATGTGGCGAAGGGTGCCCGAAGGTTACAATATCTTAGCCGCATCCTTGCCATGCCTGGACTACATGAGCGAGCACCTCAACACGGGACCGAATATACGTCGCTTGAGCTATGACTACTGTTGGCATTCTCCATGTCCAAGGCTGTTCGACCTGTGTGCGAGAACGCGACACCATATTTGCAACCGCCTTCAGGAGCTGAGACCGGATGGTCCTGACGTTGTTGGCCCTATTTTGTCAGACGAAAATAGAAAAAACGCCGCCGTGGCTTTCAGGTTCTCCACTGACATGCAGACAATTCAAGACCATAATCCGCCAGGGGTGGGATATACTCCGACACCTCCAGGGACGCCTTCCAGGATACCTCCAACACCGTTAGCATCTCTACCGCCCGCAATAAGGGACGGGGCCTCGCTCGAGCCACCTCTGGATACTGTGGGGCTAGACCGTACTGATACACGTCGCGAAGCACGATTGGCAGATGAACCGGTGGCTGCTGCCCGGACTGAGAGAGTACGAATTGAGCCGGGAGGACAGTCACATACGGAAATGCGTCATCCCGGCGCTTCTCGAAGATCGCGAGGTCCAGCCCGAGAGCAACGGAGGGTAGAACGTCGAAGAACAGCCCGAAATGGCAACATAGGACAGAAGTCCCGCTCGGGCGGATTTTGGCTATTTGGAAAATGACTCCCGCAAGCAGGTATTGGAGCAACGATGGACGATAAAGTGTCCCAGAGGGAAGGACGTACTACCTAGGCACATATATTTTCTACCACAGAAGGACGAGATTGAGAAGAGCTGGCTGAGTTATCACCTTATCGAGGATAGGCGCTTCATCCGTCCTGTTTGATATTTCGCGCAGGTGGGCATCCCGACGCAAGTCACCTTCCACCTCACAAGGTTCCGTCTTTCCACGGGTCCAGAAAATCCCGTGAACAGCAAATGTCACCTCCCTATTTATCCCAGTCCACCTCACCCTAATAATTCACCAAGCGTTCTTGGGTTAATACCGGCGTTTGGGAGGTAGGCAGGAAAGCTGTGTGTCACGGTAGGTCAAAGACGAAATAGCCTGTGAGCTTACTCATCATGTAGAACTAACAGGCAAGACCAAAAGGTGTTTTGTCCGGATAACTCTCAAAGGCCACCGAAGGCCATCAGATTTCGATTAAATGGCGTTGGTTCGAGGGGAACGACCACATGACTATGGGCGGCTCTTTGATAAGCTTGGGGCATACATATGTAGACGGCACCACGCAACTCTCTCAAGTGAGAAGGCAAGCAAACCAGCCTTCTCCTTACCCTGGGCTACAGAACATTTTGAAAGGGCGTTCGTCTGTGGTAATGAAGGTGAGCATGCATTGTCATCCCTTAAGCATTCATTGGGAAATTGAGAGTCTGACGAATGGTATTCGGCTGTGAAAAAGTGACTGACTAGTGTTTGACTCTTACAGAACATGGGCGAGCTGAGAAGTCTGTCAGGACAGTAAGGATATTCAGGGATATGTCATAGCTTGTGACGCTGTCCCATCATGCTCAAAGTAATTGGTCAATTCACCGGGAAGACTTACTGAGATTTGGAAAGTGTTTGCAACAGTCTGTAGCCTCGTTGTAAAATCTTCAGATTTTGGCCGTTTGAGGCCGCCGGCCAGCTCTTCAGAATGTTCGCCGTGGAAATACTTCGTCCGCCCGTCAGCCGTATTGCCAACTGCACCGTCACACCAGCCGGTTAATCAGTCACGTCTATGCGGCTGCGGGGCGCCACGTGGTTTGTCCTCAATGACGGATCCCTGCCACTGCATCGCACCATACACTGGAAATCGATTTCTCGCGTTGGTTGGGATCAATGACTTACTGGACACTGATATCGAAAGTCCGAAGAGCGAAGTGATTGGCACTTCTTGACCAGCTGCTGTGCGTGCTCTCCGATTCAAAGTTTTGCGCAGCGACGCCTGCGGCCAACGTGTGGGTCATTGAAATCTCGCCGTGTACCTGACCTGACGGGTAGCTTTCTGGATGCAGAATCGACACATGGGCCGGATTGAATTGAGCATATGTCCCAATAAGATTCTTAGCTGTCGCCCAGCTTATGACATCTTCAGGTGCATCGCCCATAAAGAAGTCAATTGCGAAACTGGTGTCCATAGGAAATCGGTCCACAACCACCGTAATGGACTATTGTCTGTCGAGGTTGTTCACATTTAGGTTTCGTGTCATCTCGAGCGTGATGTGGCTAAACGAATCAGGAATATTTGCGGATCTCTCCTTCACCACGCGGCTGACGGTGGCATTAGAAGTGGGATTGTACTGTGAGTTGACGTCTCTGCGGACATTATCAGCCGGCTCTGATGGACTCAGCTTCCCTGTCTGCGTATTCTGTGTAGCGCTGGCCGGTTGTCCCCGAGTCAATGAAGCCGACTGCCTCGTAGTATGACCTGTATGTATTAACCGTCGGGTCGACGTAGCTGTCAGGGTTCAGTTTCTGCCACATGGCAAAAAGGCGGTCGACATTGGCGTGATGCAACCAGAAGACAGGATCACAACTCGCAACCTCTGGAAATTGCATGTGTCCAAATCCTCCGACACTATGATGTATGTTGTTGTGGATGGCTTCAGTGTTGTTCGCTCTAAGCCATTGGCCGCCCGGCCGGGTGCAGGAAAATGCTGTGTAGTTGAAAACTTGATAGGTCAGAGATAAAATTCTGCAACAGAGTTCGGTCAGTATTCGACCACACGGCTGTTTGTGAAGTGTCACTCACGTAGGAGCATTCGCCATCAAAGCTGCGTTGCTGTGGCTTGGTTGCTGTCCTGCGTATTTGAGCTCCAACAGCGGACTGTTCTTGGAGAGTTTGCCATCTAGGACGTCTGTCAGCAAATGTTTCGATCACGGTGGAGGTCATCACAGGTATACAGGATCCGACGATGGAAATCCGTTGCCGGTGGTATCAGACTGAAAGACGTAGCTGTAAGGATGGTTGGCTGACTACGTCTGGCAAGACGGGATTAAGGGCCCAGTTCCAATATGGGACTCGTAAGCTGAGGACTGCATCTTGACACTCACCGCGCCGTTCATCGGGGAAGGCGGTCGCTATGTCTTGAGCATGCACCCAGAGTATTTGCCGTCCACAATTAGTCTGAGACATCGAGCAAATCAATCTTCACAATAGACGGACTTCGAATAACGCCACGTATGGTCGATGCCATGTTGGAAAAGGGGTCGCTGCATGCATGCAAAAGCTTGGATAACTGCCAGTCCCATTGACCCCGTCCCATGTGATTCGAGGGAAGCCATGGATCCTTAATCGAGTATGAGCCTCGGGCATGGGAAGTGGAAGAGTGTTGTGAATGACCCGATATCTGGAAATAGGAGAGCGGGTCGGATCGATTACTCCCCTGGAAAGCGATTAAAGAGAGAATCAGTAGGTCGAAGGGTGCGCCCGAGTTTGCGAATGCGTTGATTCGTATCTCCACGGGCGGGCTCCTGTGGTCCAATCAATGCCTCTTTGGGCCCTGGTGGTCTTGAATGCTAACCAACAATCCACGAGAACGAGTATGAGGACGTGGCCGAATAGAATGAACATGGCTGGCAGGAAATCAACGGTGCAGTGTGGCATGGACAAGGAGAGCTCGCCGGTCCGGCGCGGATTCTTCATAAATAAAGAAAGTATGGAAGTCACGACATCACTTCGGTTCTCCATCTCCTGAGTCGAACTGGATTTTGATTGTTAGAGAGTCCATCTGCAAGTACCTTGGGCCAGCGACTCGGGCAGGTGCATCCGTTGCAAAGCCATTAAGGCGAGTGTGTCCAGCACTATCACCTCGATTCCATCTGAGACCCCATACATATCGATCCTCCAAGGAAATTGGGTTCCGTCGTACTATCGGAATGCAGGAACGATGTAAGGGCATCAGAGACAAAAGAGGGCAACTCATGCCATTTCAGGTAAAGCGAAGCGGTAACATATGTCCTACAAGAGCTTGCCGACAGGATAAATGGACCAATTTCGTTGGATGGTATTCTGGTGGGAGACGTCGCCAACGAAGGTTTGCAATTGGTTTTGCCCGACGCCGTCTTCCGCAGCCTCCCCCGTCCACCGGCTCGTGCGGAGGACCTCGAAAGCGGTTCTTGACACCATCTGTGAACAAAAAATAGACGCATTCCGGCAGAAACAGTGCTGACATCCCACGCAGTTTCCTCCTCTCCCTAATATCCTTTTCCTCCCGTTTTAGCAGAATCCGCTACGAAGAAACTCTCGAACAACTCATTCAACACCATCATGGTCAACTATACTCCCCCACCAGAGGATCTCTCTCGACTCAACCCGATCCAAAGATACATGCAAAAGGGTTCACTCGATAGGCAAGACTATGTCTGGCTGTTCATCCTTGTTCTCGCCTATTTCACGGCGCGACCATATATCCAAGAAATGTTCAAATGGTGGTTCAATCACGACGAACTGAAAGACGGAGAGCGTGCCCGCCATGAATACCTGCAATCAAAGGCAAAAGTTGAGCCCAATATCATTCGAGGAACTGAGTCGCAAGATCCTATTACGATTCCAGAGAAGTCTGGAGACGCTACCACCACGGGGAGCAGCCTGGACAAGAGAGACAAAGCTATGAATCGAAAGACCAAAGAAAAGTCCGTAGCAGAAAAGTTATTGGATTGGGACGGCGAGCCGGAGAGAGCGCCCCTCGAAGGAGACAAGTCAGACGTCGTCGCCTGGCTCGATAAATGGTCCAATGAATGAACGAAGGCATACTTGACTCTACATAGACCGATCTATCGCAGAAGCCCCAAGCTGCGATTCTACCCACTAGATCCGAACCGGCGGTGTCCCTGGCTGGAGTTTAGTGCTTTCCGCATTCTTAAGAGGCCGACTTGAAAATCCGTTGGGATCGTGGAGGGTTTTGAGGCCCCAGATGCCAGCAGGTGCTGTTGAGGTACCGACAGATATCAGCAAGGTCTGATCTCGCTACGGCTCATTGATCCGGAGGGACGATTCATCTCGAATCGCCCGTCCTGGTCCATTCATATCACGATTATATGTCTCCCTAGAGTGGGAATTGCTTCACCACCATTGCCATGAACTCATCTCGGTGTTGGCTTCTGACCGTGTGAGACCACCAGGAGATGGTGATGCAATATTCTGTGGACGTACATTGTGAACAGCACAATCAACAATTCTAGCACTTGACGGCCGAGGTACAGGATAAATACAGTAGGGTTCAATTCTAAGCATTTTCGCAAGTTTCCTGTAAGGAAGTTCGTCGCCTCCTCGTCCGCAAGGCTGAAGCCTCGTGTCGAACACCAACAGGAGGACCGGGCTTGGCACTGATTTGGAGACGTTACGGGATCCTGAACTTGGCCACGAATCATCCAAACCATACGTCTATCCTTCATACAAACTTGTTTTCCTTCTTTTCCTGGCCACCATGGCCGCTTCCACGCCCTTGGATCCTTTCCTTCGTGGAAGCACCAGCAAAAATACCAGGGGTCTGCTCCGAATTATTATTCTGTGCACCATTGCCGCCGCAGCAGTATCAGCCCGCTTGTTCAGTGTAATTCGTACGTACAATTTGCGGAATCTTCGAATGTGATGGATATGGAAGGCCATTTACTAATTGGAGCATCCAGGATTCGAGAGTATAATTCATGAATGTTAGTAGCCGCACCCTCGCCGCCCTCCGCATCCTATGATCTCCTCTTCCTGCAACGTCGAAAGTTATTTCGCAGCCTGAGATCGTCACTGACGACCTGAAACAGTTGATCCTTGGTTCAATTTTCGCGCAACGAAATATCTTGTGAAACACGGCTTCTACCCTTTCTGGGATTGGTTCGATGACCGTACGTCGAGTGCGAGTGATCGGATGGATATACAGGACTGATGAATTCTAGGAACATGGCATCCTCTTGGTCGAGTTACCGGTGGAACACTCTATCCGGGCCTCATGGTCACCTCCGGCGTCATATATCATGTCCTTCGCCTCTTGTCCCTACCTGTCGATATTCGAAACATCTGCGTCCTCCTTGCGCCCGGCTTCTCTGGCCTCACAGCCCTTGCCATGTATCTCCTGACATCTGAAATGTCCACCTCACCGTCTGCGGGTCTTTTGGCTGCCGCGTTCATGGGCGTCAGTCCTGGATATATCTCGAGATCAGTTGCGGGCAGTTATGACAATGAGGCCATTGCCATCTTTCTACTGGTGTTCACGTTCTTCCTCTGGATCAAAGCCGTCAAACATGGTTCCATCATGTGGGGAGCATTGGCTGCGCTATTCTACGGATACATGGTTTCCGCATGGGGTGGATATGTGTTCATTACCAATCTGATTCCGCTCCATGTATTCACCCTCATCCTCATGGGCCGATATAGTTCGCGACTCTACATCAGCTACACCACTTGGTACGCTTTGGGCACATTAGCAAGCATGCAAGTTCCATTTGTTGGATTCTTGCCGATCAGAAGCAGCGACCATATGGCGGCTCTCGGTGTCTTTGGCCTGTTGCAGTTGGTTGGGTTCTTCAGCTACCTCAGGGAACAACTGCCAGGAAAGCAATTCCAGACACTCCTGGTGGCTCTCGGCGGAGCGATCTTTGGAGTCATGTTTTTGGGACTGATTGCTCTCACGGTCTCTGGAATAATCGCCCCATGGAGTGGCCGATTTTACTCTCTCTGGGATACTGGATATGCAAAGATACACATTCCCATCATCGCGTCGGTTTCGGAACATCAACCTACGGCTTGGCCCGCATTCTTTTTCGATCTCAACATGCTCATCTGGTTGTTCCCGGCCGGGGTGTATATGTGTTTCCGGAATCTCCAAGACGAACACGTCTTTATCATCATCTACGCAGTTCTCGCCAGCTACTTCGCCGGTGTCATGGTTCGTCTAATGCTCACTCTTACCCCCGTAGTATGCTCAGCTGCGGCACTTGCGCTTTCACATATCCTAGACACCTACCTTTACCTTCCAGCACCCGTTGACAAATCCTCGGGTGGCGACGCCGCCAGCAATGGCTCCGCCAAAGCGGGCAAGACCAGCGCCAATCCCCCTCTCCGCTCCGTTCGACATCCGCTGGTTGGAATCTATTCTATCCTGTCGAAGTCTCTGATCACGTCAATGGCAACCGGCTTTCTTCTTCTGTTCGTCGCCCATTGCACATGGGTGACTTCAAATGCCTACTCATCACCATCGGTTGTTCTGGCATCCAGACTTCCCGACGGATCACAGCACATCATTGACGACTACCGAGAGGCATATTATTGGTTGAGACAGAATACGCCTCATGATGCAAAGATCATGTCTTGGTGGGATTATGGATACCAAATCGGTGGCATGGCTGATCGCCCGACCTTGGTGGACAACAATACCTGGAACAACACGCATATTGCAACGGTAGGCAAGGCCATGAGTTCCAGAGAAGAAGTCAGCTACCCGATTCTCCGCCAACATGACGTTGACTACGTCCTGGTGGTTTTCGGTGGCCTTCTCGGTTACAGTGGTGACGACGTCAATAAATTCTTGTGGATGGTCAGAATTGCCGAAGGCATTTGGCCGGAAGAAGTGAGAGAACGAGACTATTTCACTGCACGTGGCGAATATCGGATTGACGAGGAGGCGACCCCAACCATGAAGAACTCTCTGATGTAAGTGAAAACGTGCTTTCTCCGACCTCAAATGACCACTTACTAACTTTTTCTCAGGTATAAAATGTCATATTACAACTACAATCAATTATTCCCAGCGGGCCAGGCACAAGATCGAGTCCGAGGCTCGTCCCTGCCTGCCCAGGGCCCTGAATTGAGTACCCTAGAAGAAGCGTTCACAAGCGAGAATTGGATCATTCGCATCTACAAGGTCAAGGAACTGGACAATGTTGGCAGAGATCATCAGAGCGCTGTGGCTTTCGATAAAGGTCACAAAAAGAAACGGAAAGCGGGCTCCAAAAAAGGCGTGAAGGTGTTGAGGGAAGATTAGGTAGATGGGGCATGGGAAATCTTGAAAATGTGCGCAGTTCATGCCATGTGCGGCGATGTGACGATTATCCAAGAAGCAGAAATAAAAGAGCTCTGGCTTACTTTGTCTTGTATTAAAAAAGAAGGGGGAAAAGGGTCATTTCTTCAAAACACTCTCTGGGTTTGTGGTTGAAAACCTGAGATTGCGTGTAGAGCAAAAAGTATATTGGCCTCTTTGTGTTCTCTTTCAGTAGGTAATTCTTGTAAGGTCAGGACAACCCTGACTTGTGGTGACTTATCACTTCTCTTTCTCAAGCGATGTCCTTGCCGACCGACACAACACGACCGCACCATCGCCAATTTTCCATCCATTTTAAGCAGAGTCATCGAAGACAAACAGGTCAAGGTACCCTCCTATCTCACAGCAAGAACTCCAACGCCCTTCCTCGCGTTCTCCACGGCCTTGCGTAATGCCTGTTCCTCCACGTCCGTCCATTTGACGCTGAGTTCGTTCCATTTTCTCACCTTGAATTCTCGCCGATATTGTGCGTGCATCTGCTGCAGCCGCAAAAGTGGTCGCATATCGCTGGTGCCGCTGTATGTGATGAGTAGAGCACCCGGTGGGAGGGAGGTGAAGATGTTGAGTAGGTGCGTGAGTGTGCGGGTAGCAGCACGGAGGAGGTCTGGATTAGGGGCGGGAGGATCGGTTTGGGGACGAGGGTGGGAAGGATCGAGTGGAGGCGGAGGGGTGTTCCAGCCTTGCACGGTCTCCAGGTCGCGAAGACGAGCCCAGACGAAATCCACGCCGCCAGGCGGTATTCTTTCACCAGTGCCTTGCTTCTTTTCATCTCCTCCATCTCCAGTTCCATTGGAAGCACCTTCCGACGCACTGGTCACCAGAGAGTCACCATTGACGGCCCTATACACTCCTTGTACAATGTCTTCATCATTCTCACATGCGATTTGGTACGTCGTGTCTTTGCCAAGCCCTCTCTCGGGTGTGCCGTATTCGACGATCGCCGTTTCTCTCATCTTCCCACTCCCATCTGTCCTGGCACTCCGGCCTATTCGTCGAAAGATGCTCTCACCATTCGCGTCCAATGTCCCCCATTTCGGACCCTTTTCGCACTTGAGACGCACGAGATCAAGAACGGCACGGGCATCTTCGACGGAGTCGTGACCATTGGCACCCTCTTTTTGGATCTCACGCTTCAAATATCTGTTGGCAAGGAACTTGAGGGACGATCGCAGTGGCAGCCCACGCGGATGTGGATAGATGATGCTCGTGTCGACAATGAACGGGTGCGTGAGCTTCAGGGCGTTCAGATCGGATTCGAGGGAGTGGCCGAGCAGGATCGTGTCCGGCCCGAGCATTGACAGCAATTCGCTTTGGATGTCTTCCAGCGTTGTCGTGATAGTTTTTAGGAGCTCTTCTGTGACGCCCGAGTATTGTGTGAAGTAGTCCTTGATAGGCAGTGACGGCTTCACGAATTTGTCCAGCATGGTTGTGCCTTGCCAGTTAATCACGGAGATGCGAGCCAGAGAGTACTGGTCGTCGTTGGTCAGTACCATTTCGCAGTCTATGGCGTAGACTTTCAAGCCTTGAGTCAGAGGATCGGACTGTGAAGACGGGGCCGGGGCTGTCGGCTGAGAGACAGAGACGTTTGTGTCGACCCAACCGGATGAGATGGATTGGAAAGTCCGTTCCCGTCGTTCCTTTTCTAATTGTGCATCTTTTGGATTGATGAAGGCTGCCGGATGGACTGGGTATTCGGATTCTCGTAGTTCATCGGCCGAGTGAACGAAATTGGCAATGGGAGTTCGAGTAGCCTGGAAGGATTTCTCGTTTTTGGAATTACCCCTTTCCTTAGTATCTGGAAGAGGTGCGATGAGCATACCTTGCAAGGGCGAATGCACCCTGCTCGATCTGGAGTCTCCGGGGGCTTTCACTTCGATGATATGTTCCAAAAGACGACTTGCCAGGTGCCTCTTTAGAACGCCATTCTCAGTCGGGTCGAATTCGTCTGGCAGCGGGGTGCTTTTCGATGGAGTGTTTGCTGAGGGTGCCGTTCGGTCTTGAGCATCGGAATTCGCTTGAGACTGGTCAGGTTCTCCGCCATGTGCGGCCTCCTCGTGTGCAAGAACACGGTTCAATATCCCTGATTCGTCCAACATGTCACGGTCCAGGCCGGGGATCATTACAACCACTACCTTCTCGATTTTCCGGGAGTTATTCACAGCGAGCCACGTAGGTGCAACGCCATCGGACAGCACATAGAGGACGAGATCTTGCAACGCTTTGAGCTGTACGCGTGCAGGCTTTGTATGTAGGAAGCTGATACTAGGGTGGTTCTCCGAGTCTTCTTCATCGATCTTGCGTCTCTTCTTCTTTCGTGAAGACTTTGATTCAGCAACTGTCCATTTCGGTTCAGGCTCACCAAGTTTGGAGGCGTGATAAAGAGCTTTGGTGTCTTCTAAGCTCATTCTGCGACCGTATGGGGGATCTGCCGGGAGAGAATGAGAGGTGGGAGTTTGATCAAGTCCAAAGTCTGGTTCCGAGAAACCTGCATCTGTAGAGCTTCGTTTGCTCCCACTGATCATCTTTGTCTCCCACCAATTACAACAGCAGGCTTGAGGCTCAAAGACGTTTGAGAAAAACAAAAGGGACAGGTGGGGCCTTCAAAATGGTATGACAAGATTTGCCTGCGAAGTACGTATTACATAATAACTCAATAAGCCTGAGACGGTTTGCGGTGCCTCAGGCTTCTGGGACTTTATAATCTAGTAAGGAACCTTACAATTCAAATACCATATGCTTTGGACAAGGGGAACTCGACACTAGGAGGATTAGTGAACAATTTGATAGTCTCCCATGATCTCCTCCATCATGCGTAGTATTGGAGGTCTGTCCTTATCCTAAATCGGGACTGTGATGAAAGGCAACATGGTCAAGCCCTTGAATCCAGACCTGCATCTGACCATCTCCTCCTTGGTCATGGGCCTGGGAACAGTAAAAAGCTTATGGTATCAACCTACTCTGAGTCTCTAACCTATCAGAGAGATGAATGTTCTTGGGGCTGAGAGAGAAAGATTATCGCAGTCCTGTTGGAGATCATTCCTCCATTCACCTGGTTGCATCGAAATGTGGGATTGTCTCTCCCATTCGGGACTTGAATCCAGAAGCAAGGTGACGAGACCGAGATATGAGCACAAAAGAGCTTCTTCTCCGTCTATTGTCCACATAAACACGATGACAACTATTGCCCTTCCCGCTTGTGTTTCTTCTGTGCTGCCTTGTATGCTGCTCCACGTCGACTGCTCCTTGTTGTTGGTCTCCTTTTATGTCTGTTTTTCGATAGCACGGGCTTGCCTTGGGAGGTATTGGTAGCACGGTGACCTTCGAAAACGAATCCTCCCTTGGGTTGACCATTTGTGCGCACTGACCTCGTGTCCAAGATGATGCCGCCTCTTCTTTTTAATGAACTCCCGTCATTTGACGTTGCTTTCGATCCATCAAAAGACGATTTCTGCTTCATTCGCCTTGCACGCATGACTCGTAATCTTCGTGGCAGCATCGGCGGGAATTTCTTGTCGTTCATAAGAAGAGCGTTTTCTACGCTATTCCCGCTCTTGAACTGGATATAAGCAAAACCTTTGCCCACCCGGGTCTCTTGATCTCGAACCACGCGTACACTCTCCACCGCCCCCGCCTTACCGAACGTTCGCCAAAGACCTTCCTCCGCATCTGCAGGCTCCTTGGCTGTTGGCCGTCTCTTCTTCGGCCCATCAGCATCTGCCTTTTCCTCGACCGCCTCTTCGTTCACAAAACTAAGATTACCGATAAAAACACAACGTCTGTGGTCGATCTCGGTTGGATGGCCCAAATAGTCCACTCGTAGGTGGCGGCCAAGGACCATACTTCCATTCAGTTTCTCAGCGACAAGCTCGGCAGCGACTTCGGAGGTGAAAACAGCATACGCATTTGTGCTAGTGGTCGTCTGATCCATCAGTTCTTTTTTGGCGAAGGTGGCTTTCTTAGGTCCGGAGCCACGTGCGTATGCAGTTGATCGGAAACGAACGGATTCGAGCTTTCCTGGCCTCTTTCCGTGGACATGGGTTTTCAATACGGACCGTAGATGTCTGGTCAACGTTCTTTTGGCGGCCTTTGATTTGATTGCCTCCGTCGACACGTTTCCTAGAAACACCGTTCTCTTCAACTTTTCTCGGTCATTCGCAACTGTGGCAAGAGTCTCATGTTGGGGAATATCGTCGATGGATGGTTGGCTGATTGAACTTTCCTCACTGTCGGAGGATGAGGTCGAGTCTTCGTCAGAGGTGGACCCATCATCAGCAACATCTTTGTCCACGCGCTTCTGACGCTGTTCCTTCTCCTCCTCGCGTTCAAGACGTTTGAAATACGCATCTTCAATGTCGGCCCCGTCAGCCAATCGACGACGTTTGCGAGGTCGGTCGACAACATCCTCGGTCGCGAAAGCAGGGGTCTGCGATTTGCCGTCAATCTCAGAGATACAATTCGAGTCGTCGGAGACGCTCTCCTCAGAAGTGCTGCTTCCAGAAGAAGCCTCTTCGTCGGTAAGAGCGTGCCGCTTGCTTGTGGCCGAGGGCATTGTTGGCTGTGAGCTTCTGGCCGGGATCTTGACTGGTCCAGACTGGCGTTATTCAGTTAGTGCGATCAATATATAGCCCGCTGTAATCAATTTACGCACACTGGAAGCGAACAAAGAAGCAAGCACCGGATCGACTATGTCGGCCTTTGCTTCGAATTGGCCGACTGCGGTGGTTCCCAGCCGGGACTTGGCTTGCCTTGACTTTTCCATGTTGGTCGGGCAGAGCCAAAACAAAGCCTGTTAGAGATTCAAATGTCTGTCTCCCCTCCTCCGGGTTGCCGTAAATGCATTGTGGTCAGCAAAAATTTTGAGAAATGGTCGATGCCGGGGAAGACATCGGCATAGTTGCCATAGTCGGTTTCCCGGCTCTGGCTTCTGGCCGGGGGGCGCATTTCGTTTCTCCACGACGCCAACACCAACACGCTTTAACGGAGTACACCTGCTTTTCAGCACCTACTTATCCATCGCCCTTTGGTCTCTCTCTCCTCTCTACTTTCTTACTCGAACAATCGATACCTGGCAATCGCCTTATCCGCCGAGTCGCTTCAACTCCTCACCCTTAATCCCGCCTTCACTCTCTTTTCTCCCTGCCCCGCCGGTAATTCTCCTGCGCGACACATCTCTCACCAACGTCGATTCTCTGTTCCCTGATCTGAGATTGGGAATAGGACGATCTCCCGGCCTCCTGAACTCCTTTCTGCTCGCGAATGACCAGTTAGTCTCAAAATATCCATTGACCGAGCAAGTCCACTCTCCCTGATGGTGTTGCGCAAGAGCTCCCGTCACTAAGCGCAAGAGGAGGAGACGCCAACGACTATGTCAGTGTAGCTGTGAGAGATTCACTGTATCATTGTACGTCAGTTTGGCACCGAGGTACAGATTTCCCCATGTTCGCAAAGCCCGTCCATCCACTAATTGGAATTCTCTCCAGTAGAAAGGACCAGTCCGCATTTGGATCACCTCCATATCTCCCCCTCTTCGACCGAAACGAACTCGCGATCTTTGTCCTGCGCGACCGCTTGACGGTATTCCTATTACATCTGCCATGGACTCTGCCGCAGATTCTCTCCTCGCTCTCTCCAACACTGCGGCTGCCATTGCAGCCCATGGCGAAACCCCCTCGGACGATGATCGTTCCAGCAGTCTCAGTGAGCTGGACGAAAACCTTGAAGATGGTGAAGACGGAGACATGGAACCAGCAGGAGCTGCTGACGGTGATTCCGAGGCCGAGACTGAACGCCTCCAAGTCACTCCGGAGAATCTTGCGAAACAGAAACCTTTCCAGATAAGTCCCAGCAAACTGGCTCACAGAAAAGACGTCGATATGAGACCTGAAATAGAGAGCATCACCGAAAGTGCCGTGTCATCCCCAATCTCCTCTCATGGCGATTCGGAAATTGACGCTGTGCTCAGTGATGGTCCTGAAGCTGATGAGGAGGTTGAAGGAGTGCAGCAAGTGGACATTGGGAACTCCCCGAATAAACGCAAGCGAGAAGAAAGTGAATCAGATGTCGGAGAGGCGCCCAGGTCACAAAGACGTCGCACAGGGTCCGTCGAGAGTGAGGATGAAAAATCCGAACCGGAGACCGATGTCGAAGATCGTCATAGTCAACCTAGCCGAGAACCGACGATGGAACCCGAGCCAGAAATACCTGAACATGAAGACGAAGAACCGGAAGAATTAGAAGAAGAGCCGAAAGAAGCGGAAAAGGTTGACACGAGTGAAGACTCCAAGGACAAAACGAGGAGCCGCCCGCGGAGGAAAGCCAAGGGTGACGTCGCACAAGAACCTCAACCAGAGGACGACGATGAGGCTGAGGCTGCCGAAGATAGTGATGCTGTTGACGAGAACGATGTCGACGTAACAGCAAAGAGTGAGGAAGAGCAGGCAAAACGAATGGCGGCCATGGAGGCTTTAACCGCCTTGGAAAGGCATTTTGCAACATTAAGGGACCGCTTGTACGATGAAAGAATCGCAGGTATCAACCATGAGCTTGCATTATTATCAGAAGCCAAGCCATCTCACCCCGAGTTGTTGCGTCAGCTCGAAGCTGTCCAGAAGTACCGAGATGAAAAGTTTGAAGTCGAGCAAAAGCTGCTGGTTTACAAAATCGGCGCTCTCAAGAATAAAGCCGTCGCTGAACGGAGTCAGATACACAGTCAATATTTCCAGACCGTGAGAGATCTTCGAGAACGACATCTGGAGCGCATCAGCGAACATTTCTACCGAATTCAACGGGACAGATTCAAGGCCGACTCGTCGATACCCAACTTTTCGATACCGTTCGCCGAGCGACGATCGCAGCATATTATCCAGCAAACGGCTTACAATAAGGAGGTCTCAATTCTGTCCGGTATTGCCAAATATGTTGGCTTTCCCGCTGCCCCGGAATTGACTGCATCAAAACAAAAGGAGGTTCAGGATGATGTGCAAAAGATGGGGGCACGTATCTATCGAAATTTGGCGGCACAAAGGCTAATAATTGATCAGATTCGACCCATCAGAGCCACGCAGCGCTCAGTGCCCAATTCCACCGGAGCCCAGATATCGGGACCACAGGCAGAAGAACAATTTCTTGAGCAGACTCCCTGGGCAAACCCACAGCACCCAATACATCGATTGAATCGACAGAATTCGAATAGATCACCCTTGAATGAGTTCCTGACACCAGCCAATCAACAACGCACTACCGATGGGATCCAGCCGACAGGTTCAGCGTCCACCATTGTGGACCCCTCCGCACAAGGCTCTGCTATGAACACCCCTCATGATGGACGAAGTAGTACGACAAAGCTCGAAGCTCAAACGGGATCCAGTCTTAATAACTATCGCCTGCATTCCACTTCTCCCCTCGACGCTCGCCGGGCTCCGTCGAATGCCGGATTTCAAATCGCCACAGACAGTTCAGAAACACAAGCGAGAGATCCAAATCGAGCCCTCGGGTCCTCTCCGTTGACATCACGAGCACAAATGTCGGCGGGATCACCACCTCGAACGAATTCGACGCGATCAGAGAAGGCATCTAGGCTGGATAATGATTCTCCTTTCAGGCATGCCAGAGACTCCGCCATTACTGCCGGGTCGGGATTTTCTGGCACGGGCAGGTTCAGTATCCGATGAGAAGCGGAGAAGGTCCTTGTTTATGATTGATGTGACGTAGAGTACAGCTCCGATAATTCGAATAAAGCGTTCAGCAAACATGGGTACCTGAATTGGGTAGTCTTCGTCCATGCAACCTTGGTCACCATCTCCTCGACGACTTTCTTTGACCGAGGTTTTCATAAGACTATTTAGACTCTTCCTCTTCTTGGACATGTTCTTGACGTATTGGGTCCCCCATTTTCATCATTTCACACATCGAAAATGGTTTGATTCCCCCATTTCATTTCTCTCCTGCAGCAGTGTATGTGCACGAATCCCGAACTCGATCGCAAATTGCTGCCCTAATCCCCATTCAGTTCAAGTCGCCTGCGCCTTGGAACGCCGTAGAACTGATGCCATGTGCAACCTTTGGGTCGTATCAGAATCCTGATTGATTTGAATGTCCATTGCGGAGCGGAGGATCAAGAACGCATCCCATTCGCGTGTGCGGTCGGGGCCTTGGGCGACTGGGCAGGAGCATCCGGTACGATGACATCGTCGAAGGTCTCTTGCCCGACGGCTTTTAATGTGAATGCGACTATGCGTGGCAATCGTGCGTTAGTTTGCGTTTGAGAATCTTGCAGGAGCATGAGGTGGTCCGGATGTGGGAAAGGATATCAGAAGGTGGCAGAGGAGAGTTCTGTAGAATAATTAAGAAAGAGGACATACAAACTCCAACGGCGAAAGTGAAGATGCTGACACCGGTAATAATGTTCTTGAACAGATACGGTCGGCGCGCACGGTACAGGGCTGCGCCGGTCCGGTAGTCGGAGTCATAGTATGAGGAGCGTTTGAGTCTGAGGTTAATTGTCGTTGTCAGTGTGCGTTCTGATTCCGATCGACGAAGGGAGATTTCAGAGGCATCCTTACAGGCCGCGCCGTAGAGGAAGTGTAGGGCGCATGGTAAATCGCTGTCGCTATCACTAACTCAAGACTGAGATGGCGAGGAAGACGAAACAGTTCGATACTAGCTGATGCGTCGAAGTGGTCTTAGGTTGATCCACGGTGATTGAGAGAGTTGTGATCGTCAGTAGGGTTAGTTCTGCGAAGCATAGAGCATAGAATGCAGATTCAAGACATTGGGGTTTTCGAACAAGCGGCTGGAGCAGACTTCGTTCTCATGAAATTCCAATATCTGTGTATATACAGGAAAGGTGGAATCAAACCAAAACGTTCCACAGTTTTACCGAAAACCACAGGAGTCCTCCAAAGTTCAATCATATTCAACAAGGGCTGCAAGTATAAAACATCTGGCCATCTATGTGTAAACCACTGTGTTACTCAAATGCACTAGACTATGTCGAAAGGCCATCACGAATCTCCAAAAATCGCTGATATCTCTCCCGAGTCCGACGTCGAGCCTTCTTACCCCAGATAATCATCGGCACGGTCGTCATTATGAACACAAAGGCCAAAACCCCAATAGCAATAAAGGTATTGCGAATGCCACTGGCATCGAGCCAATGGGAAGCCGTGAAAGTGAATATGAGTGCAATGGAGTTGTTAATTGTCGCAACACCCACCATCCCTTCCAGTACCATGTCTGGATACGCATCCATGAGATAAGCCATGCTCAAGTCGCCGACACAACCCCAGCCAAATCCAATGAAGCCGAGACCAATGTATGGACCAGGCCATGCCCATCCGTAGCTGGTGCCAATCCCAAAGATCCAGAGACCAGTGGGAAAGATAGCTGCACAGGGAAACATCAGCCAGAGTCGTTGCTCCGCTTCCATCACACCACCATTCCGCTTTGCCATCCACAGCAGGAATTTGTCGCTAAACCAGCCACCGTAAAGGCATCCGATGACTGCTCCTATCAGACAAGGAATCTGTTGTTCTCTCAAAACTTGTATCAGCAATGTGAGCTAGAAAACGGGAGGAGTGAAAAGAGGCACTGGAAAGCCTAGTTAAAGCGACCGTAAGTGAGATAGCACCAGGCAAGGCAACACCAAAACCGGCCCCAACGATCCCGATACAAGGTCTGAGATAACTTACGTTCATATTGCCATCTGCTGCATCACTATAATTCCACGGCGGTCCATACCAGGTATCTTCTTCGACCGTCAAATAAAAGGTAAGCCAGGCATCTTGAGCTCCCCACTGGAGACCAGAGTAGAGGACGGCTGGAAACGTGAAGATTCGAAGTGTATGAAAGAGACGCTGAAAATATTGTTTGAATCCTATCCCACGTAAATTTGGAGCGGGGGTTATGATGGCAATGCGTTGGCAATAAGTCTTCTTCCTTTCCTCACTGGCGATTTGCCGTTCTAGGTTGGGAGACACGCCTGTCTGCTGGGGATCATGAACGATCTCTTCTTTATCTCCTTGATCGGCTCCAGAGCCCTCGGAATTCTCACCGCTGGCCCGATCGACGCCATCAATCAGATATCTGTCACCATTGTTGATCAAATATTTGTCTCTGCGAAAAGTTGTTTCTTCCAGCCCGAAGAGGAAGACAAGAAAGGTAGCACCGGAGAAGATTGCACCGAACCATCCAATCCATCTCCAATTGAGACTGCTGTCGGCGATATAACTAGCAATCAAGGGTCCCAAATATGTTCCAACACTCGTCGCCAACACGTAGACGCCTAGAACAGAGCCGCGTTGGTGTTGAAACCAGAGATCCATCAATGACAATTGAACCGTGGCTTCCGCCACGGACTCGGAAGCACCAACAAAAAGTTGATTCCAAATTGCATCGCTGGTGGTTTGGCCCCTAGCAAACCATATACCTCCAATCACTCCAAAGAGCATGCCGATAAGATAGAGGATGCGGCGGCCATAGAGGTAAACGGCTGGGGAAGAAAGCAAGGTCCAATAGCCAATTCCGACGAACAACACCCCAGCCCCAGTATTGAACGAACCATAGCTGATTCCGAGCTCGAGATTTTCATTGTATTGCGCAGCGCCAGCATCGTTTGAAGTAGCAGCTGTCAGAGCCGTAACAAAACAAACCAGTGAGCTGTGCCAGATTTTATGAGGCAGAGACCAGTGTAGGGGGTCATTTGGTGAGTCGGTGGGCTGAGGTACGAGGACAATATCGCCATGCTTTTTCAGGCCCAAGTCCTCGGGCAGAGGACGTCCTTCAGCATCGAAAAGGCGGCGTGTGCCCGGCAGAACCTCCTCGTATTCCATCTGTTCGTAGTCCGGGATGAGCGGAGAGTCTGGTCTGATAATTCAAGAGTAACCAGCCGCCAACGAAGCAGGATAAAATTGTAGCGGTCAACCGGGAGGGAAGTCGTTTATAGGACAGGCAAAGATGGTGGCCATCTCGTAGAAAGTAACGTCCCTTATCGTGTTGTGACATGAGCGGCTGCTGGATGCGAGCAAGGATGAGAGGCTACATGGTGGGAAAAGATTAGCCCCATCCACACAGGAACAAGACCAATCCCGAACAGAAAAGCGGGAAGGCACAGCCTCTTATCAGTGGCAATAGAGAAAGTGAGCGAGAGAGACAGAGGTTGGTGGAGGATGAGGAGAGTGTGCGCCAACAGCAATATCCTGCAATCGGAAATTGCAACTACAAGCACATTTAGGGAAAGATGGACTCACAAAATCCCGTTAGATAGCCGACAAGCAACGGGTAACGACGAGCTTAGCCAACGCTTAAACATGGACGGGCTTGAACAGGCCCAGAGGGAGTCTGTTTCATCGTGTGGGCCTTTGATAAGCCGGGATTTTGAGGGGGTTGCAGCTTCCTGGATCGTGTTAGTTCACTTTTTCAACCTCATCTCTGATTTCTCATCCCTTCAACCATCCCTGTACATCGCCATCCCCTTTCCTCTATATAGAGTCCTCATCATCTACAACCTCCGTTTCCGCCTCCGTCGCTCAAGCACCCATATCTGCTAAGCCCTCGGCTCCGTTCAAGCCACCGTTCCGTCGCTAACTCTCACACCTTATCTCACACTGATGTCTACGTGTCAACTCAGAATGGCTCAACATTTCCACATCGCCCACCTATCCGCTCATAAACCGAAGGAAACGTCTAGTCCTTCGACCATTCTTCAACTCGCTTCTCGGCTGCTCCCCGCGCCTGCCACACCCGAAGAGTTGGAGGATGGTCTAAACCCGAAAGAACCTGTTGTTCATGCAGTTGTGAGTCAAGAGAATCTGGAAACACCTGTAAAAGATGGAATACGGCATCAAAAGAAAGTCGTCGTAGTCGGCGCCGGCATTGCCGGACTTCGTGCTGCATCCGTCTTGCGGGCCCATGGCGTCCAAGTCGTTGTCCTCGAAGCCCGTCCTGATCGCATTGGCGGCCGTATTTTCACGAGTAGGAAACCAGGGCATGCTCCAAGAGACATTGGTAAATATTGCCTAGGCAATACTGACAATCGCCGTAGGCGTTTGAGATGAAGTCGTTAAAAGCGCTCATTGTCGGCCACGACATTGTGGATTGTTTTCTCACTTCGTCACTTTACTCACACCTCTTATAGGCGCCGCCTGGATGCACGAAACCGCCAACAACAAACTTGTCCGTCTCATCGGTCAACTCAATATCGAACATTACTATGACGATGGCACCCCCTTGTACTATACGAAAGATGGACGTCTCGGCTCGCAGTTCAAAGCCAAAAAGGTCGCCGATGAATTTGCCGACTTTTGCGAATGGTACTATGATGAGAACCCCGATGCTGAAGACAAGCCTGCCCTGAGTTTCATCAAAGAATGGCTTAGCACCCATCCTCTAGTCACCGAGGACGAACGCCTTTGGGCTCCTCAGGCGGCACGTGAGGTCGAGGCTTGGATTGGTACCAGTCTCGAGCAAGCCTCTTCCAAACATCTCGCCTATTTCGCCACCGAAAGAAACCTTTACATGAAAGGAGGATACGATACGATCGTTAACTGGGCCGCGTCAAGCCTCCGCGACTCCGACATTATCCGCCTTGGCCACACTGTGACGAAGATTGTTTGGAACGACGATTCAAACGAGGCGTGTGTGGTGCACACTACCACGAAAGATGGCCAGTCTCCAACCTTTGTGGCGGACGCCATTGTTTGCACCCTTCCTCTTGGTGTCTTGAAACATAATCTAGTCGAATTCAGTCCATCTCTCCCCAGAGAACTTTCCCTCGGTATTCAGAAACTCGGTTATGGCGCTCTGGGAAAGATATTTGTCGAGTTTGAATCCGTTTTCTGGCCAAAGGACAATGACCAGTTCATCTATTACCCCGAGCCAACAACCGACACCTCTGATGAAAACTCCATCTTCTCTTACATGACCGTGACCAGCAATAATTGGATCATGAGTGGAACAAAAGAATTGTCTGTCCAGATCGTCGAACCACTCACCCAACGTGTCGAAGCCATGGCCTCTAATGAGGAGGTTTACGCCTTTTTTGAACCCCTCTTCAAATTGTTCCGTACCGAACCCTACAAAAAGCTTCCTCCAGTGGTGAATCTGGAAACGACACACTGGACTCAGGACGCCTTTGCCGGATTCGGCACCTACACCGCCGACAAGACAGGCGACGAACCGGAAGTTTGGATGAGTGCTGTAGATAATAATAAGGGAAGCAAGCTGCAGTTCGCTGGCGAGCACTGCGCGCGGACTGGAAACGGATGCGTGCATGGTGCATTCGCCACTGGCGAAACGGCAGCCGTCAACCTTTTGGGTTTGTTGGAGATTCCTCACAATGGGGGAGATCTCTTCAGCAGACGTTCTTCGAGGAAGACACCACCCAGACATTAAGCGGGTTGACCCTGAAGAGCCCGCCATATCTTGAACTTTGTGGGGAGGATTCCTTCTGGGAGGCCGGCGACTGACCCTGGTTCGCTGGACTGAAATACGTCAGCATCTCTGTTTACCCGATTGATTTTCCTTTGTTTGTCTTTCTTTTCCAACGTTCTTTGCTTCGAATGGTGTTTCCATCTCTGGTTGACTTTATTGCTGTTCATAGACAATCTTGTTGAAGCAATCCACATGTCTTCCAGATCTGGTCTGGCGGGATAATGATCTTTGCGGGCTTGCTCCATAGCTTTTTTAGGGATCTTTACAGCTCTCCGACTTCTACTGCCAGCAAATATTGTCACAGTGGATGCCTTGCCACGATATTTCTCCGCACACGGCCCTGGGCAAGTGATATCTTCTATCCGCTTCGCTGCACCCCGCAACCGAGATTGACTAGGACTTATTGTCATGATTTCTCCTCTTTCTGCCTCCTCGACTGTTGACTGGCTCTATCTCAATGCCGGATGTCGGATGACGGAGCCTGTTCTCGAATCAGTACGAGGTGTAGGCTCATGAACTGGACAAACGGCTGACCCCTCACAATGCCAAATCCTCTCCAGTGACCGAGGTAGGTTGGTAGCATCACCCGGGTTGAATTGAGGCAAAGATATCAGAAAGTTTCTGAACTATTTAAGAATACTTTGAACCCAAGATCTGGTGCGCCGTATCCACCGATTGGACTTATTGAACGTGTTTCTGCATCAAAATGTCTGAAGGAACAGCCTATGTGACCGGTGGTGCTTCCGGAATTGGAAGAGGAATAGCTCAAATGCTTGTGAAGAACCAGTGTGTATCATGGAACACTAGAGCGATAAGTCATGCTGCCTCTAACATCTCTTCAGCATCAAAGTATTCATCGCCGACCGAGATCTCGAAGGTGCTCAAAACGTCGTCAACGAACTCAACAAAGACTCCTCAGTTGCGAGATGTGTTCACGTTGATACTACAAATTGGAACTCGCAAGAAAAAGCCTTCAGTCAGGCTGTTGCGGACTTTGGGCGCATCGACTATGTCTATCCAATTGCGGGAGTCGGCGAGCGTACTTGGATCCCAAATGACCCTGCCGCTTCTGGCTTTGAGATGCCCGACTTGACCGTTCTTGATGTCGACTTGACTGGTGTCTTGTACACGGTGGGGCTGGCGATACAGCAATTCAGGAAGCAAGCACCAGGCAAGAATGGATTCAGGGGCAAGAGTGAGTCGATGGGGTGGACCGGAGTGGATGCCGGATTCCTTACTGACGAGACACAGTCGGCTGCGTGGCGAGTATCTGCGGCATCTATTGCGTCCCGACACTCCCAATCTATACTGCTGCGAAGCATGCTGTTACCGGTTTCGTCCGCAGCTATGGCAAATACTTACCGGAAGAGAAGATCACCCTGAATTCAGTCAATCCCAATGTCGTCCGTACGAACATTTCCACCCAAGCATTCTATGACCGTTTGGAGAAAGAGCATCTTTTAACCCCGATTGAAGGCATTATCGAGACTTTTGAAAAGTTGCTGGGAGCGGATGACACCTCAGGGGAGTGCTTCGAAATTGGACCCAACTACAACGATCAAGGGGCAGTCCCAAGAAGCGCTCCTGAATTTCTGGACAAGGAAAGTGAAAGGGTCTGCGAATTGCTGCATCATAGGGCATATCCACTTCACCAACCTCGTTGAAGAGCCCAGACTTGGGATACTGGTGATCTTCCATGGCCACTTTACATACCCGTCTCCTCAGTCTGATGTAGCTCCACAAAGTGGAAAACAAAGACCCATGTAGTTTAGGCTGGATTGTGAATTGATTCCGAATGCAGATAAATAAGGAACGGCATCTTGGATCGCCTCAAAGATTCTCCATTAGGACTTAGAAGCCCCCCCGATCCCCCGCAGAAAGTCGAAAGGCATGACAAGGCTGAGGGGCTTTACTGGTGTGGGGTGCTTGCCCGGCCTCGGTGGATGCAAGCTACGATAATTGCGGCGAGCAATCCGTCGCTGACGTCGCCGTATTCTCCCGCCAAACGCATCGACGGGCAATGATCATCACTTTTCTAGACAATGGGGACCCGTCCATTCGGATCTTCGAGCTCAATCAAGCTATCAAATATACAGACCTCCGGAAAATATTTGAAGCTGCGCCCTTAAGCTCCCGGGCTACAACACTATCACCCTGTGGTCTACTCCATCAGCTATCGCAGCCCACTGTTATACTTTCATAGTCTGTCTATTTCTCTTATCCGATCAATCACTCAATCAGAGGTGTCGCCTTCTCGTTATGGCAGCCATTCACCGTCCGGCACATCTCACCCATCATGCCGCCAAAGTCGCCTCCGCCGCCTGTATCGAGAAATCCCAAACCATGGGAGTACCCATGAACATTGCCATTGTCGATGCGTCTCTGTACCTCCTCCATTTCGAGCGAATGCCTGGCGCCAAACTCACCTCGATCGACATTGCCATGAACAAGGCATTTACGGCCGCAGGGCACCGCGCGCCCACATCAATCTACAAGGAGAATGTCTGGCCCGGTGGTGCCGCTTTTGGGCTCAACAATAGCAACAACGGCAGATTCATGTATGTGGCAGGTGGGATCCCTATAATTGTGGAGGGAGAGGTCGTCGGTGCCATCGGCTGCAGTACAGGGACACCTGCACAAGATACAGAAGTGGCGCAGGCAGGCGTCGACGCTGTGATGGAGTATATCAAGAAGAGTCAACCAGAACCGAAATTGTGAATACAAGGAAAGAAACACGATACCTTACATGTGGTTGAGCAATTGAATCGCTTCCATTATGGTGTAAAATGGGAAAATATGTATTTGATGTTCAGCGGGAATCAGCACCACGGAATTGCACTGACAGTTCCAGCGGCTGAATGGTTATATTGGAAGAAAATTGGAGTTTGACGTTGTGAGCGATGAATATTTCCAATGTCAGCGGGAAACAAGGATCAAAAAGACAACACCCTGGGCTTTTTCTCAGGGTGACAGCAGCCATTGTGGTCTTAAGATTCACCTTGAGGAGAATCTGAATATAGCCATCTTGACCGAGACTCGCTAACACATGGCTCAAAAACCTCTGTGATCGGCCTGGCCTGCTTCTCTTGATTAACAGGACGTAGGCAACTCCTTGTGGAAGCTAAATTACACTGCTACTGTAATTTGGAGCCCGAGAGTTGAGATACACGAGAAACAAAGCAGCGTGAGCATCATTCCACATTGGGACAAATGATATCATGTCTTGGCGTGTTTACAGGGACCTGACTCCCAGTGTCAGTGCCATTCTCATTCATATCGCTTGCTCAAGAACGCCGACATTGCCCCTGCAAACCTCGGCCTAAGATTATAACACATTGATTGTTGATCGACCAGAGAAGGGGGGAAGAATTGACAAGAATCACGATGGCAGCAAGAGCCTCCGCTTCACCCTCGCCTCCTCCGCAAGCCCCAGTCGCGTCAGTACCCGGACCTCGCGCTGCTGCCCTCCAGAAAGTATTCGCAGGCGCATTGTCATCCTCAATCAAAGCAAATTCCTACGCCAATTTCAGCTCATGTTTCCCTACCCCAGCGAAATACTGCCCGACGGCGCTAGAAGGAGTTTGGAGGCAATTGAATACGCGGCTGGAAGAGGAGTGCCTGCGCGATTTTGAGAAGATATTGGAGGAGAGACAGGTCATTGAGGGCCTCAATCAATGGGACTGTATGATTGATGATGCACGACGGAGGAAACACCGTGCCGTCGAGGGAGAAATGCCAGACAGACCGTGAGTGGAGTTGTCGGAATTCTCATCGTAAAAGCTGACCGGAGACAGATTACACACCCTCTCCGGCGATGAGCTATACGCTGCACATCTCGCACCCTATTTGCAACAAGTCACAGAAGAATTAAACGCCAAGGTCCAGAAAACCCAGGAAGACAATGCGGCCATGGCAGCCAAAATCAATGACCAGCGAGCCGAGATCGAGCGACTACTAAACGGTGTAGAATGGGTGGTCAAAGATATCGAGGGAAGTGTCAATGCAATGCACGTGAATGAACAAGGTGGCGTCAATGTATTGAAAAGTGATGTGTGGCAAATGGAGCAAGAGATGGCCGCAACAAAATGATTCACCACTATAGAGACACACGATTCTGATGTCAGCGATGGCGTTGGCGGCGTTTGATTCATCTCGGACATCACGCGAGTCAAAAGGGCATTCAATAGAGTCCCGGGGGGGTTGGCTTGCTGGAAGATGTATCACAGTCCGGAGCAACACAATGTGGTCACAGCTAGCAATGATACGATATCAGTAAATCCTCCCTTTATCCCGAAATAGGATGTGGCCCATTGCGATCTCCAAGCCGCATCTTGAACGTTGAACGGAACCAAAACCTTTTCTATTCGGATGATGGTATCAAACACATCACTGGTCAGCGCGTTGATGGTCCAATATCAGGCCAATGTTTTTGGTGGAGAGGAAGGCTGGCCAATGAGAACCGCCTTTGGCGCCAAGGACCCCTTTTCGATCTTTTCGCGGCTCTTTTTTCTTTCCCCTCTAGCCAGATCCATTTTTTTCGAGTTCTGAAATTCTGAGCCTCTCAACGGCGAGCACCGTTGGGATGATTCGCATTATTCCGGAGGCGTTTATTTGTTGCATCTGGAAATTGAGGCTCGGGAGAAGCGGCAAATTGGCCCATTCGTACGACCTGCAAATAAAGTTGGATAGCGAGATTGCATGGCCGCCACCAGCCACCACAACATGGATATTCCCTCCACATCCTGGCAAGACCGTGGTTCTCGCTTCTAACTGTGCTACCGAGTGCTGATGCGTCGCTTTCAATTGCCCCAACCCTGGAAAATTCTCCCGTATTCCCGGCAGCTGGACTCCGACAATCCCTGTCTCCATGAACCCAAAAGATCCCCGTCATCCACGAAGATAACACGCCAGCAGTGATCCCCGGCTCAGACTAGGTGGTTTTGGTGGGTTTGGTGATTTTTGCGAAACAATGAGATTTTTCAGACGCGTGCGAGAAGGATACTACGGCTGGGTTGACTCGACCATTGCTGGTCTGCATAGACATTTCTCCGTTGCGAAGGGACGTCGGTGTCCATTTTCGGTTCTCTCCAATCTTCTCCATGCTTTATTGACACCTTGTCCCCCCATTTTTTGGGCAGACACATCTGCATATAATAATTTCGGAATCTCCACAAACTCTTCCACCTGCATCCACCTTGATTGGAGCTTTTGGAGGCGTAGTGAGATCAGCCTTGCAGCGGGCTGGTCGAGAACAAGGAGTCCCCCGATTGAGCTCGTTATCAGAGTTCGCCGCGTCCGAGAGCAAGAAGGTCATCTGCTCGTTCATTCATTCCGTCCCTCACCTCATACTCACCTGTGTCTTTTTCCCTATCATCTACACATCACATACCACTGATCTGACGGCCTGGATGTCATCCTTTGGATTGAAAGTCTGGGACGTCGGTAACGGATCTCTCACCTGAATCGTTCCTGCGCCCAGTCGACGTCATTCACCTACACAAGCCAACCTGTCGCACGGGCCTATGGAGAGACGTGTCAAAATATGGGCGGTCGGATCCCTTGCCGGTGTCTGCGGCATGACAAGCTCGGTTCTCAACGTCGCCTTCGCATCGAATGTGACAAACGTTGCAGTTCTTGCCGCCCCGCGAATCTTACTCTTCATCGCCTTGACCCTTGTCCTGGTCAACCTCGCCAGTATAGCATATTTCTCTACCCTATACGTCAAGAATCTGAATAATCATTCACCAGGCTCGAAGCCACAAACGTGGGGGCTTCTCACCGGAGGGGTAATATCGGCAGCAGCCAGCCTGATCGTCTCTGGGGTCACGCTGGTCTGGCTGGTGATAAGACGTGGCAGTCTCCCCAAGGACATTTGGCATACCGCTCCTCCAACATTGCTGGGGATCTGGTTTGCGCTCTGGGCGGTCTCTGTGGTTTTACAAATGGTCCTATATGGTTTCCTGGGATCATGGACCCGGAGCATTCTGAAGACACAAAGAGTAAGTCGATTGGACTTGGATTTCGGCATCAGAGTACCGTCAACGTCCACCGCGAGGCGCCCCAGCACCCAGCACACGAACCCATCGTTTGGGTCACAAGAGCTGACCCTTCGCTCCCCACCGAGGACTCCTGTCTCGAAACGAGGGTCGATGACCGGGAGATCATCGTCTACCAGGGTGGGAACCGGATCGTCCAAAACAAAACTGGTTCGACATTCTAATCACTCGTCATTCGAGTGCATGCCTTTCCCAGCCGGAGAAGCTACAGCGATTGACAGCGTGTTTGATCAATGGGACACGTCGTCGGTTCACCATGAGATGCGGGCGGCCATTCACCCATCACCGCCCGTCACTCGGTCAGGGTTGGAAACTATACCTGGGAGTCGGCCTGAGTCGCCGGCAAATCCTTTGAACGGACCACTTTTTCCGGACTCTCCGGATTCAAGATCACCTCATGCGGCAACATCGGATACCGCCACTGCAGCTGGCTGGAGTTCGTCCTTGCGGCAGCCCGTATCATCACCCCCGTCCACTCCACCCAACTTTTCTCGACCTACGTCGTCCTCATATAACAAACCGGCTCCGGCCAAATCTGAGAAGTTGGATGCTTCCATGCAAGAGTTCATCCCCCCCGTATTCCGACCACACGGCCATCGACCACCTCCTGTGGCGATCGCCGGAACCATGGCCACCGCGTCACCATTCGCTGATCCGTCCATCACTCCCCGAACACTGTCCAGACTGCGAAGCAACACAGTCCCAGAGTCGAGTCCCCGGATGGCCATGCCAAGCATTGATAAATCAGAGACGCAGAGCCTGGAAACCTCTCTTCCAGACAGCCCTACATTGGGCAGCCCGTCCTTAGGGAGCCCGGGACCATCAATTGCGGACGAGACCGACCTGCCTCCCATTCTGCCAGGGTTTGTGTTGTCAGCAGGATCACGCAGCAGTTTGGTCGGCTACGGAAAACGAAAAAGCGTGAAGAAGGACCGACCCAAGTCGCAATTATCGGCGGGCAGTCGTCTGAGTGAGCTCATGGGCTGAAACTTTGAGATTTAGTCTTGACTACTAAAAATTTTTCCTGCCGCGGCTACTGGCACCGCGTGTCCAATTTCCTTCAACTTTGGATATTTTGTTTCTCAGCGAGGAGTTGGAGGCATCTGTCGTAAGTCGAATGGAATTGAGCAAGGGCAAGAGTAGGGCCCGCAGCTACCACCGAGGAGGGAACCGAAATGGAATATGAAATAGAATACATGATGTTAATCGACAAATGCTACACAACCGACAGTAACGGCGTTAGGATTACCATAATGGCTGGCTCTGATTGGCTGTGGGCGGCCGGCGGGCGTCGAACATAGTCCGGCACGAGCCGGGCTGCTAGTCCCTAAAAGGTGTAGCGCACTCTTGGCTCACCAAACACAAGCGGTGGCAAACAGGAGGCACCCAGCAGGGGGCTCATGGGGGGGCTTGCTCAAGGGCCTTTCTCCTAAGCCGCTGGCCGCTGGCGGCCGCTGATTGACGGTGGATGACGCTGGTTGGGCGGCAAGCGCATGATCCAAAGGAAATGCTTTTCATTTTTCCAAAAGGTGCTGACCAGCATCGCAGCATTCACAGTTCATCAGGTTCTTTCATACCGCACCCTCGCCCTGTTCATCCCCATCCACGCCATTTCTAGCATAGTCATGGATTGCTGCCGCCCCCTTCACCCGGTGAGCTTCAATGGCATCAATAGACCGGCCACAGTCTCGTGTGCTGCTTCTGCCCCTCCAACCAGAAATACCTCTCTCGAATGCTTCCCACCGTCCTCGACCTCAACCTCGAACACCGCCGCCAAATCTCTTCCTCAGTCCTGGATCTCTCGGAATGCAATTCCTCCCTGGTTGCACTACTTGTCTCAGATGCTCTCACGCCCTGTCCGGCAAGTGCCCTCGTCGAGGTCGTCGTCGTCGTGGGCCGTCCTTCGCATTCGACGTCGCAGCTCTTTTCACCTTTCAGCAGCCACCTCTGCCAGGAAACCAGCTCTTCGCTCTTATGGAATCAAACCTTCTTCTTCCACCTCATTCCGCCGAGCGTCACCGCGACAGATCCGAGAATCTCCTCAGCTCCATCCCTCAACGTGAGTATTCCATCGCCCACAACGTCTTTTCTCTTCTTTGTTCCTTTCATTACTTTCGTCCACCATTATATCTCTTGCCTTGGATAGAAAATCCTGTGCAGGGAACTTTGGCCCTCTAAACAGCAAAAGAACTCATCCGTATAGTTCATTCTTCAGCCTTGCCTCGATTATCTGACACCCTCCTTGGCAACTCTACTGACAACGCCTACAGGAACGTGGCTCCAAAGAGATCCCCCCATCAACCCACAGCTGGCTTTCACATGAAGACCCGAATTCGTGCCAACAAGGGCACGCCACAGGCAACGGGCTCCTCTGCAGCGTATTCGCCTCCTACCCAGCCAGAGTCGACCACACCCACGCCAGCCACATCGCGGAAGCGTAAAGCGTCTGACGCATCAGACTCCCACCCAAAGACCAAGCGTCGGCAGGTGGAGGGAAGTGACTCCGATAAGGAGTTTGACTTCCTTCAATTCACGGACGGGGTGTTTTGGCCTCAATATGATGCCAAAAGACCACGTTATTACGCCGGCGATGCCACCATCAGGACCCACGCGGTGGAGAATGGCAACACACCAGAGTCCCATTCTCCCAAAAAGCCCAGCAGGGCCGGTGGCCGGGCCCGCGGAGGTGTTGGAAATGGCGGGGGCCGTGGAAGAGGGAAGCAGAAGGCAAGGGGAGGACGAAGTGGAGAAAGCCCGGAGCCACCGAATCGAAAACGTCCTTTGACACAGGACGACAGGGTGGAGATCTCCATGCTCAAAGCAAGACAGCAGGAGTTGAAGCGGTTCTTCGCTGTCGTCGGCGCCCAACAAGTCGACATCCTCGAGGCGCTCTCGTTGAGAGACCTCTCCAAGATCGCCCGAAAGCCAAAGGCACACAAACATGTGCCAGAATATGAAACTGTCGCGGAGAACTTGGAAGGCCTCATGAAAGAGACCCAAGAGATGATCGAAGAACGATACAACTTCCAAGTCGAGTATGAGAGACAGCGGTTGGAGCAGGAGAAGGAGGTGATTGAACAAAAATTCCAGGTAATGGCCTCGTCTCTGGCTTTTTCGTCAACCATTCTAACTTTAGATAGACACACGTGATTGAATCACGCAAAGAGCACCTGGCGGGTGCTGAAGGAGACATCATCCTCTTCGAACGTGCTTATCGCGCTGCCCATGACGACACCCATACCGAGTCTGGCTCCGACATGGACTATTTCCCACGATATCACGAACTCCCGGAGCCAGATTCTCAGCCGCGTGGTTACCTCTCTGGCAAAATCATGGACGAAAAGCCATTCAAGCCACAGCCGGAATCCTTCGATGAACAGGCACGTCAAGAGGTCTTGAATGAAGACGTCATCGCACCCCTCCTCAAACAGATAGAGAAGAGAAACAATGAATGGCGAGAAGAACAAATCCGCAAGAAATCACAAACCCTGGACGCTCTCTCGGCGGAAGCCATCAAAGAACTGGAAAAGATTCCAGGCCGCCTCATTCCACGACCGTTGCAAATGCACGAAAGTAACTCATACGCCTTGTCAGCTCTTGCAGATGTGGCAGATTGGGTTGCACTACAGCATCCAGAACGTCCATACGTCTACATGCCTCTGGCGTCAGGCGACGGCTTTCGACGACCAGCACTAGAATTCTCACCTGTTCCTGGGCCGCCATACCCCGTTATTCGTCCGGCATCAAGTAACCGCCAATTCAAATACACCACCAATGGTCAGGCCACATCCGCTCCACCACCTCCACCACCACTATCAGCAACCGAGCCCGGTGTGCCCTCTCTTTCACGATTCATATCCAGTGGACCTGGCCAACCAATCGCTCCAGCGCCACCCAAACCAGTGACTCGATCTTCTGGCCCGACAATCTTCCGTCACAGTACACGCATGGGGTCGCAGAGTTCTCCGGCATTGGCTGCTGGACCACAGCAATTCATCTTCCAGCCACCACAGCAACCTTTCCAACATCAAGCGGCTCCTGGTCCGAGTCCGACGCCTCAATATGGCCCGGCCGGTGCAGGTGCTCCAGTGGGACAACAAACCAAGATCCCAATGACATTTGTCAATCAAACCATTGCCAGTCGAAGTGCAGCGGCTGCAGGGAATGGAAACGGCAATGGCAAGGGTGGACAGAGAATGTTGTTGCCCAAAATGTGAAGTCACAGTGGTCAGAGCGAAAGGACGAAGAGATAGGAAGACGAAACCACGAATTTGAAAGAATAAAACCTCAGAAGATCAAAGAGAAGACACGAAGCAGAGACGCCAGAGGAGCATGAATTGAAAATGCGGCAGCGGCTCAGAAAAAGAAACGAAGCAGGGATATCAGAGGGCCACGAGAAAGGGAATGAAGCAGAGTTGTTAGAGCTGCGCCACGAAGAGCTCATGGCTGCCGATACCACATGGTTCGTTTCCATTTCTGGTTCATCAGTCGTGCAGACAAGCATGGACTAGAACTGGGCAATGCGATGCTTAGAAAGATGAACACCAACCAAACAAATCTAGACGTGCACGGACAAATTGAGTCAGCTACATGTCGAGGAATCTCGATCTGTGTCAATCAGAGCATTTGTATGCCCATTGGGTAATGAAATGGTGATGTGAAGCAGCCCCGGAAACACATCCGTCCATCCATTTCTCACTCCGCTTCGCTTTTGCCAGGGTAAACACGTTTTTCTCCGTCGACATCGACTCTGCGTTCAAACATCCTGGCCATTGACCCACCTCCAGCATTTTGGCGTCTTCCAGGGTTGATCTGGCCTTCTTCAGTGGTGCCGGCGTCCTGCTAGAAGCTATGAGATGAAGTCATCCTCAAATGGTGGCTGTGGTCGCGCCTTTGGGACGTTCTGGTACTGGCACGCGAGGTGTCAAAGGTATGATGTGACTACTCGTCCCGTTGTTCTGCACGACAGGCTGTCCGCTTTCGTCCTCTCCTCCTGCTTATTGCCTATTCTACTCCGCCTTAGTGAACGTGCCTTTCATTTGATAAATCGAAGTGACTCGGCTCCTCACTCAACTGCCTATGCCAGTCACGGGAGCGACCTCGCCAGCCTTGCAGAACCCCTTTGACAAAATATCCGTCTCCGACCGATCCACCATCGCCGACGAGCAATCTCATGAAAAAGAGAAACCCCTCCGCGACCTTCCTGGTGAGAAGGAAAGAGCCTTGAGCGTCTCCGGGCCCGAATTGGCCGGATACAATATCGATGGCGGTCGGTCCAAACGCGCCGACAGCACGGTCGAACTCACCGAGGAAGATGCATATGATAAATTGGGCTTCTGCTTCCCTACATGGAAGAAGTGTATGATTCTCTTTATCATCCTCCTCATCCAGACGTCCATGAACCTCAATGCCAGCATCTACGCCAACGGAGTTGACGCTATGGTGGAGAAATACACCATATCTAAACAAAAAGCCCGAGTTGGACAGATGATCTTCCTTGTCTGCTATGCCTTCGGCTGTGAATTATGGGCGCCTTGGTCTGAAGAATTAGGGCGCTGGCCTATTTCTCGTGAATATATGGCAATTGCCCGCAGCCTTGGCCCCGAATTTTGGGTCGATCGTGGTCGCCAGAGCTCTAGCGGGCCTCTCTACAGCCGGCGGTTCGGTCACCTTGGGAGTGATTGCCGATCTATACCAACCGGAAGACTCAGGTTTTCAATTCGCTGTCGCCTTTGTCGTCCTTTCATCCGTGGGCGGAGCACCGGTCGGCGCGGTTGTGGGCGGCTTTGTCGGCCAATTCCTGCCCCTCCCCTGGATTTTCTGGATGCAACTCTGCATCGGTGGCGCCGTACAGATTATCCACTTCTTCCTCGTGCCGGAAACACGAGCTACGATTCTTCTCGACCGCGAGGCCAAAAAGCGCCGTAAGAATGGCGAATCAAACATCTACGGACCTGACGAGCTCAAATCTCCGCGTATCCCAATAAGGGAGTTCCTCAGGATCTGGGCTCGCCCGTTCCAGATGTTTCTCACCGAGCCGATCGTCCTATTCTTGTCACTGCTCAGTGGCTTTAGCGATGCACTGCTTTTCACCTTTTTGGAAGCATTCACGCCGGTCTTTGAACAATGGAATTTCCAGCCATATCAGGTTGGGCTGGCCTTTCTCTCGCAAGTGATCCCTTCCTTCCCAGTCAAAAGTGTCTGTGGAGTTTTGTCGGAAGCCCGAGTCTGACAGGAATAATCTAGGTCGCTCATTGGATATGTATTCGCGTATCTCACATATTTCCCCGTCATTCGGCATCATAACAAGATCCGCGCCGAAGATCCAGACAAATTGTCTCCTGAGTCGCGTCTGTGGTGGTTGCTTTTCCGTAAGTCTATATCTGACGCAAGATACCCTTTCCTCTGGATGAGGATACTGAGAGCAATGTATGGAGTCGCTCCACTTGAGACAATTGGCCTCTTCGGCTTTGCATGGACGAGTCTCGGACCTGACTACGGCATTCCCTGGATTGCCCCCATGATCGCCGCCTCCGCCACGGGCGGCAATGATCTCGCGCGTGATTTCCTGGCTGGTATTGCCGCTCTGTACAGCGCTCCCTGTGAGTACCAGTTCCTGTCTTGCCTGAGTCCCAATCCCCCAACTTCATAAGTCCCCCTCGTACTCTTGGGACCATATCGTAATCGACCGGCTGATCTGCTCGTACTGTGATCTAGTCTACGAAAATATCGGCAAGAAGTACGTTCTCGAATATCCATCGACGGTCCTCGCCTGTCTCTCCGTCGTCGTTATTATTCCCATTTACCTCTTCTACTGGAAAGGGGAGTGGTTCCGAAACCGCAGTAAGTTCGCCAAGGAACTGAATGCCGGACGCAAAGACGCGGTCGAGAGAAGGAGGAGTTCTGCTGCAGCTCTGAGGAATAGGAGGACTCTTGGAACGGCAAGCGAAAAAGATGGAATGAGACACCGAGCAAGTACCCATGCCGAGGACGTCAGACACATCGAACAAGTCTGAGTTGCCGATCTATTTGGGGGCGCTTTCGTGGACCAGAGATCCAAAATTATTGTGTTGCCGGATGATATTCTACATTTCTCATGTTTGTTCCCGAAAGAAGGTGCAAAGTCCAGCGAAAGATCAGCTTCGTGTTATACTCAGGCCAGATCGACTTCAGGGTTCCTCCCTTCTGTGAGCCGAGGAGAACTACGAAAGCACCGCACCGGAGGGTCTCCTCGCTCAAAGCTATATAGTATCTAACTTGTGCAGTGTTGCTGTCCATAGTCGATGTGTTCAGTAATCATAATACTCTCAAGAGAACCAAGTACGGTGTATCAGATGCTTTGCGGATCGTTCCATTGATACCGGCCTAAGCGATAGGACCACGGTTCAGACAAGCCTTCGTAGGGTAAGCAGAATCAGGCAAAGGCATTTGAAGTTCTTTGGATTCGGTGAGAACCCACCTCTAAATAATCGGACTGAACGCCACTTGATCAGCATTAACAAGGTAGCTTCTGAGAACTTGAAAGACCAAATATTCCTTGGCCTGGATACTTCATGAAATGTTGCACGACCAGATGGCGCTGGAGGTATTTTCCGAGCAAGAACCTCCAGCCTGAAGAGGCAGAGTCCAAAGAATCTGATTGAAAAGGCACCGCTTGAAATCCGCAGTGCCGTCATCTGGGCAACTATGATTCTCGTATTACTGCATCCCCCGTCCTTCCGGGCTGGGTACTTGGAAGCAAATTGTTGGATATGAGCTACCAGTTGGTGGGAGGATAACGCGAAACTATGTCGCGACGAATTTCTTGGGCCTGAAGATATTGATGCATCACTACTACCCGAAACGTCGTCCTCCAGAGGAACAGGGGGGGGCCGGGATCAAATGGCAAAGACTTTATGACGGGTCATCGAAACATAAACATAGCATTCGAGAATTGAACTCAGAACTGGAGCTCTGACGGCCTGATCTACTGTGACAGTCAATTCCCCCACCGATATGTTGCGAAAATTGCTGTGCCCTGTTTTGTTGCAACATTTATTCTTCGTAATCAGCGTAGGGGATTTTATAAATGCTAAATCTCCTGGCTGGACTCAACCACACTGGAATGACACCCACTTCAAACTCGACGCGAGTGAATAATTGAAAATGTCTTGGAGAGAGCCTTGCTGAAAATCGGGCTCCGGCTAGGATAGAGAGATGGAACTATTTGAGATACGGGTTCAAATTTTGGGACATTCTGTTACCGTATTCTGAGTCTTGTGCGGCATTTCACGCATCGCACATCCAATTGAGCTCTCCAATTGGGTGATTGACATGAGATATTTTTGCCATTCACAATGGGATGATCAATGTCCCTCAACTAAGATGAAGATGACTGACTGCGAATAACATCCACCACGCTCGGTAAGATCTCTTCTGCCGGCAAACTAGCTCGAACAAGAGCTCTGCGCAACGTCATCCAGCTGTCGTGAAAATCTCCACCGCCATTCACACTGGCCGTGCCTTCAGTGGCATGGGAATGACTGTGAGTCGGGTGTGTATAATCTCCAAAGAAAACCTCCTCTTTTCTGACTCCGCCAAGATTCAAGACTCCGATACCCATACCTTGCTCATGGGCGCGCTTTACCAACCTCCATGCCGAATATGTCGCGAGTGAACTACCGACGACCAGAATCTTTGAGGCACTATCAATGGCGGCTTCTGCCAATGCTTTGACAGAGGCGGGAATCGATTCGCCAAACATGATAACGTTGGGCTTCAGGACGCCTACGGCGTCGGAAGCCGCGGACATTGACTTAGTAGGGGCGGTCGGGATCCAGGCCCCATCACTATCGACGTTGACATGGCCTTTTGACCCATCGCTCAGAATGGGCGGCCGCTTCAAACAGCTCGGACATGCCGGATATCGGAAAGTGGTGTACGGCGCGCCCGGCACATCAGCATCACCGTCCGGATTGGTACGAAATCCTCGCCGTCGTCTTTCGATAGGATTGTCCGTGTCCAGCGCACCAGACTGTAAGAGCTCGGTGAGAAACGAGGCCCACGCAGGATTCAACTCGGCCAGGCGTGTTTGGAAGGCATCCCTGTCCATGGGCTTCTTGCAGCTGAGGCATATGAGATTGCGCAGAAACCCGTGCAGCTCCACACAGTGCAATCCCGGGTGCGCAAGGGGGTGGAACGAGTCGACGTTCTGCGTTATGACGGAACCAACAAGACCCAAACGGCCTAGGTCCCGGATTGCGAAATGTGCAGCATTGGGCTTGGAACGGTGCAGGCCGCGCCAGCCTAGAAATGAGCGTGCCCAGTACCGTTTACGAGCTTCGTGGCTGGCGACGAATTCATGGTAGTAGATGGGCCGGTAGCTTTTGTTCTGTGTGTAGGTCCCATTTTCTCCGCGGTAGTCGGCCAGGCCAGAGGCGACGCTTATCCCCGCCCCGGTGAGGAGGACGGTTTTATTTTGGCTTTTCGGTATATTTGTCTCGGAGCTAGAATCGGTGGAGGAATCGTCTTGTGCGAGGGCAGAGGAATGAGAGTGATGGGGGGGAGAGGAGGGAGTAGGAGAGGTCAAAAAGTGCGCGAGGGCTCCTATAGCACCTCGTTTCGTAGCTGCGGACGGTGGGATGATTAGGGGCGGTGGAAGGGGTCCCGTATAGGGGATACGCATAAGCGGTTTGGACATATGCGAAGCATGGTCCTGAAGGAGGAAAGAAGGCGAGGGAAGAAAAAAAAAATCAAAGAGGTTTTGGGACGTCGATGTCATAGGTTTGCTGCCGAGGATTTGCCGGGCTTGACGGCTTGAGCAGACGAGGCTGAGACGAGGCTGAGTCAAGGCTGAGGGAGAGCAATTCAGCAGAGCAATTCGTCAACTAGTTTATTCATTTCTCAGCTGATCAGTCAGGTCTATGCTATGCTTTATCAAACCAATTTCGTCCTCGATTTCATGCGATACTCATTACCATCATTGACACCACTTCTTTCACGCCCATTTCCCCAGAACACTCATCCCAACAAACCCAACAATTAAACTTGTCAACCCAACCCCAATCCTAGCAACACTCAGATTGCTTCCGGTCATCTCACCACCTTCAACAACCCAGTCCCGGGCCCACATATCCACCATACCGACCCAGGCCAAAATACCGGCGGAAAGGGCATCGAGTGTTCCAATTGTCAGGATGGTGCTCCTATCATTGCCATTGAAATCATGAATCACTCCCAACCCAATGGCCATACCTAACGGCGTGATCAGCGTAAATGCTGCAGCCATGAGAGCTTTGGTAGGCCAAAATGAGGCCGTCCCTCGAGGGACTGACGCAATGCGAGCACCAAGAGCAAGCCCTTCAAAAAATTGGTGAAAGACGATGACAACCAAGAGAGTGCGGTAGAATGAATCGCCGGCCACGACAAGGGTGAGCCCAATCAAAATGCTGTGGAAAAGAACTCCTGCTTCCATTACCAGGACGGAGAGCTTCGAGTTTGGATTGGTTGGATCGAAGGGGCAGCCATGGTGGTGACCGAGATTTGCCAGAGTGATCTGATTCTCCGCTTCGGCGCGTTCTGGATTCGAACTGGGAAGACCATTGGCCTGGTTGTCCGTGTTCTTAGCCGAGTCATCTTGCGGTGATGTTTCCTTGCCGGAAGAGGCTGCGGTGGTGGTCCATTCACTCGAAGTCATCCTTCTTCGCCTTGTATTCGGGGCTCTCGAGAGAACAATTCGATGACCGATGTATTCGAACAGGAAAGCGAGGAAAATCCCCGCCATGACAATGGCCGATGTCGTAGCTTCGTAGTCTAGTGTTCCGAGACATTCATTGTTGAACATCAAGGATGCATGAGTGTACAGCTAGGATTGCGCGAATTAGTAAGAGAAAGCACGGTAGCAGACGCGGCCTACATGAACGAAAGCCGTTGACACGATCACCCCAGTCCCAAATTGTTTGACGATTGTGAAAACCCAGGTATTGACGTTCTGGAATGGAATCTTGACAAGCAAAAGAGGTGCAAAGACCCCCATACCGCTGGTGACAAGAACGACAAACAAGGTGCCAATTCGAAGAGGGATATCGTAGTCTCGTTCCTGAAGACCGCAAGACGCAGAACTGCTGCTTTCAGATTCGCCCACTGGTACACAGTGTCTGGAAATGTGAGCGACTTTGGCCTATTTCATGCTGGAAAGAACATACTCGACTCCGGCATGAAAGTGACAATCCACCTCTTGTTCTCCCTCATCTTCGTCAGACGAAGTGGTTCCTTCGGCCACAACTAATACTTCTTCCCCACTGGGACCCACGCAGTATCTGAGTTTTGTCAGTACAAGCGGAATGAATTCTCGCGGATATATTACTGTTCTTCACCATGATTGTGGCAGTCGGTATATTGAGCTGGCGATTCTCCTGTGGGAGTCGCAGTCGTAGAAATGAGGACTTCCTCTCCTTCGCCATTTATGCAGTAACTACGCTCGTCAGACTAATCCGTCGATCTTGGGGCCGTATGATATACATCTGGGATCCATGCGTATGGCAGCCTGTCACCGCTGGATACTCTTCTGTGGTGGTGGCCGTGGCGGAGACTTGTGCAGGGATCGTTGCCGTCGATAGCGTTGTCGAGACAGGGAGGGAATAGGTCACCAACGGTGTTTCTTGACCATCTGGGCCGTAGCAGTATCTTTCTAAATGGTCAGTAATGATATGAGAACCGGACAACTATACCCACTCAACGGTGGAATGGTTATGACATCCGGTGTAAGTGGTTTGAGCTGTAACAGCGTCGATCAATGCGAGGGCAAACAATATCCTAGCCCACATTATGCAGAGCTTTTCGGGTTACAACGACGATTGATGCAATGCACTGTCGCGACGAGATTTGAAGACACGAAGAGAATGAAGAGGGGAGAAAAAAAGGTGCTGCTAAACGCCGCTTCCGTTTGCCGAGTGGTACAGTCACATCTGGAGAGCTTGCAGCCTTGACTTCGACCTGTTCTCTGCCAAATCTTCCCACCAGAGTTTATCGCACGATGTCCTCACTTGGGGTGAGGATCTCTTGTCGCTCTCATCAAAGCCATTCATATTGATGTTTGGGTAATGCCAACACCACTTTGGAGTCCACATGGCCAATATTCGGAAGTAAAGGACTTCAAACTTGCCAGACCAAGCGCAAGAGCTAAGAAGCAAAAGTAAAGGGAACACACAGCCAAGGGATAAGGTACTCGAAGAATGGAACAAGCTGGTTTGTCCGAATCCAATGAGATCCAACATAAATGGTGGAGTGTGGCTAGAAAACTCTTGGTTTAAGGTACTCACTTTTGTCTCGGCTTTTCACCGGATCGACACCTCGAAGAGCTGTCGCCGAGCTTTGTTAACGGCCTTTTGGTCAGAGATGAACAGCATGCCACAGATGTAGGGAATTGCTTTCGACATTGACCATCATGGAGAGCATGTCTCCCTCAAAATTGGCATTTCTCGGCGAGGCTGTACCATGTCCTCTTCGAAACCTTATCTCTTTTTGGGCGAACACGATGCTATGCCGTATCTCGGAGAGCATCTCAGGGACTCTGATTTGGCCGTGAACACCAACTGGTGGCAAGGAAATCAAGCGCAAAGGCGAGAAGTCGGGATGTCACATGTCTCCCTGCTGGCAAAACTTACCATTTACGGATTGGCGTCATTTCCCCAAAGAGGGCCATTCATGGCGGGACATGAAAATGATCCGCTTGCCTGCTATTGATCGGGTCAAGATCGTCGTTTCATCATGATTCTTCATTTGCGTTTGCGAAATAAAATTGTTTCTAAGCGACAATCGCGTTTTGGTACCACAGGCATGGAATTCTGGAACTCCAATATCTCAGCAACTTGCCAGGAACCAGAACCGGCAATGAATCATTCGTGTGATATTACAAACAAATAGGCCACTCCTTTCCACATTCCCCACTTCCTTGCTCTGTCACCTACAGAACCAAGGCACCAAGACCAGCCGCCAGCAATAGGCCTTTCCCGACCGCGACAGATCCAGCACCACCTGAATCGAACTGACTGACCGATGTCGACGAGGAGGTGGAGGATGTCTCGGTGGCAGAGGTGGTGACCAGTGCGTCGGTCGAGTAGACCAATCCCGATGAAGATGTCGCGGACGAGATGTCAGAAGTCAGAGTGTATGACGAGCTGAGGCCACTGTCGGTGTCGGAGGAAGAGCATGAGGAAGAGGTGGAGCCCTGCGTCAACGTTTAGGAAATGGGTCGACAGAAAGGGTTCAAGGATCGCTTACAGGAGCACAGCATTTACCGACTATGGTCGAGCAAGTATATCCGCCTTCGCAATGATCTGGCCGCGTCATTAGAAATCAGTGGTGTCAGGAGCTCCCAATTATATGGACTCACATCCATCAGCGCAGCAAACATCGCCTTCATCAGGGTTGTAACACGAATCATCTCCGCAAGGCACACTTCCAGCACCGTAAATATCGGCGCAAGTGGTTGAAGATGAGTCACTGCTGTCCCCCGAGGAGCTGGTGTCGGTATCATCATCATCCGGGCAGGTATCGTACAACGGATCGTTGGGGTCGTAGCAGTGATAACCATCTGGGCATTCAAGATAGGTTGGTCCAAAGCAAGAGGTGCAAGTCGCCCCTGTCTCGTAGCAAATGTCGTCTACGCCGCTGCTCGAGGTCGATGTCGGTGTCGACGCGGCCGCACTGGAGGTATAATCGGTGGTGCTGCTTCCTGGGCAAGAGTCGAGCCCATAGTAGGAATCGCCCGGGAGATAGCAGTAGATGCTGCTATCTGGGCAAAGAGTGTAGCCATCACCGAAGCACTCTTCACAACTTCCGGTGCAACGCTTATCAAGAGACCGTGACATAAGCTTGTTGGTTGATGTGGGAAGTCTCGTTCGGCCAGGGGTCAAGCCCTTGATGATCGCATCTTCGGGCTCCTGCGCCGAGGCGAGGAGGACGAGGGAGGAGAGGAAAAGAGCTGTCTGGCCAAACAACATTGTGTCGGATTTGAGAAACTCTTTGTAAATGAGCGACTGGGGGGGAAGGGAAAATAAAAATTTTAAAAGGTAACTGATATAAAAGAGCGACGATGAAGCTGTGAACTTTGAGAGACACAGAAGAGTAGGTAGCGGATGCTAATAAAATATACCCAATATGAAATCAGCCTCGTGCTGCTCGGAAGGCGTGAATACGGATACGTCCAGAATTGAATCATGTATGCCACCACCCTAGCCCCTTGTTCATGCTCCGAACAGGTTACTTGAAAGGGCGTATTTTATGATCAGCAGAACCCACGAAGTTCCTTCTTTAGACGAGACCATAATAGTTTTCAGGCGTTGATTCGTCGTGAGGGGGAATTCATAACTCAAAAGGGTTCATGAATGGGGTATGGCGGTCGAATCTGAGCAGACTCAGCCCAACAGGGTTCACGTAGGGTAGAATAGATGGCAAGGTCTTCCGCCAGGGAGTTGGGGGAAACCAACGAGAACACGTCTTAAGATTTGACCGATGATCCCTTGCCAATCTGCTGAGCTGGGGGAGAAACCGGTGTCACAAATAGACGCCGGAAAAGGGCTGAAGAGGGAGGATAGAAGAGGTTTGTTTTTTCTCCAGGGGCACCCCGTTGGTTAGTATATGCTTGGCAGATTGGGGGCTGCCTTGGCAAAGGGTTCGTTCGAAATTCGGTAAAATCAGATGAATCTCTTGATCCAGTCTATTCTGCGCCATCTATCAATTCGAGGCATTTCCTTTCGCCGTGACAGAGTTGCGCGTTCGTAGCGAAAGCTCGATGGTGGACTGACGACAAGGCTTGTCAGGTACCGTACACAGCCTCTCGAAATGTGCAATCTCGTGTCTGCTGTGCGCCACAGCAACGGTCTGTGCGTTTCTTAGCTCCAGGGGCGTTGACGCCATTCATATTCAAGTGGGGGATGGAGATTCCTTAGTCATTGGAAAACGCTGGGTAAATCACCTGGGGCCAGGGCACGTGTACGTCAAAGATCTTCGACAAAATCCTCGGAAAGGTTTCGGGTAAATCGAATGACTGCCAAATGCGGATTCTTGACCCAGAGCTGCCTTGATGAAATTATGTCATAATGGGTCTTGTTCCGTTGAAAGCGTCCAAGAAAAACGTTCAGTTGAGCCGAATTTCGCCTTGCCAAGCCGGAACCTTTGGAGTCTGGTGTACAGAGGTATTAGAGAGCCCCAAGCTACTTGTCTGGAGAGACAACTGGTATTATGGTCCCCTTTTCAGATGGAGTCTGCTCCTTCCGTGTGTCATGACTGGTTGAATTTCAAATCTTTGAACTCCTTAGTTGTGTTGGTAATGGCAATTTCAACCGGTAGTCTCTCCATACTACTGGCTCCAAAAAATCCATGGACTCCTTTGGTGCGATTGAGAACATAATCGGCATCTTTGGGCTCGGCAATGGGACCACCGTGGCAGAGAACAATAATGTCGCTGTTGATGTTGATTGCGGCATCCCGTATGTCTTGAATCAATTGGACACAGGTGTCCAACGACTTTCCCGTCCTTGCACCAATGCTGCCCGATGTTGTCAGACCCATATGGGCGACTAGACAATCGGCGCCGGCCTTCGTCATTTGCTCAGCCTGTTCGACATTAAAGACATAAGGTGTGGTGAGGAGATCTAGTTTGTGTGCTTCGGCAATCATTGCCACCTCTTTATCATAACCCATTCCGGTCTCTTCTAGGTTTGCTCGAAACGTACCATCAATGAGACCAACGGTAGGAAAATTCTGAACTCCGCAAAAGCCCATGTTTTTGAGCTGTTCGAGAAATTTGGGCATTATTCGGAAGGGATCTGTACCACATACGCCGGCAAGGACTCCGGTCTTATTCACAATGGGGATGACTTCTCTTGCCATGTCGACCACAACTGCATTGGCGTCCGAGTACGGCATCAGGCCTGCGAGACTGCCTCTTCCAGCCATTCTGAACCGCCCAGAGTTGTAGATGATGATTAGATCTGCACCGCCGGCCTCGATGAATTTGGCCGAGAGACCGGTACCTGCCCCAGCTCCGACGATAGGTTTTCCATTCTTGATTTGGTCCCGAAGATGGGAGAGGACTTCCGACCTCGAGGATGGAGGCGGCATGGTCGAGGTGGGAGACGCAGAGGCAAATGCAGAATTGCTAGGACCGAGCGGTCAACATCTGATGTTGCTTCTGACGAGATCCGTGAATTAGCGGTAACACGTGGATGATAAGTTCGTTGTCGCACGTCATTGCTCACCTTTGATAAACAGCTGGCCTCCTGCGGTGAAAATACGAGAGAGGAGGGGTACGGGCGTAGCCAACCATAAGTGGCCTCGTCACCAGCTTCCCTGCGTGGCTCCCCAGCGGGCATTTTGTAAATTCAAATTCCTCACCTCCAAGCTCGTCGAATTCCCGAAGCTTCTCTGTCATGTAGGACCTGGGTGTGTGATGAACATCCTCCGTGAAAAGTTAATACCTCTCATTGACTCGACACTCGGTCCATCATGCTTATGCCAACCATCCTCGTCGTCGGTACCACGGATACCAAACTCGATGAAATCCTGTATTTGCGAGAACAGATTCTAGCTCAAGGTACTTGCCGCACCAAGATTCTCGATGTAAGTCATACTGCAGCCAAGTCGAATACCCTGGACAAACTCCCTCCCGGCGAGACCCTCTCACCGTTACGCGAACACAGTGCAACCTTGAAGGCGCTTTCTCGTGGAGAATACATCGACCAGGCCATTGAGCTATGTCTGCCAATGGTCAAGGATCTCGTATCCAAATCTCAAATCCAAGGGATCGTATCCTCCGCCGGCAGCAGTGGCTCATCCCTGGCGACAGCCTTCATGCGGAATGCATGTCCAGTGGGATTCCCCAAACTCATGGTTTCAACAATGGCAAGTGGAGATGTGAAGCACTACGTCGAGGAAACAGATATCACTATGATGTACAGTGTCGTCGACATTGCGGGGATCAACTCCATCCTCAAGCGAATCCTTTCCAACGCCGCTGCAGCGATCTCGGCCATGACGGTTTCCTACGCAAAGTCTCTTGTTGACCCTTCTTTGACAGAGATGAAAGGCAAGCGGATTGCCATCACCATGTTTGGCAACACTACACCTTGTGTCGACCAAATTCGTCGAATCTTGACCTCCACCCCACATGACGTTTCCGAATATGAGATCTATGTGTTCCATGCCACTGGATCGGGTGGTCGTGCCATGGAACGACTCATAGCCGAAGGGCAAATTGACGCGGTGGTGGATTTGACCACAACAGAGATCCCAGACGAACTCTTTGGTGGCGTTCTCAGTGCGGGACCAGATCGACTCGAAGTTGCGGCAAAGATGGGTATTCCCATGATTGTCTCGGTCGGAGCATGCGACATGGTCAACTTCGGTCCGAAAGATACCGTGCCCGAGAAATACCAGGATCGCAAACTGTTTGTTCACAACCCTGCGGTGACATTGATGCGTACCACGCCAGAGGAGAACAGGAAAATTGGCGAGTTCATTGTCTCCAAACTATCAACTCATGCCACCAACCCGACGGCGATTCGCGTTCTTCTCCCTCAAGGTGGAATCAGCATGCTTGACGCACCAGGAAAGCCTTTCCACGATGTTGATGCCGACAATGCTTTATATGAGAGCATCGAGGAAGGATTGGAAGCCACACAGATCGAAATCGAGAAACATCCACTACATATTAATGATGAATTGTTCGCAGGACATGTTGCTTCTGCCATACTGGAGGTCATGGGTGTTACACCGAGGAAATATAGGCTTGCCAACGCCAGGAGACGAAAATGGAGTTTCGATCATGGTGCGACGGTGATGATGGCTAGGAGAAGCAGCCGGGTTGAGATTCCGGATGCTGTGTAGGAGTGATTAGTTTCCTTCTGTTTTGAGTGCACCTGCAGTCACACTCTCGTTTACACATATCTGTCTTGATTCTTTATCAAATACCCCCAGATCAATGTTATTTATTGTCAAACGAAACGTGGTTCCAATTTTCCTTTTCAATGCATGGAAAAAAATACGAACAGCAAGCAGTTGATGTGCCCCTGCTTTTGTGGTCCGGAGATCGGATAATCTATTTTCCGCCAAGGCTGCGCAAGTGTTTTGCTGCTCTTGAAACCAGAAACTTGACCTTCCGGCTCCCTTGCCTCATCCACATCGAACCGGATTCCCAACTGACCGTATCACACCATCTTCGACAATGCCTCACGCCGCCCCTTCTCGTTACGCTCCTACCGCGACCTCAGACCTCGAAGCTGGCTCCGTCCTCAAACTGGGCGAATTCCAAAACGAAGTCACGCTCAACCTCTCTGAAGCACGCATCATCCTGCAAAAGACGCTCGCCACCCGCGCTGCCCGCGGTGGAGCCTACGAAGAGACGGAAACCACTGCCAAAACGCGCGATTACCTTGAGATCTTCGCCGTGTTCAAGGATCTCGCAGAGGCACAGCAGGTTGAGGGCATCATTACTTCGTACGGGGAGAATTTGGAGCGCTTTGAGAAGTCTCAGTTGGGCAGTTTGGTGCCGACATGCTCGGATGAGGCGAAGGCATTGATTCCGAGTTTAGAGAAGAAGGTAGAAGATGGGATCGTGACGGAAGATGAGTTGGAGGGGATTTGCAGGGAGTTACAGCGGTTGAAGAGGCAGGCCCAGCTGTGAAATTGAACATAAGGGAGAATGCCATACCATATGCATATCTCCGCATGTGTGAGCCTCTGAAGATATTTGGCTACCTATTCGGTCGGTGTGCAGAATCAGGTCTTCACATCAGGGGATTTTGAATCAGCAGAAAACTTGAAATCAGGACTGGGCCGAGAAAGACTCGAATGTCACGAGCGCTGCCACGACTGATCTATTTATCGGTGATAATGAGAGCCGGTCTTGCACACATCCCACAAGAAACCGGTGGACCTGATAATTATCTGCGCAATGCTATCCACGACACGGCCGCATCGTTCTCACAGATGTAATGATCAGATGAGATCCTCTCTGCGATAAGCCGCGAAACGACTAAGCTCTGGCCTCAGATCACATTGACGATTTCTAATGAGTTTGTTTGCTATGGCCACTACCTTTCTTACATTTCATAGCACGTTTGGGAGGGATATTCGATGCGTGACATGGATTCACACGTCCAACAGGTGACAACCCGGCAGAAATAGGATATGAATGACAATGAGTATGGTCCGTTTTGACCAACGAGACTCAAACACAACCACCTTCCCCTCTTCGGGCCCGGTCGGGGGTTTTCCTTGACTTCCATTGCAAACTGAACTGACTTCTACTTTACTCACCCCCATCAAACCTATACCATTTAAGCGAAACCCCAAAATTCGCAGGTCTTCGCGAACCCAGCACCTTCGTCATATTCCCTCTTCCGCTAAACATCATATCTAATTTATTCCCCATGTCAAACATTGTTTTCTGAAAAAAAATGACATCATGTCCAAATCCAATGGATCACGCCTACCGCAGCCCAACACCTCATCAGTCCACCTCCAGAGCAGTAGGTCACGATATATCCGTGAAGTCGAACGGATCTGAATCGTTCGACGACGTCCTCCATCACCAGACATCAGGAATTCAATTCGATATCGAAGCCCATCTCCAAGAATGGCGTTTTGGGGGCGAAGATCGATTCCCCCACTGATTCTATGACGAGAATCCTAGCCGCCGACGCTCGTATGAGCACAGTCATACAGTAAGGGGCCAATGCATATCGAGAACCCCAGTCGACATCGCCAGTCCAAACCGAGGCCAAAATCACGGGCTCTGGAATGGCGTAGGAGCAGGAGCAGGAGTAGGGATCCATGAGTTCGTAGTCATGGCCGGGATCGTAAGAGGTGAAGGGGTTAAGAGCTATGGCCCAGGGTACATCTCCGGAGCACTTATCGCTGCAGAGGATAGCCTGATTTTTCATGGAGCTAAGAGTTGGGAAAGGGCGTGAGGGCGGGAGAGAGCGTGGGCGTCGACGGAGCCAAGGCAGGAGGAGATGGCGCGAGATCGTTGAACCTGATCCAGCCCGATGGCCCCAAGTCTGCAAGAAGAGCTGATTTTGGGGAGGATGGCTGGAAACTCATTCGCTGGGCCAGGAAGGTCACGTCCATAGGTTTTTAGCATGGTCTTCTGTTGGACTGAGCGCGCACTAATTCATGCTGATTGTACTGTATGAATATCTGTGTGGACATCCGAGTCATTCGTCCACGTCGTATCTGATTCTCTCTTTGTTTCCAAATGCCCAGTGAAGTTGAGAAGCAAAGGTCAGTACCTGCGCCAAATGGAAGTGAAAATTGCCCGACAACCTTCAATGTGCCATTTCATTTGGTGATCCTGGATCACGAGACAGGGAAAAGAGATGGTTGAGCCAATGTGAATGAAACCCGTGATGGATCCAGTCACTGCTGTCCGGCTTGTATACGAAAGCCAAAATTTCTCTTTCTTTTCCTTGTCCAGCATATTTACTGGGCCCAACTTCTTTCAGAAAGTCATCTTTTCTCAGCCGGGCTTTCCTTCGAGCGGAAGATTCAGAGCCACATCACCATTTTTGCAGGGCTTGAAAGTCAAAAATCCAACATGAAGCCTTGTTGTCTCGTCGATGTTTTGTGCTTCTTTCTGGACTAGACAGCAACATCTCCAAATCTGACGAAATATCAACATCAAAAGACGTCGCAGTAACGACCATCGCCGCAAGGACAAGACCGACAGACCACCAAACCACAGCAAGTCGTGCTCCTCAGCTTCAACAAGACAGTACCATTACTCCCGCTGGTGTCGGCATTGGCATTGGCGCTGACTCCAAGTCTATGGCCAAGTTTCCATAGGTTGTTGTGACTTCTGCCGGCCCCTGCCAAGAACCAGGGATTTCTCGGCAGAAGGTAGAGGGAGTTTAAACATGCGAGACATGACTCGGAGGCAGGAGAGAGACAAATGGGAAATTAATATCGAGGATCCGGATTTTCCGGAAAGACTAGTTGGTGATGTCAAAATACGTTGGTGTGTGGTGATGTGAGTTGTCAGGTTTGTTGAGTATGGAGATGAGATGGTTTGGATATTGAACTGAAAGGATTTCGAGGCCCTGGTTGATCTAAGAATGATGTTGGTGAGGTATGGTGCGAGTTGATCCGGAGACCCGGGCATTGGTTATTTGATCGGAATCCAAAAATTTGGTCTTGCTTTATAGCAAGCTTGACATTGCCAACCCTGGACCACATTCCAGACCCAGTTTGACCGGTCAACTGAATTGGCGGTTGTCGTGTGCATTTGGAATTGCGCAAAATGGAGGAGATAACGGTTAGCCATTTTCGTTCCAGGCAATCTAAGGCTGCACAAATGCCACACTTGCCGGAATCCGAAAACTGGCACAGAACATCTTCTTCTTCGGTGCGACGAGCCGAACATAACGAATCTCCATTTCCAACTCTTCATCATAGAGGTTGACTTCTGCGCCGATATGCCTTGATATCTTCTGGCAAATCTCCTCGAATTCATCATGTTCAGTCTCAAGTTTAGCTTGGAATAGATAGAGGTGAATCCAAGGCAGCTTCTGTGACGTATGCGGTTTGAACTCTCCCTCTCGACCGTGATAAGTGCCTTTGAATGCGTCCAGAAATTCGATGGCGGACGCAGGTAGGTTCATGACATAATGTGAAAAAATGGTTGGTTCTTGCATCGTTCTCGTATCGTTTTTGGCTGCTTCTCGTACGGCCTCCTTGTCTTCTTTGCTGGCATGTCTTGAAGCCTTGATTTTCGGCTCTATCGTCACTCTCCGTGGCGAGCGTGCAAGTTCCGCTGTCGCCTTGCGAATGAAATCTCTGCCATCTTGACAAGACGCGGTCACGAAACTGGCGACTTTGTTTCTTACGATTGCATCTTGCAAGCTTTCATGGGAATCGGGATTGAGATCATTAGCTCTCACGAAAACTTTTCGTTTCCCTGCCGGTATAGCGAAAGGTCCGACTCCAGCCGTGACGTCGCAGACGGCTTCACCTTCGCTAAACGTCTCAAAAAGCCGAGCATGTTCTGTGCCTAGGCGAGAATTCCAATAGACTTTGCCGAAGTTGAATTTGAATTCGCATCCGGATTCGTGGACTATCACGTCGAGATTGTCGGGACCAGCAAGGACCTCGTAAGGAAATGTTCGAAAGACAGACTCGGTTCCGACGTCGAAAGTCTTGTTGATGACCGTGGTGATGGTGGGATTCTTGTCAAGAAGGACTTGCCCGATCAGGTGTTTGTACGGCAGATACGGTGTTCGTAGATTCACATGAGCTAGTGGAGGTCAGTAGAGGGGGTTGTCGATATGGTCCGAGAAAACTCACCGACATGACCTACCTGGGCGAAACCGGCGGGAGTTTCTTTTTCTTCGTCTGGTATTTCGGGAAGGATGGCTTCGAGGATATTATCTAGAATTGCGTATTAGCATCTAGAATGATGGACTTCAGGTCGAATTTTGAGACTCACTTACTCATAGTCCAGTCATCATAGGTGAGCGTTAAATCGTACGGGCGTAATTTTGCTAGATTGGCTTCCACCAATTTTGAAATAGTAGACGACCACGTTTCAGGCGCTGGGACTGCGTCAGCGCTTCTCCAGAGACAAAGAAGTGCCATCTACCATTCGCATCAACCTCCGGTCTCAGCAAGAGACATTTTGCTCCGGGAGTAATTTCATCATCCCGCATTGGTTTGATAGGGTGCAACCTGAGCATGTCTCCGGAGCTGTCGAGTTGTTTCCTGACATTCGTAATTTGCTTGAGGTCTGAGATGGTGGCAGCTGCTAGAGGGATGACCTTTCGAAAGAAGGACCTGTCCAGGGTTTGCATAGATCGATTGACTGGAGGAAGAAAATTTTCGGGGAGGTCTGCTGAGTTCATGTTCATTTTTCTTGTAGCATGAGTGAACCTGGAGAATTGAAGTTTAGAGAACAGTTGGTGGAGATGGTTTGCCATGCGACGGAGAAAATGCCGGGGCGTCGTCTAGACGAAACTTGGGCTTCAGGCAAGGTACAGATGGAGTATTTTTGGATTGACAGATACCGGGCCGCAGCCAAGAGTATGTGCCAAGACACTAGTCCTAACTCGGATTCAACGCGTAAAGTGCAACGCGTAAAGTGGAACGCGTAGATATACGACTATAGGCTGACCTCAATATCCTCTCATATTTGTACCAACATCGGCTGTAGATGCATTGCATTGCCTTGATATGTCCAACGGGGTACTCGGCAACTTCTTCACATCTTCACCGAAAATGGCACGAGCCGAAGCCCCAGCAAATACCGAAAATGCTTCGATATCGACAACTAACCACTCGGCATATCCTGGTGATGGCGCAAGGCAGGGATCCCTAAAGCGATCGAACGGGACTTGTTTGAATTCCTCCAAACAATTTGGCAAGGAGTTGCAGATCATGACTCTCCGATTCACTGCGGTGTTCGGCATAGATAACACGAGTCGCTTCGTTGACAACGGATGGCGGATAAGTCGAAGTTTCTGATCCCTCCAAAACCATTCGAAAAAAGGACAAATGTCAACCTCGGCCGATTCCTGAGGTGTCTGGATTTCCTCCATCGAGTTCACTGAAGCCGACACCACCAATGAGCCTGATCTGACAATGGCCTCCTTCATAGTGGGAGCCAAGAGAGATTTTGTCATGAAGCACCAACTTCCTCAAGATGGCGAGCCAAAGTCCGAGACCAAAGACATTAAATTGCCATTAGCTAGTGGTGATATGATCTGGGTGCGTGGGCCCAACCCAATCAAACTGGCTCCATAGTGTTCTCAAGCGAAAAGCCCCTGAATTTGGCAGGAGCCGAATTAGTATCACATTGCGTCGAGCTTGGATGCCCGTCGACGCCGAAAATTAGTGTCGATACAATGTTGGTGATGGTGGCGTGCTCAAATAGGATAAATCCAAAAGAGAGAGAGCGGTCCGTGGTCAAAATCGACCGAATGGGGATAATCATGTATTCATTGCTTTTTCCGTTTCCCTTTGTCCAAAATTATTCCGGTGATTGATCGATAAATTGTTTTGCCCTCGACAGTGTGAGTAGTTACACCAAACACCAAGAGGAAGACCATCGAGAGGAGGGAAACGACCAAGAACGAAAGCCAATACGTCTTGAGTGTGTACTTCTCTGCTACTTCCGGAAGTTGAATGGAGAAATAACCAGTCATCAGACTGACTGGAAGGAACAGGATGGTCGCCTTGGCTAAGAGAACGGTGGTTCGTGTCAACCTTTCAACAGCCTGGGACTCTTTCAGAGCGACCAAGTTGAAATTCTGTGATGCGTCAGCAAAAGAGCACGGTCTATCTGGGCTGGTTACCTACCATGAGCACCAGTGACTCCTTCTCCTTCAAGCACTCCTCGATTTCTGTCAATGCATACAATCTGATTCGGTCGAGCAACCTCTCAAATCGAACTACGGCAGAAAAGCTCAATTTCACGCTGTGCATCGAATCCTCATCCAAGAAGATATGTTCATCTTGGGCCAGTTGTGAGGCTGCCGTATCGTGATAGATTCGAATGTCATGAAAATGGGATCCGTTTCCGGCTGATAAGGGGCCGATGTTGGCGTCTTTGGTCGATCGCTGGCGATGCAGAAGCCGCGAGACAATCAGTTCATAACTTTGATACATGAGTTTCAGGACCGTCAGTTGTCTCCCCACGTCGTGCACTTGCTTGATCAAGGACACATCGGCCGCTTCGAACATGAGTTGTCGCAACTCTTCCAATGTGTCTCGGTACGGATGTTCCCTGCGGGCGAGCAATGCGTAGGTTGACCACCAGTCATCGAAGAGATAGTAGAACAGAAGGCTCGCGGCTTCGGTTGGAGAATATCCCGTTCCAGCCGGTTCATTCCACCTGACCCGAACCTGCATCAATGCATCGAGGGTATTGTTGTGATTATGATGCTTGGACAGATGACGGAAGATATTGACAACATGGGATCTGGTATCTTTATATGCTTCTGGGTTGACCGGTCGATCAAACACAGAGATGACAGTCCCATCGTCACATATGAGCAATGAAGTCCAGATACGCTGTCCAGATGGTTTGCTGGGGTCTTCATTTTTACTTTCAGACGAGGAGAACAGGGTATTGAAGCCGACATGGATGAAGTGGTGACCGAAATCAATGGAACAAAAATGCCACAGATCGTTGACGACATCTCCGAAGTTGATGTCCTTCACAGTGGCTTTCGGCTTTGACTGGATGGCATCTGAAGATGGAGGAATCCCTTTCTCAACATCGGTCATCCTTGCTGTGGGTGTCCTCTGTCCTGATGAAGTGCTTGAACTACTGCTATTTGTTGAGGCAGTGCTGGGTGTCTGTGTTGCACTTTTTCTCGCAGGACAAAGCAATCTGGTAAGTCGAGGCGACAGGCCATACTTCTTAGCAACAGCTGCAATGGTTGTCCTTTGCGAATCCGAGGTCCAAAAATTCAACCACAAGGCTTGAGTAGCCGAGCGGTTTTCGGCTTGTAGCCATTTAAGGGCTTCTTCCTGGCTGACGTCGACGGCACATTTGGCTTCAGAGCTCTCGAAGCGTACGATGAAGTTTTCGGTCGTGGGATCCGTCAACTTGGCCGTGCATTGCTGGAAAGCGGTCTCTTCGTCGAGATTGTAAACTTTGCGGGCGGCTGGAGGATTAATTTTGGCCATTCTAACACATTCATACCTTGTCCGTAAGCGCCTTGGATCTGTGACTTCCCAGAACAAGTGAGAACGATGGAAAGAAAGTCATGGGAAAAGAGACGGGAGAAAAGCCGAACAATGGTCATGCCAAAGTTGTCGCGACGTGACCGACTCAGCCTCCTTTGACCATCCAGGCCACTGTTAAAGTCGACCAACGGTCATGGGGTGTTGCTGTTGAGGGGCTAGGCGACAACTCGGCCTTTGTCGTAGACGACGCGAAGATTCAGGGGAAATGCAAGCCAAAAAGGCGTCCACTAATGGCCGGACCCAAGACACCAATCGCACCCGTGGCCGATTCTTCTTCGGGGAGACCATCCTTTCTCATGGGAATCTGCTCGTAAAATTTCACGGTGCAAAAATAGTGATGATCGTACAAGCATATTGTTGACAAGCATGGAAGAGAAAGAGGAGCTGGCAGTGGCGGCAGACAGCGGAATCTCAAACCACACCAGTATGCGTTGCTATTCTCATGCAACCTGGTATTATTAGAGGTGTGATCTGAAAATTTACACCAGGTAAAAGTTCTTTCTGTTTATGTGGATAGTTCTTTACCTCTTGCTCCCCTCGGACCCCTAGACTCCATGGCCTTCTTCGCCTTGTTGTAAACCCCGGATGGAAATGAATCAGATGAGCGAAACTGCCCAAGTTCGTTTAAAATTGCCTTCCTTTTTCATCTGGAGAGCGAATAAAAGAGACCTACAGTACATATCTATCTTCCAAGCCCCTTCCCTCATACCATCCTGTCCGTGGAAGGTTCAGAATGTTGGATTTGGATAACCATCATCCGCCAGCAAGGACTTCTAAACGGAATTTGTTTGTCTAAATTACAATTCTTCCTCTCATTCAGGAGGGCCTCAATTGTTCAAACACTGCTAGGTTGTTTTGTTTTTCCCTGCTGGTCTTCTGGATGTGCATATTTTGAAAATTCGTTTCTCCCAGAGAAAAAAAAAGAAAAAAAGAAAACCGTTTCCCCCTCCCCCTCCCCTTCTCTGAGGCATGCCGAGTTAAGCACAAACGAAAAAGTGTGTCGAATCGGAAATGTTGCGCCCAGTCGTAGACTTCGTAGCAGTTCAGTAGTCCGAAGGAAGATAATCGCGCCAATAAAACTCCTCATCCGCCATGATTCAATGGCCAAAAATCCTTCAAGAATGTCGACAAGCCAAGGCGTCATGATGCAACGCCCTGTGCGTACCTTGCCCGCTCCTCAACCCAAATCTGGGTTAGACAGACCGCTTATATGTCTTCCATGGAAACCATAGGATGATCTATTGAGATCCAGATCCAAGACGCTCATTCAGAGACCTCATCAGAGTATCACCCAGCGGAGACTGAGGTTGTATCAAATCACTTGCAATCCGAGGTGGCTTTTTGAATTGTTCTTCTTCTTTTGAAGTACGTTCTTGTATGGACTCACTGTCAATTTGAGACGAAGGCTCCAAGTCCACGGCTCGAGGACTTGACATACTGATGTCGTCTTCCATGTCTGTGGTCGAAGACAACACTTTTCGGACTCCTGGTATTGAAGAGTTCGTCGATATTATAGGCGGTGGATTCTCGTTGTCGCTGTCGTCGTTGTTATTGTTGTTGTCTTCTTCCTCAGGAGCGAGACTCAAGGGACGTTTCTCGGTTTGATCTCCACTTTCACCAGCCTCGGAGACGACTGGTAATAACATGGAATGTTTCGGCTCGTCTATCGTCCTGAGCGTCCGCTCGGGTTTCTCTTCCTCGCTTTTCCTCCGCTCTTTGTCACTAGGGGTGGCCTTGTCGGCTTGTCTTTGAGCTTTCTGCATGGTCTTATCCACCGCCGGACTCATGAGAGGGGATGGCGCGGTCTGTTCAGTGCTATACCTGTCGGAGTGAATCCCAGAAGGTGGGCCTAGACTATCCACAGATGTGGGTTGCACCTGTTCTCCCGGTCGTTGACTTTCTTCAGTCTTTCGTCGCTCGGCTTCTTCTTGCGTCATTGTTATACCAGTGATAAAATTGACGAAACGTTCTCCATATGCTTGCGGCGGAATAGGAGAAATTTGTGTCCGGGGGGCTGAAAGGCCTTTCCAGAAATGTTCGACTCGTTTGACGAAACCATACTAACCAATCATTAGTCACATGGAGTTCCAAATGTCCCAGGAAATGCTTACATGAGTCAAGCAGTCAATGATGCCCAGATAGTATATCGAATCACCACCTCGGCCATCTTCATGAGTAGCTCGAATACCGCCGTCATAACTGTAGAAGATCCGATCACGTCTTCCATCTCCAGAAGCTATCTCGGATGGCATCTTGTTGTTGGCCATACCCATGGGAATAGGTTTCTCTTTTTTGAGGGTCAATCTCAACTCTCGTGCCTTTTTGGCGTTCTCCAGTCTGGAGGGCGTCCTGGTCAACATTGCTGTACCATATTCGTCTTCTTCTCTTTCCCCACCAGGCTGGAACACTTGCAAGGTGGTTTCACGCAGATTCTCTTCGTTACCCTTCCCTAGATCATGCATACCCACAAGAAGAGAGTAGTCCATGATATGCAACCTTTGCAGGAGGGCAACATCCCTTTTTATCTGGTCGAGAAATATCTGTCGTTTTCGGGCGTCAAACTCGAGATGCAGGTCCCGTCGCAGCCAGTTGAGATCTTTCAGAGTGGCCCTAGGATTCGTGGCCAGGTCCTCTTCCTTAAAGTCTCGGCCAATGGTGGAGCCTTTCAAATCAAACATTTGGTGAATATCTCGATGCGGCGGAAAGAGATTGTTCATCACCACAAAATGAATTTTTCGGCCATAGGGGATTTTGACTCGGTGTAGACCGTAGAACTGGCTAATCAACGTATTCGGGTTGTCCAGGACATGTCGGTAGTAATCCCGGAGTATCTTCCTCAACAATTTGTGTTCAGCATGGTGGATGGTCTTGATAATGTATTTATAATCGCGAGAGAAGTAAAAGAAAGATCCCGATTTCCCAGGGCTGCCCAGTTCAGACAAGATATACTTGCTGGTCAAACTGACAAGGTAGTCAGCAGGATCCAGTCCAAAAATGGCCCTGAGATGGCGAAAGACCCAAGGACTATAATCCTTGAATTTGAAGTCGTACTTTGCGCTTGGTGTCAATTCATTTCCGGTGATATCGAAACTGAATTTGTGCCTTGCGTCGAAGTCGGCATCGGTCAAGTCTCGATCAATCTTCGCATTGGTCCTCGACACCGTAAATCGAATTCCGGTCAACATGTTGTATGCGGTAACCCAGTTGACATGGCCCTCTTCAACTTTCTTGCCGACAATGACACGGTCATCATCTTCCTCCTCCTTCTTTTTCCGCCTACTCGCTCTTTTCTGCTTGATCAGCTCGGTCCAACGTGCCGCATCCTCATCAGGGGGGACTTCCTCCAAATAGGCGTCAGACTGCATCGACCGCGTCGTCCTCCGAACAAGTCCGAGGGATGCCCTCCGATGTCTCGTTATCGACGCATCGTATTGATCTCGAATGGGCGAAAACCGGCCGGTGGCAGATAATGCTTCTTCCGAGGGCCCTGCGGAAAAAGAGAAATCTCGAGAACTTCGACCCACCGCAACACCGGATTTGGGGACTTGCAAAGTATGACGCTGGGAGAGTTTCGGCGTCTCGGGCGGTTGCGTTATTTCCGAATGACGATCTTGTATTGAAGCGCCCGGTGACATGAGAGGAGGCGAGGAAAAGCGAGTGAGTCCGGGTCCAGGGCCGCGAGACCCACGAGATAATGTCAGTCCATCCGTCCGCGCTGTATCCAGTACAGTCGAAGCTGTCACCATGTGTGTGGAATCGTAATCGGGTTTGGCAGGGGGAATGTTCGTTTTCAATTTACCCAACTCCGGCGCTTGTGAGCTTGGTGGAGGGGTGACATCGTCACATCGATCCTCCGACGCGTTTTCAACACTGGAGAGTTTTGTCAGTCCATCTGAAGAGACCGGGTTCCTGGATGGATTTTCAATGGGTTTTCCTGTCGTACTTGCTACCGACTGAATGCTGCCTGTCTTGGAGTTTGATCGATCTAGGGGTGGCTTGACGGTGCCGTTGGGGACGCCATTGGTTAGGGAGCCATGGCTGTTGTTCCGTAGGTTTTTGAGCTGATCCAGCCGGTGGTCGGGCAAGCCCGTCTCGACCTCGGATCCGTTTGTGTATGTGAAGACACTGCTGATGGTTTTGTCGTAAGATTTTCGGGGAGGACCATCGAAGGAGGTGTTGGTGCTGTTGGACGGGAACGGAAGAGGAGGATCGGTGGCCACAGGTGGCATCTCAGACGTAGGGAAGAGGTTCACAGAGAAGCGAGACGATTCGCATTGGTCGTAGGTCACCGGGAGTTAGGACGATCGGATGTCATATCTTATGGAGAGGTGGGAGGTTTCCTGGATGGAGACTCTGGTGTTGCACTCTCGAATGGAAAGACGATGAAAACGAGATAGGTCCCAAGGCCAGTGTACAGATAGCTCTGGGCGGGAATAGCAGTGGTGTTTACTATGAGGCTGTTGTGTGGGATACAAGGGGCGTGGTCGATAGAGCATGGAAGTTTTCTCAAATTCGAAAGATGCTTTCTGACAGTGGCTAAAGTTGGAGTCGGGAGACGCAGCCAGAGCCACCGCCCTAGTGGCCGTGAGTCCGCAGCCAGAACGACGCTGAACAGCCAATACAGGGCGCCCAATCTCTCCGCCCGGTGAGTAGACGGCCGCTTCCCGTACCACTCCCATCAACACGAGAACTTATCGAGTCGTTCATTGCGAATGACCATTTGGGCGATTTCCCCTTTCTTTTCTCTCTAGGAAATATCACCAACGCAGCCATATCTCACTCGCAAAACCTGGATTGTCTTTCGGAACTGCGGCATCTCACTAACCGCCCGCCAAGCACCGTCACGGCATCCTGTGGATCTCCAACCGGATTCGCGTGCGCACAGAAACAGGTAATGAAGCTGGCACAAGCTGGTGTATGCTATTGTCAAGTAGAAACACTAAAAGCTGAAAGCAGAAAGCTTCCCGTCTGAAGCTAACACCTGGACGCCTTGCTTTATTTTCATTCTCCAGGACGCATCATATGTGTGCGGAATCGATCGAATCAAAATTGCTCAAGACATCACCATCTTCGCGGCGACATGAATCAATGCCTCTGTTCCTTCTCCAGTGCCTTCGGTGGTCGCACGTCCGTTCGAGGTGGTCAATTCGGCGTTGGGATAATAGTATGCTGTGACAGCAATGATGATATAGACGATCTGTTCGGTCATTTTAGCTCTAGCGCACTCGCACGTAAAAACTGCCGGGGTGAGCGTACCACCAGGAGTCCTCCCTCCAGGTAGTTGGAGGAGCCGTCTCTCAAGAAATTTCCCACCACCAGAATGGACAAAACAAGAAGGACCACCATGAACACTTCAAAATTCAGATCCATTGGCTTGTCGAGACCCCATCCGACGATCACAACAAGAGGCGCGTTGAAGAGCGCGGTCTGAATCGAGGGCCCGAGACAGTGATAGAGAGCGAAGTTCTGCCGGATGGTTAGTGACAAGTCCCAAATTTTCCCTCCTCCAGGGGACCTACAATCTGGTTGTCATGGGCCTCATCAACTGCGGTCAGATGTTCGGCAGCCTTTTCTACCAACGGCACCAGAATCAAGCCCAAGAAATTGTCCGGAACGCCGTGCTCAACGACATACTCGATTTCCTCTACCAGAAACACCGCAATGAGAGAGATGAAAGTCAACGCCAAAACAATCGCCACAATGCATTCGGTCATGGTCAATTTAGCCTTTCTCAGATCCTTGTGCCGGTCTCGATCCGCCTCCTCATCGCCCTCGAGGACTTCTTGGAAGATATTATCGTGCGAGACGCAATTGTAGATGAGATAAAGAAGGAAAGCGATGATGAGAATGATGGAGACTCCATGGCTGATATGGAGGGTGTCGTTGCGGAGGTCTGCCTCCGTATAGCCTTCTCCCTCGCTGACAGTGCTACCACTGAGAGAAGCGAAAAAGGCACTGGGAATCATGAGAGCAAATCCGGCAACCAGAAGGAGCCCCGAACCAACTTCACTGACGATGGGGTGGAATTTTTGCTCCTTGTGCTTCAGACCTCCTACCAAGAAGCAGAATCCCAAACAGAGCAAGAGATTGGTCAATATGGACCCGAGAATGGCAGCTTGAATCACCTGGATCTTATTCCCGTGACCGGGTTCTCCCGTGCCATTGTCTTTAGCGATCAGGACCATGAACAGCACAATCTCCACGACCGAGCCCAACGTCGTCTCAATGATGATGCCGGCCACCTTGGGAAGCTTCCTTGCCAATTCTTGCCCCGCGAAACCCAAAAGGTTGGCCGCAGGTACCATGGCAATATAATTGATGGCAAACGTCCAAAGATGGTGGTCGCCTTTGACGAAATGGAGGGCAATAGCTGCGGGAACGAAAGGCCAAAGCACGTTGACCCAACTGGATACCGTGCTGGACGACTTCCATATTATTCTGGTGAATTCAACAGGGTGAATTCCACGTCGACCACTTTCTCCGTCTGGATGAATGCCAGGTGTGACTTCATGTCCATTGTGGTTGAATTGGGGGAGGACTCCGCCAGGAGAAGGAGGGGTGGATGACCCATTCGCCTTTTCAGCAACGCCATCGTTTGGAGAGGGATCCTTGGCTGGTTGTTTGGCTTTTCGGTTGAGTAAGCCCATTTTCAGAGTTAGGATCGTATGAATCTCTCAGGGAGTGATTCAAGGACCGACTTGAGGGTAGGTTTAATATCCGGGGGGGAGGGAGGCTTGTTGGAAACGCAATGAATCGTGGGCACCAAGGAAAGGAGGGTATGGTGTGCTTCACAGAAGCATATTGCCGGGGGAGGAATTGAGAGGTTCGGGACAATGAGTCAAACGCAGAAACAGAAACAAAAGCAGAAGCAGTGAAAGAAGAGGGAACAAGACGAAGTGAGCCTGAAACTTGAAATCTGAGGCTCCACCAGTCAAGCAACGACAAGAAACGCAGCAAGCAGCTTGCCAAGAAGAAATGACAGCACACCGCATTGGGCATTTTGAGCTTGAGTTCTCGAGAAGGCAGTGGACTTGTTTCAAATTAGATCCTCCAAATAAAAGCTTACTCCGTATTTTAGGCTCGGCGCGACACGCTGAATCCTCGGCTTGGGGTCGAGACTTTGGCCTCAAGGACGACAACTTTGTCTGCATAATGTTAGATCCCTTGCCTCCTAATAGTGATGTATCCAGGTACCCATCATCCGTTGACAGTGGGCATGCATCCGTTCGAGGCTAAGTGGCTGGTGCCGACGACGATGGCGGGTAATTTTATCTCACGCTCTGGAGTCCTCTCCAGGAAAGTATTTGATCAGCAGGAAGATGAAACATTCTCCTTGTGTATTTCTTCAATGAGGGTGATAGGTCATAGTGATACGTTTTCACATCATTGTGTATAGAAATAATCTTGGAGGAAAACCGAAGGATAGTCCACATTCGTCCTTGTAATGGTGTGTCAGTTTCACGATCACGAGCCAAAGAGAACAATTCGTCGCAATTTAGAGAAGAGTTTTTCCTCACAGACCAAGACTGAGCTCAATTCTACATAACACATGATGCATGCCAGCCCGTGTCCTCCGAAAAGGCGGTATCCATCTACTGTCGGCAACAATGTGGTGTTGACTACCTTTTTGAGTTCCCTTTTCCCGTGATATCCTCAACTAACGCTCAAACTTTGCTCTCATATCATTACAATCCATCAATTTCGCGGGTATCATTCTCAGGTCCATTCATCGTCATCCCTATTTCTTCTCGTTCATCACGGTCCATTTCCAACTTGGAACCCCTCCTGGCTGGGGGCTTTGCACTCCCATGAAAACCTCGCCCGCACTGTTGTCGTTGCCGGTCGTTGTCGAATTGGCACTCAGATTCGGCATCTGATGATCAGATTTGGACAGGTCTGTCGATCCACTCATCATACTGCTCATGGTCTGGGGATAGAAATTTGGCCCGCCCATACCAAACGATGCGTCTGCTGTTCCCTCAGGGGACGACGTCTGGGTGAACAAATTGTTGTTGGGCGAGTTATTTGACCACAGACTTGCCGCCGGGTCCAGTGATAGATTCGACGGCTGCATGTATTGATCCCATGCTTCCTGCGTGGCTGTTAATGCCTCGAATCGCCAAAATCCCAAAAAGGTTCAGCACTTACCCAATCCAGATTCATGCCCTGACCGAGGTCACCCATGGGTCCTCCGAAAAATCCTGCCGGGAAAGGACTGGGTGCATTCGCTGCGGCCGCCCCAAAGAGACCCGAGTTAAATTGGTCTCCACCGGAAGTGAATCCGGCACTCGGTCCATTCTTATCCCATTGCCCGCCCGGTGATCCTGCTTGTGACATGCTGCCTCCAGCTCCATTACTGCCCACTCCGCCCGCTTGCAACATCCCCAGAGTCATGGCCGCTGTCTGCTCATCGTTGCCGGATCCCGAAGGCTGTTGTGTTCCCGGGGGGAGTTGGCGATGCTGGGGATTGCTGGGGGAATAAGGGAGCTTGATGTGATATAGAAGCACGTTCAGGAGTTCGCTGGCCTTGTACGCTTCGATGCTGAGGTCGCGGTTGGCCATCCATACATCGCGGCTCTCTTCCAAAGCACGAATGAGATCTTCGCGCGTGTAACTGAGTCCCGGGACGTAGGCACCATCCGAGATATTGCTTCCTTGGCTGATGCTGCCGCCACTCACGGAGGTACTTGGCGTACTGACATCGTTATCCGGCCGCTCTCGGTGATTGTAGAGATCCATGCAAACCGCGGTCGCCGCCAAAAGATAATCGTGCGCCGTGAGTGAATTCACGTGGTTGCGCAGACTTCTCAGTCGCCCACGTTCCCGACTTTGTTGATGCTGAATGGCCTGGAAACTGAGAAGTTGCATGGCCGAATCGAGGCACGTTCGCCTTGAATGCATGTATCGATTTCCCGGTCTCGCCAGCCGCATAAATCGTCGATGGAGGACACATTGCGATTTGTGATAAACAGAAGCCAGACTGAATCGGGCCATGATCAGGGAGATAGGTGCCAATGTCTGTTCCGCCATGGGGCGAAGCTTCAGATGATCTGGAATGCTTTCATAGATATCCCTCAAGCCGCGGTCGATCTTGAGAACTTCATCATATCCCTTTCGGTGGACTCCATTGATCTCTTCTAGCACCCGTCCAAACCCAAACGAAAGGCGCCCTTTGGCTATCATGTATGAGATTGGGGTGGCCTCGTTGGCAGGACGAGCCGGGGGAAGCGAGGTCGAGTCTTCATCAAACTCGTCGTCATAGATATTTCGGGGTAACTCCGTGTCCGAATCTCCAATCCGGATCATCGAAGGAAGTGCCACTTGGAAGGAGAACAGCAGGTCGGCACTTCGCACAAAGGTCCACACACGACGCCGCATCTCTCCTTGGAAAGGGCTCAGATTGGGGAAGAGCTTCGCATCCCGGTGATAGCCCATGCGCATGGCGAGACGTGCAATCATGCCCACAAGCACCCACACGCTTGCTTCGGCATCTTGATTGGAGGTATATTCCGCATGAAGATGAAAGATCAACGTCTCAATAATGTGATTATGCGGTTTGGTGTAATCGGCCGTAATGAGACAGTGCGCCATTTGCGTGCGGAAGTTCGCTGCCAGATCCTGGCATTTACCGCGAAACTCTGGTGGTTCATCCCCTTCTCGCCTGTACGATAACATGGCTAGACGCATCATCGCAAACAACATAGCCACCCAAACGATCGAGCTCTTGGAGGGATCGGCCCAGTGCTGATTGTAATGCCGCTGGAAAGTGGGACCGTGCAAAATGTGCGTAGCCGGGTCAAAGGTATTGAAATATCGCCCGATCAGGATGTCCGACATATATCGAGACGGTATTTGAGCGAGAATTTCCGCTCGACTGGGAGGTATCGTCGAGCCAAAGAGCAATGCGGGACCAGATCCCACGTCTGTGCCCATATTTTTCCTCGCTTGCTCGACTTTTTCCATTTGGGCTTCATACTCCTTCCGGTGGGCAACGAAATAATTCCTGACCTCGCCAATTTCATTAAGCAGAGCAGCCCAATGTGCCTCGCCCACGTAAAAGGTCTTTTGCTTCTCAGCGTCGACCTTGAGGATGCCAAAACTTTTGGTTACTCCATCAGTCTCACTTTCGGGTTCTGGCTCTTGCCCGTCCGCTTCATCCATCATAGTGGTTTCATCCAACTCGTTGTCGAGATTCGGTCCAAGGGAGCCGCTTCCGACTGTACTTGAACCGGCAGAAAGAACTTGCGCGGCCGCAGCCGGACCCGCGGCCTGCGAGCCATTGGTCATGAGCGACAGAACCAGTCCTTCCAATCGGTCTATCCGATTCTGCATATCATCCGGTGTCGTATTGGAGGTATTCTGGCTTTGGCTGCCTTTCTTCCTTACTGCGGGAGCAGCGTAGGCGCATGAGCCACTATCGCCTCGTTTTGTGCAGTTATCGCACGGCGATTGACGGTTGCATTTCAGCTTCCGATGCCGACAAGGGGCGCAGGACAAGGGGATCCGGTTTCGCTTTCGAACAACTCTGAACTGGTCCGGCGAAGCGCCAGAATGCGATGAGTTCGCTGAGGGAGGTGTAGGAGTCATTTTGAGATTTCGCCCGACAATATTGTTATCAAATCCCTCGCGGGTCAGGTTCTTCGAGGTTGAGCCTCCTCCCCACAGGTATGGCAAGAAATGACCCAGCGGCCGCTAATAAGGGTTCTTGTGTTCTCTTCCCGCTTCAGCCCCGTCGAGGGAGTACTACGCAGTTATGGGTTGGTCAATTGATGTCGCCGGCTTTCCACGGCACTCTTCTCACGGTGGGAAGAGACAGTTGAAGTCGTCGCAATTGGCAGCCTAGCGGGAAAATTGGCTGTTCGGATTTAACGGCGAGTTATCAGCGGAGAAATTCTCACACGGGTGAAGCCACAAAGAACAATGTAGGCACAAGATTTCGCCGGCCTAGATATCTGCGAGTAAAAGGGGGGGTGCACTTCAAACGCAGGGTGGTCGAAGAAAGAGGAAGAATTGAAAAGAGTAAAGGGTTGTCGCAACAATGAAATACCAAAAGATCAGGAGCAGTCGCTTACTGTCACTGGCAACTCGAGCCACAAGCCAGGCCAAGCCAACAGTGTGGATAAATGCTGTGTTAACTCGGGATCCACAGCTCAATCGATGCCGCCGCTATGTTGCGTCGTTTATCAGCATACTCAGCGTGCCGGGGGTGCATTGGATGGTTCTTGAATCTGATACGCCAACGAGAGTCGTCGATGACTCACTTGAACGGATTGCGGAAGATGTGCTAGTGCAGTATGTAAGGTGATGATTTTCCCACCCCTCTTCACCCGCGGTGAGAATTCGAGGGCACCCTGGGGAGGCCTTAACTCCGGACTAAGGACTCGGGCATTGGCTGAGATCCAGGCGGATGACAGGGAATCAGGGATGCTCAAACCGTTCCTGGCTTCACTAAACTTGAGAACAATTGCGAAATCAATCATGCCTCTAACGAACCAATCGTCAACTGGTGATGTCAGTCTGCAGATTGGAGGTGATCCGTGAAGCCTGGGGAACTTAGGATTGATACTGGTAATCATGACGACTCGATTCCCTTCGGGCATTCTAACTTTCTAACCAAGTCGATAAGGCCGAAGGTTTGAGCTGTTATCATGGGTGCGCATCCCACTATTCTTATGGACATCAACCCCAAACCACCAAAGAGAAGGGGGAAAACACAAGTTCGAAGGGAGTCTTTCTAAACACTGTCGTTAACATGCCATCGAGGTAATCCCAGCTTCATTTACCAGTCTTCGCTGGATGTCCAATCAATACACAACCGTTTGAATCTGCTTATGGCCTCTTCAGTGACGACCGACACCATTGGCTCTTTCAAAAGTCCCAGAATCCTTTCTGAGGTTCGGGTTTGGCATCGGGCTTCGACTGCTCCTCCTCACCTAAACTCCAGTGACTCTCCATCCCTTTCCTCTGTCGACTTTGTGTCGCGGCCTTCTCGACTTGGTCGGGAGACTGATCATAAGTGTCCCAATGCGCATCCATCATCTGAACGGCCTTTTTTCGGTTGTCACCGACATGATTGTTCTCATTGTTGGCTTTCTCCGGGGCCGTCGAAGCGTCTGCCATGGTCCAATGGCTATCAAAATCATTCTTGCGACTGGCAATGTTCGTAATGGTCGACAGTGGCACCTTTTCTTGAGGTTTGTTGTCTCTCTCTTCACCGTACAGGTTGTTGGTGTACAATCCCATGCGATCACCGACCGAGCTCATCGGACGGCCGGATGTTCGATTCGGTGCAGGTGTTGCTGTATCCTTCAATTGAAAATGCGTCTCCGCATCTTTTCGAGGCTTCGCGACGACATGTCGCTCAACTGAAATGCCATCGTCCTGGAGCTCAAAGTGGGTTTCATTGTCACGACGAGGCTTGCCGACGGCTTGCTTTGCGGGAGTCTCAAGGTCATTCTCGGCACTGTCGAGGCTGAAATGGACCACATCTTGGCCTCGCACTTTCTGGGGCACCTTTGCCGGAGTGGAAAAGTCTGAAAAATCCCATTGAGACTGGTGTTTGTCCGACCTGGCCCGCACCGGTACCGCCAACTTGGGCTTGGCGACTTCCTCCTGGTATTGCATTGGGTCGTCTTCATCCGCATCGCCCAAGTCGAAATGGTTGTACTTGGCCGGATGAGACTTGTAGCCCACGGCGGCCGGCTCGTCTGGGTCGTCGGCGAAGAGGCGAGAAGGTGCAAACTTCTTGCTGCCGGCACCTTTGGGTGCAATCACGGGACCAATTGGGGCCTTCTTGGGTGACCCTGGCTCGTTATCTTCATGACCAGCTGCAAAAAGCTCGCTCATTTCGCGGGGCGGCGGCCTAGCAGAGGCACGCGGCGCCACACTATTGGGGTTTGCCAGCGGTGGGTTTTCGTCGCCTGTCGTTGGAGAGAAAAGATCCAGACTGGTGTGAGGGTCTCTGATACGCCTCTTGCTGGGGGATACATTGCGAGACGAAGCCATACTTTGGTTTTCAGACCGACCGTGCGGACTGGTCGGTAATTCGGACGATGGTGCTGGCACAGCCGTGGAGCTGGTATGGATAAGTCTGATCTGATCCTTGCCATCAACGATAGGCCAATTCTTGCCCCTCGACCCGATCACTTCGGTCTGTTTCAATAGCGAGGCCTGATCCCAGGAAATCCGTATCTGTGTGATCTTGCGCTCCGCATCGAAAGAGACTATATGAGTCTGGGACGGATCCCCTATGTCAGCCGCAATAGCTCGGATGAAATCTCGGACGTCTTACCGTTGGAATCGTAGCAATCTTGTCCACGACGAAGTTTTCCAGACCGGGCAAGTATGCTCCTCCACCTGAGATGAATTCCAGAACCGTCTCTACCTCGACCGCAAGCGCATCGTTGCCCTCGACCGCTGAGACAATTTTGGCACTCCTAACCTTCACCACTTTCTTGTTTTGAGACTCAAGATGTCCAACAATAGACCCCGATGGTGAGATTGTGGTCAGTGTTGTGATGTAATGTAGAGAGGCATCCTCGGAAAGGCTGATGGGATTCGGGAGGTCAAGGAACTGCTGGTAGATGTCTTTCAAAGTCATGTTGACGAACGGCCAAAGTGACGAGTACCGTGTCAATGACGAACAACCGTACGTATTCAGACCAAAGAATGAGAGACGCGCGGAGCGAGAAGAATGTCAGCAGCTTTGTTGTGATCGTGCTCGCAGAAGAGGCAAGCGCAGCAAACTCCAGTAAGCGCAGAAGGTCAACCGCGTTGTCAGCAAAAGCGACGTAGTAGCCCTCCCAAGAAATATTTAGAAAGGGTGGTGGGTGAGAATGAAGGTGACCTGCGCGTTACGAGAGGTGACGGAAAAGTATCCTTGTTTTTCTGGAAACACACCGACAAAAGTGAAGACAGGATCTATTATTCTGTGGTCTGCGGGCAATGGGGAACAAGTCCCTGAAGGCTGCATTTGGGCACAGTCCTTCAATAGGAAGACGCGTTGCCCCGCCATCGCGTCCAAACATGCAGAGTTCAAGCCGACGCCGTGCAACTAGCGGTGTTTCATCTTTTCAAGCTGGGGGGGGTCGGTTTTGAGCTCTGCACTGTCCTCCTTGAGTGCTAGCAGATCTCATAAGAGCCTCCTTGTTCGAGCTTTTCATCATCAGCGCCTCCAATGTGCAGGGTTGATCGCCCCGAATATCTTTCAGTTAATCCCCGCCTCCCTGAAATTGCGCCATCCGTGAACCACCCTGGGGAAGCAAGAATCCATTTTCAGTTCCATAGAACCATCCCTTGACCACGGCTGATCGACAAACCCGAGTTCATTCAAAAGGCTATTCTGGAGGGTCAATTCTTAGTTCCTCCCATATCTGCGACGTCGAGGCTGGGTTGTTTTCCTGATGTGAACTTGTCGTTCTTCCTAGTAGACAAAAATCATGTGGGTTCGTCTGACTGCGCACGACAACACAATACTGGCGCGGATCGTTCATGAAGCACTATTTGAATCAGAAAAAAATAGCCCTTCAAACGGGACGTAGAAGATGCATTTGAACTCACCCAAACCATTGAGCCGACATCTTTCCGACGGCGTACATATTGCCCACGTCGCTTCGCAGCCCAATCAGTTGGACTCTCACCGCCGAACCTTTCTCGATGACATCTCCTGCGTTGTTGGAATATTGTGGTGGAGTCGCATCTGGATTGTGTCGCATATCAGGTGGCAGATGCTGCTTTGAATCAATACATGGACGATCGCCCGGAAAAAGGGCTTGTCATCACCCACCATTTTTGACACAAACACTGTGAGTGGTCCTGCTTCGCAAAAGACTCCTTGAGCCTTGATCGAGGAGACAGCACAGTCAATCTGCGCGTTCCCTGTCAGTCTCATGGGCCATGTCTATCTTTCAGTGGAACGCCCTCACCGTCTCGCCCTTGAACGGCTTCCAAAGAATGGCGCGGTAAAGAATTGTAAAATGAGCTTCTCCCGAACCCGGCCTGACTCTTCCTGGAGAGATATTGTAGATGTCCATTATGCATACGATGTAGTACTCTCCATTACAGCTCCCCTCCAGGTCCGCATAGAGTTGATCCTTCAACCTCTGATGTATGCTGCTGCTAAAGAAGGATGGATGGATACTGATCTCTCTTTCGAGATAACGCAGGAAGAACATGATGAACTGTTTGTGATGAGTGACGGAGATGATCGTTCGTTGCGATGGGAAATAATGACCGCCTAAAATGGCTTGCTTCGAGCACTTCAATTCATCCTCTTTCAGAATCACTTGGCCTTCCGCTGTCCTCGCTCGTGATATAGACACTTGAAAAGCTTTAAGGAGCCCGAGCCACTGCGTCGCGAGACAAAACGCGTCTCTGAGGACGACGAGGGAGTAGATGAAACCGGGTTTGCGACGGTTTGTTGTGAGTTCGACGATACACCTTTTTTTTCTCGAGGATGCGCGGCTGGTATCGATTACGGTGAAGTGTTTACGACTATATGGCAAATGTTGCTGCGGAGAATTGCGCCTGGGGTCCCTCGTCCTCTCACACGCCACCACCAAGAAGCCCATACGTATTTGCTTCGCTCGGTACCCGCCAGTTTGGTGGTGAGATGTGGCATGCGAGTCGGCGTGATCTCGCTCTGCTTCTCACCCATCACTTCATGCCCCCCAGCCTGGTTGCCATCGGCACTTCAAACCTCTCGTCCTCACATTCAATGAGTTGAACTCGTCATATTCTCTGTGTAAGAGACACAGTGTACCACCACTCCCACCATGGCACTCAATCTGGAGAAGCAACTGCGATTTGTGAGTCCGAAACTGCGTCCTCGGGGAGTCTTGCTGACCTCTCGCAGTATGGTGCATATCATCACGATCCGGTATAGATCTACCTGAAAATGCAAGAAGATGTCCCTACCCACTCACGCTCAAATAGGTCAATATTGCCATACATATGATCGGAGTCCCCGTCATACTGTGGACTACATTTCTTCTCGTACGAAACGAATCCATCCCCATTGGAATCTATTGAGCTCACGTTTTGCAAGGGCACGAATACCCCACCGTTGATTAAACTGCCGGAGTCGATGACTATTCCCTATTTCGAGTTCAATGTGGGCACGATCCTCTGTTTATCGTATTGTGCCTTGTACATATTGCTGGAGCCCGTCGCCGGGACCGTACTTTCTGCATTGCTACTGGTCGGAACTGCATATGGGAAATATCTTACCGTGGAACATGGGATGACAGCAAACTTCTGGGCCGCGGCCGCTTTCGTTGCCTCATGGATCGCACAGTTCATGGGTCACGGAGTGTTTGAGGGTCGAGCCCCGGCTCTTCTGGACAACCTCTTCCAGGCCCTTTTCCTGGCTCCTTTGTTCGTCTGGCTCGAAATCCTGTTTGCGCTTGGTTACCGGCCGGAGTTGAAGAGCCGTGTGGACAAGCTTGTTGAACAAGACATTGCCAAATACCGCGAGTCGAAGGGCCAAAAAGTCAAGGGGGCGGTGAATGGATCTGCCGTCAATGGGCATGCCAAACAATCTTGAAGGTGCGCTTTCTTGGAAATTGTGAGCTGGTGTTCGATCGAAGCCCGTGAGGGAAAATGGCCCGTGGTGACTATGAGACAATTGAGCATTGCACATGCCTCTCAGCTGGTATTTTGACATGCTCCTTGAACATCTTGATGGCATTGCATGTCATTCCCTTTTTTACGAAATGGTAGTTTGGCGAGGTGGCTGATGACCTGATTTTATTTGTATCTGAGTGGTCAGTATTTCGATTCACTCCAGCATCCCTAGCGTACGACAAGTCAGTGTATCAAAGCCTAAGTTACGAGAACATGACTCGAATACTCTCCCCCTTCCAACTCCTTGACGGCCTAGATTACTCTCGTCAGTAAGGACCAAATGCCTCTTGTAGAGCTAGGAGGAGTCAATGTTTGCCAAGCCAGCTGTCTGAATATTATTTCTGCGGGACCGGGATGATGTGGATAAGAAGATTCTCCAATATGTCTCCAAACGATTCATGGGCAGACAAGCTGCTGGAGGCCGCTCGAGCGCGGAACATTATCTTTTCTGGCTCTGAGATTCAAGAAATCCGGTCGGCCAATCCAAAATCTTTGGTGGCTAGTTGGATACAAGAGAATCTTGTGCGATCGAATCCCTTGTCGTGCGAAGAGCTCGCATTGTAAGGAAACTCAACAACATCCTGTGTACGGAGACTGAGGGCATGTAGATGGCAGCAACTGGAAGATGACGCAGCTCTCAGAGCCGTGTGCAAAGGGACTGACTCGATAACCATTCCGTCCACGGATGGGGAGGTTCAATCTGCCATCACGGCTCTCCATGCCTCAACAAGGGCCATTGAGAAGCGAATGAGGATCCTCACCGCTCAAAATGCGCACTTGATTCGGCCAGCAGCCTCAGAGAACGCTTCTCGAATCCGCAAGTCATGCCATGCACAGCACTTCAGCCAGAAAGAAGCTGCTGAGGCTCAGCACGTCAGATTTGTCGTTCGTTTTATCTCTTGTGCTTTGTTGAGATCACTATCTGATTATACGCAGAACGAACAGCTGTTCGACACTCTGAGGACAGACCTCCAAGACGAGCGTGACAATATAACCAGAGACATCAAGTCCGTCACGCCGATTGTGACCGAAGTCCTCAACTCAGACGACCGTGCCCTTGCAGAGCTCGACGAACCGCCTTCTAATACGCCGAAAGTCACGCTCGATGTGGATGCGATACGAGACCGAGTGGCCAGACTCACTGCTGCATTGCGATATTTCCGCACCAAAGCCATCAAGGACAGCCTTGACCGGACGTATCTCCAGAACCTTGATGGAAATCCAGGGACCGTCCAGCCAGCTCAAGAAGTCTCTGCCGCGATGATCAAGGAGATCCAAGACGACCTGGGCTCTCTATACACAGAGATCAATGATGTTGTTACCATGGTAGTGGCACAGGAGTATGGGAATCCAATCGACGCAACCATTTCACGCCTCGAGCGGAATCTTCAGCAGCAGAACCGAGAGCTTACTGAACAGGTATGTAGGAGCGTTGCTCACCCTAACACCCTCGGAAAATAGTAGCTCTGACTCACACGCTGAATTGTCAACTACTAGATTTATCGCAAGCTTTCGTCTCTTACGGTGTCCCTCGAGACTCTCTCCGCGAAGCTGGAAAATCTGCAGTCCCAAAGACTGGCGTTGCACCGCCTGTCCTCGCAGACTCAGACGCTTGAGTCGATCATTCTCTCTCGCCCAAAGCCATCTGTTGTGCGGTCACAGGCAGAAGACGCGCAACCCAGTAATCCCGCAGCGATGGCACTCTTCCAGCATCTTGGCCTCTCCACGTGCATGGACAGCTCGACAATGACACTAAACAAGCAACTCGACAACCTAGTCGCGAAGCTCGAGCGTCGGCCAAGAGAAATTGTCGAACAAGTCGTGCGAAACGCGGAAGAAGCAGCGACAAAGAGACGTGCGGTGTTGCAGGACGTCTCGAAGGCCCTTGCCACCAATTCGTCCCACGAATCAGAGGTGTGCGTCCTGGAACAGAGGATAACGGAAGCGAGGGCGGAGCTACAGTACCTTGGAACAAGTCGGCAACTGGCAATCCTTCCAGGCTCTGCTTTAAGTATGGCTAGAGCTACGATACCAGTCGATCTGCAATGTGGCTCAGTCTGAACACGAGTTTCAGTCATTATCCCATCGCTCTTGTCTGCCTGCTCTCGGCCTCCAGCGATATTTTTCGTCTCCTTGCGGACTTAGGAGTGGCCACGTTAAACGTGAAATTTTCCATAATCAACAATGTGCTACCTACCCAAGGCTTTTCTGTCCCAGTCTCTCCCAGGCGATTATTCTGGTATATCGAAGCCTGGCTCTATTCCTGTCACTATATACGGGGAGGCCCTACCGACACCTAACCTACCGAAGTCGAATGCACCTTGGTCTAACGCTTCGCTCTTATCTTCTTGATGCTGGGTCACAGCCTTGAGCAACATGACATCTTGTCATGTATCATTTGCAGTCTTCTCGTGACCATTCCGTGATGCTACTTGCAGGGCATCGCCATAGCGCCCTCCTTGAGCATTGATCTCCGCCCCTCTGTCGAGTAGTATCTGTACAACCTTCTCGTGACCACCGTGCGATGCTGCTTGCAGGGCATTGCCATGGAGTCCTCCTTGAGCATTGATCTCCGCCCCTCTGTCGAGTAGTATCTGTA